GCGATCTTTCAGGAGCAGGGTGGATACCCGGTCGTCGAGTATATCCATCGACATGACAAGGACTCCTGGAAGGCGGTGTTCTTTGGTACTGACCCCGAGGCTAAGCTGCTCCGCGAAGCCAGTCCATTGATGCGCACTGGGAATCAGTATCGCTTTGTGCACCGGTCCATGCTTGAGTATTTCCTCTCACGCGTCATTTACAACCCGGCCAAGGTTGACGAGCAGGACTTTGACTCCTCAATTGAGATTGCATCCCCAGCCTCCCTTTCGTCCGACATCAATGGCCCTCTGTACCTGAGAAACTTGCTCAAGGAGCCGTCGATTATCCAGTTCCTGTGCGACCGCGTGAGGCTCGACCAGGATTTTGAGCAACAACTCCGCGCTATCATAGACCAGTCCAAGACCAATTCCAGTGCCACCATCGCCGCCACCAATGCCATAACGATCCTGGTCAGAGCCGGCGCTCTGTTCAACGGCGCTGATCTCCGTGGCATCAAGGTCCCTGGCGCCGACCTTTCCGACGGGCAATTCGACTCTGCACAGTTCCAAGGCGCTGACCTGACAAGAGCCAATCTCTCGGGAAGTTGGTTGCGGCAAGCGGATCTGAGCCATGCACAGATGGAGGGCGTCCGGTTCGGAGAGCTGCCATACCTCAAGATGGGGGGCTCCATAACAGCATGTGCCTACTCGCCTGACGGAAGGATGCTTGGAGTGATGGTGGATGGTGATGGCCTTGGCATCAGTATTTACGACACCTCTACATGGCAACTACTCCTTCTAATCACAGCCACCGTGCATGTCGCCACTATTGCGTTCTCGCCTGATAGTCGACGAATCGTATCTGGGGACGAGAAAGGAGTGATTCGGTTGTGGGATTGCACTAGTGGCGAGGAGTTGTTGACCATGGAGGGGCACACTAATTCCATACGCTCATTGACGTACTCGCCTTGCGGGGACCGTATTGCCTCGGTCGGCGACGACAAAACAGTGCAATTGTGGGATTCGGAGACGGGAGTGTGCGTCTTTTTTTTGGAAGGTCACACTAGGTGGATCGCGAGCGTCAGGTTTTCCCCGGATGGACGGCAGCTCATATCAGGCAGCGCGGATGGAACAATTCGGTTTTGGGACTCGGAGACAGGAGAGCGAGGGGTCGTCTTGCGTCCTTTGTTGGGGAAGATTTACAGTCTTGCCTGTTCTCCAGACGGCCGATGGATAGCTACCGGTCACGGTGACGGCAATGTGTGGCTGTGGGATATGGTCTCCGGTAGCCCAGGTCCTGTACTACAAGGCCACGCCAAGACTGTTACTGGAATCGCATTCTCTCCGGACGGTCAATTGATCGCCACTTCTAGCGACGACTTCAGGGTGATGTTATGGGATGCATCCACAGGCGACATTATTTCCACGTTTGACGGTCACTGGCGTTCAATACATGATATTGCCTTCTCTCCGGACGGTCTTACCATCGCATCGGGATCTAAAGACAGGACGATGCGACTATGGGAGGTTAACTCCAGTCGGTCCAGCATTGCGATACAAGATCAGATCGGCGACTCTTGTCTGGTGGCCTACTCTCCCGATGGTCTATTTGTCATTTCTGCCCATTGCCTACCTGCTATCTCTATATATCACCCAGGTGTTATCCGACAAGGGAATGCTACAACGGGATTGCGCGGATCAGTGTCATTTGAGTTTCCGGACCCAGAGATGATCTACGACGTGGCGTTTTCGGCGGACGGCAATCAAGTCGCGACCGGGTGCGAGGATGGTTCAGTGCGATTGTGGGATCGCAGCACTGGCGCAGCTGGGCTAGTCTTGAAGGGGCATTCGGGCGCAGTGAAGATTGTTGCTTATTCAACCTGTGGTCGCCGGATCGCCTCTTGCGACCACCGTAACATTGTACGATTGTGGGACCTTTATGATACGGAGCAGCAATGCATTCTTGTTGGAGATGGAGACAACAACAATTGCATCATTGACTTGAAGTTCTCACCGACAGGACATCAACTTGCAGTGTGCTCGGAGGATGGAAAAGTCAGGCTTTTCGATCCACGAACAAGAGTCCTCTTGACGTCCAAGAAGCTGAGGGAGGTCCCAATCCTGGCACTGGACTACTCGCCCAATGGTCAGCAACTTGCTTTGGGCACTTTGCACTCGATTGTCTTGTGGGACCTGCAGTCGGACGAGCCTGGTCTGGAATTGAAGGTGCATGTCAGATCGTTTAAGCCCATTGTCAATTGCGCGTATGTCGCCTACTCGCCATGCGGTCAGTTTCTGGCACACTCAAAGGACTATATTGTGGATCTCTGGTATCGTCAGTTGGTCGGAGACATCGAAACTTGGTCTTGCGCAGCCTCGCTTCGTGTGTTTTCTGCGCGAGTCGTAAGCCTGTCTTGGAATCCAGTTATCCCGACAGAGTTCATCACAGCCAGTGATGATGAGTCTGTCCGAGTATGGCGAGTGTCGGGCGACGATGGAACCGTGGCCGTCAAGATGCTCTGGGGAACCAATCTTAGGATACTTTACAGCGCAGGTGTGGTTCTCGAAGGTGCGACTGGTCTGAGTCCAATCTATGAAACGTTGCTGGCACAGCGCAGTGCCTTTAGCACGGAGTTGTCTTCATATGGATCTGACGATGGGTCTTCAGACCTACCGTAAAATCCATCGCCGTCTGAAGTTGAAAGGTAGCGGATGGATCTCGGGGCACTGGGCAGGGAAAAAGAAGGGCGAATAAGAAAAAACCAAATGCAAGTAATAAATATCCAAATGCAGAAAAGATTCTCTACATCGGCGGCACAGGGCAGACACAAAAAAAAGAGCATGCTCAAATATACACCGAAGAAAAAAAGAAATATACTGGTGGATCCCACAGCAATTCAAATACGAAGTGCAAAGCCTGCTAAGACCAGGTTCTGTGTGGGGAAAATAAGATGTAGGTGATGGTGAGGATGTAAGAGGAGCTTTATCTGTAGGAACGAATGAAGGAGGAGAGTAGGGTAGTAGCAAAGAAGATGGAACAACCACGGAAGTCAAGCCCTATAACATCTCGCAAGACGCTAATGTGTTTCGCCAATCGTCAGGCACAAGCTGGGTATCGTCGTTGTCAGTCGCTTCGCCCCTGGTCAAATCACTATACCCCCCCCCTCTCAAGTAAATATCGGGTTCCCATCAGCAGACTTGCCACTGACTCACGCGTGCATCAACTCCACGATTTCCAAGGCGAAAAAAAAAGGAACGAACAAAAAAATAAAATAAAAAAAAGACACTCGCCTTACTTTACTCGTCTTGCCCCATTCCATCTTTACTTTCCTCCCAGTTTCCTCAATCTCAACACCCATCCAACTCGATCTGCAATCTTTTCAAATCTCACAACATCCTTCCCCAACAACAAACATGAAATGATAGGTGCACTCCTCCTATTCCGACGCTTTTAGTTAAGGAATGGTAAAACCTCGGAGAGGAGGAGGAAGACCCCCCTTTTTTTTGCCTAGAGGAAAAGAGGCACGAAGAAGAACATGCAAAAAAATGGAGCAAACGTTGAGCACTACCTCTGGGCCACCATCACCCTTCCTAGACGATTCCAGGCAAAACAACAAGTAGAAGCCGAGAGAAAAAGAAAAAAAAAACCTCTCATTGACGAGTAGCAGACTTTTTCCAGGAACAAACATGAAATGCCGAGAACCTGTCAACAGGCCCGACAGCACACTGCTTTCATTTCCATGGCACGTCAAGGTACGATCTGAGTGCTCAATCGGATTGTTCACAAACAAGAACTGACCGCATCTTCTCTTCCTCTTTGAACAGAGGAAACATACATACAGCGGAGAAATCATGATGTTCGTCAAGTACTTTGCTGACTTTCGCAGTCGTTTATTTTTCAGTGTCTCAACTAGTGCAACCAAAAAAAAAAGAAAAAAAAGACCGACGCAAAACAGGATAAAAAGCCAGCAACAACCGCGATATATAATTGTGTTCATGTCCTCCTTTCAGTCCCTTCATTCGTGCTCAACCCATTTCTGCCTCAACAACACGCCCTGCCTGCGAAAGAAAACAACAACAGGAACATGGTTGCCACTTACCTCAAACGCGGCCTGAGTAAGATGAAACAGTAGGTTCATCCTTATCGCCTTCCTGACTAAAAGAGCCATGATTGACAATGGGCCGCTTTATCGAAGCCTCCCGAATAATTCGCTTTGCTGCTGTGCTTGTTGTACTTTTGCTGAATTTGCCGAAAGCCCAAAAAGTAGATCTGATGAGTTTTCAGAGGTAGAGGGCCGAATAACGAGAACGTGATACTGGTTCTCCATAGCCGCCATATTGTTTTTCGAATGCCAGTCGCATGCTGCTGATGCCGAGACTTGCCGAACTGCCTTGCTGAGAGCGAGCGAATTGCGAGGTGAGTGAGGTGAGTGAGGTGAGGGTGGGGTTATCGAAATTAAGAACGCGTCGGTTTATTGTTTGTGGGACTGAATTGGAGTTGAAAGGTTGAAAGTTGGACGACTGCGAAAGATACTGAGTGGTTACTGGGCTGGCTGTGTGCGAGAAGAGTAGTAGACTTGGTGAGGCGAAGGGACGACGACGACAATTGTTTTGTGATCCGGTGTTCTGAGTTTTGGTTTCTGAAGGCTGGGAAGGCGTTCCTGTTGTGCTTTTTTTGGTTTCGTGAAATCGTTCGGGGCTTGTCGGTACAGCAGATATGGTAGAGGAGGCGGGACGCAGCAAAGAAAGAGTCGGACTGTAGGAAGTCGTTATCAGAAAGAAATGCAAACGAGCGTCAAGACGAAAAAAGAAAATGGTCATGGTATCCGTGATGGTCACCCCCCATGATCCGTCCTTGATGCGCCATATCCAATGCCAAAAGCGTTGTCGCGTTAGCGAGACCGAGAGAAAGATAAAAAGAAAATAGGAAACGTTACAATAGAAAGAAAAAGATCGAAGGCGAGAAAGAAAAAAAAAAAGTCGAATGTCGGGTCTCCTGTCACAGGTGCACAGCAAGCATCTTAATAGCGGTCGTATCTCTCGTCGTAGCGGGAGGGAGCACGACGGTCGTAGCCACCACGGTCGTACATAGGTCTCTCGTCGTATCCACGTCCCATTTCGAAGGGGGCAGCTCTGTAGTCACGAGGAGGGCGGTCGTCGTATCTGGGTCTGGCGCCTCCCATCCATCTATTGTGGAAAGTAAAATAAAAAATCGGGCGTAAGTGACCTTGCGCGAATGTCCTCCGCATTGACCATTTTTCATGCAAGCACACAGCATTGATCGGGCGTAACAAAGAAAGCAAATCCACACGTAAAAGAGCCCTGGCAAGGTACCAAGGGAAGACTGAGCGAGATGACTGTTGCTTGGCAAGGATGGCAAATCCATTGTCAAGCCACATCCATCTCGCCCCTTCAAGCCAATGACAGATTGTTTCGGATGGCCCTACCTATCATAACGATCATCTCGTGCATACCTATCGTAGGGTCCAGGACGGGCATAGTCGGCAGCGCGCACGGGGCCACCTCTGTATTCTCTGGGGTCGGGTCCACGGGGATCGTAGCGGGGATCAAACCTGTCTGGTCGGCGCTCTATATCAGGTGGCGGAGAAGAGAAGAGGTACGCATTCATGGTTAACCACTGTGAATGTAGGTGGGCGAGAACAAAAGGTTTCGCCAGATTCGAGCAATGCGATACCATAAGGGTTGTAGGGCATACCACCCACGCCCCTCTCGCGCTTGGGAGGTCCACGGTATTGGCCCGGGGTGGGAGTTCTAGCACGGCCACGGCGAGCCTATTAATATCCAAGATATATCATTTCACCATGCTCTCGTTAGTGTTGTAATCCGTTAAGCGTTGTCGAAACAGGCACACAAAATTAAATGTGTATCAACATAAAAGGCTTACCATGTTGACGGACATGGCGCGTCCGTGGAGCTCGAAAGAGTTCAAGACCTGCATGGCAGCGTCGGCATCCTCTGGGCGGACCATGGTCACGAAGGCGAAGCCACGAGACTCGCGAGTGTGAGGATCAAACATGATCTGAACCTTCTCGACCTAGATAGCATATGAAGGACAGGTAGAAGAAATGTTAGCGTCGATTTTAGAATAGCACAGCTGACTGTGAGGGAAGGAGTCCGTCCTTTTCCAACCCTCCTCACACGATCACCAAGGAGAACGAAGAAACGGAAAATTAATCAAAAAGGTGCTGCGTGCCAGGTAAAGCGCAAAAGAAGGGTGTAGCGAAACTATCATGTGTGGCGTTCTGCATCCAAGCAGCATTGGCCATGGTGGTTGCCATATCGATTTATAAAAAAAATAAGGAGTCGTCCAGGTCGAAGGGCTGATAAAAGAAGGCGAGTGACGTTATACTCGATTGAGCCATCCGAGAGGCGAAGGTGCTAATGTGCTGTGTTGCCCTCTGGCTGAGGTCGGCTTGTTGGTTGGGAAGGCTCCTAGGTGTTGTTATTGGCTCTAGCCTGCTGCGTGAAAGCTTTTGTGTGTTGTGCAGAAGGGGATATCTTTTCGGCTTATCTTTTGGTAGCCAACTGGTGTAGTAGTCGTTGTCACTGCTGAGGTTGTATGTGGTTGCGGTCTGGTGAAGGGTGGTGGTATGCAGTGTTACAATTGTTTACCTTGCCATATTTGCCGAACAAGTCCTCCAAGTCGGCCTGCTCAGTCTTGTTGGAAAGGCCGTTGACGAAGAGGTTGTTTCCGGGGTTGACGGATTCATCGATTTCGGTGGGGTTTCTGGATATTAGTGAGAGGCGTCGTTGTTGGAAAAAAGGAAAAAAGACAAAGAATGTAAGAATGTTGGCAGATATTAACACAACAGGCTCGTAGTGTGGCTATGGTCCCGACAAAGAAAAAAAATGTCGACGATCGCCACAATCCGATCGATGCATCGGTATTGTCCACAGTCAAAACCACTAATCGCAAAAAAAGGGTGCAACAATACACACACATACGCACGCACGCAATCAGAACAAAGAGAGCGAAGCGTGCGTGGTACTCCAATGGTCGAAACAGACACGCCAAGGAACACAATCGCAATATTAAGGATGGTGTTGCGTGGTAGCAGGTGGGCATGGTTGGTTGTTGTTTGGCCATATGTATCCCTGTATGCATGCTGTGTGTGTGGGCGTGTCGAGTTACTGCTATGGGCATCTATAAAGCGAGAAGAAGAGGACGTACGTGGCGCGGGTGGGGGAGCGGCTTCTTGGGCGAGGGGATCTGGATCGGGAGCTGGCGGGGCTCTCTGCGCGAGCGCGGTGCTCAGTGTCGGTGTAGGTCTGTTCGCTCATTGTCTTCTTTGGATGAGTGTGCAAGGAGAAGAAAAAAAAAGGTGGGGAGAGTGGGTGGATTGGGTTGGTGGACAAAGGAGTAAAGAGACAAGAAAGAAAGAAATGCTCGCCTCCGCCTCCCATGGGCATTTGTTCGTATCATAGAAGAAAAAAAAAAATGACACGTCACGTGCGGTCATTTCAAGACACCCTTAATCAGATCCGACTGTAAACAACTCTTACCTCGGACTCTTGCTCTGGAGGACTGCCAATTCCATACCAACAAGCAGCCAACCAAGGCGACCCTCGACCTACCTGTGCCTTGTTTTCTTGAACCCGACTCTCCTTTTCGACATCCTCCCTCCTCTCCCTTCAATCACACAACCAACAATGTCAAGCCCATTCGCCCGCACAGCCCTCACCAAGGCCACCTCTCTCATGCGCGCCGGCCCTCCCTCAATCCCCAAAAAGAGCGGCGGAAACTCCCTCAACGGCGAACCCAGAAACGATCTCATCAAGAAGGTCCTCTTCGACGCCCCTCCTCGCCCCCCAGTCCGTCTCTCGCCCGAGGATATGACCCGTCACGAGACCATTGAGCGTGCCTGGAAGCTTGTCCGTCAACAACAGAAGCAGGCCCAGGAGGAAGGACTCGCCAGGAAGTTTGAGATGATGCGTAAAGCCAACGCTGAGTTGGAGGCTACGAGTGCTCAGTTGTTCAAGCATTCTCAGACAAAGGAGCGTCATGCTGTCTTTCCTAGGCAACTCAGGACTTTGACCGATACTCCTCCCAAGCAAATCTGGAACTACCGCCAACCCGTCGCTGCTCCTTCTCCCAAGGCATAAAGTCGAAGACGCAGAGAGAGAGCATGAGCAACTGAATCAGGACCAGGGTCGGGACAGCAGTCGTTATCTGAGTAATTGAACAGGAAGCCACAATCAACAATCCAACCATTGCCAGGTGGCTCAGGGACCAGAGGCGCGATACGACCACTAGACAAGCGACGTTTTTATTTTATATTTTTCATTACACCATTTCACACAACCCACACACCCTCATTGTACACCATCAAATACACTATTTCCTTTCTTTCACCAACGAAACAGCGGACATGTAGACGGAAAAGGATTCAGTTATTATGAAGGAAGGAAATGCTGGTTTAATAGGCTGTTGTAGTACTCATAGCTACTATTTTGGTTTGGGGGCATCTAATTTCCCTTTCATTAACGTAGATACGGCCGAAGTTACTTGGCTTTTCCGATGCATCTTCTTCTCCAACTTCTCCTTCTCCAACCGCTCCTGCCTCTTCCTCAACCAAGTTTCCTTCAACACCTTCCTCACATCCTCCAATCCCTTGTTAAAATTATTCTCGCCTAACCCCGCCAACAACTGGACCTGATCCTCCTTCAGCTCAAAGTTAAAGGTCGAGCAGAACGCCTCTGTGCCTGGGTTGAACTCGTGGTACTCCTGGTTAGGGATCAAAGGGAAGTAGATCAATGTGATAGGATGGGTATCCGACTTTTCCAAAGGTGTGACAGCCTTGGGTGATGGTGGTGAGGGATCGTCAGTCGACTTCTCGACGGGGACAGCGTGATCGGCATCACGATCGTCGGCAACGATACCGTGGAAGATCTCGACGTGGGCCATCTTCCTGGGAGGTCCTCCTTCTTGCTTGGCCAATTGCTCCGCTCGCTTTTTGGAAATAGGTGGCCAGCGCTCGATACCTCGTCTCTTAACATATTCATCTACATATTAAGTAAAAAGTATCATCTTATTAGTTGTGGGTTATTTAGAAAAAACATAGCTAAAGAATTGAAGTCAACTTACCGGCTTTCTCAAACCAAGGGACACTCTCGATATCGGCACTGCTGTCGAATGCGAGGATGACATCGATCTTGCGACCAGGCCGAAGCAAGGGATACAAAGGCAAGTTGTTGTCCATTCCAGCATCGTTCAAATAAAGGTTCTTGCGCTGAGAGAAGGCCTCGGCCTCGGGTTCGGGGTTGGGTAGCTTGTAGATCGGGTTAGGGAAGCAAGAAGGCGACAGCGGGTGGATCAACGACATGCCATCCAAGTACTATATTGTCATGATTGAAAACGAAGACAGTGACGTTGGTGATATACTCATTAGCACATTCTGGCATGGTTGACGTTCATTGGAGCGAAAATAGTACCTCTTTGATGTAGGTGTCCATAGAGTCGGACATGGCTTTGTTGAGGAGAGGGCGGACTTCGTTGTAATAATCGGCAAGGGTGGCTGTGAAGGCTGACCCAAATGTACCCAAGAGGATGGCCAGGTTGGTCTCTGGCACCTTTTCCACGCTCTTGCCCTCAACGAACCGGCGACCAAACGACCAAGTTGGGATCCACGCTATTTACACCATTCGATAAAATAATATGAAATGCGGGTTAGATGCGGAGCAAATTCCTGGACTGTGCCTGGCAATGACACAAACAACGAGTCGTACCTGAGGTCTCTTCACTACCAAACTCGTAGGGTGTCATCTCAAACCACTGGTAGTAGTGCTCATCGCTGTCATCCTTGGCGACTCCGTCATCGACAATGATCTCTTCGATAGGGTCAGGCTGGGAGGTTGCTCCAGGGAGAACATGAGAGACTGCGGTGTAGATCGGAAGAGGTTGATCACCATAGTTGACCCACCGACTCTGCTGCGACATCTTGAAGTCCAAAGGGTCAACCCACTCGCCATTGTCGCCATCCCGTTCGCGATGAATAAGCAGCCGCGAGCCCAGCACAGTTCCAAAGGCATCCACCAGTGTCAGAACACGGCTCTTGCTGTACTTTTGAACAACGCCTTCCAGAATGAGTTGTGCTGCTCCAGGGTTGGTGAGCATGGTGTCGATGAAGGAGGGGTAATGTGCGATAGGTGTGTTTAACGACTGCTTAAAATGCTCCATGGTCTTTGTGAACGATCTCTGGCCCAGGGTGAGATACTGAGCAATCATCCAGCAACTTCCTGACACTCCTGCCATGTACATGGTGCAGTCGAACAGTCCCGCCTTTTTGGCCGCTGTCATATATCCCAGAGACGAGATCATCGCACGGTATCCGCCGCCACTAGTATCATCACAAATGAAATAAGTAAAATGGCAGGGATGCATGTCAAACATGAATCTCATGCGCCAAAGGAACTTCAGATCACAGAAACACACCTTCCGGCAAGGGCGACGACGGGGATGTCGTTTTCATGAATATCCGACTCCTTTACTCCGATGAACTTTGCAAAAGCCTTTTTCATCTTTTTCCTGCGAGCCACCTGGAAAGCCAACTCCTGTGGACAGAGATCGTTTCCTTGCCTATTGAAATGAGAGCCGAATTAATAACTGTTTGGTAAATTGGTGTCATCAAGTCGACATATTCCTTTTGTACGACATGCCATTGCCTGAAATCATATGAAGAACAAAAACCCACCTCACAGATGCGTCGAGTTGGATTTCGGGGTTCTTGTTGGCATCAGACATATTGTTGACGATGGACTGGTAAAGCGATCCGTCACCGAGCTGTAACTCCTTCCTGATAGTATCGACAGCATTGAAGTAATCACCGAGGGTAGGGACACGTCCCTTGATCTCTTCGCCAATCTTTTGACCCAGATCGTGAACCTTTTCCATGAGGTCATCGAGTGATACTTTGGGGATTGGGATGTCGGGGAGGGGGCTAGGTAGTTTGATCTTGTCCTTGTCCTTTTCAATTTCTTTTTCCTTTTCCTGCTCCTTGGGGTCCCTTGGATCGACCTTGAGTTCTAGGACGGGTCTTTGTGTGGGGGGTGTCTTGGATTCATTGGAGACAGCCTTTGTGGGGAGGAGGATTGCTGAACAGACGCTGAGTAGGACCAGCACCGACGACTTCACATCCGCCCACCGCGACTCTGTTTTGATATGTGAAGAGTGTGTTAGTTAATTTTCCCATTGTATCGAGATATTGTTTTCAGCCGGATCGGACGGACAATAAAGACAAGTGCTAATAAGCCCGGAAGTGGTTCTTACCGTCGTGTGGTAGTTTAGGGTCCGAGTTGGAGTTGTGTGAGTGAGAGGTATTGTAAGTAGGAGGTGGAGAAGAAAAGGAGCGGTAGTGCAGTGGGTGTATCACGGTGGGTACGAGTAAGGGCCTCCAATAGGCCGATCGGACATTCCATGGAGCCTTCCGAGCCGTCCTTGCGGGGAGGAGTAGGATGGACATTAGGGTGTATGTTGTTGAAGAGGAGCGGCGATGCTAATGAGGAGGGTATGAAAGAGAAAAGAGAAGAGGGTGATCAGTTAATGTGACAACAACCTGCAAGAAAAAGAAGGAAAGAAGGGTCTCCTCAGCAGAAATGATATCATTGACGGGATTTCGTAACGCGCTGTCGGGTTCAACCCGCGCTTGTGCTTGCTTGTGCTTGTGCTTGTGCTTGACATATGTCCGTGCTGCTCAATGCTAATTACATTTTTGGTCATGTGATGCAGACCGTCAAGGAATTTGACAGTCGATAAATAGACCGTTGACGGTGTCATCTCTTCTTTCTTTCTCTCCTTTCTCTCTTTTCTCTTCTTTCTCCTTGTCTTTCTCTTTCTCTTTCTCCTCCTTCATTCCTGATTGATTGATTGATTGTTGCAAATGCTTTGAAGTTCACATTCTATCCAACATATTCGCTCTTATTCCGCTTTGCCCCCACGTCTTTTTCTTTTTCACTTTCACTTTCACGCACACGACAACAAACGAGACGATCAACACTCCTTTCGTCAATCCGCATATCATACTTTCCTTGGACTACTCGTCTCTTCCTCCTCTTCGTCGTCGTCTTCTTCTCCTTCCCCTTCTTTCCCTTCTACTACTCGCCACACACGCACTGAAATCCATATCTGTTTCATCTCCACTCTCCTCCCCCCAAGAACCATTGTAACCAACGCATGAACAACACCAACCCGCCCCAACACCCTCTCTCCTCCACCTCGCTCACTGCAAGCAATGATCGCACGCCGCATACAAAACAATCAACTTCTCTCTCTACAAACCACCGCCGCAGCAGCTCAAACCCAAACAACCTCGACACCATCGAATATGTCGTAGGGAACAACAACTCCTCGACTTCCCTCTCCAACAACTTAAACAACAACAGCAACAGCAAGCGACGCTCGTCGCTGTTGCCTCCTCTTCACCAGTCCTCTTTGTCCTCTGCTTCCTCTTCCTCAGGGAACATCAATAACACAAACGGGGACAGGAACGACCCCGAATACTCCTCGCCGTCGTTGCCCTTCTCGCCTTACACCCCTCCAACCTTACTCTCGCAGCGATTCAACCATGAGTCCGACAATGAGGACGGGAACAATGACTCGTACGACGATGATCCCGACGACAGTGACCGCACCGAAGGCTCTGAAATCACGCCTTCCATGGCAAAGGCCAACGCAGTCTCCTCCTCTGCTCGACTCAGGGCACCCAAGCGACCTACTTATGGTAATGTTCTCTTCTTGCTCAGCACAATGGACCCATGGACCTTTTTTTTTTTTTCTTCGTTTGACTCCGTCAACCTTCACGACAATTATTTTCACAGGAGCAGGAGCAGGAGCAGGAGCAGGAGCAGGAGCAGGAGCAGGGAGAGAGGAGCAGGGCCCCATTGAGCACACGACCAAAGTTACAGGGAGAGTTGTTTGTTTTTGTTGTTGAGAGCGGAATACTTGTTTTTCTTTTCCCACAGACACACAGAAGCTTCGTTGGTTACCCCGAACGAATATTTTTTTTCCTATGTTTTTTTTTTCTTCCTTCTGTTACGTTTTCTTTGTCCGCTCCCTTGTATATTTTTGTTGTTTCTTCTGGGTTTGCAATGAAGGGGTTCATGACGCACGAGTCAGACTTGCCCTTGATGGCCTGGGAACCCGCCCGTTCTTCATAACCAAGGAGCAAGAAGGAGCAATCCACAATGCTAGTTTACCACCTGATCGGAAAGAGATCTAACCATTTATTGTTGCGTCTCTTTCATTTTTTTCAATTGGTTATAATTATAATTATGAATCCCACACAGATCACAGGCATGATCGGTGCCAGCAGAGGGTATATCTCGAGGAGGAAGATGTGGAGTTGATCTTCACCGGACACAGATTCCGCAAGCATCGCCTCTACCTCTACTACATCTTCTGTGTCCTCTCCTTCGGCATCATCTTCCTCCTCGGTCGCTGGATGCCCCGTCACTACATCGCCTTTGTCGCCCAAAAGTGCGAAATGAACCATGCCGAATTCATTGTTGTCCAGGTATGTTTTATGTCTTATATCTTTTGTTAGTTTACGTTAGGATGGGATTCCACACAGCCTAAGTAATGCCATGCCTATGATCGTAATCGATACAATTGCTAATTGGCATCATCTTCTTTTTTCCCTTCAATACAATCAAACCAAATAGAACGAGTGGGGCCAGCTAGCAATGGAGTCGGTGTTCACAAAGTACTATGGAGGTCCGATCGACTCGGTCTTCAGTCCCGAGCAGATGGAGAAGTCAGAGGACGACGAACGCTATGATGACACCGTGGTATGATGTCTGCTCGAAACTGAAATGCCTCCTTGTCTGATCCTTCTTCACCCAACGACACTATTTTTTATCTGTCCCAGAGCACCCCTGGAACATGATTACAAGGTGCTAACCTTATGCAAATGCACTTCATTATCTCTTCTTTTTTACTCTTTGCCCACGCATAGACGACAGGAACTCTGCATGATATGCGCTACTTTGACTACCAGTACATCCGCTTCATCTACAACCCCTCGGCCCAGGCGTTCATGCAGAACTCGCAATGGAAGGACTCGGACTGGAACATGGCCGCCAACTGCGAGCGGGGCATTGGACGGGAGACTCATCAGGAACGCACCATGGTCTTTGGATACAACCTCATTGATGTTCAGGAAAAGACTATCGCACAGCTGCTCGTTCAGGAAGTTCTCCATCCATTCTACGTCTTTCAAGTGTTTTCGATGGCTCTCTGGTTCGCCGACGATTACTACTACTATGCCGCATGTATTCTTGTCATCTCCACGGTCTCTGTCGTCACCGAGTTGGTTGAGACCAAAAAGACCATGAAGAGGATGCGCAGCATGTCCCGCTTTACCTGCAACACCAAAGTGTTCCGCTCTGGACGCTGTAAGTCTCTCTTGGTCAATAAGGGTTGGCGGTGTACCAAAAGTGACTATTTAAACGGCTGATATTAACCATAGCCTACTATTACCATTTCTTCACAAAGGGCGCTACATTGGATCAGAGGAGCTGGTACCGGGAGATGTGTTTGAGGTGACGGACTCGGACTTGACAGTGTTCCCCTGCGACGCCGTTTTGCTGACAGGAGACTGTATCGTCAACGAGAGTATGCTCACAGGAGAATCCGTCCCCGTCTCCAAGATCCCTATCACGGACGCCGCCTTGCAACACATGGATCTGTCTCTCGCCAATATACCCTCAGAAATTGCCCGCCACTTTTTGTTTTCGGGAACCAAGATTGTTCGTGCTCGACCTGGTGTCGCCAAACAGCCCGCAGTAACTGACGCCGCCGACGAAGAATACGGGACTACTCCGCCCATGCGTGGATTGGCTATGGTGGTTCGGATTGGATTCAACACCACCAAGGGAACCTTGATCCGATCGATGCTGTTCCCCAAGCCCAACGATTTCCAGTTTTATCGCGACTCTTTCCGGTTCATTGGAATCCTCGCCATGATTGCCTGCTTCGGATTCTTGGTCTCGACTGTCAACTTTGTCCGCATGGGTGTCCCCTTCAAGGCCATGATTGTCAAGGCGCTGGACCTCATTACTATTGTCGTCCCACCTGCCCTCCCAGCCACCATGTCGATCGGTACCAGTTTTGCAATTGCTCGACTCAAGCGGTCCAACATCTTTTGTATCTCCCCCACGCGTGTCAATATTGGAGGCAAGATCAACTGTATGTGCTTTGACAAGACTGGAACCCTGACCGAGGATGGGCTCGATGTGTTGGGTGTACAATGCCCTGATAGTGAGACGGGCAAGTTTGGCGAGATGTTGAGTAACGTCGACGAGATGCATCAAGCACCGACTTCTGTTTTGGAGAAGAGTATGGCGCTCTTGTTTGCAATGACGACTTGTCACTCTGTCAAGTCTCTCAATGGCGAGTTGATTGGTGACCCATTGGATCTCAAGATGTTTGAGTTTACGCAGTGGACTTTGGAGGAGGGTGGACTCGGCGCACGGACAGCCAGTGTCTCGGAATCGGCTCAGGGTGTCTCAGGTGGAAACGGAATTGTTTCGACTGTAGTTCGACCTCCAGGTGGCAAGCAGTTCAACCTCGACGACATGATTGCCAAGCACAACAACACCTCCCAGTTCTCTGATTCCAACGAAAGCGTAAGGTCTTCGGATCGTTTTGCAAAATGTTATGAATGATGACTTGTAGCGCAACTATTTAACAATATTTTTTGTTCTCATATGCAAATAGGGCGCGTTTTTGGAGTTGGGAATTATTCGGTGCTTCGAGTTTGTCTCTCAGTTGCGCAGGATGAGTGTCATCGTCAAGCGACTCCACAGCCCCGGCATGGACATCTTCGTTAAGGGAGCGCCTGAAGTCATGACCGACATCTGCATCAAGGGCTCCCTTCCACTTGACTACCAGGAACGCCTCGCCTTCTATACTCACCACGGATACCGTGTCATTGCCTGTGCCTACAAGGCCATGCCGACCCTCAACTTTATCCGCGCCCAGCGACTCAAGCGTGAACAGGCCGAGGCGGATTTGACGTTTTTGGGGTTCATTGTTTTTGAGAACAAGTTGAAACCGACGACGGCGCCTGTTATTGCGACGCTGGGGAATGCACGGATCCGGCAGGTTATGTGTACGGGAGACAATGTCTTGACGGCCATCAGTGTTTCGAGAGAGTGTGGGCTTATTAATAAGGCGAGAGAGGTGTATGCCCCTCGTTTTGTTTCTGGAGATTCTGTTACGGAGACGTCTGAGATTGTCTGGGAGAACATTGATAACGAGCGCATGACCCTCGACCCCTTCACCCTCAAGGTAACCCTTTGTCACTTCGTTTCGCGCATTAAGATTTATTCTCGCTTGGAAAATGTGATCCTTGTTTACTAACATACTGTTACCGTTGACGATATGAACATGAAATAGCCGGCGACGACGTGGTCGGATGGATCGAGCCTTGGACCAGAGTTCCCGCGGTACAGCCACATGATGAACGACTATGTCCTCGCAGTGACAGGAGACTGCTTCCGCTGGATGGTCGATTATGCTTCCACCTCGACTCTGAACAGAATGTTGGTCAAAGGGCAGATCTTTGCACGCATGTCGCCAGACGAGAAGCATGAGTTGGTTGAACATCTGCAGGCGATTGGATACTGTGTCGGATTCTGTGGAGATGGCGCTAATGACTGTGGAGCTTTGAAGGCTGCGGATGTGGGAATCAGTTTGAGTGAAGCTGAGGCCTCTGTTGCCGCACCTTTTACGAGCCGATCGAACGATATCGCCTGCGTTGTCAAAGTCATCCAGTACGTTTCCTATTTTCGCTCTCTTGTGGCTGTTTATTTATATGTCTCTTCTCTCAGCATGAACTAACACAATCTTTGTGCAATTGTTCAATAACTGCCAATAGGGAGGGAAGGGCGGCGTTGGTGACGAGTTTCAGTTGCTTCAAGTACATGGCCCTGTACAGCATCATCCAATTCACAACCGTTTCCTTCCTCTACGCCTTTGCCTCCAACCTGGGTGACTTCCAATTCCTCTACATCGACCTCGTCCTCATCCTCCCCATCGCAGTCTTTATGGGCCGCACCGAAGCTTTCCCCGTCCTCCACCCCAAACGCCCTACCGCCAACCTTGTCTCCAAAAAGGTTCTGACATCGCTCATCGGACAGATCTTAATCCAGTCCTTGTTCCAAGGGTGTCTGTTTGTGGTTGTCAGGCATCAGCCTTGGTATACCCCACCGGATTATGACCCTGCGGAGAAGAATATTGATTGTATTGAGAATACGGTGTTGTTCTTGTTGAGTTGTTTCCAGTATTTGCTGGTCGCTATTGTGTTCAGTGTTGGGCCGCCTTACCGCAAGCCCATGGCCTCCAACCGTAAGTCCTCTTCTTTTTTTCTTTTTCTTCTTGGTTCGATGCATCTTCCTTTTCATTCTTACACCCCCTTTTTGCTAACATAACTCTTACTCTAATACTTGTATGTGTACATGACAAAATAGGCCCGTTCGTGTTGATCACAGTAACACTTGTACTCACCTCGGCAATCATGGTCCTCTTCTCAACTGCATGGATCACCGAACTCATGCAACTCATCCATATCCCTTTCTCATTCCGGGTCCTCATCGTCGTCATGGCAGGACTCAACCTTGCCCTTTCCCTCGTCTGTGAAGCGTGGGTCTTCCCCCGGTTTTCCAAACTTGTGGGTGAATGGTGGGGAGGTAGGAAGGCGAAGAAGGAGGCGAGGTACCAGCAGGAGCAGGACGTCTTTGCGTCTCCTCCTTTGCAGAATGTTGGTGGTCGCGGTGGTGGGGGTTATGGAACCCAGGATCTGACGCAGCGGACAGGGCATCAGGGGCATCAGAGTGTGGGCATTGATGTTGATGGTGGTGGTGGTGGTGGTGCTGGTAGTGCGGGTGCGGCGGCGGTTGCTGGACATCCGGTACCCAAGAAAACGTTGAAGAAGAAGTCTTCTGTCAAGATTTACAAGATGGTTGAGGACGAGATGATGGGCGCATAGGGTGGCGTGTGTTCTCTGTTTTATTTTCTCGCGCTTTTTTTTTTTTTTTTTACGTTCATTTGTTCATTTTCTCTGTCTCACTAATGTATATTTGTATATTAAAAATGAAGCAATGGGCACAATCAGCGTCCCACAACAAAGAGATGATGGCACATGTCGGCTGAAAGAATGAAGCGTCCATGTACAATAGTGCCTAGTTTAGGGTTTTAAAGTTTGGGTTGGTTTATAACTGTACTTATCGGCTTTAAGTGTCGAGCTTTGTTGCCATGCTGTAATGGTAATGCCATACTTGTTTGTTTTTCTAAGCCATAGTACCAATGACAAGGTATCAACGTCGTGCTACTATAGACCCATTGTGTTTTTTTTGTTCATTCAATGGCTGGGACCCCCAAGTCGTCAATGTTATCATAGCACAACACAACGACAATAACAATAATGCTCTGATATATTTTTTTATTACTTTCAAACATGAGGCAAGAAGGGCGAATGGAAGATGGGAAAAAAGAGGGAAATAAAGTGAGTAGAGGAGAATGAATTAAAGAAGTAGAGACAATTGGGGAAAAAAGAGAGAAAGAGAGAGAGAAGAGGGATGACAGGTTTAAAACAAAGCTCCAATGATCGCAACAGCCAATGCTGCCATCGACCCACCACCAATCTTCATTCCTTCCGCACCACTGCCGCTAGCACCCCCCGTTGGCGAAGCAGACCCAGCGGTCGCAGTAGGCTTCTGTCCATTCGTGAAATCCGCGCCACACTTGCTCGCCGCCCCCGTGTTGAGAATATTCGCCCACTCCAAGATCGTGGGCTTCATGGTGGCCTTGTTGGCCGTGATGTAGTTCTGGATAGGGTTGATGATGGCCTTGTTGCAAGGAGTGCACAGGAGCGCCGTTGGCATATCGGCGACGTATTGTTGGAGGACTGTCGAGTTTGCAAAGATCTTGATGCCGAGTGGTGAGGGGTGCTTGGTAAGGTAGTCCGACATGGTCTGGGCCAGCTCCGTGATACAGAAGGTTCCATTCCCGCCGGGGATACGTTGACACATACCATCCCTGAACGGAGGGTACAAGCTTGCGGCGCCCAGAACGAGTTCTGCGGTGGCCGGGTCGGTCGCATTAACACAGTTCTGAGTGACAGTACTCTGGACAAGGGCGACAGAGGCGGTAGGGCAGATGGGGAGGGAGCAGAGAGCGGTTGCGGTGTTGTTGACAATAAGTGGGGTGATGAGGGGTGCGCTCACGAGTGAGGAGAGCTGTTGCATGGGCAGGCAGGTGTTGAGACCTGGGTCTGAGACTAGGCCGAGGAGAGAGATTGAGCATTGGTCGAGGGTTGCTGCGTTGGCTAGGGTGATGGAGGCGGCGAGGAGAGTCAAAGAGGATGTGGAGAACTTCATGGTGGAAGGAATGAGAGGAATGAGAATACTGAGGAGAGGGGGGAAGGGTATGTATGGGAAGGGGACGTTAGTGTGGAGAAGAGAAGAGGAGTGAGAGTCGAAAAATGGGGAGGGCGGAGAATCGTTGAGGAAGGAAGGTGAGGAAAGGGGAAGAAGAGTGAGAAAGGAAGAGTATTTATACTGTCTGCATGGCCTCGTGTCGACAGCCCAGTTTCTGTTCATCCATCATGAGCAAGAGCGGGAGGGTCGGAATAAACGCTCAGAATACAACACCGATGAATCTTGAATGGAAACAGGCCTGGAGAACAGAGACAAACAAAGGTTGAGAGCACTCTTCCTCTTGACACCCATTCAACGGCCATCAGGCGACCCCGATGTGCTCTTTTTCCTGCCAGAGGAGACAGGGGACGCTTGCCTCTTGTTCTTATGTTCTTCTTGGCTCTGGCGCATATTAAGCTACGCAGTGGGTACTTAATTGGCCGGCCGTCTCTGGTACCAACAATAATCGTTTTACTTCCCCAGTCGTATTGTAGGGACGCACATGGCTTCCAGGTCAGCGACACCATTTCACTCCATTGCTCAATTAGATCCTGCTCCACATCTCATTCAGGCACTCGAAACTCAGAATCATACCAAGTCGTGGTTTCTCCACAGACACGCCCTTTTTGCCCGACGTCCGTGTGGAACTCCCAGCACGGCAAAAAAAAAAAAAAAAAAAATGTGTCCGTCATTCCTCCAAGCAAAAGGGGGAGTGAGAGGGAGAGGGGGGCAAAGCATGGTTACCTCACACAATGGAGAAGGTACCATGTCCAACATACACAAACTAATAATTAGTAGTTTCGCGCGCTGACAAAGTGCTTTTCTGTAAATATTGAATTCAATCTTGCCCCCCTTTCTCTTCTCCTCACTCGTTCAGGCAGCCATCTGTCCATTTGTTCTGTTTGTTTTCTCGTTTTCTCCACAAAAAAACAATGACAACACGCCATCTTGTTTGTTTTGTTATTATTCTTCTATTAGAACCCTCATGTCAATCTTTACCACACGACAAACGATATCCTGTTGTTTTTTTCCTACGCTTTAATAATATTGGATAGCTTCTCTTCTGTGCCCATGTGTATCTGCAATTTAACAGATGATGCTCATACAAGGGCGGTGCACTTGGTGACCCACGGTTATTTGTTTTGTTCTTGTAGAGTGACAAATGCCTCTCAGTCTCAATTGATAGAATGAGAACATGGGAGTGGGTTGATAACTGGTGGAAGGAAAGGACCGCGTTCTTGATGAGCAAAGGCCGAATGATTTACTTTCTCGTTTAAAGCGAAGAATAATGAGGGGGAAGGAGAAGTCAAGACGAGCAAAGTAAAAACAGTGAGAACGAGATTATGAGCGGGGGACCCGGATTATGTCCATTCGCGATACACGATACAGCAGCCCTTCTCTGTTTACTTGGTCCTTGCTTGCAAAGATCTCTGAACTATCCAAACGACCATTAGTCATTCTTATTATCGGGGACATTTTCAATATGCTCATTTTGAAGCTCTATTTGTTTGTCGTTGCGCACACGCATGCATGTATATCATGCAGATAAAATAAACATAAGCATTTTTTTTATGAACATCAAACAAGGTAAACAAAGGGAGATCCATCTCGCCTCATCTATTCTAGCGGTAAGTGGACACCATGACCACCTTAACCTTGTATTGCGTATGATGTTTAGTGTACAACTAGTCCTCTGGTACCCCGTAAACAGGCTAGTATTTCGTGTAGCTATCCGAACATGTGGAGGGTAATAAAAGCGAAGGCCGTTTGTTTGATTGAGCGTTGTCATCTTAAACGAAATTCTACATCAGGCCATTTTACTTTATTGCGTTCTTGTGCGACGTTAGGAAAATAAAAAATAATGAAAGGGTTTGCATGAGTGGGGAACATCAGTCGGGTACGAGCAGAAACCAGCAACCACTCCTTGCAGCAGATGCTTCAATATACTGTACTCTTACACCCCGCAGCAAATGCCACGAAAATGTCTTGCGAGGGCGGAGGACGGAAGGAGGGAGGAAGGGTGTGTGTAGTTGGTAATTATGGTAATGAGAGTAAGAAAGCCTTAAGACGTTTGTTGCGTCTATTTACTTTTATGTAGAGCAGGGATGAGCAGTAATAGAAAAAGAAAAAAAGAAAAAGAGAAAAGAAAGCGGACGAGTAAAAGAGAGATCGTCAACACGAACCAACACCAAAGGAAACGAACAAAAAGAAAAACAGACGAAACGAAAAGTGTAAATCACGCGTGAAGCAAAAAAGTACAACTCGCTTGGAGTAGTTTTGTTGTTCTTCTTCCTTTCTTCAAATGCATTAGTACGCACTTCTTTCTTTTTAACAACTGTGTCCTTTGATGACACACGCAAGCACATGCATCCAGTACCAACTGTGCATATCCCCTTCTTCTCTTCTTCTCCCATACTTATCTCTTTGTTATCCCTTACATTGTCTTTGTCTCTAGCTTCTTTCAAGGAAACATCCTCCTCTAAAAAAAATCACGGGATCGAGATGGAGGATCGACGCGACCGTAAAACAAGATGCGTTGGATTGAGAAAGAAGGAATGTATTTGATCCCTTTCACTTTGACATAAGACAAACGCGTCTTTTATCAACGATCAATAATCAATGATATGATGGCGAAGCACTGTCATCCATCAGGACGGACAGATATGAATACCCCCTCTCTAATCCCATTTCTTTTTCTTTCTTTCTATCTATCTCTGTGCTTTACTCCTTACTTTGCCACGCACATACCTTTCTTTATATCTTACAATCCAGGTTCTCCTACCCTCTCAAGCCTCGATCTCCGTGTGGCTCAAGGAGGCCCTCCACTCCCACCTACACATCCAACACTCTAGTCGTAATGGAAGAAGGCATCTCCACTCACCAAGCAACGCCCACAAACATGAAACATGACCAACCCACCCCACCGCCTGCAATGAGTTCTGAACAAGGAACATGGAGAGAAGGAGCGAGCCGAATAGACGAGTAGAATACCAATGAGGGCATAAGGAACGAAATACTAGAGTATAATCACCTTGACACGCACCCATTTCATGTTCGCGTTTACGACTTTTTGTCCAATGTGAAAGATTTTATGGCTATTGGATTGTCATGGTGTTTGTAGGCGCCTTGCCAATTAACGCCTCTTCCATCCTCATTTGCAGTTCGCGTTCAACATTGTTTATGCGGCCTCTCCAAGTGCAAAAGATATAAAAAAAGCATATAAAAAATATCCAAAGCCCAAGGAATGTAGTGTAGACTTCCATAACTGATAGATCTCTTCACAGTTGGCAACAGAACATAGGATAAAATAGCAACCGACAGCACAATTTTTTTTATAATGTAAAAATCTCTCTCCTGTATTTCATGACAAAGATACAGTTGAGAGTACAAGTGCTTTAGATGATCACATACAAGAACTACTCCGGCGAATCTTGCAGTGAGGGGTACAGTTTAATAGTAGATGGACACATTCAAGAGATGTGCGAAAAATAAGAAGACTTTGTTTGGAGAATAGGTTGGTGTTTACTGTAGTAGGATATTTACATAAAGAATGTTACAGTGGTTATTTTGCATGTTTAATATTATACATACGCTCTCCCCTAATGGTCGCGGTGGATATTATCAAGATCTGCAGAGATGTAGCAAACACCATACGATAATTTGGACGTGAAAGGCCTCCTAAGAGGGTTATGAGCGTCAAGTTTTCCCTGGATGGTCGTCAGCTTTTATCAGGCGGCAGGGATGGGACGATTCGGTTTTGGAACTCAGAGACAGGAGAGTCAGGGGTCGTCTTGAGTCCTTCGTTGGGAGGAATTTACAGTCTTGCCTGTTCTCCAGATGGCCGATGGATCGCTTCCGGTCACGATGTCGGCAAAGCGCGGCTATGGGATATGGTCTCCAATAGCCCAGGTCCTGTCCTACAAGGTCACACCGGCGTCGTTACGGGAATCGCTCTCTCCCCGAACGGCCAATCGATCGCTACAACCAGCGAGGACAGCAGGGTGATGTTATGGGACGCATCCACAGACGACTTCATTTCCACGTTTTACCATCACTCGCACTCTGTGCGGGACGTTACCTTCTCTCCAGATGGGTTTACCATAGCATCGGTAACTGAGGACGCAACAGTGCGTCTATGGAAGGCGAACTCTAGTCCCTCCAGAACTGTGTTACAAGATCAGATCGGTGACGCTCTTCAGGTGGCCTACTCTCCCGATGGCTTATCTATTTTCTCTTCCAGTAGCCAATATGTTATCCAACAAGGGAATGCTACAACTGGATTATACGAATCAGTGTCGTTTGAGCTGCCGGACTCAGGGTCGATCAACACCCTGGCATTTTCTTCGGACGGCAACCGGGTGTGAGGATGGTTCAGTGAGATTGTGGGATCGTAGCACTGGTGCAGCAGGACAGATCTTGAAGGGACATTCGAGTGTAGTGGATATTCTTGCTTATTCAACTTGTGGTCGCTGGATCGCCTCTTCTGACGACAATGGGGTTGTATGATTGTGGGACCTCCATGACACGGAGCAGCAATGCGTTCTTGTTGGAGATGGAGACAATAATGATTGATCTTTGACTTGAAGGTCTCACTAACAGGACATCAACTTGCGATCTGCTCGCAGGCCGGAAAAGCCAGTATTTTCGATCTTCGGGCAAGAGTCTTCTTGGCGTCCAAGAAGGTGAAACTGAAGGAGGTGGAGTTTAGGGAGGAGGGAGAAGAGGAGGAAGAGGAGGAGGGAGAGAGGGTGAGGTGGTGGGAGGATATCCTGGCATTGGACTACTCGCCCAATGGTGAGCAGCTTGCTTTACGCACAATGTGCTCGGTTGCCTTGTAGGGCCTGCATTCGGATGAGCCTAGTTTGGAGATGAAGGTGCCGCTTCTCAGATTGACGGACTAAGACAATGACGACGTGACTATTGCCCACTCCCTGTGCGGTCAGTTTCTGGCATCCTCCAGCGGGGTCTACACTGTGCTTCTCTGGCGTCGACATTTGACTGCAGGGAACATCGAGAGCTGGCGTTGCGCAGTTAGGCTTTTTGTGTTTTCTGCGGCAATCGTAACCCTGTCTAGGAATCTAGTTGTCCCGAAGAAGTTCATCATAGCTAGCGTGGATGGGTCTATCCGAGTATGGCGAGTGTCGAGCGATGATAGAGCCGCGGCCGTTAAGGTGCTCTGGGGCACTAATCTTAGGACGCTTTGCAGCTTAGGTGTTGTTCTCGATGATGCGACTAGTCTGAGCCCAATCTACCAAACGTTGTTGGCGCAGTGCATTGCTGATAACAGGGAGCTCTCTTCAGACGACGATGGATCTGTCGATGGGTCTGAAGGCGATTGGACTGATGATGAGGGGTAGCGAATAGATCTCGGTGCGCCGAGCGCAGTAACGAAGGCGACCAATAAACTGATAGTGTACGCAAAAACAGCAATATATATTTTTCGTGATATTCTTGTTAAACATATAAAGTGTTTTCTGTATGTCCTGTTTCTTGAAAAGACCGGTTGTCGTCTGTTACTTTCTGCATTGTCCTCTCTTTTGTTCGCATTGTGATATAAAAGCTGATATGAAAAAAGGTGTGTGGTCGTTGGGTCGTGGAACTCTTGACACGTCCAGATTCTCATGTTGCATTTTCTCCTCGTCCTCTTCGTTCTCCTTCCCCCTGCGATTCAGACTCATGCGTGATGCTCAAAACGGGAAAAAACACTAGAAGCGATAAACTGTTGCCCCTTTGACATACAATCCGGTTTTTCGCCAAACGCCTAAAAAAAATATCCCTCTCAAAAAAAAAAAAAAAAAAAAAAAAAAAAAGACAGACGCCGAGTGTGCGATAGACAGCTTATGGTAAAATACAAACTGCTTACTTTACTAGATCGAAATGGGATACTGTTACGCTAGTAGAGAGCGGGGGAATGCTTTGGTTGAAATTGTTGTAAAGAAGGACGTATAAAATGACAAGGAGGCCCTTGTAACGTGATCTGCATAGCGTGTCGATCGTAACCGAAGACCACACAGGGTTACTATACGCGACTGGTAGACAGGATGAAGACGCGTTTAATTGTTAGGACGTGTTTCAGACAAGGGGGAGACTTCTTTTGATCCCTTCGTCGTTGATGAACGCATCGAGACAAGCACGCCTTTCTTGCTTCTTTCTTTTCTCTCCCTCCTTTTTTCTTCATTTCTTCACCCTCATGATACATGTGCTACTCACTTCCCACGCCACCAACCACCACTGCTGTACATAATGCAGCATAGACCTCTCTCTCACTCTCTCGTGGTCGTCTACTACCCTGTCACCTACCACCACTTCACACCTATGATTCAAAGCACCGCCGGCACGCTTCCCTTGACCCCGCAACACAAACTAGACTTTAGCCTTAGTCAGTCGGACCACAACAGCAACAAAACAGCCTTCGACTAAGTACCAACAATATCAACAACCACACCCTCAAGGTCAGAATCTGGGCCGTCTCTTTCCCCTGGCGATAGCGCCCTCTCAAGAAAATCACATCATCAACAACACATGCGACTCTTTCGAGCAGAGGTAGACAACTATGACAGCCAATCATACTCTCAACCTACTAGTAACACTCACTCACTCCTCGTCGCCTATAATCCCTACACTTGAACCGGACTCTCTCCCGGCTTTGACCGCGCGAGAGCCTTTTGTTGCGAACAGTCTCTCGCCAACCGCTTTGATGGCTTGATGCCCTCGCATATCAATCGATGAAACTTTGCTTGATGTTTGGGCGAGGCGTTCAGCTGACAGGGCGCATCTGTAGAAAGTGTATTGAGCTTGTAGTATTAAAAAAATCTTGTCGTTCCGTGCTAAACCCGTGTAAGATTTTACATATTGATCATCCGCCACCATACTTTGGACATAAATGAACAAACGCGATATCGGGTGCTTCAATTCCGGTGATGATTTAATGTTGATCCATGCAAAATAAGGCAATTGGTGATGAATGAGGTTACGAATCAAGAGAATGAATGACAGGAATATGGGGACCGACCAGAACATTGGTGAATGAGCATTTCAATAAATAGTCGAAATCGCGAATCGACTAAATTTCTTCTCCCACATTAGCCTCCGTCCTTTCTTAAATAATAGATTCAGCTTTTGGTTCAGCTTCTGACTTTGGATTTACGTACTCGATTTTTATTGGTTGTACGTTTTTTGCTGACCGTGAACCTGAATCAAGACGAAAACCAACTTTTTTCTGGTCTTGGAGTTGATTCTGCTTCGAGTTCACGTCACCACCCCCTCCCCTCCTTTTTTTTTTTTTGCTGCTTCCCTTTGCACTTCTCTCACCCCAAAGCCTCACTGCTCCTGCCCCTAATATGGACCATCAACACCCTCTCACTCCAAGTGCTATCCCCACACTCCGACCATTCAACCCTCCTCTGCCTGGCGGTTCTTCAGTCGAAAGTCATCAACACCAGCACCAGCAGCAACACCAGCAACACCAGCAACACCAGCAATACCAATCCCCTCTTCAATTTCACTCTCGCCAGCACCACGCCCAGCAGCAAAACCCTCGCCAGCAACCCTCTCATCAGCACCCCTCTCATGGGCAAAACAATCATTTCGATAATAACTACCACAACTCCAACGCGCCAGCCGACAACCCATCCGAACCATATGCGTTTGATCACAGCCAGTCTGCTATTCCTTTGTTCGATCAGGCAGGATACCAATCGTCGTCCCTGCACTCCTCAGACGCAGAGTACTCTTTTTCCAACCAACAGTTACCACCAACACCTCGATCACCATCACAACAATCCCAAACATTTCTCTCGCCTGTGATGACTCCACACCTCTTGACTTCAACCCTGTCCAACTCTCCTTCGGTTGACCCCTCGTCATCTGCTTTACTCAAGAAAGCCCCAAAGCCTCCACCAAAGGCCCCTCAACAACAGCAAGCTATGGCTACGCCGTCTTATCAGTCCAACGTCAATGCAGCCGCGTCGTCCCAGGGCAACTCCAACACCAGCACAACCACCAACACTTCCTATAAGTCAGCATCAAACAAACGCAAAGAAATGGCCTCCCCTCCCGTTGCTCGTTCGCAGACCCAAGGCAAGAAACGTTCTGTCTCCGTGTCTGCTTCATCGTCAACTCAGGACGTTGTTGAGTTCGCTTTTGAGGATGGATCTGAAAGGGAGAATTGGCTGGTTGCACGACTCAAGGATTCCTCCATATACCTTCCACTTCAGGCCGACAGAAAACAACCAGGAGAGAGTCGGATGCGGTCCAAGGCTGAGGTTTACAGGCAACTGGCTGAGGAGTTCAACAACAAGCAGTTCGCGATGCAACACTCCAAGGGAGTCTTCAGTACCACCTCCAACGGCAGTGGGATCAAGACCAAAATCACTCGCCTTCAAACCGCATTCAAGGCAGCGCACACCCTTCGATACTCTTCTGGATTTGGCAGCACAGAGTTAGAAACCTGGAAGGCTGCCGTCGAGAGCGCCTGCAGTTATTATTTTGAGCTACTTCCGGCTTGGGGTCAGAAGTGGAGTGATGGCGTGGTGTTTTATGCAGACTCGACGACGGATTTGACGGACGATTTCATCACAGACGACCCACCCCGAAAAGACGTCGATAGCGATGTCGAAGCCGATGCGGAGGAGGAGCAGGAAGATGAGGGAGAGAGCGAGCGTCAGGCGAGCCCGGATTGGGAGGATGAGCCGGATTATAGTGGTGTTGATGGAGCTTGGTCACAGGAAGAGGAGGACGAGCCCTTGGTGAGGAACCGTCGATTGGCTGTCCCAGCAGCGGCCAGATCGCGTAGTTCTACTGCCCGCCCACCCACGACTACCCCGCAGAGGACTAGTCGTCAACAAGAGCAACGGAAAGCAGTGGATGGCGACCCATCTTCGAGTACCAAGAAGCAAAAGAAGCCAAAGGCATCCAAGCGAGACGTAACAGACGACATTAGGGACCTGAGCGAGGCGACTCGCGTGACAGCTCAACTGGAGTTGCAGAAAGCAGAGATAATGGAACGAGTTAGGATGAGGGAGATCGAGTCGAGTCTAGCGGAGAAACAGCTGGACTTCAAACTGCGAATGGCTGAAATCGAAACGAGAAGGGCTGAAATCGAAGCGAGAAAGGCTGAGACTATAGCCAAGGTGCAGGCAGAAAAGGAACTATCGTTGGAGCGAGAGCGATGGATATCTAAGAGTGGTCTACGTCTGTCCAAGTCACCTCAACATCTACCCGACTCGCCGCCACGGCGCAGGACAATGACGGCCAACCCCAAAAGTAAAAGTCCTTCGCCAAATGATGACCGGCTTGACTAATAAATACTTTATATCTATTCCATTTGTTGTCTGAGTCGTTCCCTTTTTCTTTGACCAAGGATCCTTTGGTGCCTTTCAAATCTATTCTGCTCAGCTACGCTTTCAAACTCACGCCATGGATAGTCGAGATACACTTGACCGTCTTCCTCGATGTCGTTATCCGGAAGATCCGCACCATGGTCCTCCACCTCCTCATCGTCGTCGTCGCTGTCGCTTTCATCACTGCTGCTGTCGCTATCGTCGCTGCAGCCCTCGTAGTCTGAATGGAGTTCCGGGTGCGATATAATAATATTGTGCATCACGACGCATGCATGAATATGCTGAACAATCCGTCGCATGTCAACTGTAGTGTCGTGGTCCATTCGAAGGTGATTGAGAGACGAAAAGCGACCCTTCAACCAACCAAAGGCATGTTCGATTTTCACTCGGGAGGACCGAAGAGATAAGTTGAACTCATGTCGGTGAGGCGGTTGGCGTTTTCCTTTGTAGGCGGTGATGACGGTTGGTGTCAGAGCATAAGCGGCGTCTCCAAGCAGATGTTCGTCTCCTGGAAAATAGTCCTCCTTTTTTTTGTACAATGGCATGTCTTTGTATGCGGCCGAATCGTGTCTAGTGCCAACGTATCCTGTGTAGAAAAAGGTGAAAAAGCCTCGGTAGTCGCAAACGCCAGTGGCACCCACGGCGAAATTGCTCTTCCTTGTGGCGAAAGTGTCTCTATCGAGGGTAGGCGCTCGGAATAAGGGGATCATCGTGCCATCAACAGCCCCAATCGCATGACGGAAACGACGTTTGCCCAGACGTTGCTTGATCTTGATCTTTTCTTGCTCGCTGGGCCACTTGACATAATCCTTTTTTAGCGAACACAGTGCGCTCGCGCATCGCCTAGTATAGCGGCCGACCGACCCGACAGAGACACCGAGTTGTCGTCCTACGGCAGACCGCGAGGACAGGGACCCATCATGACAGAAACGATGAAGAGCGACCTTCAGCTGGTCCTCCACAGGCATTTGCGGTTTCCTCCCTCGACTTTTAAATACGGCGGCATCCTTGATGAGATCGACGATGAAACGAAACTGGGCCTTGTTCATTCGAAAAGTGTCCTTGAAGTAGTCTTTGTCTTTGCCTGACAGTATGCGTGTGCGGTAGTGGCTGGAGAGGGCACGCTTGCGCTTTGGCTTGACGAGATACCGAGCTGTCTTGACTCTGTCACGGAGCTTCAGAAGTCCCTGGAAGAGTTGTGGGTTTGGAAGCGAGATGGGGCGGCGTTGGTAGGCCATATTCAAGTGGCAACCAATGATATCATCTAGGGCCTTGAGCCATCTCTTGCGAGGAGGGGGTCTGTTTCGTTGCGGATTGCGGTGCTGAGCATTCCTTCTCGCCTTTCCTGGCATAAGTTGAGTACGGAGGGTATTGAGGGTGGAGGTGTGGGGGTAGATGTGGGGATGCGGGTGTGAGGAAAGAAGAGGTAAAAGAGGGAAATTAGCCCATCGCGCAGTCAGGAACGAAGTCAACTCTCATAAAAACCCTCTCCTTTCTTAAAAACCTTGAATCGATTCAGCAAAAACGTACAACCAATAAAAATCGAGTACGTAAATCCAAAGTCAGAAGCTGAACCAAAAGCTGAATCTATTATTTAAGAAAGGACGGAGGCTATTATCACTGCCCCAACCTCATCCCGTTCCTTACTTGTCTGTCGCCTATTGCAGTAATTATGTTGCACATTTGGACCAAGGCAAACAGATAAATTTAATGATGGCAAAGTGTGGAGTCCACAATCTGGTCGCACTTTACTTCAAAGATGAGTGGCAAGAGTAAATTGACATCAGGATGGTCAGTTGCGTAATATCAATCATGGTTGCACAAAGCAAATTTCTAGGGAACTGAGGAAAAATTCGAACCTTTAGTCTTGGAAATAGAGACTGCCTCGAACAAGCATTATTGCTTGCATGTGCAATTCTATGTAGTGACAACTGTCTACTGTTTGCTGTGCGTTTTGCTTTGCCTTTTTGCTTCACCTTTTTGGTTTGGGTCGTTCTTTTCCTTTTGCTTTGCGTTTTACGCTACCTGCTTTGCCTTTGTGTTTCTTTAAAACGTACAGGGTATACACAGCAGTTTACGCCCATATTTCGTTGACAAAGGTACAAAATCATATGCGGATAAGCTTGTGGCAGCCAAGGGTTCATAGCAACGTTGCTTTTTGATCCTTTGATATAGACTCTTTCTCTCCTCGTTCGAGGTTGAGTCGTCGATGCTTTGTTTACCACCACCACCGCCACCATAGATGTGCTTTTTCTCTTCAAGGGGCCTTATGTCTGAAACTTAATAGGATCAGCCAGCACACTCCGTTTTTCTCGCACACATTGCATTGTACAATATGATCAAGTGTGCCTGCAGGCGATCGGTCGACTCTTGACATGATCAGTCGACTCTCCAAAGAACTTAATCTTGCACTGCTACCAAGTATATATGGCCCACAGTTCCCCCAACTTGAAAAATACTTCGTCTGCACTATTCTTTATCCCTGTTCCTCATTCCCTATCCCAACTGTGCCTTGAGAAAGGTCAAGCCTACCCCCCCTCCCCTAGTCTAGATTCTCATCAACACACCTATCACTCTCAATTTTGCCCTGCCCTTTTTAATTCCTCTCTGCCTTCTTTACCCCATCCGCTGGCTGCTCAAGGTACAAATATGATCAGAATTTTGTATCCCTCCAACACGTCATCTTAAACTTTGTTCGTTAGCCTAGTATGCGTTATTTACATATGAGGTTCCACCTGTAGAGCAAAAGATGCCCCGCGTAGGACCCGATGATGGTACACTTGAAGCGCTCTTGGCTCGCTTTCTGTCATTGTTGAAACCTCCAGCCGCTGCTTTCACAAAGCAACTTCCTGTCGATGTGGAGTGGAATCCACTTTTGATATCTACCGCCATGGCTCTATTGACATATGTAGGCTTTCATTACAACGAGAGCATCCCTTACGACCTTAATTTACTTGCCCATCGTGCCCTAGCCATCGACTTCATATCTGAGATGAAGGTCGACAGACCTGACGTTATCGACTTCCTTCTCCAGGAAATACATCCGAAACAGAGCATGACACAGGAACAGACCCCGACACAGGAACATAGCACGACACAAATTCAGTTTCACCATTACATCCCAAGGTTCATTCTCAAGACGTTTGCGGACAACTTCTCGCTTAGCAACAACGAGTTCACTACGGACACCTCAAACCCCAATCTCTCATGGTTCAAGACAAGAAATCCTAGTAAGCCCAGACGCAAAGTGCGGCCCAGACACGACATCAATATCTACCGAGTAGAGGACCACACCACGAATCCGATCGACGTCTCACGAGCGTATGGTGCCGAGGACATGTACCGGGATGTTACCGAGGCCGATTGCATGAAGTTTGAAAAGCTTCTTGCCAAACATGAGTCCACTTCTGCTACGTTTATCCGACAGATTTGGAATGAGGACGGAGACCTTTCGTTGACCCGAACCCAACTCGGGGATATGAAGAAGTTTCTGTGTGTTATGATGTACCGTAGCGAGTACCGCAGAAGTCATTATTTTAACCAGAGATTTGACCTCCTCTTCGAGATGTCAGTCAAAAGACACATGGACCACAATAAGCTCTCCAACGCTCAGACAGTCTGGTTCGAGAACCTCAAGTGGATCATCGAGGCCCCCGTCGAGGATATCGTGGAGGAGTATCGGAAATCTATTGTGGCGAGAGTCGAGTCAGAGACACCTACCGCGCTTTTAAGTCCATACCAGGGACCGATTCATGCTGCTGAACTGGAGGACTTCGGCTATTTGATGACACAAACAATTACCTGCATCTGGCAGGCAGAGACAGGGTCGGAATTCATCCTATCCGAGGCTTGCTTTGGTGCTTGGGAAGGCGACACTGGCATCTGGTTCCACAATTTTTTCGTCGTCTCGCCCCGATTCGCGATCGTCCTGGTCAACCCTCTTTACATGGCCGAGAAGAACAAGCAGAAACCTCGTTGGACCTCGATGTTTGAGGGCAAGCTTCATGTCATTCCAGAGACCATCTACAAGAAGGGACCTTGGTCCAAGGATGTGGACCTCGCGACTCATTCCTCTCCGGACGATTTATTTAAATACAAGAGGATTGTTGTCCCCAAGGAAGACGTTTATAAGGTCAACGCGATCTTGTTGGACGATCGACGCCAGTTTTTGACGTACAAGTCCAATGTTTCTATGTACAAATCCCTGCGCTATTACGACAAGGTCAAGAAGGAGATGTTTCATGATTGTCACGATTACTCCATCCTTCAACATAAACTGTTTTCTGACCTTAACAGGACGCATCCAGTAGACCAGTAGATTAGCTATCATTTTTCTTTGGTCATAAACCCAATTGTACAATTCTCAACTCATTTTGACTCAGTTATTTTTATTTTATACATTTGTTCGAAAGAACAACATCTCCTCTCTCTTCATTTTCTATTTTTTTTTCTTACGCGGGCTTTGTTTTAGGGTAGCATATCAGTGGCGATTGATGGTTCTGCATAGAGCTAAGGAGGCCATCCATGTTCGGCTCCACCAACCATAGACTACAGTATAAAAATATCTGTCAACACCTATTAAAACAGTGTGTTCCTTGAGAGTACAACAAATCTCATCAGCTTTTTCCTTCCACCAGTCTCCATTTTCTACATTCACCACCACTACTTTGTAACATCATCTACTTTAGCTGAGAAAGCCTTGGACATGATCATCTCATATTGGAAAGGAAATTACTATCTGTAATATCCAGGATCCAATATGAGATGATCATGTCCAAGGCTTTCTCAGCTAAAGTAGATGATGTTACAAAGGAGGCCATCCATGTTCGGCTCCACCAACCATAGACTACAGTATAAAAATATCTGTCAACACCTATTAAAACAGTGTGTTCCTTGAGAGTACAACAAATCTCATCAGCTTTTTCCTTCCACCAGTCTCCATTTTCTACATTCACCACCACTACTTTGTAACATCATCTACTTTAGCTGAGAAAGCCTTGGACATGATCATCTCATATTGGAAAGGAAATTACTATCTGTAATATCCAGGATCCAATATGAGATGATCATGTCCAAGGCTTTCTCAGCTAAAGTAGATGATGTTACAAAGTAGTGGTGGTGAATGTAGAAAATGGAGACTGGTGGAAGGAAAAAGCTGATGAGATTTGTTGTACTCTCAAGGAACACACTGTTTTAATAGGTGTTGACAGATATTTTTATACTGTAGTCTATGGTTGGTGGAGCCGAACATGGATGGCCTCCTAAGTAGTTGATCTTTCTGTGCGTGTGCCACCCTGACAGACAAGGAAAAAATAAGGACGAGGGCAAAGAAACGAGAGGGTGATCAATGACAAAGACTTCTCAAAGCCAATCTTCCAAACAAACTTGTCGACATAGAGAGAGAGCCTATTCGCCTTGATCTGGAACCATGAAAGCAGATTCATTAGCGCTGTTCTGTGTAGCAAAAAGGTAAGGAAAGAAGGTAAGCAAGTTCATACCCAGCATAATTTCTGTGCCCTTGTTGACGTGATCCTAGCATGAGCCTTTTTCTTGTTTCTTCTGAAACGGCGATGGATGCTGCACGCGAGGGTTAGAGTAAGAGAGAAGTATTTCTGTGTGTTGGATCACTCAAACTTTTTCTGGACCCTGGAACTTCCTTGACAGAGAGGGACTACTTAATAATAAAGCGACTCAGTCTCCGCTTATTTCCTCTCAACTCATCATTGCAGTTTTTGACATTTTCTTTTTTTTTGCCATTATTTCTAAACCAGCGCCAACAATTGCGATTTTTTATTACACTCCTTTCCTTGCGACTTCTTACCATTCTCTTCTCCCTTCCACCGCTTAACTTTATCATACCCCTCTTCTCTCTCTCGTCGGACTACAACATGCCCTCAATGGAACCAAACACTTTAATTGCCGTTCCCTTCCCAAAAATCCAAAGAGTCTTTGTGCTGTGGCGGTGGTGGCTATCTCGCCAAGCAACATTATGTCCGACATCGTCACACCCCTCATCTCTATCTGTTCAATCTGTCGTTCTATTCGCTCGTCAAATTGTCTGCCGGATTCGGTAATTCGGGATTACGATCACCAATGCTCGGCGACGGTCAGACCCCTGTCGACTTTTGACCGCTCTCCTACCTTCACTGCCCCTTTATTGTCATGATCTATCAGCAGTTAGGGATGGACCCCCTATTCCACTCATTCTTTCTACTCTCTTGTCACTATGTTTGATAGTCCTTGGCAGCTTGGCGAGCGTGACAAGATTCTCTTCCCTCCTCCCCTTCCCTCCCTCTTACTTTCTCTCTCTCTCTTGATCCATTGCTTGTCACTTAGCATCTTATTCCCCATTGCTCACCCTCGGTGTCAATTGTTTTTTTCTTGAATCTTTTTTTTTTTTTTTCTGTTTGCTCCATCGGTCAGGTCTTCGAATTTCCTTTTTCTACGTTCTCGGCATTCTTGATTCTCAATTGCTACACATGCCATGCACATGAACACACAGGAAAGAAAAGCACGATCAAGAATTGAGCCTAGAGTCTGGTTGTGAGTGACATCGTTTGTGTTATTGTTGTAGGTTGTTGCTGTTGCCTGTCTTAATTGTGATCACGGGAGCGTGGCCCATGTAGGCCTCAAGAATGGACGGAAGGGGGATGAAAAGAAGGAGGAGTATAAAAGTGAATCGTTCCTGACCCAACGACCCCGATCTTCAACACCAACAACCACTACTTCGCCCATTCTTTCCATCCCAAAAAAAAAAAACAACAATTGCTCACAGCCGTTTCAAACGAACAAAAAAAATGACATTCTTCTCAAACCTCTTCTCTCACAACGACACCCCCTCTCCTACCTCTCCTACCTCCCCCTCATCCCCAACCTCCCCTACCACCACATCCACAGCGACCGAGAAACAAAACGCCGCAGCCCTCAAGACGCTCATCAAATCCCACAAACAGGTCCTCCGCGTCGAATACTCCCGTCTCGTCCTCGACTACAAGCTCGCCCTCGAAACCGCCGCCAAGGAACACAAACGAGCCCGCAAGCAGGCCGAGGAGATCTTGCAGCGCCGATCGGTTGAAGCTGTGAGGAGACAAATGGAGGTCATTGCGGGGAGTGATGAGGTGTTGAGGGCGGATGAGAAGACGAGGGGGTTGTTTGTCGAGCTCCAGAAGAGTTGGTTGGGTGCCACTGCAGGGGTTGGTAAGGCGCTGGCTGATGTGGGTACGGTTGGCAGTGCAGTTGGACAAGGAGAGGGAGGAGAGAGAGGAGAGATAGGAGAGAGAGAGGGAGGAATGACTATGATCATGCAGGAATTTGGAACTGGCACTATGGTGATCGAGGGGTTTTTGGTTCAGGATACCTACTCGTCGTCGTTACCAGTATCGACAGGCGCTGAAAGGGATGGACGAGTGACCTTCACCGATTGATCAAGGGCCAGTCTGGTTTCTCATTCTGGGTTCAGTAGATCTCACCCTTACTTTTTTGTTTTCACTTCTTTCTCCCTTACTTTTTACTTGTTCCCTCTCTCTCAAGTAACAAAATAATAAACCTAATTCTTTTTCACCACAAGTGCAGTGTGCGAATGATTTACCAAGAGGGTTCAGGACACAACCTCATGGCCCCTGCAGCGAATGCCGAGGCCACACAATCGACGGTGAGGCGAATGAAGAGAAAGGGAGAGGTGGATGTGAAAGGAAGGAGGGACTGAAGGAAGGAGGGATGGGTGACTGAAGGTCGAACGACTTGCCCCCTGTGCGTTTCTGCATTGTAATTTCGTTGCGGGATCGTGACTTGAGAAAGAAGCCTCATTCCGGACCCATGGGTAAGAAACCATATTTCGTTTTTGCATGTCTCAGCGTAGAAAGACACAAAAAGAGAAAGGGCGGATACCAAGAGAGCACACATCATGTCATTCGACACTTTTTTTTTAAGAGTGCAAAAAATGGAGCCTAGGAGACCCTCACTCTCTCCCTTCCCCTCTCTCTTTTTCATTATCCCTCTCTCATTTTGAAATGCTTCATGAATCCAAAAAAAAAAAAAAAAGAACTATTACAAGGAATAGAAAATCTGCGGACTACGAGAGCCTGACAGCCGGTTGGATAGGCAAACTCGGCATGACATAGGAGGTCATCTCAGAGCGGGCATAAGTCTTGTCGACACCATAGTGACCAGAGATATGTCAGTCGTGAGTCTTGGACATAAATTGTGTCTTGACGGCGGGTAGGCCTAGATTATTAACGCGATCTCCGTTTTAGAGATACAGGATATTACTCTTGACTTGGAACTCGAACGGTCATCCCTGCCAGTGATATTGGGAGGCTCGTTGAAAGATATCCTTGCAGTAATCATCGTTGGCGATTACTTCTCGGTATACCACTATTGATGGAGGGAATGAGACCACCACACAGAGGACATCAGGTGGGATCTAGAAAATAGAAAACTGGCGGGACTTTTTATCATTGATGGAAGATATCATTAAAGTATGTTTTGTTACATGGTTCTAGCACGAATTCACATATTGTTATGATATTACACTCTATCGAGGATGTCTGGTTTCGCTCATCGAAGACCCTTAGATCCCACCTGATGTCTTATGTATATAACTGCTTTCAATTTATCTGTAGAAAGTGTATTGAGCTTGCGGCATAAAAAAAGCAGCTTAACGCGTGCTAAACCCATGTAAAGTCATGCATATAGGTCAAACACAAAGACTTTGGGTAGGGATTCCAAACTTTGATAGAAGGCCGTAGAGGATTGAGGAACTAAGTCTTTGAAGTTTGAAGGTAGATGGAAACTAAAAAGACCCCGCAGGCTAAAAAAAGAAAATCGTGATGCATGTAATCCAATTAATTGATCAAGCAACATCGGGCATTTTAATTCCGGCGGATTCAATGTCGGTCCATGCAAAAAAAAAGGCAAGTTGTGTTGAATGAGATTACGAATCAAGAGAATGAATGACAGGAATCTGAGGGGCCGTTCGGAACATTGGTGAATGAACATTTCAAAAAAAAAAAGTCGAAATCGCGTTTTGGTTGATCAATTGACTGGAGCACTTTAGGTCAACATCCACATCCGTAACAAAATTTTCCATTCTTGAACCCAAAGACATTCTTACTTCAGCGCTCTCCAACATCTGTACAAATTTTGTGGTTACCAATCTTATGGAGATCTTCGGCAATATCTAAATCTTCTCCAAATTTATCTTTAAGGTATTGTTGAAGAATTACATGTCTACAATCTGTGGCAATATCTATGTCATGAAGGAAAATGTAGTCGACCTCGAGTTCATCAAGTATTGGTAGTAGTTCGGAAATTAGAGAGAGGGCCTCCAGTTCATGAAGCGTAACCTTGATGCTAAACTATCCTGCTTGGTGTGCGGCCAATCTCCTAAACTTTTTCCTATGTTTTGTAGTATCTCTGAGCCACTGGTGTGGTATGAAAAGGGATTTGATACCCCTCTTTCACCACGTCCAAGACCCAGGGGTCGTCCGTTAACTGCTGCCAATCCTGGTGAAAGAACTGAAGTCGACTTCCTACTGGAAAGCTGTGCATGGCCATATTGAACTTGTTGGTCAGTCAAAATTTAGTGAGAAAAGATAGATGAGAAAGAAGGTGGTAGAAAATTCTTCGTCAAATAAAAACTAACCCTTTGTTTCATCGGAGGCACCTGCTTGGCTATGGGTAGGGGAACGGAAAGCGGAGCAGAGGGCCGAGACGATCCGACGACAGTAGGAGAAGCCGAGCCTCTGGGAGGAGATGAAGACAAAACAGTGTTGGTGATGTCGCTGAGGGGCTTCTTACCCTTAGAGGATGCAGGGCTTGAAGATGAAGGAGCGGAACAATTTCATCAGGTCGATTGTGTTGTATCGTGGACGACCATGTCTTGGTGACGGTCTTAGAGAGCCATTTAGTCTGGGCTTATCCAGAAGATAGCGCAGAAACCAGGGCGACGATGACGGGGCAGACTCGTTGGCGATCTGAACACACTTGACAAGAAAAGAAAAAAAAAAAAAAGAAAAGGAGAAAAAAAATGAGTCAACGATCGGTCAATTGATTGTATAGTTGATTGCGGCTATGATCCAGCGGTTACCTTGTTTGGTGAGAGGCATGTGTCTAATCAAGTCGATACCCCATCGTTCAAATGGGCGTGCAGGACTCCTTCAGCTGCGCGAGAAGTGCTTCGACATGGCCTTGACTCCATAGTCTTGGTACTTCTGGGTCCAAGACAAAGCATACTGCTCTCAGTCCATATGGGGTTTGTATCTGGCCATCCATGGGATGCCAAGGAAAAAGTCATGAGCCAACTTGCGGACGACGGTTGCTCGGATTGAATGGTTCATCGATCTTACGCTCACTCGAACGACGACTTGATTTTCTCGAGTGTCTCCTCAGATACAACATTTCGCAGTCCCATCTTTTCCAGTATACGTGCCTCTTTCTTTGATATTTCCGGCACAGTACGATTCTTGCCCATTAGCTCAGGTGGACATAGCGCAATGTAGCGCCATTATCAACAATGGCTTCGAACGTGGTTCCAGCTTCCACTAGCGGAACGACAGCAAGTGGAAAGGCTCGAGGATAAAACTCATGAGCCTCGACTACAGTCATATGGGCGGCCAGGTCTTGACGCTAGTGACGACGCGGACCAAATGATGGCGAGGAGCTCGACTTGTTCCTGTTAGGGCACTCTGCCTCGTAGTGGTCAGTCTGTCCACGTCCGTGACAGGTCGTTGGCTGAGTGCACTGCGCGACACGGTGGTTACCGCGGCAGTTAAAACAACTGATGGAGTCGATCTCCATCGGGGTAGGACCGGAGTCACAACGGCCAACGTTGCTGTCGCGACGGAACTGAACTTGAGAAGGGTCAGCGCTAGTGTTGAAAAGTCGATTGTTGCTGTTGTTACGAAAACGATTGGCGGAGAAGGTGGAGCCGTTGTTTCGGAGGGTGGCATTTGAAGTAGATGCAGCAGTAGAGAAGAGAGCACAGCATTCAATGCGGTGTAAACGTGATCCGTGAGAGGGGTGAATCGACGTCCAGCAAGAACGGGCGTTTGTCTAGCAGCCAAAGAAAGAAAAAAAAATCAAAGATGTTAGTCCAAATATCAACAAAAGTAACCATGCAATAACCCAAAAAAAACAATGCGCAAGAGTGTTTTTATTGTTTTTATTGGACAATAAAAAAGAACCAGGTTCCAATCGATGAGCAAAGGTACCTTCTCTCTCAACAAGATTCTCCATTCGTGAACCAAGACTTTTGCGAACGTCAGGATTTTTTCTTTATCTCTTCGTGAGACGGCGCTCGCTTACACAGTGCGTTTTGTCGCCGGCTAAATATGTTGTTTGAGATTGCTGTAAATCGCCGCAGCAATTGAGTTGCGAAGGAGAAAAGAGAGAAGAAAAAAGAGAAAGAGAGAGTGGTGAAGAGAGGGAAGGTGGAAAAAAAAAAAAAAAAACGGTCAGAAACAGTTTCGATCGAACAGCAATAAAAGGGAGTAAGATGTCGTCAATACGGAGAAGAGAATACTCGTCCTTGGTGTTACTCGCATTCAACTTGCAATAGTCAAAGGTAATTCGAAGCGAGCCATCTTTTTTTCGAATCGGCAGGACGGGGGTGTACCTTGGACTAATCAGAGGATTTACTGGATTCCATCAAGTCAGAGCTTCACACTAAGGGTAGGATTGAGTGCCAACCGGGGATCCTGTGTCCTGATTCGATAGGCGGCTGTTCGAACCTCCGAGCGGAGTGATATTATTGGCGATATCATGTGGGGGGCTAGGCACATGCTCTGGATGATGTCCAGCCCCCCCGATTTCTTGGTTAGAAGTCATCATCGTCGGATACGATGAGGTAAGGCTGCAAGGCGGGGTCAAATCTCCGTATAGAGTGTGCCACCGTCATTTAGGAGTAAAAAGCCATGGATCTGATAAGGTGCTTTGATCCTGGATCGTATATGCAGGAGTCGATGTTGTTTTCTTGATTGTCGATACAGAAGACCGGGCAGGTATTGTGGTGAAAATGGTGGAATGTGAGGAGGGGTGTTGTATTGCTGGTAAATAGATGATGAGATTTGTGTTGAGTGCAAGAATGATTGGTGGTTGAGAGTGACCGTGCATTGTGCCTGTGGTGGAAAAAAAAAAGAAAAAAGAGCGTGGGTGCTAAATTAGACTCGGAATTTGGTGATGTTCCTGAGACGCGACGTTCATGCCATGAAAAATCTCAGGGTGATCTGCTTCTCTCGTATTCTCTCTTCAAGGAAAAAAAAAAAAAAAAAAAGACGAGACACTTCATCACAAATCGACCTTCGCTGGGTTGTCCAGCAGAATCAAATGGCACCAAGACATACAGAGACACACCCTGAAAACTCTCTTCGAATGCAACCGATCAATAAAGACACTGTATGATAAGTCGTGATCGTTCTGAATCGACGTTTGCTTCATACACACTCGTCTCCCTCTCTCTCCTCTTTCTACCCATGTGAGAGTCGTTGTGCAAGAAGAAGGTAGAGGGCAAAGGAAAAGAGGAATGACCTTGACCACCATGTCCACAAATACGATCCTCTCTCTTGTGTGTAGATGGTGTCGTTCTCCTGTGAATGCCGAGCGAATGTGAGATTAAGAAGGGAATGACTAACCAACAAGGATTCAGAGCACTAAGTTGTGACCCCGGCAACGAATGCCGAGGCTGAATGCACCAATGAACAGACGAATGCAGAGAAAAGTGGAGGTGGATCTGTATGAGGGAGGAAGGGATGACTGATGGTAGAGTGAGGTGTCTCCTGTCTCTGAAATTCTTTATTCTTTCGCAATAACCCAGACACCGTGGCTTGAAAAATTGCATGCAGCCCATCCTTCCATTCCCTCTTCACCCATCTTTTCATACCTGGATGAAATGGGTCTCGAACGAGTATTCCACGTCACGAAGGCCCCTTGTGCAACCCATGCCTCTTACATGCTCTAGAAGTCACTATTAATGGTTTAATAGGAGCAAGAGACCGAGAGTGAGGGGGAAAGGAGAAAGGGTGGAGAGACAAGAAGTGTCTTCCTCGCCAACGACCACCCATGCCTATATTATTGTCTTCAACTCCCTCTCTTCTGTTATCGAACGATGTTCGAATACCTAGCGTCTAAGCCATAGACAACAAAACGGACACTGTCATAACAACCTTATGGAAGAAGTAGCGACCAGTAAGTAACTCAATGCATAAAAACGCGTATGTCTTTACATACTCTAGTAGTCGACTTTTATTCCACCCTTCGATCGCCAAGCCAGCACACGTACCCCACAATCGCGTTAGAGCAGAACACGTTCTATTTTAATTTCACTCTTTTTTGTTGTTTGCTCGATTTGGTTAAAAAGTGGACTAGACCTGTTTGTCCCTGTGCAACAGAGGCGTTCTCCTCGCTGACTGGGCTTTCTTGGCAAAAAAAACGAACATATGTGTAAACAAACGAGAGAGAGAGAGAGAGAGAGAGAGGAAAATGACCTATGCGTAGTTGGGGTTGCGTGGCGTGAGGAGGCGCTGCACAGCTTTATTACAAAACACCCTTCTTTATTTCGATCGTCAACAGTTGGGCTTTTTGACATTTGAGCATAAAAGGAGGCCAATCGTCCCTCAAAAGATCAAACCATCAACAGCAACAAACAGCAAACACAACACAACACAACGAAACAAGCATACAGCAAGACAACTCTACAAACCCTCACTCTCTCGCCAACCCACACAACCCACCACCAACCAACCAACCAACCAAACTACCAAAATGTCGTTCATCTACAACTACTTCGCCTGTGACAACTTGACCCCTTCCGAGAAGGAGAACGCTGCCGCCTTGAAGGCCATCATCAAGACCAACAAGACTGCCCTCAAGTCCGAGATTAAGCAGTACGACACCGACTGCAAGCAGACCGTCAAAGAGGCCGAAGCCGAGTACAAGCGTGTCAAGAAGCAGGCCGAGGAGACCATGTATCGCCAAACACTGGATGCAGTCAACCGCGAGATCGAGGTCATTATGGCGACGGACGAGTACAAGGGGTCGGATGAGAAGACCAAGGCCAAAATGGTCCAGTTCCAGTCCTGGGTCGGGTGTGCGGGTTATAAGTGCCTTGGTGCTGAGAGGGAGAGGGAGGAGAAGGAGGAGAAGGACCAGGAGCAGGAATTGCCTCGTTACCAGGATGAGGCGCCTGTCTCTGGTGCCACCTCGTACCCCGCCGAGAAAGAGGTCCTCCAATCAGCTTAGAGATTTCCCTCCGGTCATCCATCCCCACATTCGTACCTGTATCGAAATACACATCCTCCTTGCCTCAAAGCAATAAAAAAAAAAGGTCGATGAGCAAAGCGCAAGTATATGAGTGCTAATGTACAAATGATGTGACTAAGGTGTGTGGGTGTATGCAACATTGCTCTAGGCCGATATGCCCTCCTCTGCAAAAACAATCTCCAGGTCGTCCTCATGCTTCAAGTCGTGAGATGTATCCTCAGGATCTAATTCCGACGAAATGTCAGATTCGTTTCCAGAATCAGAGGAGTATGTCGAATGATCGTCCTGATCCTCCTCTTCAATGTCCCCGTAATCCTCCTCGTCGTCATCATCAGTATCACCACCGCCACCGCCCTTCAGAGTTGTCACTCCTTGGTCAGTAACACCTTTTGATGCGGGCACCTCATCCGATGAGACCTTGGCAGTCTTGTGAAGATACGTCACAGCCAGCTCAAAGTCCTGGTCGTTCACCATGATATAGTCGGAGCTGAAAGTGCTGAGATAGAAGAGAGCGATGCCATTCTCCGTCAGGGGCTTGGAGAACTCGCTGACAATCCCGCATTCGTCAAAGCCAAGAGGTCCGTCTCCGATGGCAATCAACCGCCAGTCGCCAGCGTGGGTGTTGAGGGTGTGGTCGGGGAAGAGACTCATGGTGGCGTCGTCCATAATGATGCTAAATGTGGTATCTGTCCGCGTAAAGGAGAAAAAGCGGTCCATTCTATGATAGGATTTATCCCATTACCAACGAAGGAGTACATGAATCGATAGTGATGAGTAAAATGGCAAAAGATAACAATGGAGAGAGAGAGGGGGTCACAGTAAAAAAAAAGTGACTAAAGCGTACCTGCTGTCAAAAAAAATGGACTCCAGCAACTTGATAGCGAGAACATTCATGAGACTCTCTTCCATGCTGGTGATGTGCAGACGCTGCGGGTAGTTAACGTTGAAGGGGTGCCGTGCTTTGGTTATAGCAGACGTCGATGTTGAGTTGTTCTTATCAGGTGTGTCGTTCAGAGACAATGAGCCGATCATGTGCGGCTCCGGTTCCAAGGGATCCTCGCGTGGCGACTTTGTAGTTGCGTCACCCGTAAGACTCGCCTGCCTCGACTTTGGGGTCGATTCCAAAGCCAGTGCATCCTGCAAGGAATTGATTTCTGTGGGGCTTTTGGGATAAGAGCTCTCCCATGAATTGAGTTCGCCAGCCTGCAGGCCGAGATCCTCCAGCGGGTTGTTTGTAATTGAGAATATGCTTGACAGACACTCCAGTGCCCTTTCCAGATCACATTCTGGCAGCAGGGTGAAATCTGCGTCATAGGTCGAGATTTGCCTAGTATCATGAAGATAGCATGGATAGGAAGATTAATACGACGATCAACAAATGCCATTCTTAATGGGTCTGCGATGATCCTGTTTGCCACTCTTTTTTTTGTGCACCTCCTTTGGAACATCCTGGTTGGGTGGGTGGGTGAGTAGGTGTGGCGAATTTTTTAACTTTTGTCGTTTGTGCAACCAAAAAGGAAGAATCGGCTTATGGTTCGGGACATGGAGGCATGCATGCAACATGATGCACATGCAAGGGCTCACATCCTTGTGTCGAAAATAGACCCCTCGCTCGCATGCTCATCGTGTGAAACTTTTCTCACTTCCTGTGATCTTTCTTACGCTCCCTCCTGTGAGTCCTTCATTCTGCCTTCGCTTGTCCTGTGAGTCTTTCCTCAGTCGTATCCTTATGCCCTCCTCTGTCCTGTGAACCTCTTCTTCAAGCTGACCTGTACCTAGGCAGTCTTTTTTTGTCCTGATGCTCTCTTTTATGTCTTGCTGCCCTCAACCCTTTGAAATGATGAATATTCATTGCTGTATACGCCATCCTGATGGTAGCTTGCGAAAACAATGAGAGAAAGGATACCCAATGAGACGACATACATGATGGAGACGTTGACATCGGCCAATGGCTTCGACACCTGCGAAATCACTTCCTCTGCACCTATATCGTGTTCGTTCATTCATGCGTAAAAAGGCAATGAATAAGTAAAACAAAAAAACCCTTTTCTATGTCATCACACCCTTCCAGTCAGGGCTGTGTTGTCGGCCAATGGCATTCGTCCCAAAGAAAGAACAAGGAAAACAACTTACCGAGGCCTGACTCGCCGGGCTCGATTTGAACCGCCCTCCATATGACCTTGCAGACATTGACTGTGTTTTCCGGGAAACCGCGGATATGCTCCTCGTCCAGGATGAGTGACACTTCCTTGTCAGTTTCCGTGTAGGAGAAAAAGTGGCGTGGCCTATGAGCACGAAGTAAAAGAACAAGGTTTTTGTAAGGCATCGTGTTCTTTGTTTATGAACAACAGGGTGATATTGCTGCATGGCGATCGAGATTGAGTACAAGGTGGGAGTAGGTTACCCTGATGGGAAGAGGACAAGTTTCATGAGCTGATGTGTGCATCGTGGAATGTCCTTTTTCTGGAGAGATGCAAGCTGCAACCGAAAGGGGAGGATGTCGACAATCATTGTTCCTTGTGAGGAGGTGAATGAAACGAAGGTTGGGTGATCAGTGAGCGAGAGAGGTAAAGGGGTGAGAGGAAGACAGGACTGATTTGATGGGTGAGATGAGAGACGAGGAAGGGTGAATGAATGAGAGAGGAGAGTTGATCCGGAAAGAAGAAGTGATTCGAATCCAGCGAAGATGAATGAGAGTGAGAGAGCAATGAGAGCCAACAACAACAATAACAACAACTATTAGCAAGACGCTCCTTCGCAGTACGTACTGTACCACCGTCATTGTTGACTCACTCTCCCCTTTGCCCTTTGCCGCCAATTATTACTCAGTCCTGTCTTTTTTCAATTTTTTTTTTGTTCTTCCCCTTTCTTGCTCACTCGCTCCTCGCACTTGCTTCCCTCAAACCCCCTATTCTCCTTTCGGTGCAAGTACCCGGGCCCCTCTTTTGTTTTTCTGTAACAAGCGCCATCACCTTTGTTGCTGAGAATGGAATCAGTTTCGAATGACCTCAATGGAGACAAGAGATCACTTTTTTTTGAGTGTCTTTGAGTGTCTTTGTGCTCATTGTGTTCTTTGTTCATGGGAACCAAGACTCATACATTGCGTAACACAAACAACGGAGAATGAAAATCAAAGACACCAGAGGAATAGTGCAATCAATAGAAAAGGTCTTGGCGGGGGGAAAAGAGGAGATTGTAGCACTGTAAACAACAGGGCACCAGTCCCAGCACAAAAAGCTTTTGGTGGCGCATCAGCAGCCAACCAGGACGCACATCCATTGATTCGTTCGCATTGCTTGCATAAAAAGAAAAATCTGGGGAACGCTGTTAGTATTCTGTCTACCCAATAACAAGGCCAAGGATAGAAAGGATGCTGAGAAGGGACAGACACCATTTTTACTTCCTCTCCCACGGAGAGCCCAGTTGGACGATGCAAAGTGGACAATCAAATAGGAGAGAGGGGGTCCCGTTTAGGTTGTACGCTCTTATGTTCCACTCTTGTACAACTAGAAGAAACGTTCACTTCTATGTTTTCTTCCCCTTGACTTGGGTAATAGTAAACCCATAGACATAGAGATTCCCATGGGCACGACTCATAAGAATATTTTCGTATATTAAGAGACAAAAAGAAAAAAAGACAAGGAGGTGGGTACAAAAAGGGTGCAATTGGTGCAATTGGTGGGGCAGGTTGGGGTGAGGATAAAAGGCCACCTAGCAGGTCTCTTTTTTTATTGGGCTTTGCATCTGTGTCTCCTTTTCTCCTTTTTCTCTTTTAACCATTCATCGCACCCAAATAAAACACCACAATTCGCGAAAAAAAAATCCCTCAGGGCACAAGCAGGGCAAAGTAGTATCCTTGATCCACTGCGATCCAATAAAGAGAGTGCACTCGCCCACTTCTTCATTCCAGCCGCTTCCCCCTCCCTCTCTCTCAGAGCATAAAAGGGCGCCATTCATCCTCCCCTCTCCTTCGTCTTTCATCTCTTTCGATTCTTGGACCCTTGTCCGATTTCCTCGTATAACCTACTACACACATTCCAAATATACACGATGGATTCCTCTATGCAAGAGTTCTACTCGCTGTCGCGATCCACTTCGCAACAGCGTCCCTTCACCCAGATCATTCCCTCACAAAGTGGCCTCGATTCAAGAAGTCCCTCTCGACAACAACCGTCGCGAGAACGTCCACAGAGTGCCATGGCATGGTCGCAGTACCAGCATCCAATGACAGTGCCATCAATAGCCCAGATCTGGCTCCAGCCTAGCCAACAGCAGCATCAACTCAATTCTCAAGATGCTTACCAACAGGACCCTTCCACTCGTCGTCGTCGTCATCATACCGCTGGAAGCAGTGGCTTCGTCGAATCTGCGCCAGCTAGGGCGGGAGATGCTTCACTCACAGAGCGACGCAGCCGCGCATCAGTCGATAACGGTGATTCGGTCCCTTACGATCCCTTTGCTCCGTCCTCTCCACGACCAAGCTCTCCTCCTCCAATCCCCTCTACGCCAGGCTCGTCATATGCGAGGCATTCATCCCTCCACCGTCCTCGTCCTCCCCATGATCCTTCGATCTATAGTCAAGATGACACCCACTCGCGCCGACAGGAATACGACAATACTCACTTGGAGCATCTTGAAGAGCTGGACGACTATGAAGCGTATTCAGAGGATAATAGAGGCCGTCGTCGTTCATACCCTGGTGGCGGTGTCTCGAGCGCGGCCTATGAGGATGGTCAAGGAAGTGAGGGAGATCAAGGGGACATGTCTTCGATCCACTATCCACCTACACCTGTCACCCGTACCCCCTTGCCCAAAATCCCTCTTTTCGTGCTCGGCGTAGTCATCTTTTCCGAACCGCTGACCTCGACTATCCTCTTCCCTTTCATCTATTTTATGGTAACGTTGTCTTCGTTTCTCTGCGCATTATGGTGACTCGAAATGGATACAATTCCACACACACGCATAGCATGGCACTCCTCTCCTGTTGTCACCCCTTGTTGTGGATTGTCCATTGTGCGCCCGTTGTATCTATTTGCGAGTCATGTTTCGTAAATGTGTACATGGGCAAAAAATAACGCAAAGAACAGATGACTGACTGACAAGCGCATTGGTCTCTTTGAACCCTTTTTTTCGTGTCTTTTCATTCCTTCCTCTTTGCTTTCTGCGGTCCTCGCCTGTAGGTCCGGTAAGGAACACCTTCGGTGTTGTATGTGTCTCTTGACTGTGCCTGAGACTGACTTTTACGCCCAAAATTTTCTTTTGTTCGTGACTGGTCCATTTGTCTTTGTCCGTCACATCCTTCTGTCTGCCCCATTGGAAACCCCTTACTCACCTATCCTTCACCCTTTTTACCTTGTCATCATTCACATTCACGATTCAACAACAACAAATTGCCGAAACCACATCCACAGAGACTTCCATATCACCGAAAACGAAGACGAGATCGGCTTCTTTTGCGGACTCATTGGTAAGTAGAAACAAGCAACCAATCACTATTCAACTCATCTTCGTCGACCGTGGTCCCATCAATTATCTAACAAAGCAAACATTCTCTGTGACATGTTACATGAAAATTAGCATCGTCGTTCTTCTTTGCGCAGTTTTGCACATCCATCTTCTGGGGATACATGTCCGATCGATATGGCAGAAGACCTATTCTCCTCCTGGGTCTGTGCGGCTCATCCATTGCCTGCATTTTCTTCGGACTTAGCAAGAGTCTAGCCTGGGCTATCATCAGTCGCTCCATGTGTGGTCTCCTCAATGGTAACAAACAAGCAAGCAGCATTAAATACATGACAAGCCCCTCTTGCTGCATTTTATTTTCTTCCCACACAACACCCATTCTCCCCTTTCTCTCCTTCACATACCCCCTAGACAACTAGAATGACCTTTTCAACGCACGCACGGGCTAATTTGCAATCGTTTCTATTCTTACTTGCATGGCGGTGAACAACCACAAATTAGGAAACGTCGGTGTCGCAAAGTCCATGCTGGGCGAAATCGCAGATGCGTCTAACCAGTCGCAGGCATTCAGTCTCTTTGGATTCGCTTGGGGTATCGGCATGGTATGCTTGTCCTCCAACTTTACACCCCGCCCTCGCACCGCCGATCCAAACATGGTCATGCTCGCTCGCTCACTCTTTTTTTTTTTTTACGGTGGCAATGATTTGCATAGATTGTGGGTCCATTTCTGGGAGGATACCTCGCGAACCCGGCACAAACGTTCCCAGAGATTTTTGGAGACTGGGAGTTTTTTATCGAGTACCCTTACTTCCTCCCTTGCTTTGTTGCATCCATGGGCGGTGTTGTTGGATTCTTGGTCGGGTTCTTTTTCTTGCAGGAGACCAAGGGGATGCGAGGAGGCGTTATGGTTGAGACCAACAAGGATGTCGATGATGACTATTATAACGACACCATCAACACCAGTCAGTACCAGGGAGGTCCCGATTACCAGGAAGTCGAACGTGATGACCTCAACTCTAATGGGCGAGATGAGCTACTCAGCGACTTTTCGAGCAACCACAAGGCTACGGACAGAGATATAGAAACACAGAACGGGGCGTCGGAACTGGATATCGATCTGGAGAGCCAGCCACTCATGTTACCTCCCAATGCGACTCAAGCGCAGCAGCTCAAGTTCTCAAACCGTCGTGGAATAGATCACTCCAACCAGTATGGATCTATGGCGACGTTAACCTTTGATACTGGACCATCCTCAGCTCAATCTCATCCATTGCAACAGCACTCGTACGGAGCCACGTCAGCCAGGTCGACCCTATCCCGTCGCCCGGTATCCACCCGACCTAGTCTCTTTCACCAAGGCAGCTCGGCATCTGAAGCTGAACTTGCTAGATTGAGCAGCAGCTATGTCGACCGGCCCTTGAGTGCCGCATACCCATCGATCTACGCCTACAACCGACCCATCTCGACAGGACAACTACTGTCAATGGCCGAGACTCCTTTAAGACACCGTCAGCAGATGGAATCCACCCCCGCAGATGCAGTTTCATTGAGTCACTACGGATACACCGTCGACCCCGCATACCTCAACACCCGTTCCCGCGTAAGCCACTACAACCCCGGACGTCAGAGTCGTCTATCCGTCGCACCCTCACAAGTCTTTGTCCTCCCTCCCGACCCCAACAACAAAGACCCCAACCAACCCGTTCAACTCCTAGTCGTCCAACAAGCCCCCGAAGTCGGACTCTCTCCCCTATCCATCACCACCATCGTCGCCTACTCGATGCTGGCACTCCACTCGATCATCTTCGAAGAAGTCTACGCCCTCTACGCCGTCACACCTGTCTTATCCCACGGTCTGGGTTGGACTGCGATCCAACTGTCGACCAGTCTTGCGTGTATGGGGATTGTGCAACTGTTGATGCAATTTGTGGTGTACCCTATGCTCGAGAGACGGTTCTCAGCGGTGTGGTTGTTTAGGTGTGCACAGCTGATCTATTGTTGTGTGTATATCTCGTTCCCGATGATCCGTGCACTTGCGGTGGATGAGAGTGATGCTGAGACGGGTGGACAGTTGACGAGGGTAAGGTGTTTGGTTCTCGCAACCCTTGTCTTTAAGTACCTCTGCAGCGTCTTTTCCTACACTTCCGTCATGGTCATGGTACGTCCGTTCGACTTTTCTCGTTTTTTTTTTCTTCCTATATTGTTATCCATCACTCGTATCACCTTGCTCCTGACACTAACCTGTACCTTGCCTTACCCCTATTCTGTAGATCACAAACTCGTCTCCACCACACCTACTGGGCACCGTTAACGGGATTGGCCAGACATCCGCCTCATTCATGCGCGCGTTCGGTCCAGCGCTGGGAGGCATCTTTTGGGCGTGGTCGTTGGGCAACAAACTGAGTTTCCCGTTTAATTACTTTTTTGTGTTCTTCCTTATGGCCACCATTGCCGTCTTGGGGTTCATCCATAGTTTCTCGATTCCTACAGAGTTGGGACGTAGGAAGTTTTGAGAGGCGTTACCAGAGAGGATTGCGGGACTGGAGATGAGAGAGGATGATATGCTTTTGTAGTTTATGTTTTGTGAATAAGAATTAACTTTTATGTTTGTACAAAGTGTGAATTGCTGCCGTGAAGGAGTGAAGGTGGGTGATGGAGTGATCTATGCAGAAAGGAGGACGTCCTTCTCACTGGCGTACGAGGTATCATCTCGGTACGAAGGAAGCCCCTGCTGCTCCTGTTCCTGCTCCTGGTGCTTCTCATCGAACAACACCTCCTTCTCTGCCATCTCCTGATCCTGCTCCTGCTCCTTCTTTTCTCCACCGCAAGCAGCACCACAGCACGACATGCCGACACACCCAACCCATGACTGGAACTGAACAATCTTGGCCTTGGTCTTCTCATCCGACCCCTTGTACTCGTCCGTCGCCATAATGACCTCGATCTCGCGGTTGACTGCATCCAGTGTTTGGCGGTACATGGTATCCTCGGCCTGCTTCTTGACACGCTTGTACTCGGCTTCGGCTTCTTTGACGGCCTGTTTGCAGTCGGTGTCATACTGCTTGATCTCGGACTTGAGGGCGGACTTGTGGGTCTTGATGATGGCCTTCAAGGCGGCGGCGTTCTCCTTCTCGGAAGGGGTAGAGTTGTCGCAGGCGAAGTAGTTGTAGATGAACGACATTGTGGTAGTTGGCTGGTGGTGGTGGCGATGGCGAGTTGTGTATGGGTGGGTGAGAGTGAGGGTTGGTAGAGTTGGCTTGCTGTTGTGTTGTTGTGTTTGCTGTTTGTTGCTGTTGATGGTTTGATCGTTTGAGGGACAGTTGCCCTCCTTTTATGCGTTTTCTCGCAAGCATGCAGCTGTTGGTGATCGAAGAAGAGAGAGAGGACGTTCTTTGTTTGTTGTTCAGAAGCATTGACATGCCACGCATCCTCTGCGATACATGGATCTAGTCCCTCACCCATGTATGTCATGGATTGGCAGACCAATGCGTTGTTATGAATGTTGCCTGCCTGTCTGTCTTTATTCTTTTGCCAAGAAAGCCCAGACAGAGAGGAGAGGGAAAATGACACAAGGCCGAACTAGAAATTTACCAAATGGGGGAGACAAACGAGTGAGCCCAAAATAGATGCAGGAGGAGGAAGAAGGGTTGCGTGTGTGTGCTTGGCGATCGTCAAGAATAGCCAATGGTCTGAATAAGCAACAGGTCGACTACGTTGTCTCCTACGTGCGAAGAAGGTCTTTCGCAGAATTGAGTTTTTCTTGTCCCTATTTCTGCTGTTACTATGATGGGTCCATTGGAGTTCATTTCTATGGGACTAGGGTCTAGACAGATAGAAGAGCATGCATTGGTTGCACAGGGGTCGCTTTGGTGACGTGAAGAACGAGAAAAAGCCATAGCTTTCGTAGGGCCCGAATCATTTCTGACGCGAGCATGCACACTGTGGTATCCTTTTCATCCTCTCCCCCCTTTCCCCTTCCTTCTCGGCCGCTGGAGGCCACGGCACCAAGCGCTCATCCTTAACTCAAGGCTTACTTGCTGCCCGAGTGTGTTTTTCTTTTTGTCCGCACTGCGCATTCGTCATTTAGAACCTTGCTCTGCATTCGTTGCATTCGTGACATTCCATTGGACTCGTCCAGCTCATCCCGCTGATTATTTCTTGCGACCTTCAAGCTTCCTAGTGGTTGTATGTGGAGTCGCGTCCTATGCTATAATTGCTCTTACTTGACACATAGCACTAACCAGTTCTGTTCATTTTTGTCTGCTTTGTTGTCTACTCCACTCCTCAACCGACCAACCACCCCACCTCGCCACCAACACGTACCACCGCCCAACACAACACCCCTACAACCACTTTACCACCATATTAGCTCAGGAACAGAACGCAGACTATTCACTACAAGTGTATCGTTACCTTCAATCCGCTATCCATCAATACATGATTCATCATCTTTGACACCATGGATCAATACCGTGCGTCCGAGACATTTAATTCCTCGTCCCCGCATCTTTCGCAGCATTATCGTATCGAGTGCAACTTTACAGTGTACTTGTCAAGATGACGATGAGCGAAATTGTCAACCTAACAACTGTGCGAGATATTCAAGTAATCAACTCCAGCAACTTCGATCCCAAAAACTCAAGCTAGACGACAAGGAGGTGAGTGGAGGCATTTCCCGTGTTGGACTCATCTACATGCACAAGAGTGGAAAGCGAGAACTTTGCTTTACTTGCCCCAATGACCCTGATAGGGTTTTTTCAACAACAAAAAAAAAAGGAAGGCGAGGTTAAGGCTATAGGGTGAGTGTATTGCTGGCAGCAAGTGAGGTTTGCCTCTTTTCCTTGTTTATTGCACCCATGTACTCCTTCCCTGTCACTGCCCTTTTCATAAACAGATGGCCTCCTGTTGTGGATAGGTGCAATGTGAATCGTAGGAGAGGATTCACTTCCTTTTCTTTTTTACTTGACGAAGTGGATAAGCCATCTGTTTGCCCCCACTTTCGTGAATTTCGCCCTTCTATCAACTATGATTTTTCACTCTTCGCCATATCTTTTTTTTTCATCTTTTTTTACACATCTCTACCTTCCGATATTTCTTCCCCCACCTACACTTTCTACGACCGCGTGAGCCTTTTGTTTTGATCATTGCAATCATAGACGCGGATGGAAACCCATTTGCGTCGATGTTGACGTTTCCTAGCCAACGCCAAGCTGCGCTCTCTGTTGTCTTTTCTCCCTACTTACTACCACAATAAATATTGTTCTTGTCGCTCGAACAAGACACTGAATAAATCTTCCTCCGCTATCCATTTCATTCACCTAAGTTGAGAACTGTTGTGTACGCGCTCAACATGTGCAAGATGTTTAGCAGTTAAACAAGAGGCTATTTTGAGAGACATAGAAAAATAAAAACACCTTCCTGTCCGGCTTACTGTTCAATAATGAAAGCTTATCTTATCACACACAGACCTTCATTGCTCCTTTCTAACAAAAATCTTTACCATGCACCGAAGATTCATACATATGTTACCGCCACTAGCGATCTAATTGAGACCACTCACCCTCTCTCTTCCTCCTCCTCTTCCTCGAGCTTTGCCGGTGTGGTTGTGACTATGTGGGACACCTCTCTTTGGTGTGCTTGAATATTAGATTACTCAGGTCAGGCACTATAAATGCTGCTCGGGGACAAGGCCATAATAAAGGAACACACTTCTTTATTCGTCATTCTTCCTGAGCAATATCTGGTTACACTTCACATTCCAAATCACCTCAAGCCTATCGGGTCAGGTAAGCGCTGAGAGGGTGAAGTGTGTATAATGTGCGTTTTAGTGGAGATGAGATTAGGCGTGTTTGAGGTGATCCTTTATATCCTTTCCCATCATTAATAATAGTTCTTCTTGTTTTTTTTTTCTTATCCCTACTTGATGCATACTATTAGCTCTTCTGGGACAGCATTTGTACATCCGCCGAATAATTTTTTAGCTGCCTACGTCGATCGCTTTCTCAGAATTGGACAATGGCGGCCAAGCGAAGAGGGAGACGACATCCAGTGTTGTCGTTTTGGGACTTACTTGTGCCTCCTCCGTTTCTTCTTTCATGTAAGATCGTTAAGGCTACATGGAACGGTTCATGTTTGTGGTATGTCGATTGGGACTGAAAATAGATCAAAGTAGGTCTGCAAGTGCGCGGTGCCAAAGAGTTTGCGCGTTCTCATCTGCATTAGAAGAGGCATTGGTTCTGTTGTTGTCGGAGGTGATGTCGCTGAGGGGAGAGCGTCGTGTGTGGGAGCTGGTGCAGGAGCTGGTTATATTGTTCTTTGGTATGATAGAATGAAGACGGTGAGATCGGAGTATGAGAAAGAGAAGAGAGAACGGAACAATGGTTATACGCATATGATATCATTGTCAAGAAATAAAGGAATCTGACTGAATACCTCAGGCATATATTTTTAATCCAGTAGAATACTGGACTTTTCATAGGAAAAATCCTCACAGTCAGGTGAAAAGAGTGTAGTACTTTTTCGCCCCCTTTTTTTTACGCACTTGCTCATTTTTTTTACACACCCCTGCTCATCCTTTTTACAAGCGAAAAACTCCATGCTTTTTTTCTGCTCGCACTTGATATGACCCTCCCACACATATGGTGGGCGATAATACCATAGCTCGAAGTTGGACTTTACTCTCTTAGACTTTTGTCTCTCCCAGCACTGGTTGCGGACCCACCCATCCTTCTGAGTCCTGCCTGATCATTGCACTGTGTATTAAAGCAACGTTATGGATTTACCAAGAGTCCATTGTGCTAGGTGATGTATTTGTGATTGTTGAGAAAGGAGACGCGTACACAATGCAGAGAGTCGGAAGGAAAATTAAACAGGCGCGTAAAAATCGGAGGGAACTGGAAGTGAAAGATTCTGACGCGTATATAAACTTTCAAAAGATTTCTTGTTCGTTTTTAATATGCGTAATAGATGTCACGTCTTGCGCTATATGGCACTTGCTTTAGTGCTTGAACTCCGTGGTCTCCAATGAAGTTGTCCATCAAGTTCAAAGAGGTCAGAGTCGAGTTGATCTTGAGTGCTTCAGACAGTGCCTGAGCTCCGGTGTCTCCAATCAAATTGCCACCTAAGTTCAAATAGGCCAGAGTTGAGTTGGTCTTGAGTGCCTCAGACATTGACTGAGATCCATTATCTCCGATCGAATTGCAGTACATGTCCAAATCAGTCAGCGTCGAGTTGGACTTGAGTGCTTCAGACAGTGCCTGAGCCCCATTGTCTCCGATGTGGTTCTCCCGCAAGACCAAAGTGCCCAGAGTCGAGTTGGTTTTGAGTGCCTCAGCCAGCGCCTGAGCTCCGTTGTTTTCGATCGAGCTGCTGGTCAAGTCCAAAGTGTACAGAGTCGAGTTGGTCTTGAGTGCCTCAGCCAGCGCCTGAGCTCCGTTGTCTCCGATCGCGCTGCGAGACAAGTCCAAAGTGTATAGAGTCGAGTTGGTCTTGAGTGCCTCAGCCAGCGCCTGACCTCCATTTTCTCCGATAGAGCAGTTAATTAAGTCAAAACTGATCAGAGTCGAGTTGGTCTTGAGTTCTTCAGCCAGCGCCTGAGCTCCACTGTCTCCGATCGACTTGTGCTTCAATGTCAAAGTGGTGAGAGTCGGGTCGGTCCTAAGTGCCTGGAGTGCCTCAGCCAGCACTAGAGCATTGTTGGATTCGATATTTTGCGACATCGCTGGTATGGTATTAATATTAATAGGGTCAGAGAAATACAAAGAATAGGTTTAAGAATGACAGAAGATGGAGCTGAAAGTTGTAAATATGGAAGCGTGTACTAACAGCACAGTAAGGTAGTATGAATGAAGGAACAAGCAAGAGGGAAGCAAGAGAGACAAGGGAGAGACAAGAGTATTGGGCAAGTGGAAAAGGCTAGAAAAGATGCTGTTCATTGTACAAGGAGAGAGAGAGATATTTATACTAGTGTGTAAAGGATTGGAGGCGTGGTTAGTGGAGGTGTGGTGGTGAGGGCTGATGAAGGCGTGGTTGAGGAAGACACAGTAGAACAATCTATGATACTGTGACAAAAGGAATGGATGACACGAAATTCAAATTCCTTCGTGCATCATTTTTGCTTTACCCTATCCAGAGTCGAAATCTTACAATAGCCTTGACTCATTCCGACACAACACCATAAAGTGCTCCAAAAAAGTGATTCATCTTTTTGCGATTTCGACTTTTTTTTTGAAATGCTCATTCATCAATGTTCCGACCGGCCCCCAGATTCCTGTCATTCATTCTCTCGATTCGTAGCCTCATTCATTACAACTTGCTTCTTATTGCATGGACCGACATCGGGTCATCGTCGGAATCGAAATGCCTGAATCGAATGAATCAGTTAATTGGATTAATGCATCCCGATTTTCTTTTTCAACTTGTGCGGTCTTTTTAATTTCTACCTACCTTTAAACTTTAATGAGTTACGTACTGAATCCTGTAGGACTATCTATCAAAGTGTGGAGTTCTTACTCTTAGTCTTTTCTATATGACCTATATGCCTGATTTTACAAGGACTTCGCATGTGTTTAGCTGTGTTTTTTTAACCACAAGCTCAGTGCGCTTACTACCGGCAAACTGAAAGCTGGCCCATTTGTAGCGCATGGTGTATAATCTAAATGTGGTCAAAGTAAGAGGTCACTTATTCTCTATGGAGCGCAATATCATGACAATGTGTGAAATCATGCTAGCTCCATGTAACAATACTTACATTAGTGATATTTCATGCTAGCGTTATGATAATCCCGTACCTTTTCTATGATGATAATCCACTCCATGTCTTATACATGGACCAGCTTTCAGTTTGCCGGTAGTAAGCGCACTGAGCTTGTGGTTAAAAAAACACAGCTAAACACATGCGAAGTCCTTGTAAAATCAGGCATATAGGTCATATAGAAAAGACTATGAGTAAGAACTCCACACTTTGATAGATAGTCCTACAGGATTCAGTACGTAACTCATTAAAGTTTAAAGGTAGGTAGAAATTAAAAAGACCGCACAAGTTGAAAAAGAAAATCGGGATGCATTAATCCAATTAACTGATTCATTCGATTCAGGCATTTCGATTCCGACGATGACCCGATGTCGGTCCATGCAAAAAGAAGCAAGTTGTAATGAATGAGGCTACGAATCGAGAGAATGAATGACAGGAATCTGGGGGACCGGTCGGAACATTGATGAATGAGCATTTCAAAAAAAAAGTCGAATTCGCAAAAAGATGAATCACTTTTTTGGAGCACTTTACTTCATATGTATCATCAAGGACAAGTTTGAGTTGAGATGGCGCATAGGATCAAGAATGACAAAAGCCACAGGGGCTCAATCCAACGCATTGACATTCTGATGGGTGTTCTCGTGTTTTCTTATTCTCTTATTCCTTTTCCTTTCTTTCGTGCTTTGGCTGCTGAAGACGCGCCAGGAGGCACGTCCTCCACGCGAGGCATGCTCGACCCACTCGTAAGTTTCTTGTCCTTTCTTTCATTCCGTTCGCATTGCTCCTTCTGATTGTTAGAAGCATCCCTTTTTACACTCCTTGCATTCATTCACTTGTTCATTCCTTTGTTTTGGTTGACTCGCTACATCATCACTCTCTATTTGTGTGTGTGGGTAATTGTACTCTCCTCGCTACCCCAGCAGCTTTTTATATTCATACTACACACACACCATTACCCGTTTCCCATTCGCTCTCCTTCGCTCTCTCTTTTACCTGACAGGGCGTCATTTACTATCGATTATACAGTTCCACTCATATCCGACCTCAGGATCAAATCAGATAACGATCAACTATCACCTTTTCCCATCACCACCAAATCACTTCAGGAACAAAGCACTTATTAGATCAGCTCAGGAACAAACCCGACCATTTAGATTTATCACCGATACACCGATCGACCATCTGGGATTCAGTATCACTTCTACTACCGGATGCATCCAGCCTATCCCTCGACCATCACGTTGGAGAGAGTTCAATCCGCGTCTAATACGTCTGATAGTACCTCTTGGCATCTGATCTCCTATTGTCATTCAGGACTTGGAGTACGTTTCGACATCTGGGCGGCAGCGCGGCGGAGCTCACTATTCAGATGGAGGAGACGCATACTAGGGACGATACATTGTCCCGGTTTAAGGACTGGTTCACTAAGATGTGACATGAAGATATGCCGATTGCGCGCTTTGGTCTGTCACAATTTATTGACAACTCCCTTGATGAGCAGTATGGGTGAGTGATTGGAGATAAGTGTGAGATTGCTCGTATTTGTGTTTGCGGATACAGTAGCAATTAGGCGTTCTAATTAAATGTTTGCTTTAGTTTACTTCGAAACACATCTCCACAAGACAGACCCCATCTATCAAGCGACGAAAGACACTCTTCTCCAGCAAGTTGCAGCCGGCAAATACGTCGAGTGCACCCAGCAGCCCCTCGTCTCGCTCCCCTGGTTCGGTGTAGACAAACCTGACGGAACAGTCCGACTGTCAGAATGTCACACTGGGTACACATGACCATGGGCTGTCACGAGACAAGAGCTTGCTCTTGTGACTTCGCCCTAACAAATATAAAAGGGCCTTAGATAGTAAATCTATAGCTCTTTACTTGGTATCGCCAATATGCATACGTCTTAACCCATTCCTCATACTCGTTTCCTAGCCCTTGATCAAGGTTCTCTTTATCTACTTCATTCTATTGCTTGGTCTTGTCAAGAAAGCAGACCAAGCAATAGAATGAAGTAGATAAAGAGAACCTTGATCAAGGGCTAGGAAACGAGTATGAGGAATGGGTTAAGACGTATGCATATTGGCGATACCAAGTAAAGAGCTATAGATTTACTATCTAAGGCCCTTTTATATTTGTTAGGGCGAAGTCACAAGAGCAAGCTCTTGTCTCGTGACAGGTCTGCTTTCTTGACATGGGCCACCACCTATGGTTCACTTGTTGTTGTAGCAAAGGGGAGTTATGATAATAAAGTAGTAAGAGAAGGGTGTAGAAAAGGATGTGTCAAGGAGGTGAGCGGGACAGAAACGTATCCTCTTTATTTTGGAATCTGTCTATCTTAAATAACCCTCTTAGCACGTGAGTAAACATGCACCTACTGCGACTAGCAGATGCTAAACATCTCACACATGTTGTGCACGTACACAACACTTGTATAGACGTGACCACGAACCACCGTCTATGGTTCACTGGGTACATGACCAGGTCATGCCATGCTGACTAATCCTACTTCAAACTCAAGGATAGGTCAAACTGTCTAGCTAACTAGGGTCACAAGCCTAGTCCACAGAAACCATGATTATTAAGCTGGTTCCCATAACACACATAAATACAGATAGTCAATGCTAGTTTAGTTCCTTAGTTCATAACTCACCCTTTATTTACACATAAATTTCTAAACAAGCACAAAGTCGCCTTGTTACACCGACCCGTTTTTTATACCATCGCCTGTACTTTCCGCGCCTTCGTTGACCTTTCTTGCCGTATGGGTGTCCGTATCAACAATCAAGAATCGCGTGATATCCGATAAATAGTTTTTCTGTGTGTTCGCACCAGGAAGAATCCCATCGGATATCACTAGGCCAATCATCTTGCCATCGTCATTTACCTTAGGCCCTCGACATATGCAAGAACAGTTTCTGGATGCCCTGTCAATTGTCCGTCGTTTCGGAAAGTCCGATCTCTTCATTACCTTTACCTGCAACCCAAACGGGCCTGAGATTCGGGTATGTACGAGCTATTCTATGATCTATGATTCTGTGCCAAAAAAAAAAGGCAGAGAACACTTCCCCCGAAGAAATAGGCTCTTCTCTCTTCTCTTCCAATTTCCATTACCACCACATTCATATCCAGATCCATATCCAAATATCACTATCACCACCTAACCCGATGCTATCACTCTCTCTTCGTTCTCCTCTTTCACATCTTCTTCCTCATCTGTATCAAGTATCGTTGAAACGCTCGCCACAAAGCAACAACCGTCGCAGAATCACCATAATGGATTCCTTTGCTTATCGCCTCCAATATCGCATTGGCGATAGCAGCGAGTATATGCTCCGTCCAAGACGCCTTTTACAGTTGACATGTTTTCCACCATAGACCTATATCGCCTCCACTTTTTTTTATAACTTAGACAACGGACTTTTGCTCAGATCTACTTCCATGATTCGATCCTCGCCGTCAAAAAATCTTTCCTGATGGTGGACAAAGTCGATATTGTCACCCCGCTACCTTTTCCACGCCACCAACCTCGCAGAGTAGTTGTACATAAATAGTCAAACGACTCCATAATACATCTTTATCTCCACCTCTGTTCTAATTATTTCTCCGCGCCTATCTTTATTTTTCGCGTTTACCCTTTCAACGCTTTTACCCTTCCTTCACTTTTCTGTCATTTCAAAGGCCTTTGTTGTATCACCGTCATGGATGATTATCCGTTCGTTACGTCTACGAGTCAAACGCGAAGCTGTTCTCTTTGTTGTTCTTTCTTTTGCGTTCTCATTATTTCCCTTCTTTTTTCTTCTCTCGCCGATGTCCTCCATTGTGTACGTGCACAACATGTATGAGATGTTTAGCCTCTGCTAGTCGCAGCAGTTGATATAAGTGGAGACTATAAAGCAAAGACAGATAGGGGATACATTTCTGTCCAGCTCACATCCTTTTCACACCTTTGCACAGAGACTCTCTTATCACTTTCTTATTATATCTTCTTGATACAAAACCCAGTCTAAGCACAAGGTCACAATTAGGATAAACATCTTCCTATCAATGAGCATTCGGATTAGGTTACCTCATAACTCATCACCATTCTTCTTCCCGGTTGCTCATATCACTTGTCCCATAATCTAATAAACATTTTATTTCTATTATGTTGTGTATTGTGAGTGTGTGTGTGTGCGTGTGCAAGTGTCCTTTTCCCCTCGTTTACGCTTGGTCATGTTTGTTTCTGACTTGAATGTGAAAAATAAGGTGCGGCACTACCCAGTAATTTTTGCACCGTTTGTGCGTGTGCATAGTGACTCTGAGTTATGTTCATTTTGGTTTATTTCGATTCTTTGTTGTGTTGTGTGTGCATTGTGGTCATACAGACAAATCTGAGTTCACCTTCTCATCCACAAAAGAACCCTCACTACCACTCCCCTCCCCCTCATCCCCACTTTCCACCTCAAGAGCCCTATGAGCAGCGGCATGTCCCATCCAGTTCTGGAACTGCGCAATCTTGATCCTGGTCTTTTCGTCCGAATCGGCATACTCGTCCGTCGTGGTAATGATATCGACTTCTCGCTTGACAGCCTCGAGGGTCTTGCGGTACATGTCTTCTTCTGCTTGTTTCTTGGCGCGTTTGTACTCGGCTTCGGCGTCTTTGAGAGCTTGCTTGTATTCGAGTTCGTATTGCTTGTGTTCGACCTTGAGGGCGGCTTTGTGGTCCTTGAGGAGAGCTTTGAGGAGGGCGGCGTTTTCGCGTTCGGAGAGCGCGGTACTGTCGCCGGAGAAGTAGTTGTAGATAAATGTCATTTTTGTGTGTTTTTTGTGTAGAGAAAGGAAAGTAGGGAGAGGGGTTTGGTTGTGTGTAGAATGAGGGAGGGAGAAGGATTGATTGTGTGAGATGTGAAGAGCGAGGGCGAGCTGAGTGAACTGTTGCTGTTTGATGTGTTTTTGTTTGATTTTTTTTTTCTGGCGAGGACATCTGCTTTTATACTTTCTGGTGAAAGCTTGAAGTGGGCAGAGCACATGGCGCCTTTGGCCAGGGCAGTCGGCTTTACCCTGCCACACTTTGATTCGTTCGCTGTCTGCCGAACAAGTCACAAGAAAGAAAAGTTACCACGTTTGTAATATGAAAAGCCGCTCGTCTTTCCTTTCCCTTCTTCGCCAAGAGAGAGAGAGACAGAGTGAGAGAGAGAGGCAAAGCGGAAAAATGACGACAGGTGCGTCAGCGTGCACATCGATTTTTAAGGCATGCGCCTCGTCCCATACCAAATCAAGGAGACAAATAAATTAATGGGCTGAAAATAGCCCAAACGGGCTGGGTGGGGGTGGGGTGGAGGAAGGGAAAAAGTATCATGGTGCATCCCGAGAAGGAAAAAGTAAAGTGTTGAGTCCCGAGGTTTAAACAATGAGCACTCTGACTAAAGTCGACAGGCACTCGCACTCTGGCGAAGTGCTTTGCCAGGCACATAGACAAACTAAAGTAAGAAAGTACTCCATGTCGAGCTTGATGTCCACGTCTTTTCTACTGCGGTCTTTAACCCTATCGACCTTAGTCGGCCTTTGAAAGCAGAGACCGGATCATACTTTCTTTCCCCTACAAAGTTGTTCCTGTGCACATGGACAAACCTTGAGCCCTGTTCCCCCTTTCCTTATTCCTTTGCTCCACCTGGCAACTCAATTAACACCACTCACATTGGAACATGGGTTGCACAAAAGAAAAGGGCATTGGTGACATGCTAAAGTACGATCGTGCTAGACCCGTCTAAGCCCTTCGAATCACATTTAGGTCTGCTGGAGAAGAAAATTGAACAGGTTGGCGTGCATTGTAAACACTTGGCCGTTCGAACCTCCATCCTCTTCTCGTTAATGACAACCACACCTACCACACTTCCTCGGCTGCGGGGTTTGTCGAATTTTTATTTTTTTTCTTGATGCTGTGTTATGATAAAAGCGGTGTCAATTGTCTTCCTTCAACGTCCTTCTATACTTTATTTTCTCCCTCTGTAGATCAGTGGATTCACTTGCAATCCCTGGTTGCCGATGGCCCTAATTCTCGCCACCATTCGATCGTCATGTCCGACGAGACCACGCTATTGATGGCTGGGTCGAGTTTCACCCTGAGTTCAACGTCATCGTGCTAGTAATCGAACGTATTCTATTCCTTCATAAATTAGCATTGTGAGAAGCAACATGAAGAAGAAAAAATATAAAGAGGTTCTGATGATTGCCTTTCTTACTTTTTAGTATCACTCTTCTCCAAAGCGAAAGCCGGCTCCCAACTCGGAATGCGTTAAAGCATTCGTAAGTAGGTAGACCATTGGCAAGTTTGTAAGTGCTACTAGTCCTCTTTGCACTTTTTTTATACTCTTTCTTTCTTGAACTCGTTTGATGCTGAAATAGAGTATGGGTGTGTATATGCGGATGAAATTAAAAAGTAATGAGCATAAACTCAAGAAACATCTGAACAATCTACTCAGCAAAGGCTTTATCAAACCATCCACCTCACCCCCTACGGCACCCCCGTCCTTTTTTGTCAAAAGAAGGATGGGTCGTTACGAATGTGCGTCTACAGGGTGTTTGTATCTCAGTATTTGTCCACGCTCTTTATTCTTCATTAAGGGTAGTAGTTATTAGTCCTCCTACGTCTCATCGCCTAGGACTTGTCCGACGGCTCACAAACATTGTACGAGATGGGAAACCCATTTCATGTCCCACCCATCCCAGGGATCAATAAAGAGCAAGTATACCTTTATGTGTGTGTGTCTCTGCATGCACGCTTGCATCTTTTTACGTTACTTTTCGTCCAACCCGTTTTACTTTCAGCACCTATTCTTCTTTTCATAACGCCAGCACATGCTACCAGAGATCCGGCTAATTCTACTACCACTGGCATATGCACCAAATGAGGCTGTGTGTCATCCCCGTCCTTGTCAGGTCCTCTCAGAACAAAACAAAAAAGAAGACGCTGAGATGGGTCTCTTGGATCGTGTGTGACCGGGTGGGACGTTTGTAGGGCCAAAGGGAGGAAAAGAGGATGAGAGAGAATTAGTGTCGCCCAGAGGGAAACACCCCACTCCTACTTTGACTTAATAAAAATACGTTTTTTCACAAACGTTTGGCAGGTTGCTTGATTGATTTGAATGAAGAATACAGGGCGCCAAGCAAGCAAGCAGAGCAGATCAGACCGGGCAGGGTTATGGTTACTGTATAAGAAAAAAAACCTTTACTAGATTTCTTTTTGTGCAAGACGAGAACGACCAAACTAATGAAGAGTAGCAAAATGAACGGTGATAATAATAAAAAGAAAAGGAAGGGGGAGCTGAACTGTACAGAGAAACAGAAAACGAAAAGACGCGAAAAATGAGAGGATAATGATAAGCTGGGGAGAGTGTGAGTAAGTGAGTGTATGAGACGGTGTGTGTGAACAAAAGTGGTCAACAAGTGAACGAATATGAGGGAAAGAGGGGTGATAGGAAGGGTGCCTGATTTGTGAGTGAAGTGAAAGTGAAAGTGGAAAGGTATGGTCGAGGAGAAAGAGAAGAAAATGTGGAGGCAAACGCCAAAATAAATAGATGCCGAACTGCAACCTGACAATGAAAAGGTGAGAGGAATGGACGACAATAAACTCAAGAAAAGAGCGAGTGAGTGTCCTCGCGCCTCGTCTCCTGGTAACTGTCCTGTGCCAGACAAAATGAAAATTGTTATAAAGAAAGTAAAAGAAAGGCATCCTCCTGTCAAGATCTGCATCCTGTGTATCCTAGCAATGGACCTTCTTCTGCTCTACGTGGCCACCTCCTCCTCAAAAACAAGCGACAGTGGCCATGGCATCCAACTCCTGCCCTTCAGCCTCCTTGCCGTCATCTCCCGTCTGCCTTGGTGACTCCTGATCCTTCCTTCGTTTACTTGCTCCATGCGTCGACGGGGGAGGCAGCGACCATGTTGACGGACGAGTCGGACGACTTGGGACGACCCTTGCGGTCGCCGGCAGCGATTGGGCGACGGACGCCCTTCTTGTCACCCTTGTCTCTTGGGGGACGAGCAGTCATGTCGTTAGGGTGGATAAAGTTGCAGCGGTCACCGAAGGAGCAGTTGTCAGGATCACTATTGGTGACAATTGCAAGTAAGAATGACAGAAAAAGATAATGTTACACGTTGGGTTTTCGCAAAAGTCAGCCCATGGATAGCGGGAGTTCAATTGCCTAAATCGTCACATCCGGGCCGTGCAAAAATGTTTGTTTTGCTGTCTGTTTGTCCGTCCTCACAGAAGGTCCATGTCTTGTCCGTGCATGCAGCTCTCTCATGCATATCACATCGGTTTCTTTTCTTTTTTCCTTTGTGAGTGATTTTTGGTGGCCCTTGTTTCGCAATTGACAAACGGCGCTTTCGACTCTTACCGGCAGTATGTGGAGGGATGGGTGAACTTGCACGACTTGTTGGTGCAGTTGGGCCAGAATCGGCACCTCGACTTCATCTTGACGGGCTCCGCGGCAGGCGTGCCTAATATGTCGAATGAAACCAATAAATAACAGCCAGTCGTTAGCAAAAAGTACTCGACTCTCAATCATCATCCAGGTCCGAGATACCCTGTTTCATTAATGCGCGCCATATGCGCATGTATGTCCTCGTCAAATAGCTAAATACCATTGTCGACAGTTCCGTTGGGCTTGGCGGGGGCAACAGTGGCAGAGGGCAACCAACTTGGCTTGAACTCGGCAGCCTTGGCGTTCAATTCAGAGTGCTCTACAGGAACAAAACATAAACCGGATCAAAAGAGCGGCACTTGTTAACAAACTAGTTGTAGGAATTGACTTTTGCAACATAAGGTCAAGTTCAATTGCGTTAAAGAAAAGAAAAGTAACTAACGGGCAACACGAGAGACCTCCTGGAGGGTCTGGACCTTGTCCTCGGAAACGACACTCCACGACTCGGTCTTACGGGGAGCCTCAACAACTGCCTGAGCGGTCTCCTCGGTCTCCTTGATATGCTCCAATTGATCACCAACCAAGGTGGTGGGGGTATCGACCTGAGCCTCCTCCTGGACCTCCTGAACCTGCTCGGGCTCCTGAATCTGCTCGGGCTCCTCCTCAGCCTGCTCGGGCACATCAACGGCAGCGGGGGCAGTCTCTTCAATGACCTCCTTAACCTGTTCGACCTCCTTGACCTCCTGGACGACAGCAGGGATAACAACAGCAGCGGCGGGGATTTGGCGCTCATAAACCAGCTCGATCTCATGCTCCTCATCAAACTCCTCTACTGAATCGTCCTGAATCTCAGGCTCCTGTGCCGTCTGCTGCTCTTCCTCCTCCTCCTCCTCCTCCTCCTCCTCCTCTACCTCCTCGACCGTTGGCTCAGCGATGGGAGCAACCACTGGCTCCTGAACGGGCTCGGGGACAATCTCTGCTGCCTTCACAGGCTCCTTCTCCCGGGGCTTTTCCTCATGTTCCTTCTGTTCCGTGATCTAATAGCATATACAACAATTCAAAAGTAAGAAATGGTCAATACCAGGCCCAAGTGGTAAAAAGAACACCTAAGAGTGTCAGAAGGTCGATCCATGGGATAACCCATGAGCTATGCTGCCTTCTTGTCTGTTTTTTCTCTTTTCTTCTTCCAAGGTTTAGCTTCCTTATTCTTTGTTGCTTTCGGGAAGGAGACTCGGAAAGTAATAATGTACCCCGAAGGGTATTTTGGATTGGGACCGCGGGAAGAAAATATTCAAAAAAATAGGCCAGCAGTGTAGCTGGGTTCACACTTGAGGATGGACGCAGGAGAAAAAAAAATGGGAACTCTGGCGAGGATTGGTGCAGGAATCGACCAAACAAAACAAGGAAAAAAGAAGGGAAAAAAGGGCTGGAAGGGGTTGGCAAATGAGAGATGGAGGGCACTAACAACAACGATCCATTGAACCTTTTTTCCAAGGGCAGGAAACACACAGCCAAAGAAGAAGGGGTATTGATAAAAAAGATGCAGGAAAAGGGAGGAAGTGTGAATGCGAACAGAGGAGGACAAAGAGGGGTGATTGTGGAGGAAAGAAAGGAAGGGGTATGTGAGAGAGACACACACATAATACAAACACGAAAGTCCTTTTCTCAGTCCAGGTGCAATGAAAAACGAAAAGGTCAAGAAGTTGTCACCCACAGCTGGGGAAGATAGTGGTGTTCGGCCAATTGGTCTCTCGCAGATAGTTTTTTTCCCAATTGCATATCGCGTGTTTCTTCTCTGCTTCGCTCCATGGTGCGTACATCCCGGTAGACCACTTCCGGCTGTTCCACGTTCCGTTTGGTTGCCTGAGTATGTTTCGTGCTCCAATGCTCTCTCTCTTATACTATCCCGATTGCTTCCTTGAAACATTGCGAAGGCGCCAATTCTTTACCTTCTCAGCCTTGACAGCAGGGACTTCGTCAATGACCTTCTTGTCTACAAAGAAGAAGAAGAGAGTGCGGAAAATGGAACGAGGTCGTTAGAATACAAGAACAACGAAAGAAGGCAGGTGAAGGTCATCTCTCTCCCCTTGCACCCCTTCCATTTCAAAAGGATGCTTGAATCAACCCCTTCCTCTTTCCCCTCTTCTTGTCTGGAGTGAATGCCGTGAATGAAAAAAAGGAAAAACTGCAAAAGGACACCTCGGGCACACAACCCTCGCTGTCTGTCCCTTGTTCCTTGGTGGTGTGTGACAAAGGGTGCAAAGTTATTGTTGCTGTTGTTGATTCCTGTCGTGGTAGTAGTTGTTGTTATTTTGCGCTGATCAAAAAAAAACACACAAAAACCTGCGCCTTGAAGGAGAGCAAACAGCGTGGATCTTTTTTTTTTTTCTTTCTCTCGTGTGCTCTTCCCATGAACAAGAAACAACTGATCAGTCATTTTTCCCGTCGTATTGTTGTTATTGCTAGTGGGCTCCTTCTTTACCTTGTTGCTCCTCGGTGACCTCCTTGCTGACACCCTTGACGGCCTTCTTCTCGGAGATGGTAGTAGTAGTGGTAGTAGTAGTGGTTTTGGAGCTGTTGGAGCTACGGTCCTTAGGCTTGTTGGAGCTGCTAGAGGCTGTTGCAGACCAGAGGAAGTAAATGATCACTGTCCCGATGATGGCTGCAGCTCCGAGACGGACGGCGTTGTTGTTAGCGATCGAGTTGTTCGACATTGTTGCTTTTATGAATGGGTAGTGAAAGGGTAAATGAAGGAGTAGGACGGGGAACGAAGGAAGGGTATTATTGGAGAGGGGGGAGTGTGTGTCAATAGGAAAACGGGGGTGTTCAATGAAACTGTGGATCGACTATGAAAAGGATCCGAAGTGTGAAGGAAGGGTGAGAATGTGAGTCGCGAACAAGTCGGCTGTTCGTGTCGTGTCGTTGAAGGGAATAATAATAAGTGAAAAAGAAAAGCCGTGTGTGGAAGAGGTAGTGGTTGTGGCTGTCGTCTGTCCAATGGTGAAGAGGAAAGAAGAAGAAAGAAAAGAAAAGTGAGGAGAGGAAGAAAACAGAAGAGAAGGGAAGGGGACGACGGATATCAAAAATATTAGAAAAAGTCCGCCCTGTCACCCTCCGTCTTTCAATGTCCAAGGGATGAAGAGGATACAAAAGGGCCACCCTCTATGGTATGGTGTGCCGTGTCATATCATGTCCACACTTGCACTCATACGGTACTCACACACTCCACAGAGCATCCAAACAGCCACTTTACTTGCCCTGTTCCTCTAACCACCATTTACTTCTCTTACCACACGAAGGTGGGCACCATCCTCCTCCTGATGTGGGGACCACCATTCGTCAGCACACCCCTTTTCTTTCCTTCATTTCTGTATCCCTCCTTTCTTTTTCGCTCACTTGTCCGTCTCTTCACAAATACAGAGTTCTGCCTCTGCCTTACCCGACCAGATTGCCCTCGCAATTGTTTGGCCAGGTCGGTCCCTTTTTTACGCCTCCCCCGAGTCTGAGTCCGAGACCGAGAGGGAGGATACAAACGAGTTCCCCGACGGCCATGTGACAAAAAAAAAGTTAGACCCAACACAGTCCGCTCATAAAAAAGTCGGAGCTGCCTCATTCATCCATCGTATCTGCCGATCGACAAAATAAACCCCCATCCTCATTCATATTCATAGTCTCATAGGTCATGAGGATGGGAGCGAGCGTTCATGTTCCTATGAAATAAAGAAATGATGAAATAGAAAGGAGAAGAAGGGGTCCCTGTCCGGGATGTGTGGTTTGATTTATTAGCAAATGCGTCATTGAACAAAGCTCAATATACGTTTTGTCTTAATGGAATTGACCATTAAGGCATTAACAAGGGAAAGATTTGCTATTTCGATCCGTCGATCGATGGCTTATTGTTGTTTGTATTTTTGTTTCTTTCTCAGCTGTTTGTGACACAAATACAACCCATGCCAATTTTTTAAATGGAATATTAACGCGTCGCGTCTTTGCCTCTGATCAGTTTGGTCACGATGGTTGGCAACAACGCGACGATCAGATCACCACCAGAGACAAACAAGCGCATCAATCCTCATACCAAAGGCAAGACCAATATCAGACAATATTGATCAATTGGACACCCCCAACGGCGATGACGTGACAAGAAGAAAGGGGAGCAGAATCTGCGCTGGCTGCTGTGCGCGTATGCGTACGTTCCACCCACCTCAACTGGTGTTTTTCCTGGTAAGGTCGCGTTTGCCTCACCTGCCACTGCCTACCTGGATTCATCACTCAATTTTCTTCTTCTTTTGATCGTCCATCTGTTTTTCTTTATCCCCATCCTCTTGAATTCTTTACACCATCATCTTTCATACCTTTCGCCTCTACTCTCTTCCCATACACCCTTCTTCGTTATAACAAATGCTGCCTCGAACGACAATAACAGACGCTAACACGAAAGCACCTCCCCATCATCTTCCTCCGAATAAGATGACTTCCATGACGGGAACGATGACTTCCATGACGGGAACGATGACTAACTCTTACTCGCCGTGACCGATCCTTTTGCACCCACCATGGCTCCCAACATTCAGCGTTTTGGCAGATGGCCACTTCGTCGGGCCATAGCCTCCTTTTCCTCTTCCTCCTTCTCTTTGTGTTCACCACCTCTACACACCCTTATAAGCAAACTCCAAACCTTGCTGTCAAAAAGTAGCTCACCTATTGCGACCTTACCTTCAGAAATTCTAATCTCCATCCTAACACACTTAAGGGTCGAACAGCTCCTACTTATGCAACTTGTCTCCTGCAAGTTTCGCCACCGTGCTCGCACAGTCCTCCTCGGCAAGTTTGCATGTACCACCCCAAACAAGAGCTCCGCCACTACGACAACAATAGCAACGACCTCGATGTCCAATATACCCGAACCAGCAACAACCGCACCAGACGCCGGTGACCCACGGGCAATCTCGCTACACCTATTCCCAGATCCCCACCATCCTCTAGCACGCTGGCATGAATTCCAAACAGTCGTCCTCCACTGCACAACCATCGACCGTCTTCAAGAAGTCCTGCTCTTTCAACCTGTCGATCCCTCCAACAACACCCCTACCATACCTCAACAGCCTTCCTTCACCCGATCTCAGTACCGGCAACCTCGGGATACAGGGATGGTGTCCCGGAATATGGAAGTGGAGATAGAACTGATGCGGCTAGCGGTTCGCTTCTGTAGCCCGGCGATTGGACTCAATTTTTTCGATTATTCCACCGATCAGAGAAGTCGATCTGGTCCCTCGTTGTTGTCGTCGACCACGCTGAACCCTTATATCCGCTCTCTGGGGTACAACACGGACACGGATCCACTGTCCAGATTTGACCCAGCAACTCGTTCACCCACCTCCTCCAACGACACTTCAATGGATTATGAGCACTGTGTGATTGGGATCAAGCATGGCGGATGGCCAAACTTGTCGGACCAGGACTCTAGGGGAGGGTGGTGCCATTGGAGTGCGAATGATGGGAACGACTGTGTTGGCGGGAGCAGTCAGCGAGAGATGGATTCTGACGATGAGGCGATGTTGTGTCTCCAGTCTGATGACACTCGAGGACTCGAGGTTGGTGGAGGTGAGTTGGCGATGATTTGGAAGAGTGAGACGGAGATTGATAAAGCTATGAACGACGACCAGCCGACAAAAGTCCACCGACACCGCTTACTTCAACCTCTGTGTGGCCTTGGAAGGACACCAAGTCGTTTCACGAGGTACTGTTGCCTGCATCTGCACCGCAATCACCACCAGCACCAAGACGACAAGGAAGGTCAAGGGGCGGTTGATGTGGACGGAGAGGAGGAGAGAGGCACAACAAGGGCTGGCAATAACGATTAGTGGATTGAGTATCGACTCGTCCTTATCGAGGGGCCTGTCTGTCAGAGATGCTTCCAACAATATGGTCATCGTCGCCATGGGGGTAGTGGTGGAGGGGTGCGAGTAGAGTTCCGGGAGCTTCGAGTGTCGCTTGATTGGATCCTTTCTGGGTTCATGAACAAGGTCTGAAGCTCAAACTGCACTAAGAAGAGTATCTAGGAGTACATGTCCAGCGGACAGAAAAAGAAATAAAAGTTAGCAAATCAAAGGCGAAAGTTTTATGAAAAAGAATGTCAAGGGTGGTGAGCAATTGAGCGAGTGTGAGCAGCAAGGAGTTGAAAAGAAAGAAAAGACGTGAGTTGACGAAAGAAGCAGGGTTCAGGCAAAGTGGGTAGGGTGTGTTCATGAGAAAAGAGAGAGCTGCAGGAAAAAGGGAAGGGGTTGTATGATAAGTAGTCATAGTTTTATTTGGACCACTGGAATGGGAAGGTATGAATGGGAGAAAAAGATACCGCTGCAGAAAGCAAGTGGAGATGGAGAAGAGATAGGTGCGGGAGAGGCATCTGGCATGTGAGGATAATGAGAGCACATAGCAGGAATTGGCGAGAAACAACAATCAACATCTGCAACAGCAACTAGGACAAAAGGACAACAATAATGTGCCTTGACATGCACGCATTCGTTCACGCATACACAACACTGACAAAGATGAATGCCACTAAACGAATACGACAAAGGGTGATGTGCCCTTGCCTGTTCTCTTTTCAACAATTGACCCTGTCTTTGTGTCCCCTGGTTGAGTGCGACATGTGCCTTCTTTTCTTTTCTTTTCTTTTCTGTCGTCTTGCACCCCCCTTTCTTAGTCCCCTGTTCGGCGGTCGGTGGGATAGTGTATGAACTATGAAGCGAATGTGGTCAGAGTGAGGTGAGCACTCTTTTGTTTCTCGGGGTAGAGCCTTGAGGATTCTTATTCCTTCTTCGTCTTCTTTCTCCTTCACCTCCTCCCACTCTCTCTCTTTATTTCATTTCCAGCTCAAGAACTTTTTTCTCCCGCTTTTTTGCCTTTTTGTATCTTCTTTCTTTCTCCTTCCACTCTTTTACGCTCCACTCTCAATTGACCTTGATCAGGACTCTCCTTCATCGATATCACTCAGGACAACAACAACAACAAAACATACCCAACAATAACAACAACAACAACAACAACAACAACAACCATCGACAAGAATATCAACCATGGACCCAGAAGACTCACCTGTAAGCACACCAAAACCAAAAAGAATATCAAACAACAATACCCGCCAGGCTGCATACTCACAGAAACAAAAGGACAAAAGGAAAACTGACCATCTCACCTACCCTTGGATCCGCCCATCACCTTTGTTAGGAATTGCCCCCCCTCAAGCGAGGCGCCTACGATCTCGACGCCATCCTCGCTGCCGCCGGAGAAGCCGAGGTAACACCACAACGAATCCCCCGTTCACAAACGCGCTATCGCCTGCTCCCCTTGCTGCCATTGTTGTTTGTTATAGGCCTTGTTTCTCTAATGCCCACTCTCGGTGCCTGAACCTTTCAATCAATTTAGTTTGCAATTCCACCACCTCCATCAAAGACGTCCTTCAACTCGTCGTCCTTCAACCCTTTCGCATCCTCATCGCCCTCAGCATTCAAATCTTCCTTCAACTCTTCCTTCAACACTTCCTCTGCTCCCTCAGCATCAGCTAGCATCAACAACTACGACGATAACAATAATAATAATGAAACGCCTGCGACCCCGCCTCCTGCAGCACCTCCAAAGGCCGTACCTGCTTCAAGACCCAAACCCCTTACTCGGAAACCATTAAACTCCTCAACCACATCAACAACAACCGGAACTGGTGGAACAACTACTACGACGACGGTAAAGCAGAGAGTCTCGACCCTCAGGAGCACGCTTAGCAAGTTCTCAGCACCCAAGAAAGCAGATCAGGAGCCTGTCATCGCAGAGACCAATATCGCTCCTAGTGCTGGTGTCGACGAGACGTTTGTTCAGGATCATGCTGACGGCATCTCGAATAACAACAACAGCACGAGCAAGAGCCACATTGGGAATCGAAGCATGTCAGAGGATCAAGCAGGAGGGAACAACGAGGACGGGAACGCTAGCATGGCGATCCTGTCGCCCACACCCTCGAATGGCAGCGCAGGCAGCGGGGGATTCTTCAAGTCTTCGAGACCCCTCCGGACAGTGCCCTTCAACAGAGTCGGCTCGCCAGGCTCACATCTGGATCCAATGGGTCTGGGAGCCAGCTCCCCTACACGCTCAGGCAGCCCCGTCAACCTCAGTGCGGGATCAATAGGAGGTCTTGCCGGAAACGACCTCGGAGTCTACTCGACTCCTTCCTCCTCTCGACCCACATCCCGTCCTACCTCTCGCCCTACATCCAGACCCAGCTCTCGTGTCAGCACCGGGAACGGCAAATACCACTCTCGTCAGCTCTCGTCCGACAGTCTGTCGTCGTTCAATGCCATGATCGGAAAGGAGGATCCTATGGGCATGGGCGGCGATGATGACGATGTGGACATCCACCATTCAGGACATGTCTCGTTTGTGGTCTCTGACCCAGAGCACTTACGGATCTTGGAGGGCGAGATTGAGGATCCCTTCAGCCCCAGTATGAGCGCCATCGATCTGGACGCAGACGCTTACCTCAGTAACCTGATGCAGCAATCGACTTCACCCTTTGCGTCTCGCAAGAGTAACAATACCTCCCGAGGTCAGTCTCCGGCTTTCAGAAGCCGTCGACAGCGGACGGCGGATAGTGCTACGACAACAGGAGAAGAGTCGTTTTTGGATTCGACCGATGATGCGTTGTCGGACGAGCTGCACCCAAAGCTCAGGACTTCTCGTACGGGGACGAGGACACCGTCAAGTCCTTTGGCGCGGGCTGTAACGAGGGGGAGCAGCCATTCTCCACGGGACCTTTCAAACGCGATTGGACAGTTGTCTTTGGACCAAGTCATGAGTGACAGTCAGGGCATGGATGACATTATGGACTCTTCTTTCCTGGATGGCGCCGCCGGTGCAGGTGGCAGGCCCTTTGCTGCCAGTCGGGGAGGCCCACCGTCGAACGCAGACAAGGAATCGCTGTCAAGTCGGTCACCGCCAGTCTCGAACGGCGCCGGACCTTCTGAACCTCCCTTGCCATTGTCGCCTGCTCCTGGGTCAGAGAATGGTCAGGGGGTCCACCCATTGGATAATCACCACGGAGGAGCTGGCGCTGGTATTTACTCGCACTTGGCCACTTCGCCCAGTCACCCTGCAAACGGCAGCAACGGCAACGGACTGAAGGACGACTTTTCTGATTCTAAGCAGCACCAGCGGCAGGGGTTTGATGACAAGGACCCTGTCGACATTAACCACGTCGAGGTCGATATCGTTGTGCAGAACGTTAATGTCCACGATGAACTCGAGTCTAGGAACAAGAACCAAAGTCCCAAGGTCCATCTGCATATTGATGACTCGGATCTGGACGACTCGGATGACAACATTCATTACAACCACTCTGTCTCGGAAGCCCTTGCCAACGAGGAGATGCAGCTCCACGACTCACTTGACATGCACGAGAGCCATGCCCAATCCTTTGCCGAATGGATGTCAAGCAGTGCCGAGATCTCTCGACTCGACATCAGTCCGCCTGTCAGTCACCCACCAGGATTCTTGCACAACCTCCACAACAACCAGCCGTTGCCTTCCTTTGCAGCCGCCCTGTCGTCGTCGGGAGCAGGTAGTTCAGGACTTTCGACAGAGTTGTTCCCTGCGCCACCAACTTTCTCGCCCCATACACCTCCATATGGAACCTCCCTCCTGGCGTCGACTAATATCGGGAACGCAAGCGTTCTCACCTCCTCTTATACCCCTACGCTATCGTCCCCCGAGGCGGCTTTTGCATCTCCTCAGCAACCACAACAATCCCCTTCATCGATAACGACCACCTCACCAACGGCGTCCAAGAAGGCTCAGATTCTCGAGAAGCGGTCACATTTATTGGAAGATTTGTTGTCCAAGGCCAGGGAACGGACCAAGAACAAGAACGAGGTCACTCAGCTATTGTCCCAGGTGGCCAGTGGCAGAGAAAAAGTGGTTGCGGCGACCAATGCTACTATGGAAGTGACATCCTCAACAACACCGCCTTCAACCTCCTCTTCCAAGGACTCTTTCGCCGAATCGACCGCCACTACTAATGGACCGTCAGTTACGTTTGCACTGACGGATGATGCTACTCTGGAAAGTGACAAGGACTCCCGGACATTGCACGATGATGACCTGGATATCGGTAGTGGCTCGGCAGGGAACTTGAGTGTCTTGATCGACAGGAAGGAAGGGGGGCTAGTGAGACGTCCCAGTGGCATGATGTTGTCCTCTCGTATCCGAGACTCAACTAACCTCGACGCGCCCCGCTACAGCATCCGTGAAATGGAGGTTCGTCCAATATGACATCGCGTTACAATGTTTTGTTCTCCTGTTCGTGTGTTGTACAATTATTTTTTGCTAACTTGATACATGTATATTCTTGCACGGCCACGGTGAATAGGATATGAAAAAGAATGTGCGGATGGACCTGCGTATCGAAATCACGAACGAGATCAGAGAGGAATACGAGCGTTCGGTAAGTCGTTTTCCGCTTTTCCCTTTTTTTTTTTTTTTTTTTTTTGCGATCCACAATCTGCCCTTCTTTCGAGTGATATGACTAGGAAAACTACGCATTTTTTCAGGCATCGCCTTTTGGCCTCGCCTGATTCACTAGCCAGCTCTAACTCTCCATACGTCATTTTTCAATGCGCATTGTTATTAACTCGCGTAATTCAATGCACAATGTTTACTTGTATTCTTTATCTTAGGCTGAACAAGAGGCGACGATATTCCAACAGGAGATAGAGGAATTGAGGGGGGCGCTGGAGAGGGAGAGGCGGGAAAAGTCGCAATTGAAGGGTGTCCTGGACGAATTCGAGTCGAGTCTTGCGGATATTGCAGGTATGTTCGATGAAGTACAATGCAAAAAAAGACAAGCACGCGCGACAAAACAAGGACGAAAGGAATACCAGCGCGCACACATGAAAAAGTGGACGACGGGATGCGTTTGAACCTATTTGGGGGCTGGGACGGGAGACTGTATCGGATGGTAGAGGGGAATGAACGCACTTTGTGTGTCCATGCGTGTATGTCTGTGTGAGGACGAATTGGTATTGTCCTGTGCTAATGGACCATTGGACAAACTCCTTTTTGGACTTTTTTCGCGCAATCATGACTCCCTCGTTTTTTGCTTGTCGCAACTTTTTTTTGTTGGATGAATAGTTTTTTCTCCGCGGAATTGTTTTGCTTTTTTTTTTTGGTGTGCGACCGTGCGTGAATGGGTATTTTTGCATAGCTTTGGCGGTTTGCGAGCGAGAGCCTCGTAATGGTGCATAATGGTGCATAATGGTGCTCGCGACAAGCTTTGGCCTGTTATCAACACTGGGCTGCTCATTTTATCAATCTACGGCCATTTTTTCACTTGCACTTGCGCTTTGTTGATTCCAGAAAGAAGACAAAAAATGAAAGTTGAGAGATGATGGCAAAAATAATAGGAATTCCAAAAAATTGGGCCTGCTAGATCGGCTCTTCCTAGTACCTGCCCAATGCGTAATTAATTACACCCTCATATATTAATTTCTTTTCTTTTGCACTTGTTTAGTGAGCACGGCAAATGAGATCCAGACAATCAAGGAACAAAACAGCAAACTGACTGAAAGTAGGGAAGAGACCGAGGAGGCGTTTATTCTGTTGAAGACGCGTTATGATGAGCTCAAGGCCCTGAACCACAAGCATGTCGAGGTAATGTATCTTGGGACCACACATGTACACTTACTCGGATATATATGCGTGCATGCCTTGGGAGGCGATAGGTTTTTTTTTACGCAGATCGCGACTTTTATTGTTTTGTGTCGCATCAGGGAAGGAAAGAGGAAGGAGAGCCGAAACGATGCAGGGATGATCAGCACTTTGTTTTTGATGACAAGTATTAGAGTGGGATAAAACAAATGTACTAACTAGGTTCTCCCTACTCTCAATTGTCTCCTCTCTATCTCCCTGCTTCTGCTTCCTCTTTTCTTATTTTCTGCGCCTCGCGCACCATCCCCATCTACATCTCCATCCCACCGGTCTATCCCCATGTCCAACCTATCTCGCTTAAACCAATAGAACGAAGGAATTCTCAGGAACGCAGTTGAGTCTCTCAAACAAGATTTCGAAACCTCCGAAACGCGGTACGAAAAAGTCAAGGCCCACGCGGACGCGAAATTCGTCATCGCATCGCAAGAAATGGAACAAACTCGTGTCGTGTTCGAGAACGAGGTAGCAATGTTGAAGGGCCAATTGAGTCGACAGGAAATGCAGATGCGGACGTTGGAACAGGCGTTGGAGATCAAGAACAAGGAGAATGAGGATTTGATTCTCTTTAGTGAGGAGTTGATTGCCAAGCTTAGTTAGTTTTTGGTGAAAGGGGAAGGGAAAGAATACAGCCCTTTTTTTTTTTTTTTTTTTTTCTTTTGATCGAAACATTGGGTGGTTCGTTACAGTTTTTCCTTGTTTGTTTTGGATGATTTTGGCTTGCTTGCTTGATGGCGCGGTCATGCTACTGTGTATGAGCAAGCCGCACTAAGATTTATAACAAATTGATTAAACAATAGCAGTAATAGATAGACTTGTGCGATAGCCGCGAACGCAGGCATGCTTCTAATGGAAAAAAGAAAAGAAAAAGAAAAAGAAAAATGAACATTGGGGTCGAAAAACGTGGTCGAAAACAATAGAGGGCAATGTCATTGGTGATGTGGTCAAAGAAGGGAGCGAAAAGTCGGGTGGTAACGCAGAATGCGACTCCCTTTCGGCGCTTTCTTGGTCAATCTTTCCCGTGCCTGTGCCTGTGCCCCGTGCCCGCCGCACGAACCTTTGGTTTGTTGTATTTTTATCTCCCTTTTCTCTCCACGATTGCAAGCTTTGTTTGAAGAAACAAGAGGGAGATAGAGAGAGGTGGATCACAAAAATAAAATAAAAAAAAAATAAAAAAAAGGCCAACGGAAGCTCAAACGCTATTTGCGAAATCATCTGGCACTTGGTGGTTCATAGTTCCTTTGTGTTTAGATTGGTGGACAGACATTCGCGCTGTGTGTAGCAAGAAATGTAATATTTCGTATTGCCTGAGGAAAACGGAGAGAGAAAGAAACGTGCGATCGATCTATTCTCCTTTGTTTTATCCTGTTGTAAAAATGATGGATTGAGCCGTACTGCACCAGGGAGGAGGCAAAATGCCCCGTGTAGGCAGGGTTAACAGGAGAAGGGAGAGGGGAGAACAAGAAGATGAGCAATGCGATGGGTGAGCTGGAACAAAGGGGGTTCAAGAAGAGAGAGGAGAGGGGCGAGAAAGCGGAAAACGTAAACGAACGCATTTTTTATTTTTTTGCGGGTTGGTTGATAAGCACCCACCCACCTGAAAAGGGTTAAGAGATTGACAGAACAGAACAAAAAAGAGAGGCGCAGGAGGACGGAAAGCGCGACAATAAAAAAAAAGGAAGCGCAAAATTTATGTAAATGGCAATTGCATGAACTGGGAATATTCAATTGGCAGATAGACGGGGTTGGTTTGTCGCAAATGACGAATGACGGCAAATCCGCGACAAGTCTCGATTAATAGCCCTTCTGGACCCATCGGATTATGAATTGAATTGATATGAAAAAAAAAAAGTGCGAGAGAGATTCACAGGACGCAGACACAAGGCGCAAGTGTGTTCGTACCATACCATGTCATACCACACACAGCACTCTCCCTTTTTTCCCTTCCATCAGGTCACACTCCAGCTCATCCGCTCCTCCTTGCCTTTCTCCTCTGTCCCTCAGCCAGTAACAGCCAGCCAGCTACATCAACACAATCAACCCCTTCCTTCCTTCAACAATAAGCGCTTTTAGAACAATAGCCAACTCTATTATAACCGGATTGTATCCTTTTCCACATCACTCCATACACTCCCATCAGCACAACAAGCAATTACTTGTTTGTTGTTTGTTTTTGGTCGGATTTCGCACTCACGCTCATCAGTCCATTCGCACTTTGCACTTCGCACTTTGTCAGTCGCCCATTGCTCTCTCGCTCTTCTGCCCCTTTGGTTTCCCTTCCTCCTTTTCTCTTCTCGTCGTCCTTCCTCTCCCACTCCTCCCCCTCCCCTTCTTAAAAAGACTGTCTGCCTCGATACCATGGCCCACCTTCCTCCTCCTCTTTCTTCGGCACATTCGCCTCTTCTTCATATCAACAACAACGCAAGCGCCTCTTCTTCCTCCAATTCTCTCCTTCTTGCGCCAGAGATCGACGTTGATCATCAAATTATCAACAGCAGCAGTAATCCATCGACATCCTTCTCCTCTCCTTCCTCCAATATCTTGCTTTCCTCCGCAGACCCTCTCTCTCCAACTCCAACCCTCGGTCAACAACAACTCCTGCAAAAGTCTTCATTATCCTCCACCAATTCCTCTTCCCTGTTCAACAACAGCATCAACAACCCTCTCCTGTCCCAACAGCAACGACAACAGTCGCTTCTCCTTCAACAGCAACATCAGCAACTACAACAACAGCAACCGCAAGGGATACCTTTTTTCCCTGCCTCACATATCAGCAAGCAACAGCAACTACAGTCATCACAGCCACTGCCACAGCAACAGCTGCAAGACGAATTTGAACAACAGCGATTCACACTGCAACAACACCATCTGCAGACACAACTCCAGGTGCAGCGGATCCAACTCCAACAGCGCAAACGCCTCTTTGATCAACAACAACAGGCACAGCAGCAGCAGCAGCAGCAGCAACACTTCACCACTCTTGCGACAGGCACTGGCACTGGTACAGTTACAGCTACAGCTATCGACACGAGCGCGCTTACTCCTGAAATCAAAGTAGAAGACCCATACATCCAACAGGAAAAGGTATTTGCTTCTGAGCGACACCATTCGGCACCCTCTCTCCAATTCCAATCCTCCGTATCGCAACCGCAACCGCAACCGCAACCTCAAGCGCAACCGCAACCTCCATTTATTCAACAGCTTCATCCTCAACAGCAGCAACAGCAGCAACAGCACACTTTTCCTCTTTCTTCTCTTCCTTCTTCCAACTTTGCTACGTCCTCCTTCCCGGCTGTTCATCCTCTTCATCCCCTCTACGCCCTCCATCCTCATCAACTCTCCTATCCAACCCCACCTCAATCGCAACAGCACCTCCAATTACAGAACCCTGCCATATTTCCTTCCAATCCTCTTCTAAACACTTCTTCTTTTGCCACCATTCCTACCTCTGCTTCTTCCTCTTCTTCTTCAATTGCTTTGCCCACCATAAAGTCCGAGTTTACGTCGTCGAACTCCACTATTTCATCAATGGGTGTCCTTGCCATGCCTCCCTTCCCCCTCCACTCCCACCACCACCCTTTCACATTCTCCTCCAACTCTTCCACTCAGCAACAACAACAGCAACAGTACCTGTCTCAACAACAAGAAGCACACTCGACTCGACACCATTCCTTCCCCTCTGCCTCCAATCCCACCACAGACCACTTTCAACTCTTTCAGCAACAACAGCAGTTGTCGAATGGTCAATATTCCTCCACCGCTTCGTCCTCGGGCTTGCATGCACCGACAGACATCTCTAGCCCAGCACAGTCACAACAACAACCCATGCATACGCCTTCCTCCTCGGCACAGCAACACCACATCACACATCCCTCGTCCGTATCGCCTTCGACCTCAACCGTTTCAACGGTCTACTTTGGCGGCATGGAAAATGATATGACACCTGCGAGCTCTGTCCTCGATATTAGCCAACGCGATCTCCACAACAACAATGCGCCATCCCCCGCCGCTGGTGAGACATCCAACAGTCAACAACAACAGAGCGGTGCCTATCTGTCATCGTGGGCTAAGGCTGATGGTTCGTTGATTAATCGCACCCTCACCGTCCCTGGTGACAACACCACCTGTAAGTTTTTTTTTTGCCAGTATATGATCACGCGTTTCTTGTCCTCTTTTGTTTCTGCGATATGGGGTTGCGATTTGGTTAAGTATTGGGCATATATAAATAAGGACGTTGGCGGAGAAATAAGAAAGGGTTTAATCGTGATGGGGCACAATCGCAACTGGCGATTGAATTAAGGTGGAGGGAAGGCGGCTGTGTGATATTTGTGGTTTCTGCGACAATTTTTTCGTTCGTTAGAGTGCGCAATTTTTTAGCCGAGTAGAAAAATACAAGAGATCAAAGTCAGCGAAAGTTGGGATCTTGGTTGCGACAAAATACTAAAGGAGGGAGGGAGGAATGACTGGAAAAAATGGGTGCTTATGTATGTTGTCGCTGAATGTCAAGGATCGCGGTCTCGCAGAATTGCAGAAGGAAGTTTATGGCTGGGTTCAAGGAATGTCTACTACTATTAAAGCTACGACGACTACGGGTGGATGAATAAGAGTGATACAATCGGACAGAAAGTGAAGGAGGAGTGAGAAAGGAACAAGGCAGATCATCAGGGCGTCAAAGTTGTTTTCTAATAACAAGTTATGTACCATTGACTCTTAACACTCCACAATTACACTTGACACTAATACCGCCCCTTTGTTGTTTTCCCATGCTAACTGTATATCTACAACTAGTGGATGAGGTCATGCGTCGTCTGTCGCACTCGAGCGCAGGGAGCGAGATGAACACGATCCGGCCTGCCAGTGCTACCAGTATGTTAGACGATGTAAGTGCTCTTTTGGAAAACAGAGTGTTTGTTGTTAATTCCTTTGCATGCATACAGTTGTATGAAGTTTTGTTGTTTCTGTCTGTTTGTGCGTTCTGCACTGTTTCTTGTCTGCATGCGGCTCTATCCCTTCCATCGTGTCCCCTCCCTTCCAATACCCTTCACACACTCTCTTTTTTTTTCTTTGCGATTCTGCGATTGTTTGCGTCCTATTATATAAATACACAAACGCTCATTTCAAGTGCGGTTATATGTTGGTTGCCCAGACCACGGCTTGTGATTCTGGGCGGAATATTTTCTTCTTCGTTCTGTTGCAATTGCGCGCTATGGCTCTTTCATCAAAGTTGTGCGGTTATCGCCTTCGGGCGGATTTTGCTTTCTTCGTTATTATAGCCTTTCCCAGGGATGATGAAGAAGAGTGAGAAAGACGATCCTCACTGTCAATCGTCTCTTATGATAGTTCCTTGTTCCCCCCTTCTCTCTTTCTCTCTCTTCTTCCCTTCCTCCCTACTTCCCTTGTATGCAATCCCTATCCCATCTCTACCTCTCCTCTCCACTCCTCTCCTCTCTGTCGGTCTCTCTCTACCCCTTCAATTCTGCTCTCACCACGACTCTCTTCATGTACATAAACCATCAAGTATCCACTATTCCACATCGACGCACATTCTCATACTATCTCCTCAACAACAATAACAACACACACAGGCACCAATTCCTCCACCTTCTTCAACTTCCTCGGCTGTATCTTTTCACACACATCCACACACACACACGACACCCTTTTCACTTTTTGTTCCATCTATTCGGATCTCTGGGAACCATCGCCCAATTGCATCGACACTGCCTCCTTTCTAATCTCTAATATCTTTCCCTCCATGCACAAACAGGGCGACATGGCAGCATATTCACTCGAGGCAAGGATCATCCAAAAGAAGGACCAGCTCGAGGAACTCTCAGCTACAGGAACCATCATCCCAGCACCCACGGTCGAGGAAGTTCGGACAGGGCAACAGTTCCTGATCAAGATCCACCTCTCCAGGAACAACAGCGCCACTCTCCCCTCGAGGTTCCCGGCCTTGCGTGTGGGTCGTCGCGAGGCGATTAATACTGCAGGCGAGGCGCGTTCAGAACCGGAGCCGTTGACACTCGAGATTGCGGTCCATTTGGCCAAGAGTGGGCAGACCCGCAAGGGTGCCTGTGCTAAATGCTGCCACAAGGTAATTAATTAATTCCCTTCGATCATTCACCATGTGCCCGCCTTCATTCCTTTCTCCAGCTTATTCATTCCCATACTCGCCCGCCCTTGAGCGATATGTTCATTTGTCGCAGTTTCTCTCACCGTCGAGCGTCCACTTCTCTTTCATGCTACTCCTCAACCTTCTTTCGCCTTCGCAGCAACATCTCACATCCATGCACAACATCGTCATCATACCATCTGGTTTTTCGCACACACAAAAAACAAACAACAAAGCGCGCCCCTTCAATCGCAACCAATTCCATTGCTCTGTCAAGGTTTTCTTAGGAGTATCGCGATTGCATCGAACACCACCATCTCTTTCATTTTCCTTTGTCCCCTTTTACTTCTCCTTCCCTTCGTCTATTGCATATTTTTCCGCGGTTTTTTTTTCATTTTCGCCCCTTGCATTGTCTCTGCTTATGTTACATCTCTCACTTCTCCACCCTTTATTTCACTCTCCAATTCATCCTTTTCTCTCGTCCCCTATGACCACTCACTCATACTCACCTCACCCTACACCATCACCTATCTATCTAATAGTACGGACCATCGTCGCCAATTCTGGTGTTATTGGACCCACTGTCACCGTCCGCGACCGACCCAGCCTCATACGCACACGTCGACACAACCTCAGGATCGATCACAATGCTCGCAAAAGTCCTCTGCTCCTCGACCGACCACGGCGAACGTGGCAACAAGGACAGGTACATTTTCGAGTTCCGACTCAAGTCCACCAGTAGTATGCCCCTCATCGCCTCCACCACTGTGCTATCCGACAACAACTCTCCAAGAACCTCCGAAGCACCGGAAGATGAGGGCGATACTGTCTCGAGCTGCTTTACCCAACCGATCATGTGCTCTGGTCACCACAAGGCTAAACGTGTTTACCCACACCAGCGGCCTATTAAGACTCCAAAGGGGATCCCGACACCCAAGACCAAGACGATTAAGCGCCACAAGAGTGTACCAACCATCACGATGCCTCTACAAGGAAATAGTAGCACTCATGCTGACAGGGCTGGTGGTGATACTTCGTCGTCTTCGGATTATTTACAGGATAGTGCCGGTGGTCCCTTGTCGTTCCTGCCAGATCCTCTATCGCAGTTGAATAATTACTCGCATCATCCTCACCACCCACATCACCAACACCAACAACAACACGAGCAGGAGCATCACCACAATCTTCACCAGAACGATCTTAATTCTCGGTCACATAGTCTTGACAACCAGGGTCATTCCTTCGTATCAACTTCATCAACTCTCTCAAACAACGACGACGACTCTGCCCATACACCAACAACATCAACAAGCAATGCCAACTCTCATGGACTTTCGGACCCCATGCAGCAACTACCCTGCCCAAGGATCATTGAAGTCCGGCCGGACCATGGACCTATCCGCAAGGCGACCGATGTGGTATTACGCGGGCTGGCGTTCCGGGAAGGGATGGTGCCCTATTTCGGATGTTTCCCTGCTCGGGATATCGTTGTCGAGACGAGTAACCTGATGGTCTGCAAGGTGCCCGAGAGCCCCCTCCCTGGCACGGTCACGATTGCGATCTATGATCATCTGGGCAACAATTTTTCGGATCTGAGCTCATTCACGTACACGGATGATAGTGAAACCGAATTGTTGATCTTGCAGTTGCAGCTGAGGTTGGCGCATCGTGCGTTGGAGTATATGCACGCCAGGGCGACAGGGCAGAAGGGGAACGCGGTGGATATTTTGAAGGATATTCCTGGTTTGGCGACTTCCCCTCGGTCCGGAAGTGTGTTGATGATGGATGCCCCTGACAGTGGATTGTTGGATGAGGTCAGTGAGGCTGTGATGACATCTTCTGAAGGAGAGGAGGTGGGTGAGGATATCCCGTTGATGACGTTGGCGCAGATCGAGGAGAGTATCTTGAGCACTCTTGACAACGTCCCCCGCGGAATGGACATCTCTGTGCAGCTGGATGATGGAACCAACTTGTTGCATTTGGCGATCTTGTTGGGACTCAACTACCTCGCGGTCAGACTTATTGAGGAGGGCTGTGACCTCGAGGCGCAGGATGTCTGGTCGATGACTCCTCTTATGTATGCCGTTCTTAAGAGCAACGAGGTCATTGCCCGCATTCTCATCATTGGTATGCTCCCTTTTGTTCTTTGGCCCATTTTTTTTCTCATTTTCATATTCTCCGAGGCTGCATAATTAATGTGGACTGTGCGCTAATTACTACATATTAATTGTCCTGTGAATTAATATAATAGCGGGAGCAACGAGTTCGGGAGCGAGCACGCCACAAGCGTTCTACGCGCGGTTACCCCGGACCGTGGAGCCTACACAGTCCATGTACAACTTCTTGTCGGTCAGTTGTACACGCTTCTCGGGATCGTCTCGTCTCTACACCGTCGAGACCCCTTCGTCTATACAGGATTCCGAGATGACAGAGGAAGAAGAGGAGTCGATAGAGGCGAGCTCGGATGGTTCTGTCGAGGTTGCTCCTTCTGCTTCTGCCGCGGTCGTCGTTGCTGACAAAGTGGAACCGTTGCCTGAGCCGACCTCCTCCAACATCAGCAAATCTTCTGAAGGAGACGACAAGAAGGTTAAGCAGGAGCCATTACCCTATCTGGCGACAGCTATGCAAGGTATCCGCACAACACCGTTCATGCCCCCATTGGATGAACAGGACTTGCCACCTATGCACACGGTCGAACAGGATGGGTCGGTGACGATCAACACCAAGGTCATCCTCGGAGCTGATTACTATGGCAGTCAAGGAGCTGATTACTATGGTAGTCATGGACCGGAGCTGTTCCGGAACGTTCACCCGGAATCGGGATACCATTCTGGAGTCTATTCCGAGGTGCAGGAGCAGTTGAATCGGTTGCATTTGACCACCCTCCCGTCACAGGGTGTCCAGATGGAGGTTGCGCTCAAGCAGTTAACCCCCACTTCGACTTCTTCGTCCGCAGCAGCAAGACAGCGATCGGTGGCGGTGAATATGATGCGTTCGATGCCGGCGTTAGAGTTGTTCAGGACTGGGGATACATTTGGAGTCGAGATCCGGCTAAAATCGACAGATCCTCGTGTGCCAATGCCGAAGGAGTTTTTGGGGTTGAGGTTCCCGTATGAGATGGTAAAGCGAGTTAGTGGGCGACCGGCGTCTATCTTTACAGAGATGACGTATATCCTGAGGGCGTCTGTTGAACTCGGCAAGAGCTCTGTACCGCTTTCGACTTTGACTACTACCACGTCTGACCAGGTTCAGGAGCATGAGCATATGGAGGGAGAGGAATCGCAATATGGAGACGGGATCCCGTTGATCGGAACGTGCCAGGCATGCTCCAAGTTCTTGCACGAACACAAGCAGCTGTCCCCTACCAGACGGTCCCCGTCTAACCCCTCGTTCTATCCCGTCCTCCAGTTCAACATCCCTGGCACTTCCACCAACTCCACTACTACTGCCACTAGTGCTAATATTGCCGTAGCAACAGCGGCAGCGCAAGCTGTGGCCAGCAGTGCAGGAGTTGTAGAAATGAGGGACGGAGTGTGCGAAGTCAAGGCAAAAGTCAACTGCTCGAGCCTGCACCACCTCGTCCAGCGCGAGAAGGCTCGTCGTACTGCCGAGCTCAAACTGCGCCGTCAACAGCAGGAGCAGGAAGCTGCATCCTCCCCCCTCACCCCGGCCGCCGCCGCCGCCACTCCTTCTAAACCTTCAGAGTCCTCTTCGACGGGAGTGAAGGCGAAGAAGTCGTCGTCGTCGTTGTCAATGGCAGATCTGAAGGACCCCGGGTTCGTATTCAAGTTTGAGATTGTTCATCCTGTTACTGGGGAGGTTGTTGCACGGAGTGAGACCAAACCGATTCTTTTCCAGAGTTATTCCCGTGGCCGCAGTTAGATGAGTGAGGAGGTTGCAGGAGCGGGTTGTGCGCGCAAGGTAGTCGGAGCGCAAATAACACATGCATAGTACAGTACATTTTTAATGACCACGAAATACCAAAACAAAAAATTTAGCATATCTCATTAGAAAAACCTAGCAAAAATAACGACAAAAAAGCATTATTTCATCCAATACGATATTGTGTCCTTGTTTAATGGGATATATGAGTAGCATGCGATATGATATACTTGGTGGTGGTAGTGGTAGAGAAGGGTCCTTCTTTTTTTATGAGGCGATGATGTCGTCGATCTTGGAGTCGGTGGGAGCTTCTCTGACGATAGAGGTGATTGTGACGGTGGGGGTGAGAGTGGGTGAAGGGAATTGTCCAGGATGAGAAGTTGCACATTCAGGTGAGGCTAGTGATTCTGCTGGGGCTACTTGCTCTGGTGCTTCCTCTTCAATGGAGGATGAGGAGGAAGGTGCTTCAGGCGAGTAGTCGACATGGACGACGGAATCGGGTGTGTTGGTATATCCCTGTCCCTGTCCCTGTTCCTGTCCTTGTTCCTGTTGCTGTCCCTGTTCCTGTTCTTGTTTCAGGGGAATGATTTCTTCAGCTTGTATTGTCGCTGTCGTTTCAACAATGTCCTCGGCGTTGGTGATGGATGCAGGAGGCTGAAGAGCAGTAGAATTGGGGAGCTCGACTTCCAACAGTGGTGGTGATGGTGCCACGGCGGTTGGTGCATCATGTACATCTACGGCGACAACAGAAGAAGTCGTGTCGACCGCAAGTTCTACCCTCGACATGGATGTCGCCTCATCTAGGGCGGGCAAAGAAACAAATCCAGATATGCCGACAGCGGTAGCGGTGGTGGCGGTAGAGAGGCGATTAAGAGAATTGTGTCTGGAGAGGGTTTGCGCGATGACCTCGAGGGATTTCTCCATCTCCGTTTGCTCCTTGACGACTGGATGTGATATGGTGCTTTGTAGACCTGTTGGGTCCTGTTGACTTGCCAATGATGATGGACTGGTGATGGGTAAAGGTACTAGGTGTGGTGGTGTCGAGGTTGTGGGGGTACATAGTTCTGTGATGACTGTTGGGATCACTCCATGTTGCTGTCGGTCTCCTAATGGTGGTGCTGGCGAATCTGACGGCACTTGTCCCGCTTGCTGTTGCTGATGCTGCTCATCTACTATATGGCCAGCGGTTTCTGGGGCAGCTTCGGAGGCAGAAGTAAGAGAAGGATCGAGGTTATACTCGCGCCTCTTATCGATCGCCTTTTGTTTACTTATCTCCTGCTGCCGCCGCAACCCATCCAGATCCTGAATCACCTCCGGTTCAGCACTCGCTGGGGTCGATACTACCTTTTCCAGCTTCACCGTGCCCTGCGCCTCTCCTCCGACTTGTGTGCCGTCCTGTCCAGCGTCTGGAACTGTGGGTCCCGCGCCTTGTTTTCCGGCGAGTTTCTGTTGCGTCTTCTCTTCGGTCTTGTCGAGTTTTTCTTGCCTCTTTCGTTCCTCTTTCTCCTGCTTTTCTCGCTTATTATCCGTCTTTTTGTCCTTCTTCCCGCCCTTGTTGGGAGGATCGTCCGAGGAGGAGGAGTGGTGGGGGGTAGAGCGGGAAGAAGTAGCAGCGGAGCGTGAGGATCGAATGGAATCCCAGTGGACCATACTGGGTTCTAGGGGCAGTTTATCGAAATGCCTGCAATTGTTCCGGATCCATGTCGTATACTCTGATCGCACTGCGTTTGCGTCCAAATCCCAATGTGCTACATGATACAGGTGATAGAAGTGGTGTTAAATTTGTAAGACGCGAAATGAAAACAAGTAACGAAAAAAAAAACCCGGAAACCTACGATCGTGCATATTGTCCTTCCAGGATTTGAACCTAAAGTTCGATGGCTGGAGTTTAAGGAGCTGGGAGGAGAGGGTTTGGGTTGCCTGGTAGGAGCAGATAGGGTCGTTTGTCCCGTGGAGGAGGAGTATTGGTAAAGGGGCTGGGAACTTTTTCCAACGCTTCTTGAGGACTTTCTGTCCCTGGTATATCATATCCCCCACTATGTTGGTCGAGAAAAGAGGATTAGCTTCAGGGTTCCCAACTGAATGACAGACAACAAGAATGAAATGACGAAAAATGAGACACGTACGGCATTGAAGGGAGACGGAGTCACGAATAAGTCCATCCCCCAGAACCCTCTCCATCTCGCCCAAATCCCTCGTCAACTCCTCCGCTTGTATCCTAAACCCGACACTGACATTCGGGTACCATTTCCCTAACCGATTATAAGTACTCGGAAACCTCGATCCGGCTCCTCGCATAGTCGGCTGGAGATATGGGGAGGAGGAGATGATGCCTGCAAGGAGCGGGGTACGTTGTCCAAGACCGCAGACGTAGTTTAGGACAAGGGCTCCGCCCATGCCGTGGCCCATTAGGAAGATTGGGAGGGTTGGGTGGGTGTCATGGGCGCGGTCTATTGCGCTGTCGATTTCTTTTAGTAGGACATCGTACCTATTTTTTTTGTTGTTTGTGGTTGGAATGAAAAAAAAGGGTCAGATCGCGAATCCGACCGGCGGAGAAAACGAATTGGTCTAATTTGAACTGTAAGTGAGATTACCCGCCAGTGATCCCGTGGGCTTCTTCACGGGCTCCCGTCTCACCAAACCCGGGTAAGTCAAACGCCTGAACTTCTATCCCCCTCGCGGCGAACTGAACAAACAGCGGCAGATACCTCTCACAATGCTCAATAATATCATGCACGAACCTACGAGAACATTAAATATGAATCAAAGCGGTCAGATCTTGTTCAAACTATATGAAAAAAATAATATGCAAACCTTCCCTTTGAATGACATCAAAGAGCATACACGACAACGGAGAGAACGGGGATGTTGAGGGGCTGCCATGTCTTTGTGAATATATGGATTGAGTCGCCTGCACTGCGGACCCACTGGTTCCGGACCTGACATAGCTTTTCGGGTTCGAACGTTTTGTGTGTTGATAGGCTGGTTGCGCTGGTGTTGGAGATGAGCGAGGGAGCTGTGTTGGCTATTGTGTGGGGGGTAGTGAGGGTCCCATGGGAGCCTGAGAATGATACTCCTGTTGGTTGTGTGAATGGCATATTGGAGAAAGGTGTGTGTATGTGTGTGAACGTGTTGATGAAGCGGGCAAGTAGGGGGATACAGGGGGTTCTGAGATAGTGAAGCAATGAGAGAAAGTAAATGGATGGGGGATCTGGTAGATGGAGGGTGAAGGTATGACGATCAACGGAAAAGAAGAGGGAGAGTGAGAGCGGAGAGAGGGATGAGGAGGGATGGCGTATATTGTCTACTGTTCGCCTCTGTACCCGATCATTAAGAAAAGTAAAGAGAAAAAAGGAAAGTAAACGAGCGGAAAATAATCACAACGGCTACAGAGAGCAGATACAGATCGCACATTTGTAAAGTGGTCATTGCAATTTTCTTCTCTCACAGGGCGAAGTGGAACTCGATATCTTTGTTTTTTTCAATTGAAAGTAGACCTGGTGCAGAGTGGCATCACCGGCAGCAGCCTTTGTGGATGCAATTGGGGAATTGCTTGTGGAGAGTCCATGCTGAGGCTGTCTGTGCGTAGTTGCTCTTTATGAAAGAGCGAGTTGAGGAAGGAGGGATGGGATCCACCATGCACAACAAATCGCGTGAAGCTTCAACGGCCATGAGCATTGGTGCTATTATGAAAGCATAATTGGGCAAACGACAAATGCAGATAACGGGTACGCTCACCGTTTTTGGTCGACCGATAGCCACAGAGGCCCACAACGACTAGAGTGAGAGATAAAGGATGCTACGCTGTTGGTGAACAGGTTGGGATCCATTGGAATGCGCATCTGTGTGTCCATCATATAGACACACACATGTGCACAAGTTTCCAAGCAGGCTGCCCCAAAAGCACCACACCATCACTCATTTTCTTTTTTCACCTCTTTTCCCCTCTTCCATTCTTTCATCCCGCACATACATCTTATACCAAACATATACCCTCCATCCTCCCCTTCCTTCAACCCTTACTCTACCCTTTTTCTTTTGAACAACCTACTCTTGCCACCTACAACTTTTTACGACCAACTTTACGACCCAGCACAGACCCTTCCTCATCCCCTGCCCCCCACGCATTTATACCATCACCCTAACCTATCACCCCTTTTTCATCACCAACAACACAAAAAACAACATGGGATTCGCACAGGACTTGAAGCGCAAGATAGAATCAATCATAACCGGAGGAGGAAGCGCATTCAAGTCAGGACCCAACACCCCCACAGGAGGCATGGTCACCGCCAGCGGACCCCTCGACGACTATGGTTACACCAAAGGTCACCACCAACACAAGGAGGACCCCTACTACAACACCGACAACAACAAGTCCCCCGTCCCCTCAATGATGTCGACCAAATCTGCAAAGGCTGCCAGTTACCAGGAGCACAAGAAGAACAAGTTCTCTAGAAGCAGCGGCCTAGGAGGAGGAGGTCCAGGAAGAGACAGAGATAGAGGGCATCTTTCTCCGATAGCGACACGGTCGACGTTCAACGGGATTGGAGGCGGGGGCTCGTTCACGAACCTGATCCATGATGATTACCGACCCTTGATGGATGAGTTGAAGGATACATATAGGAGAAAGATCCGGCCTTTGGAGACGACATATAATTTTGAGGGGTTCCATTCTGCGCCGTTGTCGGATAGTGATATCGAGGCCAAGCCTATGGTTCTCCTCCTGGGACAATACAGCACCGTATGTCTTGTTGTGTCTCCTTTGTTTGTTGCTGTTGCTGTTTGCACGACATGGGCGTGCATGCATGAGAGACTGTTCGCTAACGTTTTTTTTTCTTCTTTGCTGCATGAAATGGCGTGGCAAAAAGGGCAAGACGACGTTTATCAAACACCTCACGGAGTGTGACTACCCAGGATCTCACATTGGCGTCGAGCCCACAGTAGGTTGCATCTTTTGAACTGGATCCTCAATTGGCTACGTTATTATACCACGCTACCATGTTCCCTTTAACTCACTTTCCTCTCCATATGAACATACATAACCAAAATAGACGGACAGGTTCGTGGCAGTGATGAATGGAGTAGAATCTCGCGTGATTCCTGGAAACGCGGCGGCAGTAACAGCCGACATGCCCTTCCGGGGTCTCAACAAATTCGGCCAAGCCTTCCTCACCCGGTTCCAAGTCTCCCAATGTCCCTCCCCACTCCTCGAAAACATGACACTCATCGACACTCCCGGGATCCTGGCCGGAGACAAACAACGGGTCGAACGTGGATACGATTTCACAAAGACGATTGAATGGTTCGCAGAACGGGCGGATCTGATCCTGTTGTTTTTCGATTCGCACAAGTTGGATATCTCGGATGAGTTCAAGAGCTCGATTTATGCGCTCAAGGGTCATGAGGAGAAAGTGCGAGTAATTCTGAACAAATCGGATATGGTGAACCAGCAGCAGTTGATGAGGGTTTATGGGGCGTTGATGTGGTCGCTGGGGAAGGTTATTCAGACGCCGGAGGTGATGAGGGTCTATTTGGGGTCATTTTGGGTTAATAGGCCGCCGAATGCGTTTGAAGACTGTCGGTCGTTGTTGGAAGCCGAGCAGGCAGATCTGATCAAGGACCTGAGGGATCTCCCTCGCAATGCTGCAATTCGGAAAGTCAACGAGATTGTCAAGCGTGCCCGGTTGGCCAAGGTGCACGCGTACATTATCGGACACCTCAAGAAGGAAATGCCAGCGGTCTTTGGAAAGGCTTCTCGACAACAGGAACTGATCCGGGATCTGGACAAGGAGTTTACGAAGGTTCAGCAGATCCATGGAGTCCCCGAGGGCGACTTCCCAAACGTCGAAAAGTTCCGCCAGTCGTTGAGGGCCTACAAGTTCGAGTCGTTCTCCAAGGTCAAAGAACCCATCATGTCCGTCGTCGAAGAGGCCTTATCCATCGACCTGCCCAAACTAATGCGCCGATTCCCGCAAGGGAACCCCCTACTGGAACAAGCCCAAAAGAACCCCTTTCTCATCCCAGAGTCCTCATTGCAGCTAAGTCCAGGCGGAGAGATCCCACCAAGCTACTGGCACTTTTCGTCAGTCGACAAGGCGAGTTCGATGCCAGTATTCATGTCGTTACACCCGGTCGAGGGGCGGATCAATGGGTCCACTGCAAAGCCGTATCTGATGAGCACGGGGCTGTCGATGGAGGTGTTGGCGAAGGTGTGGACGCTTGCGGATTGGGATTCGAATGGGTATCTGGACGAGAATGAGTTTGCGGTCGCAATGCATTTGATCCGGGCGATTGAAAATGGAGGTGGCGAGGGCGTCTTGCCCGAGACCTTGCCGCGTTCTATGATACCTTATGCCCATTAGGTCTAGGCCTAGTTACTTTCACGCGTTTTTCTAAACAGAAGCATTGAAAAAAAAAGACATTTCATACTTGCACTGTTGCTATCAACGTGATTCAAATGAGCGTGTTTGTCCCACTGACAACCCATGGACCTTTGGACTAGCGAGAGAGAAAAATCTCCTTTCGCGGAGAGTGAGCAAGGTCCTGACTTACCTGACCTTTTAATTCACACAGTCACCGTGTTTCGTTTACAGGGGCTACGACATGGAGGCGCGTTTAATTATACCACCCAAAAAAAAAAAAAAAAAAAAAAAAAAAAAAAAAAAGTTTAATTTATACCAAACTTTTGCCACTTCCATCACTTCATCACAACCCTCTCTCTGCTCATTTACAAACTCACACACATCCTCTCTCTTTCTCTCCTACTCAACAGAGATGGACTACCTGTCAACTCTTATTCCGGAATGCCTGGACCTAATCATCACCCACCTCCTCCTCGACAACCGACAAGCAGACGTCGCAGCCCTCCTCCAAGTCAACAAGACCCTGGCCGCCGAGGCCCTTCGACACCTCTACGCCGACCCCTTCCAACACCCCTTCCATCCCCCTGCCGAGGATTATTATTGTGGGAATGAGGATGAGGAAGTGGACCTAGAAAAGGTGAAGAAGGGCCCGCTGGGGACTGTTGATGCCCTAGCGCGGATGTTACTTGCACGTCGTGGTGTCCTTGGTTCTGTACCTGAGGTCGTGGCTGTTGTCTTTCCTGAACTCGCTGCTGTTGCTGTTTCCCAGGACACCAACACTCTTGCGAGTCCCAATAGCAATCCGCTCGACTACTTGACACATATCCGCCACCTCAACCTCTGCATCCCTATTGCATACACCTGGCAGCACGAGGTCTTGCACACAGCCCCACCAGCAACTCTGGAATACATCCAGAAGGAAGAATTCCGGCACACCTGTGGGGCTGAGGACATGTTGCTCAGTTGTCGAAGACGACTTAAAATGGTGGATGACCCTTCGCCGTTGTATCATGAGTTCTTCCGGGTTCAGCTGATGAGGGAGGTCAATTGGATGCTTGTCAACAGTCCCTGCGTTGTTGGAAGGAGTGAGGTTGAGGATGATGGGGACAGGGTGTTGTTGGGGCAGCAGTTAAAGTCATTGGTGATTCCGGTATCAGATGTGGAGCGATATTTGGACGCCGTCTGTCAATTCAAGAGTCTGGAGCACGTGGGGTTCTGTCTGGATGAGATGTTGGATTACCTGGAGGAAGATGTTGAAGCAGCCTTGGAGGAAGATGTTGAAGCGGCCTTGGAGGAAGAGGACGAGACCAATATCGAGCGCGAGGTTGAGGACATCCCAGGGCTCCTGAAGAGGAATAAAGACCGCAAGGAGCAAGCCATGGAGGACCTGTTCATGTTTGTCCAGGAGCATGGACGACTCTTTCCGGGGCAGCTTAAGACGGTTACTTGTCCAGAGAGTGAGATCTGGCAGTCTTGGGGCTGGATTTCCTTGCCGCAGAAATGCCCTGACGAAGTGCAGTTTCGGATCTTGCAGTTGTTGCCGCCGCTGAAGAGACCCTCTGTGTTGTGTGAGGAGAATTGGATGCAGTTCTTGGCGCACCCGAGGGCGACGGATTTGGGGACTGTGGAGAAGATTGATGCCTATTTTGAGTCGGGGAAATCGGAGACGTATGAGAGGTTGGTTGAGAATAGGGGGTTCTTGCAGAGGTGTCGCGGATTGAGGACGTTGTCGATGGGGTCTTTGGGGAAAGGGGCGTACAAGTGGGCGGTTGAGGAGAAAAAGGCTTACTTGGAGAACAACTCTGGAGGCAAGATCAACAATAACGACAAAGGACAGGAGAGATCGCTGTTGCAGGAGGACAAGATTGAGGATCGACATCTGTATTTGCGACACGGTCTGGTTCCGTTGGAGATAGCGTATATCTCGGGGTTAGAGGACCTGCCGCTCGAGGTCACGGACGAAATCGACGACATTGCCTACGCCTTCAGCGAAACTCTCACCACACTCAATCTCAACATACCCAAAAACCTCGACGATAGCATCCTCAACAACGATGACGAGCCTACATTACCGTGGACAATCCGAATCGGTCGTGGGTGGGTCGACCTACCAAACCTGCGAGACCTCTATATTGACGCCCGTGTCGTCGCCCGTCTAGTACTCGATCCAGAGTTATTGGTCCACTGTCCGAATCTTGTGAGTCTGAGTCTTTACGACGATTCGACGTTTGGTTACACTCCGGAGGAGGCGATCCGTAATGAGTGTTTTCCGGCGCTTTTGGGCAAGTGCGACTCGATGACTCTTCAGGGGTGGACTGCGTTGACGTTTCATCCGGAGACGCTTTCGTCGATGCGGGAAAAGCTTGTAGAGTTGTCGATGCGGACTGCGTTGGGGACGGACGATTTGTGTTTTATTCTTCCTCCTCCCCTCGGAGCGGAACAAGAAGAGGAACAGGAACAGAAGCAGGAACAGGGACGACACGAATCTGGGTGGTATCGCTGGACATGGGACTGGGAACTACCATGGCTGACAAAGCTAGATCTCAACTCCAAATTCGCCTACGAGTTCCAGTTCCAATTCCTGGCCAGTTGTCCGCTCCTGGAATCGTTGCACCTCAACATCCATACCAGCCTGGCGCATACTCGAGACCTCGATAGGTCTGTCTTGAGTATCTCAGGAGCGAGTAAGCGGATGATTGTTCTGCCGAAGCTTCGAGAGCTGGAGATGTTGGGTGGGTGGACGATCGTCGGAGGAAATGCGTTCCTGGAGGAGTTCCTGTCGACTCTTTGCCCGAACCTCGAAAAGCTAGTCGCCAAGCATTGGAATGGTGTAACCCTCTCCGGGTTCCTGTCCATCCTGCGGAAGAAGGATCCCATGTCACAGAAAGCGTCTCCATCCATGACCCCACAGGATGACGGACACCAAGACCCAAAAGATTACAACAAGGTCAGGGAGATGGAGCTGGCGGGGAGGGTGATGCGAGGTGGGGACGACGAGAGTGAGTTGATTACAAATTTGGGTCTGGTCTATATGGGATGGGGGAGTGATGACGAGGTTGAAGGGGAAGTGTTGGGAGGTGTTGAGTTTTCGTTTGAGTATAGAAAGTTTTATGTCCTCAAGTCACCCCTGAGCTGAAGAGGATATCACGAAGGGTTATGAAAGGATCAATATTGTTGAAGATGAAATAAATCGAGCAGATATTATTTGAATGGGAGAGATAAGGAAAATAGAAATGTTCTTACAAAATTAGGAAACGTTGTACAAGGTAGGTCTATGCGAAAAGAAGAAAATGAAGTATAATGGGTGGTGTAGAGATAAGAGGATCAGTTGTGCCGGAAGAGCTTCATGCCAAGCCAGTTGAAAAGGACAAAGAGGACAGTGACGGGGATGGTGACCGGTACGAGCATACAGTAGTGGCTATCCTTCTTGATCCAATCCAGCGTCTATTCAGTAAAAGACATGATACGAGCCGCGTGGTTAGTGGTGGAATAGGAAAACCACAAATTGTCCGTGCCCATGGGATACTCCTGTCCATTTTTGAATACAAACGCAAAACAAGAGTCATAAAGGGTACCTTGTTCCCAGTAAGTGGCATGTAATTAGATGCAACGAGGGCATACATGCTCACCGTGAAGCCCACCATCGTACAAAAGAACAACAAATACCCCCACAAATACGTCGTGTCGGGTTCCTGGTCCGAGATCAGCGTCGTGAATCGGCGAGTATGGTGTGGGGTATTGGGTGCCTTTTGCGACCTTAAGTTGTTGGAAGATCCTGCTCCGCGTTTTGAGGATGTGGATGCAGTGGAAAGCCGGCGCCGGCGCATGATGGTCGCGGTATTGGTGGGGTCTTGATCGGTCAGGGACGCAGAGGTGGGTGTTGTTGGTGAAGCGACATGATGGGAGGATTGTTGGTGTTGGTTATGTAGATGCATTTGGAGAGGATGTTGATGAGTAGCATAGGAGATGGATTGGGGTCGCATTGGTTGTGGGTGGTGGGTGTGATGGCTATGGTGGGTATCGTCGTGGATGTTGTTGCTTGGAGAGTATGTCTGCCATGATACACCGCTGTTGTTGCTGTATCCGTTACCGTTGCTATGACCATTGGTGTGGTTTGAGTGATGGTTGTGGTGGGTCAGATTGTGGAAGGTGTCGCGTCGTTGGTCTAGGTATCCGGCTGAAAATGATCCTCCTGACGGTCCGTTATTGTGGTGATGTGAGGAGGAGCCATTGATTGTTGGTCGTGAATTGGATAGAGGGAGTGCTATTGAGAGTGGTGAAGGGTGTTCTTGGCGGTTTGAGTAGTGTTGACTGCTGCTGTTGGTGCTGTTGGTGCTGGTGATGGGGTGACTCATTCGTTTGTAGGCTGATGATGATGGTGACGACGAGGAGGTGAGTGCGTCTAGTGAGTTTTGCCATCCTGGTTGGTGATGTGCACCGGGTTCAGATGGGTTGTGATGAGAGTTCGTTCCTGTTCCTGCACCACCTCCTTGGAGTGAAGAGTAGTTGCTGTTGTCCTGTCCTGCCTGTGGGTGCGAATGTGTGAGTGATGAAGAAGGTGCCATGCTCCTATCCTTGGTCGAGTCTGGCATCGCTTGGGAGTGGATAGAGAGCAAGGAAAACGTGTCCCCCCCATGAAACACGCGCAAATAATTATCTCAGTAGCTCCAGCCAAGTGACTGGCTCCCTTCTCCGCACTTGTCCCTGAATGGGCGGATCAAAGCCACAAGCCACAAACACCCTCGGTGATCTCCACCTTCCATCCTTCGGAAAAAGTCACCTTTCACCCTTCTCCACATCTGCCGCTCTCATCAGGAGACAAAGGAATCGACACACACACACACACACCCAACACGAGAGCGAAGGACCGAGCAAGGAGCTATACCAGTCTTCGCCCCCCTTGTGTCTGTTCCCTCTCCGATGCAAGCATTCAGGTCCACTACCAAAAAGCTCAGGTACGAACAGCCGCACAAAATAATTATCGGCAATATTTCTCCTCCTTGGAGACAACGATAGTCTAACAGCATGAACATAACTTCTTATACATCTGCAAAAAACAGCGTTGCGGCAAGCAACCCAGGAGCACCGCTTTCATGGGACAGCCAGATCGCTTCACGGATGCTCAGGATATTTTGTCACCAACACGACCCACCACTGCACACTGTCCGCCGTCGTGCTTCCAGGATACCCTCTACATCTCGCCAGTACAGCTCGTCGTCGTCAAAACCAATACTGGCAGATCATGACATACCACACCGCCACGAAGAACCCTTTCACCAGGAACACTCATCTTCAGCAACCACGACCAAGAACATCATACCAGAGCGGAGTAAACTCTCGATCACAAGCTTCCTTGCACCTCCAGGATCAGAGAAACACAGCAACGCCTACGAAACCATTGCCGACAGCTTTTTCAAGGGATCAAAACCTGACAGGGCAGCAGCAGCAAAACCATTCATCATCTTGGACCAAAAAAAACGACTCGGATCCGATCCTGTCGCGCCCATGGTCATGCTGAACGATGCCATCAACTCAAGGAATGCCAAACAGATCTGGCACACATATACCCGACTAAAGAGCAAGGCGACCTCATCAGCATCCCGACGATCTCCTTTCAACTCTTCGCTCTACAATCGGATGCTGCTCTGTTTCCAGGCAACCAAGACGGGCGAGGCGGCAAGGTGGGCGCGGGCCATCTTTGACGACATGACGGAGCACTTTTCACCTAAAGTCAAGACCCTCAACATCATGCTGGATATTTTGACCCGCCACCACGATCTGAAGGACGCGATCGATTTTTTTGAGCATAATGCGGCTCGCTACAACCTGACGGCCAATCTCCAGAGTTACAATGTCATGATCAGAGGACTCGGACACAGTGGACAGATGGAGGCAGCACGCAAGATCTACGACGACATGCGGGCAGGAGTCATCCCTCTGAAGCCAGATGTGGTGACCTACTCGACGCTGATGAGCCAGTATGCCAGGAAGGGTTTGCAGACGGAGGCGGATGCGGTCCTAGACGAGATGTTCAAGGATAAGGTGCAGCCCAACATATGGATCTTCAACTCTGTCATCGAGCGGTTCGTTCGCAGAAAGGACTATGTAGGAGCCAAGAGGACCATGGCGCTGATGAAGAACTCGAACGTCCAGCCGGATGTCGTCACCTACTCCACCCTGATCGATGGCTATGCGAGAGATGGAGACGAGGAGGCGATTGCAAGGATCCAGGCTGATATGGCGACCAACAAAGTCTATCCGAACGCTAGGACGATCACCAGCACGATCAAGGTCTTCGCTCGTGCCAACCTGGATAAGGATATTGACGCACAGCTGGCGGGGCTTTTGAGGTCGTTGCCGACAGGAGAGATGAACGAGCTCACGTTTGGAGTCCTGGTGGATGTTTATGGGAAGCGGAAGGATCTCGACGCCGCCATGGGAATCTACGACCACATTATTTCCAAGGGGCGGCCCGTCAACGATGTGATTGTCAACACGCTCCTGGACGGATATGTGAACGCCAACCAGATTCCAGCTGCCAACAAGATCTTTCACGAGCATTTTACGGCCCGCGGAGTCCGGCCTTCTTCTTCGTGGTCGTACAACATCATGATCTCGGGATGCTGCAAAGAAGGCCGTCTGCAGGATGCGCTTCACTATTACCACCAGATGAACAAGTTTGGGATCGCGCCGGATTCTATTGTCTGCTCTCGGATGATCCAGCTCTACCTCCAACACCACCAGCTCGACAACGCCCAGCAGATGATGCGGCTGATGCGCAACGCCAAGATGATGATCCCGGTCCAGACGTTTACGATGCTCATGGACTACCTTTCCAACGTTCGCGATGTCCGAGGCGCGCTGCGGTACTATCAAGAGATGCTGGATTCCGGTATCAAGGCCGATGTGCATTGTTACACCGTCCTCATCAACGCACAGATTCGAGCCAAGAACTTTGCAGGATGCGACCAAGCATTCCAACAGATGACTAAGGTGGGAGTCAAGCCAAACCTGCACATCTTTACATCGATGATTCATGCCCATTCACTTCAGAACAACACGGAGCGGGTCAAGGAGTATTGGGAGGCGATCAACTATTCGGGATTGCTGCCCGATATCAAAGCGTTCACGGCTCTGATGCAGCATTACGGACAGCAGAGCAATGTCGAAATGGTGGAACATATCTTCAAGGAGATTGACCGGAGGCGGCTCAAGGTCGATGCTATTATGCTGATGACCATGATCAGCGCGTACAGTTCGTTGCCGAGGTTGAATCTGGGTCGTATTGAAGAGATCTCGGGCATGCTGGAGGAGCGGGAGCTGGAGCCCAATGGGGAGTACTTTAGAGTGCTTCTGGATACGTATGGTCGCCATTGTTTGCCGGATCGCGTGATCAAGACATGGAAGCAGGCGAAGAGTCAGGACAAGCCTTTGAACTGGGTTCCATCGACTAGCAATCTGTTGCATTTGATCGAGGCATGTCGTGATCGCGGGTACATGGACACGCTCCACGCCATCTGGCAATCCGCCACCACCGTTGCCACTCCTAGCCCAGACAGCATTCAACAGGACCCGACTCTTCATGCCTCCGGGATTCGTCCCGAGTCGGGCACTCTTCCACATGATTCCCATCAACAGGACGATCCTCTCATCGCCACAAGCGGAGTAGCAACAGCAACACTAGAAAGGGGAGCGGGAACGGGAATGAGAACGGGGAGAGGAAGGTTGATTTGTCCCGCGCCCGAGGTGTTCACAGCATATTTGAACGCACTCTTGACACACAACCGATTCAACGAGATTGAGCGACTGTTGGAGGATGAAACGCGAGAGATGAGGCTGATGCCCCGTTCTGAGGATTTCGAGTTGTTGTTTACGAGTCTGGCGCAATATGGGTTCCTGAAGAATGAGCTTGAGACCATCCGCGGGATTGTTGTCCGTCGCTGGCCGAACTTTGAGCCTCTGGTCGACAAGATCATTTCCCACACCCGGACGATCTAAACCCTTTTGAGTCGGTTTGTTTTATTAAACCCGGTATTGTCATTGAAAGGCGCTGTTTATTTTTTTTATTTTTTTTATTTCTTTTATTTTTTTTATTTTTTTTTGCTTGTTCATTTATGGGCGTCCCTGTGAGCGTGTTAAAGAGTGTGAGCGTGCGTGAGAGTGAATGAGCTTTGCGTTCAGGGATCTTTCTTTGCATGGGCTCCTGCATGGTTCCTGCATTGGGTTAGAGATTGCAAAATGTGCGAAAAATGTATCGCCCAAGTATATTGCGATTGCTCATGAAATTGCATTGATGGATGGATAGGCTTGTCTGACGTAGGATTCAGACGGGAGAGGCAAAGAGGCGGTGCTGGCTTGCCATGTCCCGTCTTGTGTTGCTCGTGTTGATTGTGATGTCTGCGTCTGTCCCCTGTTCAAGGTCTGGGTTCATACCCTTGATTTCTCTTTTATTGCTTCGGCTGCTGTCATTTTGCGAGTGGTTTAAACGACGCTTATTTTGTTTGAGATGAAGTAGGTACAAAGGGTACAATTTCGGACTTTCACGTTTGTTCCCTCATCATTCATTCATCCAAGGAGAGAGGGAAGTGAACAGACCCCTGTCGAGGGAATGCGCTCACCTTTCCACACCAGACACATAAATACGCGCCGCCCTCCCCATTTTCATTTTCGACTCTCTCATCCTCTCATCTCTCATCCACAACAACAACACTCCCCTTGTTTTTTTTCCTTTCTCCTCTTATATTAACCCCTGTAACCCACACTTTTTTTTTTTTTTTTTTTTTTCTTTTTCGCAAACCACCTTTTCCACACACACGCATACATACAACATATTTCAAGCAATCTCAGTACCACACAGAGCCAAATCGCACATCTCCCCTCCCCTCCTGTCCACCCCCTTTCGTAACCCCTGCATCCATCCACCCACCCCTCCAATAGACATCGAATAGGTTTCCACACCTGCCTTTCTCGTACGACTCTTCACTGCACGCAAGCATCTGTTTACTCTCATTCTACCCTGCCTCTCCTTTGTGTTCGAATACTCCCCCTCTCCCCCCTTATTTGTTCTTTGGTTCTTTGTTCTCTTTTGAGTGCGGAACCACTTTATTTAAAGACGATCTCGCGATTTTGTTTCTTCTTCTTTTTCATTTTCTTTCCTTCGACAACCTCGCTTCGACAACAACAACAACAACAACAACAACAACAACCTCACTTCATAACAACCTTCCTCTCGCCTCTCTTCCCCTTCTACTCACACGTCTTCTTCACTCTCATCTTCCTCCCGGCGCCACCAACCCACAAGCCGACCCTTCCTTCTCACCTACACACCCTCTTCGCCACCTCAACACAAACCAACAACCCACCTCACAACAACTCAGCAACCAGAAGAAAAGATGACACATTTCGACTACACGACAAATAGCAGCAAGGGCGACGGTCTCTGCGAAGCCTGCATGTCCTACCGTCCCGAGAGCCTCTGTTCTGCCTGCGAATATTGTGCTGACTGCTGCTCCTGCAAGGGCGATGTCTGTCGCAACTGCCGGACTTCGAACCCAAAGGATGTCTGCAAGACGTGTGTTTATTGTGTAAAGTGCTGTTCTTGCAAGGATGGGAATGGCAAGTAGATGAATGGATCGGACGATAATGTTGGTGGGAGATGATGATACTTGGGGCAACCCGACCGACAGGAGCGTATTACGATGAAGTAACAAGGATGGAGTTTGGAGCCCGTCAAGGAGTCAGAGCTTGTCGAGACGGCCCCCTATTTGCCGTTTTCGCCAAGACACGGCCTGTCGGATCTCTCATTCCTTCTTTTACCTTTTATTCCTTTTATCCTGTTCCCTGTATTCTCTACCCAACATTGTTTTCGATATCAACAGACACACACCAGCGACATGTTTTTCTATAGGGCACGCGCTGGCGCGTCTCCTTTTTCTTCATTGCTCTTTTCCCTTCCTTTGCATGCATATACCATCAAACATAGCGTCATTCTTTCTTTTTACTGTTTTTACTTTTTGCAATTACACATTCACATACATACACATATACACACACACTCATACACACACACACTCATACACACACACACTCATACACACACACACACATACACACACACAGGAACAACAAATACTTTCCCTTACACGTTTACAACTCTCTATTTCTGAGGAGTTCCCATACCCATCTAGCACATAGTACTCTACGACCTTCATTTTCCACACAGAATCCGAGCAAATAAAAAGACAACCACATCCTGGCATACAACTCTTTGCAAACAAAAAAGGCGCACTTGGCACGTCATCCGGGAATTGGTTTTCCATCCCACCATCAGGCGTAGTTTGTTGTATGGTGTAGTGATAAAAATCGGACTATATATAAAACAGATCGGTCCAAAAAAAATCCCCCCCATCCAAATCCAAATGTCAGGGACCATGGTGCCACATAGAGCCAGATGTCCACCTGCCTTTCTCGGACGACTCCTTTGTATCCGAATGCTCCTTCCTTTGTGTTCAATTACACCTCCTCCCCCCTTATTTGTCCTCTATTTTCTTCTTTGTTTTATTTTGCGTGCAGAACCACAAATTTAGTTTTTATTCTGAACGACGATTTCTCGATTTGGCCTCTTCTTTATCTCTCTTCCTTCCTCTCTTCTCTTTTTTCATTTTCTTCCATTCAACAACCTCCCTTCAACAAAAACAACAACAACAACAACAACAACAACAACAACAACAACCACACTTCATAACAACCTTCCTCTCGCCTCTCTTCCTTTTCTGCTCGCACGTCTTCTTCGCTCTCACCCTCCTCCCCGCGCCACCAACCCAAAACCAACCCTTCCTTCTCACCCACACGCCTTCTTTGCCACCTAGCACAAACCAACAACCCACCTCACAACAACTCAGCAACCAGAAGAAAAGATGACACATTTCGACTACACGACAAATAGCAGCAAGGGCGACGGCCTCTGCGAAGCCTGCATGTCCTACCGTCCCGAGACCCTCTGTTCTGCCTGCGAATACTGTGCTGAGTGCTGCCCCTGCAGGGGCGATGTCTGTCGCAAGTGCCTGACTCCGGACCCAAAGGATGTCTGCAAGACGTGTGTTTATTGTGTAGAGTGCTGTTCTTGCAAGGACGAGAGAGGCAAGTAAATGAGTGGATCGGACGATAGTGTTGGTGGGAGATGATGATACTTGGGGTGACCCGAGCGACAGGAGCGTATTACGAACAAGGGTGGAGTTTGGAGTCTCTCAAGTAGTCAGGATCTCTCGTTTCTTTTTTCTTTTTTTTACCTTTTATTCCTTTTATCATGCACTACCCCAAATTTGTTTTCGTTATCAACAGACACAACCAGCGATTTGTTTTTCTATAGTGCACGCGCTGGCGCGCCCCTCTTTTTTTTTCATTCCCTTCCTTTTCCGAGCACGGACTCTCAAATACTGCGTCATTCCTTTTTTGTACTACCTTTTTTTTTTTTTTTCTTGTGGCAAACAGCACATACAGTTTCCCTTGCACTTTTACAACTCTACGCAGAATCCGAGCAAATAAAGGCAACCACATCCTTACATAAAACTCTTTGCAACCGAAAAAAAGGCACACTTGGCACGTCTTCCAGCAAAAGGTGTTCCATCTCACCTCACCATCAGACAGAGGTAGTTGTGTAACTATTAATAAAATCTGTCCATCCAAATACAAAAGATACGCGTTCCTTAGCTATTTTTATCGATTGTCATTGTCAAAGGTACGGATCAAGATGGGTTGTCCAGTCGAACCAAAATAATTTTTGTGGGCAAAAATAGTCTGTCAATTTTGTCAGTTCGACTATACAAACTCCTGCTAGTTCCCGAAACAAGATCACTGCCAGCGTCTCATGTTCCTTCTCCTCTTCACCTCCTCACATCACCTCCACCCCCACCCCCCCTCCCCTCTATCCTTTCTCTCTCCTCCATCTCCCTCGCCAAAATCCACTCTGCCCTCCGCTCCGCATCGCGTTCAGCCATCATCTGATCCAAATACGACTCCATCTCCCGATCCTCACTCTCATACCTCCGCGCATCTAATTTCCGTTTCATCAACTCAAATACCAAGAACCCTACACTCGCCGCAGGTACAGCACGGATAGCTGTCCAGGCGAAATTGGCATACAGGAAACGACGCCATCCTCCAGACGATTGGGCCTGGGAACGACATTCTTGCCACGTCATGGAGTATAACTGTGAGGATATCGAAGTCCCCGATCGCATGGACGACGAATTGAGGTGTTGGGTATGTGCCGCGGGGGCGTTCCTTTGAGTCTCGGCTTGGAGGGCGGCTTCTTTTGCATAAAAGATCGATTTGACCTGCTTGAGTGGGTAATCGACAGCCTGGTAGGCCACCGCGGCTGCAGCTCCTGCGAGCAATACAAACGTCGGTTCCAGTAGGAAATAATGTCGTGATGTCACATCCAAAGGTACTGTTGGTAGTGGTGGTCCCTGTTCCCTTGTGGTAGAAGAGTGCTCGTTGAGGTGCAATGATCAGAGAGGACCCGGAAGAATATGTATTGCTTTTGTTATATTTTTATTATGAAGGGAAAGAAAGGAACACAGGAAAGGCAGGGGACAGATGGAAGTGAGTTGTTGCAGACTGGGGAACATGACAGGGGAACAAGGGGTCTATTTATGCTATGGCGGGATGAATGTCCAGTTGGTAGCTGAAGTCGCGTGATGAGCAGTCCCTTGCGCGCTCAACGGAACTACACTCCTTTTTACACTTTTCATAGTGAAATGTGGATCTTTTCCACTGAATTGAAAACATAGGGGTTGTTATTCAGTTCCGTCTTATCAATGCTTGGATTTACATATTTTGATGTTGACTGAAATGTAGGATGGCATGTGATCCGTAAATCCAAGCATAGATAAGACTGGACTGAATAACAACCCTTATATTTTCAATTCAGTAGATAAGCGATTCGCAAAAAGGAGTGTAGGACAAAACCAATTCTCGCGTAACCCGGGTGACCTGGGGTCAGGCAGTCTTGGGGCAAAACGTGCATGAGGGCCTTGACTTTAAGGATCTCCATGTCTTCCCGAATCCCGTACAACTCGTCAATGAAGTAATAGTATCCCTGTTGCTTGACCCATTCGAACACTCCAAAGAACAACCCACATGCCAACGAATCCTATATTACTAAACATATGTAACAAAGAAAATAAAACGTTAGGGCATGGACCAATTGGCACGGACACTAACCAAATCAGTCATAGTAACAAAAGGGGAAGGCTGTACCTTAACAAGGGTGAGGGCAAACCCGCGGTAGACAGTCTTGACTCCCATCTCCTTCAACGTTGTAACCGCAAAAGAAGACATACTCTTATGTTTCCCACCATGCGCCAAATCCTGCACCTGGAACTTCACCTTCAACGAATCCATCGGCGCCGCGATCAGCGACTGAGCTCCGCCCGCAAGCGCACCTGCCATGAAAACCGCCGGGAACGGTGGTGGCGGGAACGTCCTCGATTTCTGATACGTAAACGCCGGATGGAAGACCGGCAGCGTAAAGATATAAGTCGTATACAACACCGATCCGATGAACGAGTTCATGATGAGAGGCGGAAGCACCTGCCGATAGATAAATCCTGCGCCCTGAGTCTTGATGGCATGTGCCACCATCCCGATTGAAGTCACTCTGAAGAACTGAGTCCGCTTCGATAACTGTTTTTGCGACTCTGCAAGGCGGCGCGGTTGGCAGGGGTGGGGATGATACCCATGGTTGCTGCTCGAGTAATCCACCCTCATCGGTCGAAACAACTAATTATGGTCCACCCATCAAAAAAAGGATAGGTTGATGGGTACCCTGTACCAGAACTGAAGTGCTTGGAGTAGCATAGATCGAGCGACAGCGGCAGGCACACCGACGGTTGCTGATCCTCGGACCGTATCCTTGTCATCTTTCTCCGATACCGAATATGCCTGGATTGTCCATGGCGATGACGGCTAGGCTACATTTATTGAGGTTAGGTACTGCAATTAAGCTGCCATTTTTAACTGACTTTTCTTTCCCGTGCACATTTTCCCCTGTACTTCCGTATTGTTACGCGCCTCTACTTTCTACACCATTTTTGAACTCAATATATATTGCTTTCTTTTAAAAACTGCATAGCTGTGTCCGTAAGAGGCGCTTTTACAATAAAGCATTAGTGGGCACCAGCGAGGAACATCGCTCCAGGGTACTTTTCTACTTACAAACCGACCAGATGACCCATTCTGGCCTCTATCCAACACTACCGCAGTAGTGAGATGAAAAAGTATATAAAATTTTAGCACCCGAACTGAGCTCGGTTTATTCTTTCATGCATAGTGATTACTTATGCAATTACATTGATGGGCTGGCCTGACGTAGGATTCTTGTGGTGCATGTGTTGTCTGTGTCTGGCCCTTTTCATGGTCCGGGCTACCATGCACAGGTGGTTTAAACGAATCTATTTTCTTCTGAGTAAAGATAACATTCTCGTGGTTCGAACAGACCCCTGTCGAGGGAATGCACTGTACTCTCTTTGTTTGTCATTCAGGACTCACTTTCATTCTTCATTTTGAACTCTCTCATCCTGTCAAGGGGATGCACTGTACACTCTTTCTTTTTTCATTTTGAACCCTCTTATCCTGTCGAGGGGATGCACTGTACACTCTCTCATCCTGTCGAGGAGATGCACTGTACACTTTCTTTTTTCATTTTGGACTCTCTCATCCTCTCATCCTCTCATCCAAAAAACAACTTTTCTCCTGTTACATTAACCCCAGTAACCTACACTCTTTCTTTTTTCTTCTCGTAAACCGCCTTTTCCACACAAACACATATACTACATATTTCAAGCAATCTCAGTACCACACAGAGCCAGGTCGCACACACTTTCACCTCCCCTCCCGCCTGCCTTTCTCGTACGACTCTACACTGCCCCCCTTCTTTGCTCTTTGTTCTATGTGCAGAACCGAACCACATATATATATTTTCTTTATTTAATGACGACCTCGCGATTTGGCCTCTCTTTTCATTCTTCTCTTGTCTTTTTTTCTTTTTCTTTCCTTCAACAACCTCCCATCAACAACAACAACAACGACAACAACCTCACTTCATAACAACCTTCCTCTCGCCTCTCTTCCCTTTCTTCTCACACGTCTTTTTCACTCTTACTCTCCTCCCCGCGCCACCAACCCACAAGCCGAGCCTTCCTTCTCACACACATACACTCTTTGCCAAACCAACAACCCACCTCACAACAACACACCAACCAAAAGAAAAGATGACACACTGCGGCCACACGACCGATAACAGCATGCGCGACGGCCTCTGCGAAGCCTGCATGTCCTACCGTCCCGAGACCCTCTGTTCTGCCTGCGAATACTGTGCTGACTGCTGCTCCTGCAACGGCGATGTCTGTCGCAAGTGCCGGACTCCAGACCCAAAGGATGTTTGCAAGACGTGTGTTTATTGTGTAGAGTGCTGTTCTTGCAAGGACGAGAGAGGCAAGTAAATGAGTGGAACGGACGATAGTGTTGGTGGAAGATGATGATACTTGGGGCGACCCGACCGACAGGAACGCATTGCAATGAAGTAACAAGGATGGAGTTTGGAGCCCGTCAAGGAGTCAGAGCTTGTCGAGACGGCCCCCTATTTGCCGTTTCTCCAAGGCACCCACGGTTCGTTGGATCTCACGTTTTTTCTTTTACCTTTTTTTCCTTTTTATCCTCATTATCAACAGACACACCAGCAATATGTTTTTCTACAGGGTACGCGCTGGCGCATCCCCGTTTTCTTCATTGCTTTTCCCTTTCCTTTTGGATGCACATTCATTCTTTTTACTCGACCTTCGCAATTACACATATACATATACATATACATATACATACACATACATATACATACATATACACACACAGCAACAATATATTGTTCCCCTTACACTCTTACTCTCTATCTCTGAGGTGTTCCCAACTCTCTATCTCTGACGAGTTCCCATACCCAATCTAGCACATATATACTACTACCCTCATTTTCCACACAGAATCCGAGCAAATAAAAAGACAACCACATCCTGGCAGATAACCCTTTGCAAGCAAAAGAAAAAAGGCGTATTTGGCACTTCTTCCAGGAAAAGGCTTTCCATCTCACCACCAGGCAGAGGTTGTTCAGTCCAGAAATGATTCGTCCAAAAATAAAAAATAAATGAAACATCCAACGTCCAACCATCCAAATATCAGGGACGCTTTTCTTCAGGCTTTTTAACCTATTCTCGCGCTTTTCTATTGCATGAACAAGATCTCTGCTAGCGTCTCATGACCCGTCTCCTCTTCACCTCCTCACATCACCTCCACCCCCACCCCCCTCCCCTCTATCCTCTCTCTCTCCTCCATCTCCCTCGCCAAAATCCACTCTGCCCTCCGCTCCGCATCGCGTTCAGCCATCATCTGATCCAAATACGACTCCATCTCCCGATCCTCACTCTCATACCTCCGCGCATCCAATTTCCGTTTCATCAACTCAAATACCAAGAACCCTACACTCGCCGCAGGCACAGCACGGATAGCTGTCCAGGCAAAATTGGCATACAGGAAACGACGCCATCCTCCAGACGATTGGGCCTGGGAACGACATTCTTGCCATGTCATGGAGTATAACTGTGAGGATATCGAAGTCCCCGATCGCATGGACGACGAATTGAGGTGTTGGGTATGTGCCGCGGGGGCGTTCCTTTGAATCTCGGCTTGGAGGGCGGCTTCTTTTGCATAGAAGATCGATTTGACCTGCTCGAGTGGGTAATCGACAGCCTGGTAGGCCACCGCGGCTGCAGCTCCTGCGAGCAATACAAATGTCGGTTCCAGCAGGAAATAATGTCGTGATGTCACATCCAAAGGTACTGTTGGTAGTGGTGGTCCCTGTTCTCTTGTGGTGGAAGAAAGCTCGTTGAGGGCCTTGACTTTGAGGATCTCCATGTCTTCCCGAATCCCGTACAACTCGTCAATGAAGTAGTAGTATCCCTGTTGCTTGACCCATTCGAATACTCCAAAGAACAACCCACATGCCAACGAATCCTATATTACAAAACATATGTAACAAAGAAAATGAAAAGTTAGAGCATGGACCAATTGGCACGGACACTAACCAAATCAGTCATAGTAACAAAAGGGGAAGGCTGTACCTTGACAAGGGTGAGTGCAAACCCGCGATAGACAGTCTTGACTCCCATCTCCTTCAACGTTGTAACCGCAAAAGAAGACATACTCTTATGTTTCCCGCCATGCGCCAAATCCTGCACCTGGAACTTCACCTTCAACGAATCCATCGGCGCCGCGATCAGCGACTGAGCTCCGCCCGCAAGCGCACCTGCCATGAAAACCGCCGGGAACGGTGGTGGCGGGAACGTCCTCGATTTCTGATACGTAAACGCCGGATGGAAGACCGGCAACGTAAAGATATAAGTCGTATACAACACCGATCCAATGAACGAGTTCATGATGAGAGGCGGAAGCACCTGTCGATAGATAAATCCTGCGCCCTGAGTCTTGATGGCATGTGCCACCATCCCGATTGAAGTCGCTCTGAAGAACTGAGTCCGCTTCGATAACTGTTTTTGCGACTCTGCAAAGGCGGCGCGGTTGGCAGGGGTGGGGATGATACCCATGGTTGCTGCTCGTGCCATCACCAAGTAATCCACCCTCATCGGTCGAAACAGCTAATTATGGTCCACCCATCAAAAAAAAAGGTTAGGTTAGTGAGCAAGAATTTGTTGACAGGGACGAGTGTGTATGATCTGGGTTGGATCTGTGATAACAAAGGACGAAGAACGAACAACCCGAAAAAGGAAAAAAAAAATACAATGCCATTCCATTGTCCACTACAGCTTAACATACCTTGATGGGTACCCTGTACCAGAACTGAAGTGCTTGGAGTAGCATAGATCGAGCGACAGCGGTAGGCACACCAACGGTTGCTGATCCTCGGACCGTATCCTTGTCACCTTTCTCCGATACCGAATATGCCTGGATTGTCCATGGTGACGATACAATTGGTCTTCTTGTCTGTTGTTGTTGTTGTTGTTGTTGTTGGGGTGGTGAGTGTGAGAGGGGTTGCAACTGGGTGTCTAGAGGGGCTGTTGCTTTCAGGACGGAGAATAGTCCTGTGGGTATAGTTGACGGAGAATGGGTAGAGAACTTTGTAGAAGAAGTAGTAGAGTGGGGAGGGGGTGGAATCGAGACGGTTGGGGTCATTGCAACATCAGTGTGTGGATCCGGGAGAGACTGGGTGTGTGTGATGTGGTTTGTTGATGTCCCTGGTTGAATGTCGCTGCACCCTGGTCCTGTCTGAGGTGTTAATGGGGGCGAATGACTGAAGTAATCCTCGTGGAAAGTGATCCGAGGAAGGAAAGGACAGAAGCGGAAAGAAAGACAACAAGGAAACAAAAGTGGAAGAAAGGGAAAAAGGGGGAAGAAAGGGGAAAAGAAAAGATTCGAGGAGAGATAACTCCGTTGAACAACTGCTACCACCGAAAATAATAATCCCCTTTCACATACTTGTTCCGATCCTTCCTTCCTTCCTTCCTGGGTTGATCACTTTTTTCTTTCCTCTTTTCTATCCCTATTACGTTCTTCTTTTCTTTGTTTATTGCAATTGTCCTTTGCCATTCGAGCTGCAAGTGGAGTGAAAGGCTGTTGTTGTCTTTGAATGTATTCCGTCTACGACGACTTTTTTTTATTTTTTATTTTTTATTTTTTATCTCCCACTCTGTGAAACAGATAAAGTGATCATCAGTGATGGTGCCTGGATGGAAACCCACCTTCTGTTAACCGTCAATCTTCTTAAGGGTAAAAAGAGATGGGCACCATTATCTTTTACGGATCTCCTTTCCTTTTTTTGAACTCCTTTGTCAACACTTTAATTACAACGGCATAAAAGGTTAGGCTTGAAGAAGGCCAGGGACAGTAGGTGCCTTTCCTACAGCATGAACACTCAGCGCCAACACCCCATGGTCAGCGATCGCCTGAACAGGGACAAGTGTTACCGCAACATTCGACGACGACTTGCCCACATACTGCGACAACAGCTGGTCAACGACCAAACTCAGATGGTTTGCCTGGTCTGCCAATAATGTGTCATGGTAGTACAACGACATCCCGACAACATCCGTCCACCCTCCTTCAACCCCTGGTCCTACTGCAGGCTTCACATGACTCTGAAGAATTCTGTCCATTGCCATGATCATCATCGCCAGCATATCCTGAGCCATTTCCTTGTTCAATCCTTGCTGCTCTACTCCTTCCTTGTTGTCCGAGACCGATAGTGAGGAAAACAAAGACGCCAACGACGAAGCCTCTGGGATCTGGACCACCGAAAGCGCTGTGAGCAAGGGTGATAAGAACCAGGACTGGGTCCTGGTCTTCCAGGCTGCTTCCAATCCGGGACCTGCTGACGGCGGCTCGTGGCTTAAATACATAATCGTAGGGTGCAATGCACGTTTATCGACCTCGTACATGTCATCGTCGTCTGTCTCGTATCCGTCCCCTTCCTGGTCATCCTTTGCCACTGGCGCCTTCTCGGCGTACACTTTTCCGTGATGAATAAGCGTCTGCCACTCAACCTGACCACCCTTGGGTAGCGAGGGCACACTGATTGCCAGCAATGGCGGAGGTGTTTTCTAATATGAAACAAGTAAATAAACGCCACCAAAATTAGTCTTTCTACTATGAAACTCTGGGGTAATCCTGCATCAGATGTACAATCATGCATATGCATTGTAGAAAAAAGTGCTCATTCATACCTTGTTAGAGATGTACTCCCATGCAGCTGTAACGGCTCCAAATGCATCGGTGCTCTTGACATAGACGATGCACAGCGCAGTCCTGTTTGCCAGATCTGACTGCCGAACAGTGGCAATCTGAGAAAGGTTTCGTAATGACCATGCTACCTCCTTGGCCAACGATGGTGGCAATGGTAGATCCAATGTCGAAGGGATCATACCGATCTGTCCAGCAATAAACGAATGATACGCTTGCTATTGGGACGACGGCGAAACAAGTGCATATTAGTAGCCATTGTGAAATATAAAGTTCTGACACTTGTGAGTTGACTAATATGACCAAAGTACTCACCTCGGTGGCCTGAGAATAGGGTCCAATGTTGGCAGGGGCCCAGTAGGACATACCCTGAACATGAAGTGTCTGGCGAGGTTTGGTAGGAATAGCTCCCCTCCTGATCGCTGTACAGCTGACTTGAATACGACAGGGCTTAGGCAGATTCGAACCGACACATGCGCGAGGTGGAGGGTTGATCCCGAAAAAGCCCTTGTATGCTCCATTGACTACGCCAAAATCTGCCATGTCCGACACAAACACCTGCATGAACACGACTTCTGTCCATGATAATCCAATCTTCTCCAGTTTTGCTAATTGACATTCAGAAAGTGAAAAAATGACATTGTGAGTACAGTTTGGTATTTTCATAGTGGCGCGCAAGTAACTCATTAGAGAGGCATACCTTGGACGTTTTGAAGACAAGCGACAGTCTCCTCTGCAATACTCAGATGCCGGCTGCCCTCAGATGCAGTTTCAAACGCAGTAGTGCCACCAACAGCACAAAGAACATCACTCTCATGTGACAGAAACTTGGAGACGTGTCCTACAAAGGTGCCATCACTGCTGCGACCATCCTGAGCTGCTCCTGTTCCATGTGTAGTGACAATTCCCGAGTTGTCGTCATGCTTTTGAGCGGCCTGCTTGGCGTGAACAATCTCCTCGATGGGCAACATGAGCTCATCTGCCTCCCAGACAGGATCCAGGTTCATATCTGACATCCAGCAAGAGTCCAGCTCGTCCTCAGACTTGTCCTCTAACCGCAGCTTTTTGAACCGCAAGTATGCAACTTGTGCGAACGCATCATCCGAATGAATTACCACCTCCGACTCCTCACTATAGTACAAAAAAATATGAACGATCTCCTGTTAGCGTCCAAAAAGCATCCTGCTCCTGACTGAATTTGCTCCGCATTTCAGTGGGTGACTTACACAACGATCCGGCGCTTGAAGAGCGGGCAGTCAAGAGTGATGGTCTCATACTCCCCACCCTCACCACAGATATGCAGGTCGTACTCCTGATTCATCTTGCACAGGTGCGGGAACATGTCGCCGATAGACCGACCCAGATGTTGCCTCTTCAGTCCAATGGCCGCAATCTTGATCAGCACCGCATTAACACCCGCCTGAGCCATCTCGTTCAACAGTTCTTCCTGATTCCTTTGCCACAGATACGATAACGCCACCAATCCTAACCGCGAGCACCTAGCATCGTCACAAAGTTGGAGAAATGATAAGTAACTGTAACTTTTGAATGGCAGTGTCAAGAATAAACGCAAACAAAAAAAAGGCAAGGATATGAACCTACACGTTCTCGACGCGTATCCGCTGGTAATTAGACAAAATAGCACCGACACTGACAGCTTCCAAGTCTGGATGAGCAGCCTTCACGGCCGACAGTAAATCAAACAGATCCTCAGTCTCGTCCTGGTCTGTCTTTACGTAATCTGCGCCTTGCTCGACGGGCTTGCCGTTGATCTCTTGTCGATACAGGGGCACTTCCAGACAGTCCTTGTAGAGGTGGATGACGTCGTGGCCCACTGTTTGGTACATGTACGAGTCCAGTTCATCTATTTTGATGTTTGTTTGGGAGGAGGGAGAGAGAGTGTGAATGTGTGTGGGTGTGGGTGTGAGAAAACCGAATTATGTGTTTGTGAGAGACTTCGGTTAATTTGGATGTTACGAAAATAAATATGGCCAGTATGTTTCGAGATAGCATCATCTTGGGGTGGTTAAAATAAAACTCATAAGTGTGGCCAGGTGGAGGGTGGTAAGTGGTGGGTGGAGTAGGCAGTAAGAAGTGTTTATTTTCTTTTTACCTTTGTTGTCTTGTGGTTTGGGATGCAGGTTTCCGAGTGCAATGACGGTGTGCCCGTTGGCGACACATTGCATCAGGTTGTAGAAACTATCCTTTCCACCGCTTTTTTTGTATGCATGGTAAGGAATGATTGAGTGTAGAGTGAGCGATCAGGGTTTTTTATGCATGGACATGGTTCAAGAGTGAAATGAACTGTGTTTCTTCTGGCTGGTTTTGGGTTCCAGCAGACTGGTCTTCCTCCTGAGGATTCCTGTCCTGCGGCTGTTTTTACGGTAGCGAGTTAAGTGAATAGGGGTATGTGTGCGTAGTTGATTCTAACCTGATCAGACCAACCACTTTCATGCTGTTTGTTTATTGTCCTTGACTGGAAAGAGGAGGAGTTGTATGAAGAGAGGCGTATGAGAAAACGCGTCCGCATCAGGGAGCATTAACGAACAACCAAAGGCTGTGACTGACAATCAAGAATTTTTTTTATTCAGAGGGTTGGTTGGTTGGATCGTGATGGATGATGTACAAGGTCTAAAGAGAGAGGGAGAACGGGGCAGAGTGTTTGGTGTTTCGTGTTTTGCCGCTTGTTCAGAGCAAAGGAGAAGAACAGACCACATATTCTGAGCGCACTAATGCACAAGCAACTCTCTTTCAATAACAAGGAAGGAAAAAGGAAAAAGGAAAAAAAAAACTCTTGGGGAACTCGGAGCATTAGATTGCTCACTAGACTACATGATATATATATCGTCGAATGGGTGTTATACGACTGAAGGGGATAGGCAGGAGCGAACAGAGGCATGACGGCTACTTCGCTAGGATTAGGGTTCCATTTTCCGACAGCTCAATGCTCCATAGGCGTTGGCCCAGCACCGGCAGCAGCGGCGGCAGCGGCGGCTACTTTGGCGGCGGCAAGGGTACGGCTTTTGATGATATGTTCTTCGATACAACCAGGGCGCATATAGGTTACTTGCAAACGGGATCGGTGTTCTTCATCACCATCGTCTTCGGAGTCAGATCTGCTGTCGTTGTCGACACTGGACATTGACGACTCAGACATGACCGAGTGAGCCGGGGACATGGGTGGCGAGGGTGAAGGCGAGAGTTGTTGGCAAGTGGATGTGGAGGACGAGTTGGAGCAGCGGGGGGCGGCGATGAAGCAGGTTGCGGCGTCTTCGGTCGTCATTCTGTAATGTATGTTTGTATGTATGTAGGAGGGAGAGAAAGGGGTGACAGGGATGTGTAATTGTGATGTGGACTTTGCGTGTGGGAGGCAAGTAGTCGTTGAAAAGGAGTGAGTTACAAATTCAATAGTGAGTTTATGGAAGGTGGTGCAGACTAATTCTTTTTCTGGAAGAAAGGAAAGAAGAAACGAAACAAAGTGTGGATGGTTAAAGGAAGGAAAAAAAACGTAAACCAGGGACGAACCTATCAGTTTAAATACTCAAGATGGATGGAAAAGAAGGAGACCCAAGGGCTAACTGTGAGCACAAAGAAACACAAATGAAGAAAAACAATGTAAAAAAAGCATTGCAATCAAGCAACAGAGTGAGGGAGAGAGTGTGTGTGTGAAGGCGAGTGAGGCTGAAAGCCAAGTGTGAGAGAGAGTCGACTGAGTATCTCTCGCATTCAAATCCCATACAATTGTCCTCGACTCAATTGACACACGATTCCATCTCATCATCCTTATGTCCCCCTTTTCCTTCCCTTCTCTTCCCTTCGCTCATCACCACCATGCTGATAAATACAGTAAAACGTTGAACCTGGGCAAGGAGGTCCACCAAAAAAAAAAAAAAAAAGCCTGCGCAAGTTCACAGGGCAAATCATCCAGCAAGTTCCCCCCTCATATAGCCTGTCCTTTCTATTCTCTCCCTGTTTTTTTAATCTGTCTCCCTTAGTTTTTTTTAATCTCTCGGTGTCCTTCGAGAAGTAACGGTCGGTCGGGTTACCCACTTGTCAGCGTGATAGAGATCCCCCTCCTGTCGGATAGGTGTCGATGAGGAGACGCAGATGGGTATATGAAAGGAACAGAAAGGAAGGGGATAAACTCACAAATGTCAGTGAGAGGATGAGAGAGAAAAAAGATAGTAACAAAACAACAGCTCCTTGGGGCAAGGAGTCTCGAACGGAGACAAAAGAACCAAAGGACAGAGAAAAAAAGGGAGAGGGGAAAAAGCTCAACGGGTTTGAGACAAAACTAAGAAAAAGAAAAGACGGAGACAGATCGACCATGACGCTCTGTGAGCTCTCTCTTTTCTTGTCTCTCTTTTGGTTGCCCCCCATGAATTAATGCAAAAGGACAGTTTGTTTTTATTCTTACTGCTCTGATGAAAAAAAAACAAGAGAGGGTTGGGAAGGGAGCAGAGTCGATGTAACAACACCGGGTCACTCTTGGCCGGTGTTGGCCTAGAAGAACTAGAACAACAGGGGATGAACAAGGGGGGGGGGGGGGGGGGAAGACGAAGTTAGAAATAAGGAGGAGGAAAAACTAGAAACGGTGTAGGTGCTGCGATAGCGGGACGGCAAACAGAAAAGAGCCGACGAGGGCGAAGTCTCCTTTTGTCCAGGAACTGGGATGAAACAGCACTGATGAGGGACACTCCTATGGGCTATGGAGGGAGGCACTGGCAAACTCAACGGCCGCTTTTTTTGAGTTCGAGCTATCAAGGCCACCATGGTCGCACCAATTCATCACTGTTTGTTTGTTGTTGTCTCAAATAACTTCAGCATTAGACTTTTTTTCTCATCCACTTTTCGCGACCATGAGATGAATGCAAACAAACACAAACACGTTCATGAAAGGCATCACAGGCAGAAAACAACAAAAATAAAAACAAAACAAGGCTGCACGGTCTCCGTGTATCAGATCTGCCACCACCACCATCACCAACAACAACAATAACAACAACAAAACACGGACATATGCAAACATGCAAGTCTCGCAACACAACAACAAGCCCAACCGTTAAAAAAAACGGCCTTCCTACATACTTTTCAAAAATGAAGGGGGACAGTAATGATATGACTCGAGAGAAACCAAGGAACATCTCTGTCGAGATGTCTTCTTAACCGTTGAAGCAATGGGCCTTGCATATCACAGATTCCTTAGATATGCATGCAGGCGGCGTCGTATATATGCAGGATGCAAGGCCCCAGGTGTGGTTTTTTTATTCTATCACCCATTTCTCATCCCTTCCTTTTAATTAGGTATAAAGAAAAGGGTGTTGTTTTTTTGGTAGTACAGTGGTAGATGCGTAAGTTTTTGAGATCTTAGCGGAGGAGAACGTCCTACCAAAGGAATGAATGCAAACACAAGGCATCTAGAGCAAACCATCCAACGGTCCAACGAATCGAACAGGTGCACAATTCGAGGGCATCCATCTCTTTCATTCCAGAGAACGCAAGTCGCGTTCCAAGTGGTCAAGCCAATGCTCAATCTCATCCAAATCCTTATCATCGCAATCACCGACTCCATCCAGATCTAGCCCATCCAGTCGCGACATTCCACACAACCCTCCACCTCCAAGACTTCCCACTCCAAGTCTTGCCCCTGCTCCTCTTCCACCATATCCCTTCTCCGACCCATACAATAGCCCACTATCACCACCTCCTAGGTCAAGGCTAAACCAGTGGCGTGCCGAGAAGTACCAGCACCCAAGAATCAACCCCACAGTGCCCAACAACAGAATGCTCGCATAGTTCATATTGTCGGTTGTAATAGGGTGGACGCTGGGGAGGGAGAAGATGAAGACGCCTAGGACCGCCCAAGTGATGGCGATGAAGGCGATGGGGCGGCGGAGCGGGCCGAGGGAGAAGGGGCCGGGGTGAAAGAGGGTTGGATTTGGGTAGAAGAGTCGGAGTGCTATTGGGACCGAGTATACCAGGCTAAGACGGTAGTTTGGGCGTAGATCAGTTGGTCAATTGGTTTTCCTCTGTCATTCGCGAAACGAGAGAAGTCTCATGTTAAGCACACCGACTGCAAAAGCACAAAAAGGAAAGAAAGAGACAGAAAACATACTTGAGCTCAATGGCAACAGCAGAAGTAAGGGCTTGCAAGATCGTAGTATTCACCAAATACAACATCCCAATCCCACACGAAATCCCAGCACACAACCATCCCATCCTCGCCGGTTGCCCCCCTCCCTCTCCCTCTACAACCTTCGCCCAATACTCCGACCTCGGAAACGCCCCGCTCGCCGCCAATTCCTGCCCAATCTGACTACAAGCCTTCAATACCCCCTGTCCACAAAAGAAGAACGTCCCCACAAAGATCACAGTAATACAAATCGTCCCGAAATACCCAACGAGGTGCGAAAAGATTTCGATCGCAGAGACGCCAGAGATGGTGGGGTTGACGATGGCGGAGAGATCAGAGATTCCGTAGAGGAGGGTAAGGATGAGGGTTATGCCCAAGGTGAAGGAGACGAGGAAGCCTATGAAGATCCCCTGTGGCACTTTCCAGGCGGTGTTTTTGATGTTGTACATTGTGTGGATTGGTGCATCGTATCCTGTCATGGTGAACGCGCCCTAGTAGGTCACAGCACCAAGTATCAGAGCAGTTAGTTTACATTGAAGTCGCGACTTGACAATAGACTGAGACAGCATGGAGAGTGAATGGAAGAGCGAGATGAGAAATGATACCTGTGATAAACCAATGAGGGTTACATAGAAAGAACTATCCCATCCAGTCTGGTTCTCAAAATGCGTAAAGACCCAAGTAGCCGAGGGCGGTGCCTTGTTCGCAGTCGCGATCGTCAGTAACACAATGATGGGTCCCAACACATGCCACACGACTAATATATCCAACAAAATGCGAGACAAAGAAAAACAGAAAGCAGACACTGTTTAGTATACTTCTCCTAGACATATACAATTTCATCCAACGGTCGAGTCGGCACATCTGCTACTATGTTCTTTATCCAGCGTCGTCTTTCCTTTCTCGCGTGAAGCTGCGATTTGTTTGTTTTTTTATTGCGAATGTTGTTATACGTACCAGAGATTAAGTCAATGTTGATGTTGTAGGCGTTGATGGCGCCAAACAGAGTCGAAATGATGATGTGGATGGAGACCGTAATCCAGCGTTGGGGGACATGGCCTGTTGAGATTTGGATGGCTGCTGTCGAGAACAATGCAAATGCAAATGCACAGCTCGAAGTTCCAGTAACCTGTTCAACAATGATGGTGGGACGGAGGGGGAAAGAGAAGATGGAAAAGGGAGGAGGGAGAGAGGAGGCGGAAGCAAGAGTGAGGAAAAGAAAAGGTAGCAACGGAAGAAGGACGCGCACGGACGAACACCTGGTCAAGAAAAGAACTTACAAAGGCAGCAAAATGGAGCCATCCGACAAACCAAGAAGAGATCCGCCGCAGCCTTGGTGGAGCCAGACGACGACTGTATTCGATGAGCCCGCCCTTGACGTATGGGAATCCCGATGCAATATCGGCGAGTGAAAGCGCAATGGTCGATGTTATCAGGGAGACAAGGAGGAATCCAAAGACCATAACCACTGGTCCACCAGCTGTCAGTGTTGTCTGTGTCAAGGGGATAATTCCAGTCATTACTGAGGTTACTGTCACTGTTGTCGCCAGGGTCTGTAATGGGGCCACAGCACGTTTAATCCTCTATTCGTGAAATAAGGGTAGCGTGAGTACATCTTGCTTGAACCATAAAACAAAAAGGGTTAATGGTGAGCAAGTTCTATACCTGCAAGAGGGTCGGTATTGATGGGAGCTGCTTTGATTCGTTCATGGTCGTCTTTGGTGAATACATTTCCACGAACGAGATGGCCTCGTCGTAAGAATGAAAACCACCGCCAGAGGAGTATGCTGGAGAATAGACATCAGGATCGCTTTGTGTCTGATATACCGGTGGCGGCACCTGCACGTTTGGGTTCATGACGTTCTTAGTTGAGCAAAATGCTTATGTATTTTCGGTGCTTAGTTGGTGAATGTGGAGAGGAAAGAATAGATAGGGAGTGAGAAATGAGAGTAAAATGCAAAATAGGAGATTGTTGTCGAGTGGGATGGGCGAAAGTGTGTATGCGTGAGTAATGTAGGATACGGCGTTTTGTCACAGCCAGGAGAGAAAAGGAAAATGGTAAAAAGGGTACAAGGGGGTTGAAGGACGAGAAGAAAGCAAGGAAGCAAGGAAGTATGGTTTTGTCTTGGTTTTAAAGACGGAGAGGGACTTCAAGAAGGAAAGTATGAACGATTTGGAAGTAATGAGAGAGGAAGAGAAAAAGGCGAAAGGGACGAAAGGAAACAAGTGTCGGCTGGACAGGAAGGAAGGAGGAGAAAGGACAAATATCTTTGTCGACTTGCGTACATGAGATGAAGTAAAAACGTAGAGGAAAATGCGTCTTGTGCAACACGGATGTGAAGGAAACGATGATCGCTTAACGGACCCTATCAAATAATAAAAAGAGTGAGGAAGTGAGTAACGAACAAGAATGAAAAGGGGAATAGCAGTATACAAAGAAAGGACAAGAAATGCACAGCGTCATGTATCTCCACAGGTCGTTCACTTGTCGTTGTCGTTGTAGCCTAACGCTTGATCTTTCATGTCCTTTTTTTCTAACGACGCCATCTGTGGTTCATCATCTTCTGTGGTTGCAGCCCTGCCATACGTCCGCTGACTAGAGTATGGACGGTCATCTACTTTATTATTCCAATTTATGCTGACTCCCCAACCGTAATGTCAAACTAGTACGTCAAAACGGCCACTTCCTCTATTATCCTGCCGTTGCAACCCATTCGCTCTCTCCTCAGAAAGGCATCACGCTCATATCTTCATATATTTGGCAATAATAGTGAGTTGAGTCGCGTCTTGTTCAACGCGTGCCTGTTGGTGGCGTGTTGGGTGTTTGACAGAAGAGACCGAGTCCAGGCATCATCAGCTACTGATATTTCTAATATTTCCATCCGTCGGCACGTTTGTTTATTCCGTTGCTTGGAGGTGAAAGAGCGTGCGTGAGACATGGTGCCAACAAAGAAGGTTCACTCCTCCATCTTCTGCCCATTGCTTTCGCTTGCATGTGTATGGGATGGCCAAATAGCACTGTCTCATTCCTATCCTACGTTGTTTGAATTTTTGCCACCAATTCGAAAAAGTGCTCAAACAAGAGACGGTAAAACAGTACGGAGGCAGTTTTCTTTACCTTGTGACCACCTTGCTGAATGTCGCTCCTCTCATTCACTTCCTGTTGGCTGATGCAGGGTCGGAGTGAGAGACGAAGGAGATGAATGGGAACAGGAATGCAATGGAACGAACGAATGAAATAGGGGAAAAGAGGGACGGAAGAGAGAGTAGAGAGTATAGACGACGAGTGGGTCGTGGGAAGGTTGTTGTAATAAAAATGTCCTTTACTTGGCCTTGTCCATCATGCATGCTGTTTAATGCCTTGTTGTGTTGTCGCTGTTGCCTCGATTGAATGGGCGAGCGCTCTTTCCTCCCTCTTACGTTGTGTTTTCTCTCTACCTCCTCACGCCTCCAAGTAGCCCGTGAACTTGTTGTGACTGATATGTCATCCTTGGCTCTATCTTTGACAACCAACCCTGCTTGCATCGAGCCACCCCTTCTCCTCCTCCGACCTCAACTGACCGAAAGAGTGATCTCTGAAGGAAACGGCAACGGTTAGGGAGATGCTGGATCCGTGCAGTATGAGGTTGCCATGGAGACTGGACCAGAGTTGGTGCTGTGCACTCTATTCGCTACACCGACGAGAGAGAGGTTGAACAGGTGACGAGAAGATAACTTTGCGGTCCATGCTGGGAATCCCCACAAGGTCTCCTATGATGTTACGCTGCCGAACCTTCGAGAAGTTGATGTGGTCTAGCCATGAAAATATCGCAGTCGACTGTACAAGAGTGTCTGCCATTCTCAGGGGATAAACCTAGCCCCGCCAGATGTATCGGTTGCCGTCGGATTCCATCTCCTTGTTGCACGCCACCAACCCTAAACCTAATACGTTTTATCAAAAGAAAAGAAAAATATCACGCCCTCGTTTCTCCCTTTACTCAACTCCTTAGCACTCTCAACCTCCTTCTTTCACCTTACTCATTCATCTTTTTACATTTTCTTCATCTCATTCGCCAGCATCTACCAGACACTGTCATCATGGGATTCCGTCCAACCTCCGAAACCTTCCCACTCCTCCTCGTCATAAACCCAAACGCTGGCAAAAAGTCCTCCAGCGAGCACCTCACTAAAACAATCCAACCAGCTCTGGACCACGCAGGGGTCCCGTACCGGGTTATCGAGACCACCTCCAAAGGGTTCGCGCAGGAATACTTTAGGGAGAACATCCGGCAGATCTTTATCGACTTTGTTCAGTCTCTCGCAGCAAGTTCGTCGGCGGTGTCAGCGCAGCAAGGGGACACGGAGGGAGTGACGGGAACAGGAGAAGGGACGACCACGACGGCGGCGGCGACGACGGCTGGACCTCCGGAGGTCGTGTTGAAGATCATGGTTATAGGAGGGGACGGCACCGTGCACGAGGTGATCAATGGCGTCCTCCAAGGCATCCATGGATCCTCGCCTTCCTCAGGCCCATCCTTCGTGAACGACAATTTCCGTCCAAAGGTCGAATTATCAATCATCCCAACAGGAACAGGAAACGCCATCGCAACCAGTCAAGGCGTCATGAACCCTCAAGATGCGCTCGACCGCTTCCTCGCCGAGAAATCCGTCCCCCTCCGCGTCGTCCAAGTCTCCCAGCGCAACAACAACACCTCTCACACCAACACCAACACCACCACCACCACCACCAACAGCAACGGTGATAATGACAGTAGCTCTACTCAGGGAGCCTGGAAACCAGTAGTGTACACGGCGGTCGTCAACAGTTTCGGGCTCCACTGCGCAACAGTCTTTGACGCCGAGGGGCTTCGCGGTCTAGGGAACGTTCGTTTCAAGGCCTCGGTTCTCAAGAACATTGCCTTCCTAAAGCAATATCCCGCACGCGTGGAACTCTTTGGGCCCGTCCAAAAATACGATCGCTCCTCACACCAACTTATCGCCAATGCCACCACTACAACAACCTCTCCCCAACAGGACCAACAACAACAACAACAACAACAACAACAACCGTCAGTGACGCTCCCAGGACCATTCACATACCTAATGCTCACAAAACAGTCCTCCCTCGAACCAGGATTCGTTCCGACACCGTTCGCAAACACCTCCGACGAATGGTTAGACATCCTGGCAGTTCAAAACGTTGGGCGTGGACAAATCTTGGATATCCTCGGCGACGCATTGAAAGATGGCCTACATGTGAAGCAGCACGAAAACGTCGAGTACTACAAGGCAAAAGTAGTCGAGATCGAGACACCGACTCAAGGTCGACTTTGCGTGGATGGAGAGTTTTTGGATATCGCTGCCGGTCCCGAGGGCAGGGTACGGTTTGAGGTCGTCTCTGATCCTAACATCCAGCTCTTCCATCTTTGCGTTTAGAAATCCCCCCCTTCTCACAGCTAAAAAATAAATAAAACACAATACATACCATTTGCCTCTAATTGTCCACGGGTTTAATTTGAAAAGGTGTATACAAGTAAAATATTCTCTAAGCAGTTTCCTCCTCCTCTTTGATGGCAGTCGCCTCAACGCCCGTAAAGTCCTGCGCCAAGTCCTTGGCTCCCTGAAGCATGGTCGCCTTGGCAGTTTCCAAATCCTCCGCCCAAGGGTTACCTCCCGCAACAGCCGCCGACGCCATGGCGCCAGCTAATGAACGCGAGTCAGCCATCGAGAATCTTGCAGGGGTGGCAGAAGCTCCAGCGGTAGCACTTGTGAATGCAGAGCTCAGCGAAGTTCCTGTGCTGTTCCGCGCTGAAAGATTGGGTTTGCCATCCTTGGTCATGTAACTGGCCGCAATACTGCTTGCAGTTGTAGAGGTTGTGGTGGCGACAGAGCTGGCCAGGGACAGTGTTGACATGGCAGTGGTAGGTAAACTGTTGGTGCTCGAGAAGGATGCGGTGGCAGAGTGCATCAATGGTGGCAAGATGCCGTTAGAAGTTGAGCCTATGGAGGCTGGGTCTGCCGCGCCGAATCCTGCGGCGTCGGCGAGCGATGCTGGAGAGGAGGAGGATCCTGGTAGAGAGGGCGGTGGCGAGGGGACGTATGCGTGATACAGGGTCGTCGAGTTGGACATATTTCCTGACTGTGCGCTCGAGGGTCGTGTTTGCTCCGTCTGCTGGTGTTCGAACTGGTAGATCTGCAGCACAATCAGCGCCTCGCTCTTTTCCAATGATTTCGCGAGATCCAGAGGGGTCTATAATTAGAATGCAATGATAGTTAATAAATCACGAAAGTTAAGAATCCATGGGGTCTCACCTCAAAAGTCAACCTAAAAGATGCATACCTGGTCGTTCCGGTTGCGAATGTCGTATTTGGCGTGTTTCTTGATGAGGTGCGCCAATGGCTTTGGGCTATCATTAGCAACGGCGTGGTGCAGGGCGCTCCAACCTTGGCCGTCGACAGCATTGATGTCGCAGAACCACTGGAACAAAAACTCAACGGCAATATCGTCCCTGCGAACAATAGCGCGGTGGAGGGGTGTCATTGATCCATGGTCGTCGTTGCGGTGGTCGACATTGGCGCCCAATGCCAAGCAGCGTAACGCCTCGCAAAAGTCCGATACATCCATGGCATCCCAGAAGGCTTCATGCACCGAGCGCTTCAAAAACTCTTTCTTGTCGTCGCCCGTTGCAATGAACTCCTTTTTAATGTATTTGGCCATAATAAAGCGTTCCTTCTCCGCTCTAAAGGAAATAAAATACGATACGGTTAGGTGTTATGGAAATAGCATATCTATAGCAACAACAGCGCCAGTACATTGTGTGATATATATACCTGTCTGAGTTGATGGAGATCCGGCGCTCCTCATCACCACTCAAAATCCTGGCCTCAAAGATTTTGTTTGTCTTTTCGTTACCCAGCTTAAGCATGATCTAAGACGTATCAGAAAGTCAAGTTTGCAGACAAAAAATTAACGACTGAAGAAAATGGCCAATCCATTTCTCATGCACCCAAAACGGCGACATACCCCGACGGTCTCGGTCTCCCACTTGTCCAGGTTCAGGGATCGAACTTTGCTGACATGCACTCCCAAGCTGCGATGAATTCCTGAACACTCGATACACAACACATTTCCGTGATTGACACTCGCCCACATAGGACCTAAATACGAGGACCAAAAAAAAAAGTCAACATTATGCTTACCTCGCCACCATTATTTTGCCACCTCATGCTCTACGTGAAAAAAAGAAGACTTACTGAGGGACTTGCAGTCGGCGCAGACCTCGTTTCCAGGGATCTTGCGGACTTGAAGAAGCAGTTGCTTGTCCTGATCAGTGTTTCCGTTCAAGTTGGGTGATCCGATATGAGGGAAGAGGGGTTCGTTCTTTTCCCTGTTGTTGTTTCCAAATCCTCTGACTTCTGGTGCCTGATCCGAGTTGTGGGCAGCAGTGATAGCATTCTGCAGGCAGTGCACCCACTCCTTCATTTCCTCCACATTCTCAGCCTGCAATACATGCACCCTATCATAGCGTTTGACAAATACATAACGCGGTTAGAACCATCGAATGTTATAGGCGGCTGAACTGATGCGACACTAGTGAAGGACGATGACGGATACATACCGCATGGGCGAGATGACCTCAAATAGATGAGGGCGATCGCCATGCTCAATGACTTTGACTGTACAGACGCGAAGGTTGATGACCATGTTGGATTCGCTCTCTGTCTTGCTAGGGATCTGGCCTCTGGTGCAGTAGCTCAGCAGCTCTCCTTCGATCTCAAAGTAGCGCCTGTTCCATGATGGCAAAACTCTCTGATGTCCCTTCTTGTACAAGTATCCTGCTTTGGTGGTCGCGTGGGTGCGAACAGATTCCGGAGCGCCAAATGGTCGAAGAGGGTAGTACATTTCGTTTCCAATCTGCCATAAAGGGTGTAATACCCAGACGTTAATAACCTGAAAGTAATTTTAACCTTTGTATTCTGTTTTGTTCAGTCCAATGCAACTTACGTTCAGGGTCTCGTCTCTCAATGCCTTGACGATGGGCTTTTCTTCGATAAAGCGAGATCTGGTTCCTTGAATATTCTCAGTGATTGAAGACATGGAAGGTTCGACTTGGCTCAGGACGTCGAATCCGCGATGGTGGAAGGAGCTGAGGGTATACATGTAGGTCACGATCTATTGGGTCGACAAGTAGTTGAAGCGCCGTCAGTCTTTCGTGTTCTTCTTATCATCGCAGCCTTGGTTCGCAGATGTTGCTTCGTATATCCAGCTGAAGCTTCAATTCGTCGCCAAGGCCTTACGTGTTCCGTGAACTCGAATTTCTCCTTTGCCTGAAGTTCGTTCAGCTTGATGCAGTAGTCAACATATTCCACATGAAACTTTTTCCTAGCATCCGCGACATCCTTAGAAGCCTATAAGCAGTAGCATGATCAAAACCATATTAGCCACGTGTGAAGCTTTTTTTACATCAACGTGTAGGTTTGCGGAGACAGGCCAATCTGTCCTTGGGCCCCTTCCATTGTGTCTCCTTAAATCAGAGCACGTTAGTAGGTTACCTCTGGAATGGACTGATCGCGCGTCCTCCTGGTCATGTACCGGTGCAGTGCCACATCGACATCGTCGCTTGCCTTTTGGAAGGACTTTCTCGCCTCCTAGTAGGTTCAATTGGCAAGAGTTTGGCAGGGTGAAAGAAGACGATATGTGAGTCGCAGGCCTTTTTCCAATCTAGATCACCTTATAAATTGACGCACTGACCTTGGTAGGAAGCAATTCCTGATTAAGAAAGGTCTCCATGGGTTCGATAAACATCTGTGTAATTTGAGTGTTCTAAGGTGACACGGATCCGTGAAAAAAGAAAGGACATAGAAAACATGCATGTCAGCATCAATTCCGTCGTCGTGCATCCAGTATCCGTGTCCTTCCTTTGTCCGCTGTGATGCAGTGTTGACGGTACCATCATCGATCGATTCCTCTCCAGATCCTGGATCGCGTGCGAGAACGCCTCCATAGACTGAGCTAGCAACGCGGCAGCAGAAAGGTGAGCGAAAGGTTGGTTGTCAGTAGATGTATAGTGGGTGTAAGTCTGGCAGTTTAGACGCTGCTTCCTGCCGGACCGCAGTGTCCAAAGTCACGGTCAATTGGTGTACATATATCCGTTGTCACATGGGGGTGCCGTTGAACATTCTGGGATGCATGTATGTGTATGTACACTTTGACGGACGAAACGGTAAAAGCACTTACTGACAACAAAATCATGCCCACGCTGAGACTGTGCGACGGTCATCATCTCTTCGGCCATCTGGATTTGACGAGCACTGTACTCTATGGAACGATGATGCACAGGTTGGTCGGTGCCAGGTAGAATGTGAGAAAGGAGAGGTGATGAGTACTCTGACGCACTGAGTCGTTGTTTCCTGAGCTGAGACAAAAAAAACTACCGCCATGGCTCTCATCCCAACCAGGTCCATGCAGCAGGTAGCTCCAGGGCCTGGTTTATACTAAGAGTACCTTCGGCCAACTCGACGCTTGCCTTGGACAGTTTGAGGAGGGAGCGGACGGTGGTTTCGAGGGCAAGGACGGCATCTTCGTGGTCATTGACCTGCTTTCTGAAGGTTGGTATGTCTTCCTTGCACGCTTTAAGCTCCAACACGTTCATGGCAGAGGAGAAAAAAGAGGGCGGAGTTGAGAAGGGGTGATGTTGAGCTGCTGAGCGTTGATGGTTGCGGAAGGAGTTGGGGGGAGGGAGGAAGGAGGAGGAGGTAAAAAAAAGGGGTGGTGGAGCGACCTGTCTTGTGGGGGAGAGGGAAGGTCAATGGGTTGAAAATAAAAGTTAAAAAAGGTGAAGAGGTGAAGATGGAGTGTGAGCAGTGTCTAAGAAAAGAAAAATGAAGAAAGCAAGCCCCCATTCACTCAGTTAGGGCGTGAGGAGATGAAAGGGACCTGCTGCTGGGTCACTACTCAGGGAAGAAACACGATCAACCGCCGCCTAATTCGACGTCACTTTTGGCATGGTGTGACTGGAGGTGGAATTGGGAAGGGCTGTCGCTCCACGTTTCACTTAATGCTTAATACAAGGAACGAAGCCATGGCCTGAAGCTTCTTCTTTCTTTCATTCATTCATTCATCATCCAAACTCAACTACAACAACACAGCGCCAACACACTCGACTCGACCATGGGTTTCCTCAGTCGACTCTCAAAGGCACAACGCCAGCAGATTTTCGGCCGGTTCGTCCTCAGCTGGATGCCAACCCTCAGGTATAACAACATGCGCCATCAACCTCAACAAACTCAGGAACTCCCATGGCACGCTTTCTCTCACGACAGAGCCAAAGGAGAGAATATCATCAGGAAGACTGACAATTCCAACTGTCCACTTTATTAATATATAGCTATATTATGGTCGCAGTATCATTCTTCTGGCTCCTGGCTCTGCCTCACCAGGACTACAGCAAACGAACATACGTCTCCGAGAACGCATTACTGCCAGGATCGGTAATACTTTCGTTCTTCAACGGTACAAATCCTATCGTGCGCGCCTTCTTTACCACTCGTACTCACTCGTACTCACCATTCGCACGCTTGATTAAATCAACGTAGGCGAATGTGCAATTTAACTGGAACGACAACTTGGCGGCGGAGGCATATCGTGACACTGTGCAAAGGATAGCATCCTTGCCCTCGATCGAGTAAGTGTCTACTCGAGACGTCCTTTTTGCCAGGTTAAGGATCTACAACCACCAGCATCTAACACATACAACTCTGATCCGACTCTAATAGGCGCGCACAAGCATTGGAGCTGCAGTTTGCAGCCATTGGACTCAAATCAGCAACACAGAACTATACCCTCAACACCAGCACCGAGTCATTCGTGAGTACATTTGGAGATCGCGCGGTTCAGTCGTTTTTCGGGAGCAGGATCGAACCAATTGAACTTGTGTTCTCATGCGCCCCTGCTTTTCACTTTTGGTTCCACTGTAGCACGGTGTCAACACATACGCGGTCTTTTACGCACCCAGGAGTGACGGAACAGAGGCAATAGTGCTCAGCGCTTCATGGCTTTCCCGGGACAAAACCAGTACGTCTGCCGATCGTTAATTAAACAAACATATCGCCTTTCAGGATACGACCTATTGGAGAAAGAGACTTACCGAACCATTGTTCTTTCTTTTGTTGAAATAGCCAACACCAACGCCATCGCAATGCTCTTGGCCCTTGGAAAGACGTTCAAACGTAAGTCAGAACTCGTGGATTACAAATGCGAACAACATTTTTACAAGGATGGAGCAAAAGCGCAGCCAGCTCATAGGATTACATGTTCATGACATATATAGGCGGATCCCACTTTTCAAAGGATATCATCTTTGTCGTGTCAGACGGCGACGCCGAGGGTCTTCAGGCATGGCTCAAGGCGTACCATGGAAACGAGGAGCACACCTATGGTAGGCAGCTGTTCAGGCATTGATTCTACATGACACGATCGCATGAAAAACAAGGAGCAACTCTGACAACCTGTATATCTTGCCCACTTTAGAACGCCACGAGGAACCTTTGAGAGTGAGGAGTGGAGCCATTCAAGCGGCATTGAACCTCGACTTTGCAGGAACTGGCGACTATAATGCCCTTGGCATCTTCTTCGGTATGTCTCTATCGATCTGCTATCTCGTGCCTGGATATTTTGATCCCCATATACTCATGCTACCACCTTGTACTACTTGTTACTTGCTATTAGAGGGCGTGAATGGACAGTTGCCCAACTTGGACATGATCAACACCATCAACTTGATCTCCATGGGCATTGCACCTGTCGAGTTGACCCTTCATGACGAGTTGGTCCCCTACACCGACAACATGACCAAGAACTACCTCAATTCTCTCCGCAAGATGCTGTACCAGATGAAGTACCAGGCTGTCGGCACCCCCACCGGAAACCACGGTCTTTACTTGAAGTGAGTCTTAGTCTTCCCAGGATCTAAGGAGCTTCTCGTTGAGCAATTGAGTGTTCCTTGACGCGAAATATTAACATATCAACTAATGATTTTCTCATAGATACAAGATCGATGCGATTACACTTTATGGAATCGACAGACCTGGTTGGCACTCACACCGCTTCAACCTCTTCCGCGTCGGCGCGTAAGTATCCTCTCACTTTTGGTGGCGTCTGATCCAAAATATACATTTTAACTGACGTTGTTTAACCCTCAACTACGCGTCTTAGCCTTCTGGAGTCGGCGGTCAGGAGTCTGAACAACCTACTGGAACACCTGCACCAGTCCTTCTTCTTCTACCTCCTCAGCGACGTCCGCCGCTACACCTCCATCGGCCTCTACATGCCCCCTGTCATCATCCTCGGTGTCTCCTTCATCTTCCAAGCCCTCTCCCTCTGGGGCCTCTCCTCCGATCTCCCCCTCGAACTTGAATCCATCGTTGAAGGCGATACAACCATCCCTGTCGCACTGCCTTACTCGAGGAGGAGCAGGAACTTTAAAGTTGCAAGTACGACCATGGGGATGGCGGTGGTCACAGGCGCAGCGACTTTTTTCCTGCTGACTACGGAATTTGGACTTGTGGGCGAGTCGCCCATGTTGAAGTTGGTTGCGAGTGTGGGGGTTTGTAGTATGCTGGTCCTGTCTGCCGTCTCGGCTGCTCATGTCCGAACGAGGATTATCAAGTCTGGTAGCACTGTCCAGAAGGCCCGCGCTACCCATAATGACACCAAAGGAAGCAGCGGCAGCAGCAGCAGCAGCAGCAACAGCGACAACACCCACAATGTGGCAGATCAGGAACTGACTCCGGCAGCAGACTGGATTATGCTCAAAACCCTAATCCTGGCCCTCTCCGCTCTCATCGTCACCACACTCTCCGCACTCAACTTCAGTCTCGCCGTCAGTATTGGCGTCCTGATCGTTTTGCCCTATATGGCCTTCCGTCCCAGCCGTTGGACCGTCGTCTCGATTATTGAGGCCCTGATCCTGTTGGCGATTTCCCCACCGGGGTTGATGATGGTGGCGTCGTGGTGGTATGTCAAGGACCCGAGTGAGGTCTTGAGTTGGGTCTTGAGAGAGTATGAGATCTTGGGGACTTGGCTCTTGCCCACTGCTTGTTTTGTTTATTGGCCTTTGAACCTTGCCGCTGTCATCATGGTTCTCCTCCCCGTTTCTTAGCATGACCTCCTTTTTTTCAATTCTTTTTTGGAACATTAAAACCGCTCGAATACATTATAAGCTTTGCCAATTGGTTTTTTATGTATGTCTATGTGGGAGTTTTATAGTGAAAATAATGCGAAATGCTAAATAAAATAATGCTATGTTTGATTTGAGAAGAGGAGCGGCGCGAAGAAAAGAAAAATGGTAGCGACAAAGCGAGCCGACTGCTTAGAAGAAGCCGAGCTTAGTCTGGCCAGCCTTGAACTTATCCTCAAGAGCCTCCAAACCCAACATCTTGAACAGATCGACACGGATCTCCTGGATATCCAAAATGGTTCTCTTCTTGGCATCCGTGTGAGCGTCAATCAACACCAACTCCAGTCTGCTCAAGTCCAAAACTCCTATTTTACATCATGCAAACAAACAAACAAAAAAAACAAGCAAACAAATTAATAACGTGGCACATGTGCATGACCATCGCATTCATTCAACGCTAACAACGAGACACAGACAAAGGGAACAAGAGGGAAAAAAACGAAGAAAACTTACCATCAGAGATCAGCTTGTCAATGCGGTTTGGTGTACCAACACAGATATGCGTACAAGTATTCTCCAAGAAATACACCTGCTCAGAAACCTTCAAATGCTTCGCAAACAGCTTTCCAACCTTGGCAGCCTCCGCAAAAAGCGGCAACGCCCGAATCACTTCCACAGCCCGAACCCCACTTGCGCTAACGATCAACACCACAGGCGCACCCTTGGGCAAGTTATTAGCCTCCTCCAAAGGCTTCTTCTTATCCTTCTTCCCACCCTTGTTACCACCCTCTCCACCTCTGTTAGCCTGGGCGTACTTTGAAGGAATCGCATTCGCATCCTTAACAAGCAATTTTGACTTCCAGGCTTCAACCGCGAATTTGAGGAAGGACTCGAGGTGGACGAGGGTATGGTCGAGAGCAAAGGGTGAGACGTCCTTGATGGCTGAGCCGGGTATCCGGCGCTCGTCCCGTTCGATGGAGGAGAGGTGTTCGAGGGCCCGGTCCTGGCTGTCGTTCAGGGCCTCGATCTGATCTGCTTTTGTGCGCTTCCCGATCGGCGTGTTGTTGATCTCTGCCCTTGCCTTCTTCGACTAATTATTATGCATATAACAAAGAAAAAAAGGCCAGGATGTTTAGTTTTTTTTTTTCCGTGGTCAATGGTATCCCGATCCCATGTTCACAGCAAAACGTAACTGTTCGTTTTTTAACAAATGCGTAAAGCCGAAGTTTGATATCCATGCGTTCTAAGTAAAATAAGTACCTTGTTCTGCTTCTTCTTCTTGGGAGCCTCAGGAGCAGCAGAAGAACCAGCCTTGCGCTTAGATCCTGCGTTAGCAGAGTTGTTCTCGTCGTCCGAGGCATCAATCTGCTCGCCATCGTCCTGTCCGTCACTGAGGTATTCGGTATCGGAGGCCTGGAAGTCGTCCTCCAAGGCATCACCAGAGTCTTTTACTTTTGCTGCCATTTCAGTTGTATATTGTAGAGGTTGTTGTTGTTGTTGTTGTTGGCCGGTGGTTGGTGGTGCTTCTTGGCGAGAAGAGACAAGAGGGGCGATGGGTGAGAGTGGAGAGAGGGAAGGAGAGAATGAATGGAATGAATGCAAAGGGGAAACAACAAATACAAAAAAAAGTAGCAGTCAAAAAAAAAAAAAAAAAAAAAGAAATGGCTGGCTGATATGAAAAATTTTCCCCCTTTCAAAACAACCTTGGATGACAGGGCAAGTTGGATCACACATTTTGCGAAAATCAGTTCAACCTCGTCAAGGAAGTAGTGTACATGACACATGATCAACGACACAGCATGTTACAATCGAACGAAAGGTGTATTTTTGACATCGTTTTTTTATTATTCATATCTCTCAATGCGCATCTGCTATACAACATCCTATTCACGACAAAAGACCTTGATCGAAAGAAAGTAACTAAAGAACTGGAAACAAAAACCAAAACGAACTAACGGTTAGTTTCAATGCCTCGACATCAATTGAACTTCAATTTACAAGAGTAAAAGAGAAGAGAAGAGGAGCTCAGACAGCGCCCTACAGTAGAGCGCGTTTTGATACCATAGCCATATGGTGTGCACAAGGTGGGTCGGTCCGCCGTAAAGACGGATACCTCTGCGTTCACCGACAGGGTAATTCAAATTTTTCATCATTGCAAACGATAGGAAGGGTATGTATGTGTGTTGTTGTGAGAGCGGATAACGAAAACTTACCAAAAGAACCTGAACACAAACGTGAAGGCAGCGATGGGGGAAAGGACGATGGAGGGTATGCAGGAATGGTGAATGGGGGATAAGTGGGATGGGGAAAGGGTGAAAGAAACAGAAAGAAGAAAAAAGAAACACTCAAGCGCTCTTATTTTTATCCGCGGGTGGCTTGTCGATGTTTTCTGTTTACAAATCGATTCGCGACCGCGACGTGACATGGATCTGGATTGAGAGAGCGGGTACGAACACCGACATTTGGGAGTCTTTGTATGAAATGAAAAGTTGTGGTAATATTTGTATTCTAAAAGGTGCAATGCTCTCTCTCTCTCAATTTCTCTACTCGCTATCTCCGCTCTACCTCGTCTCGTTGGTGTGGGTTATTTTTCGTCTTCAAGAATGGGGGGGTCATAAAATTAAACAAGACTTAAGCATGGGCCTCGATCTTGAACTCGGACTCGTCTGGGCGGTGGGTGCCCTTGGAGAAGGCAACCGAGCACTTGGCCATTGTTGAGGAGGCACGGGTAATAGAATCGGTCATGTAGTAGTCAGAGATCACTGGGGTCAACAGAGACTTGGCAGACTTGGCCCCAGTCTTGTTCAATGTAGAGAGTCCCAACGAGGCAACAGCCACTGAGCTGGGCTCAACAACATTGTAGTGGGCGAATGAGGGGGCGATGTCACGGAGACGGTCGCGGACCTGGTGAACATCGTCGTATGGGAGGGTAGCGCCAGCGACCTCAGAGATGGCACGGATAATCTTCCAGTCCTCACGGGCAGCGCCAGGTGGTGGCACGGCAGCGCGAGTCTGCTGGGGACGACCCTCTGTGTTGACATATGTGGCGCTCTTCTCGGTGTAGGTGGCTCCGGGCAAGATCACATCGGCGTACTGAGCTCCGACATCTCCGTGGTGGCCCTGGTAGACAACGAAGGCATCCTTGGGAATATCAGAGGCAGAGATCTCATCAGCCTCGAGCAAGTAGACGAACGAGGTCTTTCCAGTCTCCTTGGCCTGGGGAACGAATCCAATATCGTAAGCAGCGGCTCTGCTAGCGGCCTGTTTTTCATAATAGCAAATGTAGACTTAAGTTAGAAACCCATTCATAGAAACAAAAAGACGCAATTGAAGAAACACGTAAGAAAATGCTAATAGGACGTACACGCTGAAGGACGTTGTATCCGTTCCAGTTCTCCTGGAAGAACTTGTCCTTGTGCTGGTTGACGATCTTGGAAACCGAGGAGAAGACGTACTCGCTGTCGGGCAAGTCGTTGACACCGCTTCCGATGATGATCATGGGGTTCTTGGCGGCAGCGAGCTGCTCAGAGAAGGCGTGCTTGCCAGAGACAAGGGCCTCGAGTGAAGCTGTATCAGCACCAATGTGATCGTAGTCGTAGGTCAAGTCGACGGGGGCACCAACGAGTCCGATGTTAAGACCATTGTAGACGAAAGACTTGCGGATACGGGCGTTCATGACGGCGGCCTCATGACGGGGGTTGGTTCCGATCAAGAGAAGGGCATCAGCCTGCTCAATACCGGCAATGGTCGAGTTCAACAAGTAGTTGGAGCGGAAATCAGCACCGTGGGCAGGTGTATCCTGGCGACGGTTGTCGACAGTGACGTTCTCAGATCCGAGAGTGTTGACAAGATCCTTAAGGGAGACAAGGGACTCGGCATCGGCCAACTGACCAGCAATGGCCTTGATGCCGGGGCCAGCAGCCTTCATCTCCGAGGCAACCTTCTGAAGGGCATCAGCCCAGTTGACGTTGACAAAGGTATCGCCCTTGCGGATCATGGGGGTGGTCAAACGCTGGGTCTTGAGACCGTCGTAGGCGGAACGAGTTCTGTCCGAAATCCACTCCTCGTTAATATCCTCGTTCAAGCGGGGGAGAATACGCATGACCTCGACTCCGCGCGAATCGACGCGAATGTTGGATCCGAGGGCGTCGAGAACATCGATCGACTCGGTGTTCTTGAGCTCCCAGGGACGGGCGTTGAAAGTGTAAGGCTTGGAGAGAAGAGCTCCAACGGGGCAAACATCAGCCAAGTTTCCGGACATCTGTTGTCGTTTGAGTAATTATTGAGGTTGTGATATCCATGAGTGTGTTGTTGTCCAGATCGTATCGTCAGTTGTATTGTGTCCAGTCCAAGCGAACATTGCATAGTGGTAAGAAAAATGAGAAAAATGGTTAAAAGACTGAAAATCGAAAACAAACGCGTCCTTTTCTGTCAATTGACCTCAGCATATGCAACAAATGAAACGCGAGGATGGATCGGACATGTTACCTCAGAGTTCATGGTCTTCTCGATATAAGTTCCGATCTGCATGTCGTTACCACGTCCGGAGGTACCGAGATCCTGGAAACCAGCGACCTCGTTGGCGAAACGGACGCAACGGGTGCAGTGAATGCAACGGGTCATGGTAGTCTTGATCAAAGGTCCCAAGTCCTTGTCCTCGACGGCACGCTTACCAACAACCTCGGAGAAACGACCACGATCCGAACCGTAGCGGACGGACTGATCCTGGAGATCACACTCTCCTCCTTGGTCGCAAATGGGGCAGTCGAGGGGATGGTTGGCCAAAAGGAACTCCATGACACCCTCACGGGCCTTCTTGACGATGTTGCTATCGGTCTTGATCTTCATTCCAGGCATGACGGGGAAGGCGCACGAAGCGACGGGCTTGGGGGACTTTTCGACCTCAACCAAGCACATTCTGCAGTTTCCGGCGACAGAGAGACGCTCGTGGTAACAGAAACGGGGGATGTGAACGCCGGCCTTCTCGCAAGCTTGAATAACGGCAGATCCGGCCTCAACCTTGACAGACTTGCCATCCACGAAAACCTCGACCTCGTTCTTGACGACAACAGAGGTGCGGAAGTGGCGGGGGGCTAGTACCATGTCATATGTACAGAGAGTACGAGTGAGTGTGAGTAGGGTGTGTCTGTGTCCGTGTGTGCACTAGAGGAATATCATTGTCGATAGACAGGCTGGCGTCTATATGAGTGGTTGCACCCAGGTGGAGAGTCGTGTCGGCGTTGTCGTGTTCCAGAAGCACGGGGATTCGGATCACAAGGTCCGAGATCGCGATTTCACGCCCTTTTCCGTCCCTCTTGCCGGACTTTGAAGATCCATGTGGGATGAAGATCACCGGAAGTTGTCATGAGGGCATAGTCCAGCCGCGGGTGAGAGTATCATCATGTAGATTGGCAGCCCTGGTGGTTGCCGAAGTGACAAAGTGGCATCCGTCACTTTTCCGAAGTGTGTTAATGAAAGATGGGTGATTTGAATCCGTTACCTCCGGCCTGTCGCAGAGCGGCTCTGCTGGTGTGTGACAACGCGCGGAACATGATGTGCGTGTGTGTATATATATGAAAGAGAAAGTGGCGAAGGAGGGGGAGGGAGGAAAGGGAGGAGGATGGGAGTGAGGGGGCGGGAAGAGTGGGGAGGAGGAGATGATTAGTGGAGAGTAAGTTGTCCGGACGATGATCTTTTTGCAATCTTGCCAGGAACTGGTTTCCTCCGAAATATTCACGTCACCGTAAACTTCGGAGATGCATCTTCTATTTTTGCACATCAAAATGAATCCAACGCCACCAACTGCTCACATTCTCACGAACTCCAATGTGGAAATTTCTTACTCCTCCTGTGATGTTTTGGTAACAGACGAGGTGAGGGACATTGTCGTTGGAATTGTTTGTCACAACTGCAATTGCTGCCTGAAAACTGGGTATGGTGATCCATGCTCCCATTGTTAGCGGCACTATTGCAGGTTTGGCGAATAAGGCCGGCGAGGGATGGAGGAGGAATGAACAAGACGATGGATACGAAATGAAAATGGACGGCACCGAGGCGGTAGGCGAGTCGGTGTCGTCAAAGAAGCAAGCGCGGGGGGATGATGGGGGAGAGGGTCGATATGTATTGAATGTTCAGCATGCCAACCGTGGAGTAATAAACAGGAGAGGAAAGCATTTTTTAATCAGGTTCAAGCGCGACGAATGGTACCTCCTGAAAACAGAGAAAGGGAAAATAAAAAAGAAGAGAGACAACGGCTGTTTGTTAAAGGTCCACGTTATCTGTGACGGGGTTGCCAGCTTTCAGTCTTCATGTTGATGAGGAGGAAAAGAATAGAAGGATGAAAGAGAAGGCAGGCTGGGAGGAAATTCTTTTTGTTGTATTAGGCAATTCGACTGTGGGTGGCGCGTCAGGCAAAATGCAAATTGGTGGCGCTCATGAGGGCTGCTGCTCAAAAAGACGCCCAGAAAAAAGAAAAGGGCAAGCAAGTGGTGGGCATAAACCATAAAGACCATGGCGTCCTCGTTTGCTACTGTTACTGTAGTTGCTCGTTAGTCCATGGCTTTTGTTGTCCCCTATATTTGCTTACTGTTCCACCCAACAGACAACAGCCAAGCAAGACATATTCTCACCACAACCCCCTTACTTTTTTTTGCTTTTTCCCTTCCCATCGCCTGTGCCCCTTGAATCAATTTCTTGCCTCGCCACTTTCTTTTCGTCTCAGCAATGTCCTCGCACCTTGCCTTTCCTTTCCTTTCCATTTCTTCTCTCTTTCTCATCCATTCACTTCTTCCTTTTCTTCCTCCTCTTTGACCCCCATCACACTTCCTCCTACAAAAAGCCCTCTTCGCATTTCACTCCATCAAACCACATCTTTAGCAATGGCATCGTCAACCTCATCCTCACACGTCCCCCCAAACCCATACGGCTGCCGACTCCTTCCCGCAGACCCGTCCTCCTTCCTTCCAAACAACCCCTCCGCGCTCTCCAACAACAACAATAACAATAACAGTAACAACGCTCACCACAACGGACCAGGACACGAACCCAACAACAATAGCAGCAACAGCAATCACACCCAAGACGACGACTCGGACTCGGACGACGGGGAGGAAGACCACCTGGAAGCAAGCAATGGTGGCAGTGCCAGTCCTCTGGTACCGAGTGACGGAGCAAGTGCAGAGGCGTTAGTCCAACCGGCCCCGAACCCGATGCCTACTCCCTATATCATTAACCAGCCTACTACGCACAACACGGAGCCTTTTAGTTTTGGATCCCAGGTTGACTCGATCTGTCCCAAACTCTTGCACGAAACCATCATGTCGTACGTGCCACTCCCTCTCTCTCTTCTCTCTCTTTCTCTCTCTCCTTGTATTGCCATCTCTCAAGCACTGAAACAAGTAATACCCAGAGCACCAATCTTTAACCTTCTTTCTCAATGATTTAAATAGTCCAGTCCCGCAGGGTTTAAAGTTCATGTGCAGGATCGTCCGCAAGAACGAAGGCGTCGACAAGCGTATGTACCCAACCTACGAACTCACTCTCGAAGAGCCCTCCCGTTCCTCTCGAGTTCGTCTCTTGCGTGCAACCAAGAAGAAACGAAGCCGAGGATCTTACTATGCGATCACCAGCGACATGGACCACCACCCTGCTGACTATGACCGAAAGGCGAGCGACGAAAACTATGGAGTCTTGGGGAAACTGAGGTCCAACTTCTTGGGAACTGCGTTTAATGTTTATTCGAATGGACGGAATCCCTTTTCGGGAAATGCAGCAGCAGCACAGGCAGCGACTGAAGCAGAGGGTCACTCGAGTGGGATCTCAAACAACAGTGCCAGTAATGGAGCAGGAGGAGGAGCAAGAGCAGCTCTGGACCAGAAGACGAAAGCTGAGATCAAGAACCCCGTACGACAAGAACTCGGCTCTGTCATCTATGTAAGCTGTGTTCTTTTCTGACCCATCCTGGATGTTTTGTTATTGTCGTGAACGTGGAGCTCAGAACTCAAAATTTGGCTTTTTTCGCACACTTCTTTCTTATAGAACCCAAATGTGCTGGGATTGAAGGGACCAAGGAAGATGACGATCTTGATGAATACCATGACTGCAGAGGGCGATATGGTTGAGAGACGACCGACACAGGCCAAGGATACGCTGATCGGCCGCATGACTGACCGCGATATGACCGACCTCCTTGTCCTCCGAAACAAGAGTCCACAATGGAACGATGGTAGCCTTTACGACATCAATTCAACTCTGGTCGAACGTGAGGATGTTCGTGAACTGAACCAGAGGGAGCTAACGCGTATCTTATTGCTTTCATCTTTCTAGACACCAACTCGTTTGTGCTGAACTTTGGAGGACGCGTCTCACTGGCATCAGTCAAGAACTTTCAAATTGTCCATGATAACGACTGTAAGAGCCCTCACCTCTTTCAAACTCGCTAACGTCTCGCATTTCATTTATTCGACAAAGTACTCACATCCGTTCTTTACTTTTCGTCGCTAATGTAGTGGACTACATCATTATGCAGTTCGGAAAGACTTCGCAAGACAACTTCACAATGGACTGCCAGTATCCCATGACGCCCTTCCAGGCATTCGCCTTTGCCCTCACCAGCTTTGACGCCAAGCTTGCCTGCGAGTAAAACGCAACCGCGCACAACATGATGTCATCAAAAAAAACTCAGGAAGAAGACACACCAGCCATTAACCACTCATTTCCAGTTATCATTAAAAGATTCCTTGGAAAATCCATGACTTTGCGGAGGAAATTATTTATTTACAAGTTAGAAAAAATGTGGACAAGTTTTAGTCGTCGTCGTCGTAGATGTTCTTGGAATCACGGACGTCCTTGGAGTACATCTTGCGGTTTGCCATCTCAAGCAGTGCAACCGCTTCTGGGTGCGCGTCCATCACAGAGTGCTTTGGCAAATCTTCACTGTCAATCGTCGAGGGGTGCACTTGCCAAACTGTTCAGACATAAAACCATATATTAGTACCTTTTTTCAATTGACCATTGTCAGAACACGCGTGTTTGGTTCACAAAAGACAAGAGGGGTTTTACCTTCCATCTCGTCAAGCTTAAAGTTCTGCTGCTTAGACAACCTCGGCGACTGGAACGTCGAGCACAACGGTTCCGCAGCCGACTGGCCCGTCTGGAAATCGCTCGCGAGCCAAAGGCCAAAATACCTCAACTGGCCTCCAAACCCAATCCCGTTCGGCAACGTCTTGGTGCCCGAATCCAGGTACTGGAAGTTGCTGTTGACTCCTTGGCTAGGGCGATAAATCCTGAATGTGGGTCGGATGGTGAACAGGAAACTGCGATCGGTTCCGTAGAATTTGGGCCCTTGTTCCCAATCCTGGTCCGCGTAGGCTCCAAAGATGTAACCGTCTTCGTCTTTCATGACGATTAGGGTCGGGCCTTGGTAAGTGATCTTTTGGAGGAGGGTTGAGAAGGAGGCGCCTGAGGTTTTGGAGGAGAAGAGAAGCTTGAGTGGAGGGGTTGAACGCGTCTCTGACAGGCTCTGCTCCTGACCGCCTCCGCCAGAAGACCCCTTCTGTGCCGGACCGTTCGATGCGGTCATGTTGTAGATGGGCGTCGGCAGGGCATACCGAAGCTGAAAAAAGTCCGCAACGGTCAGCAGGCGAGAGTAATGAGGAGCAGCGTCAATCCCGCCTCTGATCCTGGGAGCAATATAGTTCTTCTGGCACAGCTTGTTCTCTACCTCTGCAGACATCTTGGTCCTCTTCCTTGGTGTCGCGCCCGCATTGGTGGCATCAGCTCCCATCAACGTCGACTGTCCCAGGAACAAGTTCTGGATCAAGATCGTAAACATGATCTGATACTCAACCGTCTCCTGGTACCAGTTCAAGAACGCCGACCGACTCATCTCCTTTCCACTCGGCTGTCCCTGTCCATCCAGCTTCGTCGCCGACTCCAACCAATCCTGCCCCGCCTTATCCAACCCATTAACAGCACCCTCATCCTCGTCATCACTCTCAAACTCACTCTTCCCAGACCTCCCCTTCTTTAAATGACTTGTCAGCAAGAATCCTGTGGTACCCTCAACATCCTCTTCAGAAATATCCTTCCAAGACCCAACCTCGCCCGCCAACCAAAACACCATCACCGCTCGAGTCACATTCGCGACAAAACTTTCCAACGACCTGTCATGCGTCTGCAGCATGAAACTCAGCCCTGCCTGCTCTTCAATACTCGTCTTGGACAGTCGATGAATCGTCATGACCCAACCGTATTTCGAAATCCGAGTCGTCGAGTCCACAGAAGTCGAGCGCGTCAGCCCCTGGCGACGGGAGGCACGATTGCCTGCTCCTCCGTCGGCGTGCCCGCTTTTGGTCGTATCGGTGGTAGGCAAGGACGAATCATAGATGGCAGAATGCATCTGCATCGTGACCCTGAAGCAAGTCAACAGTGGTGGTGGGAGGAGCGGACTGAAGAAGGCGATGAACTGTTGTGGGTCGATAGTCTCCTGGTCGTTTCCATGGTGCCCGCTCTTTTTGGTGTCCTGTGTGGCTGTTGTTGAAGGTGTAACGCCCTTGCAGAGTTTGTCAAAAAGGTCGAGGACGCTTGTGCGTTCGTGGTCGGGAAAGTCTGCGAGACAAGCTTCGATTGCTGTCTCTTGCTTGCTTGGTTGTGAACCTACAGGTAGGTGTGCATCGGTTAGCAGAGACTTGTGTTAGTGAATGTAATGGAATGACTTTTTTGACGAAAGACGACATTTTTGCTCTCTATCTTGAGACTGTGTTCTTTACCCATGGTGTCGTGATGTAAGTGGCGATGAGTAGCAAAGGAGTAAGTGGGTGGTTGTAGAAGGAATGAGAAAAGTGAAGGGAGATGAAAGGTGGTGAAGAAGAATAAGGTGAACGGACCTTGTCGACCTTTTTATCACAAGAATGCCCTCCTTTTCTTTGGACGGCGCAAAACCTGACCCATGACATCAGTCGGACTATCTCGATGCGTTCATTTTATTTCCTTTCAGCACGCACCTTGCGCCCACCCGTTTGTTAGTAAAGGGGGGTCTGAAAACGCCAACCATTCTCATCCACAGCTCGCAAGTTTTATTATCTACACTACCATTGAGAAAAAAGGCCTAGATAGCCTTCCTTCACTCGACTCTAGAAAAACTGGAGGATATCCGATCGAAAAAAGCGCTCGACGGATGGACATCTCTGAAAGGTTTCGTCTAATGGGCCACTGCCAGTCACCTTTGTAGGCGATTGATGGTTCGTACAACCAACCGAGAGAAGGGTTCGTGGTACCAGGAAAACCATTGCTGTGAGAGAGAGTTCTCTCAGACCCGGCATCAATCGCAACATGGTTGCCATTCTCTCACTGGTGGCAACGAGGCTGTCGGTCTCGTTCCAATCAAGCCTACGGACCTGTCGGCAACGACGGCTGCAATAACTATCATCGTCCACCTCTTCGTCGACGAGAAGGATCAATGGATTTGCCCACCGATGCTATTTTTTGCAGACAAGCATGCACGACTTCTTGAAGGGTCCTTGTGGGGATTCCCACCATGGACCAGCGCAAAGTTGTCGTCTCGCCACCTTTACAACCTCTCTCTCGTCGGTAGCGCGAATAGAGTGCAGAGCATCGAGTCCGTTCCAGTCTCTATGACAACCTCATACCGCACGGAATCCAACATCTCTCCAACTGTTGCCGTGTCCTTCGGAGATCATTCTTTCGGTCAATCGAGGTCGGTGGGAGGAGAAGGGGGCGCCGGATACTGTGGAGTCATCTTGCGACATTACAACTCGACTTCGATTGCGGAGGGTATTAGAGAAGGAAGTAGGAACGACTTTGAGAGATAACCATGGCTTGATTGACTTCCGTAAGCAACTTTTGGGCCTGGACAGGGGTCACAACACGGCCTAACTCAAACCCCATCAACCCCGGGGCGCTCTTGATGTCTCTCAACCCTTCAGGCTGACCAAAGCGATCTTGCTGGATATGGTCAACGGCTAACAAAGTAAGACAATGCATCTGTGGAAGAACCACCGCAAATCCGTTGACAGCGGAGCCCATTCTTCCAACAACCTTCAACCGCTCTAACTTTAAGCACCGGGTGATAGGTCGGATGTCGGTTTCCACCTCGTTGATGGGATTGGAAATGAGTGAGAGAATGCTGAGGTCAGGGCATCTGCTGAATAGGCCCAAGTGCGTCGTGGGAACTGACAAACTTTGACATTTCCAGAATCCAGGATACTCTTTGACTTCCTCTTGGGTCTTGTCCCGGAACTATGTTCCGTTGATGCCCAGGTGTTCAAGGTCTTCGCAGCCTTGAACAACTTCATGAACCGGCAACGCGTCTTCGCCGTCAAATCGCCGTAGGCTTAAGTCTAGACTTGTCACCATTGTAAGTAATTGAAAGTTTCGTAAGTCGGAGAGAAGGGTTCGTGGGGCCTGGAAAACCACTGCCGTGAGAGACAGTTTTTTTTAGGCCCGGCATCAATCGCAACATGGTTGCCATCCTATCACTGGTGAGAAACGACGTTGTCAGTTCTCGTTCCACGCCAGCTTCCGGACTTGCCGACGACGATAATCGAAAGATGCATCATCGCCTTCCAATCTCCATCCAGATATAAAGGCAAAGTGCATGATGCCAGGGTTCTGAAGACAATAATGTACTGTACAACGTCCTTCCTTACCAAAAAACGTTGGCAATCACTAAAAGAATCTCAGATGGCAAGTTCTTCACTGAATGATAGCGCAGTTCGGAGGAGATATCAGCTTCGTTCAAATGCCTTGCGACCTTGGAGGGAGGTGGAAAGACATCTTCGTCGTTGGCGAGAGAGGTGAACGGGGCCAGCCTTTTTCTTGACGTTGAGCGGTGATGTGGACTAGGGTGATGAGGATGATGGACAAGGTGAGGATGAAGGGTCGTGTGGTGAGGAAGGAGTTGAGGAGTTGTTGCCGTGCATTTTATTGATAGTGGGCTGGAGTGTGAGTGAAATGGTTGAGAGGAATGGGAAAGGGAAAGGGAGAGGAGCGTGATGGTTGAAGGGAGGAGAAAAAGAGGAAAGGAAGGAAAAGGAAGAAGAAGGAAGAAGAAGGAAGAAAAAGTAGTCGGTGGCTCGATGTAAGGAGGGTTGGGGTATAGTCAACGATGACCTATCAGTCATAAAAAGTGCACGAGCTACTCGGAAAAGATAGTTGGGAAGAAGGAGGAAAGGACGCTCGCCCATGAACAGGAGGGCTGTTTAGGTAATGAGGGCCGTTTAGGTAATGAGGGCCGGCACAGAAGCAAAGACGACTATGCAACAGGACATCAAACAACATACACGATGGACAAGGTCAGGCACAAGACATTGTTATTACAACAATCCTCCCACAGCTCATCCGCCGTCTGTCTCTCTACTCTACTCTCTCCACTCTTCCCCTCCTTCTCTCTAGCTCTCTAGTTCATTCGTTCGTTCCATTGCATTCCTGTTTTCATTCGTCTCATTCGTCTCCCACCCGGCCCTTCGCATCAGCCAACAGAAATTGAACGAGAGGAACGACATTCAGCAAGGTGGTGGCAAGGTCAACGTAACCACCGTTCTGTATTACCGTTCGTCTGTTTTGTCATCTTGCCTCTGTTTTTGTTTATTGGTTGGCTGAGGCACTGTTTTTCGAATTGGTGGCAAAAAATTAAACGTCAGAATGAAAATAGAACAATGAGCATGTGACCTCAATGCTCTTTGGTGGGAGTGAACCTTCTTTGGTGACACCATATCATGCACGCTTCTTTCAGCAACGAAATAAACAAACGAGTCGACGAGTGCATGCGAAGAATGGAAACATCTGCAACCGATGATGCCTGGCTGTAATTTTTCCTGGTGTCTCTCTCTCTCTCTCTCCAGATAAAAAGAAGCACACGATATCACCTACCAATGAACACGCGTCGCCCAAAAGTAAACCTAACTCGCCCACCGTTTCCCTCCCTTCTCGAGACGAGGAAAACAAGTGAACCGTCCGCAGCTTCAACAGGCAGCACAAACTGGATTAAAAAAAAACCCCCTCTCCTTCCTCTCTCATACAGCTCCATAGGCAAAAGTATTAACCTCATTCCGGTGGTTCAGTACGACATGTACAATTTAATCGGCTATATACAAAAAATACTCTTCTCCACCGTTCCAATGACTGCAATTCATTTATCGGGAGGTAACACCGCCGTTGACAAAGAGAGTCTGAGCAGTGACCCACTGCGAATCGGGCGAGGCAATGAACTCGACAACGGGGACGACATCCTTGACATCTCCCAACCGACCGGCGACACTCAGTGACGCAAACAGGGCCGTCGACTCCTTTGTCTCTTGTCCGTAGAAGAATGGCGTGTCAATTGGGCCTATGTGAAAAATGATAAAATGTTTTTATGTTGGGTGAGCTGAACGGATCAAATAAACTAGAAAACAAGGCATTTTTTTGACGTCTCTTCTCTTTTTTTTTTTTTTTTTTTTTTTTTTTTTTTCGCTTTCTGCAAAGAGGCCTTTGTAAAAAAAGCTTACCTGGTGCAATAGTGTTAACAGTAATACCCCTACTTCCAACCTCCTTTGCAAGCGCCCTCGTAAAATCCTCCAATGGAGCCTTTGACCCAGCATAAACCGAATACTCTCCCGTCGTAATAGCCAGCAAGCTCGTTCCAATATTAATCACCCTACCCCCATCCGCCATATGCTTGGCACACTCTTTCATAATAAAAAACGGCACCTTTGCATTAATCGCAAATACATCATCATACTCTTCCTCTGAAATCTCGGCCATCGGCTTCTTCAACACCACACCGGCATTGTTGATTACAATATCAATATGCCCAAAAGTCGAAAGAATCTGAGCAAAAATCTGCTCGATCACAGAAACTGATGTGAGCTCGCCTTGGACGATAAGGGTGCGGCGGCCGAGGGATTGGATCTCTTGAGCTGCCGTCTGGGCCTCGGACGTGTCTTTGCGGTGGTGAATGACAATGTCGGCGCCACGGCGGGCGAGGGCGAGGGCGAAGGCTTTGCCCATGTTCTTGGCGGAGCCGGTGATGAAGGCGACCTTGCCTACCATGTCCTGTTTGATTTGTTCTGTCATGTTGTTGCTGTTGCTCTTGTTGGTGGTAGTGGTGGGTGGTAGTGTAGTGGTGGGTGGCAGTTGTTGGAAAGAGGCGAGTGAAGAGAAAAAAGAAAATGGAGGGTATCTTACTTCGCAAAAAAAAAGAGGGTGACACACTCAGTGCAACAAACAACGGACTGAAACATTAAAAATTTTCAAACAAATGTCCGATGTGCATGGTCGGGTTGCAATAGAATGAACAGGACAACATGTTCGATGATCCAAAGAAACCACCACGAAAATGCAGTGGACGTACTCAATATCTTGGTCGCTCTGACCATGATCTTACTTTGACAGAGACACAATGTCGAGACGTTCTTTTTTGTCGTTACATTTCATTGACTTTGTTTTAATCTCTTTAAACAAAAAACTATGTGGTAGGTTGGTTGGTTGGTTGTTCGTCATCTATCGTGCTAAAGTTCATATCATGGACACCACCCTATCTTACTATTGGAGCTTGGCATTCTCGACAATCAGGCGCTTGACTCCCGTCATCCAGCTCGACACTTCGTTCGTGCGCGTCGAATGCAACTCCAAGTGGATCTGGTATGCAGAGTTGTAGTTCTTGGATTGGAGTGCTTGTGCAAGCAACAGCATTTGATCCACCACAGCCGCTGACACCTCCTCGTTGTTCAACATGTCGAACAACACATTCAACTTCTTTTCAGCGTCATCCCATGCTCTCTTGTTCGCGGGCTATTAACATTCCACAAGAAAATTAAGTAAATGCTCCATTAGAATCATGAACTCGGGTCAACCTTCTTCTTGCCGTCATTTTACATACAAAAAGAAACATACCGTAGCGTATTGGCGAGCGAGGGCGAGCTCATTAGCGAGGACGGTGAAGATCACCTTCTGTCCTGCAGGGATATGTGAGCGGTCACCGGCAGCTACATTGTCCAACAAAAAAATAGATACGCGCGTCAGCTCCGTGTGTTAGCCCATAGGAAACAGAGCAACAGATCTGGTACTGTCTCAGTAATGCGCATAAACAGAAAAGACCATTGACTTACGATGTCTTGACTTGACAGGCTCTGGGGGAGTTGGGGGTGCTGCTGGCGTCAGGGGTCTCTGCTGGAGGACTTGGGGCATGCCGCTGGCCATGCCTCCCATGGGCCCACCACCAAGGTTTTGTTGAGGGGCGTAAGGGCTAGGAGAGCCTTGTCCATAACCCTGCTGCTGCTGCTGCTGCTGTTGCTGGTATTGTTGCTGCTGCTGCTGGGCAGGAGGGGCATATGTGTTCGTGGGCTGGGGATTGGTTGCCTGGTTGCCACCAAAGTTCTGGAAGTTAGCAGGCTGCTGTGCTGCACGCTGGTTGGCATAACGGGGCGACATGGCATTGCCTGCGTTGGTAGGGGGAGGAGGGGGCAGGTGCGATGCTGCTGGGACCGGTGAGTAGGGCGAGGTGGTAGCTGCGGGACGAGCGCCCATCATGGGAGGTGGAGGCAATGCTGTTGGCTGAGGAGGCTGTCCATAGCCAGTTGCAGGAGGTGGTGGGGTACCACCCATGGGGCTGTTACCGATAGCGGGACTGCCAGGGAAGGGCGAGCTGAATTGAGTCTTGTTCAAAGCAGCATTTGCATTTGCACGCTTGGCGGCGTTGGCTAGAGGCAATGATGGAGGGTCGTTCCAGTTACCAGTGTCTTTGCGCTGCGAGGGAGGCAAATCGGCCGAGCGAGTCCTCTCAACGGGGTTCTGCTGGTTGTAATGTCCCTGGAAGGGCTGCTGGAGACCAGTATCGGCATGACCAGGGTAGCCTGACTGGTTAAAGGCAGGAGGTGCAGGGGGCTGGTTATAACCTCCATATGTTGGGGCGGGGGGCGCATAGGGGTTGTTGGCGACAGCAGGCTGAGGAGGGCGGATTTCGTTCTGCTGAGGAGCGCCAAAGGGGTTGGGAGGAGGAGGCACAATTGCCTGCTGCTGCTGTTGCTGCTGCTGCTGAGGAGGAGGCTGCTGGTATCCTGTGGCATTGTAGCCAGCGTTGCCATAAGGAGCTGGTGGTGCGCCGTAGGGGTTCTGGGCACCGTAAGGGTTTTGCTGAGCCTGCTGGGGCTGGTACTGGTTCGTCTGGTACTGGGTGTTCTGGTACTGGTTCGACTGGTACTGGTTATGCTGCTGCTGCTGCTGCTGTGGTTGCTGAGACTGGTACTGGTTGTGTTGGTACTGGTTGTGCTGCTGCTGCTGCTGCTGACCGTACTGCTGCTGCTGCTGGTACTCGCCCTCGCCCATGACAAAGAGGGGTTCGAAGGGGAACTCGGGAGCGGGGACCTTGCTGACATCGACGCCAGAGTGGTAGAGACGATCGCGCATGACGGCCAAGCTCTCCTTGTTGTGGTAGTCGACAGGGGTCAAGCTCAAGAATTCGACAGCAGTCGAAAGGCGACCCTGAGCGGCCATAATCTCGGCATACTCGGTGTACTTGTCGTACAAGGCAGCCAACTTGTGATGACCATCCTGCTGCTCTTCAGGGTTATCTTCGTTGGGGTTACCGGAAATGGCAACATCAACATAGTCAATGGCTTTGCGGAAGACGGTAACCTTCTCAATAAACGCTTGCAACGAGCGAGCATTGCGCTCGTACTCGGAGGTCGAGGGATCATATCCGCTCAATGCAAGCTCCTGCTCCTGCTCCTGAATCCAGATAGAAACGACGCGCTCGAGGTTTCCAGCAGCCAAGTAGCAGAGAACAGTGTTGCAGCGAATATCATCCGCCTGCTCTCCAGCCTGTGCCTTGGTGATCCACTGCTGCTCCAATCGGTTACCGAGGGACTCGCACAGCTTTCCAAAATCATCGGGGCGAGCGAATGTGCAAAGAATCACAACAATCTCCTGCCAGTCAGCCAAATCGGCGTTGCGAACGACATCCTCGAGGTCGCCAGTAACAACGCTCTGCAAGAGGCGGATGTAAGGGGTCGAAGCGGCGCGACGCTCAAAGTAGGCCTTCTGGGTGCGTTCCAACAGCTCGGGACCACCGCAGATGGCAAGAACAAGGGCGTCCGAGAGACGTCCATCGTGCAAGCAAACATTAACAGCAGAGTCAAAATCGCCAGCAACAATGCAGCGTGTGATCTTCTTGTCAATGTCGGTATCTGAGGCGGGGTAAATATGGAAGGGGATTGAGGGCTTGACCTTGAACTCTGAGGTGGGGGCGGCAGTAGAATAGTTGCCAAAGGCATCGTCAGAGTCAAGAAGGTCAGTATTGCTGCCCGAGAACAAGGAGTTCATCTCTGTAGTCGAGCCAGGGTGGTTCTGAAGTCCTCCGTCAGGCTTGGGCGAAGTGACCGAGGTGTTGCTGTTGAGGTTCATCTGCTGGGTCAATGCGGCGACTTGATCGACCATCTCCTGCTTGTCAAAACCGAGGTGGTGAACAAGCTGCTCGCGGGGGTTGGCTTCGAAAAGAGCGCGCAAGACGGTCCAGTATTCTGCAGTGGTTTGGTCAGTCTGGCTGCGTCCCTCGCAGAACTTGTCCAAGGTCTTGGTCTCCAAAGCGTGCTCGAGATCAGCAGCGCGCTGAGAAATCTCAGGCTCGGTCACAACGCTGACCAATGTCACTGATGAAATGTTAGTGGGAACGCCAGCAGGGGCGACAGCGCCAGGGGGGAGGTTCATGGGAGGAGCGGGTCTGTTCCTGAATATAGCAAGCTTTCCTCCAAAGCCGAAAGTAGCACCGACGGGGCGACGAAGCCACTTGGGGGGCTGCTTCAACGAGATGGCCGCAGTGGGGGCCTGGGTCTGGTACTGAGGGGTGAAAGGATCGTGCGATTCCTGAATGGCATGGCCTGCTGAGCCAGACTCATTGTCGGATGTTGACTGAATAGAGTGGATATTGATCTAATACATGATAATAAAGTTGAAATTTAGCACATGGGATTGGAGGTGTTGCTCTCGATATCGAAAGACGGCTGTGCTTTGTGTTGTGGTGTTACCTTTCCGTCGAACGAAGCAGAGGCCAAAAGATCAGGGTTGCGAGGGCACCAATCAATATCAAAAGTCCAGCTTGAGCTTTGAGGGAGCTACTCATGAGAGACAGGACATTGTTTCTGGGGTTAGTAAAAGATGACAAAGCCAGAGCAACGCTCTGCTGAAAGAAAATAAAAATAATCCTATTAGGCCCCATACCTCGCCAATGATCTCTCCAGACTTGGGGTTCCAGCAGAGTGACCGGCAATCCTTGCCTGCAGACAGAAGCAAGTCAGAGTCCTGCTGGCACCACGAAAGCGACAAAATTCCCTTGGTGTGTCCAGAAAGAGTCTAATTTGGTTGAAACAAAGCACTGTTAGAATATGACTTGCAACATGGCACATGTGGAAACAAGCCAGCTTTCGGCAAAAGTAACAATATATGGTGCACTTTAAAGCTACCTTCTCGGGGGCGTGGGCATAACGGAGATCCCAGACCAAGATGACGGGATTGTTGTCGTCCTCGGTCGCTGTGATAATTTGAGTTGCCTAGTAGACAAGGAGAAAGTTTAAAACATATGTCCTGTTAGATATTGCACATTAAAGAGCTTGTCACGATGCCATAAGTATAGGAAAGAGAGGATACGTACAACATCAGGGTTCCAAGCAATGGCGGTGATGCCGCGACGGCTGGCACCCATCTGTCCCAAGTTGCCCATGCTGCCTCCAACACTTGCTCCGGGGTAGGAGAGAGTGAGGACCTCGCGCTTGGCCTTGAGATCCCAGACGACGGTGTATCCTGTGGTTGAGCTGGTAGCCAAGATGTGTTGGACGTGGTTGTTCCAGGCGACGCAAGTAATGTCCTCCAGCTTAGCTGACCTGGTTCCAGGAGTATATGGCTTGGTCAAGTTTCCAAGATCCCAAATGAAGATCTAATGGTTGGATTGAAGCGAATAATAGTTAGAGGTGGATTCCTTGGTCGACCAATTAACGCAAGCCCAGTGTCAGATAGTAGTGATGACATGTAATATTGTACCTCGCCGTTGCTTGAGGCGGAAGAAAGAAGGTTCTGCTGGAAGGGGTTGAAGTGAAGGCCACGGACAGGGCCAGAGTGGTTGGTCTGTCTGGAAAAGAGGACATCATCGCTATTGAGGCAGTAAGAAAAAAAAGGAACCGAATGGATACACGCGTAAAAGCATCAGTCAACAAGGTCCGGCCAACCAGTTGCAACCAACAAGCATACTGAGCAGGAAACTCAACAAGAAAATAAGTGACAGAAGGAAAAAAAGACAAAGGGGAACAGAAGGGGGGCAGGTTTCACGTTCTAGGCCGCGAGTATGCGAGTAAGACGGGTTTGCTCAGGGACAGATGACGATGTACATACCTTCCATTGAGGATCGCGTTGGCATCCCACAAGTTCAGCTCGCCGTTCTCCATTCCTCCTGCAATCATACCGTAAGGGCGATCGACTGTTGGACTCGCCCATGCCAAACGGTTGAATCTATTCCAAGGTGTGTATTATTCGTATCGGTGTTAGTGACCAAAGGACCCTTTTCTTCTCTGACGCAACAACAAAGACCAGTCGGACAGCCAGGTGCTATTCTTTTTTTTTTTTTTTTTTTACCTGGCACTGCTAGAGACAACACCGGCAGGTTGGTTAAGCTCTACAGAGTCGGGCGATTTGTCGGTGAGGTTGAGGTCAAAGATCTCGAGTTGGGAAGTATTGGAGAAGTTGGCATCGAAGGCTCCGGCAACTGTTCCTGTAGCGAGGAGAGGAGTATGTTGACCGGGGCTCCAGGCAAAGGTCGAGGTCCTTGAGATGGTCTTTTGCCTCATGCTGATGGACTTTTGAAGTGTGTGTGTGTGTGTTTAGAGAAAGTTGGTCCTGTTGAATTATTCCTTGCTTTCTGTCTGAATAGATGAAGCAACGTAGAGAGTGTGAGTATGTTTATATGTGAACGCACAACTTTCCATCCTCATCCAGATGTGTTCGTTCCCTTCCTCGTGTGCATATGAGATGAGCTATTCCAGTGCGCCTTTGGTGGTGCTGAGAGGGAGCAAGAAACGCGTTTCCCCTTTTTCGCTTCAGGTATGACCCTATCTTTTGTGCGTCCAGTGTCCAGAGATGGTGCTTTGTCAAGTTCGAGTGTGAATTCCTTGTTGCCTGTGTTTCCTCTGTCGCTGTTCGAGTCTTCGTATGGAGTTCAAGGTCCTGCAAGGGCGAGGTGTGGTGCTTTCTTACTCTCTGGCTTGAGGTGATCTCTTTTTCGAATAAACGCGCGGTAAAAGGACAAGAAAAGAAGGAAGGTGATAAAAGAAAAAAAAAAAAAAAAAGAAGGAAAACTAGAAGGGCGAGGAGAGGAGGATGGGTTGTGTAGTGATGAGTTGTTTATGCCTCGAGGTGGAGTGGGGTCGAGGTGTGAGGAAGGACAGATGATGAAAGTAGAAAAAGGAGAAGAGAGAGAGAAGAAAAGGATGACGAAGGGAATGAGAACGAAGGAAAAGAAGATGAAAGTTGTAACACTGAAGTGTGAGTGTGAGTATCGCTTGCCACGTCACAGAGCCAATCAAGGCCATGGGAAATCAGAGCTCAACTTCAAACTTGAAAAGCTCCACACCCTTCACCTTAAACCACCACCCCTATTCACATGTACATACTATGATAACCTCGAAATGAACACTCTCACTCAGCCATGCTTTTCTAAGCCTCTCTCTGATCTGTTCGACACTCATATCAGGATCCTCAAGCCCAAAATTCCTTTTTGAACCTGCGCGACGTGGCATCGCCTGTATCAAACATGCGTCAAGGTGATCGTGAACTACAAGTGTGGAGCGATGTTTTCTTTATATTTGTTCGCAATATCTAGTTTAGAGTTTTGTACAGTTTACAGCTTGGCAAAGACAGCCTTGGTCTTTGACATCTGAGCTGCTGCTGCGTTAGGGAGATCCTGGGAAAATGTAAAAGTAATAAAAGAAAAAAGCGGATCAGATATCAAATAAAAAACAACTTTGTAGGTCTGCTTGTCATACCATGCCCTATGCTATACCAATAGCCATTAATTCACACATGTCCAAAAACTTACGGGGGTGGTCAACATGACCTGGTTCCAGGTGGCAACATAGTCGAGACCCTCCTGGACGGTGTGGTCACGCGAGTAGTTGAGGATGTGCTTGGTACCGATGGCAGCAACAGGCGACTTTTCAGCGATCAAAGTGGCAGTGGCAAGAGCAGCGGCAAGAACTGCCTTGTGATCATCAACAACCTTGGAGATGAATCCCTGCTCCAACGCTTCCTTCGAGTCGAAGCTATTATATATCGTGTAACGATTAGATTAGTCTATTGTACATCCAAATGTCCCAGGAACAATTTATTGTCAATGCAGTCCAGGAACCCGAGGACATACTTGCGGCCAGTGAGGCAAAGCTCGCGAACCCAACCAATGTTACCGACAACCTTGGGGAGACGCTGAAGGCTTCCAACATCAGCAGCCAAGCCAATGTCAACCTCCTATAGGTGTGCATTGTAGCAAACAGTAGATGGCTATGTTGTCAGTGCTTCGATCCAATGATAACCAATTGAACGCATGGAAAATGAGCAAAAAGAAGGAATATCAAGATTGAAGTAACAAAAAAAAAAGTACCTTGACAGAGAAGTAGGCATCCTTGGAGGCATAGCGGATATCGCAGGCGGTGGTGATGTCGATTCCACCACCGATGCAGGGTCCGTGGATAGCGGCGACGACGGCCTTGTCGCAGATCTCGATGGCAGTCAGACTGTCTTGGAGTTTCTATAAAGGTTTGCAAACATAAGAAAAGAAAAGAAAAGAAAAGGCGATCGGGTCACTCGGTTAGCAATCCGAGCCAGCCGGGAAACAACGAAACATGGAAACAACGAAGCATAAAAAATAATAAAAAAAGGTGGAGAAATGTTTGGCAAAGTGAGGAAACATTAATTTTGTCGCGGTTGTGATGCATGTGACAGACAAGGGATGGAGTGTCGAGGGGATGGGTTGTAATTGATTGAGCCCAGGGTCCTTGAACTTGCCTTGATGTAGGGGCGGACCTTGAAGGCAGTGCGGGACGCATCATCAGGGACAACAGGGAGGTTGAGCGAGAACACTATTAGGTACCGGTAAATGGTTAGCGAGAATGTTCAATTGCTTGTCACCGTGTGAACTGAACGAGGCAATTGAAGAGACAAGACGTACGGTCGAGGCCAGAGGTGAAGCAGCGACCGGATCCGGAGAGGACGATGGCGCGGACATCCTCATCGTCGCGGAGCTGGTTGAAGACGGCGCCGATATCGGTCCACATGGTATCGTTGATGGCGTTGAGTTTCTTGGGGCGGTTGAGCTCGACATGGGCGACGAATTGGGCGGGGAATGAGACCTTGACGGTTTCGTAGTTGTAGGCGGAGGCAGACATTGTCGTTTGTGTTTTTGTTGGAGGAGGAGTGGAGGAGAATGAAAAGAGAAGAGAGTGTGGAGTGTGGGAGTGGAATGAGAAGAAAGGGAACACTTTGTTCTCTATCCTTTTATTTTACTTTGCACTGCACACCAAGCGGAGAAGTGATCGATCATTGCCGGGGACGAGGGACGGGACAAGGCAAGAAATAGAGCCGAAAAGCATCATGTGATTTCTTCCCTAAACTGCTTTCTTGGCCTGCCCACTTTACTATCCCAACTCACATATTAGCAGTCCTCAGTCCAACCAACACACAAAAGAACGACGCGTACTACGCCCAGTCCTTCCCCTCCTTACTCTCTGTTGTCTTTCTCCCAACCCAACCGACGACATCCTAGCTCTCAACATCCAACCAACTACACAGCAAAAACAAGACAACAACCATGTCGGCACATTCACAGATCCTCCTCACCTCATCAGAGGGTACAGAGTTCATCATCGACCGCGACATTGCTGACAAAAGCATGCTCCTCAAGTGCATGCTCGAAGACATTGGTGAAATTGGACAAGGTGCCTCCCTCATTCTTTCCTTCCTTACCTACTATTTTACAAAAAAAAGTTAAAAGTTAAGGTGGAACAAAAAACAACTGACAAAACAACGACGCTCCTTCATTTGGCAACAAAATAGCGGTGCCGCTGCCAAACGTATCAGGACCGATCCTCACAAAAGTCATCGAATACTGTACACACCACAGGGACGATCCCAACTTCCTCAGCGCCAACGACGATGTCGCTGCCGATATTGATGAGTGGGACCTCGAGTACTGTAAAGTCGATCAGGGCACCCTCTACGAGCTGATCCTGGTAATGATGGCAGGATTTATCGTTTTGTGGGATTGTGTACGTTGTGGGACCTTTGTGGACACATTCGATTTCTAATCATTCACCATGTTCATCCTGTAGGCGGCAAACTATCTGGACATTAAACCACTCATGGATCTGACATGCAAAACCGTCGCCAACATGATTAAAGGTACTTATAGGAACCGCTTCTCTCAACTCGACTGCGCCAGGGAGACAGCTGCTTTGTAAGCACAAGCGAAAGTCTTGCTGACACGTTATTTCGCCTTGCGCCTTTTCCACTTCATAATAGCCAAGTCACCGGAGGAGATCCGAAAAACATTCAACATTACCAACGACTTTACGCCCGATGAAGAGGACCAAGTCCGCAGGGAAAATGGTATGGAGCACAGAGTGCTTTCACAGGACATTTGGAGTGATGGGCATTACTGACACGAAATTAATTTCTCGAGCAATTATAAAAACTAACGTCCGTTTTCTGCATTTTCTTTCATTGCTCATAGTAAGAGTCCTTGATGAGCAACAAAGATGATTGCAGACATCTGGAATCACGTACCCAATTGGATCTATGGATATCGTGGAAAGTAGCAATGTTCCTCTGATTTTAACGCCTTCTTTATTATTGCTGAACTAGGACTGGGTCGACGAGCACTAAAGTCACACAGAGGCATACCGCATGGACGCCAAAGTCAGGATATCCGATCCATCTCTGATCTCTCCATTGGCAAAACACCCACCATATTCAACAGAGTGATTTTACATGGATGAACGGGAGACGATACTACCACTGCCATAAGATGTAACCATTCAAATCCAACTACCAACAATCAACACCAGCTAACAATTGTACTATATTCTAGAGTCGCATTTCCACTTCATAAAATTTATGCGTTTTACCAACAACCCACTCAACAGCATACCACCAGCACCAACTATGATCTTGGGTCAGTATTTACAAGGATTTTTTATTTGTCAGAACGCTCAAGGTATTTTTTCATTAGGGTCGTTTCAAAGAAGGCTATGTGCAAAAAGACGATGGGTCTTTGAGAGGTTTTTTGTAGTTTTTTTTTTTTTGTTCATGTCAAGCGATCATTGCATCCCTCAAGTGGGTATCTGCTTTGATTTTTACAAAGAGGGGGTCAGAAAACGGGAGAGGAAGAAAGGAGAAGCGGATTTAGTATTCGTTCTCCTGGAAGAGAGGCCTCCAGGTATCGTTGACGAACATGTCGGCGGGATCCTGGGACTTGCGGACGCGGTTGAAGCGTGTGATGCGGTCGCCGTATTCGCGCTGGAGGTATGGGATAATACCGTCGACTTTTTCCCACATCTTTGGCCAATGGGGTCTATTTTGTTTTCGCATTTGTGGGAAAAAGAAGTAGAGGCAGAGATGTGAGAGACGTAACAACATATCGATATCAATTGGTTGTCAAAGCTGAGTGTGTTTCTGAAGAATGAGCGCGCAAAAAAAAAGAGAGGGCAAGAAGAAGAATGTGAAGGAGGGATAACGTACTTGGCGTTGTACTTGCCGATCCAGTTGGCGATAATGCTGGCAGAGTACTCTTCAAAGTCAGGGGTGCCCGAGACAGCCAGGATGCTGATCATGCAGAAAATGGTTTCGGGGTCTTTGTCGTAGGCGGGCGACAGGATCTTGTCCGAGGCCTTGATGAAGCGGAACTCAATCGCTGTGTCTTTACGCTCCGGCATGCTTGTCGCGAACTCCCAGTTCTAGACAGAAAAAAAAAAGAGAGATACGAATAAGAGAGATGAGGAAAAAGAGGTGTGGTGTTTGCAGAGAGTGGTGACATGGTATCAGAGACATTTGGACAGAGGTGGGCAGACTATAGAAATAGAAAAGAGTCAAGGAACAACAATGACTATACCTTCTCGATGAGCTCGGTAATGGTCTCACAGATGTTCTTGAAGTCAGAATCGACCTTGATCGCGCAACCGGCATCAACAACAGTCGTAACACCATCACCAATCGGGAAGTGCAATGCGTCAGGGATCTCCATGATCCTTGAACCCGTCTGGAACGTCGAAAAGAACGGGTTATCGACCATTGGTGGCAAACCCTCATACTTCTTCAGATCCTCAGCGGGCTCAGTGGTCCTCTTCGATTCCTTGACCCAGATGTTCTTGTTCTGATCAGGTTGCATAAAGCGCTGGAAGGGCCAGTGGAAGAACTCTGTCGAGTCGTTTCCCAGGATTAGGGCCTTGAGGTTCAAACCAGCTTGGGGAGACTGGAAGAGGGAAGCGAGGGTGGGGAAGGAATCTGTGACGCGGAGACGGGTATTCATTTCCTCGACCTTGATGGTCGCGGTGTAGATGATGCCGAGGAGTCCCAGGTTGAGGCAGGCGACGTTGAAGGCTTCGGGGTCCTTAGCAGCGGAGTAGGTGACGAGTTCGCCGTGGGCATTGACAATCTTCATTTCGGTGATCGTGTCCGACAATGTTCTCAAGTTCAAGCCTCCGCCGTGCTAGAACATGTATTGTTGTTTGAAAGGATGAAGTTGTGCAAATGTTAGCTATTATGGTTGACTATGAGCATATTTGCAACGGATGCCACGCGTGAGAATGAGCAAACGGTGGTGAATGGCACTTACGCAGCCCATGGTGAGGATACCCCCAAAACGGACCTGAGAAAGATCATTGAAACGTGAAGAGAACAATGAGCGGTTAGAGTGAAATTCACTGCTGTGCGCCTAATTGTTCCCACCCAATAGAAGCAAAGCTGATCATGGGGGAGGTACTGGCGCGCTGGTAGATTGATTGGCACAGCTTGTCAATACATAGTTGTTCCTTACGGACAACGGCATGTTAAACAAAGAGGAAAAGACAACTTACGACATCAGGAACGACCTGGGAGGGCACGGCCAGTGGGGGGTTATGCGCCCTCAAAAAGGTATCCAACTGCGACACCAACACTCCAGTCTCCAAGGTCACCGTCCACCCACTGCCATCCTGGGCTCGGACCGGCTTATGGATCTTGTCCATCCCATTTACAGAGACCATGTAATCGGGCGTGACAGCGGTGGCCGACCAAGAGTGGCCAGAACCGACACAGCGGACCTTCTTGTTATTGTTGCGGGCTTCGCGGACGATCACCTTGAGGTCCTCGAGGGTTTTGGGGTAGAAGAGACGTTCAGTCTGGACGGTCTGGTTACCACCGTAGTTTGTCCACTCGTCCCCGCCGGAGAAGGCGACACCGTCGACGATGGCCATGGGGGATCCGACCTTGGCAAAGGCTATGGGCGTGGGCTCTTGGGTTTGAGGCTGGGTGAGGGTATCGTAGGTCATTGCCATTGTGGGAATGTGTGTTTTTTCTGCGGTTGATTGTGTTTGGTGGAGGGTATGTGGTGTTGGGGGAAGGAAGTAAGAGTGAAAAGAGGGTGAGAAGAAAGTTGAGCTGTCGAAGGAGAACATGAAGGTATTTATGCCAGCATTGCGTTTGGACATTGCTTTACTTTTTTAAAAATCGTAGAGGATTGCAAAGCATAATTGAGACTGGGAGGCGTCAAAAACAGTAACGCGTGCAGTGCACACGAAGGAGGCAGAGGAGGAGAATGGTTCACCGTTGCTTGTTGTTTGTTTGGTATGAGTGGATAGAGGATCATGCTGAAGATGCTATCTTTGTGTTCCCACCGCATGGCCTGGGTTCAACATCAATTCCCCATCCCTCACCGCAAACTTTCACCCTTCGCATTCTCGACACGTCCACCTTTGACAGGGCAGGGGACGGACCAATTCAAAAGGAGCATTGCTTTCAAAAGTTAACAGACGAACGATGGAAAGTGTCCCCGATTCCGCCTTTGTGCTTCTATTCTTCATTTGGTTTGATGTTTTGCATAATGCATTTTCGCGTCGTCGAAGCGTCTTAAATCACGTCTTCATGGACGCGAGAGGAGGCAAGGAAGCGATAAAGAGGTCAAAGCCCACTACCTTGCTTCCCTCCCCTTGAAGCATTCAATGTATATTTTTTTTTCTGTTTGGTTCCCGACCTTTTCAGCTCTACTTGCTCTGTATGGTCTGTCTGCTCAGCTTCGACCATGCTATAGTAAAAAGAAGAGGTGCATGCATACTCGAGACTAATCAGCCCTTGTCGCTATCCATGCCCTATTGTGAAAAAAACCACCCCGTAAAGGACGCCTTTTTGCTTCCTCGCTTTGTGTGGATCTTCATTGTAAGCAGTAGTACGAGCTCTTCAGCTGAACAGCTGAATGAACAATCAGACGTTTAGCATTTATAGTATTCCTGTAGGAATGCGTTTGCTTCGTGATGCATTAGACCCCTTTCTTTTCTTTTTTTTGCGCGTTAAAATCACGTTGGGGAGATGGTCTTTCACGAACCTCGATGGGCACTTCCTTTTGCTTTGAGCTATTTGCGTATTTTCATCCCCTCCCCCCCTTTGATTCGCACATGCAATTAAAGATATGATTCGTCTTATCATGTCTGATGTCTCTTCTTTTGTTCGGTAGGAAACTCGTTCATGTCTACTTTTTTTCCGAACGCATTCGAGTCTTATCTTTCATACCATTTGAAAAGGTTGTGTTAATGTATTAATGAAAAAATCAAACGAAACAAAGAACGTACAGTAATCTATGAACGCTCTCCCTCCCCTCCCTTCCTCTCCACCTCCATCTCAACCTCAATCATAAAGCCCCGTATAAGCAGGCCTCAACTGCCTCTGAATATAATTCGAGAACGTACTGGCAGGCGTCCCAAAGAACGCCGCCGCCTTTGCAACAACCATCGCATCCACCATTGGGATCAAGAACTTTGTCATCAATACCCCATCCTCCGGGTTCCGGTACTGCGTCAACTGCTCTAGGTCTTCTGAGAAATCGTCGAGGGTGAAGATGCAGTCAAAGGTGGAGAAGAGACGGTCAAAGATGGGGTTTGACCGGGGGCGGTGGGCGTCAGTGGCAAGGTAGATAGGTGTATAACGGCCGTTGGATCGTCGTTTTGGTTGAGAGGTTGGGTCAGAGTCGGTAGTCGGGATTTGCATGAATGGCTGTTGTTGTTGTTCTTGGTCGGAAGAGGGAGGCGATTCCATAGGAGGATGGCCTAGTTCGCGTTCGCGCTCTCGATCCTGTTGCTGCTGCAAGAGTTGCTCCTGAAGAGCCCGACGGTGGTTCGAGGCCCGGGCGCGACACTGCTCAATCGACAAACGTCCTTGCTTCTTGGCACGAGGTGGTGTGCTGCCGCCATTGCCTCCATCGGCCGCATAACCCATCGTATCTGCAGCAGAAGCAACAATGGTAGGATCGGACATCTCAATCTGCCACATGAGCTCCTGTCGGATATTCTCAATCGTGTCCCTAGCCGTCAACGAAAAATGCCCATCCGACATCCGGATATGAATCCCCACAAACCCTCCCTCCATCGGGTGCCCGACCTCACCCACACCACCGCTACTTCTTCCAATGTCCTCCTCAGCACGCTCACTAATCTTATCTGCAATTCTCTGACTAGTCGTCTGCAAGATCTCGGTCCGGATAATATGATGATCCCGAATCATCTGCAACCATGCCATGGCCTCCAACGACTCGATCGCCACCCGTCCTGTCCCAAAGATCGACCCTAAATGAATCAATCGCTCGGGACGTTGAGCAAGCCAATCGATAGTAAACTCCTGGACAAACTTGGAGCGGGTCTTGAGGGACTCTGTGGCGTTGGGCGATTCGGAAAAGCGGTAGTCGTAGAGACTGGTGTCGTCAAAGAGGAGGACATCGGCTTCTGAGCGGAATAGAGGCGACTTGGGCTTCTTGCTGTCGTCGCCGGTGTCGCCCTCGGTGTCTTCAGTTGCGTCACCCTCGTCTGCTGCCTCTTGTCCAATACTGTCGTCGTCACCCTCCTTGTCAACCTCATCTCCGTCCGATTCCGCATCACCGTCTGCAGTAGACGGCTTTGGTTCCGAGGCGTTGTTCTTGTCCTGAGATTCCACCGGTACTGTGTCTGCTGCTGGCGCCACGACTGGTTCCTCGGGATGGAGAAAAGTGATGTTGAACCGGCCCTCAAGATAGTCCATCGACATGGACTCACGAGTCAGGATCCGGACATAGTGTCGAAGCGGGTCCAGATCAAAGAACAGATCCCAATCTGTCATCGTCCAAGACTCGTACTGAAGACATTCGGCTGGCAGAGGAATCCACTGCATGGGACGACTTGGCCTTTTCTTTTTGGCTGCTGTCGCTGACGCTGCTGTAGAGGGACGGCGATGACGTTGCTGCTGCTCGGGAGGTATCGGCTCGTGTTGCTGTTGTTGTTGGAAGGCGTATTGTCCTGCAAGTTTTCGCTTTTCGAGTCGCGAAGGGTCCAAAGGCGGTGACTCGGTAGGCATAGATCGCTTTTTGATCTGCAGTCCAGCAGCAGCCTTCCGATCGATCGGCCGCTCAGGGGCCGGCAAATATAGTGGTAACGCAGCTCCCTCAACATCCATCTCCATCTGCTGCGACAGCAGCCTTCCTGACCCTCCTCCCTCAGGATCTCCATGAAAACGCTGTCGTTGTTTCTGTCGACTATCTCGGTACCGATGCTTTTGTTGCTGCTGTCGCAGGGTATAATATTCAGGCTTCCAATCGAAATCATCGTCTTGATCATCCACACCCTCGTCATCCTCGTCGTCGTCCAGGATCCCCAACTGGAAGGAAGGTGGGTCTCTTTCGTAATCGTACCCGCCGGCTTGTCTGTCTCGCTGTCGTCGTTGCTCTGTTTGAAAGTCACTGTTGCCCACTTCGTCGTCCTCCTCATCACCCACAGTTTGACCCCAGTCCTTAATTTGATCGAACCCCTCGGCACCTTCCTCCTCTTCCTCCACTCCCTCCCCTTCCTCGACTCCTTCTTGTTCGTCCTCGAGGTCTATGATATTGCCAAGGTCTCCATCACCGGTTGCGATCCTGACTCGGTCTTGGTCCTCTTCGTCTGGTTCCTCGATCCATGACTGGAAGCCCTCTTCCTCCTCTTCCTCTGCCTCCTCCTCTGCATCCCCCATCTCCACATCGGCTTCTGCTGTTTCTGACATCATTTGGTCCATACTCTCACTGTCAAGGCTGGAGTTGGCTGCCTCCTCCTTGTCTGCGGAGATGACGGCTGGTACAACTTGTTGACCGTCCAGAGTCGCCGCCAATTCCTCCGACACGACTGCTCCTCCTCCCCCTCCTCTTCCTGCATGTATGTCGTCCTTAATCTCCGGTTTAGCAATAGTACCTGCAAGATTGGGAGTCACTTCCTTCGGCTCCTGTACAGGCACGGAAGGCACTTCTTGATGAACCGCGTCTTTTTGCTGTGGTAATAGCGACACCTGAGGGTGATCACGGCCTTTCCCCTGTTCCTCCTTGCCACCCACCTCTCTACCCTCCAAATCACCATCCAAACCAACATCCTCCTCGTCCTCATCAAACTCAACCTGACTCTCAATAATAGCCCGACAATGCTCCAACCCAATCTTGGTCTGATACAACAGCCTCGAATGCAATAGATTGAACTTCAACCACGGCATGGGGGGTCCCAGATACACCTTTGGCATGATCAACGTCCGGTTCAAGAGTCGAGCCAACAAGAGGGCATTCTCGAGTTCTGTCCGTTGGTTGTGGAAGCCCGAGTGCGGGAGGAAGGTGATGTATTTTGTGGTTGGGTCCTGGTTGATTCTCTTTTCCTCTTCCTCCTCCTTGTCGTATAGTGTTGTCGATTCCTCCATTCCTGTCTTTGTGAGCTCCTGAATCTGTTGTTGTTGTTGTTGGCTCACCCCTTGGTTGGGCGGGTGGTGTGGGAATATCGCTTGGGAGTCGTGGTAACGAGATGGATCGACAGCTCCTCCTTCAGTGGCAGAAGTGGGTCCTTTAACGTCAGTGCTATTACCTTTTAAGCCCTGGTTATCTCGAGAGTGAAAGAGAAGGTACCCAGGTCGATAGGTCGTGATGAGATGCTGAGGCAATGGCGTCAATCGAACTCCCTCAACAAGTTTCCGCTGCTCCAACAAATAGATATATCCCGCTACTCCCTCGGCTGAAGCTCCAGCTCCTTCATCTGGTACTCCTCCACCACCATCACCACCACCGACATTGTCTCCTCCATCGTCAGATCCATTTGCAGGTCCATTGAACTGCAAAGATGAAGAAGGGCTGCCGTCCTTGTGCTGGAATGTGATGTGCTCAAAAGTCCCTGGCGGCAGGTCCTCGACAACCCTCTCTGATGCTTGGCGTTGTTGCTGGATCGATTCTTTGGAGAGGAGAGAGAGCTGTCGAGGTAGTCTTGGGAGGGAGGAAGGGGAGAAGACAAAGAGGAAGAGGAAGATAAAGTTGATGATGGGGACCAGCAGGATCCATAACCGGCGTCTGTATGCGAGGATCAACATCATTTTTTTTTTAGGATAATTTGTGCACGCGCCAAAGAAAAATAAAGTTGTCGAAAGGAAGAGCAGAACAACTACCCTCGAAAAAGAAAAAAAAAAAAGTGGTAGGAAAAAAGTGAAGGCGAAATGAGAGAGTGAATGTAGTGCGAATGAGTGAAGTTGGTGAGAGGAAGAAAGAAGAAAAGAAAAGAGACGAAAGGTGTGCCCTTGAAGACACCCTTGTCTATCCCTCTCTCTCTTCTCAAAAGCGGCGCGAAAGGAAAGGAATGTCTCTTCCTATTTCTCGTCCTCCCCCTTTCTTTTGTCTCCCATCCCTTTTTTCGACGTGTCATCCAGCCTAACATTTACTCCTTTGAGCCCCCTTTTACATTCTTATTCACGCCGGCCTTTGTATGAGTATTATGGTGGACAGCGTCGAAAGGAAGGAAGAGAGTTGAACAAGAGAGAAATACCATGCAGAGAAGGAACCATGATGGAGTATTGACAACCCAGTTATAAGGTCGTGAGTGCTATTTTGTGTTATGTGTATTTGTGCTTTATTGCAAAGGGTCAACACTGAAAGGACACGCAAGAAATCCAAAAAAAGGTGCCTCTCCTTCTGCCGGTATGATCTACTCGTCAGATGTCTGATCCAACCGCAAGTTCTCGACGCGTTCTGTGAGACCAGAAGTGATATCTTCCTCCTTGTCCTTCTCAGCTTCTGGAGCAGGGTGGTCGGTCTTGAGCATGGGGTTGGTCGACGCAGGGACAAACGCAATCGTTCGGAGCTTGCCTCCGTTACTGTAACCGCCAACTCCGCCGAATGCAGGACGACTTCCAGGTTTGACCCGCTCGGTTCCGGAGAACGACCGGGGTGCACTGGTATAGTAATCGTACTGATCCGTGAGGACCTCCTGGCGCGGTGATGTTGGTGTTGGTGTTGTGCTGGTGCTGTTGTTGTCTTGGGTATCCTTGTTGGCGATTCTGGGACTGTCCTGCTTGCGATGCCGTGGCTTTGTTTTTCCTTGAGTCTGAGTCTGAGTTTGCTGCGGCACTTGTTGCTGCGGCTGAGACGACTGCGGCTGTGGCTGTGGCTGTGGCGAGGAAGATCCGGGAACTCCTGGGAGTCCCGACTTTCTTCCACCCATGGCCTGTCCCTGTGGATGTCCTTGGTTCTGTCCTTGCCTCTGTCCTTCAGCAGGGAAACCGTTCGGGCCTTTATGAGGAGGCTGAGAACCCTGCTGTTGCTTCTGCTGTCCATAAGGTCGACCTCCTTGCTGCTGATATTGTTGCGGACCACCAGAACGGTACGCCTCCAAAGCCCGTCCATCCTCCGTAATCTGCAACTTCTGTTGGATCAAAATCGGCCTACTAACGCTCGCCAAAATGGACTCCCTCTGATGTCGACCCTTATTCTTGACCGACGTTCTCGACTGATAACTCGGCAACCCGACCCCTCTCTCCAGCGCAATCTTGATCAGATCTAATCCCTTGGCTTGCAACTCGGGGTCGCCCTTGACTTGTGCGTACTGGTAGATCAACGAGATCAGGCAGTTGTCGATGGTCTCGTCGTTCCGGAGGGGGGGTTGGCGTTGGAGGTAGAACATGTAGACGACGTTGGACTCGGATGGTGTGGGTGCGTAGCGGACCAGGGCTGCGATCGAAAATTGGATGAGACGCACGTCTTGTTCTGTGAGCTGTTTTGTGTATTGTCCTGTGGTCTCGTCCTCGACAAAGTCGCTGAACTTGGACGTCGTTGGGAGTGAGGTAGGTTTGATGGTGTTCTCTGTACGTGCTGCTGTCTCGGTGTCAACGTCGTCAGTCACTGCGGCAGCGGCAGCGGCAGCCTTTTCGGAGGCAATGACAACCGGGGCGAGGTAAGAGGTGAGGAGGGTCAAGGCGTTGTTCCATTGCTTGAGTTCGCGGACCTCGTGGGTGATGGCCCAGTGGATGTGCTCGACTCGCAACATGTCCTTGCGATCGTAGTCCTCGACGTCCTTGAGTGTCATCGGCATGTTGGCTTGTTGTTCTTGTCCTTTGTTGGAGTGTGAGGGGATGAGGTTGGGTTGGAGAGAAAGAATGAAAAAGAAAATGAAAGAGCGAACAAGCGCAGGTTGTGAAAAAAGGAATACAACAGGTGAAAAAAAGGACTGCCTTTTGCTCAAGATAAAGGAAAAAGGTCCGTCCGTCCGCAGTAACCACATGCATAAGCGTGCGACCAAAAGGGGATGTGTGGATTTGCACATACTATTTTTATTTACTATTTAAACAGAGAAGAGATGGGATAACTACATGCGAGAGACACCATAGAGGTTGCCGCCCTTGACCTCGGTGTTGTAGCAGACCGATAGACAGAAGCCAAGAATGGTGCGGGTCTCGCGGGGGTCAATGACACCGTCGTCAATGCATCGGGAGCTGGTCCAGTAAACATCTGACTCACTCTCAACCATAGCCTGGAACATATCCATTGACGCCTTGGCCATCTCCTCATCAATCACCCTGCCAGATTTCTTGGCAGAGTCACGCATCACAATATCGAGCACTCCCGTCAACTGCTCCGCACCCATAACAGAGCATTTACTGTTGGGCCACGAGAACAGGAAACGAGGGTTATAGGCGCGTCCTGCCATCGCGTAGTTTCCAGCTCCGTAACTGGCTCCCATCACAATCGTAATGCAGGGTACCTGCGAGTTCGAGACGGCGTTGATGAAGCGCGAACCTGCCTTGATGATGCCCTCCTCCTCATACTTTTTGCCAACCATGAACCCGGTAATGTTGTGGAGGTACAAGATGGGTGTGTCGCGCATGTTGCAGAGTTGGATGAACTGGGTCGCCTTGTTGGCCTCGGGAGGGAAAAGAACGTTGTTGTTGGCAAGAATACCGACAGGAATACCGTGGATGGTAGCCCAGCCGCAGATCAAGTTGGGGCCATACAAGGGCTTGAACTGTGTGAAGCGCGATCCATCGACCAAGCGGATAATGACCTCGACAGCATCGAATGGAATACGGATGTTGGCGCTGACAATTCCCAGAATCTCATCGGGGTCGTAGAGAGGCTGGTCAAAGAAACCCTTCAAGTGACGGATGGGCAACTGGCCTTGCTTGGTCCAGTTGAGTCCAGAGACAAACTCACGGGCCATAGCAATGGCATGGTACTCGTCCATCGCTAACTGATCAGACACCCCAGATTTGCGACTGTGCATATCGGCTCCTCCAAGGGACTCCGCATCCGAGATCTCTCCTGTAGCCATCTTGACCAATGGTGGACCGCCCAAGAAGACCTGGGCTTTACCCTATTGCAATGAAGAATGGTATCGTGGGTGAATTTTTTGCTTCGTATTTAAGCATGAATGTCCAGCAATGTCACCAACGGGTGTGATGGTTTACCTTGACCATGATGCTGTAGTCACTCATACCGGGGATATAGGCGCCTCCTGCAGTCGAGTTTCCAAAGACAACAGCGACGGAAGGAAGACCAGCCTTGGATCTAAGAGTTGAGGGAGAAGAAGACATGTTAAATTGCGTAAAGTCGTACATACAATGAGCATCAACTAATGCAGGTTCTTTTGACGCGTCACTGTGCTTACCTCTCGGCCAAGTGACGGAACACACCCCCACCAGGGTGGAACACGCGGGACTGCTGCGCAAGGTTTGCTCCGGCCTATTGATAACAAACATCACAAGGGAAGATATGTCAGTTACATAGTCACTCTCATAGGACGTGTCAGCATATTAAAGACGGTAGGTGACAAAAAGAATGCATACAGATTGAACGAGCTGGATATGGGGGAGACGGTTCTCCCAGGCGATGCGACCGAGACGCTCGCCACGAGCGAGGGTGGCGGCGTTGGAGGCACCACCCTGGAGAGTGGGAACGTTAGCGGAGACCATGCACTCGATACCGCTATTGAGAAAGAAGAATGGTGGCGCGTTTTAGATGGAGCGCCTTCGTGATTGTGACGTGCAAAAATCATGTAAGCATTGCTGTGAAGACTGAAGTCGTACCAGACGAGACCGATACCAGCGACTTGGGAACCACCGATGGTCATATCGTCTTGGCCATAACCAGCCAGAGGGCACAACTCCAGGAATGGGGAATCGTCATCCAACAGCAGCTCGAGGCGATCACGGGCTATTGAGGTGACAATTAAAAAAGAAACGGATTCGGTTGGATTACAAGAACTTCTCGGTTCACAAAATTAAGGCATGGACAGATCGATTGTGAATAAGTGAATGAAAACAATTGAGCAGGTGTCGTACCGAGGATAGAGCCACGTTTGTGGTGGATAGCCAGGAGACGATCGGCACCCTGGAAGGTGGCCTCCTGGAGACGCTCGTTGAGCTGGTCGACCATCTCGAGCATCTCCTTGTAGTTGGCGATATACTCGGGTGATTTGGTGTTAACCTTGGACTTTGTGGGCTTTGTCTGGTGACCGAGGTGCTGGGCAACGCTAGGTTGGGTTGTGCTGAACTGGTCCCCAACCGCCCGACGGTTGGCCGGGGGGTTTCTGTGGGAAGGGTCGATGATGTGACTCATCGAGCGGAGAGGGCGTAGTTGAGGAGGATGGAGAAAGTAATGACAAGAACAAATGAGAAAAGAAAAACAAAAGAGAGAGAAGAGAGAAAGGAAAGAAAGAAGTACGGGAGAGGAAGAAGAAGAGGAAGACGAAGAAAGAAGTGATGGTTGAACACAAAGTGACAAAGTTGCCCTCTTCTTTTTATGCACAGTTGCATGGAGAGAAGACGAAAAAAAAGGGTCCGAGAAAGTGAACTTGCATGGGGGAAGAAAGGAGAACCAGCTCCTTGTGCTGCCACGAAGGTACAACTGACAACTCTGCGGATAGTCAATTGGTGGGGAAGTTGAAGAAGAGGAGTCTTCTCCAAGCAGCAACAAGGCGTATCATCCTTGCCTCGCTCAAGAGAGAGCCGAGAGTGAACAAAGTGTTCACTTGGTGTCAATGAAGAAGGTTTCGTGTGGAGAAATCAAAGTGCGCGTGTGTGGTGCCTTTAGCTCTGAATCACGTGCAGCAGCTTAAAGTGTCTGTCATATCGATTCCACCCCCATACTCTTTCTTGTTCACAACCGTCCTTGCAAGTTGCAATCACCCCTCTCGTCTTCTTATTCATCCATCCTTCTCATTCGCATTCACCAACAACAGCATTCTACCCAAGCAGCAACAAGGAATCAGCAATGTCGGAAAAGGAAGTCCTCTACTCGCAGAAGGGTGCCGTCGCAACAATCACACTCAACCGCCCCAAGCGCGGCAACGCCCTCTCAGGACCTATGGTCAACCAGTTTGTCGACATCCTCAATAAGGCCATCGACGACCCCACAGTCCGCACCATTGTCGTCACAGGAAATGGCAAATACTTTTGCACAGGCATGGACCTCACCCCCCAGGACGACGATACCACCTCGGCCACCGACCCCGTCGCCGTCACCCAATCCATGTTCTCGACCCTCTCCCGCTCCCCCAAACCTACCATCGCCCGCGTCAACGGCCCTGCTCTCGGGGGTGGTGTCGGTATTGTATTTTCTTGCAACTTCCGTATCGTCCAGTCCTCGGCCTACTTCAGCATGCCCGAGGTCCATCGTGGTCTGATCCCGGCCTTGATCTCCGAGGTCATCGTTCCCCAATTGGGCGCCTTCCGGTCGAAGCAGTATATGCTCTCGGGCGAGCGCGTCTCGGCTCAGGAGGGCTACCGCGTTGGATTCGTGACCTCGGTTGCAGAGGACGAGGCGTCTTTGGATAAGAAGGTGCAGGACTATATCGATTTGTTGGCGCAGAGTGGACCGGGAGCGATGCGTGATGTCAAGTTGTTGGTCGATAATGTCGATGGTCGTGGTGGAGATGCCAAGGTTGTCCCTGCCTATGTCCGTGGGGCCTTTGGCAAGATGATTACTTCTGAAGAGGCAGCCCATGGCATTGGAGCCTTTGCCAGCCGAGAGAAGCCCAACTGGGACGAGTTTGGTCTCGGAGCCGAGAAGCTGAAGTCCAAGCTCTGAAGGGTCAAAAATAAATGATACAACTTTGTCTTATTTTTTGGTGCGCCACCAAAATAATGTTTGTCAAGTCCGACTTTGATCTTGAAAGAGGGAACATGCAAAGAGAAGGGCAGCAACGAGATCTCAAGTAGCGCATTCCGCCTCGAGAGACCAAAAAGTAGCTGACCTAGACTATTATTGTCTACACTTTTCGATATTGCAGGCCAAAATAACACAGCTCAATCCTAGATTCCTTGTCAGTCGCGAAACTTTACCAACATCATGATTGATCTTCATAGGCTACAAAAGCTGCATAACCTGGCAATCCACTATCTCTCTCTCCTTCTCCACTTGTATCCCGACAGTGCTGTACCTGACTTGTACCTGACCCCGTCACCCTGCAAGGGCCATGCAACACCCGTCGCCGAAGACCCAAAAATACAAAAACGATCGTCCAGTCCCTAATCCCTTGCACCGCCTCACCTAAAAATGTAAGGCTGTGCTAACCTGCCTGCACGTCGTGCTGTATGACCAATACGCGAGGGGCTTTGCTTTTTTTATTTTTCACAGAATAGCAGAACCAATTATGCACAGTCATGAAAAACGTTTTTGCGGAGAAAAGGAGTTCTCTTTATTGCCGCTCCTATAAATAAAAAATTGTTGAACGTCTCATACTAAAAGTGCGACAGACGACAATAGTTTAACTTACTGGGGATGTGCGATTCGTCTTGTTCCGCCTTGTGTCGCAATATGGTCAGCGCTGCGTACAAAGACGTTCTTTTTCTACGAGGTCCTCTGCTCCTGCTCTCTCTACTACGGGATGGCAATGGTATTTCGAAAGAACAATCTGCGACGGCGATGTAGCATCGTGTAGGTGGGATAGAAGTAAGAAAGGGAAAGGGAGGGAGAGACGGAGAGAGGGGGCTGATCTTTTGCGACTTGTATATTGTTTGCCATCTTTGTTCATCAATAATACTAGGAGGATGTGAGTGGCTACCCGAGAGAGAGACGAAAGAGCTACTTCGCCAAGTAGGAATGAGCGATTAATGCAGAATTGCGCGCGCACGGCCACACTGATATTCTACGCCTATAAAACCACTCCGGGTTTCCCTCTATTTTTTTCTATTCTTCATCTTCATCAATATCAACAACAAAGCTTCTCTCAACAACAAAACTCACCCACTCCAACTCAACAGCTAAATCAAACCTACTCCCAACCTAACAAAAACAAAAACAATAACAAAAATGCGTTTCTCATTCGTCGCTATCGCCTCCGCCATCGCCGCCACCTCCATGGTCATGGCCGCCCCCATCCGCCACCCCTCCAAGCACGGCAAAGCCACGGACATCGAAATCCTCAACTTTGCCTTGACCCTCGAGCACCTTGAGTCCGAGTTCTACACCCAGGGTCTCCACAAGTTTGGCCCCGACGCCTTTGCCGACTACCACCTCGACCACAAGATCCGCGAACGCTTCGTTCACATTGGTGAACACGAGTCAACCCATGTCACAGTCTTGACCAAGGTTATTGAGTCCCTGGGTGGTAAACCCGTCCCCAAGTGCACTTACAAGTTCCCGCTCGATAACCTCAAGACCTTTATTGGTGTCGCCCGCGCCCTCGAGAATACTGGTGTCTCTGCATACACTGGCGCCGCTGCCGGGATCAAGTCTAAAGATCTGTTGACGGCCGCTGCCAGTATCGTGACTGTCGAAGGTCGTCAGTCCTCATTCTTGAACGAGCTCGTGGGTGAGGAGGGAGCTCCCTACTCGTTCGATACACCTTTGACCGCCCGTGAAGTTTTCACGCTCGCGGTCAACTTTATCGAATCGTGTCCTTTCGACTTGGGTGTGACCCCCTTCACCCAGTTGAAGGCTTCGATCAAGGGTGACAAGGTCGAGACGTCGTATGAGGGTGAGGTTAAGGGTCGTCAAGAGTGGTGCCAGTTCTTGTATAACAACAAGATGGTTGTCTCGCGTCGCCAAGAGTGCAAGCTTCCCCCAACTGTCAATGGGTATGTCTATGTTGTCATCACGGACACAGCGACCCCCATCACCCTCAAAGACGAGGACCGTATCCTTGCCGGACCTGCTCTTCTCTTCCGTGGCGACCACTAAACACTAGATGACATCCCCACAATATATAACCATTTACATCTTAGAATATCTTCCTTCAGTACCCTTCTTTACAAAATCATAAAACAGTTGTCTTCAACGATGAATAAAACATTTGTACACACAAAACTGTGTATTTTATTAGTGTTTGCAACTAGTCATCCAATCGATCGTATTCCGCTCGCCAGTCCTTCATCAACGTAATCCTCTCCTTGGCATCATAGAACGACGCCGTGCCTGGTAATGAACCCAAATCAACCGAGTCAGGAAGGGTAGTAATCCTCGATGGGACTACATTGACATCCTCCAACAAGACCCTCATATCCTTCTTGTAGACCTTACCCAATCCGAAAACCTCCACTCGTGTCCAAGACTTGGCAAACGACTGCAATCGATCCACACTCTCTCGGGCCTTACGAGCCTGACTGGGTCGTTCGTAAGTATCCGCAAAGACAACCCAATGCTCTTGTAAAACCTTGAGCGGTAGTGCAAGCCGTTTGCTGTCCCACTTCATTTCCTCCTCCTTGATACGGCCACCACTGGCCTTGTCAAAGTTGGTGATATCCTTCCATTTGGACCCGTAGCGAGCTTGAAGATGGTGAGGTATGACGGCTTCCAAGAACCTGCGCAAGTTCTTGAGGACATGGTTTGTCAACCAGAAGAGATTTGGGTCCATGCCGTCAAGGCGTCACTGTGCTTGCCTCTCGGCCAAGTGACGGAACACACGTCCGCCAGGGTGGAACACGCGGGACTGCTGCGCAAGGTTTGCTCCGGCCTATTGATAACAAACATCACAAGGTAAGATATGTCAGTTACATGGTCACTCTCATAGGACGTGTCAGCATATTAAAGACGGTAGGTGACAAAAAGAATGCATACAGATTGAACGAGCTGGATATGGGGGAGACGGTTCTCCCAGGCGATACGGCCGAGACGCTCACCACGAGCGAGGGTGGCGGCGTTGGAGGCACCACCCTGGAGAGTGGGAACGTTAGCGGAGACCATGCACTCGATACCGCTATTGAGAAAGAAGAATGGTGGCGCGTTTTAGATGGAGCGCCTTCGTGATTGTGACGTGCAAAAATCATGTAAGCATTGCTGTGAAGACTGAAGTCGTACCAGACGAGACCGATACCAGCGACTTGGGAACCACCGATGGTCATGTCGTCTTGGCCATAACCAGCCAGAGGGCACAACTCCAGGAATGGAGAATCGTCATCCAACAATAGCTCGAGGCGATCACGGGCTATTGAAGTGACAATTGAAAAAGAAATGGATTCGGTTGGATTATAAGACTTCTCGGTTCACAAAATTAAGGCATGGACAGATCGATTGCGAATAAGTGAATCAAAACAATTGAGCAGGTGTCGTACCGAGGATAGAGCCACGTTTGTGGTGGATAGCCAGGAGACGGTCGGCACCCTGGAAGGTGGCCTCCTGGAGACGCTCGTTAAGCTGGTCGACCATCTCGAGCATCTCCTTGTAGTTGGCGATATACTCGGGTGATTTGGTGTTAATCTTGGACTTTGTGGGCTTTGTCTGGTGACCGAGGTGCTGGGCAACGCTAGGTTGGGTTGTGCTGAACTGGTCCCCGACCGCCCGACGGTTGGCCGGGGGGTTTCTGTGGGAAGGGTCGATGATGTGACTCATCGAGCGGAGAGGGCGTAGTTGAGGGGGATGGAGAAATATTGCGGGCCGAAATAACACAGCTCCATCCTAGACTCCTTGTCAGTCGCGAAACTTTACCAACATCAAGATTAATCTTCATAGGCAATAAAAACTGCATAACGCGGGTTAAATCCTCTCTCCTTCTCTCTCTCTCTCCACTTGTATCCTGACAGTGCTGTACCTGACTTGTACCTGACCCTGTCACCCCGCAAAGGCCTTGCAACTGCACCCGTCGCCGAAGATCCAAATATACAAAAACGATCGTCCAGCCCCTCTAATCCCTTGCACCGCCTCACCTAAAAATGTAAGGCTGTGCTAACCTGCTTGCACATCATTATGTTGTATGACCAACACGCGAGGGGCTTTGCTTTTTATTTTCCGCAGAATAGCATAACCTCAATTATTATTTTTATTTTTCGTGCACAATTTTATTTCTCAGACAAACAGCAGAGAGAAGTTATTTGGAAGTAAAAGGGGAATACAGATCAAACTCTTCAGTGCACCATCCACCAGTCGCAGTCCGGTCCGGAACCTGGCTCTGCGCAACAATTGTCGCTGCTCTTCACAGCTTAAACGGAAGAAAATAAAACTAGATACGAATGAAGAGGATTCTTCCCATCCTCTCCATCGTTGCCAACCTCCTCCTTCCTAACAAACTCTCCAACAAACGCCTTTCAGCAGCGCGTGGGTCCATGGTCGCTCCAGGGCATATTCCTTCATTATGTGTGGCTAGCGAAGCGCCACACGGGAAAACTCCAATTATGCACAGTCATGAAAAACGTTTTCGCGGAAAAAAGGAGTTTTCTTTATTGCCGCTCCTATAAATAAAAAATTGTTGAACGTCCCACTCTAAAAGTGCGACAGACAGACAACAAGAGGACGACAATAGTTTAACCTATTGGGGATGTGCGATTCGCCTTGTTCCGCCTTGTGTCGCAGTTTGGTCAGCGCTGCGTACAAAGATGTTCTTTTTCTACGAGGTCCTCTGCTCCTGCTCTTTCTACTATGGGATGGCAATGGCATTTCGAAAGAACAATCTGCGACGGCGATGTAGCATCGTGTAGGTGGGATAGAAGTAAGAAAGGGAAAGGGAGGGAGAGACGGAGAGAGGGGGCTGATCTTTTGCGACTTGTGTATTGTTTGCCATCTTTGTTCATCAATAATACTAGGAGGATGTGAGTGGCTACCCGAGAGAGAGACGAAAGAGCTACTTCGCCAAGTAGGAATGAGCGATTAATGCAGAATTGCGCGCGCACGGCCACACTGATGTTCTACGCCTATAAAACCACTCCGGGTTTCCCTCTATTTTTTTCTATTCTTCATCTTCATCAATATCAACAACAAAGCTTCTCTCAACAACAAAACTCACCCACTCCAACTCAACAGCTAAATCAAACCTACTCCCAACCTAACAATAACAAAAACAATAACAAAAATGCGTTTCTCATTCGTCGCTATCGCCTCCGCCATCGCCGCCACCTCCATGGTCATGGCCGCCCCCATCCGCCACCCCTCCAAGCACGGCAAAGCCACGGACATCGAAATCCTCAACTTTGCCTTGACCCTCGAGCACCTTGAGTCCGAGTTCTACACCCAGGGTCTCCACAAGTTTGGCCCCGACGCCTTTGCCGACTACCACCTCGACCACAAGATCCGCGAACGCTTCGTTCACATTGGTGAACACGAGTCAACCCATGTCACAGTCTTGACCAAGGTTATTGAGTCCCTGGGTGGTAAACCCGTCCCCAAGTGCACTTACAAGTTCCCGCTCGATAACCTCAAGACCTTTATTGGTGTCGCCCGCGCCCTCGAGAATACTGGTGTCTCTGCATACACTGGCGCCGCTGCCGGGATCAAGTCTAAAGATCTGTTGACGGCCGCTGCCAGTATCGTGACTGTCGAAGGTCGTCAGTCCTCATTCTTGAACGAGCTCGTGGGTGAGGAGGGAGCTCCCTACTCGTTCGATACACCTTTGACCGCCCGTGAAGTTTTCACGCTCGCGGTCAACTTTATCGAATCGTGTCCTTTCGACTTGGGTGTGACCCCCTTCACCCAGTTGAAGGCTTCGATCAAGGGTGACAAGGTCGAGACGTCGTATGAGGGTGAGGTTAAGGGTCGTCAAGAGTGGTGCCAGTTCTTGTATAACAACAAGATGGTTGTCTCGCGTCGCCAAGAGTGCAAGCTTCCCCCAACTGTCAATGGGTATGTCTATGTTGTCATCACGGACACAGCGACCCCCATCACCCTCAAAGATGAGGACCGTATCCTTGCCGGACCTGCTCTTCTCTTCCGTGGCGACCACTAAACACTAGATGACATCCCCACGATATATAACCATTTACATCTTAGAATATCTTCCTTCAGTACCCTTCTTTACAAAATCATAAAACAGTTGTCTTCAACGATGAATAAAACATTTGTACACACAAAACTGTGCATTTTATTAGTGTTTGCAACTAGTCATCCAATCGTTCGTATTCCGCTCGCCAGTCCTTCATCAACGTAATCCTCTCCTTGGCATCATAGAACGACGCCGTGTCTGGTAGCGAACCCAAATCAACCGAGTCAGGAAGGGTAGTAATCCCCGATAGGACTACATCGACATCCTCCAACAAGACCCTCATATCCTTCTTGTAGACCTTACCCAATCCGAAAACCTCTACTCGTGTCCAAGACTTGGCAAACGACTGCAATCGATCCACACTCTCTCGGGCCTTACGAGCCTGACTGGGTCGTTCGTAAGTATCCGCAAAGACAACCCAATGCTCTTGTAAAACCTTGAGCGGTAGTGCAAGCCGTTTGCTGTCCCACTTCATTTCCTCCTCCTTGACGCGGCCACCATTGGCCTTGTCAAAGTTGGTGATATCCTTCCATTTGGACCCGTAGCGAGCTTGAAGATGGTCAGGCACGACGACTTCCAAGAACCTGCGCAAGTTCTTGAGGACATGGTTTGTCAACCAGAAGAGATTTGGGTCCATGCCGTCAGGGATGACAATTGTTTGGTCGATGGAAGACTTTATCCGCTGCAGTTCACGATCGTTGTGCTCTGCCCGGAACTTGCTGAGTGACTTGCTGCTGTTCTTGCGAGATCCGCTTTTGGGTCGCGGTTCGGGGCTCTTACTTTTTGAGGGTTTCGATACGGCATCGTCGTCTATCATTAGATCATCGTCTATCATTAGATCGTCGTCGCCGCCGTTGCCGCCGCTGTGAGCACTGTGTCCGGGGGAGGTCATGTCGTTGCTAGTGTCGCCCTTTGATGACCGTGAAATAGAGCTGCGCACAGACGAGAGTTCTAACTGGACGGTGAATCTCGAAATCACCTCGACTTCATGGACCATGGCTTTGACGCTTAGATTCTTGTCGTTAGTGAACAGGATGATTCTGGTCTTTGTCGGGTCCGGGTAGAGGATCCTGAAGTACTGACAGCAATCCAAAATCTTGTCGTCGTTCGCCTAGCGGATCAATTGGGTAAATAATTACATCGATGGTTAGTCAAGATGAACCACCATCATTGCTCGATCCTATAAAACGAGCGCGCGAATGAAGCTACATACCTCAGCCTTAGCGACGAGCTCGCTCATTTTCTGTCCTCGCAGTCTCGACGTAGACGATTGCTTACTCAACTCTGCCCTCAAAAACTCGATTGCCAAACGAGCCTTGCCCGAGACGTCAACCTCGCTTCCCTGCCGTCCACCTCCCTTCAACCCATCCAGTTCTTGTATCACGATCCAAGGAACCACAAAAACGACATCCTCAGATCTCTCAAGACCATTCATCGATCCGCGCCGGCTGCTCCTGCTGCTGTTAGACTTGTTGGTAGTGGGACCATACGACTTGACCAAGGATTGGAAAAAGTTGAGATGTGAGATCAGGATGTTGGTATCCAATATCACGGTTGCGTCCGGATCGTTATCGTCGGCCCGACGTTGAGTTACTGCACCCTCGGCCCATGGGCCCACCGAGGAAGGGCTGGTGTGTCCTGGCTTGATGTGTTGACGGAGGTTGGTGATCGTCGACGCGATCGAGTGCAGACCGACTTCGTCGTCGACGTCCATAGCTTCTGAATCAGAACCAGATTCTTTTGCATGCTGCTGTGTTTGATGGATATATTGCTGTTGCTGTTGGTGTTGTTGTTGCTGGTGGTATTGTTGCTGATCATGATGGTGCAATTGGTGGTGGTGTTGGTGTTGCTGGAAAGCTGGTTGCTGAACTTCCTGATGTTGGTGGTGTTGCTGTTCCTGGTAGTGGTGTTGTTGGTGTTGTTGGTGTTGTTGGTGTTGTTGGTGTTGCTGCTGTTGTTGCTGTTGTTGCTGTTGTTGCTGAAGGTGTTGGTGTTGCTGTTGTTGCTGGAGTAAGTGTTGTGCCTGGATCTGCTGCATGGCGATTTGTTCCTGCGCCCACTGTCGTTCCTGCATCCGAAGTTGATCATGCTGTTGACGTTCCAAAACATGCTGTTGTTGCTGAGCAAACAGTTCCTGAGAATGCTTCCCCTCTTGCTCAAGCATCAATATCTCGTGAGCACGGTGAGGGGTCGGGTCTTGGAGGTACTCATTCTGCAGTCGAATGTACTTTTGCTCTTGCTCCTGGAAGGTCTGTTGATGGTGTTGGAGAAGTCGTTCCTGTTCTTGCCGTTGCTCCTGTTCAAGGATGTGGCGCTCCTGTTCGTGCTGGTGATGGAGTGCCTGGAGATCTTCCGGCATGATCTGTTTCGGTGTTGTATGAATGAATGAGTAGAGTTTTGAGTAACGAAAACCTAAAAAAAAAATGAATGTTTCCCTTTCTAAGTAACATGCAGGCAGTAAGGGAGAATATCGTGGCTGGAAGTTGGCTGGGGTTGCACAACCCTTAAGATAAGGAGTGAGCAATCATTATGCGCCAACTCGTATGGTTGACAAGTAGGCTGTCCTGCCCCTTCTTCACACCTTCCCCTTCAACTCTTCGCGCCGAGTCATTCCGTTCTCCCCTCTCCACCGCCCCACAAGACCATGTCTTGACTCATTCACTCATTGCACTACACTATACAGCAAACACACCTCAACGTCAAAACTCTCGCTACAACAACGTCTATAACATCATAGAGCCAACCCTCAACACATCATAAAAGACATTCACAATGGAGGAAGAAGAAGGTACTTGCATGCTGCCTCAACGACGACGACGACAGAAGTTCTTTGTTACTCGCTGTGCATGCAAGGTGGAAAAGAGTCCAATTGACTGATACACTTTCTTCTCGTGCGATATAGAAATTTGCAGGGTGTGTCGATGCGAAGGCACGCCAGAACAGCCATTGTTCCACCCGTGCAAGTGTTCAGGAAGCATCCGTTACGTTCACCAGGATTGGTAAAGTGACATGATATGGCCATGTCTGTATCGGCCGGCTTGGCGCTATTCTTTCTCCATGGACCAATTCACGTTTACGTATCCAGTCACTACAGCTTGCTCATATATCTTCTTGTCCTCCTTCCTTATCTCTTCTAGTTTACTGCAATGGCTAGAACACAGCAACAAAAGGCAAGTGGGATCGATGTCACTCGATCGTTGTGCCATCACCAACTGCGCATTCTCCCACTAACCTTGGACAATCATTTCACGACAATCTATTAGATACTGTGAGCTCTGCAAGCACAGCTTTGCATTCACGCCAAGTAAGTACATCTCCGAAATAAACACCATTGATGGCTATTGCCAAGATTACTCTAAGGCGCTTATTTTATTCAACTCACGCACATTCTATCCGCTCAATTGCACATAGTCTACTCGCCAGAGATGCCAGCATCGATACCACCAACAATACTAATTCGGAGGATGTTCGATAAAGTGAGCCATGGAATCCAGTTCGTCCTGCGCGGCATCCTCGTCGCGTTCATTTGGCTCGTCATTCTCCCATACTTTACTATCTGGATCTGGCGCCTCTACTTTTGGATCGGAGAAACATTCGCATTCAGAGCCAACGGACTGGAGACTCCCATGTGGAACACTACAACATTCTTCTCTTCACGGCACAACCTCACAGCCGCACCATCGACGTCGTTAGGGAAGGACAAAGCCCTCGATGGAATCTCAATTCTCCTCTTCCAGTCCATTGCCCCAGAGCACCAGTGGATTAGGTAAAGAGAGGGAAATTGTGGGGGGATTGTGCGCTCGTGCTTTTTGTTCCGGTGACAGCCGGTAATATACTTCAATGACACCATTCTAACCGTTTCTTGTTCAACTCTTTGGGGAATATATAGCAAATTCATTCTGGATTGCTTTGAGGGCCAGATCATCAGCTCGATTGTGGTAGTGACATTTGTTGTCAGTTTCCTTTTTCGCGAGTGGGTGGTCCAGAACCAAGAAGCCGAGGTGGCCCGTGGACCTATGGATGATGCTGCAGCACCTATTCCTGGAGTCGAGGATAACGCACCAGGATTCAATGTCGAACATGCAGTGGAGCACCTCATCGCGGCACATCACCAAATGGAGGCGCTTGTGGAAGGAGAAGCCAGCTCGACTGACAGCAGCGAAAGCGAAGATGATTCTGATAGCGATATTGATCAGACGCGGATATTCTCTCGACCAACAACATCGTCTCCAACTGATTCCGTACGGCCGATGGATTTCCCAGATCCCTCTTCCACAAGGATGACTCAACTCACACCGTCTATCCAGGAGCCGCGACCAGCCTACTTTTGGGAGACAGACAACGCAGGAGAAGGAGGCTCATCAGGACCTACAGCATTACCACCTAGCTCGGTGATTTCCCCTAGCGTGTCTTCATCGACATTGCCGGTTATGCGACCCAGTGCTGAGCGGACACTTTCATCCGACCCCACAACCGGTGCCTATGCATCTACCAACACTCTCGACAGAAGCGGTCGGAGGCCCAGTGCCTTGGGAGTTCGGTCGGGACAAGGTATCTCATTTAGAGCGCCCGAGGATATGCCATCCTTGGAGGATAGTGCAAATCACCCTCCTCCCAGAGTCGGATACGTCTACGACGCGTCTCAACAAACATTTCATCCGTAAGTTTTGAACTAACCCCGTGTGTAAAATGTATTGATATAGTATGGACAAGTGGTTCTAATGACGGCCCTCGTTGCGTTATGCCTGATAGTGATACACGCTGGGTACCTGCAACCTCATCCTCCGCGCCACTCCAAGCATCAGACCTCGGATTGACACCTGCACCGACGACAGGATCGTTACTCAACATTGACGATGCCTATCGCGCCAACGGAATGCGCCGTCCTTGGGCTACTCAGAACCTCAACGGCGAAGGTCCTTCCAACAGTGATAACAATCATGGTGCACAAGGGGAAAACAGACGTCGTATATATTCCAAGGATGGGACATCACTCTATTGGAAACTCGGCGTTCCTCTGAGCTATGACAATATCTACCTGAACCTTGATGGAGGCGAGATGACCTATACAGAAAAGGTACTCAGATACGAGGAGCTATGCAGGACGACAGATGTCGTGGCATCTGAGGCCCTTCCTATTCGTTGGCGACCGTCCGATGCGCCACGGATACAACAGCCACCAGAGGAGATGCCCGAGGCTTTGGACGCCCGAGCCAGGCAACGGCAGGAAATGGTTCGTCAAATCAACGAGCGCGGAATCCGGATGCGCCGCAATGAACCAGCACCAGCACCCGTCCCTATTGTCAGAGATGCCCGAGCTGCTCCTCTTGTCCGACCCCCTCCTCCTCCACCGCCACGTGCACCACTCGCACCTCCAGTTCGAGCCAACCAGGACGAAGCCGATGATATGAACGGGGATATGAATGAAGATGAGCTGGAAGGCATTTTAGAGGTCATTGGAATGCACGGGCCGTACTGGGTTCTCCTACAGAACTCGCTTCTGATGTCGGCCCTGATGTGTGCCAGCTTGGGACTTGGTGTTTGGATCCCATTCATGATCGGCAAGACAACGCTCCTCATGAACCCCTTCAACGTCCTGCGTATGCCTCTTGATTTTCTCAGCCGACTCACGGACCCTATTTTGGACTACGTTATCGACCGGATGCTGCCGTTCATTGGCACCACGCTTTCAAGTGTTTGGTCTATTGTGAGCTCTCTCGTCTCCCCTATCCTCTCGCCCATCATCGGATCATCGCTTGGATCAGCTGTGCTGAAGCCTCTGGATGTCCTGTACGACGAGCAGATTGTGCCATTGTGGAAGGCATTTATTGAGTCTATGGTCGCAGGAGGAGTAGAAGTCCAGGACATGTACCCAGGAGATTCGCCTATCACTGATGCCGCACAAAATATCACACAGGGATCTCTCGCCTCGAATGGCACTGTGGTTGGCCAGATTGCGAGGAAATGGACTGAGCTGGCCTATGGATCTTCGTCGGGCGACAAGATGGCCGCTGTCGCAATCGGCTACTTTATTCTGTTTGCATTGGCTTTCTGGTATTTCGTCAAGACAGAACACGCCTATGGAGAGACCTTTGCCAAGATGACCAGGGATGTCCTTCGTCAGCAAGGCCTGATCCTCAGGGTATGAAGTTTAACGCCACCAAAGATATACTGTCAACAACGTACGATTCATCAAGTCAACAAACTAACTCTAAATGCCTTGTCTTTGTTTTAGATTGCATTTTTTGTGGCAATGGAGACGGTGGTCTTCCCAGTGTTTTGCGGGATTGCCATAGGATTATCGACATTACCGGTATTCCAGGGAGCAACATTCGCCACCAGGATAGTCTTTTACACACACTCGCCCAATTGGTTTCTCCTTATGCACTGGCTCGTCGGGACAGCGTTCATGTTCAACTTTTCGCTTTTTGTGAGCGTTTGTCGCACGGTGACTCGACCCGGAGTGATGTGGTTCATCCGCGATCCCAACGACCAAGGTTTCAACCCTATCCGCGAAATCCTCGAGCGGCCGTTCATGTGGCAGCTGCGTAAACTCGGATCTGGAGCCGTGACCTACTTGACCTTGATTATCCTCGGAGTCACAGTGCCGATTCAGTTTGTCAAATTTGCTATGAACGGCGTCCTGCCACTCCGCTGGCCAGTTGAGTAAGTGGTGTATTTTTTCCCCCTTGTACAATTGCGGAGACGATAGCAAAGTGAAAGTGGACTAACTGACATGGGATTAGTTTGTTCTCATCTAGTGAGCCGATCTCGGACCTACCTATCGACCTACTTCTCTTCCACTTGGTGGTGCCTTTGACGTTTCGCTGGCTCGATCCGAGCAACCGCATCAAGGTTCTCTTTTCGGCTTGGTGGCGCCATTTGTCTCGTTGGCTGAGAGTGAGTTCCTTCATGTACACCACGGACAATCAGCGTTTCTACGAAGAAGAAGGCCATGTTGTGTATCGTACCTGGAAGGCATGGCTGTTGCGATATCGTCCACCCATCCCCGGCTTAGATCAGGATGAAGAGGATTGTGTCGGGAGTGGAGAAGAATTGGATATTGACGCGCCCGTTCTGTTTGTGCGAGACGGTGGCTGGTACCGCGTCCCTAACACGGATCGGATTGTTCAAATGAAGAACCGTCGAGTCTTGGTGCCTGTGGACGAGAACGGCAACGCATTGGACCCCAATGATGATCTTCCGGGCGAAGTGGACCCATTGATGGATTATCCGCCCCGCAATCGTGACGATCCGAGCCTGCCCGTTGACCCTAAAGAAAACACCGTTATTGTCTATGGTCCACCTCACCTCAAGCGCCGCTTGATCGCCTTTCTTATTCTAGTCTGGACGTCTGTTATGACCTTCATGGTCCTCTCTGTCGTTTCTCCCAGTAAGTTGGTTTTCACTTGTGAGATGTGAAATAGTATCCATTAATGAATCCGACAACTAACCAAGTACTCTTGCACATTGTTCGTCGTCGTCGTAGTGGTTTTGGGAAGAGCAATCTTTTCGTTGAAGTCGACGCGGCCAGTCCATGACGTTTACTCATTCGTAGTTGGCATCTACTTCTTGAGCGGGATCTGGTTTGCGGTGGATTGGACGTCAACCAAGATTCATATGATCTACACGCGAGGCACCGGACCGATCAACAGTCGTGCTGTTTTGAGTATGCTCTGGACCGGATCAAAGATGACTGCTAAGCTGACGTACTTTGTCCTGGCTTTTGGAATCTTGATGCCGTTTACCTTGGGACTGATGGTCGAGCTCTTTGTCGTCCTGCCGCTTCGGAATGCCATTGACGAGGAAGCAAACGTCATTTTCATGGTGGTAAGGGTGTGTGCTCGCTCTCTCGTTCAATTGCAATTTTTTAGACTTTTTAGAATTTTTTTCGTCGTGGCTAGCAAGTCAGGGTCTAACAACTCTTATTATTATTTCTTTTGTGTCTGAATAGGATTGGGCGGTTGGTTTGCTGTACATGAAGATCATTCACCGGATCCTGACTGTCCTCCCCAACAACCGTTTCGCACTGGACATGAACCGAGTGTTTGTTGGAACCGATGTGAATCAGTGGGATGCCGGTCTGGCGACACGGCGATTGATCTTGCCTGTTTTTGGCATGTGTGCGTTGGTGGTTGCGGGACCCTTTGTCTGTGCTTGGATCGCTGCAGAGGCATTTGGACTAGAAGAGGCTGCGCGGTATCGGGTCTTTAGGCAGGCGTACCCAACAACGATGATGGTCAGCTTGGCTGTGTTTGGACTTTGGGAATGTGCTCTGGTGGTTCGGGGGTGGAGTCAGTATGTCCGCGATCAAGAGTACCTTGTTGGACGACAGCTTCATAATCTGCGCGAGGAAGAGATTCCGGCGGAGACCTTTGCCGCTGCCACTGGTACCGAGGTTGAGGCTGCTGTGGAGCCTATTGACGATGCAGCGGCAGAGCAGGAAGTCGATGTTGTCGGAGATGGAGAACCGGATGACTTTGTCGAATCGACAGGAAAGCGGATATATGGTCGTTTCCATTCGGGTTATGGTCGTGACGACGCAATGGACGACAACGGCGAGGGATCAAAGGACGCGTCAGGTTCGGCGTACACACCTCTTCTCCGGTCAACCGTTCGACAAGTCGTGGACCCTGAGTTAGACCTAGGAAGCGATTGGGATGATGAAGGGTCTGCTAGTCGGACACGGCCTCGGAGGAGTTTCCGGTTAGCGCAACAAGCAGCTGCACGCCGTGATGATTCTTATATTGAGATTTGAAAGTCTATTCTTGATCAAAAATAAACATGACGATTAGACTGGTTGAATATGAGTGGTTGTGTTCCAGATGACCTTAATTTTGAACAGTCAATTGATCGCCATTCCGGTTGGTGTCAATTCAGGGGGGATGGGGGGCTTTTTGTGCTGCCGCTTCAAATATGGATGGAGCATCATTGTGTGTGAGTAATGAATGAGCATTGTAGCGACTATTTGAAAGAGGCATTATTGTTTGGGTAGAGCATCCTTTGTCCAGGAGGAGTGAGGTTAACTGTTTCTGGAAAAAATGGTTCCATAATTGGCGACTTTTGTTATCAGGTGTGGCACATGGACAGAAGTGGCCTGCAACCATGGCGCATCAAAAAAGGGAGCAGTAAAAAAAAAAGTTTAAACGAAGAACGATATTAAAAGTCGCGCTGTAGAGGAGATCTTCACTCTGCTACTGTCAATCATGCCATGCGGGGTGTGAGCGAGAGAGGGTGGGTTGAGGAATGGGGAGGAGTGTGGCGGTGTGGTGGCGCTTGCGCAGAGCATTGGCCGAGATGGACCACATGCCTCAGTTCGTCATTGAACGGAGTAGACTGCAGGTGTGCCGATTTGCCTCTCGTTTGTCTTCATGGCACAGCCCTTGACAACAAAGACTGCAAAATGGTTGTGATGGCTGTTCTGTTTGTTTTAGTCCGGGACAAAGAAAGGAGAGCGCAGTTGTAGAGGAGGTGCACGATGACGATGCAAGTCGATGGGTAGCGTGGTAGTTGATGTCGTCGATATGTGAGACTATCGACCCATGGGAGGCTCTGTCTCATCCCCTGTGCGCCTCTTCCCTTTTTATTCATGCCTTTGCGTGCTTAGCGTAGAAGTTCGCTTTGCTTTGTTTATTATTTTTTTCTTTCCACTGCTCTCATGGCTCTCGATCTCGCTTCATCCCTCTCCTCAAACCGTCCTCGCCAAAGCGTTCAACGTCTCCGCTCACATATTTTTATTTTTTCTTCACACTTCACACGCCTACCTTTTCTCTCTCTCTCTTCTCTTCTCTCCCTATTCCACACCTCCTTCACCTCTCTCCTCTCTGGCTCCATTGCATACCCTCACCACTCATCATCCACACACTCATTCATCTCCAATAGGGCGCAGTTTGGAACTCTCGAAGCATCATCATCTTCCGCTCTTCTTCCCCCACGACACTCGACAGCAACAACACAAGGGAAGGCACACACCAACACCAACAACTTCAACAAAAAAAAAAAACTAATAATATCTCACAACTGTCATGGTGCCGTGGACCTGCACCCCTGACGGTACTGGGGTCTGTATCACTGACAGGTAACCCATACCTCTCTACTTTTGTGTCCCTTGGCACACATTCCAACAACAACAACAACAACGATAGTCAACTTCGACCCATCTTACCTATTATTTTACAACACCCCTTTCACTCCATAGTCTCTTACAACTGATCCCGACGTGCATCATCCTCTTCTCATCCCTGTCCGTCATCGCAGGAGAATGTGGCCGACAGGATCGTAGACGAATGTTCAATCGCTTCTCAAGTGAAGTGGTTGTCCAGGGCGAGAGTCAGTCCGAGCTCGACATTGACGGGGAAGATACGAACCAGTTCAGGCTCATCAAGCCCAAGCGGACTTTTCCCTTGGCCATCCTCCGCTGTGTTGGCGCCTATTCTCAGATTGTGCTGTTTGCCTATTTGGCGTTTCGGAAATTGGAGGAGCAGAGTCAGACTGGACCTGGGGTCCCTACGAAAGGAAAGGGGTTAAAGGAGCTGTGGTCGATGAACAATGAAAGGAGTGAGATTGATCAGGATTGGCCGCTATGGTTGCCTGTTATGCATGGCATCGTTTGGGTAAGTGCTTTTTTTGTTCTTCCAGTTGCTTATTTTTTGAGCTGGTCAAATACTTAGGAAATAAAATAGGGAACGGTCGTCAGACCCCTCGCCCATCTAACCTTCTTTTTTTCGTTACTGTCCCGTCAAAAAAACATTAGTTGTATTCATCGATCCTTTCAACAGTGTCACTCCTCCACCCTCGCCTGTCAAACCCCTACAGATTGGTTACACACCTGGATCTCATCTATCTCACAACAGCAGGCGCAGGATTGATGCACTTTTTGCTGAACGATTTTGGACGGCCCATCGGACTCTGGACCTTGGATGACCAAATCTCTGGGCTCTCAGCAGCCATCTCTGGCTGCATGTTGGCCCTGACCCTTGCCACCAAACCATTGGTCCCACCTCAGCCTATGAAAGGACCGGATAAGCGATCCCGTGGGGTAAGTCCTTAATGTCGTTTTGGTTGAGCGGTTAACCTTTTTGAGGGCATTGAGTGTAGCAAAAGGAGAGGAGGTCTTTGCTGGACTTGTTGGACGGAAAAACTAAAGGAATGCAGAATGGTGCCAAAGGCGTGGCGTGCGTGAGATGATGTAATCGTACTTGGTTAACTGAAAATCACTTTTTTTTTTCAATCTCAACTCGTTTTTTTTTCTCTCGCAACATAGGTTATCTCGCCAGAGACGCGCTCGTCGCTTTACGCCAGGATTGCTTTCACTTGGTTGCACTCAATGGTCATCAAGTCGTTCACCGGAAAGCTTCAGGAGACTGACGTCTGGGCAATGGACAATGCGCTCAGGATCAAAATCGTCTTTCAGGAGTACTTGGAGAACAGGTTAGTTCTCATTTGGCAAACAAAGGACGCGAGCTTTGTAATTCAGTACCTTATCTAACGAGAAACGTTTTTATTCTTACTTGCGCTCCAAAAAAAAAAAAAAAAAAAAAAAAATAGGAAGGCAACGGTGTTTGTCACGATGCTGAGTTTGTTCCGCCTCCAGCTGGCTCTGCAGTTCTTGTGGGGGTTGGCATGGGTGGGTCTCAGTATGGTCCCTCCCTTCGTCGTCTTCAAGATTATTTCGTTCGCTCAGGATCTTTCCACCTACAACCGCAATGAGGCGCTTTTCTATGTTGCTGCCCTTTTGGCATCCATTGTCGTCCGTTCTGCAGGCATGTTTTTGTTTGTGTATAGTGGGACCTATGCATATATGCTCCTTGAACATATCGTTATGACTGGATTGCTAACCTTCTTATCGTTGCGTTATGTTCCCATTAGTTTTGCAGCGTGGATTGCACATGGGACAAAGGCTCGCTACAAAGGCAATGGGCATGACAAGTGGACTGATTTATGAGAAAATGTCGCTTCGCAAGGACATGGACCCTCACGACTACGAGATCACAGGTACTATCCTTGTACTAAAGGTGTGTGTCTTGACTCTGCCCAACTACCTGCCAGGTACTAACTGCTCGCTCTTGCATACATTCAACTTTGAAAACATAGACCTCATGAGCATGGATGCGAAGCGTATTGGACAGGGCTGGAAGAGCGCGTTTTACTTGATGATCTACCCCATCATGGTCATCATTGCGACGATCCAACTGTACGGATATATCGGACATTCTGCCTGGGCTGCTGCTGTCGCTGTGGTCTTTTGGTACCCTATCTCTGCCCTTGCCAGCTTCCTCTTTTCTGGCCGATTTGACCCTGCCTCTGTCAGGATGGAGAGAAGTGATGCCCTTGCTTCAGATGTAAGTGAAAGAAAGTGGGCTCTCTGTATTGAAAAATGGCGTGCATGAAAGTAAATTCACTATTTACGACGTTATTAATCACGCCCTTTTTTGTGTGCGTACATAGTTCTTCGCCAACTTGAAAGCGATCAAGTACTTGGGATGGGAAGAGATTCTGATCAACAAGATCCACAGAGCTCGGGAGGAGGATCGCAAGCATGATTCAAAGACTTCTCAGCCAGTCATGACGCTCATCTCTGTGCCCCTTGGAGGAGATCTCATCCACGCGTTTGCCATGACGGTTGTCCTTGCGTTCTATTCGCTTTACTTTGGACAGATCCTTACGCCTGCGATCTTGTTCACTACATTAATCCTGGTCGACATTCAGACGAGCGCCATTAACGTACGTATCTTGTTCGTCGTTCACACAACACTTGGAATATGTACGGAGGACTATCTCGACTCAATTCTCGATATTTCTAATTACCTTCTATAGTCCCTGCCGTCGGTCATGATTTCACTCAGGGAGATGCTGGACGCAATGGTCAGAGTGAACGACTTTTTGTGCGAGGAGGAGAACGAGCGCGACACTGCCGTGATTCGGGACCGGGAGATGGCCAGGAGAGCCAACATCCCCATCATCGGCTTTGTCAACGCGTCCTTTGTCTGGCCCGTGGCCAAACCCGCAGTCCACCCTAATGATCTTCTATTTGTCGACGAACCAGATCAAGACGACGACGATGTTCGCCATCATCAAAACAACGGTGCTACAAATAAGGCTGGTCGTCGCCCTTCTGGCAATTGGATTGTGCGGACACTCTCACTCTTTGGATACATTTTGCCCACACCCCCGGAGAATACCTACAGCCAGAACCCAGGACGGCCCAACTATGGCATTGGACAACACAAACCCAACACCGCAGCCTTTGCTGCCGGGACCGACTTTGTGTTGAAGAACGTCACCCTGTCCTTCCCACCCGGTCAGATCTCGTTGGTGACCGGAACCAGGAAATCGGGCAAGTCTGCTTTGTTGTTGGCGCTGATTGGCGAGATGACCCGGTCCACTGGAAAGATTTATCTGCCCCGCAAGGATTACTACCATGGGAAACAGGGGTACGGTAGCGATGTTGCCTATGTTGCTCAGGACCCATGGCTGGAGATTGGTGGTGGTGGTAGTATCTCGGGAAACAGCACTGGTCGTAGTACTATTCGGGATACGATCTTGTTTGGAACTATGCTGGATGAGGAACGGTATCCGGAGGTTTTGAGGGCTTGTGTTCTTGAGGATGAGTTGCAGGGACTTCCTAATGGTGACATGACCATCATCGGTGACAAGGTGAGCCTTCACTTCGTTGTTTTTATTTATGTATTTTATGTTCTTGTGTACAAAACGTTAATTTCTAACCAACGCCATTTACTTGTGATTGTAGAACGTTGTGTGGTCGATGTCACTGAAGCAGCGTATTTCCTTGGCCCGCGCGGTTTACTCAGACGTGTCACATATCTTGATGGATGACTGCCTGAGCTTTGTCGATGTCAGGAGCCGCAACTTTATCTGGAAAAACTGCATGTAAGTATCCCCTCACACAAACAGTGAACTAGAAAGCATGCTTTCTCTTGCGTGTACTAACAACAATCACTTTTTATTGCTACTAGATTGGGGCCCATTACGCAGGGAAAGACAAGAATTGTGGTGTCGAACCAGCTTCATGTCAAGACGTACTTAAACGATGTTGACTATGTTGTTGGACTGGATCAAGGAATTATTCTTGGACACGGCTCTGTTCGTGAGGTGCTCACCCAGGGATGGATCCGTCAAGCCCCTGGCTCGTCTACCATCCCTACCACCATCATCTCTGGAGCCACTGTCCCTGCCAACTTGGGTCAGTTCCCTCAACAGTCTTTGCCCAGTAACAGCACCCCCGCTGGAACAGGACCTGTAACAGCACCCGTAAACGCTCCTCTCCAGGACCTTCGATCTGCAAAGAGCACCAACCTGCCTGTCAACAAGATGAGCAACCTGAGCGACTATGATGATCTGGACTCGACGATGAGCCGTGAAACTGCAGCTGGATTCCGGGTTGGTTGGTCGACTTTTGGCACCTACATTGTCTCATTGGGCACCGTCCTGTTCTTGGCTTCGGCGTTTATGAGTTTGTTCCTGAGTCAGGCATTCTTTGTGATCCGCATTGGATGGTTGGGTCTCTGGGCTGAGAACGAGGCCTGGGATGGTGGCGTTCCCCTGCGCCATACCATCCATGACCGTCAGGTTCATCGGAACTTGTTACCGGAGGACGATGAGCCTTCGTTCATGACAGGATTGGACTATCTCTGGATCTTTATTGCCCTTGCAGGAATTCGCGCCTTCTTTGTGATTGGAAACGCGTTCTTCTTGAGATCGGGTGCCTACACCGGAGCCGACAGAGTCTACATGCGCTTCCTCCACAGCGTGGCTCTCGCACGTCTCTCGGTCTTTGAGGCCAACGCTGTCAAGGCAGCGACGTCGATGGCTGGCGATGTTGGTGGTCTGTTTACCAAGGGTACCATCAACGGGATCAAGGATTGTTTCATGCGGGATCTTAGTGGGTTGGATGTCAAGCTCGCCAAGGAGTTCTGGCAGTTCTCATCGGACGTCCTGGCGGCGCTGTTGATTATCTTGGTCCTGGCTTGGGTTCAGCCCTTTGTCTTGGTCCCTGTCGTTGTGGTCTTGTGCATGTTGAGCTCCGTGGCGCTTTTGGGGTTGGGTCTTTCAAAGGAGATGCACCGGATGTCGATTCGTGCTGATCGGATGGATAAGGACCAGTTCAAACATACCTTCCGTGGCCTGGCGACTATCCGTGGTTATGGATTGGAGCGTCGTGCGATCAAGTCTGGAATTGCGCAGTCAGAGCTGTACCTCAAGACCGTGTACTTTGGATCCTGTGCCGACCGTTGGTTGCATTGGAAGGTTGAGCTCCTGAGCGCTTTCATCCCCTTCTCGGTCGCGGTGTTAGTCTTGAAACAAATTGAGGATCTGGATCCTGCGTTGATGGGTCTTTCGCTTTACTTGTCGCTGCAGTTCAGTGATAAGGCTCTGGACAGTCTGCTGGGTTTTGGTCGCATTCGGAACCGTCTCCAGTGGGCGCTTGAGCGCACTCGTCGGTATATCCATGAACTGGATAGCCCTGATAACAAGGAGGCTCCTCGGAGGGTCGATAGCAAGCAGCCACCAGCCGCATGGCCTCACAGTGGCGCCGTCGAGTTTGTCAATTACTCTTGCAGCCGCGCTGAGGCTCCTCATGGTACTACTACTGCCTCGGGAACTGTGCACCTCAAGAATATCAACAGAGCCGCGCCCCTTGCAGAGACGCTTAGCAGACCTCCACAGAACGCCGCTGTCAATCAAAGACCAGGACTGGACGCCGTGCTCGGCTCCAACCCCAGTATCCCTGCCCGAGTCAACGAACTTTCACAATCGGCACCTCTAGATCACACTAACTCAACTCGGACCAACACTGCAGTCTCTGCAGCCAACACTGTCTCCTCCAACATCAGCCAGGCCAGCAGTCATTTGACCGTTGCACCCTATGGAACTGTTGGTCGGAATGCAGGCGTCGATTTGACATCTGACACTGATGCGACCTTGGTCCCTCTCCCCCAGCCGTCGTCGACGTTCTTGTCGACGACTACTTTTGTACCACCCGCAGAACAGCCCATGGATCAGTTGGCAGCTCTAGATCAGATGATTCCTCCTGAAGCGATGGATACTGGACGACTGGATGCACCCCTGCCACCCTTGCCGCCTAGTTCGGGGGCGCCTGCAGGGCCGACCTCGATTTTCAAGAATGATAGCCAGGATACTAATTCACTGAGCGGCGCTGCCGCCGCTAGTGGATATGCGACTGAAGAGGCAGTTGGTTTTGGGCCTGTGACTTGCGCGATCCTCCCTGGAGAGAAGGTTGCAGTTGTGGGCCAGTCCAAGTCTGGCAAGAGCACGTTTATCCAGAGTTTGTTCCGCATGTGGGATTCTGCAGAGGAGGATCGTATCCGTGCAGCTCGTGCTGCTCAAAACGCTACCACGAATGGATCCTCGTCGTCTACCACTTCTTCGTCCAACAAGTCTACTCTCGTTTCCTCGTCTTCCTTCTACGCCAAGACACCTCTGGGTCGTGTCGCCTCCTTGGGTAAGGCCAAACCTTCGCAGGGAACCCCCCTCCCCGACCTGGGCTCGATCACCGTCGACGGACTGGATATTTCTCAATTAGGCTTGTACGATCTGCGATCCCGCTTCTCGTACCTCTCCCAGCGCGGAACAGTCTTTGCGGGCACTGTGCGGTTCAACCTCGACCCTCGTGGCGAACACGAGGATGCAGAGTTGAATGAAGTCCTCCGGATCTGTTTCTTGAACGAGCGACTTAAACTCGACACTGAGCTCATGACCGCCTCGACTGCCAACTTGTCTCCTGCAGGAAATGGACTGTTGGGATCAGTGGTTGCAGGAACGACGAGTTCGAGAAGGATCCCACGGTATGCGAAGCGGTTCTTTAGACGGAGCCGTCCTATCCCTGCGTCTGCCCTGAACAAGGGTAAGGACAAGAAGGATCGTACACCGGCTACCGTCAGTGCCACATCTGGACGCCGCCTCCGGGCTTCCCTCGAGGGTTCTGGAGGAGCGGGAGCGGGAGCAGGAACCAACTTTAACACTGCCGAGTTCTTGAATGATGACCCCGAGCAGGAACTCCTCGGCCATATCGAAACGTCCGACGACGAAGACAACGACTTTGATGAAGATGACGGCGACACGCGCGTAGAACTGGACACGAATGAGCGTCAACTTTTGAGTCTTGCACGGATACTAGTCCAACGGTCCAACGTCGTGGTTCTCGACAACTGTGCTGCAAAGGTGACAGACTTGACGGCCCAGCGGATTGATCAGATTGTGATCCAGGAACTGAAATCAGCGACTGTGATCTCTGTGGGCCATCGGTTGGACCAGATTGTTGCGCGGCATAACCGGATCTTGGTGCTTGATCATGGCAAGGTCGTCGAGTTTGGTAAGTTTGGGGGTGTGGGAGGGGGGGGGGGGGAAGAAGGGTCGTGTTTCTGTTGGGGAACTCTGATTGAGGATGGGTGACAGCGTAGGATATTGATACTGACCATTTCATTTTTTTTGTTAAATTCGTTATGCGCTTTGTAGATACCCCTATTGCGTTGTTGAACAAGCCCGACGGTGTCTTCAGAGACATCTGGTAAGAACACTCTTTCTTTTACCACTGTTCCACTTCACATCTGCCGCGCCCCACTGCTCTTTCGTCAAACTTCAACGTATACTGACCCATGTTTCCCTTTCAAAACTCTCACAAAAATGACTCCAGTAACCCTGCTGGACCAAACTTCTCGGCCCTTGTCTCCCTCGCCAAGAAGCAACAGATTGCTTCATAAAGCCAGCGCACCTATACGCGCGCCAAGATACAAAAATAGGGCCAACCCCCCTTCCCCCTCCCATCCACCACCACTTATTCAACATACCATACGTTACAAAAAATAGCATTCTTCATAAACGCAAAGTATAAAAAAAAAAAGGGGGAGGCAAAATCGTCATTCTCAACATAAAAGCTTTTCTGTAATTAAGATCCTTCATCTTTTTTATTCATATGTTTTTTATCTCTTTTGGGTAACTTTTTTTTTTAAATCATGTGCATGCTGGCTTCAGCAGCATACCAATAATGAACACCCGAGGCGCCCGTGGCGAACATGGCCAGGGGCGCCAGGAACGACGCGAAGCCTGAGGTTTGTTCGACTCTCAGGGATGCCCTTGATGCCTGCCTTCTTGCATTCGGCGACATATTTCCAGCTATTATGTTTTGCAAAAAGAACAAAACAGTAAAGGGTGGGGTAGAAGAGAGCTTTTTGTTAGGGTTTTCCTTCTCACTATCAAAAAAATCCCCCCTTGTCCTCCCCTCGCCATAAACCATGCAAAAAAAAAATGTAGAATGACAAAAAAAAAAACCATGCAAGAGTAAGAAAAAAATACAAAGGGAGATGGATCAAGCAGTAGTACCTTCAGAATAATCCCGCTTGCAGACGGGACAGATCCCATGGTAATCCTTGAAATAGGGATCGATACAGTGGGAATGGAAGAAGTGCTTACAAGGCAGTTCACGTAACTTGTCCCCGACTTCGTATTCTTCTATACAGATTGCGCAGGGGTCGTAGCGGCGCTTCCGTTGTTTTCCTGAGGTTGCTGCTCCTTTACTGCGTCTTGTTGGCCCTCCTCCGGTGGATGTTGTTGATGTAGACGTGGAGGTATCGGTGGTAGAGGCGCTGATGGAGGTGGCCATAGTGTTGTTGGTGAGTTCCTTCCCATGTCGTTTATGTCCACTGGAGGCGGAGTCGGCGCTAGATCGTTGACTGCGACTACTCCGGCGGCTTCCAAAACTACTGGAATCTGAATCCTGAAGCTGTTCGACTTGCTGCTCGCGATCGCTTTCACTGGCTTTCTGACGTGCAGAACGGGACCGATTGTGCTTGGTGTCGATGTGGGGGAGCATAAACCGGTCGGCGTCCAGGGAGAGTCTCGAGAACTCGCCTGTGGTCGGGGAGTAGATGTCGGAGAGGTCGATTCCAATGAGAGAGAAACGCGTCTTGTGGTCCGATATTGAGCTGATGATCTCTTCATGTTTCCTGCTCCTGTCTTTGCCAGATGCTGTTTTGGAAGAAAGTGGGACTTCCATGAGTGGTGGTGGTGTGATGGACGAGAGTTTCTCGAAACTGATCCTGTGAACCTGTTGAGAAGTCCTCCTCAAGCCTTGAGAAACAGCAGCAGTTTTCGCTCGTGCAACAGTACCTACACCCCGTCCGTCATCCAAATCACTCTGCCCACTCTCACCCTCGCTCCCCAAGTCGTCCTCACTCTCAGACGCAGACGCAAGAGGAGGCGATCCCATTCGCTGAACCTGCAAAGAAGACCTCCGCAACCGCTGTCCACGAGGCCCAATCCAGTTAGGCTGTGCGACTCCACGTCCGTTATCAGGAACTGCGACCGTGGCCTGACTCGACCGTCTACGCTCCCCACCCCAACCTGCAGGTGGAAGAAATCCCGCAGTGCTTGGACCCGCAGAGTTGATACTGCCTTCGCCGTTGCCGCAACCGTAGGTGGTAGGGGAGGTGACTTCGCCAGAGTGGACAACCGAGACGGTAGGCAGCTTGTCAGTGTCGATCTTGCGGGGGAGGATGAACCGGCTCTTGTGTTTGAGGGCGGGTTGTTGAGCCAACAGGGTCGCTCCGCTGCCACGTCTTGCAGAGGCAGCAGGGAAAGTTGGTAAAGCAGTATTCGCAAAGGTGTCACGGCTGGGCGTGGCAGCAGGGGTGACATTCAGCGACGGGACAGAACCTCTCCTCAGTGCAGGAGCCACAACCTCCAACATCTCCACCTTGCCCGTCTCCGCGATCACACCAGCCGCAGGCACAACAATAGTAGCAGCCTTGACCTCCTTACACTTGACAGCATCCAAGCCCTTGATCGTTTCAGCCTGCAGATCCGCCCACCCCTGCTGCGCATGAGACTTGTACCCTTGCTCTTGATCATACCCATACTCAGACTCACTCTCCCCACCATAATCAAACATATCCGCCCCACTCTCAGCCCAACTCCTACACCGCTCATCTCGATTCAACGCCAATGTCGCGTTCAGGGAAGGGCGTCGTTCCCAAAAGAAGAATCCAGGCATGGACCCACGTCGAAAACGAGCAGAGTCCAGACCACCATAGACAGTCTCATCAAAGGACCCACTCCTGCGACCGAGGGCCGGAGAGTTGATGGTCGATCCTGCATAGCTCCCGCGGTCGGTCGCTACGAGTCGGAGGGCTGCCAAATCCGCACGTGCATAAACGCGTTGCGCCTTGGCTTGCTGCTGCTCAGCTCCTCGATACAAGTCCTTGTCGTCATAGACAGTATCCTTTGGAGCAGCGTTCGGACCCTCGCCTCCCTTTTCTAGATCCTGGTACTGTTCCTCCTTTTGCCGGGGTTGAGTGTTTGAAGACATCCCTCCCTTGTCGCCCTCATCATTGTCATTGTCGTCATCATCATCCGAGTATGTGATATCGTCCTCCTTGAAGACGCGAATTTTGTAGGTATCCAAGACTTTCTGATCGACCGTGCGCCGTTTCACACTGTCGAGCGCAATTTGCTGTCGCCTTCTTGCAAGCGAACGGGCCTCCACCACTCCGAATCCGACCCTAAGGAGGTTAAAAAAAATAAAGTTGCATAATGCATTATTTGAGTCAGCCATCCAGCAGGTCTGCATTTTTGAGATTAAAGGATATCCTTCTGAAAACGCAAAAGGGGAGACAAAACTTACCAGACACCAACAATCAAGACAACAGACCCCAAGATAATCCAAAAGAAGAGCCCCAGAGACCGATCAGCCGCCGGCCGTTCAGCCCCCGCAGTCGGAGTCGGTGGACTAATAGGGTTACTCGGCAATTGATGGGGTCCGATTGCATTGTTGGCGAACGTGAGTTGAGCAATCACCGACTCGCCTGTGATCTTGGTGCTATCCTGAAGGATCTTGATCAACGCCGCGTCGCCCATCGCCAGGACTCCAATTGAAGGGACTCCTGCTGCTGCTGCTGGTGTTGGGGTTGGCGCTGATGGGAAGGTTTCTGAAGATGGTTGAGGCCCTTCGCTGTTAATACCACTGTCGTCAGTCGGTGTAGGATCTGTCGGTGGCTGGACGTCCAGGATGTAGGGCGATTCTCCTAGGGTGGCAAGTTTGGCTGTCGAGGTGGTTTGGTTCTTGTTGAAGTCTTTTCTTGCTCGCTGCCGTTTGATGACCGCCGAAAGTTGCTCCTTTGTAACTCCTCCCGCCTGTGCTGGTGAAGCCCGCTTAGTAACAACACCACTTGTCAAAGGAGAAGCAACCATCACGCCTCTTCTTTCTTGATCCATGCCTGCCGATAATCCAGCAAGGTCCCTAATAGCAACCTCTGTCTGTTGCCTCAACTCCTCGTACGTGACCTTGGATTTGCTATCCTGGTACATAATGACGCCTGTAACCTCCTCCGAGATAGCTTGGACGATCGCAATAAGCGTTGTGACATCGCAGACATCCTCGTCGTCGCTGTAATCGTCGTCGTCGTTGTTCGTGTGAGATTTGGTGTTGTTGTACAAGAGGGAGGAGGAGATAAAGGCGATCCATGGTTTGTCGGTTGGCGGGTAAATGGGAAACTTGGTGCTCAGGTCACATCCGATAGTCCACTCGATCAAAACACCCTATTATTCCCGACGCGGATAAAAAAAAAGAGGTCAAAGAGATGTGTGAGTAAGAGTGCTGAGGTAAAGAGATGTGAGGTGGGTGAAAAGATGGAAGGTAGGGGAGCAGGGGAGTGAGAGAGGACAAAAAAAAAAGAGTGGTGGGGCACACGCACACTGCCTAAAAAAAAGGAGTATTATAACAAAGAATCTTCTATTGGAGTCGTCGTCCAACCTGTTGTCGCAACATTGAACAAATAATACAAACGGACGAACAGCAAACACCCCCTTTGATGGTAAAAAGCCCAAAAGCAGCAATCGCAGCAGGAGAGACCCCCGTTCGAAACAAAACAAAACAAAACAAAACCAAAACAAAAAAAAAAAAAAAGCACATGCATCTATTCTCATTATCATGGTCATTGGCATTACAGTCAAGGGTTCCGATCCTCCTGCGCCAAAAATCAACGTATCGTTCACATGATAGATCTGGCTGGGCTCGAGGGTCAGGCTGGCCGTCGGGAGGAGAAGTGGTGTACTGCTGCTGCCGGGGTCAATCTCTCCGCCGGCAGGAGAAGATGGAGCGGATGGAGAGGAGGGTTGCGGAGAAGTAGGAGGGATGTCCAGTGCCGCAAAGAGGGTGACATTGGGTGCAATGATTTGAATCAAAGGCTTTTGTATAATTGTTGTCGTGGCTGTTGAAGTAGGAGAAGGGAGTGCGGGTCCTGCGGATGTGAGTGCGGCGTTGATTGCTAGTTGTCTACGTTGTTGTTGTTGGGTATGTGATGACTGAGTGTTTGAGAGGTGGATGGGATGTGCGTCGACAACAAGGGATGTTTTGCAGAGGATGACGACTAGGCAGGTCAAGAGGTAGCAGGCTACCTCAGCAGTAAAGGAGCGCATCGCTTTAAGGTTTTTCTTTGTTGACTCCTCCTATACCGCTGTGAGTCTGTGTTCGTATTGATGATGGAGTTTGTTGTGTGTTTGTTGAGGTTGTTGATAGTTGAAAGGAGTGGCAGGTTCCTTTTTTCTCTGGTGTCCACGTTTGGGTTTGGTTACCGACGAATGATAAGGTCACGAAGAAATAACACAGGGCGTGTACGTTTTGGATAAAGCAAAAATCGATATTCGTATTGGGTGTTGAAGGTTAACAAAGTCAAAGAATTGTTATGAATGGTCGAGAGGGGAGGTGTATGGGTAGTCGTGCAGGTGATGAAGGTGGTTGGAGAATGAGGGTAAAGGGCGTTGCTGTCGTGAAGCAATTGGGGTCGTTACACAAAAAAAAAAGAGAGTTTTCGGTCGAAGCGTTTGGTGTTGATGACAATTTAGCTGATGAACGTGTATATGCTGAGGAAAGAAGGTTTGGATAAGCTGTTGTTGTGGGGCGAAGGTCGTGTCCGGATGTGTGAGGAATTCTGATGCCGAGGTATACAATGGAGGAAGAGCGGAAGAGGAGAAGAAAAGAGAAAAGAAAGGTGAAGGTCGTAAAGAGAAGAAATACAAATGATGCGATAGCAACGCGAATAATCAATGCAGGCCGAGGGACGATCTGTATTTGAAAGAGAGCGAGAGGGAGAGATGGGGAAGAAGGGAGAAGGGCAAGACTATTTCAAAAGGTAATGATGATAAGTAATGCGGGAGAGAGAGAGAGAGAGAGAGAGAGAGAAAAGTTGAAAAAAGGACGGAGGGGAAGGTGACGATAATAAAAGGAAGAAAGGACGGGAGACTGGATAAGGACAAGAACAAGGACAAGGAGATGGGCGATGCTGGTGTAGATACAGAATGGATGTGGGGCGGATATCAGCGTACTAGTGACATGTGTAATGGGTTCGTTACTAAGCGGCAGGAGGGGAGGGGAGATGGATGAGGATGGTGCAGGTGGGGGTGAGTTGTAGTAGAGGATGATAAAGATGTCGGATATGGCAAAAAGCAGGAGGAAAGGTGGATGCTGGATGTAGGGATTAGGATTAGGATAAGGATAAGGATAGGGATTGCCGACAAGGAAGATGGAGGAAGGAAGGACGGAGAAAGAAAAGAGCACGAACTTGCACGTTCGGCGAAATGGGGTGCAAAAGGGAGAAATGGCAAAGAGAAGAGAGAGAGAGAAGAAGAGACGTGAAGAAGAAGAGACGAGAAGAAGAAGAGACGAAGAGAGAAGGAAGGAAGGAAGGAAGGAAGGAAGAATGCCCATTGATATCCCAGGGATAATTACCAAAGAAGAAGAGCTGAGCTGAGTTTGGGGATGCATTGCAGGAGGGAGGGAGAATGAGTGAGCCCAGTAAGGCACGGACGGGGGGCAGTCTTTCAAAATTGCAGCATTGCACGACGTCCTTGAATGTTATAGTTTGCATAAACAAACAAACAAATAAACAAACAAACAAACAAACAAACAATAAACAAACAAAACAACATAGGACAATGCACCTTGCTCTCTTTCACAAAGAGAAAAGAAGGAATAGCTGGCTTGGATGCAAACAAACGGCGGCTCTATCGAAAAGGGCGCCAAAAAAAACACGTCGTTGTTAAGGCTTACAACACTCACACCAAGAGTGTAAATGCCATGGCAAAACATGATCCCCAACACGCCATGCACCAATACCCGAGGGCATAAACCATTCCATCAAGAGGCGTACCCTTTCCTCTCTCACTCTCCTTCACCCCCTTCTCACTCCTTCTATTCCCCTGGCCCTTTCTCTTATTCTCTCTCTCAGACTATGATACTGGCATGCCCTTCATACTCCTTGAAGTTAGGAGTAGCCCACCGCAACGCAGGGACGAGGACAAAAAACACGGAGGAAGCGACGAGAGAAGAGAAAAAGAGGAGGAGGAAGGGGGATTTGAACGGTCGCAAGAAATCTAATTAGCATCGACTCATGAAACAAACTGCGTTGCATTGCGATGAATGGCCAAGCTCGTTCTCTTCTTTTTTTCTTTCTTCAATATCCTCACAAGGACGGAGGAATTTCCTGGGAGGATGGATGTAATGGGGTTGAAAACAACTATCCTTTTTTGGTCCCTTTTAGGTACGGACAACAACACGGGCATGGCCGTGACATTATATTTATGCCTCGGCCCTTCCTCCCTCCTACTTGAACCCCGTGCAGGCTCACTTCTTTTTCTTTTTTTCAACCAGAATTAGATACACCAAGAGTGGGTGAATGTTGAGCGGGCCGGCGCAAGAGGTGATAAAGAAAGGCAAGAAGGTTGAGGAAAGAAGGGGGTTGCTGGGGCAAAGTGGATAAAAATAAACATATTTTCGTCGCGAGATTCATTGTTGATCTCACCTCACACAGCCTACAAATGGAGGGATAATCGCCAAGGTGGTAACGAAAATAGCCAAGTCTGTGCAGAAGGATAGGTTATTGGGTTATTGTATGTTTATTCTCGCGTCAAGAATCGAGCGACCAATGTGTTATGGGTACTGAATAGTAGTACAGCAAAAAAGGGGAATATATGTACAGTTTTTACAGGTCAGCGATCTTCACGACAGCCTTGCCAAAGTTCTTGCCCTGCAACATGCCAACGAAGGCCTCAGGCGAGGCATCAATGCCCTCAGTAACATCCTCCTTGTAAATGATATCCTTGTTGACCAACCACGATCCAACATCCTTGACGAAATCCGCACCGTACTCCTCCGCGAAATCGGTAACGACGAATCCACGGAAAGTAATACGCTTAGCGACAATATGGAAGAGGTTACGGACACCGTATGGCGTCTGGGTGTTGTACTGGGAGATCATTCCACAAGCAACGACACGACCGTGGTCATTCATAACCTCCAGTGCAGCCTCGAGGGTCTCGCCTCCGACATTCTCGTAGTAGATGTCGATACCCTCGGGGGCGGCACGCTTGAGGTTCTCGAGGATGGTGCCGTTCTTCTTGTAGTTGAAGGCAGCGTCGAACTTGAGCTCGTTGATGAGGTAGTCGACCTTATCGTCTGAGCCGGCCGAGCCGACGACGCGGAGACCGAGCTTCTTGGCCATCTGGCCGACGAGCTGACCGACGGCACCGGCAGCGGCAGAAACGAAGATGGTCTCGCCAGCCTTGGGCTTACCGATGATCTTGAGGGAAGTGTAAGCAGTCATGCCCTATTGACAGTTGGAAGAACATTTTCAAGCACGAATTAGCATGCGTGAAACAAAGCAACCCATAAAACAATTGTGTTTTCCATGCCAAACATGGCTAAGCATAACGTAATATACGTACGGGCATGCCCAAGACACCGACGTGAGCGGAGAGAGGGATGGGAGACTCGCGAGCACCGGGGAGGACACGAAGACGAGAGGCGCCGGGGACGACAGAGTATTCCTCCCAGCCAGTGAATCCGCTGACAATGGCGCCAACGGGAAAGGCATCGTTCTTGGACTCCTTGACTTCAGCAACGCCGTATCCGGTCAGGGGCTCGCCGATCGAGAAGCCGGGGATATACGACTTGACGTCTCTCATTCTTCCGCGCATGTCTATGAAAATGAAGGGATGAAGCAGTGGGTTAGGTCGAGTGTTCAATCTTTGTATGTTGTTGCTGACGTGAATGAAAACGAGATAAATGGAGAGCGTACAAGGGTCGAGGGAGAAGTAGAGGTTGCGGAGGAGGACATCCTTATCCTTGAGCTCAACGTTGAGCTCCTTGGTCTGGAACCCGATATGCTCGCCGACGACGGGGTAATCGCTGGGGTGCTTCAAGAAAACGACTGACTTGTTCTGGACCATTGTTGATATGATTGTTGTTTGGTTGGATGTTGTTGTTGGGTGGTGGTGGAGTGGAGAGTGGAGTGGAGAGTGGAGAGAAAGACGAAGATGAGATGAGGAGAAAAAAAGAAAGAAACTAGCAACCAGACTTTGGTATTTATATTGTTTCGTTTCTGCACTGATTGCGAAACTATGGAAGAGAAAAGAGAAACGACGCCTAGAAAAGTGCATGTTGTTTTGGCGCAATTGCTGTACAGTAATTATGCGATCATGAACGACGATCAAGGACCTTTTTCGAACGTTTTGAGGAAAGAGAGGGTGACGTTGATGGATGTGTAACAGAGCCGATTGGAGAGATGAGAAGAAGGGAAGAAGGGTTTGCTACGTGATCGAGACGTCTACCTAATTAGGGGGGCAAATGAAGTGAAGATACATTGATACATTCTTGATTAGAAATAAAGAGAGACACATCGGCAGAAGAATTTGCCCAGAGGTGTCTGCGCGTTTCGCATAGCGGGAGATTAGCAGAACTATCTCTTTAGTACGGGGGATAAAAACCAATGCTTATTCAGACAAAGGATGAGTTATTTGCCGGTGAAAAGCAAATCGCGCTGTGTAACAGACTATCGGACGATTCACGTAAAAAAGAGACAACCTGCCTGCATAGCAGAGAAACATAGTTACCCATTGCTGCTTGTCGTGTCCAGTTCCTAGGCATCATGTCTGAAGGCCTTTAATAATTCTTTCCTATGTAATAATTACTTGCAGGTGTCATCCACACCAAATTATGCCTTCAGGCACGTGAAAAAAACGACCATTGGCAGTAACAGTTTCCTTCTCTTCGCTTGCCGTTCAATTCTTTGTTCCCCATTCATCAAACACAACTCATTCACACACTCTCTCTTTCAACCCCACTCTTCAACCCATCTTTCTTCCTTTTTCTCACATTCACTCCTTCATACACCACTCGCCATGGCAGAGGTAGCTAGTAAACAACAACTGAATGCCATTACCATTGTCGTGTCAACGGACCTGTCAAACCTTTTTTAGCTGCTGTTGCTCCCACCTTGCCCCATGGAAGCTAATACGCGCTATCTCTCTCTCTCTCTCTCTTGCGTTTCTACTTTTCTACTCCCCCTCTCGATAGTCATTATTAGACTCATTCATACAGATAATAGCCACCATCGCAACGTCCCTGCTGCATTTGATCATATACTCATGGAAGGTACGATCCCCCCCCCCAACCCAACCCGACCCAACGTCTTTTTATTTCTTGTCTTGTGCAAGGGAAATTGAGGATTGTCATATGAGTGAGAGCACTCTGTTGTTGGACAAATATAATAACCATAACTATCCAAAATAGGGTCTTTGGTCAATGGTCCTCGACCGCAACCTGGAAGACAAGATGACCAACGAACTGGCACATTCTCAGGATTTCGAAGAATGGCTAGCTCGAGCCACCGAACTGGACATCCTCACCGGATCTGACGTCTGGCGCAACAACCACCGTTCCAACGTTTACGACTACAGCCTCATCCTCTCTCGACGATACCATCTCAAGAAAGTCAGGGAGTCCAAGGATATCTCGGCAATGATGTATCTCTTGAGATCTGGCTTGTTGAGGAACTTGGGAGGGATCACGGACCCGAGGCTGTTTTGTCATTCGTATTTGGGGACCAAACATTTGATCGAGTCTTATATGGATGAGGTCGTCTCGCAATTGGAGCATGTGGCTGATACGAGTCATGCTACGTTGTCGAGGCAGGCCAAGATTGATTTCTTTATGGAGACTCGACAGAGCTTTGGAAGTTCTGCACTGTTGCTCCATGGCGGTGCCTCCTTTGGTATGTTGCATCAATAAGAAAGGCAATGTGCTGCAGGATGGTTGTTCGCGCTTTTCATTTGACTAACAAACCGTCAACTTCGCCCTTCGTGTACTTTTAGGCATGTATCATTTGGGAGTGGTCAAGACGCTTTTTGAACATGGATTGTTGCCACGGATCATCAGCGGAGCGTCAGTTGGAGCCTTGGTTGCTGCGCTTGTCTGCGTCAGGACTGACGAGGAATTGCCCGTAAGTTGCATAATCACAAGGTAGTTGCTTTTGTCACTGGAACATGGCTCACGTATCTAACCTATCACATTTGACTTCAATTTCTAGGGAATCTTCCAAGGCAGTATCGATTTACGTGCTTTCCAACGTGTTGGCGTTCGCGGAAACTTGAGTCGCAAACTGACGCGCCTCATGACCCAAGGTATTTCTTCACACCCAAGTTTTGTCTTTGGGAGCAATGGATAATATGCTTTTGCAAAGACAGCAAACTGACTGAATTCGTTGTCAACTTCGATAGGCTACCTGATTGATATCAAGGTCTTGCAGGATTGTATTGAGACCAACGTTGGAAATCTGACCTTTGATGTACGTGGCGCAGAATAGACAGCTTTGAACATAAGTGATTGCGTTTTCTCTTTCTTTCTGCAGAATCCGACACCAGGAAGAACAGCGTGGCTAACCAAAGCGTCCAATTGATGATATCCTTTTTTCGATTTTATAGGAGGCATTCAAGAAGACAAAGCGTGTTTTGAACATCACTGTCCCATCGTCCAGGAAATCAGAAGGGCCTCAACTCCTCAACTATATCACCTCTCCCAATGTGGTACGTTCATCTTTTAACCTTCTCGCTCGCAATCGAAACGTTGTATTGCCACATGTTAATTCTCACACGCTTGTCGGTCTTTGTGGCTCCCAATAGTTAATCAGCAGTGCCGCATTGGTCTCGGCTTCTATGCTCGGCTTCTCGTCAACGGCAGATCTTATGGCCAAGGACAAGTCAGGAAATATTGTCCGCTGGACGCCTTCAGGTACAAAACTGCCACATAGGGTCATCAAGAAGCACAAATGATTAAGCTTTTCACGCCACCAAAAACTAACCTTCAACCCTCTCATACAAATATTTAGCGGTGAATTACACAAACCCAATCACACCATCATTCTTCTCCTACGGAGTCGTCAGCCCCGAGACGCCCTTGACACGACTCTCGGAACTCTTCAATGTAAACCATTTTATTGTCTCTCAGGCCAACCCTTACATTGTGCCCTTTATGTCTCGGGGGCTCAAAGATCGTAAGTCAGGTGGGTCTGATCAGTTTGGGTATTCCGCCGGGTATATGGAGCGGATTGCAAGGGTGATCCTTGCAGAAATCAAGCACCGCATGGGCCAGGTACGCTCCCAACTTCTTTTTTTTTTCGCACTGTAGTTCATGCACCCTAAAATAATGAACAGATCTAACTGTGAATGAACCTCTTTTCTCGCCTAACAAAAATCATAGCTGAACCAAGTCGGGATCTTGCCACACGTATTCGTCCAACTCGTTGAAGAAAAAGTCTCTGGAAACGTCACCATCGTCCCTGAAGTCCAACTCCAAGACTTTCTCACTGTCGTCTCAAATCCAACCCATGAATCCATCCAGTACTGGATCCTTAAAGGCGAACAGTCCACTTGGCCCTTCCTCTCCATGCTCAAATACCGCCTCATGATCGAACTCGCACTTGATCGGATTTTGTTACAGTTGCGGGCTGAGGCCTCTGCTTCTGCGGCGGCAGTGCAAGAGGGTATTGATGCACAGCATCAGCATCTGTCGAGTTTGAGTGGCAGGAATGCGCATCATCGACGACAAAAGTCGGGCCCGAAACGGTTGACGCCACACTCTTCGAACTCTACTTCTTATTTAGGGTCGACTGCGCATTATTCGCCAAACTTGACGCGGAGAGGTAGTAGTGCCAACATTGGAAGTCTGGGCACTGCTGCAGGAGGTTTGCCGCATAAGTCGGTGAGGATGACGAGTCAGTACCAGTCTGGTGAGCAGTCGTACTTGGACGTTGACTCTTACCGAAACGCACATGATCGCCAAAGCCAGCAGCACCAAGGTCCTGGAAGAGGGAATGGTGGAATGGTGAACGGGCTCGAGAATGATCCTGAACGTCCTGTCCCACTCAACGATCCCAAACGATCAAAATCCATGTACTGAAAAAAAAACGAGATAGAATGAATAAACAAGAACATGTACAACCGTACATTCCACAACCCCTCTCCCCCCTCCATCGTTTATTATGTGCAAGCCGCCATCGCTTTCTATACGAGCTATTAATAGTTGTTCCTGGTCTCTGATATATCGGCGTTCTCTACCCTTGCTTTGTGACATCATGCGGGTTGGTAAGAAATAAAAAAAATACAAAAATAAATAAAAGTACAAAGAAATAATACAACACTACTTCGATAATGAAGTAAATGTGAAGAAGGGCCACATGGCTCTTCATGGTCTGGTGTTTACAAAAGAAAAGATGGAAAAAAAGATGTTATTTTCAAGCCGAGGTCAAGGTCACAGTGACCAATGATCCTTCGATCGATGTCCTAGAAGAGAAAAAAAAAAGTTGGTTAGCAAATTCGATCAGCGAACTATCCAACATAAAAAAACCGCGCATATCATACAATCGAGCGTGGCTATCGAACCTATTTATCTGTCTACGGAAGAACTTGGCTTCGTCGACTGATGCAAATCCGAGAACGATCGTCCGATCGCCCTTCTTGGAGACAGTCTATCAACAAAAACATGAAAGAGAGAAGGTACAGTTAGATACAGATGCTCGGCTTGCCAGTAAGTCCTGCCAACGCCTCCAAAAAGACCTTGAAAACTTACAAGAACACGGCCGACGCCAGAGATACCGTGGGCAAGCTGACGAATCGAAGTGTCAGAGACAGAATCGGGTATGTTATCGACTCTGACAAATCCTGTAGGCACCGCATTACTCGATGACGACGCTTGCTCGGGCTGTCTTTGCTGTGGGCCGTCCTCGCCGCCATCACCAACGTCCCGACGGTCCCTCAAAAATGACACAGATCCCGCATCAGATCCATATCCCTGACCGGTACTCGATCGGCTGTGTTCGCTACGAGGAGTGCTTACACCACTGGATTTATGTGCCTTCTGAGACTCCTCCACCGATCCTCCACCTGCACGCTTGAGAACAGGCGTCAACCGGCTGGAAATCGATCCTGGACTTCCTCCTCCAATGATGGGTGATGGGCGGTTGCTGCCATTGTTATACGAAGGCAAGGGCGATTGCGGCTGTGGGGTCCTTGGAGAATCTCCTGACCGGCTGCTAAAGTCTCTGCTTGTCGACAATCCTTGGCCGAAATCTCGTTCTGAACTTCCAGGGGAACGGTATGAACTATCCGAACGTCCTCCTCGCTCATATCCGCTGCCGCCCTGTTGGTCACGTCTATCTCTCGAATCGCTTCGCCCCTATGAAAAAAAAAGACACAATACAACATTTTGGTTTGTTCTGACTCTTATGCAATGTCAACCTACGAACTTCCAGCTGATGCAGAGAAAAGGTCATAACGACTACAGGAAACTTACGTTATTGAATCGTTGGTTTCTGTTGAAACGATCGCCATCGAACCTGTCTTGGGATCCAGACCGCGACAACTGGTTTCCTCGGCCCGGCGATTGACCATTTCCAGAATCTTGGTGGAACTGTCGGGACCCCTGCCGTTGTTCTTGACCAAGCGCACGATCCAGTCCTGCTGGCACTGCTGTTGTTGTTGTTACTGCTGTTGATGCTGTTGTTGCTCCTGGGATCGCTGGAACTCCAGCACGGTTCTGGAACTTTGGGTTGATGTGAATCGTCCTGCCAGGAGTACCAGCACCACCACCGCCACCCATGCCTGCTCCACTATTGTAAGGGTATCCCATTCCCTGGTTGCCGTATCCATCACTGCTGACATCCAATAGAAAAAAAAAAGGAAGATGATATTAGTTAGTTGGACCGGCTAGATTTCTTGATATTGAAAATAATCGTGAAAAATGAGCACAGAAATAAACGATAACAAAAGAAACTAAGCTTACCCAGAATAGCGTCCACTGTTCATACCCATGCCCATGTTCATGTTCATGCCCATCTGCTGCATAGCATATATCTGCTGTTGGCTCATGCCCATGCCCAGCATGTTTCCTCCTCTACCGCCCTGGTAGTTTCCACGACCAGTGCCAGTGCCATATCCTTGATTTCCACGGCCTCTCAATCCACCACTTCGCCCATCTCCGCGCGGTGAAGACGACGCGCTGTTGTTGTAGTTGTTGTTGTACGAGGAACGATCGTCGGATGGACTGGAACTCTGCCGATTAATACCTCCGAGCTCGGTTTCGCTATGACTTCCGTTGTAAGGTTGGGGTTTATGTGAGGTGGTTGCTGAAAAGGGCGACGCGTCCCGGTTTTCGTCATTCGAAGTTGATTGGTTATTGTTGGTTTTTGAGCTCGCGCCCTCGGCTACAGACGCGTCAACCTCGGCGGTGTAGTCAGTCTCGTCGTACGCGACATCGCCGCCATAGGTACCGGCAGTACCCTGCCCTCCTTTCGTGGCAGAAGCGGTCGCCGTCCCGTTCTGGTCAGCAGCAGCCTTCTTGTTGGAGGACGTGGAGGACGAGACGGCGTCCAGGGGAAGTAAGTCGAGTTCCAGTTCGTCTTCGGCGCCCAACTCGAGGTCGTCATAGCCTCCGACACCCGCCAGGTCACCATCGAGGAGATCTGCCTCGAGGTCATCCCCATAATCGAGCAGGTCGATATCGCCGTCATAGAGGTCGATTGTATCTTTGTCCTTTCCTGAGGCCATCGTTTATTGTTTTAGCTCTATTTTTTTGGCGAAGGCGTGCGGGTATTTGTGATGGTTTGTTGTTGACTCTGATGAGTCGTGTTTTGGCGCTGGCTGGAGTGTTTGTCCTGCTTGTCAAAGGGCCTGTTGGTGGCGGGTGTGGTGTGGTTTGTGTGGGATGGAAAAGGTGTGAACGGGAAAGTGGGATGCGTGAAGGAGGCGATCAGTGGAATGGGCAACTAGATCTCTTTGTCGCAGCTTGTGAAGAGGCGATGGTGGAAGGGGCCAGTCCTGGGTACAAATCCCAATCGCATATGTAACGGTCAATGTTCAATTATAAAAACTGAAGATTGACGATGGCCAAAGGGGGGGCATGCTCAACTTTATTTTTTTCCTTCCCTTGCTTTGTCTTGTGCCTCCCTGGCTTTTTTTTTTTTTTTTTTTGCTTGGCTCAATTTTTATCTCACCAATTCCTCGGAAGACTAGCATAGATGCTTGTGTCATGCTACCGACATGAATGTACACCATGCTCTCTTATCCCGAGGAGAGCAACACAAAGAAAATCCATAACGTCGAAGGGAGTAATTTACTCACGCTCCTTGGAACACAAAACTCCAAGGACGTCGTCCAATAACAAAAACAGCCCAAAAAAAAAAAAAAAGGCGGCAATCCTGCGATCACCAGGACGGGACCTCGGACCTCCCTCCCTCCTCTCGTCATCGTCGTCGTTTGTTTGGCAACTGCATCGTCAACATCAACAAAAACCTTTTCTCTCGCTTGTGTAACCTACAATACGTTTTTTTTTTTTTTTTTTTTTTTTTGTCCCTTTTGTCGCTTGAGTCTCCCTCGGGGAGGGATGGTCGATTGGGGGCTTGCTTTGCAGGGACATGGCGCTGAGATGTGCGCTCGCACTGTCGCCTGGGCAGTGCAATCGGGGGCGTGTTGGGCAGGTTACACCTGGATAGGGTTAAGTGTCGGCTGAGTAGGAGGGGAAGCCGAAAAAAAAGGATAGACACTTGGTACGCCCAAAAGGAAGGGAAAATAAGCGAAGGTAGCACGAACTGAAGGGTGAAAAAAAAAAAGGCTCTACGTGATAGCCGTCTTCTCCGACTTGTCCTGCCCTGTGCTGGTGCCGAGACCATGTGTGTCGTAGGATGATTCCCTGTCATACCTGTCTTGTAGATGTTTTGTCCCGAGGAGATTTATGTGTGAAATACGAATCTGCATACCGAATGACAGACGGACGGATAAACCCTTGCCCTCTCTTTTTCTTTGTATTTTTGTAGCAATGTACAGAAAAAACGATACTCACAACTTTATTTGCGTTCGCCGTTTGCCTAGCTAGGTAAGACACGTAGAAACTACGCACAACCCACCATTGACCCCTAGAGAAGCAAAGTACTTTGGCCCTTTTGATAAGAAAGCAAAATGAGCACAATGCCAGAGTGTACATTGCCTAATCCCCGTCCTGGATCCTGTGCCCTTTTCTCACAAACGCCCTAGGACATTTAGATTCCGCCTGTGGAGTTTCACTTACAACAAACAGGAAGAATGGGGAGGGGGAAAAGGCGCGACGGGGCAGGAATGAAAGGAGGAGGTGCGCGGAGAATGCACGATTAGACGATCGAGAATGAAGAGTGAAATAGGAATGTTGGGAAGAGAGAATGATCGGTGGTGGCGGTTGCCCCGCGCTCTTTTCTTCCTTGAACGGTCAGTTGGTCGGTCATATGGGCGGTCATTTTATTTTTTTCTTGACGATCGACACAATTATAGAACAACTTGTGGGAGAGAGGGGGTCCTGGCTGCGGATAACAACGGCTGACAATATCGAGTGAGATAGACAGAGAGAAAAAGGTGAGCGTGCAGCATAAGTAATAAAGTGAAGAGAAGAAAGACAAAAGACAAAAGCAGAGTTTCAAAAATCTATTGCATTCATAACATACATGGAAGGGGCGAAGAAGGGCTGTACAACACAATCAACTTCCATGAGAGGAGAGGAAGACATGGCAAAAAAAAACGTTTTATTCGAAAGCGGCTAGCGCAGAATAGACTGTGAGTGGTTCGCTTTTTCTTACAAACAAACAGTGCAGATACTTCTCCACTACCATATGCTTTGTATGATCGAGGCATTGCTATTGTTGACATTTTAGCTCTTGGCAATAAACAAAGGTGAAAAAAATAGCATTAGAGGTTGAACAATTGCTAATACTTGCGAAGGTTTTCATTCTTCGTATCCCTACCAGTCATTTGGAATGATCGACTACTACTCTATTTTGAGTGGGTTGTTATATGTTGTTCTTTTTTGTCTAGGCCTGTCGACGACGAAGAAGAGAGGGGCTAAAAGTAAGACGGAGGGACAAAAGGAGGTTTTCGATATCGACGCTGGCATTGGATGGAGAGGATCGCATGAATATTGCTGTTTGATAGCTCCAAGGAAAACAATGAGAAATGAGGAAATGAGAACGAGAAAGCTCATTCCGGACGGTGGCGTAGTAGTGATGGTTGTGTATGTGTGTGTTGTGAGGGGCGAATGGTACATTTGTTATCGAGATCGCAGATCAGATCCCATGGACTTTATATTTTTCGACTGTGCCTGTAATCCCACGGGGAAATCGGAGCTAGGGCAAGAGGGCTAGCTGGCGATTCAGCCTCCTCTAGTCTCCCTCTACGGCAACATGAAGGAAGAAAACAAATAAAGCGAGCTGAGCGCTCTTTCTTTGTGTCCCCAAGAGATGCGCTTTTGGAGTTCGACCCTTTCTCTCTCTCTCTCTCTCTCTCTCTCTCTCTCTCTCTCTCTCTTGTGTCCGCCTGTCTGTCATCATCAGCATTGACACTGACAGACTAACAGCCACACATGAGGATTACATTTTTTGGCATACTTTTTTTAGAGCGAAAAAGGGGAGGGGGAGGCGATCGATCAGACAACTCCTCCGCGGAGTGAATTACTTTTGTGCCCTGCTGCTCTTTAATTTTTTTCTTTCTTTCTTTTTTCTTTTCCACACTTTTTGGTACTGTACGATGCAAACCATCGGGGTAGGGGTTTGCTGCTGTTTACAAACAATCGACCACTGCTTCTTTTTAGGGTTCGACTGTTGGAAGAGAGAGCGAGAATGAGAATAAGAGTCAATAAACACCAAGATTGATAGGGGTCCCCTGGCAACCGTCTCGAGAGCACACTGAGAACATAACAATGGCATTGGACACGATTGCCAAAATGAGCAGATGGGGTGATGGCACAGACAATAACCTGCACATACACACATAAGCAATCGAGGCGTCGACCATGGATGGTGCCACCCTTCCTTTCTCAACCATTTGCACCCTTGCTTTTGCTTTTGCTTCCACTCTTCGCTAAACAAATTGTCCCTGAGCAGCTGAAACTCAACCGGATCTGGAACTCTTCGTCCCTGAAGCCGCTTGTAGGTGTAAGCCAGCCATGACACTGGACATCTTGAGCTACAGAGTCTGACTGACGGCTGGCTAGTTGTTAACAAATGGGTTCAAGGACTGGACTCGATTGCATTTTTTTTCTTCATTTTCGTATTCTATTCTTTACTCCTCTCCTCTCCCCAAATAAAACAATAACCATTGAACCATTGGCCACCCGTCATTCTCTCGTTTTTTATACCTCATCATTTCTCTCTCTGTGTCTTTTCTTCTTTCCTTATTTCTTTCCTTCTTTCCTTTCCCTCTACTCTGCTTCTCCTTCTTCCCCTTCTCTCTCTATCACTCTCACGTTCCCCCTTTGCATCCCTTTACTCCTTCCTTCTTTCCTTCCCAGTCCCGATCACTGCATACATCCTCGCGCGGTATTCCTCAACCCAACTTCATCCCACAACCACCACAACCACCACCACCGACACTCCCTCTTTTCCTTCACACACACACTTTCCTCTCTCCTTTTCCTTTTCCAATTATCCATCCATCGACACCCTTCAACACTTTCACTTCAACTCTTCCACGCGCGCTTTATTTCCCTTCCTGCTCATAATACTCAAAAATCAATTCAGTCCAAAGCTCGATCGGCTTTTTCTCTCTTCTTCTCACTTTGCTCTCTTTATCTTCTCAACCCTTGGTTTCCTCCGCTCCACTTTTTTTTTCTCTCTTTTTCTCTTCTCTCTTTGTCTCCTCCTACATAACACACATCTTCCCTCCTTTATTTTACCCTCGGCTCTGCTCATGGCCCATTACAATCGCCTAAGTAACGAGAGGTAAAACGATAAATACCCCAGCCCTTCCCACCATCCTCCCACTTTTTTTTTATCTCCATTGTTTGTCTTTTGTACCATCAACACTCACACCCACACATACTCAAGTCGACGAATACTCTTCCTCTTCATACACAGAACACCTCATTTTGTGTACTTCGCCATCAATTGCTCATCGACAACACATACCCTGATCAACATACCTATCATCCCATCCCATCCCCTAGCCCGACCCTCCCTCTCCACTCTCTCCTTCCACTGCTTGACATATCTCTAGCGCAGCTCTATCCTACTATACCTTCTCCTACCATACGCACATATACATTCATACGCACCAATCTCCCTCGGCATCACACCATCCTGTCTCTCCCTCAACCCCACCCTATTCTTCCAAGCCAAACAAACGCAACACAACACAGACAAATTTCGAACAGCCCACTCCATCCACATCCTGACACATACACAAAATGAAGGTTCAACAACACGTCTGTAACACCCATTCTTCCACCCCATCCTCCTGCAGGTCAGAGTACGAGGTCTCTTACAGAGCAATGGATCGACAGCCCTCATTATCACCACCTCCACCCTCCTCCTCCGACCTCTCCTCGTCATCATGGGCGCACAACACAGCCGCCAGTTCAAACTCCTTCAGAGCCAACCAGCCAGTACCATCCCGGTATAACCACAACAACCACAACGGCAATCATATTCTTCATGGCGTTATGGGATCCTCTCGAGTTACCAAATCCATCCCACAATCACAATCCCGCCAGGCCGCTAGATACAATAGCCAACCATACCACCACCCACACCACCCAATCGTTCCCTCACAGCGTGGGACTCCTTTCGCTAACCAAGAATTTCAGGTCCAAAACGGCGGCCCTATGAGTCGGGCACCACACCCCTCAGAGTACAGGTCATCTCCATATCACATTCCCAGAGGCAACCGACTTCCAACCCTAGTCGATCGCATCAAGGCCGCGCTAGCAGTCCAACCCTCACGACAGCTAGGCATGCAGTCTTACACGGATCACGGCTATCGGCCAGATTCTTCGTCATCATACTCCTCACAGCCTCCAAGCGATTATCACTCACCCTCACCATCGACACCTACGCCTTTGCCTATGCAAGTGGCCATCCCAACGCCAATGCTCTACGGTGTCAAATGTACAGAGGTGAGCCAAAGGGCGTACTCTGGACAGACATCAGCAATGAAGTCGGGTTTTGACCGTCTGCAGCGTCTAGACAGTGGCAAGGTTGAATATCGAACAATAGGTAAGCGACAAGGGGCATAGCTACGTTATTGATGATAATTTTTTTTGTTTGTTTGAACCTTGAACATTGCCGACCCCTGGAACGATGACGGAATGGGTCCATGGATTTTGTGTTTATGTCATTTGGACATGCCCATGGCATTTTCCGTCGTGTCGTCGTCGTGTGTGTGTGTGTGTGTGTTTTAGTGTACTCTATTCTGTTAAAGTTGGCGATTGTATGATGTTTGTTGTGTCCTCACTAAAAATGTTACTGGGAATGCACACTTGTTCCATGGATCCAAGTGCCATGCTCACTTTTTTTTCCTTCTTCCTTCTTTTTCCCTGTTCCCTTTGGAGGCTAAATCCTCAGCCCTATGATTTTTTCCCTTCTCCCATCCCTCCCTGCATCCCAACCTTCTCCTCCAAGAGAATACTACAATTTTTCCTTCCTGCACCTCCCACTGTCCGTCCCCTGCCTCCAATGCCTCGTTCTGGCCCTTTTTTTTCAAAACAAAATATTTTTTTTGGACCATGTGTAGCCCTCACATATACATACACACACACACACACACACACACATAAAAACAGTCGTATACTTTGACATGTACTAACCATGCCATCCCACCCCATCGACCATTGTCCATCCATCTATCTATAGCCTTCTGCACACATCTTACAGTTTCCCGCTGGGAAGCAGCAGCCTCTGTTGCACCAACAAGTTCGTCCGAGGAGTCGGCCAGTACTGCTTCACCAACAACGTCATCGCGGAACAATCCCAACCACTCCGCACAGTTATTGTCACTCGCCAACTACATACGCCACATCCTCTCCCTCACAGCCGGAAATACAAATGCACAGCCTCCTCAAGCCAATGCCAATAACCAGCCACAAAAGCAAGAGACCACACCAAAACCGACAAACAATAACAATGCGCAAGAACTTCACACATCCAGTAAGTGGTTTATACCTGAATGAATGGAATCTATATCTGATCGCAATTATCAGATGAAATATTTATTTGGCCAATTTCCCAGTCAAATGTACTCATGTATGCATCCATCTATCGCTCGTTGCTCACGTACCTTTTGTAGACTCGCGGCCGCTCAAAGCCCTGTCCAACCGGCGGCATCGTCATCGCTACTCGCCAGATTACCACGACCATGCAGGACAGCGCCATACTCGTCACCAGGACTGGCAGTACTCTGACTACCCCACCGACAGCCAACAACAGCACATGACCCGCCCTGAATCCTCCTTCCAAGGGCCAGATGACCAAGGCTATCGGGAAGGAAACAACGACCACTATGACCACCATTCAGCGCCGCAACATTTTCATCCGCAACAACAACAGTCGCACCAACACCGCTACCCACAGCAACACCAACATCAACATGAACAACATGATCCCTCATACCCTGCAGTGCACCACAGGTCCGAGTCCCCTTCGAACGGCGCAAAGTCATCATCGGGAGCATTGCGCCACTTCCCACAACCAATCAACACCTCCAGGAACCTCCCACAGCTTCCCAAAGTGCCTTTCCCCAACTTGACCTTGACCCTCGCCCTCATCTATGTCGATCGGCTAAAGGCTGTAAGTATTATTATTTTTTTGCTTTTGGATGAACTGGCGAGAAGATAGTGGGCTGTGAAGAGAGCCAGAACGAAAACTTAACTCAATTTGCTTTCCTCGTTCATAAAACTAACTTTACTTTGCTATGTTTTTTTTTACAAACAGAAAAACCCAGAGGCCAAGGGCGAGCAAGGATGTTCTCATCGTCTCTTCTTGATTGCATTCATCATTGCAGCAAAATACCGTTGTAGTGTCGCTCTTTCGCCACCTCTTCATTCTCAGGAATCAGAATCAGAGAACAGTCTGTATTACGATCCACCAGTCGTGCCAGAGGAGGAGGACGAGGAACAAACGTCATTGGAGTCGAGACTGAACTCGGAGTTGATTTTCTCGAACCATGCGTGGGTTCGTCTGCTAAACCTAGGATCATTCGCAAGGACCCCCGCCACACCTACGTCAGCAGGATCTAGGAACATGGGAAACTGCGGTGGACAGACCCTTCCTATTTCGTCTTCGTCGGGAGGGCAGCATCAGCATCAACAGCAGGCTTCGTCCCCTCATATGTCGTCATCCGTCCCGCCATCGCCTCAAGTAAGCGAGACTTCGACCATGGCCTCCAACACCCCTGTCCCAACCACACCCACCCAAGGACAAACGCCCACTCACGCCCAAACCCAACCACAACAACTCCAAAGCCTCTCCTACATAATGCATTCAGTCACACAAAGCTCCTCGTCCTCGTCTTCGTCGGCGAACGCCGCGGGGTCTGTGTTGCAGGTTGAGGATCTGGACCGGATGGAGGCCGAGTTTTTGACGTTTTTGAACTTTGATCTGGCGACGATGAGCCATGACCTTGAGACTTGCTGGAACCTTCTTGTTGGCAAGAAGGACGCCTGAGCACAGTCTTTTCCGTTACCTACGAGACCTACGAGACATACTCGTAACCTGCGCCCGTGATCCATCCCATCCCATCCTATCCCATCCCACTCCATCGATCCAACCATCATACCCTACACATATAAAACGAAAAAGCACACAAAAATAAAAACGAAAACAGTAATAAGCCCACCCCCATTCTGGGAATAGTAAATTCGAGAAATCACATAACACAAAACGAGAGCTTTTTGGTGTCCTGGTTGCAGTGGTGTCACAAGGTTTATATTTACCTAAGCGGAAAGACACAGTGTCTGGACCAAGGAGGTCGTTGCGCTCTTTCAAAAAATGATTTTCAGCTAGCAAACAGGGAGGGGGGTGCATGTGGGAGGCGTTGTGCGTGGCATAAGCACAGAAATCTTTCCGCCGGACGTAGATTTCCCTTTAGGTTTTTTTGTTGCTTGATTGCTTTTGTAAGCGCGTCATCTAGACCTTCTGACCCTGTTACCATTCACTTTTCGTCCATCCCTTCCATGAGCTCTGGCCGGGTCCCTTATGGTTTCGTTTCAGACGAGTCAGGCTACTCCCCCTTCCTCGTCTTTTGCTTGATGGATGTAGACAGAGGAGTAGCATGCTTTAATCTTTTCCGCGGAAGTGAATGGATTGGTCCAAACCTCTCAACTCCACACTTTTTTTTTTGGAACACTATTCTGAGATTTCTACTCCACCACGAAAAGGAAGCGACAGTATGGTTAAAGTGTCCCCCAAAAGAAGAAAGAATCGCAAGGCATGATGCCCCTTCCCCTCTCCTTACCTCTATCCTTTGTCCCTTGTTCAATGGTCCACCCTTTGACCCCCCTGGTTTAGTTCGAAAGCTTCATGGAGTGATCGGTCGATCGATCGAGGGGCATGCAAAAAAAAAATACAAAGGAAAGTCAAGAAAGAGATGTTAAACTCTCTTTCCTGCCCGTTTCTTCTCCTTTGATGATCAGTTTCATGGACGACAGTCCTTGTTGTTCCGTGGTCTAGGTTCATGTGTGTCAAGGAAAACGCTCCACCCCCGCCCCACCTTCAACCCTTCGACTTTCTTACGTCCACATTTATTTGTATCTGTCCCGCTTGTGCAGATACAAGCCCCGGCCATTCAAGTTTTACCGAGATTTTCGCGAACGCGTTTCGACCCCAACACCGACCTATCAATTCTACGCGACAATACGCGACGCGTCGTCCTTTGTCTTATTTCCTCTTCTCTCATTTCCCTTCACTCCACCAGAATGCCAAGGGGAGATATAACTTGATCATCCTATAGCCGCTTGTGTCACATGATATCTCATTTTTTCCTGTCAAACGAAACGACGGACCGCAGAGGCAAAAAAATCACGGACACCCTCTCCTCTCTACCCTCTTCTCTCCACTCATTCCCAAAACAACAACAACGCATCAGCAATGGCACCACCCAAAAGATCCCCCGCCGATTCCTCAACAACAGCTGCCGCCAACAACTTCTTCACGCGCGGAAAGAAGCCCACGACCACTCAACGTATCGTGACTGCCAAAAAGACCGCAGTCTCCGCCCCCGCTGTCGTCAAGAGAGTTCACCACCACAGCGACGAGGACGAGGAAGACGAGGTGTCGGACGAGATTGAGCACGCGGATACGGATGAAGACGAGGACGTACAACTCCACACCTCTCCTCCTCCTCCTTTCCAGCGGCTCGATGAGGATGAGGAAGACCGAGTGGTGGATGAGAATGATTCCTTGAATGAGGAAATCGAGCAGTCTGGCGAAGACTCTGACACCGTCATGGCCACCACCACCACCACCACCACCACCACCACAGGAAGAACAGGAGGAAAGGTTGGAACAGGAGCGAAAAAGAAAACAGTACTGGACCCTATTACAAGACCCGCTGTCGCAAAAGTCTCCAAACCCACACTCCCTACTCGCAGCAGCAGTGCTGGAGGCAAGAATAAGGAGCCGTATGTTGCTCCCAACGTCGGAGATATCCACAGCGGCTGTAAGTTGCCTTCCTTACTTCTCTTTCCATTGTTTCCTTTCTCTTTTTTTTTCTCGTGATATCAGCTCATGCCCTAAGAATATCAATTGGTGGCCATCTTGGAGAGACTGACATGCCCTTTCATCACCGTTTTGTAATAGTCCATCAGGCAGAACTTCCGGACTCTGAAAAGATGCTCCGCCAGTTCGACTTGACCAGCAAGTATGGCCCCTGCACAGATATGACGCGTCTGGAACGCTGGGAACGTGCCTTCACCCTCGTAAGTGGACTCTCAGAGAGAGAAAAAAATGAACACGAGACACGAAGCGGCTTTTGTTCCAAAGCAAGGTTCTTGTTGCAATCGTGTACTAATGCATCACGCATGGTTATTATTTTGATTTTGTCTTTTTGGCGGGTTGTAATAGGGACTCCATCCCCCACAACATGTCAAGGATACTTTGCTTCAGTATTCAAGTCTGAACACGCCACTGTTTGAAGGACGCGTTTAATATCAGGGGTTTATATGCCTTGCAAACACATCGAGGTATTCTTTTCAGCAATATCGTACTTTTGTTTGTTCAGTCGGAAAAACAGCTAATAAAAACACGAATATCAACATGTACGAGTAATGAATGTGTATGAGGATTGTTTTAATCTAAATATCATTCTGCCGGGGAACATTCGATTGCTGCTGGTCGTTAGGTTCTTGTCCTTGTGCAGTCTTTAACAATTTGTAGATCCACTCCAGTCTCAGAGAATGAGGACGGCAACACTGAAGCAGATAGAGACGAGAGGTCGATATCTGATGACGAAGACGACTCATGCGTGAGTCCAGAACGTTGCATCCAGCTGTTATCGTTGTCATACCTCTTATCGCCGTCAGCTCCGAACCCACCCTTACCTCTGAAGCGATCAGAGTCTCTACTACACTAAGACTCTCCCCCCTCCTGAGCGTGGACTTTAGGTCTAGCAGACTCGAAGATGGTTTGATGGCGTTGGATCCACGTGGACGGGTTCCTGGACGGCCTGGTTCTGGGATGGTTCCCATGCAGACTAAGAGAGCTCACGGGCGTGGTCATCGACAATGGTTCCCCTCTCATTCCATCTTCATCTCCATCTCGTGCACCTATCACATCCATTACCACGACCAAGTCCACTAGACTTCTCAAGTCGACACGATAAGTTCCGTCACTCCAAAGAAGAGGAATAGGACGAAGAGGAGGAGGAGGCATTAACGACACGCGACCATTGATCGCGCGCAATGGCGTTCTGGAACTCGAGTTGCAAGATCTGATTGTTGAGACATGTGACGCGAAGGTAGAAGTGGTCTCCACATCCGGGTTCTGTGAACGGTTCTGCCATTGTGTAGAGGAACGTTTCTGAATGCGACTTCTTCGCCCTTTGCTACAAAGAAAAAAAAAGAATGTTCTAGATAATGGCTTTGTACACGGTTGTTGTTAGAACAGAGACGTGGGGGGAGAGGGAGATATTTACGTCGCTGAGGATGACCATGTTGAGGGAGGAGACGACAATGATCTGTGTAGCCCGCCAGCGCGCAGTGAACTGGAGGTGTCACCGCCATCGGCGCTTGTCGATGACCAGCACGGGCTCTGTCTGAGTATCGTCCTTGATTCCAAAGGAAAAGATCCCTATCCTGAACTGGTTGTAGTCGACGTTGTTGCCGTTTCTTCCCGGGAACCCATTGCCGCCACCGCTGCCACCAAAACCAGAGCCACCATATATTGTGGACGACGAGAATGATAATCCAGTGTTCATTGGACCCAGCCCCAGAGCTGGACCTGACTTGTTGTAGGCGTCTAGTCCGCTGTTGCTGCTGTTGCCGCCAAAAATGCTATATGGGATCCCTTCCTCCTCCAAAGCTGAAGCCATCTCATCAGGAGCGACTCGACAGGTCCTGCGCATAAACTCACCACCACACTCCTACCGCCACCACCATTGTTGCCGCCTGAATTCCAGATATCAGGCGAATTCAACGATCCATAGGACTGTGGTCCAGCACTACAACAACTTGCCATGTGTTCGGGTGACAAGGGCTGAAGGACGGTTGGACTGACTGGTTGGAGGGTCGGGGAAAATGTTGGAGATCGTTGTTGTTGTCGAGGACTGCGGTTACTGTTGTGGTTGATGAAAGCATCCGCTACGTTTTTTAGTTTAGGTGATACGGGTGCTGCTGTGAGCATGGGTATAATTGAATGGTTACAGTGAATGAGGATTAAGTCTACCAGCAAGGTAAGGACGTTCGTCTTCGTCCTTATCGATGGTCTCTTCCCGACATGGTGACTGGACTGGCCCATCAAGTGTATCCTGACCGGCGTAAGAGGCATCCGCTCTATGAGATGTTCATAAAGGTGAAGAAGAGTGCAGATAGATGGTTGGGACGTTTCTGACGTTGTTGAGTTTGACTTGGGTTTGTTGATAAGGAAGGTAGAAAAAGGGTAGAAAAGATAAACGAGTTGAGGAGCGAACAGTAACCAGGGTATGAGAATGGACTTGAGAGAAATGGATTGGAGAGAGAGAGAGGCAAAGGCCGAGAGTAAAGGTGAGCACCCAATATTAAGAAAAACGTTGGAGGCGAATCCAGTCCGCAAAAACCAACATGTCTCGGTCGAACTATCGGATACTTTTGGTGTATACGTTTGTACAATACGTGAATGTTGCCCTATAAAGCCCCTCTCGGCGACGAAGTAAAGAAGAAGCCGTAAGAAGAGACATACCACTAAACCATGCCTCCTTTGCAACCGTTTGTGAAAAGTACAAGGAAGTCTTCTCCTCGACAAAGATCGGGCTCCCTCCTGAGTGTGTCGTACAGCGCTCCCCGGCAGCTCGTGGCGGATCGAAATGAGCATGCACGGGCCTGGCGCGAAAGATCTACTTGGCTGCTTCCTTCCCCAACTAAGCCACAGAATACTTTTTTTTCCAACTCGACGTCATTTTTTCGCACCTTGCATGCAGTGCGATACTCCGACAGCAAGTTTTTTTTTTACCTTTTGGCTCGCTTACCTTTTCTTTGTCCTTTTGCCCTTCTTCCCTCTTCCCTCCTCCTCATCACATATTCCACCCCACTCCTCGCGCCCATCTATTTGCTTTCATACCCTCCTTCAACCAAAGAACCCGCCTGGCGCACACCCTTGAAACAACACTTCACACCTCGGTCAGAACGCCAGCTCACATTCGCCATGGCAGACCAGCAGCAACAGACGCCCAATGCCCGGTCGCCACTCTTCCAGCGCCGTCAGCAACAGAACCGCCAGCAAAGAACCCCCACCAGCACACCCAACCATTATCAGCACCAGAACCATGTCCAGTTTATCTCGTCCAGTCCTCTTCCTAACCCGCGCCAGCTGTTTCCTGACACCTCCAGAGCAAAGCGCGCCTTTCACCCCGCCGATGGTGCTAATACACCCTATGGCGCGATCAACACGAGTCCAATGAGGGTCAACACCTCTGGAGCAAACGCTCTGGCTTCTCAGCATGGATATACTAGTCCCGGTCCTGGAACTCCCAAGCAGAAGCAGGTCCCTCTCCGTACCACCAAGGTCTCACAAAAGTTGGTCATGCTTCCTGAGGATCAGGAGGAGGCAGATGAGGATGATATCGAATTCCCGGAGGGCCCCTACTCTGACCAGCTGATGGACTCCTTCCGTGACGAAACCGAGTTTAGAGGCAGGAGACGAGGTCTTCACGGACGTGCACCAACCCATTCGGAACTCTTGACGAAAGAGCAAAGAAACACTAAAGGTCTTGCAAGGTATGAAATCAGACGGAACGCGGTGGATGGTTACACCATATCTTGAGGACAAAAACAAGGTGTGGATATTCCAGCGTGGACGGACCGTCCATTCTTCCTTTCCCAATGCCTAACGAACTTTTTTATTCACTCTTCTTACATTTAGAGTGGTGGCCTATTGCACAGCTGAAGGGTACGATATCAAGAAGCTCTCCCCTTATCTGAAGGCCAACCACGGTGTCTACCCTCGCTTGTACGATGAGGCCCTGTATGTCGCTTACCACTTTCCGCTCGTCCCCGGAAAGAACACACGATATATGTCAGCACCACCAATTCGTTCGCCAGGAGGAGGTTCGGTCTTGGACAAGCAGTTGGAGCAGTACGAGGACAACACAGGAGGCGATTACTCTCGGTCTCTGGAGCGTGACAGTAACGAGGCCGAGGCTGCTTTCAGGCAGTCAAGTAGTGGGCGTGACTTGACCAATGAGGAGTTCCACCAACATCTACAGGACCAAGCCGATGCGATTGCCTCTGGGAGCGCAAGTACTGGAAGCAAACGTCTCAAGAACCGCCGCCGTGCAGGAAGTCGTGCCAGTCGTCACACTCAGGATGACAGTGGCTTGACAATGACGGATGAGAATACGTCGACTAGCACTGCTCTCGATCAACATCAGGACTACTTTTCAGAGGCCGGCCAGGCAGATATTGGTTCAGGTGTTGCAGGAGAGGAGATTGGGGCTGGAAGCAGTGGCGAAACGATGTTTACGCCTACTCACCATCAGGTGGTTGCGCCGTTTATGGGAGGAGAGGTCTTTTTCTTTGACTATGGTGTCACTGTATTTTGGAACTTTACGGTCGAGCAGGAAGCATGGATCTTAGACGATATCGCGCAATTTGAGATCAAGAGACTGATCTCCGACGATGTCCAGACAGAAGAGTTCCACTTTGAGTATGCAGGATACTCTACGCCCAGAATTTACAACGACATGTAAGGATCTCTTGCCACCTTGATTTATACGATGTTCTTTATGAAACTGTACTACTGTGTTCTCTATGACACTGCTCCCTTCGTCTTGGCAGTGTTACCACCAAGTGCTTATGCTGAAACTTGGGCTTTATTTTCTCGCATATCTTTTAGGATTACATTGAGAGGAGGTAACCATATGATCAAGTTGACAATAGCCCACGCCATCTCCCAGTCTGTCAAGTTGGCGTTATACGAGTGCCAGATGGACGACACTATCGACGACACCAAGATTATCCCTATTCGACTGGCGCAGACCGGAAAGCTGAACTACTCTCGTCCACAGATCACCAGGATTTCAGGACATCTCTTCCAGCTCCGCATGAACGTGGATCTCGTCTCTAATGTCCTCGGTAAGTGCGCCATGGATATCATAGGATGCAATGGATGAGGATCTAAGGTGTAGGTCCATAAGCAGCTTTCACCAGTTGAACATCGATCGCTTACTCGCATTTTTACCATTCACTGTTTTAGATACGCCTGAGATTTTCTGGTCCGAGCCCGAGTTGCAGCCATTGTACGATGCTATCCGAGGATACCTTGAGATTGGTCAGCGAGCCAAGGTGTTGAGCGATCGATGCCTGGTCATTTCCGATCTGCTGACGATGCTCCGAGACGACCTGGCGTCAAACAACATGAATTATATTACCTGGATCATTATTATTCTCATTGTCATTGCCGTCGTTGTCGCTGCTGGTAAGGAACTCCTATCTATCATCCATGATGCGTGTGTTTGTTTTTGAGTTTGTGGATTTCGGGATTAGGATGGAAGGATGGAAAAACTGACCGTCTCCTTGTCTTTTTTCTTTGAATTTTTTAGGTGAGATTGTTGTCAAGTATTTGAGCCACTTTGGATCGGATGGAGCTGGACCGCTATTCTAGAAAGCTTAATGGCACACATTAGTAAGTGTCGTGCACCCACATCCCCCCGTCCCCAATTCACCAGGGTCAGGCAGGGTCAGTGGGTGAAGAAGATTAGAATGAGGTGGTGAATAGAGGGGAGGAATGGAATGATGAAGTAGCATTCTTTCTTAGCTCAGGTCCCCTGATCTCACTCGACCTTGAATAAAAGATATCGTGACAACAACGATTAGCCAAATTGAAGAAACCTGTTTTATTTTTTTGAGGGGTCCATGACAATTCAGGAAGAAGACAAGAAATTAGCAATAGTTATTGGAGAAAGATGCCAAACTGGGTCTGTGCACCTCGTTCTCGTCTCTTTTTTCCATCGTTCAAAAAATCGTCATTTGAAATGAAAGAACCCGACGATCTTCGCTGTTTTTGACAGTTCCTCCGATCTATGTCTTTTTTTGAATAAAGGCATCATAGTAAATAAAATGACAAACCGAGACAAGTAAATGATGCGAGATGACAGTGATTTGTGGCGGGGACTGGGCCTTGGCTGGGGGGACTGAAACTCCCTCAATTTATGAATACATTGTGTTTGTCTGTGTGTGTGTGTGTGTTTCGTACACTCTTTACATCACTTAGCCGTACAAGTTTCAAGCAGAAGGGCAAGCGACCCAAGGTCAGAGGAACCGGATTATTTGAAAGGAAGAGGGATTTTTTATGACGGGGGGGGGAGAATGAAAGAAAGGTATCATACCTTTAGCCTGAACTTTTTGTCCACGGTAATAAGGTGGCGTGTGCAGACGTGGAACCTTTCTGCTTATTTGACTGCCGTCACTTTTATTACGATCCTCGTCGATCAATCGGGGGAAAGGGGGCCAGAGTGAAGCGAGTTGTTCTGTGGGCACAAGGCACAAGACCCAAAGGTGGGATCAAACATATTGTAAACTTCTCCTCTACTTCTTCTATGTCAGATTCAGACCTGCATTCAGTATCCAATACCCAGCAGTAGTGAAAGTGATAGGTAGACATGATCGACGCACATTTGGAGGGATCGTAGAATAAACAGAAAAAAAAGAACAATAACAAGTTTATTATACAGAATGCAGGTGAGAAATTTTGGTATAGGTAGAGTGGGTTAAAGGGGACAGACAAATTAGAGAGGGACGAGCGCAATTTAGTAAGCAGGACGCATCATTCCGGCACGGAGACTTTGCTCCTCAGTAACGGGAGCATGCCAGTCTGCAGACCAACTAGTCGAAGCAGAAGGGTTCGAGGACGACCATCGGTCAGACATCTCGCCACGGATCATTCTTTCGACCATCAAGATCTCTTCTTCATAGATCTCCTTTGTCAAGCCTTGGAACTGGTGGTCGTAGGCGAAGAAGTTGGTGGTGAGCTTGATGGTTTCGAGGTTGGGGAACAGTTTGAGGAGAGCGCCAAAACCGGGGAGGGTCAGGGGGGCAGAGGTGTATTTTGTCAATGTCAGATGACGGACGGAGGTACCGGGAAGTAACCGTGGGGTTTGTTGTTGGGAGGAAGAGGAGGAGGAGAGGGAAGGGAAGCGGGAGGCGAGGTGGGAGAAGGGGTGGTCGGCGGCAGGGTTGGGGCTGGTAGGGTGCTCGAATCCGGTTGCTTGGAGGTGCTTGACCCTCAGCATCATATTGCGGACGTTCTCGTTGGAAATGCAGCTGAGGTCAAGGAGTTCAAGGGTCTCAACCTTACCGCATTCGAGGAGGGACCAGAGACCCTCGAGACTGACCTCTTTGGTGCCCATGGACGGGGACTGGTAAGGGGCGAGGGTGACAGAAGTCAGGTCCTCCCAACCGGTCATCATGCGACGGAGGACAGTGTCCGAGATGGCATGCTGACCCCGGAAGCTCTTGATGTTGGGGCAGGCAGCAGTGATGGCCGAGACGACCTCAGGGGCGACAAAGCCACCATCCTTGTTGGCGTCATAAAGAAGGTGCTCAAGGTGGCGACCATAGCGGACGATGCAAAAGATCAACTCTGTCATCTCAAGGTCCAAGAAGTTATCCTGGATCTCAAGACACTTGATCGACTCCTGGCTCTGCTCCATCAGGATAACAAGTGCTCGAGAAAAGTCTTGGTGGAGCGTAAAACCCAACTTGCGGTACTCTTCACGCCGACGGGGGAGGGTGAAGGAAGTGATGTGGGTGTAGAGCGAGTGCATACCAGGCTGTTGAGGGAAATGATGCATAATCGACGTGTTCTGGACAGGGACGGTCGTCTTTGAGATGAAGGACGAGTGGCAGTTGGAGATTCGGAGGGATCGAATCCGGGGGGCGAGACGGCAGAGCTGCTGGAGACAGGCGACGAGGGTGTTGAATTCCATGTCGTCGAGGGTGATGTGGGTATAGAGCGAAGGGTCGGCGAGGATGCGATGCCATGTTCGACAAGTGCTATTATGTAGGTATGATACAAAAAAAGCAAGACATAAAGTCACCGAGATGGAAGGAAAGGAAGAGAGATGAAAGGATGTGTTGGGGTTAGACTTTGAACCATTGACACAACAATAATACCCGATACAACTACTATGGGCGATGATCGATGAACATTTTGCTGAAGAGGAGTGGGGGTCGACTCAGGTTCAGGTTCACACAGAAACAAACGCCTGCCTTTTCAGTCTCTTTTTTTTTTTTGCTTCTAGTCTCTGCTTCCCAGGTGACTGAATTGAAAGACACTAAAAAAAAAGCCGTTGGCGTTTCGATGAGGTTTGAAGACTGAACTGAACTGAACTCTGAATGGAACTGCGCCGAGAAGAACGGGGAGAGGAAGGGTGGAAGGGAGAAAGTGAAGAAGGAAAGAGAAAAGGAGAGATTGAATGGAACTGAACTGGTCTCCTGTAGAGTGGTATTTCAGAGGAAAGGGAAAAAGAAGGGAATAAAGGAATAAGGGAGGAATAGGGAGAGAAGAGAAAACATACCTGGAGACTTTGAACTTTTCTTCGAGGGTCAGATAGCCAAAGATATCGAGCCAAATGTTCTCGGGTACATCAGGCATGGGCTTAGCCACAACAGGGACAGGGACCATGATATCCATATCCATATCCATAGAAGTTGAAGAAGTAAAAGCGGAAGGAGAAGAGGTAATCATTGTTGCTGGTTATGTACAGGAGGAAGGAGTGAATGAGGGTAAGGTAAAGTTTGTCTGTGTTGTTTATTGGAGTGAGCAAGAGGAGGGAGGGCAGGGGCAGGAGAGAGGCATGCACAGAGAGAAGAGATAATGCAGATAGCGTAGGAAGGTTTATGTAAAGTGTGAGAGAGGGGGGCAAGAAAGGTACAAAGTTGAGAGTGAGGAGTTAGGGCGTTAGGGCAGCAAAGGAGAAAAGTAAAGTCAAAGAAGTGGAAGGGAGAAAAACAGTCAGATGAAAAGAGGGGGGATGGTCGTCCTTTTTATAACCAGCAAGGTGCCCTCCTTAACAAACAAACAAACAAAAACCGGTCGACAAAGGAAGAGTGAGAGAACGATGAGCGCGTGTTTCAATTTGCAGCCAAGGGAAAGAAAAAAAAGAAAAGGAGTTTTCAGTTCAACCTTGCTCTTGAATATATTCTCCTTCAATACAAGTCAGTCAAGAAGTAAGTCAGTCAGTCCGTCCGTTAATTTCAGTCAGTCAAGTCAAGAGAGCAGCCAAGGTTTAAAAGAGGCAGGCGATCGACTGGTCTTGGATTGTTTTTATCCCATCGTATCGTATCGTATCGTACATCGAATTGAGAGAAAAAAGAAGGTTCGGGTGGAAGACGGGCTGTTCTTGGTGGTGTTGGTGTCTTTTCATCGGCCTTTGGTATAGAGCGGGTGAGTGGGTTGACTTCCACGCCCCATGTTCCTCCTGCTCAGAAACACAGACAAATAAACAAGCAAGCGCCATACCATCTCGCTCGTACAAGTGAGCGAACGGACTCACTTCTCTCTCTTTGTTGAATAGTGTAGTGAATAGCGAGATTCAATTGAGCTCGTCCTTTTGCTTGTCTTTCTGCTGTACTTTCAGCAACCCCCTCTTTCTCTTGGCTCGCTCAGCTCCATGAGCACTCGCTCGTTCGTCCTATTCTGAAGTTGAATCTCGGCAGCTACAACTTTGCTCTGCTCTACTTTACATTTGATTGAACCCCTCAAACACTCACCATTTGCACTCACCTACTCCCCTTTCTTTACTCTCACGTTCACTTCCATCATGTGCGCGTAGGTGTACCGAGGCTAGACTCATTCGCCCACACGCTCGCTTGGTCACTCACTCACTTATTGTCCTTGTCTCGCACATCTGCTGCCTGGAGCAAGTCAACCAACAATTTCAATAAACTCAGAGGATGGCATGAATCACGAATGAGTACCGTATTTGTGCCTTTTTTGACAGAGCTGGAATGTTGTGCCACAACATCACTCTTTTTTCTCTCTCTTTCTCTCTCTCTCTCTCTCTCTCTCTCTGTCAGCGTTTCCCTCTTACCTAAACACTTTGTTTTGCCCGTGAATGATAACCTACTTTTGCTTGCTAACATGACGCGAAACCATGTCCAAGTGACCAAGTGCCTCTTCGTCATATATACCGTTTTCTTTTGTCCGTTGTTCTCGTAAGTATGATTCTCATGGTCGCTGAAAATACAAGCCTCAAGCTCTTGTACCTTACTTTCTCTTCGTTTTGTCTCTCGTACTCCGACAGCCTATTACTAATGCAGCACTAGCGTCCAAGGGAGACAAGTCTAAAACAATATCAAAAATAAAGTGCTACATAGCCTCTTTGTCGATCCTCTTCCTTTGGAACAGAAAACAAGCAGGGTACCGTACCTTTGTCATAGGCAATGACAAAAAATCCGTCTTGCCTTTATGCCAATGTACCCTGGAAGCAAAGTAAACCACCTTGGATGGATTCTGTTGCAGATTCACTTGTTTCTTTCCTTTCGTTTGCTAATTGCTCATCGTTTTTATTGCTTCGCACGGTGTCTGACAACGTGTGCAGGCCGCCATGCTAATGTCATTGGTGAACGATAGTCCGCATGAACGACTGAGTGAATAAATAGATAAAGCTCCCTGCACTACTGTACTCCTTGCAACAACTGCTGTTGCTCAACTCATGAACGAGCAAGAGGGCAATCTCATTTAACGATGAACCAGGGAGAAAAGAAAAAGTAATAATCCCAAGGTGAACCCTAGCGAATGGGCCGCGATGTTTGTTTGCTCCTTGCCATTTTTTTCCCTTTCCGCTTCTTCCTCATAGCCGCCTTTTAGCAAATGCAGCAAATAGCGAGTCAGTCGTGTAATAGGGAGATGTTTGAGAAACGCAATATTACCAACATCAACCTGATAATAGAATAAGCCAGCAAGACGGTACCAATTGAATCTTCTTGTATTTTCGGTCGGGTAAATTTCTCGTCCTTGCCCTAAACCTGACTGAACTGTACTGACTGACACTGTACCGGTGCGAAAGGGCATTTTTTTGCTGCTCTTGTTCTTTTTACGAGGTTGGCCGGACACAGACACAATCCACTCATTCTGGTTCTGATGGCTTGAAAGAGTAAAGGAAAGAGAAGAGGGGTGAAGAGAAGTGGCATTAATTAAGCACCTTAAGGCCATTCCGAAACTCGCGTCTTACATCTGGCCACCAAATAACGAAGTAGGACTTCTCCTTTCTACAGTACAAACATTCACTTCCTTCATTCATTCCCATCTTCTTGCTAACTTTCTAGCATTAGACTTCAGACTTGACCCACCACTCATTCAATTCAATGGTTAATGAACGTCCACTCCCTTTGTCTGTAGTTGTTTTAGCTAAAAAATAAATGCTCCCATCTATGTAAAAGAACTCCGTTCAGAAACATAGACATCTGCGCTATTTAGCATGTTGACCCCTATTCCATTTCTCGGAAAAAGAGGGCAGAGGGATCTTCCTCGACTGAAGTTAGAAAAAAGACATGTTCGCCAATGCAATCGAACCGTCGAGCTAGAAGAACAAACATGCAATGCGCTCTTTCGTCACTTTTCATTTTCTCTTTTCTGATAACTGAACATGTGGTCACCAAAAGAAGGTTGCAAAGGTACCCGTGTCTGTCAGAACATCAAAAGTTTACTTCCAACTCTTAATTGGCTTAACCTCACAATCATAAAGAAAGGAGAAAAAAAATTGTTTATTGGGAACCTTCCTCCAACGGTAATGCAGCAAAAGCGTGAGCTGAAAAAAGGAAATGGAAAATCTCTCCCCTCTTCTTTTCTCATCCTCTCACTCGACAGTTGTCCCTTACTTGAGTGATTAGAGCGAGACGCGTTTCAACTTTTTGTGCATTGCCGAACTAACAATGTAACGAAGAGGCCTATCCATGGACTGAAGGGGGGGTGGCAGAAAGATGACCAATAGCATACGAGACACCGAGTCTGTTTGTCCTTTGCCTATCCTCATTTAGGTCCCTGCCTTGTTTTTATCGCGTTTACCAAGTGTTTTTTCTGTTCTTTTTTCTTGCTTGATAAAAGACTTACTTGACTGCGCTTCGATTTTTGTCCACATCGGGCTTTTGGAGTGGTCTGTGTGCTCAAATAACATACTCACAGCGAAAAGAGAGCAGCGATCCATGGTCAAAGCATCTTTCCCACTGCATTTCACGACTCCCAGATCTGTACATCCACGAGAGCTGAGGTTCTTTTTACGATCTTGAAATTATTCAACTAAATCGCAATTCTTCCACCTTTCTCCTTCAACCATTCCTCTCGTTGCTCTCCGAACAACTGCGCTTAGTTGGTCTTGGTTGACATTTTCAACCGCCACTCCTTATCAGTCCCCAGACAGCAAAGAAATTCTTTGAGAAACAAACAACTCCGTTTATCAAATATATTTAGCTGTAAATGCCCTTAGCTGGTTAATCGGGCCACCGGAATGGTATTTTGTTCTTTTTCAACCCCCTCTCACCCACGCGTTTAGGCATAGTTACTGTCTTTTCTTGCGACTCAGAGATGCTGATGGCTGGGAGTTCAAAGAGCGCACCTCTCACGGTCTTGTTATCGCTTTGTGTGGAGGTGATACATACTGGTGGGCCATATCTTGAAATTCATTGTGTCCGAAGGTGTTACAGAGAGATCTTACAGTCGGTATCTCTCATTCCACATTCGTATGGCGAGTTACATCAAGCTGATAACAGTCTAAAGAAGGACCGTTGCCGCCACGTCTTCGCCACCAACTGTTGACTGATTTGATCGGCTATTTCTCTTCCTGATCTTCAGCTAAGCTGGACATGAAGGGACTGATATTGACACACAATAATCAAACCTATCCCAATTCAGGTACCTCTTTTTTCTCAGACAAAAGAGCTTTCCGACACAGCAATCCTCTCTTATTTTTATCAACGAGCTCTGGGTACTTGCTGCCGTAATACTTCATATAGGAGACACTTTTTGCTTCTCGTATTTCTTCTTTTGTGGTTTCTTTTCTGGATACGTGGAATTGCTACTCGACAGTGTGATTGGGAAATTATATATTTTCTTTTTGAAGCCAGGTTGAACAAACGGATTAGGAAGCACTTGCCTCGCTCTCGGCACAACCTACGGAACTCCTTTCATGTGAGCCTTTCTCTTCTCGGAGTTTTCCAAAGGTGTGCGTTAAGAAGGTCTTGCCTCCATTTGCCTTTGCTGCCTGCCGTGAACTGAGCACGTTTATGGTTGCCAGGGGCGACGAGGACCCACCTCTAGCTTAGGACTCGTAGACGGGAACAAAAGGAAATGATGGAGGAACGCGCTCGCCACAACGACATTGTCCACAAATGAGGGATTGACCCAAACTCTTGTTTGCGGAGAAGAAAGAGAGATTGAACACAAAGAAGCACGGATCGAGAATAATTCGCCGACCAGCCAACTTGGCCCTCTTTTTATGTGTTCGTTTTTGAACCCCAGTTTTTCCATCAATCAAGTTCAAGTCCCTCAGTCTAGCTTAGTGGGATCTTGTGGCACCATCTCTCTGTCTTCTTGTAGCCGATCGTCCGACCTGTCAAAGTGGTCAATGGTTAAATGGCCCAACCCTTTTTCAAGTGGTAGACCATAAATTGCTGTATATAGTTTTGAATTCCCTTTCCCGGCTATTCATGTTTTCATTCAATTGACTTTGCATTTCTCTTTCATAAATGGAGGAGAGTGAGATGTTCCTTTGTGAAGAGTAAAGAACTGTGAAGTGGATGGTATCAACAACGCGAGCTGGAAACAATAAGCCCGTCTGAGCGATGTACGAGCGAAAATAATAAAAACCCGGTCCGTTCTCCCAATGGGTGTGTGCATGACCTCTGTCTCCCTTCCCGTCCGACTCTTTGTCTGTCTGTTGTCCCTTTTCGCCTCCCATTCACCTCCCCCTAAACGGTACATCCCTCACACATCGACATATCTCACACATACATCCACACACATCCACATATCGCACACATACATCCACACACATCACATACACACACATCACCCATTATACACGCACTACGCTCTTTCTTCTTTTAGGCTCACCACTCTTTCACCTTTTCTTTTCTTTCACCTGATCATCCCCATTCTCTCCTTCGTCGTCTTCACTCTTCTTTTCCTTATTCTCCATTCATCCCTTTCTCTCATTCCGTAAACCAGAAAGACGAACACTCCTCCTTTCTCCCTTCCTCTTCTTACACACCAACACCAACCTGATCGCATTCCTGCCATCAGTCAACGAAATAACCATAAGTCAATAGGACCTGCCGTTGGTCTCATGCCCAGTTCACGACGACATCCCCATCAGATCTCAACAACAACCACCACCGCCACCATCACTATCAACAGCGGCAGACAACAGCTAAAGGGAGCACTGTTTTCGACAGACACACCAAACACACGTCCAGTCGACAGTAGCGACAACAACGAGAAACAGTCAGTCTTCGGAGGAGGAGCCCACGCAAAAAGGACGACGTGTGTCAACACGCGAGAGGAACGCGATTATACCACACACGACAACGCCACCATTTCTTCTTCAACCTTGCCCTGTCCACAAGGCTTCTCCCACACAAACCATCACTACAACGACCCCCAGCTTGAGACAGCTATGATATCAGCACAGCCATCACCCATCGCCCGCCAAGGTCTCCCACACTTTCTCTCCTACAGCACTCACACCAACACCTCTCCTTCTCCTCCGTCCTCCGTCACTTCAACCTCGTCTTCCGCGTCCGATTCACCTATCTCATCACCATCGAGCTCGCCTCGCACACTCTCACCAGAGCGACACTTGGGCACCATCCTTTATCGACTTTGCCCGAATCCCCCCTATACAGATAACATTGTCCTTGGCGAGTGGACAAGCGTCAATCTAAAGATCGTCAACGAGTTTATCGCGTTACCGGACACCAAAGATCTGGCGACCAGTCTCCAACTGAACACAAGTGAATGTGTCCTGCCTCTGGAATGCAGTATCCTCCAAGGACTTGATATCAGCGATGATGATGGTGATGGCAACGACAGCAGCCACGGGATCGACGGTGCGGTCTCGTGCATCGGAATGTCCAGCCTCTTGCAGATCGAGAACCGCGAACTTCAGTCGAGAGGCTGGCATGCCCTCTCCAGCCAGTCAGCAGGACCTGGGATCTACGAATCCGGCACGGGAGGGTTAGAGTTTCGAGTGACATTCAAGAATGGTGGTAGCACTACTTCTGGAAGACGGACAGGTCGAACGACAGCGAAAACGGCGACAACAGCTACAAGCAGTCGGGACGTATTCTGGATCCGCATTGGTTCCCCACGCCAAGGCATCGTCCCTCTTGCGCTTGGCCCATATGTTTTCCCCAGCATGGTCCCCCGGCACAGGACTTGGTTGCAACAGCGGTCAAGACCGCGCTCACAGCCGTCGCTTTCCAATGAGCACTTCATCAAGGTCGTCCGGCCCTTTGACATTCCGTCGCCTTACTCGATCGTCGGGCCTCCTCGCACACTCTTGTTGACGGAATGGCATAACCATATGCCTCAAGGACGAGTCTGGGATTCTGCGTTTGTCATACTGGAAATCTTCAAGAACAGGGTGGCTGATGGAATCCATGAACGCTCGAAGCCTTTGTTTGCTGGAAAACGAATCTTGGACTTGAGCGCTGGTACAGGACTCATCGGACTCTATTTGGCAGGGTTGGCAGAGGCCGAGTTGCGGAACAGCAAGAGTACCAGCCCAACACAGCGGACAAGCGTCGTGGTGACGGATCTGCACGACGCGATGGATCTGATCCGCCACAACATCACCAACAACAGCACCGTCGCTCCTCAGGTGGACATTAGCTCGCAGGTGTTGAAGTGGGGAGGGTCCTTGTCGGGTTCCAAGGAAATGAGGGGTTTGGACATGGTTATCGCCTCGGACGTCATCTATGACGTGTTGGCCTTTGAGTCGTTGCTGAGCACGCTTGAGGGTCTTTGCACTCCCAAGCGTACGGAGATCTACCTTGGTTATAAACGCCGGCAGCTGAGCCAGGGGAAGGAGCGCGAGTTCTTCAACAGGATCCGTTGTCGCTTCAACGTCGAAGAGACGACTCACGAGCTTGGAGTCAAGGTCTACCGGTTGACCCGCGGATGAAGTAGAAAGGGAGAGATGCGGAAAAAGATAATGGAACCCCCCCCCCAAATTGCATAGCGGTGCTTTCAATAACAAACAGCATGTCTACTATTCTTTTTGTTCGTTTTGGTTCAAATGAGAATGATATCTGTAGTATGAAATCGTGCTTTTGTGGTCGATACTGTGTGTACGTGTTACTCCTTTTCCTCCATTCCTATAGTCTGGCATGCCCCCTTTTGCATCGCCTCGGACAAGATAGAATCTTCATTCTCACCCGACTGGCTTTCTTAATCTTTTTGTTCACCTCACTGTCTTCTTCTTGTTGTCCTTCTTTTACTCCTCTTTCTTTTCTTCTCTTTTTCTTTACTCTTGCCAACAGCATCCTTCATCTATACCCTGTCTCTCAACTTTGCCATTCTTCTTTTTTTTTTACAGACATATCCTCTTTCCCTCTTTTTAGTTATTTTTTTCACGAACAAACACAACAACACACAGGCATTTTTCTACCTTTTCTCACTCTCCCACACCAACAAGATGACACGGAAACCCCTCCTCCACGCATTCTTCCACTCAATAGCCTCCCTAGGCTACATTCCCTTCGCACTCACATCCGTCCTCCTCTCTTCCTCAACACCCTTCGTTTCAAACTCCATCCCCCCGATCGTCATCATCCTCATCGCCTTCATCCCTCCACTCCTCACATTCCCCCTTCTCTGCTTCTCATATCGATACCTGGAACGGTTCGAGTGTATCTCCTTGACGGTACAGAGGGCAAGGACTTATATCATGGTTGCGGGGTCGGGCTTGTGTATGCTAGTGGCGGCACATTTGGTGATGGTTTATGCGGTCGGGAATGGGAGTAATACTTCGTATAATCGGATGGTCTATGAGGGTGTGGTGCCTCCAATGGCGGTGGTGCCGGTGTCGGCGAAGGCTCAGTTGACTCTACCAGCGGGGTTGGTTCTGGATTCGCCCCTGGTTGAGTCTTCGCGGGTAGCACAGCAGCAGCAGCAGAAACAGGAGCCAGGACAGGATCAACCATTAGCAGGGACCAACAACGCTCTAGTCCCACCAGCAGCAGCAAGCACATCTCTCGAAGACGTGGATTCGAGTCTGACACCAGGAGGACAGGACATACTTCCGTTCCCATCATCGATCATCTCATCATTCTTTATGTCCCTCCCAAACTCGGAGCTCGAACCCGAACCGTCATCGTACTTGGATCCGCTAGAGAAGATCTTGACAAAGGTCGAGAGGGTCGGTGCTGCGTCTAGAGTTTCTGAAGAGGCGGCTGCAGAAATGGAGGCTTTGATGATGATCGGCAGTGAAGGAGAGAACACGAACGCTGTAGATGGTAGCAACATCTTTATCGCGTTGAGTAAGCAGGACCAGTCAGACGACAAGAAGGCGAATGTGGTTCTCCCTATGGCCAACGAAGGAGTGGCGGTCAAGTCGCCGGTACCGATGCATCTATACCCAGATGCGCCCAAGTCTGCACTCAAGATCTCACCGCCTAGCTCAAAAGATCAACAGCGACAGGGACAGAAGTTGGAGCAGGACAAGCGTGATTCAGTCGTCGCAAGCCAGACGTCTCTCAAAGTCGGAGGACAGGAGGAGGAACAGGACAAGGACGCATCGACTAACTATCAGACAGCACCGTCGGCATCACCACGACCACAATTTAGGATGCCTGCACTCGACCCGATCTCTATTGTGTTGATGGGCGCAAGCGTACCAGGTCAACAAAACCAAAACGAGCAACAACAACAACAGCAAGAGCCAGAGGCACCACTCCTCCCCTGGTCAAAACCACCTCCCAACTTCCCCCCATCCATCGCCGCCATCATCGCCGCCTCGGCTTCTGCAGTATCTACCAACAACCCCGCCGCCACCGACCCTTTCTCCACAATCTTCGTCCACCGCGACCCAAACCGCACCTTGGGCTACAACCTAATGGGCCTCCATTGGATCCTCTACCTCGTCGCCCAAGGCCTCGTCATCTTCCTCCTCGTCACCCTCTTCCTCGGCGTCCTGATCCTCACAGAGTTTGTCCTCGACCGCGAAGACGAAGACCTAGTACAGATCCAGTACCTGTACTGGAGTCGCGTTGTGGGGATAGTGTCCGCAACGATTGTGAGTGCGGTGCATGGGTCGTTGTTAAGTGGGTATGTGATGTTGGAGGAGCACACGGATTGGATTGCCAAGGCGGCTGTTGGGGCGATTGTGGTTTATTGGGTGGGCATGGCTTGGATTATGAACCGGATGACGGGTCCATTGCCGTACTAGGACTAGAGGAGCAAAGGCTTAAGCAAATAAAAAAGGGTACAGCTCATTTTTTACGCGTTCCTTGCTCTTTACATAGACTTTCTACGAAGGAGAGACATAGAACAGACCAAAAAAAAAAAAAAAAAAAATCAAAGCCGCGAAAAAAAGAAAGTTGGACCCAACCGTGTTAAAGGACAACACTATTCTGTTTCCTTGATGTGCTTGACACGTTCAAAACAATTAGATTGCTCCGGAAAGCAAAAGATGCTCTCTGTGAGGATCGAACTCACGACCTTCAGATTATGAGACTGACGCTCTGCCGGCTGAGCTAAGAAAGCTGGGTAGCAACCAAATTTCTATTAATCCTCTTGAACCCTACGGACCTCAGCAAGCCAGATACCACGTGACTTACATTTATCACGTGAGGTCACGAGACAGTCACGGAATCTGATCAGAAATGTCTAGTGCATTGTTCAGCACTTTGTCACCAGCTTTCTTAGCTCAGCCGGCAGAGCGTCAGTCTCATAATCTGAAGGTCGTGAGTTCGATCCTCACAGAGAGCATCTTTTGCTTCCCGGAGCGTTTTTTTTGTTCGTTGCCTACCAGTAGTTACTTTGTCTCATCGAAGATACTGTTCCTTCACTTTTTTTGTAGGTTCGCTCTCCTTCGTAGTCTACGTTTGTTGCTTGGAGTTTGACTTCACTTGACATACCTTTATTGCTCTGTGTGTTTGTACATTTGAAAGAATCATACCTCTTGTTGTCAAGTGACGTTTTTAAAATATAGAGAGTATCGCTGTAACTCAAGGCTTGCAAATGAATGAACGGAAGAAACGATGACACTTTTTTAAATTGGATAATTTATTTTATTTTATTTTCGTCACGTCAGCTTGGTCCGTGGGCAAGGCAAGAGAGAGTGAGTGAGGAGAGAACGAGAGGGCGAGTGGCGTCAATAAACAACTGCGTTGTTATGCTTTGCTGCAACACACAAGGCAATGTCTGCAGGGTTGAAGGTCGTGCTTTGGAGGTTTTGGAGATGTAAGTGACAGAAACGGAAAGTGAAAAGGGGTTTAAGCACCTGGGTAGGGAGTTCCCGCGCAATTGTTTCAGTCTGGCAACCGGCAATGTTCAAAATGGCTGTGTGTTGTGAGCATGTGCGGCATGCATGTCCCATCCACCATAGCCACTTTTGTATTCAGTGCCATGGGATTGAGAGTGTGGCATCCGCGTGATCAGGAATCGGCTGTTCACAAAGAGGGGGAGAGAGACAGACGGACCAGCCAACGGAAGGATTGAACGAACCCCTCTTTTTGTTCGCACCTCCTTATTGTGGTTAGGAGAGTGATGATGGTGATGATGATGATGATGATGACCCCGTGGTCCAGGCAGATATTCCAAGGAAGAGATAGGCAGCAGAGCCCACTTTCGGGCTTCGTTTCTTCTTCTTTCTGAACTGACTCCGAAACCTGCTTCTCTTCCTCTTTCTCTTCTACTCTTTCTTTCACATCACACTCACCGCCATCAACACACACACGACTTCTACATCACAACTCCTATTCTTTCTCCCATTCCTTTGACGTCAAGCTCTCATTGGCTTTGTAAGTGCTCACTTTCCGTTCTTTCTTTTCCTTTTTTATTTAGCGTTCGTTGCCATCCTCATCACCCCGCTCCATCGGTACGCATCAGGAGGAAGCAAAAAAAAAGCACTCAGCAGTCGACCAACTACAGTGGCCATATTCAACCCCAGACAGACAGTGTGCAGGGCAGGTTAAAGGAAATGGAGAAAGTGCGGGAATTCTTTTTTTTTTTTTTCCCACAGGATCGGACAGAGCTTCGCGTATATTACACGGACAACTGGACGACAGGGGAATGACTGCAGGAGGGCTTTTTTTTGCGTGGGTGTTTTCATTTCGCATTCAGATGCAGGTTGCCATCGAGTTCATTCGGAGCAATGGAGGGGTCATGTAAAAAGGATTCTTGTAGTGGGTGAGGAGAGGGGAAGGGAGAGCTTGTTTTTCTGTTGTTTTGTCCGGGAGAGTAAAGAAAGGAAGGATGTTACTGCTCAGAATATACAAGAAATGACGACCGGAAGCGTGAGGTGAGGTGAGGTGTGGAGAGGAGAGGGAAGTGAGGGAAAGACTGATTTTTTTGTTTGTTGGGAGCACACACGGACAGGCACCTCTAGCCAGCTGACCTGATTATTTGTTGGTGATTGCTGTGTTTGTTTGCGGTGAGGATGTTCGGTGAATATGAGAAGTGGAGTGGAGAATGAAGAATGAAGAAAAAAAGTAAGGAACAGACAAGGGAAGAAATGGAAAAGTACAACAATGTCAAAGAGTCAATAAGTGGTGAGAGAGATAAAGATATGAATGTGTGTTTGTGATCCATCCATGGCTGAAGCTTTTTTTGATCCTCCCCTCAAGCCACAAAGGAGGGTGACGAGCTGCATGTTGTGTGCCCCAGAGTGAGTGAGTGAGTGAGTGAGTGAGTGAGGGGAGTGCGGGAAAGAAGGAGGGAAGGAAGTTGTTTGTGCGTGCATGAATGTTGCGAGCGACTGACCTGCTTTTGTGTCCTTTGGTGGAAGCTAAATAAAATGATGGGCTGGCGGAGTATTCCTTTCTCCTCGTCATCTCTCCCACTTCATTTTTTTTTCTCATCCTGGCCCGGCGCTAAACTCATTGTCCTTTTCTCTACTCTCTTCTGTCTTTTCTTCTTTCTTTCTTTCCTCTTTTCTTCGTTTCCCTTTCAAATACCCCCCCCCCCCCATTTCACCACTCCCAACAGACCCCTCCTCCCTCCCTTACCATTACTACCTCTTATTACTATCGCTGCCCGTTAGTTCCTTTTCTTTAGTAACAACAAGAAAAGTACGCCTGCCGCCATTATTTCTTTTGACTCGCTTTGTCTGTCTGTCTGTTTGTCTGTCTGTATGTCTGCCTATCTATCTGTCAATCATTCTCTTTCGCTTTATCCGTCTCCTCGTTTCTCTCTCTCTCTCTCTCTCTCTTTGCCCCTCCTGGCTCCTCTTCCTTTTCACCGCCCTCTCCTCCCCTCCTCCCCCCCTTCCCTTTGTCTCTTTCCTTTTCTCTCTCTTTGACTCTTTTTGTCGTCCCTTTCGCTCATCCGCTCACCCTTGGTTTCTTTCCTACTTTTCTCTTTTATTCTCTGCTATTTCTCACCTCTGACCTCTTTTCTCCTCTTGTTCATGCTCGAAATAATAGCCCCATCGTCACCACCAACAAACACACTCTGATCACCTGCTCATCCACAACCACCATCAGCCAACCAACCAACCAGCAAGCACAACTACTCTCCTCCACACTCGCACACGCCCACCAAAACCCCAATAACGCGAAACTATCCTCCAAATGGCATCTCCCATCAATGGCATCAAGATTAGTGGTAAGCCCATTCTTTTGCACACACTTCCTATGTTTCCGTCCATCGCACGGAATCCTTCCCTTGCGCCAAAATACTCTTATTCACTCCCCGTCGTTCATATCTCCGAAATCGTATTGGCTTCATAGGCGAGTCAGATCCCTCAAAGATTATCAAGGTCATGGCCAACGAGGGCAAGTCCGGAGCACCACACGAGCTCGCCTATACAAACTGTAAAGTCATCGGAAACGGCTCCTTTGGCGTTGTCTTCCAGGCAAAGCTAGTCAGCAACGGCGAGGACGCTGCCATCAAGAAGGTCCTTCAGGATAAGCGCTTCAAGGTATGGCTCTCTTTCCAGTCCACCAACAACTATCGACCTCTTGTCAAAAAAGGCGTTGTCATCTCTCCATTCCTTTCTGTGGCAATAGGCCGTGTTTTGCTATTAGCCTGTTTGTATTGTCCCTGACCGATGGTCCTAACGTGCATGTATATCATTATCATCACCACTATCATCACGCGCACCTCCTTTTAGAACCGTGAGCTCCAGATCATGAGACTCGTCTCACACCCAAACATTGTCGACCTTAAAGCCTTCTTTTATTCCAACGGAGATAAGGTACCGTATCCACGCTCGTACTCAAATCTGCAAGTCGAAACGGAGCGAACTGACCGGATGTCTTGGAAGCAAACCACCTCCTTTCTAACCCATCCAACGCGGTTTGTTTCTAAACAAAAACAAAAAAATCTTTTAGAAGGATGAGGTCTATCTCAACCTTGTCCTCGAGTACATCCCAGAGACCGTCTACCGTGCCTCCCGCCACTACTCCAAGATCAAGCAGACAATGCCAATGCTTCAGATCAAGTTGTACATGTACCAGCTGTTCAGGAGTCTCGCCTATATTCACGCTCTCGGCATCTGCCATCGTGATATTAAGCCTCAGAACCTTCTTCTCAACCCCACGACCGGAATTTTGAAGTTGTGTGATTTCGGAAGGTACGATACATGAAAAAGTGGTCGCATGAGACGCTATTTTTTTTCTTTCAATTTGACTGGAAGGCGTGGAAAGGAAAAGAGGGGGGGGGGACGTCATGTTAGGATGGTTGGGTCGAGTCGAGTTTCTTTTCTGTGCTTGTTATGCGGAGGGCAGGTGCAATAGTGCAAGCGGAAGACCAACCTCAAGTGCGTGTCCCTTTTTTTTTTTGATGTGCCACATGATCTGTCTGGGATTGAAGTTGGCTCCTGCTCAATACCATTGGGCGGTCAGAGAAAGACGGGAGGAGATGAAAATGAGCGCGGGTTAGTCGAAGGATGGAGGGGAACTTGATACTCATTTAAAGGACAGCAAGTCGAAAGTGAGATCGCAGAAATGGGTTTGTGTTACCTTTCCGCTAACATTCTTTTCTCTCTCTATTTGCATTCTGTTTAGTGCCAAGATCTTGGTCGCCGGAGAACCAAACGTCTCGTACATCTGCTCACGCTATTACCGTGCCCCTGAGCTCATCTTTGGCGCAACCAACTACACCACCAACATCGGTAATGCATCAATTGGTCCACTTATACCTCCACCCCTTGCTTCGATACCTGGACGACTCGACACTCCACCCTGCAACGTTGTTTATATCTACATTGTCACCAACAAGATCCACTGCATCCTCATGATTCTGGAACCCCTCGCACACTGGACGCCATTTTTTATGCTTGGACTCTGCCAACCCCCATTCTCATCAAACGTTTGACTCATGGATTGTATTTCTTGTATTTTTACCCTCTCGCTCTGTGTTTATAGATGTCTGGTCAACAGGATGTGTTATGGCCGAGTTAATGCTGGGCCAGCCCCTCTTCCCCGGCGAGAGCGGAATCGATCAGCTGGTTGAGATCATCAAGGTTTTGGGAACACCTACAAGGGAGCAGATCAAAACGATGAACCCTAACTACATGGAGCACAAGTTCCCTCAGATCAAACCTCACCCCTTCAGCAAGATCTTCCGCTCCAGGACACCACCAGAGGCTTTGGAGCTCATCTGCCGACTTTTGGAATACACGCCCTCGCGCCGATTCACTCCCATTGAGGCGATGATCCATCCTTTCTTTGACGAGCTCAGGAACCCTGAAACGAAACTCCCCAATGGCAAGGACCTCCCACCTCTGTTCAACTTCACTCCTCTCGGTAAGTCGCTCTATTCATTCATTAAGATAGCATTCAGGACCCTTAGCACACTTTTGTTATTTTTCCACACAAGGCCAACTTTTCTCACGCTTTTATATACCTTCTTTGTCAAATAGAACTATCGATCCGCCCAGATCTTATTCCCATGTTGGTCCCCCGTCATGCCGAGGCAGAATTGAGCTCGCGCGGAATCGATGTGCACAACTTTGTGCCCGTCCCACCCAGTGCAACTCGCATTTCTCTGGATTAAGCAAAAACCAGGGCGGCGCCATTGTTTCTTGCCTAACCACCCCTCGCCTGCTACGTCGCCTCTCCTGACGATGGAGGGAAATCATGACACTGTTTTCTTTTAGTACCCTCGTTTCTTTTTCCACTTCCATTCTTCGACTTGCCACGACAATCTCTTTTGAGCTCTCTTTTCAGTCTTCTTTCTTTCTTCATTTCTTGTTGACCTTTTACTCTCCTTTTTTCTGTACGTTACCTTTGTTTTTTTACAATCAATTATGTTTGCTTTTATTATTTTCTTTCTACGGACTTGCTGGAGGACTATTCTTGTTTTTTACTGTATTTTCCAAAAGAAACAACGGATTCTCCATCAGGAAAGAGCGCGGATGCTGTTTGGCAGAAGAAGATCGATGGCTTTTGAAGCGATTGCTGGCTTTTTTTGCGGACGAGAGGAGGATAAGGATGAGGAGTAGGAGACAGATGGTTTGTGGTCTGTAACAGAGCGATAGTGAAATGGAAGCGGTCCTGAAACGTTGGCGCCAACACAAAAAGCTCAATAATGAATAAAAACAAATCAGAAATCCATCTTGTTCTTCACAATGGAGTGTTGTATCAGCTTGCATGACGGTGGTTCAGGTGGACCAAAAGGATGGTTGAGCCCTATTGTTCTCCTCGGTTGGGTGCCCATGAATGAATGCTGTGGCTTTGCATCTGCAGCCAGTCACTTTTTCATATTCGAGGCAGTCTTTCAACAGCTCTGAACTCTCACCTAGCTCCACCTTCAACCTTCGCTCTTACCCTCGCTTCTCCATTCGCCCGACCTGCCTTTCCTTCTGGCCTCTCTACTACACCGCCTTCCCCTTTGTCACCCCACCTTCCCCGCCTCACCTGTAACTTTTCACTCAAACAACCCACCCAATCCCTCAACTCGCCTTTCCACCCTGGCCTGATCAAAGCACGAGTTCATTGTCCGTCGTTGCAGTCTCCGTGCCTGCGAAGCGAGACTGAATCGCCGTCCACCTCGCACTTGCCTACCCTCCTACCTTCCTTGGTATGAACCGACGACCACCAGTACCAACCATGCTCAACCGCCCCTCAGCAACTACCTCCACCTTATTTCCATACCTTGCCTCGCATCAATGCCCTAAAACAACCATCAATCACCCTGCGGCAACCAGGACAGAGCAACACCAGGAACACCTTGCCAGTGGCAACGAACAAGAGCAATATTTCGATGGAGGCGACTCCAAGATGGCGTCGGAACAAGACGATGCAGAGTTGGAGGCTGCCTTCCAAGCTTTGCGCCTGTCCTCCCTCGAAGAGGCGCTCGCCTCCTTGAATCAAGTGCCCCACTCGGATGGAGCCTCCTCTAGCGATAGCAGTTGCTGCAGCAATCCTGCTTCATCATCTTCATCCTCCTCCCCTCCGACTTCGCCCACATTCTCCAATTCTGATTCTTCAGACACTACATCATCTATTGTCCCGAAGGATCAGAGGGGATCTGCTCCGACCAATGGTCCCTCTCCCAAGCGCACCAGGCGTGTTCTCAGCCAACTGGATGTCAACGAGCTGATCCAGATGAAGATTTCTCAGCTCGAGTCGGCGCCTCTTACTGAGGAGGATGATGAAAAAGCCATTGGTGTGTTATTCTTTATTGTCTTTGACCGAGAGATGGAAGATGTTACTGTCACTTGATATTTTTACTTAATGAGTAAGGAGGATACTTGTCATCTCGCGCCCTTCTGATCTCTCCCTGTCTCAATTTTCCCGCCCCTTCTATTATACTCTCTCGCCCACTTCTCTCTTCTCTTTCAATTGTGTCTTCCACATATAGCCAAACAAATGAAGAAAGTTCACAAGGAGATCTCCCAGGTTAGCAATGGACAGGAGGACCAGATTGCGAAGGTCAGCCTGATGCAGCGAAAGTATCTGGAGTTGGTATGTATTAACTGAAATGATCCAAATTATCTGTGAGGCTCTTTTGTAGCAAACTTCTTGCCAAGGTCTAATTGTTTCTGTCCCGACCACGTCATATCGAACGAAACTTCTTTAGTTTCAGGACATGCGCAAACAGGAGAGGGACCACGCCAAGCTGAAGAAGAAACATGAGCTCCTGCAGCGGGAGCGGGATCTCCTGGCCCGAGAGAAGGATCGGATCCAGCAGACCAATGATACCATGATAGCTGAACATGGGCGTCTTCTAGAGGAGCGCCATGCAGGTAACGATGGCCTTTCCTTTGTTATCGTCACAGCCATGAGCTCCACTTATATGTGATGAATTGTTGCTTACAGTTTGCCTTATCATTAGACAAAGTCATGATCAGCAAATCGGATAATTTGTGCCGCAAGTTGGAGGGTCTGTGTCGACAGATCCACAGGGAGAACAAAGAGATCAAGGTATTGTGCCGAGTGATGACCTTGATGTGACTAGTGGAAGAAGAATCGTTTGCTAATCCAAGTCAATATCTCATCTGCAATCGAATAGTGGGGCCGGCATTCGGATCGGAAGACAGGATCAACTATGAGACAAGAAGCATCTGAGGTGGTCGACACGCAAAGACCCTTAGTCGGGAACGAGACTTTGTAAGTTATCGGAGTAGGATTGACTTTTCCATGCGTTGGATACATTTGGTGGCATTTTTACTCATCTTTCCTGATCATACCTATATCGTCGTTAGGTTGCGCGAGAAGCTACGAGGATTCATGGAGCAGTATGACCTGAGGGAGAAGCACTTCAACTCTGTCGTCAAAGCCAAGGACTTGGAGCTTCAATTAGCACAGGCCAAGTTGGATCGACAAAACCGCGCATCGCAGGAAGGCGCAGTGAAGTTAGATCTACTCAAGTCTCAGCTGCAAGAATCCACAAAGACCGAGGCCGAGCTCAGGAGGCAATTGGGTGTTTATGTGGAGAAGTTCAAGCAGGTCGAGGAGACACTCAACAAGAGCAACACGCTGTTCCAGACGTTCCGCAAGGAGATGGAGGCTATGGCGAAGAAGGGCAGCAGACTGGAGAAGGTCAACGTAACCATTCGTGCGAAATGCGATACCATGAACCGGAACATCTTGGAGATGGTTGAAGAGGTAAATAGTCGCAACTTCAACATATCTCATATTTACCCCTCATCGATCGATCAACCTTTCAACGACATGCAATGCTAACTTTTACACGGTACAATAGAGAGCGAAGCAACAGAGTGCATTCGACCATGCCAACAAGAAGCTACTTCAGCTAGAAGCCCTTTGTCGAGCGTTTCAAGCCGAGCGAGCAGTTCTTCGCGAGGAATTGCTTGCGAAGCAATGCACACAACACATGACGACAGGAGATGTGACCTCACAGAATGGATCCATCAAAACGGCTGAGGATCAAGTGGATATTGGCGCCAGTGACGCATCGGCACCAATAACAGTCGTGGACGCAACTAGCCCTGCCTTTCCGACTACAGGAACGACTATTTCTTTCTCGGCCGCGGTGTTCAAGCAGGGTATGACGGGGGCAAGACGGATGTCGACCCCATCTTCCAAATTCCGACAAAAGCCGAAGCGCCAACGTCCTCAAATGTGCATCCAGCGCGGCGACCAGCATTCTGCTCTGACTTTGACGATTGAAGGTTTGGTCCTGGTTGGAGAGGGGGGTGTTATTGATGAGCCTTACACCAATCTGGAGAATGGTTTCCATTGCGAAGGTATTGTGGCGCCGTCGACATCGATGAGCAAGAATGGTGCGGAGCAAATTTTTGCTGAATCTTTGGACATGAAGAAGCTGAACGAGAGCGTAAAGAAAACGAGCGAGGTCATTGGCTTGGCAAGCAAGGAGACTGTTATACCCACGACGAGCGTTTCGGGGCAGCCAGGAAACAAGTTGGATGGCGCAAAGTCATTGGATCGGACGATAAGGCCAAATTCAACCGCAGGAACGAACGGCGTCAGAAGAGTATTAGCGGGAGGAGGAGGAGGAGGAGGAGGAGGAGGAGGAGGAGGAGGAGGAGGAGGAGGAGGAATAGCCAAGGCAGAGTCGGTCAAGGCAAATGCTGATGCAATGCGGACGCGGGAGCAGGCATGTAAATATACCCATTGGAATTGCAACCCCAAAAACGTCTTCCCTGCACTCTCTACAGGCACCGGCCATTCCCCTTCCAAGAAGTGGCCTATCCCGATGGAGACGTCAACTTCCTTGGGCGCCATCTCTCGTTTGGCCCAGGCTCAGGGAGGGTACCAGGCCGTACGACCTACAGGACTTTACCTCAGCGCGATCACGATCAAATAGATAGATGTCTATTGTTCAATAGCTTTTTGTATCATGTTGTATTATTTTCTATTATTTTTGTTCCTACAATACATTCGGAGATGGATAGGTAACTAGTGCCCAGGAATAGCTGGTCTAGGCAATGGGCTTTAGCAACTCTTACCATCCCTCCTTTTACCCAGGAACGCGTGTCCATCAGATGAGCTTTTTTAGTGGGTGGCTTTTTAGAGGCGTGAGAGTGGTGGACACAATTGCTGCACAGCCTTTTGTCCCATGAGTGGGGAGCAATTGGTGTCGATTGATCATCTTCTCAATGGTCAATCTTCACCCTCTTCTCCACACCAATGGGTGAGTGTGGATGTGGTATGAGAGTCGACCAATGCTGTATGGGAGGGAAAAGTCGGTTTGTCGTGGTAGGAAAGGAAAAGAAGAAAAAGGTTCGCCCTCGCCATCTCCACTTTTCGTTTGCTCTCTTTCTTCTTTTCTCATCTTTTTTTTCTTTTTTCTTTTCGTCTTCTTCTCACAGCACTCCTGGCACCTTCACTTTTTTTTTTTTTTTTTTTTTTTTTTTGCTCTGCTCCCCTCCCTTTCCTTCCTCCATCCTCCTCCTCACTTTTCTTCCCTCTTCCCACCATACCTTCATCACCTCTCGAGGCTCACAAGACACATTCAACGTCATCATCGTCTAGACAACACACTCACGCACTCTTTCCGCAAGGACACCTTCCCTTCACAAGATGGAGTACGAGTACATGCAGTCGTCAGGGCAAGGCCAACAACAACAGCCCCAACAGCAGCGCCAGCAGTCCAGTGCTCAGCAGTGGCAGTATTCAAACCCAGGGGTCATTCAAGCTAACCCTCCTTACCCTGTTGATGGCGGCGGCGCGGCTGCAGGTGGTGGTGGAGGAGGAGGATACAATCCTTACCAGGAATATAACCCACACCACGAGGACCCACAGTATCACCAGCATCATCAGCAGCATTTACAACAACAGCAACAGCAACAGCAACAGGTGCAACAGCAACAGCAGTTTCAGTATCAGCAACACCAGCAACAAGGCCACCCACCACAGCAGGGACACCAGCACCAGCATGGATATAGTGAAGGAGGAGGAAACGACCATCTTGGATCAGGAGGAAGTGCCGAGCATTTGTTTGACCGATCGACCGAGGGGATCTCTAAATCCGCATTGGATCAGTCTGCGGCGGCAAAGTACCGGTTGGAGCATCATTTCAGTCTTTCGCTTGAGCAGGCTATTGAGCGAAGTGAAAGGTAAAAGGCATCAACAACAACTACATTGCGTCTTTCGATTGTTTGTTGAATGTTTATCATTTGCAGGAGGAAGGGAGAAAAGGAAGAAGAAAGTGAGTGTGTAGGGATGGATACTGACTGATGTTTATCCCTGCTCCCTAACGACAATGACAGAGAGTGATGAATAAGAAGTATAGGGGAAAGAGAAGAAACAATGATGGATAGATGAAGGGCGAAGGGGGGTAAGGGAAGAAGGGAGTGGAGGATAATTGCATTCCTCATCGAGAGTCCGCCCACTCTTTGCTCTTGGTCCTTCCTCGGACGGGACATAAAAAAGACGACATCCTTATTCATGTTGTTCATCCTTGTTTTTTACTTTGCCTTGGCCATTAACGAATTTCGTTCTCTTTTTCATTTCATTTCATTTGATAGGAGGATAGAACTTGAGAGGAAACTGGAGACAGAGCCAGGAAGCGAGGAGCGGAAGCACCGTCAACTGGCCGCTCTGGGCAGGAAAGAGTCCCAGTTCTTGAGATTAAGACGGACGCGCCTGGGACTGGACGATTTTGTGACGGTCAAGGTGATTGGCAAGGGAGCCTTTGGAGAGGTCCGTCTGGTCCAGAAGCTGGACTCTGGAAAGATCTATGCCATGAAGACTCTTCGCAAGGCCGACATGTTCAAGAAGGACCAGGTACAGCCTTCGGTTTTTATTGCAGCGATCAATGGATAAATGAACGGGAAGAATAATGGATCAGGAGAAGACGGGAGGGGAGAGAGAGAGGAATGGAATGGGTGGGACGTGTCTGCTCCCATTTCCTTCCTTTCCTTTCCTTCCCTTCCGTCAGGAAGATCTGGGATGTTTGTTGCACGCAGAGGGATTATTTTTCATTTTGTTGAAGAGAAGGGCATGGCATGATTATTTTTATCTCAGTCGACTAATGCATAACTTTCTTCCTTCGTAATCTCTCCCACACACGGAATTGGATTTACACATTGGACATGGTATACAGCTTGCCCACGTCAAGGCGGAAAGAGATGTACTGGCAGAGTCGGAATCGCCTTGGGTTGTACAGCTGTACTATTCTTTCCAGGATCCCCAGTACTTGTACCTGATCATGGAATTCTTGCCCGGCGGAGATTTGATGACGATGCTGATCAAGTACGACACTTTCTCGGAAGACGTGACCCGGTTCTACATTGCCGAGTGTGTCCTCGCCATCGAGGATATCCACAAGATGGGCTTCATCCACAGGTAAGGAGAATCGCAAAGGCATGAATAGACGTGGCAAATGGCTCACATAATGGGCGATCAGCAACATGCACTCATGGCTTCCGTACCTTCTTTTTTTCCAAATTGACGCTAAAAGAGACATCAAGCCCGATAATATCTTGATCGACCGCGATGGACATATCAAGTTGTCGGATTTTGGATTGTCGACTGGATTCCACAAGACACACGACTCGCAGTTCTACCAGCGGCTGTTGGATGGGCAGGTTAAGGGGAACGCCACCAACAATAGCGACAGCGATGGCGTGACCCGTCTGGATGCTGGGGTCGATGCCATCAACCTCACCTTTTCCAGCAAGGACAAGCTGGCCACCTGGAAGAAGAACCGCCGCACCTTGGTAATTTTCTATTCATTTTGTTGCCATGGTAGCATGGTATTTGTATATCATCGCTCACCCTAATTCTCGCCAATGTCACTCTTTATTTCTTTAGGCGTACTCGACTGTGGGTACACCGGATTATATTGCGCCAGAAATCTTTTTGCAGCAGGGATATGGACAGGAGTGCGATTGGTGGTCTTTGGGAGCAATCATGTTTGAATGCTTGGTCGGATACCCACCCTTCTGCAGTGAGAACGCTCACGAGACGTACCGCAAGATTATGAACTGGCGGGAGCAGCTCTATTTCCCTGAGGATGTCCATCTCTCTCCCGATGCCGAAGACTTGATCCGCAGGTAAGTTGTCATTTTATGTTCACATTGTCAGCTTCAGCGATTGTTTTCAGGATCCTTTTATTAATCTTTTCTGAGTTATTTTGCTTCTGTGCGACGATGGATAGATTGATCTGCTCGCCCGAGATGCGACTGGGCCGACACAGTGTGCACGAGATCATGTCGCATCCATTCTTCAATGGCGTGGATTGGGCCAACATCCGGCGAATGGAGTCACCGTTTGTCCCTAATCTGAACTCTATCACGGATACTAGTTACTTCCCGACCGAGGATCTCGACAGAGTGCCTGATTATCCTGAGCAGCATGGTACGTATCCATTGGACTTTTTTTTTTGTTCTTGTTCTTGTTCTTTTTCTTGTTCGTGTGCGTTTGAGGTTGGGGTTGGATGACAAGTGGGAGCGTTGTCTCATGTGCCGGGTATGGTTGCACAATTCACCCTCAAAGGAAGAGTAAGGGCTGTACAGAGTGTGATAATTTGCATAAGGTGGAATCGATATACAAAGGTGCGAAAAACAAAAACAGAGAGCAAGTTGTATGTACCTTCTCTTCCTTACTTACACGCCATGTATTTCATTCAAACTATGTATAATAGCCTCGGACTATATGACACCAGACGACAACAGCAAACAGAAGGACTTGGCGTTTGTTGGATATACCTTTAAACGGTTTGAGTCTCTCACCAAGCGAAACGCGCTCTGAAGGGGTTACCCTTTGTAAGAACGAGAAATGAAGATGTGGGGAGCGCGGCATCCGTGAGTTTCACTTAGTTTTGAAATAAAATAAAAAAAAAATAAACCAGCGAGGGCGTTTATTTTAGACTGATGTGTGGTTCCTTGGTTGACTTGATACGATTTTTGTTAGCGGGTTACTTAGTGGGATAGGGGTACTATTGCGGTATGTATGTGCATCAATTCAAATGATAGACATGACGATGGTACGATGAGAAAGGAGGAAATAACAGCAATGGTAGGGGGTGGTCAAACCGGTATCTGGTTCCTGGTACTTGGCTTGAGCTGAGCTTACCTGTTCTTTTTTTCTGTCTAGATATTTTTGATGGTGGAGAAAGAGGAAGGAGAATCGGGGAGACGAATGACAGGGGCGATTGACAGAGACAAGGTTAAGACTCCCAGAGTCATGCGGGCGCGAGGGGAAGCTTATATGGGAAGAAGAAGGAGAAACATGTGGGAGAGAGAGAGTAGAGAGAGTGAGCTGTGTGGAGTGGGCGAGTGGGTGGGTGGGTGTGGTGCGGCGTGGAGTAGGCGAGAGAGAGAGAGCGAGAGACATGCGGAGCGGAGAGACAGACAGACAGACAGACAGGGCCAGGCCGTTAGGGATGATCGAGTGAAGTAAAGTTTTCCCTCTATCTTTATGAGCACAGTTTGCTCATTTCCAGCAGGAAGAAGGGCGATGGGCGGAGATTTGTGAGTGGTTCAGTTCATTTTTCATTTTTTTTCACTGGGTCGGGACCCCCCATCTCCCCCATTTCTCTTCGTTTGAAGGTCAATATTAGACGGTTACATGGACGGCGGCAACGATGATGGTGATAAGGGCGCTAATGGTCTAAGAGTGGCAGGAACTCCGCTTTCCACGCAGCGACATACACACACCTTTTTTTCATTGCTTTCATAATTTTTCTTCCTTGCATATCGTAATATTGAATGAAAGAAGAGATGTGATCGCGAAGGGTGGGCGCACTGTTCCCATCAAGGGAGAGAGAGAGAGGACCATTTGAGGCAAAAAAAAAAACATCACTAAAAGTGATCGGGTGAACGATTGGACCGTTGGAAGGATAGAACAGGGCATGCAATTTATGGTTCCGCTATTTTGTAATACACTTTCTGTGTTCATTTGTTGACAAACACGGAATATTTTTAGGGCGCTTACCCTTTCGTTTTCTTCCTGCTGGACACTTGACAAAACAAACGAGAGTAGTGATATGAAAGGTGAGGTTTATTAACAGTAATGAGAAGGGTACTGGAGGGGTAATAATGATCAAGAGGAGTGAGAAAGTAGAGATGAAGAAAGAAGCCACTAGTATTTGTAGTCGTTGTCCATCTGGTCCATGTTTCGTCCAAAAGGCTGGTGTGTGGGGTGGTTGACTCTTGGGCTACGACCGCCCATCGAGGGGGTCATCATGGGCGTAGGGCTAGTCGCACCATGGTGAACATGGGGCGACAAAGGGCGAGAGGTATAAGAGGGTGCAGAGTTCAACGAAGCCGGGTAGGGGGATTGAGGAGGAAGGTCACTGTGGGGGTTAAACATCTCATACTCGTCCATGACTTTACGTTGTTGTTGTTCAACATAACGTTTGCGTTCGGCCACACTGCTGGGGCCGTATTTTTGTCCACTGGTATCCGAAAGCTCGTACTCGACCAGTCCGGGAGTCCGGTGGCTGCTGTAATAGGGGTGGTTCTGGGCATCGGATGCAGACTTGTAACGTGGGTGTCCTGTCTGGTCCAAATCTTGGTCGTCGTCAAGGTAGATGCTTGCGGGTTTGCGGATCGTGAACGATTTGGCGAGTTTGGACCTATCCCCACGCTCCTCCTCTCCGCTCATGTATCCACTTCCCGGAGCGCCATCATTGCCACCGGCAGCAGGGTTTTGATTGTTGCGGGACCGGGTCTGGTGCGAGTTGATGGTGTTGGTCCTCGAGCGAGACTTGTACCGCTGAACCAACAAACCCGCAATGGCCAAGACTGCAACTCCAGCAACAGTGATACCAACGATAATAGGAACATTCGATGACGATGAGTTGGAAGAGTTGCCAGCACCGTTAGCCTGACCGGCGAGGTAGTTGGGCGAGTTGGGGTCGGTTCCTGTGGGGGTCGCAGGGTAGTTAAAGCCGCCGGCGCCGGTGGGGAGGTTGAACTGGGGGCTGCCGCTGGCTCCCCCGGTGTTGCTGCCGATTGTGGGGAGGTTGAATTTGGTGGATGAAGTGGCGGCAGGGGTGTTGACAGTAGCGGTTGTGGCCGTTGGCTTTACGGCGATTGGGGATTTGGATGACATGATGGATTATGATATGTGTAGAGGGAGGAAGGAGAGTCGATGGAGCTGAGGAAGAAGTAAGGGGGTATTAGGATGATGGAATGGAATGGAAGAAAAGTGTGGAGAGGGGAAGTGTGGATGATGAAGAGCGATGGTGGTTAGGGCAAGAGGATAATGAATAAGGACAGGGTATGTCAGGGAAGAAGGGGGCCAAGTGGTGAGTGAGAAGGTCGACGAGGTCAAAGAAGAAAAAGAAAAAGAGAAAAAGAAAAAGAAGAAAGAGAGGAAAGAGAAGAAGAGAGGGGACACAAGGGGAGTATTGCGGTTGTCTGAGTTTCATGAGTGCTCGTTCATACAACTAAGAGGGCAAATTTCAGCAGCAAAGTAAAACAGACAACAACAGGGCGGGGGCAAGCACGGGCTGATGGGTTGGGACAGAGGGACAAACAGACAAACACACAAGCAGGGTTCTTTGGTCGCTGACAGAGCACAAATTGACCAAGTCGATGCCTGTTGGTGCAACTGTGCAAGGGAAACATGGGAGGTAGCAAGAGGCATGTCAATTTGGATTCCCCTGTGCTCACCCTCTGTGCTTACTCGTTCTTCACACTCTCAGCTCTCGTTGTTGATGTTGCGTTGTTGATGTTGCTGTCGATGAAGCTTGTGGCTCTAGTTGCAGTTGGTGTGCCCTAATATTCCTAAGGAAAGTGGCACCAGTGGAGGCTCTCAAAAAAAAATTGAAAGTACAAAGCGAGGAGCATCTGCGTTTTTGTGCATGATGTTGTCGTCGTTGATCCCGTTGTCGTTGCTGCTGCTGCAAACCTATTGCCGCTTCTATTGTTCTGTGGGTTCTGAATGTGCAGCGTGGATGGTCACCCCTTCACCTTAAGTTGTGGCGCGGACGACAGACGAATATTTTGAAAGTCGCCCTCTTTGTTCCTTTTTGATTTTTGTTCGATCCCTCTCGCCTCCTTTTTCTTTCTCTCACTTTGCACCCTCTTTTACATTCACGTTTACTTTCTTTTACTCGTCGTCATTCTCTTCTCATGTACTTCTCCCTCCTTCCTTCTCTTCCACTCCCACATCACTGCTCCAACAAGACTAACATCGTTTATACAATTATGCTTGTGATGTCGTCGTAGTTGTTGCAACTAATCGCCAGGCTGGCACTATTCTAGCCTGATTGAATGATTCGTGGTCTCTACACGTAGTCAGGGCAGATGAGTTTTTTTTCAGGCACAAGGAGACATTTTCAATCGCAAATGTTGCCTATATCATGTGACTCGGCAACTGACAGTTTGACGCGTCCCATTTTTCTCCTTATTTTTTATTTTTTGAATTTTGAATTTTGTCCAAAAAAAAGAAATGAGGAATATCGTGCGACGCGTCGGAAGTCGGAAATAAAAATTCAATTTCATTTTCATTTTTTGATTTCGTTTTCGTTCACTCTTTTGACTCTTTTCGTGTTCCGCACACCTGTTGACTGAACACGAAGCGCGCTGAGTTTCCTTCCTTTCATCAAGAAAGGAACAGAAGACTGGCAGTTTCTCGGGTGTTTTCATTTGACCCAAAAGTGGATTGAACAAAAGGTTGGGGACGGAGATTGTGTTCTTCACTTGGGCTGTCCCTGACTTTCTGGTACAATTCATTTGGTTTGAATGATATTTGTGCGCAATTCATGTTTTTTCTGGTTTTCACCCTCTTTCTCTTTCAACACCGAGCTGCAACACTTCTTTCTTGCTCCTTTTTTTTTAATCCCTATTCATCTACACACCATTTCGCCTGCCACTCCACTCACCTGAATACCTAAGTGCTCTCTTTTTTTTTGCGAACCCATCCGTTTTCTTTGTTGTTGACGGCGACAATTGATAATAATTTCCATTTCCCATTCGTGTTGTTCCTTTATTTCCTCGCCTCTTCAATCACACACACATCACTTCCTTTTCTTCCCTTCGCTACTTCCTTCCTCCCCCTCTTCTCTTCCTTTTTTCCTTTTCTATTTCAATCCTCTCTTCACCTCCTTCTACTCTCAATCTTCTGTGATCCGGTTGCACCCATTCAACCAGAAACAGCAAAGAGAACAGAGAGAAAGAGAGAGACTTACATTCGATATCCATGAGTTGGCTAGCTTCCTGTGTTTGCCCCGTCAATCACAAGCAACAGAAGTGAGAGAACAGAACCCATCAATCCACAACGAACAAGCCCTTGTTGTCTTTATATATCAAACAGGTATGGACACACATTTCAGGGCATATCCTGTCATCGATCCTTTCTTTTCTTCAACAACCACAACGAATACAACCACGCAAGGAACAACAACTTCTGCATTATCCATTTCACGGAGACGGACAGAGAGACACACATACACAAAGGCGGACACAAAGAACCATGGTCCAATTCCATATCCAACAGCAACCACAAACACCGCAAGCACTCAATCCGCTCCCTTTCGTTCCTTCCCCTTTGTTTACCCTCGCGCCCTTCCTATGCCAGTCATCTTTCGTTCACGTCATGCCCATTGGCAGATCTATCTTTGTTCTTTACACTCGCCCGATTCTTTCCCTCTCACACTTCTATACTCACCCTCACCTGGGTTGACAGTTCACAGCCAACAACAACTACAATAACGACGCCGACGACTTGTCGCTTTGACCATATTCTTTTTGAGTACAGCGGGGCAAGAGGTACCTCGGTCGCTTCTTTTTCTCTTCAAATCGAATTCGGCTTTTTCATTTTCATTTTCATTTTCATTTTGCGCACCATCCCACTACCACATTCTTGGATCGACTGTTGTACGACCCTTTTCTCCCCTTCTTTGCTCTCGCCGCCCATAACACATTCAGGAAGAGGGCGGATAAAGTGACCAACAAGGTTGCTTTGCTCAGCATCGTGCGTCTTTATTGACACAAAGCATAATGCATTCGATCTGACCCTGTCTACTCCTCCCTGTGATACATCGTTTCTTCTTTTCAGATACTATATAGCAACTACAACATGTCGAGAACCTCGACAACCGTCCCAACTCCCACCACAGGGCCAACACCCATAATGGCTCTACCCGTCATGCAGAAGGTGGTCGAGACTTCTGAGTGGGAGACAGCCAACAACATTCAGCAGGAGACTGACGATACGTCTCAGCTTGTACCTTCGACGTCTCCAGTCCTGGAGTCCTCTTCTGACTACTCACCTTCACTCAAGCTGGCCGAGGAGATTAATCAGATTAACCAAATCAACCAGATCAGACACATGCAGGAGGGCGCTATATCTCCCTCAATCATGCCAACAGCAGCCTCCTCTGGGATCTCGGCGACATCCATTTCGGTCGGGATCTCCACTTTACTTGCACAGACTGCTGCCTCGGCATCACTTGCCACAACAGCAACAGCAACGACGACGATTTCGACAACAACACAGAACGTACCGACAACACCATTGCGCAAGGCGTCTTTGCCGGTGTCGGCGCCTGCTCCAGAGACCTTTGATTGTCCTGTCCTTCCAACATCATTGCCATCTCCTCCCTCAACCAACCAAGAGCCAGTCTTTTCCAGCATCCGCAACAACCCTTGCCCTACCTCAGCAACACCACTCTTCCGATTCAAATCGACGTCGTTTCAGCAGCAGGAGGAGACCGTAGTCAAGATCGAGTCGACTGACCTTCCCATGACGCCGCCGTCCTCTCAAGAGTTTCAGGAACCTCACGATCCTCTGGAATCTAGTTTCGAACTTGACTCTACATTGGAATCAAACGGATATCACCGTAGCAACACATCCAGTCAGAGGCAACCACATCGGGCACACCATCAACAACACCACCACCAACAGTCGCTCCACCCATTCGACAGGACCGCTTCAAGCGCTCCCAGGAAGACACTCAACTGGGTCAATGCTATCCCTTCACACTTCAGCACATCTCCAAATGGACAGCCACGCAAGAGAAGAAGGAGGACCAACCGCGAGGAGCTCGAGATTCTGGAAGATGCCTTTGCCAAGAACTTGTTACCAGACGCAGCAACACGACAGGAGTTGGGAGAGCGTCTTGGGATGAGCGTCCGGGCTGTGCAGATCTGGTTCCAGAACAGACGCCAGACACTGAGGAAAAAGTCTGTCTCGGGAAACGGAATTGGTGGCGTACATCCAGGAGGGTCCGAAGACGACCTGCCCCGATCGGATGGCGAGCGCAGTAGTTATGGTGGCGGTGAGTCGCATCGGCGATCGTCAGACGATTCCAACATGTCGGTTTCTCCTGTCCTTTTACCTTCGCGTGGACACGGGCATGTCTCGAGGCTCGGTTCAAGATCCTGTTCCGATTTGATGTCCACCTCGCCTTCTATCAGTTCCTTGATGAGGCCACCATCGTTGACTCGCGCTGATACCTGCTCCGCTTTGCCGGCTGCTCTGTCGCCTCTGAAGTTGCCTTTGTCATCCCCTCCATCGAGACCTGTTGCTCCATTCAAGTCTCCATCTCCTCAGTCAGATCATAGATCGGCCAAGGACTCTGGGGCGGGGAGCGATCGTCTTGTTGCCGTCAAGTCCGAGGAGTCTGAGGAGACTTTGCGCAAGAGGCTGGCTGTGACCAGGAGCACCCAGGAGCTGACAGATATTAAGACTGCCGACCGTCACTTGAACATGTTGTTGCAGGAAGCCAAAAGAAGGTCTGGTCAAGGAAACGACCCCGTGATGGCTACCTGGTCCGAGAAGTCAACAAAGCCCATTCTCAACTCATCGTCATCACTTACAGGGAGCTCACCATCCGGCACGACGTTCTTCCCAGCCTCAAAGTCAGCAACGATCCCGCCACATCGATCCCTGTCAACGCCAACCATCCCATCTTCTTCCTCAGGAACCGACTATACTCGCCAGCCTCTTTCTATACCATCACAGTCGCACCCACGATCTGCTGCCCCAAAGAGTGCCCGGAAGCACCGTTCCATGCCAGAGCCGCTCTCGAATTCGACATCCAATCGCTACGGCCCGCCTTACCCTCGGACAATGTCCCTGATGGAGCAGGTCCTCAATCGCCAAAAGCAGCAGCACCAATCTCACTCGCACCATCACAACCATCGACCAGCCCGTAGTAACTTTAAACAGTCGACGCTCTCTAGGACTGGCAAACACACGATCGATAGCGTCGCTAACAGGGCATCAAAGTCATTCCTCGCCTCGGTACTTCCCTCTACTACGACATCCACTCTCTCCTCCACAGGGATCAACACTGCCGAATTGGCCCGTCGATTGCAGTTGGTCATGGGCAATGGTTTCAAGCGGATTCAGTCGCAGTCCAAACTGATCAGCCCTGTATCACCAGTTGCCACTGTCCCTGCCCCAGCTACCACTACCTCTGTCACTCCTGCCGTCACTGCCGCTCGACCAACCACTGGACAACCAGCCATGCGAGCCAGACGACTTTCTATTGGCCAAAACCTCTTTGACTCTGACACAGAAGAGGAGAAGCGGAGCCAGGCCTCTACGCCATCTTGGAAACATGTACAACAACAACAACAACAGCAGCAGGAGCCTCGTCCTTTCCCTTCAAGAAAGACATTGACTCACCAAGCACAGAAGCGAACTGCCAGGACCCACATGACACCCGCAAACGGCGACGAGACGGACGAAGAGGATTTCCGAGAACAGGCCAAGAAGCGAGCGAGCATGACCAAGACGTTTGCAAAGTCGTTTGACTTGGGGATAGAGCAAAAGTCGTACCAGCAGCACTCCCAGAGGCAGAGACAGCATTCACAGGATAGCTGGAGTGGAGTTCACAAGATGCCTCGGAAGGTGTTGAGGGCGTCCATGTCGCTCATTACCTCTTCGCCTACCAGGGAGTACGGTGTGGAGCTGGAGCATGCCTCACGCCGGTCCCCTGCCAGTTTTCCCATCCTCGAGAGGAACCACAGCTGGGGTGGAGTTCATCTTGGAGACAAATCATCGTCACCATTATCTGGAGTAGCCACAGCCGCGGCAGAGTCGGACGATATGAACATGGATGAGATCGAGTGCGCCAATGTCTTGGCCGGCCTTGGTTGGGGTCGTTAGCTCGTCTATTCTTGCTCCTTCTCGCTCTTCGTCGCTCCTCTCTAGTCTTCTTTTTCTATTTTTACTTTTTCTTTTTCTTTTATTTCAAAAACCTCCCCTTCCTCCTCTTGTATGAACAGCCAGCAGTTCACAGACTCTTTGTCTTTCTTGTACACTTTCACAAAACACATCATTGTACCATATTAATATAGTGTCACAGTAAAGCCATGTCTTCAGGATTTTTTTGTCCAACCCACTCTACAACCGCGCGTCATCGTACTTCTTTGTTACTGCTGTTTTGATTGTCTACTGCGTCATGCCAAGAATGTTCTTTGCAAAGACTCTTGTTCCAAAAAACTAGAGACACTATGTAATTGTAACCAACAAATGTGTGCGCTCACAGTTCAAAGCCGTGTTCTTTGTGCTAATTTGCATACTACGACAATGAATAATTTCACTATGACTTACGCCACCAATTTTGCTGCACCCCTTTTTGTCGCGTTCTCCAGACGGATTATGTCAGGCACACTCACACACATACACTCGCCATTTACCCTGCAGAGGGGACGGAGGTCCCAGGCGCATTTAAGGCGCGTCCGTCAATGCACGAGAACGTCGTCCTGCTCCCTCAATTTTATTGTCCTCCATTCTATCGAACTGTCACACATTCTTTTTTCTTTCTTTACTCTCATCTCTTTCCTCTCAAAAGCAACCACAACCACAGCCAACAACCACAATACCTCCTGCAGAAGAAACTCACTTACCCTTCAACCATGGACACGCGCGGAGACAACCCCTCTCGGCACCTTACCGCCACTGTCATAGCCGCTCTCGGTAATCCACCCACCGCACCCCTCCCCCCGCTTCCTCCCCTTATTCCTGTTCAGTCTTCGACCTCTCAGCGATCGCCACCCTCTGAAGTGGTTAAGACTCAGACCCACCGCGACCTGCGAGAGGAAGTGACTCCGCTCGTCAGAACGTGGGAGCCTAATCCTGAGAACATCTCGGGAGTACTCCGCTGCTCGAACGTCCGCCTTCCTTGCGTCGACGTCTCGTCTGGCCACAACATTCAGCAACCATCGTCGTCGACCAACTCCTTGCCTTCGACTTCCACTTCATCTACTCTGCAAGACCAGCGGCGGAGTCTTCCCCAAGCCATGCCGACAGGACTTGCTGCCGTCTCAGGCCCACTTTCCTCGGCCTCGCAGCTTCCAGCTTCTACCGAACAGAATGGAGCAAAGTCTTCGTTCATCAACCTAATCCAGCCGATTCCACCACAGTCCCGAACTTTCGTCAGGAACGTTCCCCTCCTGCACCGACTCAGCTACGCCGGCTCTGTCGATCTTGATGGGAGTAACAGCAACTGCAACTGCAACAGCCCACCGAGTGTGATAGGAACGGTAGACCCCTTTGACAGCGACCGCGACGTCCTCTCTAAGGTCTATATCCTCACAACCTCGACCCACAGCGCCGTTCACCTGGCCTCTTCTTCTGGGCAGCAGGTGAAGCAGCAGTTACCACCCAAGTACATGCTGAAAGTGTTCCCCGACAAGACACCCTTCAAGCACGCCGCGACACGAACAGATGCCAGAAACAACGACCAGCCGCCGTCATCGTCATCCTCATCGCTGGCCTCGAGAGTTGTGATGAGGACGATTGTCCAGAGTGCCATGGAGCATGAGATCGGTGCTATTGAATGGGCCCAGAAATTCTTGTAAGAGCTATTGCTTGTTTTTAATTTTAGTCAGTCTCTTCTTACTCCTGTCTTGCCCTTTGTCGTCGTGAGTCTGTGGTGTGCCTTATCGTTGTCGTTCTCTCATGTGAAGGTAATGCACTAGCAAAAGCCTTGCCCTCGACTTTGTCACTTACCCGCTGTTCCTTTTATGTCTCCTCTTGAACTCCTTGTTGTGTTGTTTGTGTACTGGTTGTTATGTGTTCGGTGGTGATGTGTGTATGGCATATAGGCGGCGCACAGCTACACCCAATGTCCTTGGATACTCACTCCCTCTCGACCGCCCTACTCACCCACCTGGAGGTGGTGATGGCGAAAGTGCGGAAGTAACTGGGGTTGAAAAGTACGGGATTCTCGGCTTTATCTTGTTGGAGTTCCCAGCGGAAGGGGTCCTCTACCAGGGACCCTTGGAAGAGTTCCAGACCAAAGAGTCCCAGCAGATTATGGTTAGTGAAAACATTGCCAAGGTAAAGAAATATATATGCGAGATGGTTTCATTGCGCTCCTTTCTCGGGGGGCGTATCTTTCTTGCCTGGTTGTTTTTCTTGTCAATTTTCTTGTGCCTGTGAAAGTAGCCTGGACGTACCTTTTCTTTTGGCGAGGAGGGAGGGTTTTGTCACCATCATGATCACTTATGTTCATCATTCTTTTTTCCCTCTCTCCTTTCAATCGTGGTGTACGCGCTCGCTTTTTTTTCTCTTCACAGGCAATATACGAAATGCGCTCGGCTTCTTGTAGCTTGAGGGTGTCAGGGTTTTCGATCCATCGCAGGGTCCCTGCGGACGATGGGCCTTCAAAGGTCGTCGATGCGGTATCCAAGCCCTATAGCCGGTTCGGTAAGGATTCTTATCATTCCTTCCATCATTGTCATCAAGACGTGAGGTTACTTGGAATGATGTTCGTATTGGAAGAGCCTGGTTCTTTTCATTGACGCCACTAAATTTTTGTCCAATTTGCGCCTTTATTGTTGCTCCTTTTTTCTAGACCTCATTGTGGATGAGCTTCGTAGGAGGGATGCTAAGAGGGAGGCTGAGCAGCTCTTCTTCAGCCTCCCTGACACTATCGCCACCCAGACTTCACTAACATTGTCGCCTACCAGTTCAGATGCAAGAGAACAATTCTTTCACAAGTCCATCGACAGCAGCACCAACAAGCGTCATGCCGACAGTGGTACCACCATCGCCCAAGCCGCCGCCAAAGATATCCACCAGTCAGAATCATCCATGACCTCTCAGAGCTCCAGTAGCGCTTCTTCTCCCTCTGTGCCTACGTCGGTTCTGATCCGACCCTTTTTAGCCCCGGCCAAGGATCCAAAGCGTACGAGTTTATTGATGCGCGTGCACAAGAAAACAATGGAACGCAAGATGAGTGCTGGTGAGGCTTCAGAGATTCCCATGCCCCTCTCCTTTTCGGCCTTTTCATCCGTCCCTGATGATTCAGCCACCACCGTCACCACTGATGCCAACACAACCGCCACCAATGATGACAGCCAAGTCAACGTCGACTCAACGGTTGATGAACCAGCTCCCCGCCGCCAACTTGACCCAAGGAGACAAGAAGCCCTACAAGACGACATGCTGCAGCGCGTCGCAAAGATACTCGTCAACTCACCCCCTCCACCATACGACGCCCTCGAAGCCTGCCGTCGCATGTCCTACTCTGAAGAGGACCATCATCACCAGCCCCAACCAATTACGTCTGAGAGTCTTGCAAGTCTTGTAAGTCTCCAGATGCTAGCCGCCGGAACTATGCGCCGAGTAAGGGAACCCACGAAGCCCAAACTCGCTATCCGCCCATCGTCGACCATCTCTGTGGAGAGTTGTATGCGAACGGCGCCCTATGCCCGACCCATGAAGGCTTCTGGCCCCAAGACCTGGCCTGATGTATGTTATCCTTCCGGGGCGACTGTTTTTCGTCAACGACCGGTGGTTAGGCGTATTAGCTGTTGCTTTGATGCAGATGATTCGGTGTATTGCAGTTTGCGCGCGCAAGAGAGGACTTTTGATGGGCGAGGTGAGATTTGTCGTCTTGTCGCCCAAATCTCTGGTGACCCCTCTTATTTTTCGTCATCATCTTCGCCGGATCCGTCCAGAACATCCACAGGGACAAAGACGGTTTCCTGGCCCAAAAAGTTTGTCGAACCCGCCAACATCAAGGATGGCAAGCCGGTTTACAACTCTGTCGCCGACTACGAGTACGCCCGTCTCGTCAACGCCCTTGTGGCCCTCGAACGCCTCGATTCAACTCCCGGATCCATGAACCGGTTCCCGAAGGATCTTATCAACATCCTCCCACGTATCCTGCGTTTTGTCCACCAGAAGGAAATGCTTTTTTCACACAGCCCGCGGATAAACCAACAGCCGGATTGTAACCGCGGCAAGCAAGCTCCAGTCCAGATCGGCAACCCTGCACAGCAAACGGCCTTCTTCAGTCCCCCTGCTCCTCCGGGGTTGTTTGAAGGGATCAAGTCGGTGTTCACGCATGGACAACTGGCAGCTCAGGGTTCGTTGGTGACTGACCGGAAGGGGCGTGGTGTTGTGGCGGTGGCTAATTTCCAGAAGGCTGGGTTCTTGCCGCCATATGAGGAGGGTATGAAGGGGTTGTTTGTCAAGAAGGTGAACAGCTCGTTTTGGAACATGCCCACCGAGGGTAGCGACGATACCGCGAAGGATGAGGGTGGTGATGGAGGAGGAGGAAGAGGAGACAAGGCCCAAAACAGGATGCGCAAGACCGCAAGCGAGATTTGGCCTTTCAAGCGGTTCAGCAAGCAGTCAACCTTCAACAACGACACCTCCACCACGTCACCTACCGCTACTGCCATGCCCCTGGGATCACGCGTCGGGGTGGGCGACGAAGATGACGTGAATGATGCAGCACAGATCATGATGCCGGCAAGGTCGATCTCCATTCACGGCAAGCACTCAGTCCCCTACCCGTTACTCAACCACGCGATCGAACACGGATCCTCCTGCGGGAACCGGTATATGGTACTGGTCGAAGCCAGCTCGCCCACCATGTTGTCTACATCGACCTCGACATCTTTGACATCTTCCTTGTCGGCTGATTCGCTCGCTACCAACTCGTTGCCTGCGCAGGGTCTGAATGCGCCGAGGCAGTTCTCTGTTTTGTCCTCTGGTCTGACTTCGAATCAAATCACTGCTGCACCACCACTAGTAGCTGCTTCAGTATCGGACACACAGGGAAATAGTTACGGTATTGTCGCAGAGAAGAATGGTGGCTTCAGGCAGATGAAGAGTCAATTCCATGCCCGGTTCCTGTCAAAGACTAAAAAGAACAAGCGCAAGAACACATACAACGACGACGCGCATGTCTATAAAAGGCAAGATCCTGGCGGGGTGAATATCGAGGAACTGATTCAGGACCCCGCTTCAGATGATTTGTTCCCATTGTATCCCTCCGCCGGCACCACGACAGCAAATACAGCTACAACAGCTACAACCGCAGCAAACTCACCCACACTCGGACGTTTCCCGTCCACCCCATCGGCATCCGCACTGATACCAGGATCACAACCACCAGGACGACTGCTCATGACGGATGTTCCAACCTTCCATAACGCGCCATCCTCCCTCTCACTGTCCTTGTCGCAGCCACAGTCGTCCAACTTTGCGCGCTCGACGACTTCTCAAAGGACACTTCTACCCGAAGAACCCAAAATCTGTCAGGTCGGATGGAAACACTTTCTGAAGACATATTGCGCCCTCGAAACCAAGGCCCTCAAAGCCGCCGCGGCAGCAGCGGCAGAATCTAACGGTGCCAAGACCAACACTCACGACAACACTGTACCGCCGCCTACCCAAAACGCCGCCACCAACAATCCACCGCCGCCACTCTTCCCTTCCTCCTCGCCAACAAACCCAATCTCATTCACCTTCTCCACCATTACATTCAAAGAATCAACCCACTTCCACAAGCACCAACTCCGTGCTCTCACCGATACCATCAACAACCGTTCCGACTCCATGGTCGCACTCGAGTCCCTGGTCAGTCTTTCGAAAACCCTTCAGAACCTAGTTGTGGCGTTGGAGGTAGGAGGGATTGTTCTGACACCCGAGCAACTGTTGGTCGCGATTTCTGAGCGACAGCAGGCGTGGCAGAGCAGTGAGGAGAAGAGGTTGGCACAGATTGAGAGTCAGAAGGAGGCGGAGAGGGAGAGGAGGATTGAGGCTGGGGAGAGGCAGGAGAAGGAGCAGGAAGAGCGGATGGCGGCATTGAAGTTGTTGCGGGAGCAATTGGAGCAACAGCAATTGGAGCAACAGCAAAAACTGCAACAGCAGCAAGGAAAGCCGTCATGGTGGCAGGATGATGAGATCAGAGAGATTCCTCGAGAGGTCCCACTCAAGGATGATCCGCCCGCCGTGCCTCCCAAGAACAACATCGCGCCTCCTTCCACCTCTGGCGCAGATACTGAAATTGATACTGGTGCCAGTGTAAGCTCGGCAGAGGCGGACCTGTCTCGAATCAAGAGCCCTCGCTTTGGCATGCTCAAACCTCCGTCCTTCCTTCAGAAACAAGCCAGCACCGCCAACTCTACAGCAACATCGACAACATCAACTCCGGTAGTACGCCGGCTCTCGCACCTGTTAGGGTTATCGCCTCAACCCCAACCCTCCTCCTTGACAACATTATCAGTCACAGAAGGACTCACAGCCAGCACCGCTTCAGTATACCACTATCAAGGAAGAACACCAGCCTACTTTATCCGAAGCCCGGACGACGATATCCTGTACTCGGCTCCAGGACTCCAACGAGACCCTCTTCCTTCAGAGCTCCCAGACCATATCCTGGCCTCCACCTCAATGGGTTCAGCATTCGCGAGTGGTACCACTAGTCTTTTTGATCCGACGGCAGCCTACAAGGCGGACCTCCGCCACAAACTCGGGACCCTGATCGCACCTAAACTACCCACCTACGGAATCCGATTGACGAATCCAGATGGGACAAAGACGCTAGCCCAGATGGAAGTAGAGAGGATCGAACAGGAAATGCAGACCTCCTGCCGGGAGCTCGAGGCGCTGTGCGAGTACGAGGGTCGAACCAGCTGGCGTGCCCCTCCCGGGATTGCGCTGTTGTCGATGGCAGAGTTGGAGAGGCAAGTTGAAGATGTTGAGAGGTGGGTCACGGAGACGAAGGATGGTAATCAGTCTAGTCTTCTTCTGTAAAGTAGCTAGTGAAGCTTGTATACCATCATTTTTTCTAGCGTCTGTTGCAAACTCCAACTCATTTATTTGTACAAGTAAAAAGAAGTGAAAAAAAAGAAGGAATGGGATGATAAGAGTTCTATCAAAAGCGAAGGAAAGAAGAAATAACCTCAAATTCGTAGAGCATAATGGTACAATAGAGCAGCATGGGATGAAAAAAGAGTGGAGGAGGTATGGTTTACTATGTACAGATTAGGCGTTTATGCACCATGGAATTGAAGACTTCTAGATGTTTTTGGGTAAACAGCCGAGGGGGCGGTGGGCGATGAAACTCTACACGATGATGACTTGGAATCCGTCCATTCCAATAGCATTGTTGCCGTTAGTGTTATGAGAGGGTCCTACATTATTGTGGTTGCGGTGAGTGTCATCCTCGTTAGCGTTGCTGTTGGTGTGGGTGTTGCCGATTGCGTAAGTGATTGCACTTCTCCGGGTGTTGTGAATATCCAGTGGTTTGTCGATATCGTGTTTGCACAGCGGACTATTCAAATCGTCACGAAAAAAAAGGAACACCGCGTTAGTATCCTACAACACCACTCATAAACTAACCAAAGCAAACAACCACACCCATCTCAATCCCAAGAGAACCGCCTTACCAGCTCTTGTCGGTAGCCAACCATTGATCGACACACTCAAGATGGAAATGATGTTGACAGGGTAAGAACCGGATTGTCTCGTCCGGTTTATAATCTCCTAAACAAATCGCGCAGGTAGCCTCCTCAACGTCGCCTCCAAACATGCCCTCGACCATGGGGGTCGATCCCAGTTTGTCGATCATGGGTTTTGTTGCCGTCCTGGTCAACCCTGACGAAATCGAGTTTGGGAACACTCTTGTCAGCAGAAGCGAGCTGCACGGCTATTTGGGATTGAGTGAGAGCGAGAAATGTTACAAGATAGTCTTTGCTAATTCAGTTCGACGCTTTTGATTCTCATTTGGTATGAGATCGCGTAAGGAAAAGCCTACCAGGAAGTAGATTCCAATCATGGAGACGTGGAAAATAATAATCTTGAACGACAAGCTGTAGATCGGGTCATTCGTCGTTGACTACTCCCACACATAAACGAAACAGCGCGTGTTAGCTTTCGGCGCCTCAAAACATCCTTTTCTTCCCTGCTTTACCTCTCCTCTCCCAGAGAAAACAAAACACACATATCCCGCAAAACTTACGCAAGGGTCCTGAGAGTTGCCGTTTTCAGATCCCAAGAAACCAACGCCAACGACAGTCCAGATCATAAATATAAGTAACATAATCCTGGTTCGCTGGTCTATCGCATTCGCCCTGCTGCTCGAAATCATCATTGTCTGGCGCTGGAGGATATTGCAGGTCGACACGATCTGGGACAGGAACATGAATGCTTGCACCGTCAACCAGCTGTACAACTGTTCATTGCAGATCATGCTATGACGGCGAATTGCAGGAAACAGGGAGTAGAGTGTGAGGATGGGGTTCAGGGAGAAACATAATTTTTTTAGTAATGAGACAACGTACTTACTCCACTGTGATAAGTTGGGCAATTGTTATGCTTGTCAATGGGATGAGATAGAGGAGATAGCAGGTATTAAAGACCCTAGAAGAGGAGGGAAAAGAATGAAAAATGAGTAAAGTGCACTCCAAGGAATGAAATTTCCTTTGGGGTTTAGTACATTCTGAGGGAAAATCCGGTCAACGCAAAAACACAAAAGCATGTACGCAATGGGGTCATGGCGCGCATGCTTGTGGGAGAGTTGCGTTTGGGCGTATGCAATACGCGGCTGGCAAACAGCAAAGAACACACGCATCCCACCAAAAAAAAGGGGCACAGTTGAATGTCCTCCCTTCCCCATAATCACGGAGAAAGAAAAAAATGACACCATACCTCATGACGGAGCAAGAGGAAGTTCTAACACTGACACTTGAGAAACGAGATCGATGGGAGTGGAGTCGAGAAACGAGTGATTGAGAGAACAGGGACCGCACAAAGTCGCTCAGTCCAATACTTCCGGGTCCGTTGACTGTGGTGTTTGTTTGGTGCGAGGACGAAGTGATGGGGTAGGCCATGATGACTCCACTGTGGGTCTCTGAGAATGTATCCATCTCTGTGGTATTGCTGTCCTGCTGCAGGAAAGCCGAACCAATCGTTGTGGCTGGTGCTGTCGCTGTTACAGAAGAAGAGGGCTGCGATTGACGACCGGATTGTTGTTGAAGGCCAGATCCATTGATCGTTCCCAGGTGGAGTTGTTGTTTTTGAGCAGGAGTGTTGGCCGAATGATCAATGCTTTTGGACGCAGTCTCGTACTTCCTGGTGAGGGACGACGCTGACGTTGAAGACGAAGACGAGAATAACAAGACTGTGTTGGATTTCCACTGTTCGCCCACTCCACTGCCTCCTGCCAATAATGTCGACCTTGCATGACCAGGCCAGGCGGCATTCTCGTTCATCCTAACAACGCTCGATCCACTATTGCTCGATCCGCCCAGTCCTGCAAGAGCAGTTGGCGATTTAGCGTCGCGACTTGTACTAGAACGTTGGAGTTGTGTCGAAATCGAGAGGCGTTTACTACTACTGCCTCCAGTTGCTCCTGCTCCCGCTCCTCCTTCTCCCATGCCTGAACTATCGACACCAGTAAGATTAATTGATCGATGGGCTTGGTTGTAACTGTTGTTGTTGGAGGAGGACTGCATGGGCGACGTTGTGCGAGTAGTAGTTTCGGATAGATTTCTCGGCGGTGTTGTTGAAGAGCGGATGATATGATCTTTGTAAGTAAAAGTGATGGGTATTGTAGTTGTGGTCGTCCGAGGGGGCGGTGACGATGATGGTGGTATTGAGGTAGTTGATAAAGTGGTGTGGATTGGCGGTGAGGGAGTGGCTGGTGCTATCGTGTTGATTGCAGCAGCAGAAGCAAAAGAAGTTGTTACAGTTGTTGCTGGCAGGGGGTGCCGTTTTTTCCGCCTGGCACTGTTGTCGTCTTCAATTGCCATCGTACTACTCCTATAGCAGTTGCTGATACCCTGCAGGTTGCCGCCGTCATGGTAGTTCTGCAGAGTATTGTTGTGATGGCCACAAGATGAGAAAAGTTCGGCGTAGTCGTTGTTTTGGTGAATCGAAGATTTGCAAGACGCATCCAGTGAGGGTTCGAGGGGAGGGACCATAGAGGGTTCCTCCTCTCTCCTGTGGAGCCGTGCGCAACTAGTGGTGGCGCGTGCCGGTGTTGGTGTCAAGGGTGGCGACGGTGATGACGAGTGGGTTATGTTCCGAAGATGACTCGGAATCGCGCTACCACTGCCAGTGGCATGGCGAGTGCTGTTCTCATGAGGAAAGTCTTGGTCGCGACTCGGAATTGGAGACGCTCCTGTAGGTGGTTGTGGAGCTTCTGCGCTTAGTGCCGGGACTGCCTTCATTATAGAAAATTATGCTTTTATGCGACGATCTTGGTGACCCCCGTCTGGAAACGATTGTCCTCTGTACGGTGCGAGGGAGGGAAGGCTGGATAGTTAGAGGGGTGGAAGGGAATAAAGGACAAGTGAACGAAATAAAGAGAGAAGGGGAACGAAGAGAGAGAGAGAGAGAAAGAGAGAGAGAGAGAGAGAGAGAGAGAGGGAGAGAAGGTATAATGGGCGAAATAGGGGGAAAGAAAGATGAGCAGTTGAAGCGAAGAGGCAAAAGGATGAAGTTCGAGAAGTAAAAAATAAACTGCGAGAAAAATCAAGGGATAGAGAAAGGTAAGGGGAGGTGCAATAGGATATAATGTGTCAATGCGACGAAGACAAACTCCTATGGATGTGGTCAGGGCAGGTCAAAACAACAGCAACAAACAGCCAGGAGTAAGGGAGAGAGGTCCAATGATGTCTGGGTTCGAGGGCGTGCTTTTCTCCAACTCCTTGCTGAGAGAGGATGTTCCTTTTTGTGCAAGCAACTGATAATAAGGAGGATTGGACTACAAGTGAAGGCGATGGTGATGATGATGATGAATGGACGGAGTGGATGGGTGTGGCATTAGGTGGCAGAATGAAGAGATAGAGTCGAAAGGAAGGTTGATGACAGCATCAACAGTCGAATAGAAATAAATCGTCTGGCTGCTGGCAAAGAGCACATGGAGAACAAAGAGGCACCTTCAATCGGACTGAGAAAGAGCTATCGAAGCCATTACCATATTGACCATCATCAAATGTATGTCAGCACTGTCGTCACAGGAAGAGAGAGAGCAGGAAAGCAGAGGAGCAACTTGAAGGATTGGCTTTACACACAAAACAGCAACATACACCCATCTTCAACATACTTTTTCTCCTCGAGAAAACAAGGGGCGAGGTGTCACGCCCTACAAATAAACACCAAGTCCACCAGCCACTACCTCCACAATCACTCATGTTTTGCAGTCCTTAACCACTCCTCTTTTTTCGCCTCTTGTTTGAGGCTCCAAGGACACGCATGCAGGTACCAAAACCAAGCAACCAACTCTGAAAAAAGATCCGATCCCCTCTGACAAGGTGCGTCCCGTCTCTCGGATTGAACGCGAAGCAGTGGGTATTGGCGGGTCGTGATGCCTTGCCTTTTTTATTCTTTTTATTTTGTTCGCCCGCTTGTTGCTGTTGTTCTCCGCATGGCGGTTGGGCTCATCGATAGCCTCAAAAATGTTGGTGGAATCGAATGAGAACGCGCCTTGTGTTGGGTTGTGTTGTGCGGGGTGCCATGTGCTGGGTACCATGCGATGAGTGCAGAGTGCAATTGAATCCTCAAAACGACACTCTAGAACGTCTCGTCAGGGTATTCATTGTCGCCCAAGGCCTGCTCCTCCGGTGGCATCTCGAAGCCCTCCTGTAAAAGAAAAAAGAAACGCACAAGTAAGAATGCGCCATGGCATCATGGTAAGTAACTGGTATCCTCTTTCACTTTCACAATTGGAACCCGTCCCCCTTAAATAATAACGGGGAAAGTAAGGGGGCAGGGAATCAGAGGAAGGGAGTTGGAGGAAGGGAAATGGAGGAGGAAGAACCAATCAACCAATCAACCAAACCCCCTTACGCGCTCCTCATTTCGTTATCCTTTATCACTGTACCTCTGTGCTGTAGAGAACAGCCTGGATTTCCTTCAACAGGGCCACCTCGGCAGCCTCGGGGTTCTTTTCCAGATCTTGCTGAATCAACACTTCAATGTCCCTCAGCTTGCCGAAATAAAAATCGCGCTCCTTCTCCAATGCAACGACTGTCGTTCGCTCGGCCTGAAGCTCCTTTTGCAAGTTGAGGACAACAGTGTGGTCGGGACTTGGGTTTCGTAGCGATGTGTTGGCAAGCGCCGATGCACGTCCAGTCATCGAGCGATTGCCTATTTCATCATCATCGTTATAGTGGTGAAGGTTGATACAAAAGGGAGGGTTGGAGTTAGCACGCAATACATCCAATCAGATGTGTGTCGTTCATGCTGCAGCCACTCCGAAGTAAACCCGCCAGTACACTCCCAGAGAAGCAAAAAAGACATACTAGCGCTGGTGACTCTCTTGTTGGAGACGGTTGTCGATCGATTGGCGTTGCTTGATGCAGGCTCGTTTCCAGCTCCTCGACGCGCAGCAGCATCATAATACTCTCCGGAAAAGTTCTGGTCCCAAAACTTCTTGACCCACTGCAAAAACTCGAGGTTGTCCTGCATCTTGCACTTCATCAGGCGGTCAATGGGGATACCCTACAGCAGAAAACAAAAAGAATCATAACCAATGTACACAGCAATTAAACGATTGAACAAAAAGGATAATAACAATTGGTATGTGTGAGCACTTTGAGCAACATGGATTTGGATTTGGCAATGGACTAGGCTTTGCCAGGAATGTTGTCCTGTCCTTGTCCTATCCTCGCATGAATGGAGTTTTTTATACTTTCTTACCTTGTCGATCTTGCGAGCTGTGAAACAGTTCTGGAGGACCTTGTAGTTGCCGAGATACTCGTACTCGTGCTTTGTCGCAAACTTGATGCGATTCATTGGAAGGTCGCCTAGTTTGTTTGATTATATTTTGTAACCGAATTGAGATGCCACCATGCGCCGTTGTTTGTTTGTTCAAGATAGAAGATGAGAAACAGAAACAGTAAGGTTTGTTGTTTAGGCCGTGGTCTTTGGATAGTCATTTAACTCCATCGGGCATCTCTCCTTCGAGTACCATGCCAACAATGATACACCGTCAAGAGACAGCTCTTTACCGTAGATTGAGTCCATAATCTGAGCGTATGCGGCACCTATGGCGAGAACCAATGCAAAAAATGACGTCCAGGTCAGCGTGTCAAGTTCAGTAAGAGAACCTCCGATTGAAAAAACGTCTTTGTCTCCTGTATCCTGCTCGAGCGTTGGCTCAAACAAAAGTGCCACAGATAGTTCATAGTCACAGTCGGCGCTTCGAGCGCCTCATCTTGTTCGCCATTGACCACGAAAGTGTCCATGAAGGTATGCCTCCCACGAATGGGAAGACTCAAAAGCAAATCAGATGCGTGAAAAAAGGAAGAATGAAGCCGTACCTGAACCCAGCTGCTCGACCTTGGTGTATCCGAGGCCTAGGAGCTCGTTGACCCAGGTGATGAGCTCTACTCTGCTTTCTCCCATTGTTTAGTTTAAAAGTGCGATGAAAGAGAGTGTGAATGTGCGTGAGAATGGGTAAGCGGGCGAGCGAAGGTGTGTGAAAAGGGAAAAGGAAAATAAAAACGGGAGAGAAGAAAGAAACACGGCCCAAAGCGTCTTCTCTCTCTCTCTCTTTCTCTCCTCTATGTGAGCAAGGGTCTGTCCTTGCCTCAGTGGTGACGCGAAAGGAGGAGAATATCATGCGTGCTCTGCAAGGCCCAAAAAAAGAAAAAAAACACAGACTCGCATGCTTAGATTTCTTTGAGTCTCTGTCCCCTGAAAGATCTGGTAGAATGTTGTTCTCGTTGTTGTTGTTCTTGTCCATTAAATAACACTCTTTTGGCTGCAAAAAAAAAGAGAAGCTCTTCGTTGTGCTCAATGCATTAGCCAGACACAAATCTGTACTCCATCTATTCATACGTTTTGGCAAAGAGCAATTGGATGCGAACCATGGCACAAAATGATTATTTTTTTAGGAATTTGTTTTATTTTCGGTAAAGCAAAAGAAAAGCAAAAGCAAAATACAAGTTTTGGTACAAGAGAGAGAGAGAGAGAGAGAGAAAGTAAGAAAAACAAGAGAATGAGAGAGGGGAGGATTGAAACAACCGGGGAGAGAAAGAGTAGTTTAGCAGAAAGAATGAGTGAAAGAGATTGAGAATAGATACTCGACAGAAGGAGGGGGAATAGCGAAAAGCGATGCGACCATGGTCCTCCCCATTGCTGACGGCGATGTGAAAAGAAAAGAAAGCAAATTATACAAACAAAAAACGCAAAGAAAAAAATAATAATGAACGGCCGGTCAATTCGGAGCCCCAATACATCCTTTTCAGGTTTTTTTCCTCCTGTCAGCGTTTATCCTCCTCCATTTCCTCTTCCTCCTCCTCCTCTTCCTCCATTTCAAGTCGGTGTTGTTCGAGGCGATGTCGTGTGTTCCGAAAAAGACCCTCAAAAGTAACTTAAGCCTTGGGAGCCTTGGGGGCCTTGGCCTTGGGAGCCTTAGGGGCAGCAGCCTTAGGGGCAACAGCCTTAGTCTTCTTCTCTTTGGAAGCAGCGGCCTTCTTAGGAGCAGCAGCCTTCTTGGCAGCGGGCTTCTTGGCCTCGGCCTTCTTGGTAGCCTTCTTGACAGCGGTAGCCTTCTTAGGCGTGGCCTACATATACACAAAAAGGGAAAACGAGCCGAAAAAGAAAGAAATTAGACCAAATGACCTCCAAAAAAATCACACGACCTTCGAAGAAAAAGAGAGCGTCTCCAGCCTGGAATAGAGACGACTTGGGTTTGCGACAATTACCTTGGCACCATCCTTCTTGGTGGCGGTCTTCTTAGCGACAGCCTTCTTGGGGGCAACGGCCTTCTTGGGCTTCTTCTCCTTGACCTCCTTCTTCTCCTTGATCTCCTTCTTCTTGGGCTCCTTCTTGGCGAGCTTGACGGGTCCGGACTGGCCCTTGGGCTGGGTGAAGTCACCGGCTTCGACACCGCGCTTGATGGCAGCGTTGAAGTGCTGGTCAGAGTTGTCACCGACCTTGTAGTTGCCGCTGATGTACTTCTTCAAGGCCTGGCGGGAGGAGCCGTTGCGCTCCTTGAGGTGGACAAGGGCAGCAATGATCATCTCCTATAAGACCATGGACGAGGACAATGTGGGGAAGAGTATGTTAGCAACCATGCGATGTGCCCATTTACCACCATCAGCTATTTTATCCATTGTTGTTTGTTGAGAATACAACATACCTTGTAGGGAGGGTGCTCAGACTCCTTCTTGGGGGTGGAGGTCTTGGCCTTCTTGACGGGGGCGGCCTTGACGGGAGCATCGGCGACGGGGGCAGCAGCGGCGGCGGTTTCGTCCTTCTTGGTGCGAGCTTGGGTCATTGTGGATAGTAGTGTGTGGTTGCGAGGGAGTGTTGAAGAGGTAGTTTGCTGATGAGGGCAAAAGGGAGTGTGAAAAGTTGATGAGAGAGAAAGTGATGAGAAGGTGGAAAAGGGAAAACAGAAAGCAGAAAAAGAGTGGAACTGGGAAAAAAAAGGGGGAGACAGGAGCGGGAGCGGAATGAGAGCAGAGTAAAAAAGAGAAAAAAAACGAAAAAAATGATTTTTTCGTCGCGTCTGTCGCATGAAATCAGAGCGAAAATGAAGTGAAAACAAGCGAAAAATGAAAAATGAAAAATGAAAAAATGATTTTTTCACTTTTAGCCGAAAACTGAAAACAAGCTCGAAACCAAGCTCGAAAACAAAAAATGATTTTTTTGGGCCGGAGACGCGTTTCGTTAGAGTTCACACGCGTCCAGTACGGAAACATGTGACATGAACCGATTGTCATCGCTCATCCTGCAACTATTCGATAGGAAAACAAACCCATTCTCGCTTCCTTTTTTTTTTTGTTGACGGGGTACGCTTTCTTTTGCCTCCAAGAGTTCGTACTGTAACAGTCCACAAGCTTGCGCGAATTCTCAAGAAAAGCAAAAACAAAGACACAAGCGTAGCCTCCAACTCATCCTCCCTTCATTTTTAGCAATGATCAATTGTCCATAGAGACTATAAAAGTAAATCTTTGTTTCTTTTTGATCTACTTGTTCAATCCGCCATTTTCCTCACGAAGAGAAAACGCGTCTGATCTTTTTTTTTAGTAGTTGGAAGTTCCGTAACACACAGCTCATGATAGCTCCTGTGTACATCCACCAAGCGAAAGCTGACGTGTTTTTTAACTACCCTTCTCCCTTCAAATGGCCAACTGGAAGCGATGTTAGTAGGTAGGATGTACATTGATGAGGCGGTCGACTCTTAAAATTTGTACTCTTTTATTCCACAACACATGTTTTTTAGCATGATGCAACATTTTTTTTTTTTTTTTTGGCACACAGTTTTATTTCTCTAACAAACAGCATAGAGAAGTTATTTGGAAGTAAAAAGGGAGTATTGGTGGATGGTGCACTGAAGAGTTTGGTCTGTCGCAGTCCGGTCCAGAACCTGGCTCTGCGTAACAATTGTCGCTGCTCTTCACAGCTTAAACGGAAGAAAATAAAACTAGATACGAATGAAGGGGATTCTTCCCATCCTCTCCATCATTGACAACCTCCTCCTTTCTAACAAACTCTCCAACAACCGCTCGTCAGCAGCGCGTGGGTCCTTGGTCGCCCCAGGGCACCTTCCTTCACAATGTGTGGCTAGCGAAGCGCCACACGGGCAGAAACCATCGTGCGTGATGTAACCGTATCCTTGACTCCAGTCACCTCGGGGGCCTGTGTACTTGGATGTCTTGTTCTTGGCAGAGATACCCTGGGTCTGCTCCCACGCGATTGTCGCGGAGCACCGAGGTTTCCAGATCAGCTCCGAGACCTGCACCTCCAGGTAGCCAACAAACTTGTGAAAGACCGTCTTGGCGATGGACATTGGGGTCGGGAAGACCGCGGACCATTCAGTCAACATGCTCATCGGAGTGATGCTACGGAGGAGATCCGACACGTTCCACATTGGGTTCTCGTCTCGATCGGGAGCAGGACTACCGCTGTGAACAGCTCGAGCTCCACCGATAGAGGAAAATCCTCGTACATGATCCGCATCCGAAGGGGGCCACCAGTGTTTTGGTACTGGCCTCGGTACCTGACGACCCCGCATGATGCAACATGAAGTTCAGCACAAACAATAAAAAAAAAATGAATTAAATGGCGATAGTACAGTGCCCACAACTGAATTCACAAACATTCTTCGAAGCAATTGACGCCTCTACACTGCAACGACTAATTGTCTTGAACGCCGTCGATCAACTCTTTTTTCTTTTCTCTTTGTTTGTTTGTAGCGAAAAGGGCATATCATCGCATCGCCGTACTACTTCGCCAGAGTAAAATTCCACGCAACCCAGGCCACATAGTTATTCACATGCACATCTGCCGCGAGATGATCAACGATATGTTCAAATGCTCTTTTCTTTTGGGTAAATGAACAATTGGTGGGATACCAGAAAGGGGCATGATGCTCCTCAAAGGAATTAGTAGCATGCTTATTGCAACAAGCTTCTGTGTTACCTTGCTTTCTATGACTACGAGAATGTTGTCCTAAGTTGTTTTTTCTTTGGTGGCCGACCAATTGAGGTATAGTGTGCATGCACCTCTCAATTGCTATTTGAGAGAGAGGGAAAGTTGTTCCTGACCCACTCGGTAAGAAAGAAGACCGAGAGATAACGAGAACAAAGGGTTTGGAAGCAAAGCGAGATATGCAAACCCGGAGGAACTGGTCATGAGCACGTAATGGATCCTGTAAAAGTAAAAAAAACCATTGGGCGTAGAATCGTAGATAGATACGGGGACGGAGAGAGATAAAGAGAAGTGACGATGCAGGTCTGGACAGAGTAACAAGAGAAAGTATGGACACGCACAGGTAAAGTGAGAAGGGAGGCTATGATGTCATTAGTTCATCAGTGGATGAGTGCCCCAACCCTATTTCATTTGGGTCTAGCATTGTTTTTCTCGCCTTTGTGTGTGTGTGTGTGTGTGTGTGTGTGTGTGTGCGGCATGTCTGTTTGTCTATCTATCTATCTCTCACACACTCACTGATAGCGAACGAGTTAAGCGAACTAATTCATGAGAACGATGGGCACTCTAGCCCTCTCTCTCATATCGATTACCCGTGTCTGTGCCTGTCCCTGTCTCTTTCTTCAGCCTCTTACTTCTTAATCCATCTCTTCATTTTTATTCTCTTCTTTAACGATTCATTCTTCCTCCATTCCTCATTCGCTTTCTCTTCCTTTTCTTTTCACACATTCACCGCCACCACCATCACCACCACCACCACTACCAACGAACAAATAGCTGGGTACTCCCAACAACACCGCCACCTACAAGATAGCCAAACAGCAACACACACATACACGACATGTCCTCCATAGCCACGCTTCACTCGACATCCTCAACCATCTCCGTCAGCTTCCCTCTCACCGAGCTGCCCGAGACAGCACAGGTCGTCCTCTGCGAACGGCCAAGGCTCATCAATGTCACCCACCAAATCCCCTTTGCCTGCACCTTGATCGACCGCACAGGCCAAGCAAGCAGCACCGGACCCAACGCAGCACCCACGCTGAGCAACGGAGCTGGCTCCCCAGCCAACAGGAGATCGTCCTTTGCTGCTCCCCGTCACCTTGCTGCTTCATCTCCACCACTCGAGTCCGATAACACCACTACCACACCCGACGGCGTCAACGGAGTCAATGGGCTTAGCGGTGGCGGAGGCAAGATCGATGGCGATTGTATTCTTGATCCAAGACGGGGCCATTCAGCTATGTATTCCGGTATCCTTTCGCTGGGCAAAGATTATGAGACGGTCCAGATTGGATGGGTTGGCGAGATCGCAGACCAGGACGGATACGTTGTCCCCTCCAAGAACCTGACCGAGGCGCACAAGCAGAACCTCAAGGATAGGCTCTGGCAAAAGGAGAAGGTTGTTCCCATCTTTCTCGAGGACAGCCGCGCAGCTGGACACTACGAGGGCTACTGCAAGACCGGTAAGAACAACTGCTGCTTGTGTACTTGTGTGTGTGTGTGTGTGTGTGTGTTTATGGGGTGATTGTAGCACCGAAGCGTAGTTTATCCATTGGGGCTTTGGATGGATGAAGACGATAAGGGAATGCGAGCGATGTCATTGTTCGCTCATTTCTCTCGGTTTTCGAGTCCCTCAAAATTCTAATTGGTTTTTATCCTCCATCTTGACCCCACTCCCCCGCCTTTCTTGCATTTGCAAATCGAAACATAGTACTTTGGCCATTGTTCCACTACCTCCTTTGGGACGAGGCCACAGACGGCCGTCAAGAAAAGAACAATTGGGACGACTATGTCTTTGTCAACCAGCAGTTTGCCGACGCCATTGTCGAACAGTACCAGCCTGGCGATGTTGGTAAGTACCCTCATTTCGACCACTCTTGCTAATGGATGTGGAGCTGTGAGAAAACGCATGTTGAGACTTACCACCCCTGTTCCTTTTTTCATATTTTTTTCTCACGGTGGACGCTAGTGTGGATTCATGACTACCATCTGCTGTTGGTGCCTCATATGTTGCGTCAAAGGTTGCCAAGCGCAGCGATCGGCGTCTTTATCCATGCGCCCTTCCCTTCGTCAGAGATTTTCAGGTGTCTTCCCAGTAAGTGTCATGTCAGCGGGAACTTTTTTCTCCATCGTGCCATGCACGTTCGGTTGGGAAAAACGACCAACTGAGACATGTTGGACTAATACCCTGCTCAATCCAATTTCTTTTCCATCACCACAGAGCGCGTTGAAGTCCTGAACGGTCTTTTGGGCGCTAATCAGATTGGTTTCCAGGTGAGGATCACTGTCGTCTCACTTTATTTTGTTATGTTTGCTCAGCACGTTCTCCTATCGTGCAAATACCATAGGTCACTAACGCTTCGACTCTCTCTTTTTGCAGACATATTCATATGCTCGCCACTTTATTAGCTGCTGCACACGCGTCAATGGCTACGAGTCGACTCCTCGGGGTGTTGACGCTATGGGATCCACAGTCTGGGTTGGCACTTTCCCCATTGGTATTGACGCTGAGCGCGTCGAGCGTCAGCGCAAGGCTTCCGGCGTTCTCCCCAAGATGGAGGCTATCCGCAAGACTTACAAGGGCAAGCGCATCATTGTTGGTCGCGACAAGCTCGATCAAGCCAAGGGTGTCCAGCAGAAGCTCCAGGCGTTCGAGAAGTTCTTGAACGACTATCCCGACATGCAAGGGCAGGTTGTTTTGATCCAGGTCACGTCGCCTCCTCTTGTCGAGAATCCTAAACTGGAAGCCAAGATTTCCGAGTTGGTCGCCCATATCAACGGTACCTATGGCTCTCTTAACTTCACGCCAGTACACCACTACCACCAACACATTGACCGCGACGAGTACTACGCCTTGCTGTCTGTTGCTGATGTCGGTCTGATCACGTCTGTTAGAGACGGCATGAACACGACCTCGCTCGAGTACATCATGTGCCAGAAGGAGAACCATGGTCCCCTTATCTTGAGCGAGTTCACAGGTACTGCAGGAAGTCTTGGTGGCGCCATGATGGTCAACCCCTGGGACTACCAGGGAGTCGCTAGAGTCATCTACGACGCTCTGAACCTTACTGAAGAAGACAAGATTGCCCGTCATTCCGTATGTCATGTCCCTCTTTGTCATCACCCGCTTTTTACGCGTTCTCTTTCTTTTTCCAGCGCTAATCATCCATTGCGATCTGTCATTTTCGCCACCAAATAGCAACTCCACAAGCATGTGTCGGCACACACTGCCCAGTTCTGGGCCAAGAACTTTATTTCGGAGCTTATTCTTAACGTCGGCACCTGGGACCAGTCCGCACCCACGCCTTACCTCGATCAAAGCGTCATTATTGAAAAGTACAACTCAGCCAAGAAGCGTCTCTTGATGTTTGACTACGATGTAAGTTTTATTCAAGTGCTAAGGATGTTAAGTTTACTGTTCGACCCTTTGGAGACAGAATTACTCACATCGCGTTTTTTTTTCTGTTGTCTCCAGGGCACATTGACACCTATTCGCAAGACACCAGGCGCAGCGGTGCCTCAAGAGCACATGCTCAAGGCTCTGACGGCGCTCGCCAATGATCCCAACAATGTTGTCTGGGTCATTTCAGGAAGGGACCAGAAGGCCTTGGAGGAGTGGTTGGGTGAGGTTGAGAACCTGGGCTTCAGTGCCGAGCACGGTTCATTCATGCGCCAGCCAGGTAGCAAGAAGTGGGTCAACCTGACTGAGTCTCTCGACATGAGCTGGAAGAGCGATGTCATTGAGATCTTTACCTACTATACTGAGCGCACTCAAGGTAATAACCGCGCCTAATCATTTTTCAGCATGACCTCTCCTCCCTTTGATCTAACCTCAACAACTATTTCTATTTTCTTTATAGGTTCGTTTATTGAACACAAGAGGTCATCGTTGACATGGCACTACCGCATGGCGGATCCAGAGTTTGGCCAGTTCCAGGCCAAGGAATGTCAGAACCATCTCGAGAACGCGGTCCTCTCCAAGCTGCCCGTCGAGATCCTGGTCGGCAAGAAGAATCTCGAGGTCCGTCCTACGATCGTCAACAAGGGCGAGATTGTCAAGCGATTGATGATCCAGCACCCGGATGCCGAGTTTGTTCTCTGTGCGGGAGACGACAAGACCGACGAGGATATGTTTAGAGCCTTGGCCGGTAACGGAGGAGCAGCTGCTCAACGTCGTGAGTCTCTTAATGCCAACAACCAGGCTGCCCTGGAGCCTCACACTGATGTTCTTGTTGCTGCGACTGCAGCCAAGATTGCCCAGGCGACGTTACAGCATTCTCTTGGGAAAGCCCCTCTAATCTCGTTGGACACCAAGAACCAGCATGGTCCTGGCAGCAACGGTAGTGGAGATGGCAGCAACTCGCACTTGAAGCCTCCGGCACCATTCGGTGTCGCCACACCCCAACAGCCGTCGATCCCTGGTTCCGTCGTCAGTGCTGAATCTGTCGTCAGTGCTGAATCCGTCGTCAATGTCGATTCCGTCGTCAGCGTTGGTTCCGTCGTCAGTGTTGGATCGATCTCTCACCTGGCGAACGAGCACTTTTCAATCACGATCGGACATGCCCTCAAGAAGACCCTTGCCAACTGGCATGTCACCAGCCCCGAGGAGTTAATCCGTGTCATCGGTATCGTCTCTGGTGTCACCGATCTATAAACACTCTATCTGGGCTGTTCGACAACAAAACCGCTTCTTCCCCCCCCCACAATGTGACATAAAAAAAATCAAATAAACTTTTAAGATATCCTTGCAACAAGTCCTGAAAAGCGCTGCAGACGTGAGTAGATGTACCAACATTGCGAAAATGAAGTGCGTTTTTTTTATTGCTGTCATCCCAGAAGCATTTTGTCTTTAACAAAAAAATGCAAGTCGAGAGAGAGAGAATGGAGCAACTTAGTGAGCGCGACGGGAATCGGCGATGACAGCGGTCATCTCCTCGACCTTCTTCTTGGCGCGGAGGAAGGTTCCGAGCTATTATGGGAAAAGTATAAAAAAAGGATGAGGGGTTAGGATCTGGGTGTGGAGAATGATAGCCTCCTGGCTTGTCGAAAAAGGTTACTGCGATTAGAGTCCAGAGTCGGTCTCCCTTTATCGTTGGCGCTTCTTTGCTTTGTGTGGAAGGTCCCTTCTCCTGTACACATATCGATAGTGGGGTCCAGTGCCACTAAAGGTGTCGAAAAAGTGCCGTACTGTTGTTGAGGTTGAGCTGATGATAGATCGTCGTTCTTGTAAATGGCTTTCACTCTTTTTAATAACGAGTTCTCCTGTCGCTGATCTCTGTTGCCGATCCTGTGGTATGTGCATGTCCCGCTGTAGCTGCTGCTGCTGATCTGAAAGGCGTTGTTCCTGTATTGATCCCACGGTGAGGAAAAAGAAGGATACGTACTCTCTTCTTGGCGAGCTTACGGGCACGCTTGTCCTTGGAGTTCTTGATCAACTCCATGATGCGGCGCTCGTAGGGAGCAAAGCCAGCAACCTCACGGATGAGGGAGCGAACGAAGACGACGCGCTTGCCAGCCTAGAAGGTGATAGGTGATATGGAGAGAGGTTGGGCGATTGATCAGTCTGCTGGTCTGGAGAAGGGGAAGATAGCTTTTCCTTGCGTTTGAAGACGGGTGTGTCGTCGGTGTTGCTCCTGTTCTGTCGCTTGGAATGAGCTGTAAGCTTATATAGTGTGAACTTTGTTGGTAGCTTGTGGAGTTGTAAGTTGTTTCCTAGTTGTGTTCTGTTGTTGGGTTCTGTTGGCAAGAGGGGAAAGAGGTCGAGTGATGCAGGGTTCCTCCTGGTGTGAATTGGCGAAAGGCGAGTTACATGAGATGTTGGGTTTGTCGTTCTTGTGGTGCACGAGTGAATTCCTGAATCATAGCCTCCCCATGATCTTTTCGCATGGAAAAAAAAAAGATCCTTGATGAGATGTAAGTGTCGCCTGTAGGTTGTTGATTCAAAAGTTCTGTGCCGAGTCGATTCTGTTCCTGTCCTGTCCCGAACAGGCGTTCATATATGATATGAAAAAATTAACCTCGGTCACTCCTGTATCCATCGACGCCTGGGTACTGATACAACCATCCATCGATCGCATGATGATGCCGATGATGGGATCGATGATCCATCAATGCAGACTTACAACGCCCTTCTTGTAAGACATGGAGGTCTTCAACTCACGGACGGTGGTGATGTGTCCGTGGTTCTGTCCAGAACGGATACCGCTTCTCTGAGTAACAGCCATTGTTGAATGAATTTGGAGAGAAGGAACCAAACTCGCCGCACCAGTCACCCCATTCATATTGCGACTACCTATCAATTTTTTGTTGCACTACCCTTAACCTTATGACCTCTCTCTCTTTTCTCTGATTCCTCTGTCGTTACTGGCTTTCTGACCAGACTCCAAACATTGGGAGGCTATGGGTATAAAAAGTTTTCAGCCCTTGGAACGGTTTTGATCCTCCTTTGCGAGCTTCCTTAGATCCGCTTTCCGGAAGGTCAAACCATCTCCTGAGGGCATTCACACTTGTGGGTTTGTCTTCAGTTGATGGTGGCCTTTCCTCTGCCTTACGCCGAGTTTAATGGAAAGAGCATGAGTCAATGGCACGCTATAGTAATTCCTTCACCACTTTGCCTAACCTGATCTACAGAGACTTGATCCTCGGATCAGGACTTCGTAGCATCAGGGTCCCTCTTCGATCCCGATTTTACTCCCCTCAGCTGATCTAGTCGATCTTGCAACGCCCCGCTCCACCACCCCAGGTTCCTCCTTCCTTCCCCAATTGCCTTTTCAACCCTTTTACCCATCCCAAAGCACCTGTCTATACCTTTGAACCACACAGACCCAAAGTTTTTTTGGGTCGCCGAGGTTCGAAGCAAGGCGGGTGTGGGTAAAGCTGCGGGGTTGGATTGGTGGTAGGGAGGGAGGGGGGCAGGTTTGGGTGGAATGTGAGTGGGATTCATGTGTTGTGTTCGGTGATGAAGGCAGTTGCTGTTGGGGAGGAGGTGGATCTGGAATTCCTACAAGGAGGGATGTGGCCAAAGATGAGGACATTCTCTTTTATTTTTTTTTCCCAATTCAAAATTATAACACGCTTGAGTAGAGTAGCTAGGACGGGTCAAAGAGAGGACAAGAAACCAAATAAACATGCCATAACGTGCAGATTTTTTTTAATGCTTGTTATTCTTGAGGATTGAGAAAAGGCTATTTACAAGTTGTATCCATCCCTTTCATCAAGTGGATAGATGTGCGCAGGTCAGCCAGAGAGAAAAATGTCGCCCGCCCACAGTCAGTCAGAGGAGGTCATCCGTCAACCTTGACCATCATTCATTGCTAGTCCTTATGAGAGGTATCGATCTTTGTGCTGTGTCCAGTGACGAGCTCCTTAACCTTTCTCGAGACCTCAGCGACCACACCTCCTGCGGCAGCCAAGGGCAGAGCGACGACCTTGGCGGCATGTTGACGGGCCCCCTCCTTGTTCGGGTTCGGGTCTGTAAAGGGATCTGAGGTTGGATGGCGTTCTGCGGACGGACGAGTGTCTGTCTGGTGGTTCTGGTTGTCTGCCATACTGGATGTTATGTCCTGTGTTGCTTGGTTGTTGGTTGTTGAGTGAGTAAAGTCCCGGTGGTTGAGACGAGTAGGTGTGTTCTTACTTGAGGAAACGAGGATACGAGGATGGTTCTTGCTTGCGGTGGAGTTGTTTGGAGAAGAGTAGAAGAAAGGAAGAAGAGTTGGATGTTTGACCAAAGCATTACCGGGAGAAGTAGAATATGCAAAGCATGTAGGATCCTGATGTCATTATCAATGTTGTACGCCTCTTCTTTGTATCATATCGCAGGATTGGATCGGTTTCTTCGCAGTCGTGCATTTTCTTTAAGCTCTTCAGCTGTTGCTACTGCTGCAAGAAGGACTTCGCGAGTAATGAAAGATAGTAGTGGTCTTTTTTCATTTATTTCCGTTGGTCAAGCGCCCATGTGTTGATATCGTGCTGATCGATTTGCCGGACCTGCTTCCTTCTGTTGAACTTTCTTCCTTTCTTCCTTTCATCCAAACACCAACCCAAAAATACTGAACGATAACGAGAGAGAAGCGGCTTGCCAAAACAAGGCCAATCATCCACTCCATGAGTTGAGCGGGGAATAGAAAGTAATCATTACTCACGTGATCATTTCACGATTGACATTTCCTTCGGAACAACGTCACATTTGAAGTCTACCCCGGTCCTCCCGACAGGCTTTCAGACGGAGAGAGGGCAACAAAAAAAAAATATTTCCAAGTCGTATTTATGGCGTGGTCCGTCCCTTTTTTTGCTTCTTTCCTTTCCTCCTCACCATCCCCTCCCCACTCTCATCCCTAATCTCATCATGACCTCCATCCAGACTCAGGCTGCTGTCGCCCCCACCGGCGCTGCCCTCTACGCTCGTTTCGCTTTGGCCGGTGCCATCTGCTGCGGTGTCACCCACGGTGCCCTCACCCCCGTCGGTAAGTTGATCGTCTCTTCTCTTGTTCATCTTTCTGATCTGATCAAAAACACGACAACATATTATATTATATGTGCCCCTTGGATGCCCTGTGCGTCAACGACTCTTTTGTTCCTCTGATAACTCATACTACCTTTTTGTTTTGCTTCATACAGATGTCGTCAAGACCCGCATCCAGCTCGAGCCCACCGTCTACAACAAGGTACGGTATCGCAGTTCGTATACTCTGTGGGACCATCTCTCTTTTCCTGTCCCGACTATTCCGAGACCCACCGCAACAACAAACAACAAAGCAAACCAAAAAAGAAAGCAAACCGATCCTTCCCTTCGACGGGATCAATTGGAGACGTGAAGGAAGCAGAGTATAAAAGCTCAATGGCTTCAGCAGTAACGAATAGCTCGTGCTCGTTGTTCCCGCGAGTCCCACTTTCTGTCCCTTGTCTGTTTGGGTCATTCTCTTTCCCTTCTTCTTTCTCCGACACCTTTCTTCTTGCAACCGATCCAATACTCTCCTCCCATGTCGACACTGTAGACGAGTCACCCTGTTTCAGATTGAAGGGCGATACGGATAATTAACTCTTCTCCCTTGTCTTTCTCAATTGCAAACCATTAGGGTATGGGCGCTGCTTTCCGTCAGGTCGTCAAGGCCGAGGGTGCTGGCGCTCTCATGACCGGATTCGGCCCCACCTTTGCCGGTTACTTCTTGCAGGGAGCCTTCAAGTTCGGAGGTTACGAGTTCTGGAAGAAGACCTTCATTGATACCTTGGGCATGGAGACCGCCCAGAACAACCGCACTGCCATCTACTTGGTTTCGTCCGGTATCGCCGAGTTCTTCGCCGATGTTGCCCTCTGCCCCCTCGAGGCCACCCGTATTCGTCTCGTCTCCCAGCCCACCTTCGCCAACGGTCTCGTTGGTGGTTTCTCCCGTATCTTGAAGGAGGACGGTCTTATCCGCGGTTTCTACTCTGGATTCGGCCCCATCTTGCTTAAGCAGATCCCCTACACCATGGCCAAGTTCGTCGTCTTCGAGCGTGTCTCTGAGGCCTTCCTCGAGGCTGCTGGTCCCAAGGAGAACCTTTCTGGCGCTACCTTGACCTCCATCAACTTGGGATCTGGTTTGATCGCCGGTATGACCGCCGCCGTTGTCTCCCAGCCCGCCGATACCCTCCTTTCCAAGATCAACAAGGCCTCCGGCACCGGTTCGATCACCTCCCGCCTCGTCGGCCTCGCTGGTGAGCTCGGTGTCCGTGGTCTCTTCTTGGGCTTGGGTCCCCGTATTGTCATGGTCGGTACCCTCACCGCCTTCCAGTTCGCCATCTACGGTGACATCAAGAAGGCTTTGGGCGCTGCCGGCGGTGCCGAGATCGCCAAGAAGTAAATACTTCTTGACTCTCCAAACCTTTCTTAATCCACTATTACATCCCCTCCATCATTCCGCTCATCCCCCTTACGCCATTCATCCAAGAATAAACGAAATATGCATAGATTTTTTTCAACCCGATACAGTCGTCTCTTTTTTTGTTCGCTCTGTTTTTTGTTCTCGATATTCTTTTTTGTTTTGTATGTGCCTGAAAATGAGTCAGCCAAATGAATGACAGGAGTTGCGCACGACCTCTGATTGAAATGCAGAATACAGTGGACGCAGTGCACTCCTGTGGCTTTTTTCTGGTCCTCTCGTTTCGAATTTACCACATGAATGTGGTTGATCAACAAAAATATGCATGTGTCTATTTCACTTTTACTTTTTGTCCACTTACCCTTTTGTCATGTAAAAGTAGAGCGATTGAAGATGGACTGGTTGGTAAAACGCCACCAAAAAACCTGACTAAGGCCATGCAGTGGCGTTTTGATCACGTTTAATGACCACAAGACATAAAACATTCATGAAACCAGGATGATGATAGCTCTTTGGCTTTTTTGTGTGGTGAGTGTGCCTGACATTTTTTATTCTATGCATTCGCGAAACCTATCAACAACAGAGTGCTCTGCCATCACTCCCCACCGCCAAAGTCTCAACATCCACGGATGATCAACACATACACACACACACACGTTCAGGACAGTATACCTGCTCACTCGCTCACTCGTCCGAATCATATTCCTCCGCTGAGGACAGATCGCTTCCAGTGTTGGTCACCGAGGCCGCCTTCCCTTCGCCATCGACCGCTTCCTCTTCCTCAACGCCATTCTCATCGTCATCAATTCCTTCATGCTTGATGCAGACTGTGTTCTTGCCGGTGGAAGTGGACTCGCCCTGGCGCAACGAGGTGGAAGGTAACATCGGCTCCTTCGAGGAGTTTGGGATCGCCGACAAAGAAGAAGAAGCGGGTCTGACCGGTGCTTCGGTCATGGTGTTGGCGCCAGAACCGACGGTGGTCGAAACCACAGCGGTGGGAACTGGTGCAGTAACAGCTTCAGATTGAATACCGTTGGCGACTGAAGGGCTGTAGGGGAAATCCGAAGGTGGAGTGGGATGGACTCGATGACCCTCTGGCTGGCGGTCATACTGCTGCTGGCAGTTGTAGTGATGTTGCTGTCCCTGCTGCCGTTGGTGATGCTGGTGACCGTAGTGCGGCTGCGTGGGGTATGAGCGCGACGAGTAGAGCGCCGACTTTGAGCGCGATGGCAACTGGCCCTGCTGCTGCTGCTGTTGGTGTCGCTCAAAGGCAGCTCCAATACCACCGTGGTTTCCACCATGGCTGCCCTCAGGACTGGGCAAGAAAGGCTCGGCGTCGTCAGGGTAGAAGGGCAGTGGGGACAAGGACGGATGCTGGCGTTGCTGACGCCAGTCGTTCATGTCATAACCCATCTCCCCTCCTCTAGCATCTCCACCGTCATAACTTCCGACGTCTCCAAAGACTCCGTACCCCTCACCATCATCTGCGCCAGACTTGTAACCCTGAGAAAGGCCAATCGAGAGAGGGTAAGACCTGCCCCCGGATGTGGGTTGATCCGCCATAGACATCGAGATGGGCATGGATGCTTCGTCAGCGACAGTGTCGTCGCAAAGAACGCGTCTGGAGGAAGAGCTGGAATTTTTTTTCTTCCTGGCTGGTCGACATTTGGTCGACATACGCGACACCGCAGTCTCATGGACGCTGTTAGGAACTGGGGCGGTGGTGGCGGTGGTGGAGCCTCGACCAGCCGAGCGATTGTTACGGCGTTGGTGAAAGCTTCTGCGGCTCGACGATGACGACGACTTGAATCTGGACTTGTGTAGCTCCGAGGGTGGTGGCGAAAGGTTGCCTGACATGGTGTCATAATGCTGATCAAAGGGCGTCTCTGATCGCGCCAATGACTTGCCCGATCGGGCACGTGATCGCTTGCCAGTGCTGACAGAGGGCGAAGCCGATACCGATGCCGAAGACAAGGATGGCCTAGCCGACGTCGAAGACACTGCACCATTGCCATCAAAAGAGACATCGTTGGATGCAGGCGAAGGTCGGACCAACGATTTGCCATGTCGAGCAATCAAAGAGCAGCCGTTACAAATCAACAAGTTGTCAGGTCCCTTCCTCCAGACGGGGGTCTGAGTCGTTTTGCAGAATGCGCACGGGTCGTGCTCGGGGAGGGTTCTGTGGATTTTGATTGTGCCGTCCTTTGACCTGAAGAATGGGCGGGCCTTGCCATGCAGCTTTTGGCTAGGAACAAAAAAGAAAAGGGATGGAGAAAGTGGAAAGAAAGAGGGAGAATGTCAATTTCGTCGCTCAATTTTTTTAAAAAAAAAAGTGTCGACCGCGGTTACATAGAACAAAGAAGGAACAAAAAGAATGAGGAGGGCACTTACTAGAGACCACAAGCGTTGCAAAGCAAAATACGACCTTGAGGGCACCGTCTCCAGCTCGGAGTAGCAGTCGTCTTGCAGTTATGACAGAACTTTGGGTCAGGGTCCGTAGCCTGCATTTCCTGCTTGGTCATTGTTCGACCCATCGCGGCCGTAAATGTGGCATACTGCTGGATTGACGAAGGAGAAAGCGGGTCTTGCGGATAAGAAGAAGAGCCCTTGGATCCGTTGTAACTCGCGGGAGAAATACCGTTGTTGTTGCCACTCATATTGAATGGCGGCAAGAAAGCTGATATTGATGTCGGGTTGTACAGACTGTTGCTGGGCACCGTGGGCGACGAGAAGGTGTCAGAACCACCCATCAGCACAGAGGACGGCATACGATCATAGGATGGGAGAATGGGCGTCGAGAACCCGTGCGAGTAAGACGGTCCCGGCCCAGATGCAGAATGCAAGAACTGACCACCAGATCCAGATCCGGTTCGAGTGGACTGATACACGTCCATCGACGAGGCATAGGATGGAGAGCGGAGCCCAGGAGGACCACTGTAGTAACCAGAATGAAGGTACGAATGGAAACCCCCAGACGACGACGAAGAAAATTGCGGAGGCAAGGGATCATGCATAGGAGAAGCCACCTTGTGAGATGGGTAACGTGCATATTCGGCCAGAACCGCTGGATCGTCAAGTCGAATTGGAGATGACGGGTAAGGCGAAGACTGGTTGTACCCGGACCCAGATTCAGACGGCCAGGCGGTGGCGCCGAACGAGTGAGATCCGGCTGCGATGTTGTTTGAAGTAACATAGGAGGCCAGTGAGACGGGGGCACCGTTGTAGGTAGCAGTAGGGAAGGACGGCTTGCTGCTGCCAGAGTGATCGTCAAAGGGCGACGAACGCAAGTCATCCCAGGTGGAGAGCAGAGTTGGGCCGTGGATAGCGCTCGAAGCGGGAGCCCAAGTCTGCTCCATGATCGAGGCAGAGTGTTGCTGCTGCTCTTGTTTCCAATCGGTGGCCGAGAAGGTGTTGCGATCCTCAGAGGCCGAGGCACCGTCGGAGGTTTCACGCATGTAGGAATGACCTGCAGAGGTCTCGGTGGTAGAGAGAGGGTCACCGTTCAACATCGCGGCTGAGGAGTTCGGGGGAGAAGAAACACGCCAAGGAAGATGGCTTGCTCGAGGAGGAGGAGTCTTGCACTGCGACTGCGTCGTCGTCGACGAAGCAGTGACTGCAGCCAGAGACATTGATGGAACAGTCGATGACGGCGGCGGCGTGTCAGACTTTTCATCACCAACAGCAACACCATAATCCCCGTCCGACAAGAGCTTGGATGGCGAAGGCAGGACCAACGGAGAGATCGAAGACGACGAGGTCGAAAAGCAAGAACGCAAAGCTGCACGCTTCTCATCAGAAGAGGCAGAAAGACCAGGGTGGGCAACGGTAGTATTCTCATCACCAGGCTGAGGAACAAAGCCCAAAGGAGCTGCCGATGCAGAATTCAACTCGGTCGAGTCCTTTTCATCCAACACCGCGATGCAATGGTGGTAAGGAGGTCGTTGCTGCTGGTGGACGTAGTTGGGATGAGTATCCGCGTGGCCAGAACTAGCAGCAGAACCGCCGCCGTCACCTCGGCCGACATCTTGACTGACATTGATGTCACCACTGTTGGGGGTGAGACCAAGCTCATCCCCATCGCGGCCATCGCCGTTGGCGCTCAATTGCTCGATGGCATCGAACTCTTGATAGATGCCAAATGTGTCAACCGAAGGACGACCGGCAACAGCAGCAACAGAGGTAGCATGGTTCTCATCACGCTGCTGTTGTTGATTCGGCTGTTGACCAGGAGCAGGCGGAGGATCGACGTGGTTGTCACCGTTCTTGTCCTTGAACTCGGGATCGTCGTCGTTCAGGAGTAAAAGCCTGGCATCGGTCTCGGGGACGGGTTGCTCGCAGAGTGGCATCACGGGCGGCTTGGTTCTTTGTTACAAAGGGTGGTTGTGTAGGTTTGTGGTTTGTATCAAGGGGATGTATGACTGTTTTCTGTAGATTTTTTTTTCTCTTATGAAAGAATGATATGGTCAGTGGTTAATGGTTGACGAACTGATGTGGGGTTGGAACTTGGAAAAGGATGAGTGGAACTATGGTAGGATTGGTATGGGTATTGGAGGGTGTCTGTCTTGTTTCTTGGAGTGAAGAAAGACAAAGGGAAAGAGTGATGAAAACAACGAGAAAATGATGCCTTTTATTTTGTTTACTGGATCCCACTATTCACTTTTCACCTATAATTCGCGTTCCTCCCTCTGTATTTTTGCTTGCCGTAAAAAAAGGCGCATAGAAAAACTAGCCAATATATCGCCCCAGATAGTTCTTTACTCTATAGCAGATACGAGCCCCTCTTAGTAAAAAATGCATAAGAAAAGTGAGAGAATGATCAGTTGAATAGAATACATTGCATACAGTCGGCCTAGGCACACTCCACGGGTAACCAGCTCGGATGGATCAGGAAATGAGTCAAGTATACTCACTTCGCTGTCAACACCACTTTGGCTGTTGATCGTCAACCTGCTTTCAAACACACAATCACAAACAAACTCACGCCATACCCGTACACCCGACACCATCTCAAAAGCCGCATTTTGGTTTACTTTTTGTAGTTTTCTCGTTCGAAAATCTTTTTTTCCAACTTCGGATGCGTCTTTGTCTCGATGCCTGCTTAATATGAATAAAAAGAATGCGAGTTTGCAAGGGGGGACCGCAGGAAAAGTTACCACCAGTCCCCCAGAAAAGCGAAAATGAGGCGCGTGTGGGGGCGCGAAGAAAAGGAGGCCACGGAGGACTAAAAGAAGGATGGGAAATTAGGCTCTTGAGACAGAAACAATAGTGAACAGAGAGAGCGAGAGCGTGAGAGACCAAGAGACAGAGTGTCTTGTTGGGAACTTCGGGTTATTGTCTCCGTACCCATTGGGTACTTGTGATATATCGAACTCGACTCTTAATGACGGGCTGGGTAGAAGAGGAGAAAAAAAACTGGGGTGAGGATACAAGGAAAGACGTAGTTCAAGAAGAAAGCCTTTATTCCCATCAGCTTGGCATTGCGGCGATATGGGAGAGAGGCCCGCGATGAGGACTGAGTGCAACTTTTTGTTCCGCCGTAGTAGAAACTGAATAGAGTTTCCTTGTAATGCAATGGGTAAACCTCTAATATATGCGGTTGTTACCCGGGGAATCGACTGAATGACTAAATGGTATTGACTGAACTACCCCCACCTCCCCCCCAATTCTGCTTTACTGTAAACAATAGCTGCGCCGTTTTAATCGTGGTAATACCATGCACCTTCATGCAAGGTGGCCTTAAGTTTACTCAATTCGTGGTTGGGGTCATTCCCGCCCCAGGCCAAATTCTCGTCCATCAGGAAGTTGATTGTTGCCAGAGAAAGGCTTTGCCAAGCACCGTGGTCGATTGTGTCGTCTTGTTTGGTCGTCGCGTTGAGAGGGAGAATGTCGAGGATGTCTGAGATGCTCGCGTATTCGTTGCCGTCGAACGCGTCGGTAGTACCTCTGGTGGTTGGTCGTAGTGTGGATGCGTCGGTGAAGAAGGACGTCAACGAATCGGAGGAAAGAGATGGAGATGGTGATGAAATGAATGATGAGACGGAAGACGAGGAGGAATGGTCGAATGAGGACCAGCGGCGATGAGAACCGACAAAACGCTTGAGATGATTGTAGTCACGCTCGAGGTGATGACGGTGTGCCATTGCAGTCTCGTCCAAGTCGTGGTCCAGGTCAATAGGCGCGTGTTGCCACTCTCCAGAGCGCCAAACGCCCTTCTTCCATGGACTACCTTGCCGCAACAGGGTCATTATCGATCGGGGACCGCCTTGCTCGGGTTGACGCTGGCTCCTGACCACGAAGAGCCCACAGGCCATGTGACAGAGCCCGAGTAACTCTTCCTTCAACATCGTCTCGCGTCTGATGCGCTCTTCCATTATGGCCCGTCGCTGCCTCTGCTTCTTCTCCATGCTGGCTACGCGTTGTTGGAAGCTGTGGAGCTCGGATTTTTTAACACGGAAGAAGTCATCGAAATTGTTGGGGTCTGGTAGCTCGGAGGTGCGGCGGCGGTGCTGATAGGGGTCCTGGCATCCAGACTGAGAAGATGAAGTAGGCTGCTGGGCCTGTGGACGCGGCGCATCGCCAAACGTGGGTGCTGAAGCGGTGAACAGAGCAAAGGTTGGCGATCCAGGCGAGAACGAGGCAGGAAGGCTGCAGGAAGTGACACCGCGGTGGGTAAAGAGGACTTTGGTCTCGCGTACATTTCCTCCGCAGGTGTAACGGCGCCTCTTGGCGACAGACCGGATCCGATGAATCATCTTTCTGAATCCACGACCGATGGGATGGTGCTGTTCGGTGACTTCCTTCTGGCGATGACGAAGGTTTACCTGTTCGGATAGATCGTTGTTCTTGCTGCCAAGATCGCGAATGGCGGAGGGGACGCTAATAACGACAGGGATGTTGTGGAGCTCTTGAATCTGGTTGTAGATCCTAACCACATCGGTAAGGCAACGTCCCCAGAGCATGGCTTGGAAAGTACTCTGAAGACGACGAGGAGGGGTAACGGTACGCCGCTCTTCATTGTCCCGCTTGGGTTCGACAGGAGCATCCGCGCTTTCAAGCGACTTGGGATCCGGGTCGACCGCAAGATGAGGTCCCATCTTGACCGAGTACTCCTTAGGCTCGTAGTCATAATAATCGGTATCCAGAACCACCCGCCCGTTGACACGCAGCCCGTAAGCAAAGCAAGAGTCGAACTTGGCGGTCATATAACGCGCACAGTTGATGATAGCCCGGCGGTAGGCAAGATCGACCAAGTTGGAGTCAAACAGCAACTGGACGAGCGACCAGAACCGATCCTTGGTCGCGGGGAGGAGAAGACCAGTTTTGTCGACCATGGCCAGCTTGGCGACCTGGGAGGAGATGTTCTTGGTGGTCTCGTATTGATTTGTCCAGAAGGCGCCCATGGCTGGATCGTTTCCGCGCTCCATGGCAGAGACGAGGGCGGCAGCGGCAGTGGCAGGGTTCATGGCTTGGAGCACGGTCTCGGGGCCTTCCATCTCTTGGTCCCCGCCTTGGCCTTGGGAGAATGGTGAGGATTGGAACCCATCGGAAGACTGGAACCCCTCGGAGGACTCGAGGACGGCGGCAAACAAAAAGTTGGCTTGAGAGACCCAGTACTGGCTACGGATGATGCCACGGTTGGGGACAGCTGAGGTGGCAAGGGCTGGTAGGGATGGGGGTGGTGGAGGTGCTGAGACATTGTTGGTGTGGTTGTTGTTGATCACACCTTCAACCATCGCGTTGTCAGTCTGCAACTGACCGGCCATAGCATTTTCAGCTGGTGTCTGCTGCTGCTGCTGCTGAGTGAGCAAGTCCTCTTCGACAGCGGCATCGGCATCCTGGTTCCCAGCCTCATTACCAACACCAGGACCTGGCTCCTCAGGCGCATCATCAGGGAACGGCGGAATGATCATCCTCAGCGGCTGATTATATGTGATCCAGAAACGGTCACGCATATCCTCATAATGCTTCTCGTGGTGAACACCCAAAAGCTGCCTGTCTGTCCAGACATGCTCCTGTCGCAGGATCCGAATCGCTTCAAACCCAAACCGCTGAGAACGGGACATGAAGGCCATGACCGCCGACTGCATGGTCTTCGAGACCTGGCTCAGCTTCCAGAGGTCACCCGGGGTCAGGAATTTGATGAAGTAGATCAGCAAGACTGGAGGCAGGTCGAGAGGCGAGAAGCATTGTTCAAAGTAGAGGCTGTCGTCCTTGTCGGAGGTCACCGCGGAAGAGTAAGAAGCAGTAACTGCAGTGGTGAACGAAGATTGGAGTGCAAGATCGGCAGAGGATCGGGAGTGGATTTGCTGGTCATGGTCCATGGCAAAGGCGGAGAATGAGTAGCCTTGGTTCTTGAGAGGAGAGGACGGAGAGGGAGACAGATCAGCTTGGTTGTCCTGCTCGAGGACGAAACGATCAATTTGGAGGCGTCGCTGGAACGAGTTTCGGAGTTTTCTTATCGACATCTTGCCTTGGTGGTACAGGGCGAAGAAAGGCTTGAGGTGGAGGTAAGAGAGAGGGGTGGAGGTAAGAGAGGGATGTGGGATGTGAAGGGAAGATGGCTTTTTTAAGGTGCGGAGAACTTGGAATGGGGTCTTGTATGCTGTGATCGAGAATGGCGGTAGGCCGAAGGGAGAGTGCTGGCGGTGAGGGTGAGTTTGGGGGTGAAGCTGAGGGTAAGCAAGGGAAGGACTTGAAGGTAAAGGTGAAGGTAAAGGTGAAGGTAAAGGAGAAGGTGAAGGTGAGGACGACGAGAAAAAAAAATAGTAAGACGCGGTACTTGTTTTTATACTCATTTCATCGCTTGATCGCCTTGGTTTGCCGCCTTTTGTAAAAGCAGCGTGCTAATCCCATGTAAATCAAGTTAAATAGACAAAGAAACCGGGCAAAGAGAAATCAAAATAGCGTCGCCACCATGGACCCTTCTTTGTCCCCCAAGGATATAGCACAAAGTCAGAGCGCAGGGGTGGAACGATCAAAGAGGCATGGTCGCAAACTGTGGATTTCCAGTTCCATCACTTTAGCCAATGTCGTGGATGTGTAATCCACCTCTTGGAATAAGTGTACTCTTACCAGCCACTAATTGCAAGGACACTATTGTGTTTGGGGTTGAACATGGTTTCCTTGAATTGGGTATGCGAGGGATTTGAAATGGATCGCACTTTTTCCAAATGAAGATGACAAAGAAAGCCCTCTCTTTCTTTCTTACCCTTGGCCTCTTTGATAGTTGCTGCCGGTGACCACACCTCATTTACAGCGATATGTGGTTGAGTCGTGGTCGCGCGATTCTAACTAGAAGCAGCTACCTATTAAGATGTCGCACTGCGACTAGGCAAGTTTCCTAGCTAACCCTAGACGAGGAGAGTTCATGACAGCTTACCGCGCGACTGAGCCCTCTTTATCAGACGCGACCCTGTCTCTCCGCTTGAAGGCGGTCACAAAAAACATTTTTCATTGCTTGGAAAAAAACTCTGCGTTTTGCATCTCTTCACACCCTTCCTCCCCACAAACTCATTCACAATGGCCATCACGATCCTGCAGCAAGCCCCCTCGCCCTCTGAGGCACGCATCCGCCACACCCAGCAAAACGTCACCGTTCACATCACTCCCGCCTCCAAGGCCTTCCAGAACCCTGGCACCCTCTACGTCGCCGACGAGTATGTTCAACTCATTGACTTTTGCCTCTTTCGTTGTTCTGCCTCTTACCTTAGCTGCCACTAACCAATACGTTTTACGTTATGATGCTGTAGGTCGCTGTACTTTTTCTCAGAGACATCAAACTCAGGATTCGCCGTCCCTTATCCATCAATTATCATTCACGCCATCGCACGCGAATCCCACGTCGGACCCAGTATCTACTGTCAGCTCGAGGGGTCCCTCGGCTCCTTTGGATCAGCCCACACCTCCACCCCCATCAGCAATGGAAACGGAGCCACAGAGGAAGAGGACGAAGACGAGGATGCAGTGTTGGAGTTGAGTTTTGTCCCCGCAGAGGTTTCATCGCTGGACACCATCTACGAGAACCTCTCCTACTGCGCGTCACTTCACCAGGACGATATGGATGATGAGGACATGGATGGCGAGGGAGACTACTACGAGGACGATATTAACGACCACGAGGGACTCTATGCCGATGCCGATATCCAAGGAGGATATATCCCAAAGTCTAGCAGCGCTACAGCTATCGGCACATCATCATCTTCAGGAGCACAAGAAGGAGAGGTGGAGCAGGTCCCGGCGATCGATTTGCAAAGTGGTGAGTGGTACACCGGAAACGCCGAGACAGATGCCAAGTTTGAGCTGAGCGAGCAAGGCCAGGTAATGGTCCAGCAATGGAGTCAGAACCAGAATCAGGAGGTTGATAGCACCACTGGCATTGCAGGAAAGCGTGTTCGACAGGAAGGTGACGAGGCATCGATGATGGTCGACGCATCTGAGGCAGGAGAGGATCAGGAAGGGCAGGAGTACACAGAGGAACAGGAACAGGAGGCGCGGTCAAAAATGTGGCGTGCCTACTAAGGGCGAGTCTTTCGCTGGGCGAATCGATTTCGAACAGTCAACACGACCCCGCCGAACTCGGATCACTACCACCACACCCTTACAAAACCTCACTCGAACACTCGAATTAAAAAAGTACCAGAACCCCATGTTTACGAATCTTTTTTTTTTTTTTTTTTATTGCCTCCGGGTTTTCTTTTCTTCCTTCTGCCTTGTGTCTCAACTTTGTTTTTTAGGCGGCACTGGCCAAGATGGAGAGCATGCTTCAGGACCCTCACGGACTGATCCCCAAGCCTGAGGACGAGGAGCCAGGCGAGGACGCCGAGGAAGATCGCTTCAAGGATGTCGACGTCTGAACATGCAGTGTAGTTTATTGAAATGTTCTTTGCAAATATATTATGTTGACAAAAAGACATGACGGGTCGTTTATTATGGTACAGGGTGGTGTTAAATAGTGGGTGGGGTATAGAGTGTGGTATTTTATATCCTTTGAGATGATGACCCTCCTGTCGTTGCTGTTCCTGGCGCTTGTACAAAGTGGGAAGATCCAGTAGAGGGCGGAGAAGAAGATGAAGACGAAGAAGAAGAAGGGTCTTCTGTCACCACCGCCTGCATTTCCACAATGTCGGCATACTGTGGTGGCAAAGCCTCCCCCAGGACCCGATGTTGCTGAGAATGATGATGTTCAATCCCGTTCTCGTTATCCCCCTCTTCCGCTTTTGGACGATAGGTCGGCAATTCGTTTTCCCTGGCCAAGATTTCTTCGGGGGATGCATGGGGGTCCGTGGCAGGGTGATCCTGGAAGGAGAATTCGTCGATGTGGTCGATGGTTGTTAGGTCAAGTGCCCAACAGGGTAGCCCGAGGTTGAGTTTGTAGGCGAGTCGAATCAACCAATCTGACCGTGTCCTCCTTGTTCCCGTGATTGTTGTATCTGTGGAAGGAGAAGAATAGGCCCTGGGTCTAAGGCGGTAGAGTACGCCGTAGTGGGGCATGTCCTGCTCGTTGAATGTCAGGAGTAGCGAAGCAATTCCCTTGTGTTCCTGGAGAAGGAAGGAAGTCGGAGTGAGAAAAGGGGTTTGATTGGATCCAGGTGGACGTGGTTAGTTTCAAGATTTTTGTTTGTTTGGTCACGTCAAAAGCACGCCATCAACCAGCCAATCGAGCCCCTCTAGGATAGCCATTCAAAGATGGAAAAATAGCACACCATCGACTCTTCTCTTGCATGGTGGGAACAAAAAGGGCCATGGAGGTGTACCTTCTCTATCCGCGAAAGGAAGGCCATCTTGGAGATAAAGAGTAGGATCATGATCACAATCACGCCCAACACCCAGGGCTTGCCGTCAGATACATGGAGGGCCAGACAGGTGGCAATCAGGGTGATGGTGATCAATAGGACTGCGCCCAAGGATGCAATATAGATCGCGGTTGAGGGGTGGTGTTTCGAGAGGTGGTCCTGGATGGCCTGCAGACGGAGTTGAAGGAGTTCCGAGGGGTAGTCTCCTAGGTTTCCTTCGATCACTGCATGCCCTCTTTCGGCGGCTTCTTCTGCCTGGTGTGGCTGTTGGTGTGCGGTTGCGTCGAGGACAGGGCGGTTGAGTGTGTGGAGTAATGGGAACGTCCTTAGAATTGCCATTCTTTCTACTATTGTCGTTGTTGTGTGCTGTTCTGTGTGAGGAGGTGCTTTGTTGAGGGAGGTGAGGGTGTTGTTTGAAAGGGGAGGAGAGATAGAGAGGAAGGGTAGAAGTGAATGTGAGAGTGAGAAGAACGAGAAGAAAAGGAATGAGGAATGAGGCTGGGGTGGAATGAATGAAGTGGAGAAGGAGGAGAGAAAGGAAGGGAAGGAAGGAAGGAAAGTAAACGAAAGAAAGAGAAGTAAGGGACAGAGGGGTCAGATAAAAAGAAACAATCGGATTGTTTGACGCTTGGACACTTTTGACTCGTGCTTACATACTTGAGAGTCCTCTTCCTATTACACGTTGACACCCTTCTCCTAATGTGGTCAATTGTTCAATTATCTGTAATGAAGTATCATCCACTATCATCAATTGCCTCTTCCCTTGCTCACTCTTGACTCTCACACTCTGCCCTAGTTGTTCCTGGTCATCCTATGTCTCTCATGCAGACCTGCAGAAGCAGAACTCCTCCTCCCCGCTTGGACACCCGCTGAATCATCGCATAAGCTGCAAAGCGGCAAAATGCATTTCCTGCTTCTGAATGTGACTGGGGATCGGATTGTCCAAGTTGGCCAAACACTCACACGCGAGACAAGGCATCCCCTTTTGGCCTTCTCCTCTCTGCTCTTCGCTTCCTATTGTTCGCGAAGGACACCCGCTCAATCACCATCGTACACGTTCATTCCCATTCCATACCCTCTTCCCCCTTTATCTCTACTAGCATCAACCACTACCATAACCCAATTCATTCGCAATGAACTCATTAAGAGTAAGAGAACGAAAACAGATCTTGCCTCCTGAAAAGACGAAAGCGTTAAACCCCTTGTTAACTGCCACCGATATTAACCGTAAATATTCCCTTAAAACACATAGACAAGGACAGCAACGACGGCGATCAGGATCTGCAGGAGACACGCCTCTTCCAGCGCAAAGGCAACAGCATCAAAAGCAGCAGCCTCAGCATCCACAGAACCATTGTTGACAAAAAAGAGAGAAAGTCTGGACCCAGCTCAAAACAAGGACAAGTTCCTTGTCGGGAACCCACACCCAGTTTCAAACCTCCGTCCAGTCTTATACCCCATCCCTGCCAACGAGCCCAAGGAAGATCGACTCTTCCGGGAGAGATGCGAGCGTGTCGATGCCTTCAACCAGAACTTTTGGGTCAACAATAACGCCATGTTCAACAAGGCCAAAGCCGAATTCGAGGAGAAAGGTATATACTTGCGGGACTCGCTCGGATGCGCCTCTTGCTTCGATGGAATAGCTGGTTGGAGCTACAGTGTAATCAAGACATACTAACGTGCTTCCTACTTTTGACATGGAATGATACGATTAGTCCGCGCAACGAACGGAAACCAACCAGTGACGACAGACGAGCTTTCAGTGTTCTACAAGGACTTCTTGGACAAGGCATACGAACGACAGCTCAACTACAACAAGCAGTGGTGGATCGAGAACATTGGCCTTCTCCTCCCTGCTGCAAAGGCCGCCGTCAGGAAATGGACCTCTCGTTCCTAGTGGGTATGCACCCCGCCCCTTCGCTCGACCAGAGGAGCCAGAAGCGACATAATTATTTAGAATAAATGCATCATGCAGTTGTAACAACTCGACACACATGGGTTCGACATGGGAGCTCGAAAATGCACTGGAGCCAACAATCTGGATGAAGAGTAAGGAACGATAGTGTTCCTGGCACGAACATCATATACCCAATATGCAGTTAGGTCTGCATTGCTACGCAACTTCTTGCTGGACATCTTTGACTGCGCTCAGAATGAACTCAGGAGTAAGTACTCAGAGATTGTATCTCCTGTTTCGTTCCTGCACTTCAGCAACAATCCAGGCCTGTCTGTAGAATATAGAACGGGATGCACGAAAAGTGTAAACACAAGAAAGCCACTTTATGTGTGAGCCTTTCTTGTCTATTCCCTGCCTTCTTTCAATGCAATCCACAAAACAAAACGAACCCCACATAAACTCTGAAGCCGATAACGCCGAAGCATTCAACATTGCCTGTCTGAACCTGGGACTTCTGGGCATAATCTACACCGCTACGATCAAAGTCCAACCCATGAGCGACTACCGTCTCCGCGCTATTGATTACTATGAGCCTTTGGAGACTTTCTTTGGTGATGAGCCGGATGCGGGATTGAAGTTGAAGGAGCTGATGATGACAAACGATTCGACGGAGCTGATTTACTGGCCGACGGCGCGGTTTATGAAACACGAGAGAAACGAGCATTTCTGGTTGAAGCAGTGGAGGCGTACTACCGACCCTGTCGAGGACTCAGACAAGTGCAAGGACCAACTGCCAACCGTCGACCGCCCGGCTTTTCGCAGCCTTCAAAGTCGGCGATATCGTCAAGGACCTCCCCGATGCGATCCACTTCGATGTTACAAAACCAGGTGAGGGCGCCGGAGTTCGTCGAATCTTTGACAGCAGTACCGCCTTCAAAGGTTGACTCCAACTTCAGAAACGTCGTCGAGGTGATGAACGAGCTTGTGGACAAGAACTGAGCTTTCTCATCGAGCGAGTTTCCGAGGAGGTTGTTTACGGTTATGGAGGTGAGGTTTCTTCGAGGGCCGAGGAAGATGATGTCGTTTGTGTATGATGAGGGGGATGAGGAGGCGGTGCTTTGTGTGATCAAAGTGATGGGGTCAAAACTTGTACCAGGGTTCTTGGGGTTCTCGGGGGAGGTTCTTGGTGCATGGATGAACAAGTACAACGCCAAGTAAGTTCCCTCTTCCTCTCTTTCTTCTTCTAATCGTGTGCGTGCGGTGTTGTTTCTTTGCATGTAAATCACTGTTGCGACGAGTAACGCAAATATGTATATTGACGAAAACCTCTCGTGCATAGTATAGACGTCATTGGGCAAAGCAGTGGGAACATATTTCGGGTGTGATCCCTATGCTCTGGGGACAGTACAAGGATCGATTGGACGTGTTTAACCAGATCCGTAGGACTCAGGATCCTTTTGACATGTTTGTCAACGATACCTGGAGACCCCTTAATGAGGTATGCGAGGAGTAGTTGAAAGTTTGAAACAGGGCGACTTTTCGTCTCGTCGCATACCTATAATAAACCGTCAATAGACATATACCATTCGCGACAAAACTCTCTCCAGTAAGGCGCGTCAACGTATCTTCATTTTGACCCCTGGAACTCGAAGTATTGGAATAGTGTACCTTGATTGATAAGTGGAAATAAATTGGCAATCAGGGTCATCATGTATGACGGAAATAATATACTGGGTAGAATGAGGAGGGACTGGGTGCGGCGGCGATAACCCAGGTCGGGTTTGCTCAATAAAGGTACTGGGTGGCGTTTCTGGGATGAGTCCATGGGTGCAATGTGCATGAGAAGATAAACCTGTTATATAGCCGCGGGAAAAACGGAGACATTCAATTGAACACAAAAAGAGGTGAGCCCTCTTTTTTTTTCTTCCTGTGGAAAGACAGGACAGACTATCGACGAAAAGGAAAAAATCCAGGTACGCCCAACTGAACAGCCAGCCAGCTCGCAACTTTTTTTTTTTGTTGCTCTGCTCTCTTTTCTTTTATTTTCTTTTCTCTTTCTTTCATTTTTCAACACTTCCCTTCCTTACTCACCAACCACACACACTTTGAAAAATGACAACTGATAACCCCACCCTCGACACCCCCACCCCCACCAGTCTCAAGCCCGCCGACGCACCCATCGAACAAGAACCCATCGTCATGCTCGGATCCCCCATGGCAATCGTCGACGGCGTCTCGTTCTCCTCCGGGGACAACTGGACAAACTTGGCAAACACCCTCTCCGCCCAACCCGAACGCCTCTTCTATCCCAATACCCTTGAAGACCTCCAAGTCATTATCCGTGAGGCGACCGAGAACAAGAAGAAGGTCCGCTGTGTCGGTAATGGACATTCTTGGTCGGGCACCGCTATTACCCAGGATTATATGGTGTCGATTAATGGGATGAACAAGATTGAGAAGCCAATACAGGGGGAGAATGGAGAGTGGACGGTGACAATTGAGATGGGGGTTGAGGTGAAGGAGTTGGATGAGTTTTTGAGGAAGCACGATCCGCCTTTGGCTTTGGCTTCTAACGTTATGCCAACCGATGTAAGTCCTTTTCTACTTTTTTTCATTGTTATCCATCGACACTTCGCTCCCCTTCCTTTCTCTGAAATGTGGGAAGGGAAGGGAGAGCCGCACGTTATTCACCGCCCCCTTCTTTTGGTTCTCGATTGGATGGAACGTGTACAACCAAGAGGCTGAGACTGACACAACCTTTTTCTTTTTTTTCGAATGACCTAGATTCGTTATGGAGGCATCCTCACCATGGGTTGTGTAAGTCACCTCACTCGTCGCAAAAGAAACGTGTTACAAAGAAATCACTACCTCTTCCTCCTTAAGATATAGCGACTCTAATCCTCCCATCCTTCTCCTTCTCAAATAGCACGGCGCAGGATTGGACGGCAGAACAGTGAGCGACACACTAACCGAAATCACAATTGTCAACGCCTACGGAGAGCTCCACATCTACTCTGAAGCCGACGACCCCGAAGCCTTCAACATCGCCTCCATCAACCTGGGTCTCCTCGGAATCGTCTACACCGCCACCCTTAAACTCGTCCCCATGTCCAACTACCGTCTTCGTGCCATTGATTCCTATGGGTCCCTGGCGGATTATTTTGAGGGCCCCAGGGCCGGGTTGAAGTGGAAGGAGATGGTGGAGAGGAATGATTCGACAGAGATCTTGTATTGGCCCCATAGTACGTTTCTGGGGACGGAGAGGAATGACCGATTTTGGTTGAAGCAGTGGAGGAGGACGTTGGCTCTTGCTGAGGATTTGGAAAAGCTTAAGGATCAGGCACCTAGTGTCGATCACCCAGCGTTCGCAGCTTTTAAGGCTGGAGATATCGTGAAGGAGATCCCGGACGGGATCCATTTCGGTATAACCCAGGAAGGCGAAGGAATCGGAGAGGCCAAGATATACGATGCCAGTGCCGGGTTCAAACTCGCTCCTGATTTCTCAAATTTCGTGGAATGCTTTAATGACTTGGTGGAGAAGAACTATGCGTTCTCGACGAGCGAGTTCCCAAGCAGGATTGGGACCTGTTTGGAGGTGAGGTTTATTAAGGCTTCGAGGAAGATGATGTCGTTTGTGTATGATGGAGAAGATGAGAAGGCGATCTATTGTATGATTAATGTGCTGGGAGCCAGGGAGACTCCCGGGTTTGTGGAGTATTCACAGGGTGTTCTTGGTGGGTGGATGGACAAATACAACGCCAAGTAAGTGCTCCACTTTTTTTTTTTGTTTTTTGTTTCAGTTATTGTTTTTCGGCATTATCCATAGGAACAAATGTCTAACAAAATAATCTTTCTCCGCGCGCGCTTTTTGAATAGACCCCACTGGGCGAAGCTGTGGGAGCAGATCCCGGGTGTGATCCCTGCCCTCCGTCGAGAGTACGAGGACCGATTGGCGGTTCTGAACCGTGTCCGCAAGACCCAAGATCCCTTTGACATGTTTGTCAACGATACCTGGAGACCCCTCCTCGAGTAGCACGAAGAAAAGCAGCGAAGTTGCTGTTAAAGTAACATATCCCAAATATACGAATATATAAACCAAACGCGTCCTTTGTCTATGAATGGTTAGTTGGTGGTGTCGTGTTGGAGTTTAATGATCGACCTTTCGCTGCTCTATGTCGTGAGGATATCTGATAGTGGTAAAATAAGTCTAGTTCTTTCCAAGGATATGGTAGATCATCTTGGTGACGAATGGTGAAAGCACTTGCTCCTCGCGCTGGTAGAACGACTATGACACGCGTAAAAAAATAATATCAAACAGATCGCGTTAGTCAGCCACCTTCTCCCATTCATCATCTCTCGCACAAGTCTTCAATCATCCACAAAAACAAAAAACAAAAAAAAAAGTGAAATACCATAACAAGAGACATAGCAAAGGAAAAGGTCATAACCTCCCAATGTCTAACGCCCTTCACCCAATTCTTGCGGTACAGAATCCTGTACAACGAATCGGCCGCCTTAGGAATCACATAGAACGCCAACTCTGCACGTCGACTCTCCTGTTCGATCATGATGGCAGGTATGGCACTGCCGAGACCAAAGAGCCAGTAAAGGTACTTGCTGTTGCCCAGTTTCCATCCGGCATTGAGGAGGTTCCGGTGTGTGCAGATCTGGGTCTGGTAGTAGGCTACAAAGACTGCGAGGAAGGCGGAGGACCGGAAGGTGTTGAATGTTGTCTTTGACAATACATTTACCGGACTATGGTAGAAAAGCAGATTATATCTCTGGTCAGTGAATAGAACAAGAATCAAACATCCCTTGATCTGAGATCTCATTGAAGCCTCAAAAAAAATAAAACGCAGTACAAAGGATATTAGGTAAACTTACTCCTTGAGCAAGCGCTTCATGCGGAGGACGACCAAGGGCACAAAGTTCAAGGTCGCATAGACAGGGAAGATGGTCTTGATGACCCCAACAAAGCGATCAATACTGGTTTCCCGACAAGAGTCGACCCAAGGATGCAGACCCGCACAGGGCAAGGCATCGACGGTCTCGGACATGTTGGCGACAGTCTCCAGTGTCAAGGCGGTGGGGTTGAACCGATCGACCATTGCCCGAACCTGCTTCAAGTCCAGAGGGAATCCACGAACACGTGCCCTGTTCATTGCCAATGCTTCGGCGGGCACACGCGCTGTCTTGACCATGAATTGGAAGAACTCCTTTGGAATAGTGTCCGGGTGCATCTGTTGAATAGAATAACTTTAGTTAGGCATAGTAAAAGTAAAAATGAGCTGCACAGCAAAAAACATTTTTCGGATCCGATATGAATGAGGGGACAATAGAAGGAAGGACTTACGGTGTAGGCGTACATGACTTGGGCGGAGCCGATGGCGAAGAGGAAGGCGTCACCATGGCGGAACGAGAACTGGCCTCGGTACTTACCAGCATTGTAGACACCCTGCATAGACCTATCAGGCCGATCACATCCGTTGTTGTCAAGAAAGCATTTGATATTAGTAAGCGCATATACATTTTGCACTGTGAAAGAGAAAAAGGAGATAAAGGAGCCAAAAAAAAAAAAAAAAAAAAAGATACAAGAAGAAGGGGGAAGGGAGGGAGATGTCGAACATGCTTCTTGTTGTATTACCGGATGAACATCTGTTGGGCAAAGGTCACTCTTCTCTCAGGGGCTTCGATGAACAGGGCCAATCCAGCAATGGCACCTTTTTGTTTGTCAATGTTACGCACACCACATGCAAATGAAGGGAAAAAAAAGGAGATTAGCAGTTGTCCACGGACCCTTGTCCGCTTTTTACATTCGCTGATCTTCCTGTAGTCCTTTGGGTTACCTGCGATGGCTCCGTTGATCCTGTCGTCGGTGCCTCTGTAGAGTGTCAGACCATTGTTGACCAGCTTCCAAAGGAACGAGAACATGCCAAAGAAAGATCCAAACCGCAAAGCATCCACACCCGTGAATGCGTCCTTAGCATTCGTCAGGAACGATCCCCTGTTGTTCAAGCGGGATCAGATTAGCAATGGGTCCTTCAGGGGCAAGGTTAGTACATAGCGCATTCGACATGGCAATATCTAATGTTACTTACTTTCCCTTCATGACTTTGAGCATGCCCAAGCACAGGTTAACGAGTGCTTTGGCTCCATAAGAGACTCCGAACGATCCTAATTGTCCATATAGAAGCAATTCAATTCAGTCAGTCAACAGTGGATCAGGGACCAAATTGACTCCTACTTCAACGACAGAAAGATAGCACAAGGCAAAAAAGGGGACTTGAGCAAACGAGTACAAAGATAGGCAAATGGATTCGTACGTATAGCTCCGAAAATGGCATGCTTGAGGACACCCTCGTAGGTCTTGCAGGAGTGCGTAAGATAAGGGATGGAGACACCCGACTTGTAGTTCTTGCACTTCTCAGCAGCCTCTCTTCCCTCAGGTGTGAGATAGCCCTTGGGTCGCTTGCCATTAACCCAGCTTGCCTTTTCGTCCTCTCTCTGCTGTTTGCGGGATCTGTGGGTCGATTTGGTTGTAGGTTTAGTAGGTGTGGAGTCGTTGGTGATGGTCTGGCTCGAGGAGGCGGAAGAGAGGGACTGAGCGGTAACTGGGGTGGTCTCGTCTGGAGTGGCAGGGGAGGGTTCGACTGGTGAGGAGATGTGATCAGCCATTGTCGAATGAGGCAGGGGAGTGAAGAGGAGAGGAAAGGGAAAAGAGGGAGGGAAGGGAGGGCGGATGAGGAAGAATGAATGGAAGGTGAACGAAATGGAGAGATGTAAGGATGCAAAGAACGGGAAAAGAAGAAAGGGAAGAGATGACTTTGGCTTTGGGCCTTGACCCCACATACCCGCGGACTTGTAGAAAAGTAAGATGTTCGTGGTAAACATATGAATCTATGTGAGCCACGGACTGGACGTCGGTTGGCTGGTCCAACAGGAGGCATGAACACAGACACACAGACGCATACACACACACAAGAAGCAAACATCAACTGGTGAAAACAGCAAGGCACGTATACACTGCTAACAGCGATCGATCGCCTACGAAGGAGACGATGGATGGAGGAGACGACGGCAATTGATTACCCTAGAGTCAATTGCAATAGCTTGCTCGGCGGAGGAGTACGAATGGTTCCATAGATATGAAAGACTAACTGCAGAGAGCCAGCAGATCCCAGTGAGTTGTGGAAAAAATAAAGTTGGGCAATTGGATTAAACATTGCAAATCTTCAACAAATGAGCAGCACAAACACACACACAGCCTGGTGCTGGGTAACAAGCAATTGAACACATCTGTCATCCAGGTTGATGTTGACACTTGAACACGGCAACACTAGTTTTGGGATGCCACCTCTTTTTTTCTTTCTTCTCCGTGTTTCCAATTGATATCACATCAGCACGAGGGAATCGAACACAAGCAAGCTTATTTTGGTGGCGTATCAATGGTTCCCTTGGCCTTTCTTTTGTGTGTGTGTGTGTGTGTGTGTGTGTGTGAGACAATTGTACGCAACCATGCAGACAGACACCAAGCTTTGTTTTGTTAGATCGAGAAGAGAAAGAAGCACAACTGCACGGATGTCCCTGAAAAGGGTGTGTCTCTTCGGTCAACAGGACGTCAATGGATGCACCTCCGAAAACAAGAAGAAGAAAAAGAAGTAGAGGCACCCTGATCTGTTTGTCTTCTTTCTTGTTCAAGGAACACGAAGAAGAACAACCATAATAACAAAACCCTTGGGGTTGCTGACAAGAGCTACGAGTGAGCCAATCGCATCTCGCCAATCGCTCTCGCCTTCATTTTCCTTTCATTCACTTTCTCTCTCTCACACACACACTCTTTGGTTCCCCACATATAGTACTTTCATTGCAGCCTCCTCCTCTTCTTTTCTTCCTCACTCCTTTTTTTTTTCTTTTCTCTTTCCTTCTCTCCCCTTTTTGCCACCACTGCCACTGCCCCGACCACCTTCACCACCCAGCCCTTCGACACACACTCTCGTTATAGTTATCCTCACGGTACAGGAAAGCAATGTCGTCGGCATTCCAGTCCGAGCCCGCCAGACCCATCGCCCCATTCGCTTCAAGTCTACCCTCAGCCATGGACCGCTCAAGACTCACCCCAAACTATGCGACTGCCTCCTCCTCCTCTACGGCAACCTCGTCCGGCTTCTCAGGTCGACGCAAGTCAACCTCCTCAGCACCAAACGCAACCACAACAACCACTGCTCCGCCCCCATTACCAACTCCAACCCCAACAGCAACAGCATCAGGACGATACCAGGCAGACACGTCGTCCGTCTTTTCACAGACTATCTCAGGACTTACCAATACAGGAAGGACATTCTCCACCATGGTTTCCTCTGGACTGCAGCAACCCCGTCATCATATCATGGAGCTGCTGCATGCATTCGACGTCTCTGATTTTGCATCCTCAGCACGCAACACCTTATCCACCACCAGCAGCATTGTGTTCTCACCCCTGACCGTCCAGGCAGTCAAAGGTGACCTCACAGGAATAGCCTCACTCACAGGACTCTCTGGTATGGCTCCACATCTCATGGCAACGCAGTATATCCGGAGAGCAACAGCCAATGCCCAAGCACTCGCCCTGACCGGTTCACGACAGGCCATCCCCATGCAGGCAGACGAGCTGTTGGTAGAGGACATTCCAGAACCAGCCGCGCGGGTATCGTTATTCCAGGGTTTTAAGGCGTCCTACCCACATTCTAAGAACGGCAAACGCAGCAAAGGCCACCATCGGCGGAGGAAAAATGGATTCGGTGAAGGTAACTTACGACAATAACATATTATCCCACTCCTCCGAGGGAAACTCTGAATGGGGCTTTTTTGCTCGCATTTTTGTTTTTGTGGTACCAGCCAATGCACAATGTCATATGCTCACCTTTTATATATATGTCTTTTTATTCCTTTGGTTCATTGGATAATCGATTCTTGTGATAGTGGGTGAGAACGATCCCAACCTGGTGTTTTCTTCGCTGCTGAGTGAACGAGAGCGAACCATCAAGGAGCAGGTCAAGCTGCAGTCGCAAAAGGCAAGGATTGCACCACCTGCGTTGATTTTTTCATTCGGTGTTTGCGAAAATGCGCGCGAAAGAGGATTGACGTCGATGGTTTTTTTATGTTGGGCCTAACCGTGAACATTTTACGATGTCTTCCTTCAGACGGTAATCCAATCAGAACTTGGTCAAGTTGCGGCATCTATCGAGACCCTGGTAGCCCGCCAGAAGAACCTTCAATACAAGCTGAGCAAATTGTCCGAGCGGGAAGATGACCTTGCAGATACTTGTAAGTACTTTTCTTTGTCTCAAGCAAACAACACCCTGACCGGTTCGCATGGCGAGTACAAAGAGCACGAAACACAACACAAAGCGGAAGAGCATTGGTCTAACAGTAATCTATATTTTCGTTCTATCGTGCCATATTAGTGGAAGAGTTGAACGACAAGCTGGCAGCTGTCTCTGAGGGCGCCAAGGCAAATGATGGAGAACGTAAGTCCCCACTCTCACTCCCTCTATTAGGTAAACACTCTGCCAGAAATCATTGCATAAGACTTGCATTCTCACTGAAGCTTGCGTCATTGTCAATTGTTGCACCCTGGAAAAATAGCACTGCAACTGGGATACCGCGAAGAGACACTGGACTCTGGAACCTGCATGCACACTTTTTACGGACACGATGGAGTCATCACGACGTTGGACCTGAACGGACCCTATGGAACACTTGTCACTGCCTCCAAGGATAACACGACACGCGTCTGGGATTTATCGACCTTCAAATGTCTCGGCCAATTGCCTGGCCACGAGGACTATGTTGAATGTATGCAGCTGTCTCAGAACACGCTGGTGACAGGATCAAGGGACAGCACCATCAGAACCTGGAATCTTGCCGACCTTACACATGTCCAAGCTACTCGCGACCGATCTCCTACTCTCTCGGACTCTTCTAGCGGCTCTTCAGACAAGGATTCCTTCTCAAGAGACTCTATGGACACCCTTGCCGTACTGGACAACTGCTGGACAAATACTCTGAGCGGACACTCTGGACCTGTTACCTGTCTTTATTTCGAGAATCAAAAGCTGGTATGTTTGGTGCAACATAGCTATCCTGCGATATAGTGATTGTATTTCTAAGCGACGATAGGTAGTGTAGCGGAATGAGGGGAGGACAAAAGTGGTCTGACATCTGTTTTCTGGCCTGTATAGCTTTCTGGATCAAATGACAAGACGATCAAGGAATGGGATTTGAGCACTGGCCAATGTGTGCTGACGATGGACTTGTTGTGGGCGATGAGCACATCGAACTCTTGGTCAGACTGGATGGATCTGGACTTGCGAGACAACGACTACATCAGTAGCTTGCAGTTTTGGCAGTATGCTCTCTGCAGTGGCACCATTGACGGCGCCATCCGCATGTGGGACCGTAAGTCTTCTTTCTATTTGCCACTGTTACCGTGACCAATCTCAGCTGCAGGATTCCAATTCTGACACCTTATATTATCGTTACTTGTGTACTAGTTCGATCAGGTCAGGCACATCGTACGCTTGTTGGACATACTGGACCATTGACCTCATTACAGTTTGATGACTACCATGTAGTCAGTGGCAGTATGGACAAAAGTGTCAGGGTAAGACCAATTGCTCTTTATCTTTCGACTTTTCGCCAAGGTTAAGCACCAATAGAACAAGGCGACTTAACCTCATCATGGTATCTGCTGATTAGATTTGGGATCTGCGAACGGGAGGTATTCAGGAGATCCTTCAGTATGAAGACCCAGTCAAGAGTTTGCGGTTTGACACCTCCAAGATTGTAGTTGGTTCTGGCGATAGCCTTAAGGTACGATGCCATACAAATTGAATGAAGGCACATTCTAGCGAGGATATACGATGATATCATATGAAGAAACACCTGTGCTCATGTTGACCCTTTTTTTTTTCTTGGCCTAAAATATTAGATTTATGACCGAGTGGCCCAGCAGCACAGTTATTACACCGGCCATACGAATGGCGTTGAGAGTGTGCGGATCAGTGAGTCGGTGCTTGCCTCTGGAGGCCAGGACTCGACTGTCCGTCTCTGGAGTCGATGAAGTGAATGAATGATGTCTAGTAGCAATTGAAGTTTTGCTATCCACTCTGTACAGTAGTTTCTTTTTCTTTAATGAACGATTTTTCTCATGTGTAAGAGTAGCCCTGGTGAAGGAGTCATGCGGTGCTTGATTTGCATGCCGAAGTGAAGGACTGTGAGTGGAGTGGAGGAGTTACAGGTGCGCACACATATTTACCAACCAACCACACGCCCCGACTTCCAGACACACACAAACATACATCATCTTCTCGTATTCCCCCTTTTCTCTCTTCCTTCTTTTTTCCCTCTCTCACTCTCTCTTTTTCTCTCTCGCTCTGACATACTTACACCTTTATATTTCTTCTTGAACCCCATTCATCACCCTCCTCTTCCTTCTCTTCCTTCTCTTCCCTTTCACACCTGACACACATTCTACTCTCCCTCCACTCCTCACAGCAAATGTCACCTCAGAGAACACTGCATGAGCGAGAAAAGATCGCAGACCACCACAGGCACACACAAGGCGCATCGTCCAGCCCGTTGTCCTCCTCAAGGTCGCCATCCTACTCTGCTGCCTCTTCCCGCTCCTCCCCTCAGACAAAGCTACGATACCGCCAGCTAATCCAGCCCATCACCCCCACAGAACTCGAACCTGTCCCAGACCAGACAACAGGAGGCGAGGCGAGGCGATACCCACGAGTAGAGCTATCGAGTCTTGATCTTGCCAAACCTCGCATATATACCCGCCTATTGTACTTTTTTGAAGCAAGTCAGCAGCAACAGCAGCAGCGGCAAGGATCATTCGGCCAGCCTACTACTACTTCTACCAGCATGAATGACGCTTCGCTATCCGCAAAAGGGGCGACCGACAGCAACAACAGCAACAGCAACAACAGCAACAGCAACAACAACAACAGCAACAACAGCAACATCACCCTGTCATCCTCCTCAGCGTCATCGTCGACTTCTGCGACCACCTTGTCGCCTCCAGGCTCGTCGCTGTCTTCGTCTGCCAACGCCAACACCAAGAAACCTAATAGTGGCAGTTCCTCAAAGTCCCGTCATCATTATCATTATCACTCCTCGCCCTTCATGGATCCTATGTTGCTTCAGGCTTCCTTGGCATTGGTCCTCTCGGATTTCTTTCCCTTGGCTGGTCGACTTTGCAGCAATACCAACAATAACAATCAGTCATTGAATCTCAACCATGCAGGAGCATCAACAGCAGCAGCAGGACTTTCTTCCTCGTCTTCTTTTGCTACTACTCCTATGCCTGCAACGTCACCAACACCATCTCCCTCAACCAACAACAACAAGAGCAACAACAGGAGACCCTTTATCGAATGCAATGACCGGGGCGTCCTCTTTGTCGTTGCTGACACGACTATATCGATGGCTCAGATCCGTCATGGAGGCTATCAAGATGCGATCCTCCCTCCTCAACTCTTCCCTGTTGGCCTCTACCCAGCCTCGTTGCTAGACCCTCCGCTGTTGGGGATTCAATTGACATATACCTCGGATCGGTCGTTGATTATGGGCGTGGCCATGGACTCGTCTGTTCTGGATGCTACCTCGTGGATCTCGTTCATGGAGGCATGGTCCAAGATGACGCAGGGCAAGGATTTCGGACCCTACCCGATCTTGGACCGGACATTCTTGGAGATCCATGGCGACCCTTTTCTGGCCAGTGCGGTCTACAGACATCAGCGAATCAATGACTCGCCACCTCCGCCCATCTTGTTCGACAACAGTCTGGATAATGCCTTGGACCGGGGTTTGGGAGAGCTGGAAGTGACGACTACAGATGACGACGATGATGATGACGATGAGGAGGAGGATGAGGAGGAGGATGAGGACTCCTCCAATTTGCAGCGGACACAGCGGTTGACGGAGTCGGTTAGCGAGGATTCTGGCAAAGGAACGGCCTTGGAGACAACCCCCGTCGACACGGCCGTGAGCATCCCGCGGGTGATGATTGGTGATGTCGAGCACTTGGAAGGACCCATCGAAGGCGTTTCGGAGCAGCAGACACAGCAGCAACAACAACAGCAACAACAGAGGCGGGCAGGAGGGCGCCGATCAAGACGACGACAAGAGTCATACAACTCTGGAATAGATGCAGCAGCAGGCGGACAGGAACCTGAGGGAGGCAATCTACATCTGTTCCACTTTTCGCCACAACAGCTCGATGCGATCAAAAAGTTGGCATCTGAACAAAACATTGCAGCGGCGGCCTGTGCGGCAGATGACAAGGAGATCAGCGACAAGTGGGTCTCGACCGGTGATTCGTTGGTGGCCTACCTCTGGAAGATGTCGACGATTACTCGTCGGATGGAGCCCGACTGCAAAATGATGTGTGGTCTCGTCATGGATATCCGGAACCGTGTCGCTCCCCCCATCCCCGAAGGATATATCGGCAACGCCATCTTGTAAGGTCTTTTGTTTATTTCTGTGCGTCTCTTTTGTAGTTGGGAGATGATATCAGAAGAAGGTGATTTAATTGACCATACTATTTCTTTTTTCGATTGCTCAAAAAAGATCGATATTTGTGCAGATGCCTGTGCATTCCCTGTTGACGACGCCATTGTCGTTGCCATCACGACTTCTCAGGGACGAGCTGATGCTACAGTCACCAGAGCAGCTTAAATCCGCCATCAGTTGGATCCAACGACAGGAGAACCCACATCTGATCGAGACGACAAGCAACAACCCCTTTGGGCGGGACTTTATGGTCTGGTCGTTCCGTAAACTGAACATGTATTCTCCTGATTTCGGACAAGGACCGCCCGTCAAGGTCAGGATTGGACGTGGAGGATTTGGAGGTGGCGAGGGAATGTGTGTCATTATGGACAGTGAACCTGTTCTGAGAGGGGTTAACAGAGGTGTTGGTGGTTCGGGAGTGGATGTGTATTTGGGATTGCAGGGTGAGCATCTGAGGGACTTTGAGATGGTGCATCGTGGGTTTATGGAGGGACTTTTGGAGCCTGGTGATAGTGGCAGTAGAAGTGGTGGTGTTGGTAGTTCTTCTGGCGACTGGGAAGTCATATGAGCGACGCTGCCCTTTTTTTGATGCACATAAAATAAAAATATAAACAAAAACATCATGGCTTTGCAACGTGGCATTGTCCTGTTGGCCTGTGCTCTGAAGTATATTCGAATCAATATCTTTTATCTTTTTGTCCAAAGCTTGAAAGAAATGTACAATCAAGAAGCTCAACTACCAGCTACTGTACAACTATAATCTTACAAGTCGGCGATTTTGACGACCTGCTTGCCAAAATTCTTCCCATTCAACATACCCACAAACGCCTCCAATGACCCCTCAATCCCCTCCTGCACATCCTCCTTGTAAATAATCTCCTCGCCCTCCAACCACTCACTCACATCCTTCAAGAAATCCCCATAACACTCTTTCGCGAAATCGTCATTAATAAATCCACGCATGGTGATTCGCTTGGAGACAATGTGGCCAAGGTTGCGGATCCCGTAGGGCTTCTGGGTGTTGTACTGGGAGATCATGCCACAGGCAATGACACGGCCATGGTTCTTCATGACCTCCAGAGCAGCCTCGAGGGTCTCTCCTCCGACGTTCTCGTAGTAGATGTCGATTCCCTCGGGAGCGGCACGCTTGAGGTTCTCGAGGATGGTGCCGTTCTTCTTGTAGTTGAAGGCGGCGTCGAACTTCAACTCCTTGAGGAGGTAGTCGACCTTATCGTCGGAACCGGCAGAGCCGACAACGCGAAGACCGAGTTTCTTGGCCATCTGACCGACGAGTTGGCCGACTGCTCCTGCGGCGGCGGAGACAAAGATGGTTTCGCCGGCTTTAGGCTGACCGATGATCTTGAGGGATGAGTATGCCGTGAATCCCTTTTTGTTGTATGTTTTGCATGAATGCATATTCGGGTTAGGACATGTTTCGTGAAGGGAAATAATAAAAATGTTCGCGTTCAAAAATGCGTACCACATTGTTCACTACTGTGAAACACCCCTCCATACCCACCATCCAACCACTAAAAAAAAATTCACTCGTGCAATGCTCATTATGACCAAACCAAACCGGACCCAAAAAAAAAAAAAAAAAAAAAATCAACAAGACTTACGGGCATGCCCAAAACCCCAACCCAGGCAGACAAAGGAATCTTCTTGCTCGTCCTAGCATATTTGGGAAGCACACGCAAATGCTTGGCAAAATCCTCGGGGATAACGGAGTATTGCTCCCATCCAGTCATGCCCGAGACGAGAGCACCTTTGGGGAAGGCTGTGTTCTTGGATTCGATGACTTCAGCGACGCCATAGCCGTTCATGGGTTGGTTGATTTGGAAGTGGGGGATGTATGATTCTGCATCTCTCATCCTTCCTCGCATATCTATTGGATCCAATTGATTAAAAGAAAACGAAGAGGCGGGTGGTGCTTAGAAGGTTGGACTTGTGATGTAAAAGTAAAAGATGAGGCAAGGGAATGAGACGAAAGGCTTACAAGGGTCGAGGGAGAAGTAAAGGTTGCGGAGGAGGACAGAGTTAGGCTTGAGATCGGCTTTGAGTTCCTTGGTTTGGATCTCCATGTGCTCGCCAGGGACGGGGAACTCCTTGGGGAACTTTAAGAAGACGGCCGACTTGTTCTGAACCATTATTGCTTTTGGGTGTTGTTTAGAGATGGCGGTGGTTTTGGTGGTGAGTGAGGAAGAGAAGATGAAAAAAAATTGATTGTTGTGAGGCTGAAAAAATAATAATGGAGACGCGCGGGTTAGCCGCTATTTATTAGTTTTTTTTTTTTGCTGCCTCTCAACCTACGTTCATCCTTCCTTGAATTAGCGTTGACGCCTAGAACATTCACTTGAACCGAAGTGGTGATAAGAGAGCAGAGACTAGGGCTATCTCTAGTGACGCCGTCAACGTGGATTAGTAAAAGGAGGTATCCATTAGATGTAAAATGAAAAGACAGAGAGAATGTGTGTGTGTGTGTGTTCATGGGTCGGTCTGTCGGGTCTTCGGAGAACGAAGCGCCGAGAGAGTGGGAGTGTGTCTAGGACGTTGTAGGGCTGAGACGTGAAATGAAAACTGATCGAGTGAGTTCCAAATTAACGGACTCTGCTTGATCTGATGAATAATGCATTTCTTTGTCCTAGCTGCGCTCCTTCTGGATGTACCTTCACAAGGATACGATTAGAACAATTCTCTGTAAGCGATCGAAAGATATATTTTTTCTCGCGTTCTTTCCGACCCTGCTATACCCCACCACCACCACAAGTTCCTCTCTCATTATCCTTGGGTGACTTATGACTGCACTGCTGGATGTTGTTTATTTTTCGGCTGCACAAAAAGGAGAATCTCTTTTTTTTTGGGGGGGGCGAAGACTTAATGTGAGGGGACATTACTTAAGAAAGAGCAGCTCGTCAGTGACAGAGAAAGGATACAGACACATATTCCCAACTATTTCTTTTGTTTAAAAGGCGAAGATGGTGGCCCATTTCGTTTCTTTTCTTCCTCATACACAACATTCTCTCAAACGCACCCACATAACAGATACCATCCACTTGCCCATTCTCTACCTCTCTTCGATACCATTCCTTAATCAGTTTCTCTCTTTATCATTGATAGCCAATAACACTTTCTCTCCTCTCCTTCAATACACAACAACAAAAGGGAAAATGACAGGAAGTTTAGAATTCCGCCTACGCAAAAACGGCTCCAACCCCCAGCGCATCATAAAATCCCTCCGTGAACGCCCAAAAGTGAACGCCCAAAACTCTGCCGAAATACCACCTCCACGCGCAACCGTCAATTCCGTCAAATCCTATCTTCGCGCCTGAATCACCGCCAACAAAACCTCCAACCCCTCTTCTTCGCCGACATCGACAACCGCGACGACGGTCGCGGCGAGTTCAACCTACGAGGCCGTAAACTCCTCAACAAGGTTCTGAAGACTGATTTCCAGAACATCGCGGGCCATTGGCAGGGTGTTTCGGCCCAGATGGCGCAGAGGCTTTGTAAGTTGGCGTTGTATGATGTTGTGCTGCTGGTCGATGATTCTTCGTCGATTCGGATGCACAATGAGGACGATGGACGGTTGGACGACTTGGAGTTGATGGCTAGTATTATTGCTGAGGCTACGGCGTTGTTTGATGATGATGGGATCGATATTGAGTTTTTGAATGGTGAGGAAAAGTATCGGGGCATATTCGGGAGGGGCGGATCGCGAGTCAGATCTTGCATGATTTGGTGTTCTAGGGAAAGACCAAGCTAGGCCATGCGTTGCGGGAAAAAGTCCACCGCCGGTTCTTCCGCAAGGCATCCTCAACCGATACACCTCTTAAGCTCCGGAAACCCTTCTTGGTCTTCATCATCACCGACGGTGCGTCCGCAGGTGAACCAGAACACAACCTCGAACGACAGATCCGGAAAGCGAGCGAGTACTTGATGGGCGAGGGGTACTCTCCAGATTTCTTCCGGTACCAGATTGTCCAGGTGGGGCGGAATCGGAGGGCGAGTGAGTTTCTGCAGGATTTGAAGGAACAGTTGGTGGTGGAGGAGTTTGTGGATGTGACGTCGAGGTATGGGGTTGAGAAAAGGCAGTTGGCGTTGATGGGGTTTGAGCCGACTCCAGAGTTGTATTTGGTCAAGTTGCTCTTTGGTGCTATTGACGGCCGATTCTATTGAACAGACGAGTATTGGGTAAAGTCTACCTCTTCTTCCCTTCTCTTTCTCTTCTTTCTTCTTTTTCTTTCTTCCTCTTTACACCGACAATAAACATATGCCCGCGTTTTCACATACAAAGAGTCCAATGTCGTACACAACCGCACAAGACATGTCAGTGAATGTTTCATTTGTAATTTTAATATTGTAGACGAAAACTCTCATTGCTTACAGCTCGTCCTTGGCATGCTTGTTGGCGTCAAGGGTAGCCTCAAAATTGTAAGCGACCGCACGAGCACGGCCATTCGTGGCATCCGAGAGCCAGCCCTCGATACCCTTGACATCAAACGCTCCAATAAAGGGAACATAGGCCTTCCTTCCAGGGTTAATTAACAGCAGGCCAGGGATATCCTCCGAGACTCGGAAATTCTCCTTCAAGGCCACAACACGCTTATCCAGGGCATCCATCCACATGACATCAAGACCCTTTCCTGCCTCATGAGACTTCTTCTTGACCTGTCGCAACGTTTCCAAGTTCTCCTCGTGCATCTTGACCGACTCCTCATACTCAGGCTCGACAATCAAGAACGCAATCGCGCAGTTGCCACGGTCCTTGTTGAGACAGAGCTTCTTGAACTCTTCCTGGGTCTTGACTTGGTCAATGTTGGGGTTGAACTCGACCACCACGGGCTTGGGAGCTGGTGTAGATGACGAGTCGGCGGAGCCAGCCTTGGCGGAGCCAGCCTTGGCGGAGCCTCCCTTCTTTTCTGATCCTGCGTGCTTGCTCAAGAACTCCGAGATGGGCTCGTGTTTGAGCTCTCCAGAGAAGGTGGTCGATTCCTGGCTGCCCTTGGGGAAGACGATCAAGGTGGGGAGGTTCTGGATGTTGTATTTGGTGAGAACATCGTCTGAAGGGGCGCGCATCTCGGCGACCACCATCCTGTCCTTGAACTCTGTTGCCAGACCCTTGTACATGTTGCTCGTCGTCAACTTTTTCGTGAACAACACCGCGCGTGGAGAGCTCTATTTTTTTTTGGGATGGCAAAGTGTTTGTATGTCAGTATTGATGTTCCTCTGCCTTACCCATCGTTGCACAACAAATGACAAATGGTCTAATTCCTTGCTATAAACGTACGGTGTCGGCGGTAAACTCGTCAATGTTGATAATCTTATCGCTGGTAGGGTTGGCAGAGAGGAGCTGGACGTCGTTGGGGAGCATCTTGACGAGCTCGCTGACAATGGCCTTTGCAGACCGCTCGCCCTGATAATCCTTGGGGTACTTTACGCCTCCCTTCCTGTTTGCTGGGAAAATCTTGATCGTTGGGAATCCTAATGTAGTTGATGGTGGAGTATGTTATGACGTCGCGTTAGAAAAAAAAGAATGAAGGACGCGTCAACATTGAAACACGGAAAAGCCCTGGGAATTGAAAAATGTTTACCTTGAATGCCGTACTGGGAGCAGAGCGGCTTGTTCTTGTCATCGTCACAGTCGATGGCGGCCATCTTTGCAATGCCTTTCAGGTTTTTGGCCGCTGCCTTGTACTGTGGGACCAAGCTATTTTATGTTGGAAAGCGGAAGTTAAGGCCTTTGTGTCAATCTCTGTTTGTTTCCTCTTGCTTTCATTACTTTTCATTTCATTTGTTCAGTTCATCCTCATGCGATTCCTTACTTTTTGCAATGACCGCACCAAGGGGCATAGAACTCGACCATAACAACATGCTATGGATAGAGAATGGAAAGAGAAGAAAGGCGTAGGTGAGTTTCTTGGTCTACTTCGATACCGAGAAGAAAGGGGCCAAGGTGCAAATGAGAGAGAGAACGCGACATTACGTTGGAGTCCATGACCTCGGCTTGGAAGTTCTTGGGGGTGACATCGATGACATTGTCCTTGGAGGAGTAGAGGCCGGCGAGGACAGACTGGGAGAGGAGCAATGCTCCGAGTGCAATAGTCGTCAGACTGTGTTTCATCGTGTATGTGTAAGTGTTGCGGAAGGAGAGTGTGGTGAGAAAGTAAAGATGGAGAGAAAGAAGAGAAGAAAGCAAACAACGTGTAACAATTATTGTCTCCACAAATTAGGATCTCCTTCGGCCTGCATTGACGCGGAAGGCACTGATTGGCTCGTCTTTTCATATCTGATATTACGAGCATTGATTGTGAGAGTTCCATCCTAGGCCCTGGTTCCTCAGTCAACTTTCCTTTATTCCACCCTAACCCCTATATTTTCTCCGTTGCTTTGTTCAGTGCAAGTGCCTTTCACTAAGGTGTCCATTCGGGCTGCAAGTGGAGTGAAAAAGAGACGTTGTTGTACCGTTTTTATGTTTTATTACACTCCGTGAGACGGATAGAGTGATTAATCATGGTGCCTGGGTAGAAATGGACCTTCTGTTTGACAAAGAGGAAGGGCATCATTATCTTTGATGTCTCCCGACTACCATTAACTGCCTTGTTTTTTTTATCACCACGTCTCTCCTTCTTTCTTCACTTCGTACCAATTGAACTCTTACATTTTGTTCACACCTGGCAAATTTAAATGAACGAGCGGTAGGGACCGCGAGACGGCTTGTATTAAGTATGAAGACCTTCACCATCGATGGGACCCCTGCTTCAACGGCCAAACAACAAGCCCGCGTCCACTCCAACTTCACAACTAGCGTTACTGAAGCAATACTTCGTCCCATACATCGTATACTTGCTCTTACCATCATTGCTCCCTTTATTATTTGTCTCTACTCGTAAACAACGCGTGAATAAACGACCTGGGTGCTCTAGGTTCCCTATGCCTGAATGTAGCCTTATCTGGAGCAATAACTCCTTATCATTAGTGTCCCTTGCTCTCCTTTGGTTTCTCTTCCTCTTGTCCTCCTGTCTGCCCCTACATCCGCAGCAATCCCGCAGTTTCTTGAAGATCCCTGTGTCCTTGAAGAAGAACGAAAACGCAGGCGCTCAATGTCAATGAAAGAAGGTGTGAATGTGCACGTGACATCGCGAGATTGACCCTCTCAGCGCCATTTATTATCCCTCCGCTCACTAACCCAAGTTCGGTCTCTTCTCAAATCTTCATCAGAATGGTGTGTGACCTTAGCTATCATGAAGCATAGTACAATCATCCATCGATCGGGACATCGTCGGCAACAACAAGCATCCATCGATCCCATTTACCATTGCCGGCACATACATCGACTCTACACACCGTAGCAGGAAACAGGACGCTATTATCCACCACCATCAACAATAGGAGACAATACGATCCCATCACTCATTACCTCGTAGATCAGGATGAATCCAACATCAAACAGATTCCATCCGAGAAAGGCGAGAGTCATGTTTGTGGTGGAAAAGAACAGCTCTCAGGCATATCGTTCAGCAGTTTTTCCGACAAACCCCCCATCAACAAGCCCTCGTGTTACCGTGCTGATGCTGTGAAGCCAGCAGCACAGGTGCAGGAAGACCGTTCGACTATTTTTCCATCAGCAAGGGCCACCCATAGGTATCATTCAGAGGCAGTAACGATCGCAGGACGTAACATCGCAACTACAACAAACCTGCGATCGCCGAACCCATCAAGGATTTACGCAGACGAAACAGACATCTCGAACCTTTGATCGTCCACCCAGGAATGCACCTCAGTCCTTACACTTTGACAGGAATCAGGACCGTTCCTTCTCCCCCTACCCACTTTCAGACTGGAATCACTATGTCAAAAAAGCTCTCACTGACCAGTCCATCCCTTTGTTTTTCCCTCCTATCAGGTTAACGTTCCTAAGACCAGAAACACCTACTGCAAGGGCAAGACCTGCAGAAAGCACACTGCCCACAAGGTCTCGCAGTACAAGACCGGCAAGGCTTCGCTCTTCGCTCAGGGTACGTCTTTTTTTCCTGCTGTCTTTCCGCTTTGTCAACATCAGGAACTCACCTCGAGTGCAGGATACTAACCTCTTTGATTTCTTTTCTACCTTTCCTTATGCCAATTACCCATCCACTTACCAACACCACCCTCAACATGGACAATATCATCGGGAAATTACTTATCTACCTATCATGGAACATATAACCAACCAACAGGAAAGCGTCGTTACGATAGAAAGCAGTCCGGTTATGGTGGTCAGACCAAGCCCGTCTTCCACAAGAAGGCCAAGACCACCAAGAAGGTCGTTCTTCGTTTGGAGTGCCAGGTCTGCAAGTACAAGCACCAGATCGCCTTGAAGCGTTGCAAGCACTTCGAGCTCGGTGGTGACAAGAAGCAGAAGGGTACGTTCTTTTCTCTTTTTTTCTTGGTTTTTCTTTCTTTCACGTTTCTGGTGGTGCTTTATCTGTTTTGTTCGGGCAATTGCTAACCACGGTTCCTTTTTTTTCATTTTACACCATGAAAACTTATAGGTCAGGCTCTTACTTTCTAAATCAGCGAAAGTACACATCGTGCCCAAGTGTGCATTCTGTATTTTATCCTCGCAATAAAACCTGGATTGACACCGCTCAAAAAACGACTTTTCTTTCTCTATGCTCGAACATGGTCCATGATTTTGTCAACCGGAAATGAAACTGGGGAGACAAGGAAGGAGATCGACAAAAAAAAAATACACAATGTACACGTCTTTAATTTCATCAAAATAATAATGAGAGGTAGAAGAAAAAAAAGGACGAGGAAAAAGAAGAACTACTCCTAGGCCTAGGCACCGATGTTGTAGTCGAATTGGAAAGCCTCGCTAAGCCCAAAGACGTGCTCGGCTCTAAACAATCCATAATCCATACCCTGGCCAGCTGCCCCACCAATGGCACCACTTCCGTCCATCGCAATAAGGTCTCCCTCGGCCGATGTCGAAGGCATTCCACTACTGGCGGAGACGGCAGCGGCAGCGGCAGCGGTGGCAGCATCAAAGGACGCAGAGCCATCCGGGTTTGGGGGGAGGTACAACAACCGATCGCCCGGGTCTTCATCAAACACCGACCGGACGCCACCTGCTGCAGCTGCAGCGGCAGCTGCAGCCGCGGCAGCAGCCTCCTCAGACTGATCCCTCGTATGACTTCGACTCCTCTCCTCCTCCTCCTCCTGTGTAGTCATCATCTCCCTAAACTCCTCCTCCAAATCCAACATCACCTGGACATCTTCTTCCGCAGGCCAGTCGCGGATCGTCAACGGATCCGGTAACAGCGCCTGGCGCTTGAACAGATCCGACCCCATCTTGAACCCTGCCTTGGCTTCATCCCTGATCGCCTGGGAGTTAGTACTAAGTCGGGCGTTGAGACAGGAGACGCGCAGGGCTGCGACGAGGGAGTGGTTCAATTTGCTCTGGATTGAACACCAGTTCGGATAAGAGTCCAGCATGAGTTCTAGGTGGTGGTAGAGGACGTTCGAGAGTTGGGTGCAGATCTTGTGGGCGGTGTTAAAGTACCCTCCAGGGATTGCGATCCCACTACCGCTAACGCTGCTGCTCGTACTGTTTTGTCGCTGATGTTGATGTTGCTGGTGGAGGTATGCGAATCGGTTTGGATAGAGGTACTCACTATCACCGCCCTCACGTTTGATCCGGGTGGTGGTGGAGGTTGGTGGGGTTGTGATTGTTGTGGGGTAGGCGGTGCCGTCGTCGGACAAACCCATGGAGTTGACGGATCCTGAACGACTAAAGAGGTCGTCGTATTCTTGGGAGATGTTATCGGGGGATTTGAAGGCGGTTGAGCGGGAAGAGGAGGAGAGGTATTGCGGGATGGGGAGGTATGAGGATTGGAGCATTATCGTGATCGTGTAGTAGAACAACGATAGCACCGCTGGAATTACGAAATGAACAAAGAAATGACGAAGTAAGTGTTAATGGATATACAAAAACAACGTCTGTCCGTCCGTGCATTGCTGTGCAAAAACAAAACAAAACAATAGAAGATGCATACCAAGTTTGCCGTTGAGTTTGTGGTTGATGTCGGGTGCATCCACGTCCTGACGGAACTTAAACATAGGCGGCAATGCCTGCTCCCAGGCCATGAGTTCTGCCTGCAGACCCTGCAATTCCTTATCATCCAACCACGCCCGCTCTGAGCACCGACTCGCATCAAGTGAGGCATTAATCGCCGTCGCGAACGGGTCACTTTTCTCCGCAGCAGCACCGCTAGAACTTGGCCCATACAGATCATGGACTGACGATGTGGTCGAAAAAGATCCCGTCATGGCACCCAAGGGACTCGCACTCGACGAAGTACTGCGGCCCATGAGGTAAAGCCCAGCTCGACGACCGATCGTCCAAAGCTTAATCTCTTCCAAGAACAAGATCCTCGAATATGCACCTCCGTCCGTCACGTCCTCCTCGGCATCCAGCAGCAATTTCATCCGCTCCGTGTGGCGCTTGATGTCAATCGACGAATGTGAGCCTGTCCCAGGACCTGAACCTGACCCCGAACTTGATCCAGATGCAGCTCCAGAAGCACGGCGATGAAGGTCTTCACCTCGACTCTGCTTCTCGACAAATGTCCTCGAGAGTCCAGAAATCGAAGGCGCAACCTCGCGACCACCAATAGATGGCAGAAGCGGACCATCAAACGACCACTTGCCTCGCTTCTCTCCTGGTGCCGAGCTCATCGTAGCATCCACAGAGGGGCGGCTCATACTAGGCGTACCCTGAAAGTGGATATCCCCTTGCTCCAAGTCACTATCATCATCATCATCGCTTCTTCCAGCTTTGTCATTATCGTCCTCATCATCGTCATCATCATCGTCGTCGTCGTCAGAAAACGTCGAGGACACACGATAAGATTCCAGCTCAGACTTGTGCGCCTGCTGCTGCTGCTTTCCCTTATTCGCAGCCTTCATCATCTTCCTCTCCGGCAAGACGGGTTTCATCGGTCCTCGACGCTTCCCTGTCCCTCCAGCAGCACCACCAGCACGGCCACCATACCCATTCAACCCCTTCCTCCGCCCACCAAGGCCCACAGACCCCTTGATCGTCGGCAAGTCCGCCGTTATCGCCAGAGCATCAATCCCATGCGGCCATCCAAAATAGAGCCTCGACATCGAATCTCGAATGTAAATTGTCCAGAACGACCACAACCGCTGCTGGAAAGCCGCCTCAGGAATGGTCCCCTTCTGCGCCACCAATCGTCGACTCTCATCTGTAAGATCCGTCATCGCCTCTTTGCCATCGTCGTAATCATCGCCGCTGATTCTCGTAGAGTTGTTGTTGTTGTTGTCATCAGAAAGGTTGGAAATGGTCGGCAGTTTGCTGTAGGATCCACAGAGTTGGGCGTATCCAATAACGACGGTGAAAACTCCGTAGATCACCTGCGAGCCCAATAGTGCGCCTTGAATCCTTGAGAGCCGAACCCTTCCGTCAATATGATACTGCAGCTCTGTATAATTTTACCATTGTGAATGTACATAGATAAGAAGCCTTGGTCAGTTCCCTAATCTCAAATCACAACAAATGATAACCCGAGTCCTAATATATCAACTGCAGCAAAAGATGGTTACCTCGTGCGCGCTCACGGAACTGGATGGCTCGCTTAATGTAGGTACTCTTGCCGAGATGCTTGCAGGCGGCCATAAAGACAATGTTCAGCAGGAACAACGAGTGCGCCGTGTGCGGATCCATGAGATGCAGCTCCACCGTCGATCGGTTGAGAATGGGGTAATAGAAGCATGCATTCTAATAACGAAACAGTGTAAATGGGTCCAGGGTCAACGTAAGTATGTATGTGTGCCTCACAGTCATAGAGATAATAAATTAAAAGTTGAACAACGCATTTCAGAATGAAGGTACAAGACAAGGAGGCTACGATCATTGATATGCAATCATCATCTTACCTCAAAGAACACGTCGACCAAGAAGTTGGCATCCTTAGGCAGCACCAGCAACTGTCGAGGGATCCCATCTAGGCCTCCAGGTTGGTTGGAGTGGGGGGCAACCCAGATGTCCGGATACTCCTGCGAGATGTGCCTCGGCAAAAACACACCATAGTCGTATTGCTGGCAGTCCAAAAGATCCTTGGCAATCTTCCGTATCCGCGCAGCTTCATCCCGTTGCTCCTCTGCCCTGGACTGGATCGGCGAAGGTGTGAATACCTGTTGACGCAGTGGTGCTCCATTATGTCGGGACTTTTGTTGTTGCTGTCCATAGTCCCCGGAGAAAACCGCAGGTGAGCCGGCAAGAGAAGGGATCGCCGTCAAAGGGGTGGTCGAAGTAGTACTAGTAGCTAATGTTGTCGGCTTTGTGGGTGCTATTGGTGATCCGCTGAAACTATAATGTGAGTCGGTCTGGGGGTTGAATGGTCGATTGGGGTAGTCGAGCGAAGTTGGTTGCGAAATGGAGCTGCTCTTCCAATCGATTTGATTTTGAGCACCAGAGCTAGCTGCTGCTGCTGTTGCAGAGAATCCATTTGTGGTCGGAGAGGCCCAGGCCTCGAGTTGAGAAGGAGGCTGCACACCGCTAGAGATCGCAACGGACGAAACTGGCGCTGCTGAGGAAATGGCGTGATCGGGACCCAGTGGAGAATCCAGCTGCTGTTGCTGAGTAGCATTCTGATGGTGTGGTTGATGAATGTATGGCATATGTTGCTGCTGCTGTTGCCGTTGTTGGAGATGCGACTGTGCTTGAAATTGGTATGACTGTGCCTGGTGGTGCTGGATGCTGGTTGGTGTCCCAGAAGCAGACACCGGCAACTGGAGCATGAGCTGCTGATCAAACTGTTGCTGTTGGGAACTCTGCTGCTGCTGGTGCTGTCCTGGCGTCTGGAATTGCGCTTGAGGGGTCCCGAAGGGCTGTGGGGAGTCGTAGAGCGGGAGCTGCTGGTCATTCAAAATGGTGACTGGAGGTTGGAAGTCGTTCTGTTGTAAACTTTGAGGATATGCTGATCCTGTCATAAATCCAGAGGAGGTATCCGTGCTCAAAAAGTTTTGTTGCCTCTGTTGTTGCTGCAATAGTTGTTGAGGCTGTGAAGCGACTCGTGCGCTCATCATAGACTGAGAGCTAGAACTCAATCTGTTGTTCCCTTGGTCCATGGCTGCAAATGCAGAAATAGGCTCCCGCTTAGGAGAATCAGAGTACTGGGGTATCGGTTGTACTAGTGGGAGAATACTTGTCTGCTTCGCCTCTAAAGAATCGGCAGGGTTGGAGTGGTATTGTTGTTGGTGATGATGCAGTAATTGTTGTTGAGGCTGCAACTGTTGCTGTTGTTGTTTGGAGAGTGTTGTCATGGATCCGGCTGTACTCGTACCGGGTTCTTGGCGCCACAGGGTATTGGGCACCGATTGACTGGATGTTACACGAGGACGAGTGCTGTTGTTAGCGTTCAAAGATCCCTGTGTGACCAGAGAGCTGTCCGAGGTCTCTCGCATGAGGCCATGGTCCAGTGGCCGGTGAGCACCTGAATCGCCGCCGCCGTTGAGCAAAATTGAAGAGTTGAACTGTGGCCCCGGTCGAGCAACTCGGATCGCCCTCGAGATCTGTGTCGACTGGATGCCCAGCTGCTGTTTCCTCCTGTCGAGATTGAAATCCTGCTCATATGTGGCATGGCCAGGATTAAAAGACATCTGCGGGGTTAATGTCGACGATGATGCCGATGCAGGAAACGAGGATGCGAAACCATCTGGTATACGGGCTGATTGTTTAGCATAGCCTCTTTGTGTCGGATGGCTGGTTGGTGATTTAGATGCCGATGCAGGTGTGGTTATTGATAACACGGATGACTGTGCAGTGCTCTTTGGAACTCGTGAAGTTGAAGGTGAAGATGTCGCTGCTGCTGATGCTGCAGCTCCTGAAGAGGGTATGTCCGAGATGGCTTTTGAGCTCCTCTCGGAAGACGCTGATGTGTCTTCGTCGTCGATGGATGCAGAGACACCAAGGATCTTTTCTTGGCTCAGCGGCAGGTCTCCCCATGTAGATCGAGACTGTTGTGCATCGGTATACAGACAGTCGGCTTTGTTCCGCTTACAGTTCGAGCACGGTACTCCACCATCGCATTTTCGCTAAGCAAACACAGCAGACCACGTTTGAAGATAAAACTTTTTTAATTAGTATTACGAAACCAGGGCTGTATCCATTCTCAAATCGATACTCGCGATATATATATTGACATGATACGCATACATGCACACGACGGATAGGCGAACTCATTCTTTTTCATTTCTATATACCTTGTTTTGGCGACAACGATTGCATGAGGTTGCAACCTTGTGCCTCTTTCGGGTTTTTCCCGGTACATGGGGTACTGAGAGGCTGAGTCTCGGACGGTGTTCCAGGCGGGGTTCCTCCTTGATAGCGAGTAATGGTGGTTGGTGATGAGGTGCGGAATGGCGCTGCATCGATATCAGGGCCAATGGGGATGTCCCGCCCTTGGTGTTGACACCCAGAGGCGGGGTGTTGAATGTTGAGGCGGTCGTATGTCTGGATTGTGTGAACATGGAAGGGTCCGACATGGGTTTGGAGACGAGAGTGGAGGAGTGAAGGTATGGGTTGATGTCGAGGGGCATGATTGGAAGAGAAAAGGAAAGAAAATAAAAAAGGAGGGGAGGATAGTTTTTGCAGGGTAAGGTGCTGCGGGCTGACTAAATTGGTTGGCGTGGGTGTTGTCGCTGTTGTTATCGTTGTTGTTATTATTTTTGTTTTTGCTTTCCTTGTTGGTATTGTTTTGGTGTTTATGCTGTTGCTGTGAGTTAAAGGGAGGTTATCGCCGTTGAGCCATTCGCTTTTGGGCTGGATATTTGATCCTTTTGCCCCGGTGGCCTCTCAGTTTGTATGCAGGAATAAAGACAAAGAGAGAATTCAAGGGGGGAAGAAGGACGTCTTCTACTGCTTTTGTTCAAAAACAAGAAAGGGAAGGGTGCGGTTGGATGTTGGAGTGGATATGTAATTGTGGTTAGACGGGGCACGGCTCGTGATGGATGAGAACAAGAATAATGGACATGGACAAGGGTAAAAAGGGAGAGGGAGTGGGGGACTGATTGGACGTCGTAAGGGTCATCAAGGGGGTGGACCGCAACAACAAAATAAGGACATGACATCAACAACAATTCAAAAGGGGCAGACGAGTGAGAAATTGAGGAGGAGGGGTAGATAGTGAGCAACGTACCAAAAACTCGATCAAATGTCAAAAATGCCTGATGTTCGCCGAGGAGAGATGACAGTAGAAGAGTGTGGCTCTTTTTATGTCGATAGGGAGTGATGGAGATGAGAATGGAGGAGAACTGAAAGGAAAGGAGGTGAAAAGAAAAGAATTGAGATTGGGATGTGTCTTGTTGGTGTGGAAAAGAAGGAAAGAAAAATGAACAGAGAAATAAATATCGATTGACGTTAATTTACTCACAATTGGAAGAGAGGGGGAAGAATCAGATCGGGCGAAGGTGTGTCCACTGGGGTACGGCAAGGTGAAGGTAAATGAAGGTAAAGGCAGGGTATGGAGACGGGGTGATCGGAGGATTTTTTTTGCGTTCTGGATTCCAAGGCGTAAAAGGAGGATAAAAAGTACGAACGAGAAGAGCGGAATAAGAGACGAGGGGGAAAGAGATCGAAGAGAGGCGTGTGAGTGAGCGAGTGAGTTAAAGAGAGAGAGAGAAGAATAAGATGAAAAAGAGAGCAATTGAGGATTAATATTTGATTGACAGAGAGGGTGCGTGTGTATGTTGTGTTTGTTGTTGTTTGAATGGGATATGTATGCAATGAACGAGAAGGGAAGAAGGAAGGGAAGAAGGAAGGAAGAAGACAAACAACAGACAACAAAAACCAAATATGGCCAATCTGACAACGATAGTGCTCCTTCTTTATAACAGAGTATCCGAATCCGAAGAATGCGATGGAGAAGAAAATGAAATGAGGATGACTAAAGGCCAAGAGGAAATGGAAATGAGCCAACAAGGGAGAGAAATAAAAGAGCGAACGGGTGAGGAATGAGAGCGGAATGAGGGGAGTTGAGGTCGGTGGAAAGGAGCGAAGAGAAGGACGAGAAGGAGGATTATTCGGTGGGAATGAGGAGGGGAAAGGGCAAAAAAATCCGCTCGGTGGAAGGATGCGACCAGTAAAGGAAAGAAAATGAAAAATGTAATAAGACGACAAGAGCACACGCACACGCATACATTTACACATCATGTCTGCTGCTCGACCAACCAACCAGAAGTGAAAGGCGTTGTGAGATTGCGTTCATTCGTTCATTCCCCAACAAACAAACAGCCAACAACAACAACATCTCGTCAAAGCGAAATGAGTGAATGGCGATGCTTACTTCTTCCATGGAAAGAATAGATGCAAAACAAAAACAAAAAAAAAGGGATCAACCCACTTCCTCAAACTCAAACTCACCCGGAAGTCAACAACAACAAGAAGGAGAAGATGCACCGCCAGCATTGATTCTTACCAAGCAAGAGGCACAGTCATTAAAAAGCGAGATCGATAAACATCTCCATCTGCAGCCAACCATCACCATCCATTAGTCCTTCTTTCCTCCTTCTCCAATCCTTTCTTTTTTCTCATTCTCTCTCTCTCTCTCTGATCTCTTCTCTTTCCATTTTCTATTTGTACGCGTGTGCGCGTATGTGGCGATCGTGAGAGTGTGAGAGAGTTTTCGTGTAAGTGCGCTTTTCACTTCATTTCTGTGCACCATCGCACAAAAAGCACATCGATTTTCTCTTCTCTCCCTCCCTCCACTTTGTTTACTTTTTTTCACCTTATCGTCATGCTACAACAACAACAACAAAAACAAAAATAAAAAATAAAATGCCCGCATGCGCTATATTGCATACCCTTTTGCCCATCATTGCTCACCCAGATGCCCACATTCTCATGGGCCTTGTCTCGATTCCGCTACACTTCCGCAGTTTTACTTACACAAAGAATGCGTACCCCACTTGGCTGTTTCTTACTTCACCCCTTATTTCTACGCCTCTTCTCTCTGTACACAGCCATCGTATCACGTGTAGCACACTGAGCGACATGAACAAAAAGTCAGCAGGACCCTTTGCAGCCATTTTGATCACTTAAGACTTGAGGTTAGCTTGAGGCACTGCAACAGCATCACAATCCGCATCGCAATTCTCATTGCGCATTCACATTTTTCAGTGTGGCAGGGTCCATTTCCTTGTCCTTCAAAGGCGTGGTGTTTATCGAGCAAAGTTGAAAGCTGAAAATTAAACACGTTTGCTCAAAAAAAAACATGTACGAAAAAAAAGAAGGTTGAATAGCCAACTATGATTTGAGTTATCCTTTTTCCTCCACTGTCCATCAGCCCCTCCCTCCCCCTACCAGGCTCCCCACACGAGCTATCCATGCAACCTTCTGAAAATCGAAGCCAAAGAAGAAAGAAAAAAAAAACGTCCATCCCGCACACACATAAACGGCTCACAATTTTCTCATTTTCTCATGCCCTTCCACCAGGCTCTCTGTTAACCAACTGTCTTTCTCATTTCATTTCATTCCTTCATTCCTTTTCTTTTTCCAATGAGGGGGATTGGATACAGGTTGGCATGCGACGATAACATGTTATTCATCCACAATCTTTTTATCTCACTCTCGCTCTCTGATTTTTTTCTATTGATCCATTCTTTTCCTTCTTGGTTTCCCATGAACCCGGCAGCCCGTTCGCACTCGCATCTCTCTCTCTCCTTCTCTTTTTGTACATCCCGGAAAAGTAGGACTAGGCTGGGCTGGACAAGGCTGCAGGAAACCTGACATCCATTTGCGGTTACTATTTTTCGTTCTCCATTTCCTATTACCCCTACGTTCGTCAACATATTCACCAACAAAAAAAGTCGACGACACATTACAACCACTACAAGACATTTTCTGAGACAGGAAGAAAAAGGGTTAACGTCCGATCACAGCATGAATCAAGCAAGCGTGGAGTGAACGATTACATCGACAACAAGGAACCGTGGATAAATGCTCAAAGATTACGAATAAGTTTAATTCCGAGAAGCAACGAATAAAAATAAAAACAAAGGAGGTGGAGGAGGAGAAGGAGGAGAGTAAAAATTATGGCGCATCTGTTCTGCTTTAGCTCAACTCAAGTCCTAGTATCCGCCATAGTAGCCTTGGTTGGGTGTTCCAAGATGGGGACCCTGGTTGTTGTAAGGATTGGGTGGGTAATCTCCATATCCTCCATGACCACCACCGCCGTTCTGATATCCTCCAGGTGGTCCATTGTTCCAGCCGCCGACAGGCATCGAACTCATGCGCTTGTTGGCCATCGCCTTGAATCCAGGGTTGGGTGGGTAATATCCATCATCACCGCCACCGCCATACTGCCCACCATCATGCCCACCATCATCATAGCCACAGTTGCTGCTGTTATTATTATTCCCGCCCGAAAGACAGTGTCGCGGCACGACACCCTTGATGCCTCCACGCGAGTTATTGATTCCCATGCACCAGCCGTCATCATACTCCTGCAGGACCGTGACCGAATCGCCATAGTAGATCTCAATCTCGTCCGGCATCGCGGGCGTGTAATCCGATACCACACTGAACGTCCCAATGGGTTTCGTCGGCGTCATCGGCAGACTCTCCTTTCCAGACATGTTGATGTTGTTGCTGTTACTGGCCGCCGTCGCCTCGGAGATCTTGGCGTAGGGGTTGTTATGGTTGAATTGTTCCGTTTGCCTCAACAATGCTGCGGCGAGGTTCTTCTTCTTGCGGTGACGACAGAACGCCACACCACCGAGCGAAAACAAGAACAGGCCACCGACGGCACCGAGGCCGACAAAGACCTTATCCGAGACCTTGGTAGGCACCTCTGATCCATCATCCAATCCGTTAGAGGAACCTGTAGGCTGTGGCGTGTTGTTGGCCGAGGCCGTTCCTAAGCTTGTACCACTGTTGTTGCTGCTACTAGACGTGCCGGAATGCGAGCTTGAGGGAGAGTCACTGCTAGGGTGAGGGCTTGGGGGCTTTTGAGAGGTTGCTGGGTTGGGGTTGACTGGCTTTGGTGGTGGTGGTGATGGTGGCTGCTGGGTAGGCTGTGGGTTCTTGGTTGTGGTTGGCGGCTCAGGGCGATCAGTTGTCGCAGGAGAAGAGGGCTCGTGCGTAGTCGCTGGGGGTGGCGAAGGGGGCTTTGGGTCCTTCGTGGGCGAAGGCTCGTCGGTCAGAGGGGGAGCTGGTGTGTGTGGTGGAGCAGCGGCGGGCGCGGCGAGAGGCTCATGGGCCGCTTGTCGTTTGTCGAGAACGATTTCCAGATCGAGAGGACGAGCGTCGGCTGTGTTTGTCCATGCTGGCGATGTTGCGATTGCGACTAGAGCCACGATCGCTAGGGGATGGTAGTACCGAAAATATCTCATCGCGTCGTCAACAAATAAAAAAATGTCCTAGGCTGCAGGTCAGCGGTGATTAAGGTGGAGAAAAAATAACAATTAATTTCGGATGTCGGATGGGATTGGGCTAAATTGGCCCTGAACCTTGCTTGAGTCAGCGTCCATTCGACCACCACACAGCGTAAGCGTAAAATAGCTTGTTTTTGGATCGGTTCCCTCGCTAGGCTGTAATAAAAAAACCTACAATGGGCACCTGAACTAGAAGAACAAGACTACTTCAAATGATGGTCGGGTTTTGCTACTAGTGCCTGTTGTTGAAGAAAGCGCACTTTCACTTTACCTTGGAGAGAGGCGAGGCTTGAATTGAACGAGATGGTTCTGAGGAGAAAGAATGAAAGGAGGGGAAGGGGGCGGCGAGAAAAAGGTTCGAGAAAAAAAAAAGAAGCGAACAAAATTCCGGGGGCCCAAGGGTTATGAATGAAAAACGAGGAACGAAAAATGGACTTTTCGCCGGATCGTTAACAAGGTAAAGAGACAAAAGGAAGGGATGGACAATAAGAGGGACAATAAGAGAGAGTGTGTGAGTGTCGAGAGCAAAACCAGGAGAGTGCTACTACAATAAAACACAGAACAGGACTGAAAGAGCTGCACAAAAGGAGAGAGAACAATGTCCTAGAATGGCTCTCCACTACAGCAGAATAAGATGGACGAAAAAGGGGATAGATGTGTGTTGTTCCTTTCTTTCCAACAAGTAAAAACCACGCTGCTGCTGAAAGGTTGCTGCTGTTTGTTGTCGTTGTTTAACTACGGAGTCGTCTCTGCAAATTAATATGAGCAATTGCACAGACAGATCAAACACGTCCCTTGCAAAATCGTAAAAAAAAAAAGGATAGAAGAAAGGATGAAATGAAGGAAATAAGGAAGGGGGTCTGTCGGAAACAAGTAGAAGAAAGGGAGGGAAATGCAAGGTGCCGTACAAAGTGTATTCGTGCAGGTTTGAGCAGCGTGCTTTTTTTGGAATGCGGAATGCTGAAATGTTGGAATGCAAATGGTTGAATGCAGAGACTTGAATGAGGAGAGTTGAGGAAGGAAGTAGTGGTTGGTAGAGGTGGTGGATCGAGTGAGAGGAAGGCAAGGGTAAAGGAGGTCGTTAAGAGGTGGCGGGGTAGTAGTGGAGAAAGTCGGGAAGGGAAAGAAAAGATTGGGAGGGATGACAGGCGAGGTTGTCACGGAAGAGAAAGAGGAGGAGGAGTGGAGGGGGAAAGAGGAAGAGGGTGGAGAAAGAAAGGAATGGGTCGTGAAAAAAGAGGGCGTTAAGACGAGAAAACGGAAGAGCAAGGGAACAAGAAACAAGAACAGGAGGAAAAGAGAAGAGGAAGAGGAAGAGGAAGAGGACGACGACAAGCGGCAAGCAAGGTACCGTTTGAAGAAAGACATGTCTGATGTCCACCTGTACAACAAAGGTACACGAGTATGCTAATAATGAAGGGACATAATACAACCAATGAGTGTACTGTACTGCTTTTTACTGTGCTGTTTTTGCCCTTGCCTTAGTGTCTATGTCCGTAAATTACAATTGAAAGCTTCGGACGGCTAACAATAGCAAGAGGACCCCGTCCATCATTACAGTCCTCACAATATTCGTTGGCCTTTGCTTGCTAGCCTGTCTGCGCCTGCCTGAATATCTTGCCCTTGCTATCCCACCCTCCTCCTCCAACTCGCCCCCCTAATAAATAAGCGTTGCACCCGCCGACTATCTTTACACTCCAATCACTACCACTCGAAAAGCACGAAAATATAAAAGGCAAACGTGCTCCTGAACACATACAGACACACACACACCTCCTTGGTAACATGCCTCCTGCCTTACAGGAGACAAACAAAAACAAACACAAACACTCACATACATTCATACATTTGCACGCAAACGCGTCCCTCCTCCTCCTCACCCCAAAGGAAAGGAAGCTAACATTAAAGGGACAAAAACCACTCGGTTCATTATTTTATTGTTTTATTTTTTTCAACAGCCCAAGCGCTGCATGTACGGTGCGACGTTTTAAAGGAGATGCCACCCACAAATGATGAGCTGAGCAACAAGTCTCGCCACCTCTCTTTCTCTTTTCTATCCAGCCAAAAAACAACAGCTTTTCGTTACACGGTCCATCATTTATTCTATTTAATTGAGCTCTGACCAGCCTCTTTCACTCTTGGACCTTTGTCATCAAAGCACTCTATAACCTTATTGTTTTTCTCTGTCATTATTTTTTGGTGCTGGTATAGAATCGTGTTGTGTAAAATTGTGCATGCATGGCAGAAAAGGAGGCCATGATACATTTGAGGTGAGCAGGAGTTTGAGATACCATCCATGGGGTTCTTATTCTTGAAGAAGGTGCAATGAACATGGATCTATTAAAAACGAAAACACCTCATTAGCACCATCACTGGCAGTATTCGTTATTGATAGAAAGAAAAACCGTGCCTGAAATCTGACGCTAATTGACTTGTAGAGGTCGAAGGCAACCATCATTTATTATTGATCATTGATCAGGGACTAACGATAAAAGGAAGGATCATCGCCGCGTTCCAGAAGATGCCTTGTGTGAATCAGTGTTTGCATGATACATCCCTTACTTTGGGCTAGGAATGATCGAACATCACAACTGTGGAATTTTTGGTGTGAACAATGCGCAACAAGTAGAAACGTTCCAGGGGTTGCTTACATTTCACCCGAGGAGAAACAAAATCTTCATCAAGAAACAAGTCCGGACTCGAAAAAAGACCACAAGATGACAACAACTGAAGTTTCCTTGCCGCGCTGAATTGAAGCATGCAAAAGAGAACCAAGCCGCCTGTCGGGTTAAGGAAGGTACGTGGCCCCACCACGTTGTGATGAACAAAAAAAAAAAGTCCAAACGGAGATGACCAAAAGATAAGCTAGAAGCTCTGCCAACACCTGGAATCGAACCAGGATCGTCTCGGCCACAACGAGATATACTAACCATTATACTATATTGGCGAGTGGAATTTCTAATTTTTAGACATATTTAAACTACAGAAATCATCAGGGACCAGCCTGGACTCTCCTGGGACCCCTGGGGGGCCTTTTTTTTTGGGCCGTTTCTGCCCGTGTGGCGCTTTATGTCCACGACAGGCACGCAGTCTTCACCTTTTACAGCAACAGCAAGGACTCTCACCAACGCACACATCATATCAAAAAGCTGCATGGAATGCTGCCCACTCTGAACTCCATGCAGGCTCGCAAGCCCAACCTGTACCCAACATGCGTGTGCCGACGATGCGAGCTCGAGAAGGAGGATAACGATCATGTCTGGAAATGCCCTTCGGCAGCTGAGACCACCACTGAGATCTGGAAGGAGGCCATGGGCAAGATTAATGAGTGGGGTGTGCAGGCGACAAACAGCTACAACGCATCCAGGAAGCGAGAATACAAACGCGCGGTGGACAGAGGTCGTCAGGTACCGAGGCCAGTACCCATACACTGGTGGCCCCCTTCGGATGCGGATCATGTGCGAGGATTTTCCTCCATCGGTGGAGCTCGAGCCGTGCACAGCGGTAGTCCAGCTCCCGATCGAGACGAGAAACCGATGTGGAATGTGTCGGATCTCCTCCGCGGCATCACCCCCTTGAGCATGTTGACTGAATGGTCCGCGGTCTTCCGGACCCCAATGTCTATCGCCAAGACAGTCCTTCACAAGTTTGTTGGCTACCTGGAGGCGCAAGCCTCGGAGCTGATCTGGAAACCTCGGTGCTCCGCGACGATCGCGTGGGAACAAAGCCAGGGCATCTCTGCCAAGGACAAGACATCCAAATACACAGGCCCCCGAGGTGACTGGAGTCAAGGATACGGTTACATCACGCACGATGGTTTCTGTCCGTGTGGCGCTTCGCTAGCCACACATGATGAAGGAAGGTGCCCTGGAGCGACCAAGGACCCACGCGCTGCTGACGAGCGGTTGTTGGAGAGTTTGTTAGGAAGGAGGAGGTTGTTAATGATGGAGAGGATGGGAAGAATCCCCTTCATTCGTATCTAGTTTTATTTTCTTCCGTTTAAGCTGTGAAGAGCAGCGACAATTGTTGCGCAGAGCCAGGTTCTGGACCGGACTGCGACTGGTGGATGGTGCACTGAAGAGTTTGGTATGTAGTCCCCTTTTACTTCCAAATAACTTCTCTATGCTGTTTGTTAGAGAAATAAAATTGTGTACGAAAAAAAAAAAAAAAAGGCGCTGGTACCCTAGCTACAAATGATGAAGGAAGGTGCCCTGGAGCGACTAAGGACCCACGCGCCGCTGATGAGCGGTTGTTGGAGAGTTTGTCAGGAAGGAGGAGGTTGCCAATGATGGAGAAGATGGGAAGAATCCCCTTCATTCGTATTTAGATTCATTTTCTTCCGTTTAAGCTGTGAAGAGTAGCAATAATTGTTGTGTAGAGCTAGGTTCCGGACCGGATTGCAACTGGTAGATGTTTGCCAGGGCAATAAAATTGAGTTACGAAAAAAAAAAGTCATTCTGGACCTTGGCAGATTTGTCACGTCATTTCTTATATGATTAAAATGATGCAATTGTGGTGCTTTAATGGTGCTGGGACGGCCTGTGAATGGCAGTTTTTATGCTTGTTTTTTTCCCTTGATAATGGAAAGGTTCTGTTGTTCCTGAAAGCCGCCTCAAAGCTCAGTCTAATTATTTTTTTCGGTCGATCTTTATTTGTTCTATCTGAATCACGTTTTTTGCGCTATGGTTGCCAGTGACGAAATGGGATCTGGACGTTGGATGCGAGACAGTGTAAGTGCTGGCGATCAGTCACTGAGTCACTGAGACGAACAAACATTGGTGATGGTTGATCAGTAACTTGCCCAAGAAGAAGGAAGAATATTTAATCAACAGTCATCGAACGACAGACGACGAGAGAGATGTTGAGTTATACGCGAGCAACCGCTAAACATTTCTTTGGTTGATTGATCTTCTCTTTGATCCACAAATTTCTCGTTGGTTATGATTAAATGTTATAGCAGACTCTCTGAATCGTTATCTTTGTTCCTCGTCACTCATCCTTCTGTCAAAAACAAAAACCCACCCTCACAGGGTACAAAAACAAAGAAAAAAAGCGCGTCACTCACGACATATCTGAACAATCTATTCGTTCGCCACCCTAAACCTTAGAAAGACCAACCCACCGTTGCACCAAAGAGCCAAGAAAAACAAGGTATGAAATCAACAAACCCCTCTTTCTCGGATATACATTCTCCAGCCTAGTTCCCAGGGTCTTGGTAAGCGTCGATGCAGACGTGAGACGGGACGGGTCTCTGATGCAATTAATAATCCTAAAGTGAGGCGGATGTTGCAGGACGTTTTACCGGTGCCTCCTGGCAAATCCCTCATCCGGAACAGAGATTGGAGGGAAGTGTCTGAACTCAAAATGAATTTGAGTCGGACGGTAATTGTTCTCTCGATTAGGAAGCACTCTCGATCGTTTTTGAGGCATGAACATAACAGCCCGACCGATCAACAAAAAAACATTAGAGAAAAAGATAGAGAGAGAGGGAGGTCGGACTTGACCTCTGGATGTTTGAATATCCATTTAGAACGAGAACGTCAGCTTCTTCGAGAGATTAATAAAAAAAAACACAATTGCTTTCAAATCAAAGTCTTTTCGTTCTTCTTTTCTTTAGAGCTTGCATCAAGACATTGGCGCAAATGTACGTGTTCTTGTCGTTCTTTGATTTTCCATGGCTTGAAACACTCAATGGATATAAAAACGACGAGATCATCCTCAATTTTTTTTTCCTCATCAACATCAAAACAAAAACACATCAAGTTCTTTCTCTTCTGCTTTTCTCAAAGCAAACACAAACTCACAACCACCCCGCACCCGCAACAACCAAACAAATAACAACTCATCCACCATGGTTCAGAACAAGTCTGCTGTCTTCTTGAAGTACCCTACCGAGTACCCCGTCCCCGGCGAGCACATGGAGATCCAATCCAAGGAGCTCACCGTTGAACTCAGGGACAACGATGTCCTCCTCCGCAACCTTTACTTCTCCCTCGACCCCTGTATGTCACTTTCTTCTTTTTCAGTATCAACTGCATTTTTCTCTCTCGCTGCTTAAACAACACAAGAAAACTATTGAGCACTTGTCCTAACCTACAATCCCTTTCTTCTCTCCCCTAGACATGCGCGCAAGGATGAGAAATGTAAAGTCGTACGTCCCCGGATTCCAGGTCGGCGAGGCCATGTCAGGCTACGGAATCTCCGAGGTCATTGAATCCAAGAACGAGGCTTTCCCTGTCGGAGCCATTGTCAGCGGATTCATCGGTTGGCAGGAGTACTCTGTCATCCCTGGTGCCTCTGGACTTCGTATCCTCCCCGGTGCTCGCGAGTCCCCCATTCCCCTCTCTACCCACCTTGGCGCCCTTGGCATGCCCGTACGTTCTCTAACTCTTTTTAGTGTTTGTTGAAGCAAAAAAAGCGAAGAAAAAAAAAAGAATGCCTCTCCTACGATTTTCGACACTAACATTTCCGTTCCATTTCTCGTGTTTCTTTCTGATAGGGATTGACGGCGTATGCGTCGCTCAAGATCATCGGCCAGCCCAAAGCCGGTGAAACCATCTTTGTCTCCGCCGCCTCAGGAGCAGTCGGCCAACTCGTCGGTCAGATGGCCAAGAAACTCGGTCTTCGCGTTGTCGGCTCTGCCGGTTCCGACGATAAGGTCGACTACCTCCTCAAGGAGTTGAAGTTCGACGCCGCCTTCAACTACAAGAAGAACGGCACCATCCTCGAGAACCTCAAGCGTGCCGCTCCCGAGGGAATCGACATCTACTACGAGAACGTCGGAGGAGAGACCCTCGAGGCTGCTCTGGAGGTCATGAAGAACCATGGCCGTGTCATTGCCTGCGGCATGATCTCCCAGTATAACACCCAGGAGCCATATGGTATCCGTAACTTGTCCCATATTGTCTCCAAGAGGATTACTATGCGGGGATTCATTGCTAGCGATTTTGCTGGAGAGAGTGAGGTGTTTGGAAAGGATGTTGGATCGTGGTTGATCAACAAGGAGATTATTTACAGGGAGGACATTGCTGATGGCATTGATGCCTCGCCCGAGGCCTTTTTGGGTATGTTGCAGGGCAAGAACTTTGGCAAGGCTGTCGTCAAGATCGCTGACCTTTAAAGGGTCCGCTGCCTTCGTTATTTCTTCATACGTATCCACGAACAGATACCCCTTTTCTTTTATCTTTCACCGTGTCCTTCCTTTTTTCAAAGTAAGAAATAAACACTCAAAGCTTTCATTCATATGCACGGACTAAACAATAGGGGGAACAATAGAGATACTATTTCCGGGGGGTAAAACAAGAGGAGGCAGCAACACCTGCACCAAAGGCTACAACAGCAACATCAAAACAGCTGACTCTGACCCAACCCCTCAATCCACCCCGCTTGTTGGCCATGATAGGAGGAGGAGGAAACTCATACCCACCAACTTCATTCATTTACTCATGCTTCATCCCCGACAACCCGTCGACCGACTGCGTATTCTCCTTGGCCCATTACTCCACCTTCTTCTCCGTATTCTTTCCCCAATAATCCAACAATGTCGATCGGTTCTCTTTGAACTCGTAATGGGGTACTCCGAGCCCACTGCTGATCCCGACTTTTTCGACATTGATCACAATGATTGCCCGTTTGCCTTCGATGGTATCGAAATCGGGGGATGTGCCGCGGTAGTGGGCGTCGTAGAGGCGGTTGTATTCGGGGGTGTCGACGCGGCAGACGTGGCCTCGGCCAAAGAGGCGGAGGATTTTGGGTTCTCCTTCGAAGGCCATGAACATGATTGTGAGTCGACCGTTTTCTTCTACGTGGCTTTGAGTTTCTACTTCCGAACCTATTTTGTTCAATAAAAGAAAATAATAAATTAGGACGACTGGTTGCTATTGTCAACGTTGACACGAATATTATGAGCAAGAGGGATAAACCAAAGAGATAAAAAAGAAAAAAAAAGAAGGTTCATACCTCCCAACTCAAGGTAGCAGGCTTTGTTGGCGTCGATGATGCGGAAGCAGTCATATCCCTTGGGTGAGGCATTGATGGTTCCTGTGCCGGAGAGGGGTGCGGATGCGACGATAAACATCTTTTGCTTGTGGATCCACTCCTGCTGGTCTGCGCTTATTTCGTCATAAAACTTTCCCATGGTTGTCTGTTTTTTGGTTGTTGGTTTGACTTATTTTGGTACGTGGTGGAGGCGGTGGTGGTTCTTGTCGGTTGAAGGTGGAGAAGGAGAGAAGAAGAGTGTTGATTGAAAAGAAAGAGAGCGTGGAGAGTGTTGAAGAGCAGAGTAAAAATAAAAAGGGGTGGGAAAATATATCCTTTAGTGATGCAATGGTGGGGAACTATCAACGTTCTAGCCTTTTAGTCGTCAGCCTCACGTGGCAAGCTATTTATCGACGCTTCTTGAAGACATAAGAAGCAACAGCGGCACCAAGACCAGCACCAGCAGCAACAAGCGTTGCATTCGCCCACACAGACCCCAACTCCCACCACGACTCCATTTCCTCCCCTCCTACAACCGTCACCTTCCTCCCACCCTTCGAGGTGGGCACCCACTTCTCACCCATCTTCAAATGCCGCATCCCGGGCAACCCATCCAAACTAGTCGTATTCTTCTTCACCCAATAATCCACCACCTGATCTTCCGACTTCTTGCCCCAATAATTCGTCAACGTTGGACGGGACCCTTTGTAATCATAAAACGGTACTCCGTACCCACAGGACGATCCGACCTTGTACACGTCCACGACGATGATGGAGCGTTTCCCAGTACTGTCGCGAATATCACAATTGTCGCTGGTGTAGTGGTTGTTGAAGAGGGTGTGGAATTCAGGGGAGCCGACGCGGTGGACGGTGCCTGTGCCGAAGAGGCGCATGATCCTGGGTGCGCCTTCGAAGGCGCAGAACATGATGGTGATCCGGTTGTTTTCTTCTACGTGACTTTGAGTCTCGATTCCTGAGCCTAATTTTTTATTTGTTCACACGTGTGAAAATGGGTAAATCGTTAATCAGTTTTGCCTTTGTTCAAGTCAAAAACAATAAGAAACGCACAAAACAAAAGACTTTTTCGTCGATATCTCCTCTTTTCTTCTCCGTGCTAAGGTCTGTACCTGTGAGTTCGAGGTAGCAGACCTGATTAGGAGAGATGATACGGAAGCAATCATAGCCCTTGGGGGAGAGGTTGACTTTTCCCTTGGGGTCCAAGGGTGCGGTGCCTACAAATATGACCTTTTGTTTCTTGATCCATTCGGCGTGGTTCTCGCTGATGTCGTCGTAGAATTCGCCCATCCTCGGCTTGTTGCTGTTGTTTGTGTTGTTTTGTGTTTGTATGGGGGGTGAGAGCGTGAAGGGTTGTTGAGATGGGAGGGGAGAGGACGTTGTGGGGGGACAAAAGATAAGAAAAGAAAAGAAAAGAAAGAAAAGGCGCAATTGCAAGATGGGAGCCGTCTCTTCTACTCTTGTACATTCGTTCCTGACACAATTGAATCATATCCATCCTCCTTCCCTCACGTGAGTAGTAGTCATCCATTTGTTTACGCTCAATTGACCCAAAACAAGGTCATCATTAGACATGAGTAAAAGGATAGAGTGAACAGTTATACAGAAAGATTGGACGCGATTTTTCTATTTTGTGATACCACGCCTCATATGGACACACATACAGGCGGGTGCCCCCAATCGACTATCAAGTATTTTCGTATATTCTCGGATACCCTATCGGGAACAAACTATGTAGGACGCCTACGAATCTACAGGTAGGGGGAGGAGGAGTAAAGACTCTGCTAAGCGCGCTTGTTCATGAAGAGAACCGCAGCAGCGGCTCCGACAACCGTCCCAACCCCAGCACCAACCGCCATTATAGCCATATTCTCGGCCAGGTACTTCACGTCCCACCACCTCACACCACCGCTACCACCACCAAGCTTCTTGAACCGCTCCAACGTCCTCCGATCCTCACCACTCAACACCGCCCACTTCTCTCCCATTCTCTCATGCCGCATCCCAGGCAGCCCATCCAAACTAGTGGTATTCCCCTTGACCCAGAACCCCGCAAACTGCTCATCCGTCGTCTTTGCCGACATCCGTGTCAACGTCTCCCTGGGGCCCTTATAGTCAAAAAACGGAACCCCCCATCCACAAGAGATGCCGACCTTGTACACGTCGATGAGGATAATGGATCGGATCCCCTTTGCAGAGTAGATGTCACAGTTCTCGGGGGTGTATTGAGTGGCGAAGAGGCGGTTATATTCAGGGGTACCGATGCGGAGGACGGTACCGTGGCCGAAGAGGCGGAGTATTTTAGGACCCCCTTCGAAGGCGCAGAACATGATTGTTACGCGGCCGTTTTCTTGCAGATGGCTCTGTGTTTCGATGCCTGAGCCTGAGCTCGTTGGAAGCAAAGATGTAAAAATGGAAAAATGGCAGGAGAAAGGAAGGGAAAAAAAAATTCTTGTTAGGGAACCGCGTTTTTGCCAATGGGGAAAATAAGTAGTGGAGACAAAGCTCGCCCATGCCTTTAAAGAAATCAAACATGGAAATAGAATCCATCGCAACTACTAAACGGAGTAGTAGTAGGAATAGTACATACCTGTCATCTCGAGGTAGCAGACTTGGTTGGGACCGATGACACGGAAGCAGTCGTACCCCTTGGGCGAGAGGTTGACTTTGCCGTTAGGGTCCAAGGGTGCCGTCGACACAAAGACCAGCTTTTGCTTCTTGATCCATTCGGCGTGGTTCTCGCTGATGTCGTCAAAGAACTTTCCCATTGTGTGCGTATGTGTGTGATGTCAGGAAGGTAAGAGGTAGGGGAAAGAGAAGAAGAAAAAAAATAAGAGAGGATGAGTAGGAAGGGAGGAGGTCGAGGTGTAGAAGGGACTAGAGAGGGAGGTAGGCAGATAGACGGGACAGGGAAGTGTGGATAAAAAGAAAATTGAAAGAAGAGAAAAAAGAAGAGGAGGAAGAAGAGGTCGATCCTCACTCTCCTTTTATGCCTGCCGCGTCGACCTCGCCTCCTCACCTGGGACTGAGCCCAAGCGAATGTGGTGTCTCTTTCTCAGAGTAAGGAAATATCAGCCAATCAGAAGAGGGCAGAGGCGGACTTTTAAATTCATCTGCTGGGCGTTCAATGTATTCATGAAAAAAAGTCTAGCTCACTCGTGTTCTTGATTACAGCGACAATGGTTTATTCATGATAGATCTAGGGTTAGGCAGTCTCCAGGGTACGAAGGCCCTTCAGGAAAGCCTTGATCACTCTCTTACCAGAGTTCAGGTTCTGGAGTCGAATCCTCTCGTTGTTCAAATGCGCTTGGTCAGAAGACTATGTTGACAAAGAAGGGAATAAACGAGAATAGTTAGCATGCATGGCGATGAGGAGGCAATGCATATTTAGCACAGTCGTGTTCGTCAAGGGTACGTTTTGCGCAGTATTCGTTCTATTCCTTGCTTCAATCTCATTACCTGGCCCATGGGGATGTGAACCGCGGTAGCTTTCAGGCGCTTCTCCAACCAACGGATAGCGGGGACGGATCCTCCCTCACGAATGTACAAAGGCTTTTGTCCCCATTCCTGCTCAATAGCCGACTCGGCAGCCATAAAAAACCTGTCCTCCGTGTCACCCAACCACCAATCTGCAACCACCTTGATATCGATCTAGTAGACGAGGAAAAAAGAATTGACAACAGTTAATAAAGGGGTGAGTTGCTTATTGTGGTCAAAAAGGCCAGCATCGACACTAAAAATGGTAATCAACGACAACTAAAACACAAACAACAGAGGCAACCGTAAAACGAAAAGAGCGCGCATGCTGCCGCTGAATCTATCTTGCATTTACCTCAATCTCGTTCTCAGTATCAAGCTGACCAAAAACGTTGCGGACGTGCTCCTCAAACGACTTTGTAATGTCGGTAACTTCTTGATCTGGGACAATACGCATACTGACAGAAGCCTTGGCCGACCGAGGGATGACAGTCCTGTTCTTGGGTCCAGAGACGTCGACCTGGTGAATCGTCAACGAGGGGTTTCTCCAACGTGCCATCAGCTTCTTCTTCAACTCTTCTTTTGTCACACCCGTTGCCAAGGGGTCCCAGTGTCTCTGTCCTGAAGGGTTGTTGAACATGTCTTCGACAATAGGGTCATACAGAGCGTCCTCATGCGACGTCAATGGCCGAATGCAATCATAGAATCCTATTCAAGGAGGTGAGAAGGAAACAAGAACATTAGTAAGGTTCATCACAGTCGATTCTACAGCAGGACATGCAAGTTTGACGTACCTGGGATCTTGGCAGTCCTGTCAGGGTTGACGAGCTCAGAGAGGACCTTGACCATGTCAATCAATGGCTCAGACACAGCTCCTCCATCGACACCAGAGTGCAAGTCGACGTTCTTGCTGTTGATTGTCAATGTCGAGTGAATGACTCCGCGGAGTCCATATGTCAAGCAGGGGATATCCTCGCCCAACCAGTATGAGTTACTATTATCCGACGATGACAGATATCGCAGGTTAAATAATTAATCGGGATCATAAGCAACCTGGAAAAATCGAGGACTAAGCTGAGTTGCTTACCTGAGAAGAATAACATCAGCCTCCTCAAACAGCTTGATGTTCTGCTCTACTGCTTGGAAAAAGCCAACACTTCCATTCTCTTCCTCGCCTTCGATCAAAAACTTGACGTTAACATCCAGTTGTTGCTGCTCCTGCAATTCACTTGCTGCGAAAATGCAAGCAAGAATTGGTCCTTTGTTATCCGATGCTCCTCTTCCATACAAGTAGCCATCCTTGCCTACATGAAGTGATATAGGAAATAAACCATGATTAGGTTGTGATAATAAGATGACCAGTTGACCAGTTCAGTTGAATAACGAGCACATACCGGTTAGCTTGAATGGTGGGTGGTCCCACTTCTTGATGTCTGCAGCGATGACATCGTAGTGTCCATAGACGAGGACGTTTAAGGGACGTCCCTGTTTGTCTGGGTTGTCGGCGCGAGCACTGAACTGTCCATACACCAACGGGTTGTGTCCTGGAGCTCCTGGAATCAACCGTGACTCTGCACCCAGCTGTTGCAGCACGGCCTTCAAGAACTTTGCTCCACGACGACATTCTTCCAACTGAGCTGGTACTCCAGAAACCGTCGGCATCGAAATCCACTTTTCCAGCGCATACAGCATCACATCTACAAGCAAGAAGGACAGAGTGTTAATGTATTGGTCTTCTCAGCATGACTACATGGCATTTGCGATCCACATAGTGCTTCAAAGTTGTACCTTCTGCAGCAGAGTCAACTGATTCAGGCTGAGGGTTACCCTTAGCAATTGCCCACAGCTATCGATAGCGAGATAGAAGACACAAATGGTCAGAAAATGAGTACGAATGCCAAACAAACTAGCATCGATTCCATAGTATTGTTCTGGCCAGCATACCTTGATCAACTTGTCGCTGCCTCCGCTGATGAGATAGTCCTGGGTGCTGGTTAATGAGAGCACACTGCCGCTGTGATCGTTCCATGTCTGCAATGGCTCAAAGCTTCGATTCCATTGCTAAAATTATCGAGAATGAAAAAAATGAGCAGAAACTAACAAGTTAAAATTTTCATGCTACAACTTATACCATGCAGTACTATGCATTGGGTTAAATCACACCATTTGGGTACCTTGACGACGCCATCCGCAGATGCACTATACACTTGGGAGCCTCGTACTACCAATGCAAGAACATCGTCCTGACGTGAAAAATATGAAGAGGGCGTTAGATATGGCTGATAGATTATCTCCTCATGGTCCAGAATTGTACCGGATGCGAAAGGACAACGGTTCTCACCTCATGGGCAATAAGAGACCGAATCAATTGAAAAGTTTCCAGGTCAAAAATCTGAATGTCAATAGAAAGAAAAGGTATTAGCACCTGAATATTGTCAACAAGCCTTGTGTCCAAGAAGAAGTCGATAGCCACCGGTGCTGTACCTTGATGTTTCCTCCTTGCGATCCACAAAACAAAAAGCCATCGTGGAGTGCCAGTGTCAGCGTACTCGCATCCACACCAGCCTTCAGTGTCTTCCATGGCTCAATTGGCTTGCCCTTTTGCAACTTCCACAGCTATATAGAAGAAAATGTCAAAGGTTGGTGATGTTGTACGCATCGCCACATTGATACAGGTCTCTGGGCAGAAAACAACGAGTGGTGTACCTTGATGTCGCCTTCGCCTGATCCCGAGAACAAGATTTCACCTTCGACGTTGGGAACCTTCCCGAGTAAGAGGCAGTAGACATATCCGAAATGGCTGTTTTGGTAGATGGATGAGTCGGGAATGCTGCATCGGGTGACCTGCTCCTCGAGTTCCTTTGTGTTGGCTCGTCCTTGAAAGAATTGAGGCGTGTTATGGCTGCGAAGAGTGTGAGTGATGTTGTGGGAGTGAGGCACGTCTTGCCTGGCATCCGAAAAATCGAACCACTAAAAAAAGAGTTATATCCATGAGAAGAAAAAGAAACGTTTGAGCAATGGCGTCTTTTTTCCTGAAGGATAGCAGCTGAGCAATACAACAAGACTTTTTTTCCTTCCTCGTACCTGGATGCTGGTGTTTTGGCAGCCAATGTACAGGGTGCTCAAAGAAGACGAAAAGACGATTGAGAAGACGTCTCCAACATCCTGGCTCGAGTGAATATGATAGATGCATTTGAATGTTTCCGTATCCCAGACCCTGACAGTACCGTCGCCTATGTTGTTATCGAAGTAAGGGTCAATTGGGCGATCAATTGGATTTGGTATTCGTTTCTCACATACATTCAAGCGGGAAGACCATGACAGCGAGCAATTGAGGGTTACCTGAGGAACTGAAGAGCCATTTGCCATCGTCGCGGAGGGTGAGGCAGAGAATACTTCCGAGGTGACCCTTGAGGTTGGTCTTGAGACGGAAGTGCTCCAGATCCCAGACCTGTTTGAGGTTGTTATACGAGATGTAAGAATGAGAATGGTTTAGATGAGATATGTATCTGTCCATCGGATCCAAATGCTCAAAAATAGGTCCGCCTTTTCTTTGGTTGCGTACTGACTGACACACAATCACGACATTTTTAAAGTTGCAAGTCAACGAGTACAGAGTGGGGGATTGGGTAAGAGGTGCACGCTGAAATTGGATGTCAAAGTAAAGTGGGGAAAAGAGTCCAAGAAGAGAGAGGGTCACATACATGAATATCCGAGCCATGGGCACCTTGACCTCCGCTGAACAACAGCTTCTCGGTCGCTGCCAACGAAAGAACAGAATCTTCGTCCTGAGTCAGCGTGTGCAGGCAGCTAGACGAGTTGCTGTTCAGGGTATGCATCGATGAGCTCCGAGAGAGGCTCGCTACATTCAATTCATTCACGCAAAAAAAAAGGCAAGAGGTTTGAGTTATGTTTGTGATCACTAGTATTTTTTTTCCGGATGGGTGATCACAGACGAAGAAAAGACGTACACATGGTCTGACGGTCTGGCATGGCAAGGCAGGTTGACAAGTGTATTAAGAATATGTAGAGCTGAAATGAGGCAGTGAAGGATGGGCTATGAGGAGAGGAAGAGTAATGAATGGCGCGAGAAAAGGAAGAAGGGGAGAAGAGGAGCAAAGGAAGAAGGACTTTTTGAGTTCAGGCAAGGCCAAAGGGAAGGGAAGAGGATTTTTGAATGACAGGCCTCAGCCACTTTCAAGAGATGATGCAGGGTTAGGGGATCCACCCTGTGCAGATAGGGTGAAACTACCACTGCAGCTGCTGCGATCTTTACTTGCGGCTGCCACCGCGTCTTTCGAACCTTGCCTTAGGCTTTGAAGGACACGTTCCATTCTGTCATTCTGTCATACACCAATGAATCTGCGTGTTCTTGATAGCGATCCTCAAGGGATATTTCGACTGGAAATATAGTCATGGCAAGAAGAGTCTTGCGAGAATAGAGAGCCGAGAGCACCGAATCCTTTCTCTAGAGGATATCGGTCAATTCCACGCGTTTTTGTCGGCTTGATAATTGAGATGCATGCTAAGAGCAGTATGTCTGTCTAGGACGGATCATCCATAGGACCATGGCCCGTAGCCGATGTGTTTAGATTTGCAGATAAAGGACGGAGGGGGCGTTGAAGACGAGAGTATGTCCCAAGTCGAGCTAGAAAAGCAAACAGAGACAAGAAGCGATGGTGAGAGAGGATGAATGACAAAGGTGGCAAAGGAGAAGAAGAGATAAGCCGCTGTTAAGGTTGCTTATTCAGGTGGTGAGAAGTGAGTGTGAGTAAGCGGACAATAATTGAGAGAGAGAGAGAGAGAGAGAGTGAAGGGGCGTCGCGTCTCTCTTTAAAAAGGTGTTTCGTCTTTCGTCTTTCGTCTCCCTCCTCTTTCTCTTCTCCTTTCCCCCTCCAGCCTCTGCCTCAACCACGACTCTCGACCTTCGACCAACGCACGTTTTCTCCACTCATCCGTCCAAGAGATTCTGATCAACTTTTTCTCCACTCATTCCTCCTCCTTCGCTTCCATTTCTTCCACCTCTAAAAAACAATCAATGTCGTCGACTGCGAATGCCAACCCAGAGGTGATCTTCAGGCTCACCAAGGACTTTGCCTTCCCTATCTCTGCATACGATGACCTTGTCAACCAGTTTATCAGCGAGCTTCACGAGGGCCTCAACTACGAGCAAAAGATGGTACAGTAACCTTTTTCTTATTGCCTTTTGTCGCCTTTGTTCTTTGTCTTTTCCTGCTCTTGCACGCGTACATTGAGCAAGAAATCCTTATCTCTATCTCACTTTATCTCACTGATTTTATTTTTGGCCGACCCTTTTTCCGCGCTCTTGGGAAATAGCCAATGATTCCCACATTCGTCTATGAGTTGCCGACTGGCGAGGAGAAAGGAGTCATCCTTTCTCTCGATCTTGGTAAGCAGAACGCCATCAACAACATCATCCGTCCACTCGCTCTTATCATACAACTTCTTGAACCCTTACCTAACACGAAAGACAAATTTTTCTTACAGGTGGAACGAACCTTCGCGTCTGCAGGACGACACTCTTTGGCGGCGGCAACTTTGACATCATCCACAAAAAGTGGACCATCTCCGATGCCCTCAAGAAGGGTCCCGGTTCTGAGCTTTTTGCATGGATCGCCGACAGGATTGGAGAGTTCTTGGCCTCGGATTGCCATGGCGCTGTCCATGAAGATGATAAGAAATACCCTCTAGGAATGACGTTTTCTTTCCCTTGCGAGCAGTTGGATATTAACGTCGGCAAACTTCTCAACTGGACCAAGGGTAAAACACTTCTTCTCAACCCACTTTCCTTTCGTGATTCAGATGCACTCTGCAAAAAAAAAAAGAACTCTCGGACTGACGCAATAGATCGAATAATACTCATTTCTTAGGTTTCCATGGCAAGGATGTGATTGGAAAGGATGTGGTCAAGGTCCTGCAGGATTGCATCGACGCCAAGAACCTCCCCATTACAGTCAACGCGCTCATCAACGACACCGTCGGAACTCTCCTGGCGACCACCTACAAGCACCCAGGCTGTGAGGTCGGCATCATCTTTGGAACTGGCACCAACTGCGCCTACCTCGAGGACCAGTCCCAGATCACAAAGATCCGTCCCGACTCCGCCAACTTTACTTCACACACCGGCCACCAGGTCATCAACACCGAATGGGGCGCATTCGGTAACGTCTCGGGCGCGCTTCCCTCCAATGACTATGACCGATACCTCGACAGCCGCAGCAGTCAGCCTGGCAAGCAGCTCTACGAGAAGGTGGTCTCGGGTCTTTACATCTCTGAACTCGCACGCATTGTGTTGCATGATCTCGCCAAGCATGGAAATCTGTTTGTGGAGGGCGCTTCTGGAACACCCAAGACGGATGCCGAGCTGGGTGATCTTGCCATCAAGGAGCGGTTCGACGGCGCGATGATGGGCGGTATTGAGGCAGATACATCTGCAGACCTCCAGGCAGTCGGCAACCACTTCCAGACCATGTACAACCTGAAGACCTCGCAAAGCGACCGTGAGACGATCAAGTATGTCTGCCAGCTGATCTCGGCCCGTGCGGCCAGACTTTCTTCGGTCGGTATCGCAGCCCTGATCAAGAAGCGCGAGTTGCTCTCCAAGCCTCACCAGGTCATTATTGGCATCGATGGTAGTCTATTCAACAAATACCCCAACTTCCGCCAACACCTCGAGGGTGCCCTGAACGAGATCTTTGATGCCGCCACCGTCACTGCCAAGATTTCTCTCATCAATGCTGAGGACGGCAGTGGTGTCGGTGGTGCCATTGCTGCCTACCTGGCCTGCAAGGCTCTCGGCCTCCAAGCTTGAACAGTATGAACTCATTGTTGATTGTAATCACCGACTAAAAGAATAAAATGCGACCAATATATGTACTTTTCTTATGTGGTCATCGTATTTGCCCGATCTGCTTTACACGTGGCAGAGAAGCCTGTTTTCCCTCTTCGTTTGAGCTTGCCACATTGAGACTCGATCTTTCTGGCTCTTTTCGCGTTTTCCTTTCCTCGTTCTCTTCTCTTCTCACCAAAGCACCTACACACTTTACAGTCATAATAAAAAACCCCTCCTCCCACCGCCATCCCGAAAACCCCTTCCTTCATACTCTCACCCCCTCAACCTATGAAGAAAGTCGAAGATCGCATTCAGACACCATCCACCTACTCCCAGTTTGCTTCTCTCCTCCCCCCCTTTTGTCATTAAAGGACAAGTTTTCAAAACCGACGCCTTTGAAACCCTTACCACCACCCTTTTTCCAGTCACGCCCCACGCGCAGAACAAGACCTGTACTACCGCCAACTCCAAAAAAAACAACAACAAAACTCCATACCCTCTGCGCCCATCACCGGAACCAGTTATAACCCCTCTTCCGAGACCCTGCCGAACTCCTTCTTCACGCTACTATCATCGCCGCCGCTCTAAAGGAGAAGGAAATGGAGAAAGGGGGGGGGGGGGGGGAAGGTTCTGGAACGAAAACAACGCGAAACCGCGACAGAGCATGCTGAATTAGGAGGAAGAGAGGGGGTGTATGTTTGGCTGAGGGGAAGAGTTCCGGAAGCTGCAGACGTATTACATGATCAACGACTACAGCAACGGCAGCTGATGCAGGGAGGATATCGAAGCGGATCAAGAGGAGGATTTCGAGGCAGGTACCGAAGATGCTTTCAAGGCAGGTATCGAGGAGAGATACCGCGGACGATGGGGAGCAGTACTAGCCGCAGAACCGCTTTGGGGGTTGTGGACGGTGCGTTTCAGTTTAAAGCTCTCGCAGGTCTCAAGAGTGAGTTTGATGATATGCCAGTTCATGATCAATTCCAGCAGCATCAGATTCAGTTCCAATGCTCTGAGCATCTGTAGGACGAAGGGAAAGCCTATTCTCCTCCTCCCTGCACTTGGCGCTCGACAGTAGCGTTGTCAATAACCATTCAACGATCACAAGATGGGGTTTCAGTATGTTGGATATGTTTTTATTCAAAATGAACAGCGTATGTTGCAAAGAAAATGTCAAGAAAAAAGGATGCAGAGATAAGTGGGAAGGGTATTTGAACTGAATTGTAGGTGCGAGTAATATCAAAGGTGTTTTCTTTAATCGTCGTATTGATCGCCTTCATCTTCGTCATCGCTGAAGTACGTCGCAGCCGCAGCGATCTGCATGCCCCGGCTGATATCGCCAGCCGCAAAACAGCCGTTTGTGAACGACAGAGGCACAACCTCGGGCAGCATGGCGCGCGCCTTCTCCTTAAGATCCGCGGCATCCAGAACCAAGATGAACGATCGATGGGCCTCGGCGTCATAGACCACACTGACCAACACTCCAGCATCCTCGTTCTGGTCAAACGCGGGAGGAGGGATGAACACTGCCTCACTTGGGAAGCAGTTTTTCTATTCCGCGGAAAGAAAAGAGAGAAGAGGAACGAAAGTGGATTAGTAATGGCTCAACACTATCGATTGGTAACTGAAAGAATATGTGTTCTCCTGTCTTACCTGGCTCCAAATGGTGGGCTCGGCGTCACCCTTGACGTGCAACTTCATGATGCAGTCGTACATATCACCATCGCCTTGCTCCGAAATGCCAACACCCCAAGTGTACTTGTAGTCGAGTCCATGGTAGATAGGGTTGATCCTGGGCAGCTCGACTCCAGGAGTGCTACGGATTCGAATAGCGAGTGGGATCGCATTCGAGTTCTTCTCAGGGACGGCGTAGCTGGCTCCGTTTCCTTGACCGACACTAACACGACGCATGAATCCACGAAGCTTGTCAACTGGTCCAGTGTTTGCCATTGCAGCATTGTAGTTCTCTAGCCTCTGCGCCTCGGCCTGAACATTTGCCAACTCGAACCGGCAGAACTCGGGCTTGGTTAAAGCAGGTGCAGATCGATCCAGCAGTGCCGACAGACTCAATTGATGTGCGATAGTGTCATCGCCGTACAATGAAAAGTCCAGGTAGACATTATCCGCAGCATCCTCGAAAGCATTAACATGGTGGAAGCTGTCAGCGCGTAGGGTGTAAAAAATGAAAACATGTTAGTTATTAGGGTCTCGAAATGTTGTTTCAGTGGTGCCATACTCCTACAACTGGGAACTTACAAGAAGAATGCGTCAGACTTGAAGGTGGCAATGTGTCTTCTCTTGACACGCGAGACAACGTAGAACAAGGTAGGCTCGGTCTTCTTGAAGGTGAAGGCGTCCAAAAGAGACGCACCCCACGAATACTTGACACCACCATCAGAGGGGTTAAGGGGTGAGACAACCAGGATGATATAACGGGGGGTCACAGCGAATGAGTGTACGTGACTGGTCTTGGCAGTGACAGAGGCAACCAAAGATCCGTGGGGTTCTTTCTCGGTCATCGAGAAAAAGTTATACTGGGTCGAGTTGAATCCATGGTCCATGGTAAAATTGATCAGCTCCTTGGTGACAGGGTCAAAGTGACTATGAGGCGAAGAGTGCGAGCCCTTGAACTGAGGGTTGACCTCATCCCAAGACAAGATACCACTCTTCTCCAACGTGTCCGTGTTCAGTTCCAGAATCTAACCGGGCGTCAAAAACAGGGAAAACATAACGACAACAACAACAAAGAAAAGAAAAAAAAGGGCTGGTGAGCAATTTTGGAGGCGAATCTAAATATAATTGAAGTATTAGCGCCACAGAGGCAAAAAGAGGGTCCAGGGGACCCTCCCAAGAGGGAACCGGAAATAATGAAGAATATAAAATGTTGTTATGATTACAGACTGTCGTCATGATGCACTTACGTGGTTGGCAAAGTTCTGGCAGTAGACGGTGCGACGACCATCGGCATTGAAAGGAGGGAGGACGTCAATGGACGCGCCACAGGGTTCGAGACTGGGCTTTCCTTGAGTGTGGCTGGTGGACAACAACCTGGCGAAGACGCTCTGGTTGGTATCGGTCTTGAAAATGCTGGAGGGCTGGTTGGGCAGATATCCCTGGTGTTGACGGATCTTTGACTCGGCACGGTGCGCAGGCATAGTCGAGCGATACTTGATCTTGCTGTCGGATCCCGAGAACGCAAACTGGTTGACTTGTGGAATGCTATTGTTCAAAGTGAGCGATGGGGGTGAATCGGTCAGTATCAACCAAGAATACGTCCGAGAAATCTAAAAGACAAAGATGCTTACTTGTCAAACCAATGGCCAAAGGTGAAAGTCCTGGTCTCCTGCTGAAGGTCGCCGTGGACCGAGACCATCTTGGGATACTTGACATCAAGGATACCAGGGCTGAGGGTATAATGGAATCCTGTCAGCCAGTCCGGAAGAGTTCCTTGTACATCCAAGTCCTGGGGGGTCTCTGTGGAGATAGCATTCTTCAATGCCTATTTGTAATAAAAAAAGTGCAGGGAGCAGGTGGGGTTGTCAGTTTCTCCATCAATAACGAGGCTGACCATTGAGAGTCTCATTCTCTTGTTCTCGCACACAACTAAAGGTAAAAGGAGTATACCTTGTGGAAAGTGGTATCTTCGTCGTTGAAGGGTCCGGTGATGACCTCAGTTGTGGAAGTGGCAGTGGTTGCAGGGAGGACAGCTGCGTCCTTGGAATGGTCTGGGTCCTGAGGGTCCGCGGCAGTTGGAGCAATAGCGTTGGCAGGGGTGGTGGCGGGAGTAGGGTTTTCGTCGCCGGTCTCGATAAGGGTTGATGTTGCTGCGGGTGCGACGACGTTTTCGTCCTCCATCTTGATGACCTCGACTTCGGAGAGTTCTTCCATGGTTGATGTAGTGTTGAGTAGTAGGAAGGGGGGGAGTGAGGAGAAGAAGGTAGGAGGCGTGAGAGTTGAATGACGAACGGCGGTTGACAAGAAAATGAGAAAATGAACCATTGTGAAATGAAGATGTCATGTGATCATTAATTTCGTGACTGCGAACGCGCTCTTCAAATCCTACGGACAACTGCAGCGATTGTTGCGAGCACAAAAAAGGGTTCGCCCGATGGTTGCGGGTCAAACGACCAAGTCCTCTCTTGAGTGTAGCTTTGCTGGATTCCTGATGGCGCAGTGGGGGTCGTATGACATAGATAGTGATGTCTGACTTTGAAAGATAAACGAAGGGTCGACAAGGGAGGGGGGCTGGAGGGCGTTGTGCCACTGGTGGCTTTGAAAAGCTACGACCATGTGGAATGGCTAAGCCAACGAGAAACTGGCGACAACCTGTTGAGATGCTGAGATACACAGATACAGGCTAAACACAATCCTGAGTCCTCTCTCTTGTCGTCCAGATGTCCTGCTCGCCAGACAATCGAACATAAAACCAAGTCTACCCCCGAAATTCGCCACTTTCACTTCTTTCCTTCCTACTCTCCCAACTTTCCTTTCCCTTCCCTTCCACTCCCACACAAACACACACACTCACCCACCCCAACCCAACCAAGGTAAGCCTTTCCTTTCTCCATCCCACCATCCATCCAACCCATCTTATCCATTTCCTACTCTGCTCTACTCTACTTGACACACACACAGTCCCTCACTTCCTACTTCTCCTTCTTATTCCCTCTTTATTTCGCTCATACACACACACCACTTCACTCCCAGCTTCAACAAAGTAGCTCATTCGCCATCGCCACTCTTATTCCAGCCTTCATCCTCCTCATTCGTCCTCCAGGGCTCTCCTATTCTCCCATTCGCTCTCATTCTTCACTACAACACACACACATATACCATTCCTCCGCTCTGTACATCCATCTCTTTTCCCACCTGACATTCATTTCAAACACTGTCCCACCTAAACACATACGAACGACTTACTTTCTGCAGGTTGTGCGTGTAGTAGGGCTAGGTGTCTGCATACACACAGACTCCCATACTTACTTGACTCTCAACTCACATCGCATAATCATGTTTTGTCTTTTCCCCTTTCTTTTCATAACAGCCTAGCAAATACAAAATGGCTCGTACCAAGCAGACCGCCCGCAAGTCGACCGGAGGAAAGGCTCCTCGCAAGCAGCTCGCCACCAAGGCCGCCCGCAAGTCGGCCCCCGCCACCGGTGGTGTCAAGAAGCCCCATCGTTACCGCCCTGGTACCGTCGCCCTTCGTGAGATCCGTCGCTACCAAAAGTCGACCGAGCTCTTGATCCGCAAGCTCCCCTTCCAGCGTCTCGTCCGTGAGATCGCCCAGGACTTCAAGACCGATCTCCGCTTCCAGTCCTCGGCCATCGGTGCCCTCCAGGAGGCCTCCGAGGCTTACCTCGTCTCGCTGTTTGAGGACACCAACTTGGCTGCCATCCACGCCAAGCGTGTCACCATCCAGCCCAAGGACATTCACTTGGCCCGTCGTCTTCGTGGCGAGCGCACCTAAACGGCCGTCATTTATCCTCTTCTCGGATGAATCCATTATGACGCAAAAGCGAGGCCCCATGATAGGTTCTCTACCTTTCCATTTTTTGCTTGCTCCCATCTTATCTTTGCCTCTTTAATCACTATAACCCTTTGAGGACAAGATGTCGCGTTACTTTTGTCCCTCCTCGTATTGCTTGACACTCGCTTCTATTGTTGTAACTCGAGTCCCTCGTCCTTCTGGACCCTCTGTGATCAATAAACTCTCGTTCTGAAAATCAAACGCGCATCTCCACATCCTTCAATGGTTCATTGACAAAGAATGGCAAAGGAGCGGGACTCCTCGATCGACTCCTAAAAAAATCGACGGTGGGATCTTGTTTGTTTGGGGGTTTATTTGTGTTTTGGTTGTGTAGACAAAGTTATCCCGACACAAAAGTATCTAATCCTGCATTTGTGGCGAAAGGTGGTGTATTGTCGTGGTGGGACCTGATTAGCTGAGCAAAAGGGGGTGAAGGTCCTGGTTATCGTTTCTCGTTCTATCTCTCTACTATTCTCTCTCTGTCGCTTGTTACTCCTGTGCTGGGGTGTCAGAGTGGCTAGAGATACCACTACTGCTGGGTTGGACGAGGTAGTAAGGAAGAGCGGCCTGGAGCTTCTTGTGTTCGACGCAAGCCTTGAGCCACTCGGGTTTGACAATAGGGATCGACTGTTGCAATGCGGCCTCGTAGTTGTATCCGCCCTGGACATGGCACAGCAGATGAGTTGTCTGGATGGCGACCTCCTCGGTCCATGTGCCACCAATCTCGACGACCAACTTCTTGCACTCCTCGAGGGCCGCGTCAGATTCAAAGACACCAAAGCAGATGTTGGTTCCTGTGAGGTTATCGAGTGTGTGGGTCCTAGCCTTGACTTCGTTGGATCTGAGGGTTCCTGCGGAGGTCTTGATCTCGATGTAGAAGGAGAACATGTGGTCGATTTCCAGTCCTGAGAGCTTGTACTGGTTGGTGTGATAGGGGCTGGCGATCGACTGACCCTGCTTGACGCCGTTCTTGTAGACGTCCAAGGAGCGGAGACTGGCCTGGTTGAGAACGAGCGAGTCCCATTCGAGTGTGCATGTCGACTGAGTCAGGGACTTGACGCGGAGGGTAGGCGTCTTGGGAGGGTTCTTTCCGAACTGGTCGAGAATCTCGTCCTGAAGGGCCCAGAACTCGTCCCGGCGGCTCTGTTCTTCGTCGAGATTACGGTTAACAGAGATGTTGACAACGGATCCGGCAGAGACGCCCTTGGGGAGGAGGAGGGAGGGGAACTCGATGAGGTGGTGGTCTTCTGTAAGGAGGGTTGTCATTCCTGCGTCGACCTTTCCGACTGTAAAGCAGATGGATGAGCCTTGCTTGGATCCTGATGAGGTCGACCCGTGGGCGTTGCTTCCTGAATGGTTGTTGATATTGTTGGCTGCAGTCATCATTGGCTTTGCGTTCTTTCGGGTATGTTTGACAGGGGGGTGAGAGGTTGAGGGATGATGAGAAGAAGAGAGGGTAATAAAAGATGATGTGGCGGTTTTCTGCTTCCACGTATCTAGCAGGAGAGCCTTGGGCGCACTCTGGTCTATTCTTGCCTCTAATTAAATTGCGAGTCACTCACTGGAAGAGCAACTGGACTTCTACGCTGGGCTGGGATGCCCTCTTTGCGCGCAAATAAATAGTGCTCTGCTTGTCGCACTCAACCTTCTTTTATTTTTCTTCTTTCCACCATTCATCTTCTCCTTCTTCCATCACCCCCATTCACTTTTCACTTTCCTCCTTCAAAACACACTCCCGCCCTCTCATACCACAAACAAGAACATCTATATAACAACATGCACTCGCATCCTACTATCGTCCGCCTGGACTGCAAGGCTCAGTCCTACGACTGGGGCAAGATTGGATCCCACTCCTCCGTCGCCAGGTTCGCCTCCTCCTCCCCTGGATTCACAGTCGACGAGTCCCGTCCCTACGCTGAGGTAACCTTCCTTCTGCTTTATGGCTTTGCTATCACTTTTGCTTATGGTCAATTGCGTTTTCTTTCTACCTTTTACCACAGACGAAACGTCATTTTGGATACTTGCCGATGCGTGTGTGTCTCGCTTTGTCCTGTCCGAGTCTCAAGAACAAAAAATTGACCCGTTCACGAAAACCCATGAACGCGCCATTTTTCTCACGCTCCACAATGTTAAAAAAGTGTTCCATTCAACAAAATCAAGGTTACGTTTTTATCTCGTTTCTAACGCCCTCATCTCCACCCTTATCCTTTTCCTTATCTCCTACAATGTCATATTCTCCGATATAGCTCTGGATGGGTACACACCCCAACGCACCATCAACGCTCTACCAATCCGAGAAATCACTAGAGTCCCTCCTCAAGGCAGACCCCCAGCTTCTCACACCTCACTTCCACGAGAAGTACAACGGTCACCTCCCCTTCCTTTTCAAGGTCCTCTCTATCAGAAAGGCGCTCTCGATCCAGGCACACCCCGACAAATCCCTCGCTGAGAAGTTATTCAAGGACCGGCCCGATCTTTACAAGGACGATAACCATAAACCCGAGATGGCGATTGCATTGACGGATTTTGAGGCTCTTTGTGGGTTTAAACCGCTGGATGAGATTTCGGCGGCATTGGATCATTGGCCAGAGTTCAGGGCATTGGTTGGAGACCAGGCGACGCATGAGTTTCAAGAGACTATTAAGAGGTCACAGGTGACCGAGGGGATCAAGGGAATCAAGGAGGGGCGCCACGCGCTCAAGGCTTTGTTCAAGACCATGATGGCTGCGGATGCTGACAAAGTCAAGTTGGAGCTCGATCGATTGGTGGCTAGACTTGAGTCTGCTGGTCAGCAGTATTTTGTGGGTTCTTTGGAGGAGTTGCTGCTCAGAGCTCATTCTCAGTTCCCTGGAGATGTGGGTACCTTCAGCTTCTTCTTCCTCAACTATATCGTCCTCCAGCCTGGTCAGGCGGTCTTCTTGGCCGCCAACGAGCCTCATGCCTATTTGAGTGGAGGTGAGTTTTTTTTTCTTTCTTTTGTTCATGCTTGCTTTCTGCATTGTTTGATTGGAGAGAGAGACAGAGGTCATTAGTTTTTTTATATTATCATGCAGCGGTTTCTCTTTTGTGATTTCGTGTTGTCCATGTCCACGTCGACTGAATAAGGTTTGGTCTTTGACACTAATCAAAAATACCTCCTCTTCTATATTATTCTGTTATCAATGGTATCTCCCATTCCCACTCAACCAACAAACAACAACAACAACAACAACAACCGCCACCACCACCTTATCAACAACCCCCCGAAATCGGACAACCAACACCAACAACAACAACAGACTGCGTGGAGTGTATGGCGGCCAGTGACAATGTGGTTCGCGCAGGACTGACCCCGAAATTCAAGGACGTCGAGGTCCTGACCGAGATGCTGACCTACCAGTCAAAAGCCGGGTCCGACCAACTCCTTTCAGGAGTCCTCTGCACACCCACAGGCCATTCGCTCATGTACGACCCCCCAATTGATGAGTTCTCGATCATTCTCACCACTCTTGATCACGCAAAGGAGAAGGAGCGTTTGAGGGGCGCTGAAGGCCCCAGTGTGGTCATTGTCACCAAGGGCCAGGGTGTGATCCGGACTGAGAACCGTGCCACGGGTGAGGGTGAGGATGAGGTGGTTGAGGTTATTGCAAAGGAGGGGAGAGTGTTTTTTGTCGGTGCTAATACGCCCTTTTCGATTGAGGCCACGTCGGATGAGGGGGTCACTATCTATACCGCCTTCTCTGTCAAGCCTGACAAGAAGGACCACTTCCACCATTAATCTCTTTTTTTGTTTTACTACACCACTGGGCAATCATTCTTTAAGGTCAAGCTCCAAAAAATAAAACTAGAATTTTTTCCAAAACGTTGCACAATCGTTCTATGGTTCATTGGTGATTTAATCCGAGTCCATGTGGACATCCTTATCTTCCCCACTTGGCTCGTTCTCCTCCTTTGGAGTCCCACCAGAAGACAACCGCTCCGGAATTTCGCACCGGACCCGAATTTCCTTCTCGAGCATCGTCTGGTACAACTGATCCAACTCGTCCAACGAAAACAACTGCTTCATTCGAGGTTCGAATGCGAGGAGGTACAGATCCTTGTACCACGGACAATCATTCAAAGCCCGCATCAACAACTGTTTGACCTTTGCACTCGTTTCAAGTTCCTGTCCTCCTTCTTGGTCCGTGTTGTTGTTGTTGTCCTTTGACGTTGAGAATGAGGAAGATGACGACGACGACGACGACGACGGAAGAACCGGTTTGGATCTGTCCTGAGACTTCCCACTTCCACGAGACCCAGCTTTCTCTTTCCGGACAACCGGCGCCAAAGAGTTGACCTCGCGCTGCCGAGCACTCTCCCTCAACTCCAGCTCGATATAAATCATCCAAAGGTTAGGACTGGAACTGAATGACGTGGTCTTGGACGAATCCAATGCGGACTCCAGGAGTGATCGCACAGCGTGCGGGTTATAGGGCTCCTGGTGCCACAGCTCATAAAACACTCCCAGCGTCCACAGTGGTGCCTTGCTTGCCGGGATGAATGAAGACAACGACCCTAGACTCCCTCTGGCACTAGTGTCGCCACCACCATCACCGCCGCTTGATCCGGATCCGGAACCAGGCCGACGAGAGACTTGTTCCTGGACCCAGGTCCGGACACGCCCATGGTACCGCTGTTGGGCCTCTGTCCAAAAGAACAACGAATGTAAGATCGAGCAATTCGGGAACCGGACCAATCCATCTCGGACCACTCGCCTCAAATCACGAGGTTGGAATCCACCTGCTCCAGCACCCGCACCAACCCCAGTACCAGTGGGTCGAGAGCCGCGCTGTTGGGCAGACGATGATTGCAGAGAATGAAAGTAAACCAGCTTCGCCATCTCGACCCACACCAACTCGGCCTCAGGCCCCGTACAGATCTTCTTCTTCGTAGGGGGACCCTTCGCAGTCAACGACTCGAGACCCAGATCATCCGACAAGGAAGTCAAAAGTGTCGATGAATAGACCTTCGATCCACCCATGCCGCCACCACCACCACCACGACCCTTCTGCTCCTTTTCCACTGCTGCTGGCAAAACAATATCAGCATCCGAGTTCCTGAAATCCAACTCCTGGATCGCATTCTCAAAGACCTTGATTGCCGGCGAGACCCCAACTCCCGGACCAGCAGAGAGGTATTCGAACCAGGCAAAGCACACAATCCAATCCAGAGCAGCCTCGATCCACCTGCTCCCATTTGCTCCTGCAGAGCTCGGTTGGACAAGGTTGATCCTGGCTACCTCTTCCGAAAACTTTTGTCGGGAGATCAGTAACCGTGTCGGGCCAGGCATCGGGGCATCCTCCTTGTCGTCTGCAGGCAGGGTCAACGGTGCTAAATGCACATCAAATACACAAAACAGATCGAGGTTTTAGTTCTATGACTATGACATCAGGTCATACCATCGTGAAGACAAAGCGAAAACTAAGGTATACCTTTATCGACAAGAGACATCAAGACAAGCAGTGCGGCTTTTGGGCGTCCTTGCTCCCATTCTAGCTGGGCATAGTAGCGATGGATCAGTGGCGCGCGGGTCTGATGTTCTACCGGGAAAGACGGGTACATTGACAAGGCTGTCGAATACACCTTACGAGACTATCAATTTGAAACGCCAAGGCACGGTTAATACCAAGCAGATCGGCTACTACAGACCGTTCTGATTTTCAACCGCACACAGTGATAAACAACAATAACTAACCTCTGGTATACGCCCTTGCGACTTTTCGGATTGTGCGAATCCATTCCAGAGGATTAGATCCATCCGATCGCCACTCAGGTACTTTTTGGCCAGCTTCTGTGCCTTGGACTCTGATAGTGTCACCAGACCTTCGTACATCAAGTGGTAGATCGATAAACTCTGTCGATGAGCCTTGTCGAGTGGCGTTACTTGTATCAATTGCTCGAAAGTATTACTAAGTTGCGAGAGAGAAAACATAGAAAAGATGTTAACGCTGGCACATAAAGTAATGAGCTACAAGCTTATAGTAGGCACGTCAGCTTGAGAGATACTTACCGAATGAAAAGCTTGTTGGACTGCTGCGTCTCCTCATGCGTACTCACGGTAGCCCAAGGATATCGACTGCTCAGCTTCATTCCCGCCGTGGGATGATAGGGCTGTCCAAAGATTGTATCAACACCCTGTGGGAAGTTGTGTAGAGGTAGACTCCAGACACACGACCAGTCCTGCTCCACAGGTTCCAGAAACTGTTCTTCCCGCTCCAGTTCCTTCAGGATACGCTCGATCGACTTTTTCTTGCTCTCAAACTCGGGAAAGAAGCGCCTCAGTCCTACGCTGGAACTAAATGCCACCTGATTCGAGTCCATTCCCAGGTTCAGTAGAAGACCGTCATGGAAGAAGGGGTTGTAGACACTGGTGTTGGGCGTTTTCCTGACTGATGTTGTCCCCGAGCCGCCGCCAGTAGGTGTTGTTGCAGAGGACGCTCGGAGTCCATTTGATCCCGCAAACGAGTTTACAGGCAGACCCAAGAAGTTGAACGTACAGTCGATGAGTTGCAGACGCGCCTCTGAAGTGTACAGTTGGACAATAAAGGGCCTGATGTCGTCAAAGAGAACCACTCCGAACGTATCGTCCTCCATCTGCTCCGGGATGTCCTCTATCGACAAGGAGGGATAGATAAATGTTAGTAAGGCTGTCTCTACTCTAACCCCAGTGACGCCACCAACTTAGCCAAGAGTCAAAACTTACCCGTGGTACGAATGGGGAACCAGCAGCGGGTGTTTAGTTCCTTTTCGGTCTTGGCCCATTGTGTGTAGACGTATCGATCGACTTCATTGTCGGCAAAGGACTTCAGCATCTCATCGACATTGGGAGCGTTCGAAGGGAGTCCGGTCTGCTGGAGTAAATATTCCATCTCAACCTCATCGTCCTCTGTCACGTAATGTGCCCAACCCTTGGCCCCCTTCTCTCCGAACCGAGGCAACTCTGAGTCCCAAAACTCTTCCAAACTTCTGATCTGAACCTGCCATGACTCTGACAATAAACTCGAAGGCATGTTGAATATAAACTCCACTTGCCCCTGCAGTGATCCCTGAGCGCGCTCAATGTATCCTATTGCAGTTCAACATCAAGCGTTAGTTGCGAAGCATAAGCGAATCAAAAGGTTGCTAATAGAGGTATTATGGATTCCAATGATTACCTGCTTGCTTCAAAAAAGTCCAGGCGCGTGAGAGGACATGAACCATCACTAGCTCAACTTTGGCAAGTTGGCACTGAAGCTCTGTCTTGTCCGACACCCTCTGCAGCGTCTTCCAAGTCGAGTTCGCCAACTGACCCAGCCGATCCAAAGCATCCTGCAAAACGCAAATAAAGCTCTTGACAGAAAAACTCAGAAAGTGCCGCTGTCGAAAGTCCAAGTACTCGATCCAGAGTCCAGGCCACGCGGTCAGAATCCGGTCTGACTGTAGTAGTTCGTCCCATTTGGTCAGCACCTTGGCGGGTGTCCAGCAGAGGCGGCAGGTATCCATGTACTCAAGTAGGAGATGTTCATTGATTGGGTTGGACTGAAGAGCGCGGTCGAGAATACTGAGCCTGATCTCCGCGTGGCTGGCAGAGTGGGCAGCCACTGAAGCCGCTGAACGTCGGTTGGTGACCAAGTCGATTGCGTCCTCTACAGCTACAAATTCGAGCCACTTTTCCGGTTGTTTCGGTTCCTATTTGAATGCAAAGTATTCAGGTTCATTAGCATCAATTGAAATCAACCTGGGAGCGCGGACCAAATTAAATCAAACTCGCCACTCTTGAAAAACGCTCATACCTTTCTTAAGTCTCCGTCAAGCATCATTCTGCGCCTCATCAAGACATCCAGGGCACTCTCAGCACCCTCCTCTTCCTGATCATTCGTAGTCCGCAGTAAATCCTCGTCCTCTTCCTTGTAGACGGACTTGCCATGGATATCTCTGTAATTCGCCGTTTTTCTCGGGTTGGATGATCTGCCGTTGTTACGGTCGCCTTCATCCTCCCCCTCACTCTCATCCTCACTGTCATGCAGCAATCGCTTCGCCTTGGGTCCTGACCGAATGTCCAAAGAGATGTATGAAGGATCCTCCTGGGCAAGATTCAGTTTCAAAGCGAGTTCCTCGGCGTTGGCTCTCGAGATCCGCTTGTATTCCTGACTCTGGTCGCGCCAAGTAGCATTCGGATCTGAGTAACGCGTCGACTTTAAACCCTTGCCGCCTTGCCTCATTACGATGCCCCTGTTCCCGATAGCTTTGGTCTTTTCATAGTCGATCCGAAGCGTGTTGGGGAGTCCCATCACACGGCCAGCTATAGTATCCGACAAGATCGAGAGCAAAGTTAATAACACGTAAAGATACAGAATATATATACGCATTCGTTGTAATCATATTTGACTGCTTGGTTTGGCGCATACCACCGGCTCTTGAGTAAAGAGGAACTGTGTAAGAATTGAGTCCGTATCGAAAGATCTCCTGATCGCCTGCAACATCAAAGACCCAGTCTCCAGGCTGGTGCTTGCTGCTGTTGTTATTATTCCTGCCTGATGTAGCTTTGGAATTGAGGGACTGAGACAAAGGTCTTCCTGCAGGATTGGCGCTAGGTTTCCGATCGGCTTCTTCCTGTTGGTCATGATCCCGCCGCTGCTTCCAACTCATATTATGTTTCTCTTCCTCGAAGATGACTCGCGCCTTCTTCCTGTCGGGACTCTTCTCCCTCGATGTTGCAATCGCCTTGGTCGATGACGATCGAGATGATAAGTGGCGCTCGCGACTGGACTCTCGTCCGCTCCTCCGACTGAACCGATCATCGTCTTGGCGCCGATCTGATTGTGTCCTGTCTCTGGCTCTCTCTCTATCCCTATCTCTATCCTTGTCCTTGTCGCGATGGCTGCTGTGCCGATCCCTGTCCCGATGTCCCTCTCTATCATTTCTATCGCGCTCGCGCTCCCTGTCTCGTTCCTTGTCCCTTTCTTTGTCCCCGGTCCTCCTATCATCCTTGCGAGAACGATGATGGTCTTCTCGACTGATACTCCGGCCTTTCCGCTTCTCCTTGCGATGATGACCCAATACGCGCTCATCCTCTTTCTGTCGTTTCTCGTCCTTGGATCGATGTATCCGGCTGCCACTCTCCCGATCGCTATCTCTGTCCACGTCGCGATACCGATCGTCACCACGAGAATCCGATTTCTCTTTCTTATGTTTCCTCTTGATATCCGGCGGCGTTATTGATGGTGATTGTAGTGGGCCAGTATTGATAGGGAAGGATGAGAAGCTGGGGATTGCGAAGGATGGGGCTTGTGCGGTTGCGATTGATCCTCCTGAGATTGCTGTTGAGGGCGGTGCTGCCGAAAATTTAGGGATTGCGATATCTGGGAAACTGTCAAAGGTTGGAGGAGGTCTCGATACGGCAACATGTCCTGAGGTACTGTTGGAGGCACTGGTAGCCTAGAAGGGGGGGTAAAAAAAAAGACAAGGTTGAAAAAACGTGTCAGTTGCGTAATTCCCTTTTTTTTCCTTTCAAAGTCGCGAATGCGATTGAGTTGGACTGATGGTTAAGAAAGAGACGTACGGCTCCCCTGGTCAAGTCCAGCTTGTCAAGGGTGTGCGCCGAGAAGGGGGCACTCTTGGGGTCATTCGACATTGCAAAAAAGGAAGGCGGCAAACAAATGAACAACGAATGCAGAGGCAGAAGAACAAAAAAAAAAAAGAGCGCAAAAATGCCACGGTTTAAAAAAAAAAGGGGACGTATCACGTGTGGTAACTGAGCACACCAAAGGTGAGGGCAGACTGACATTCAACTTCCTCCTCCCTCCTCTTCCCAACAATTCACCATGGTGTGGCCATTCAGCTCGTCATCTTCCAGCAAGTCCAATGACAAAGCCGATGCCTCAGCAGCAGCCGTAGCCTCGGCACAAGGTATCCTCGAGCACGCCGGTGAGGACGCAAAGGCGTTCGTCGCCTCCACAAAACAACACCTCGAACGCGATATCCAAACCGCAGAACGTGCCATTAAAACCGCATCCGAGGACTTTGACCTGCCACCATTACCACCAGCACCCATCACCATCCCCCCTTCACTCGAACCCTACCTGATTGCATCCGCCGTCTTTGGAGTCGCTACGACGGCAGTTCTGTTTTATAAAAAGAATCTTCGCAGGATCCCCTCGGCCGCTTATTTAACTCCCAACATGTTGAAGGGGAAACGGATCATGAAAGGAAGAGTCACCAGTGTGGGCGACTCGGACAATTTCCGGTTCTATCATACCCCGGGTGGTATTTGGGCTGGGTGGGGGTGGTTGAGACATGTTCCCTCAGGCACCAAAGGTAATACTTATGGCGATGATCAGATTTTTGACAGTTTGTGTGAGGAGGATGTACCGATTTTGTGACACATGAGGCCAAGGGTGCTCTTTTCAAACACAGGGGAAGCAATTGACATCTTGCTTCACTGTCTCTCGTAGCTCTCAAGGATCAGACATTGCATATCCGTATTGCAGGAGTTGATGCCCCTGAGGTAATTTTTGGCACCTACTGCCGTCTATTTTTCAACCTTTTCTCAGTGTCTATCTAATGTCCAGATCGACGCAGGGATCACTATGCAAACATAGTTTATGTACTGACTGACACTACTATCCATTAGGGAGCACATTTCGGGATGCCGTCACAACCCTTCTCAGCCGAGTCGTTGGCATGGCTCCGGAAAGAACTGCTAGGCAAGAAAGTTACTATCCAACCTTACTCCAAAGATCGATACGGGCGTGTCGTAAGTTCTCGAAGCATATCTTGTACCATCATCGTGTCAGCTCTTACTCCCAGATTCCAGGGAAAGGAATAATATGTGTCTTCTAAATAATTGAGCAAACATGGTAAATAATTGACCAACCAACATGGTTTCCTTTCTTTGTAACGAATGTAGGTCTCGATGGCATGGTACCCAAGATCGCTGCCATTCCTCCCCAAGAAGAACGTCAGCAAGGAAATCCTTAAGGCCGGATACGGAGAGATCTATCGACAGTCCGGATCAGAACACGGAGGAATCCTCAAAGAATTAGAAAAGATCGAGAAGAAAGCCAAGTATGACATCATATCACATGAAACGGATCTTGAATCGAAGTCGGCCCTTGCGCCAGTTCCACCTACTAAAAACCATTCGTACCCTTGCTTTCAAATAGGAAAAACAAGGTCGGGATCTGGTCGCAAAAAGATAGGGTTAGCGCCGCAGACCACAAGAAACAGCATCTTCGTGGAGGAGAATAGTGCCATAAACAACTGTATATTTTATGTCTATATATATATTACGATTACGTTTCTATGTTGCATGCACAATTACTGCAGTCCGACCTTGGCAAACTCGCCAAAGCTCTGGATGATATACGAGGGCTTGATAGGGTGGTTAGGGTCGACGGCCTCCTCTTCGGTCGACACGCCAGTCAAGACCAACAGGGTTGCAATGTTGCCGTTGGCGCCGAATGCGATATCCGTGTCCAGGCGGTCTCCAACCATGCATGTCCTTGCGGGGTCCGTGTGGTAGCTAGAGGGATAAAGAAGAAAAATAAGAGCGAAGAGTAATCGTGAGTAAAGAGTGTTTTTATCTTACGAGCAATGCAATGAGATAACAGAGATAAGACTTACTTGGAGAAGAAGCAGTCCAACATGGGTTGGTTAGGTTTACCCATGACCATAGGCTGTCTCTTCAAAGCCGTAATCAAAGGCTGGCACAACGAGCCAGTCCCTGGGAAGATACCATTAGGTGCTGGGAAAGTGGAATCATCGTTTGTAAGGATGAAATGGGCGTTCTGTTCCTTGTTGTTAAGGTATGTAAACGCCTTTGCAAGCTTGCGGTAGTTGAGGTTGATATCGAATCCACAGACGACTGCGCCAATCGTTGGGTCCTGCTCGATCGAGCCGAAATCTCCGTGAGCCATAACGACCCCCGTATCCTCCTGTTTGTACACGATTACGCCATAGCATAAAAAAAAGAAAGAGGTAAGGTTTCGTTAGTCAGAATGCCCAATTGATATCCATATGTAATAAAAGCGTGGGAGAGTCAACAGAGCACAAGTGCCAACAAGGAAGAAAAGGAAAACTTACGCTGGCGCCGCAGGTCTCGATGCCGACCTCCTTGAGCTCATCGACGATTCCAGATTCGCCAATGACAAAGGCACGCTTGTCCTTAGGGAAGTTGAGGATGTTGCGGAGGTAGAGGGCAGTGGCAAAAGACGAGCTAAAAATGTCCTTCTCCTCGGCATGGATGCCCAACTTTGCAAACTTTTTCACATAGTTCTTGCGGGACAGAGTGCTGTTGTTTGACACGAACACCAGCTGCTTTCCTGTTTGTCGTAAGAAGAATAAAGAAGAAAAAGAATCGATGGAATTTAGGTATGGGTGAGTGAAGGGTCCGACTTGATATATATCCCAAGACCTCGGGTTTAAGATTCGGACACTGAGATCATCCGATTTGGGTAGGTCGATTGAATTGGATGATAAGATAACATCAAGCCCAACAAATAGCGATTCATAGTGACATACCATTTTCACGAAGGAACTTGACAGTGTCGAGGATTCCATCAAGAACATGGCTTCCGTGCCAGAGAACACCTAATGGAGGAAAGGATATCAATCGAGGCGAGTTGGTATTAGTACCATTAACAAAGACAGACAACTGTTGAACCATGTTGTTACGGCCGAGGACAGAAAGAAGAAAAGTAGGCGAAGGAAGGGAGTATAATGCAAAGTAAAAGAAAACAAGGGGTTACCATCACAGTCGAGGAGGAAGGTGTCGTATTTGTCGAGGAAGGTCTTGTACTGCTCGACGGTGGTGAGTTTCTGAGGGACGGTTGTAGTCGATGGCATGGTGATGTATGGCTGTCTGTGGGTGAATGTGGGAGGGTAGGTGGAGTTGAAAGGTGAGAATGTAAAAAAGTGCGCATGCCGCTCTGAACTCCGTTAAGTAGTGCTCTCACCTGGCCGCTTGACAGTCACTGATCGTTGTTTATTCAAAAAGAAAAGAAACACTCATAACCTCTTTCTCACACACTCACACACTCACACACTCACACAACAATCATAACCATGTAAGCAATTGCATCTCTCAAACACTACCATCGCCTATCCTCTAGTGCATCACCCCTACGAGCACATGTACACGCACACTCAAACTAACTCTCCCTCCCTCTCCATTCCAACCCCCCCCTTCCTTCATAGGTGCTGGCGCGTCCACGACAAATACCTCTGCTCCAAGGACCAGAAGCACTTTGAGGAATTTCACGTCTACTACCAGAAATGCAATTCTTGCCCACACGACCGTGCCCACTGCGGAAACCTCATCATGGAACGTGAGGCCTCTAAGCTCTTCCCTTGGAGGTGTAACGTTTGTGCCCAGACCGAGTTCCTTGACACGACTGGACGTTACAAGACCGAAGGTAACCTTGGAGACATACTGTATGGAAATGAGGGGGGTCAAAAACTGAGTGCCCCAATTTTTATGTCAAGCGGCGGGACTTGCAAAGGCGATTGAGGAAGAGGAAATTGATCGATAAAGAAGACGGCAATGGGAGGATGTGGACATGGATGGGGGCAATTTCCGATTTTGACTGCGGCGTTTTGTGATGATTCGACACCAATATGACTAACGGACGGTTTCTATCGCCTTTCTATCACTAGACTTCTCTCGTTGGTAAAGCGAGTAAGGAAAGCGCTCGACTTCGCCGCAACACCAACAACATCCCAACTATCAGTACCCACCTTCATCATCTGTATCAACAAAAAATAAATCGAATTAACTGGACAAAGAGAAATGCAAATGGATAGCGTCAGGAGTCACTTTTATGTCGCAGTAATGACAACTTAAGGAAATACAGAGCGAAAACGAAAAGAGAAAGAACAAGGACGAAAGCACGGCATCCAAACAGCAAAAGAAAGAAGGAAAGGAAGGGAAAGAAATAACTACAGGAACGGCGCATCAATGTTCAGCTCAACATCATCCTCAAGATCGCCGTCCAATTCTTCCCCGTCGTCATACTCATACTCTTCATACTCGCCAGCCTCCTCGCCAGCATCATAACGGTCACCAGAGTAGCTCTCATACTCGTCCTCATACTGCTGCTCCACAATGGTGCCCTCGGAGTACTCATCGGAACTCGGAAGAGTCTCTTCATGGTGCTGGTGAATCTCAGCATCGACATCTTGCTGCTGCTGTTTCTGACCCTGCTCAGATCGGGATGACCGCCCTCTCAGGAAAGGAATCACAGTCTCAGTGAGTCGACTCGCCAATTGAGGTGGTGAAACCGAGAAACTAGACGCCTTCCTCACAGTCGGGATATCGAGTGGATGTACTTCACTACTCAGGGTCGAGGAAGTCGTCGGAGGCGAAGTTCCGAGATTTGATGGCACATATACAAGCGACGACAAGGTTGTCATAGACATGCCGCGGGATCGTGCATTCTGGTGAGGAGCCAAAGTCTCTGAATGTGATGATGGAGGAGAGGATGATATCTGACCATTGGTCGCCTGGGTCATGGACGAAGAGGCAGTAACATTGGTAGCTGACGCAGATGCAGAGTGGCTTCCTCCATACTTCATCAGCGACAACGACAGTCGTCTTGTTCTATCAACGATCTGCAACCCTGCTGGCGCCGAGGACGGTGGTAGCGGAGGAGAAGATGCAGGTGGAGAAGTGACCGGTACTGGAGACGAGCTGAAAGTTGGGATGGAAGATCTCTTCTTCAGCGACCCAGAGGCAGAAGACGTTAGTGAATTCGTAAAGCTGCGAATCACGCCTAGTCGTCCTGGTACTCCGCCGCTATTAAAAGAACCAGGGTTGGTAGGATTAGACGGCAAAGTCGGTTGCGGTGAAGGCGCCATAGGCAAATCGATCGTCGGCATCGGCGGCTTCCAAAAGTTCCAGTCATTAAACTCTGGTGCTTGGCGCATTCCTGGAAAGATCTCATTCACCAAATCATTCAATGCCAGATACCTATCAGAGACATGATAGGGATGGAGTTAGTTGGATTCTTCAAGATATTGCTCAAAGAATATGATCTGCATCAAGCAAAATGCAGGCGGCGATCTTACGAAGATTTGTAGCTGCTGAGGAGTTCTAGCTTGACCTCGCCACCAGAGTCGATAGTAAAGATCCTCGACGAAGGAACGTTCACGCTTCGATACGACATGGCGTCGGTAATCCGGTTGCCAAATCCAGCATAGAAGGGGTTACGGTCCTCAAACAGGCGCCGAATGTCACGCAAACAAGCCATCTTAAACTCTTCTGGCTTCCTCATAATCACTTCTCTAATGTTCACAAAGAAAGAAAGGGTGATTCGTGTGAATAAATGAATTATAGCTGTGCACCTTTGCAATAATTGCTTTGACACTGTCTACATGGGTACCTGTGGAATGCTGTCATCAATCGATCTGGACTCATGATGACCGGACCGTCAGGGAGATAGTAGTTGTCCTGCTCCACGTTCTTCAGATACTTTCTGGTGTAATCTGCCTGACCGATCGCACGAGAAGTCAGGTACAAGATATGATAGCCATTGTTGGCGATATCCGTGTAGAGCTTGGCTACACCAGGGTGGGTCCAATCTTTACCAGCCATTGTAAAGATGTGACCCAGAGCATCCGATTTGGTGATGGTGCCGTCGATATCAGATATGACCACTTGATAGTCATGATCCCACAGGAACAGCTTTGCTGAACAAATAGCCTTGCCCTGGTAGCTTGACGTGACGGCGAATGTCAATGTGTTCGCGCCCTTCTTCAGGTTGAGCGATTTCTATTGAAAGAATATGAGGTAACAGGTTAAAGACGAGTATAAACTGTAGCTTCACGTCGAGCTACGTCAAGGTATCCTTGAAGCGAGAGTACATACCAGCTGATCAGAGGTAAGGCGAAGAGTCTTGGCGTATCGCTTGGTAGCTTGATGTTTAGGTTCTAAAGTGGTTGCCTGGTCTGCTGTACTGTTCTCTGACCCCACTGACTTGGAGCGTTGTATTGGCATAGAGGTACTCCGTATCATCGGCTCTTTGTCAGCATCCAAGTGTAATTCTGTCCCTGATGTGGGCTTTGCCTCTTGCTTCTCTTCATCTCCATCCTAAAACGTGAGAGGAATGCAATACGTTAATGAATAGTACACCATACATAATGAGGCATGAACAGTAAAGCAATGATTGAATATGTACCTCATCTGGTTGCTGGAGAGGTACAGCTTCGTCGGATCCCGAGGGGTGTCTAGGGAGCCCTTGCTCTATCGCACTTAGCTGGTTCGCGGTCGGGGATCCACGCAACCACCTGGACAATGCACCGAATCTGGTCGGTTGCTCTTGTGTCTGAGATCTGTCAGAGAGGTGTCTCGAGTCTTTGACTGAGAGCTGATGCAGTGTTTCGTCTGAGAGTGGTTTCCGGAAGAGCACTAATGACGCCAAGTATGGGCCTGCAGCTGCCCATGTGAAGTATCTAGCTCATGATAATCACAGTGGCTCGAGTAAGCGTTTGCCACCAAATTATGTCAAACATACAGAGTCCGGGGTCGTATTACCTGTCGTTGATGAGGCAGACTAGACTTTTGTTGTTGAGAATCTTGAGAGGGTCCTTTCCAAACTCCTCAAAGGTGACTTGGTGTGTAGCAAACAATGCCTCACTTGCAATCTACAAGCCGGTATATTATCAAGCCGGTATATCATCAAACCGGTTAGGCAAAGTCGACAATAAGAGGGTTCAATCGGCACAAGCAACATGGATTCAAAGGCAATATCGTTGGAATCGTACCACATCCTTGCCAAACTCGTCTCCGGGACACAGGCTGATGGCGACTCTATACGTCTCTCCTTCAATTTCGATCTCGTTTAGGACAGGTTTTGGAGTCGCAGGGATATCGATCGACACATGGGTGGAGTGCTGACCCTTCTGATCCGCATCAACAATGCCTTCCATGCTATCGTTCTTGACTGGAAGACTTCCCCATCCCCATGACCACTCTGAATCCTGTGTAGCCTTGGCCGTCCTTGGCGTCTGGTACTATTTCGCCGACAATATCACAAATTCAAAGGTTAGCTTGATCTAAACAACCAACTTTGGCGGGTTATATACTCTGGCGATCGACTGCCACCTACCTCCAGTTCGGTGTCACTAAGTGCGCCGAGAGCGGCGTTCTGCCTCGGTACCGATGGTTTCTGCAACTGCTGCAAAGGCTTGTGAGAGTGGCGACGAGAAAGGCCACTCTTACCCTCGTCATGGCGATGATGATGATGATGGCGATGGTGACGATGTGGGTGGTGTTCATGTTGGCCGCCCAGTGTAGGTGGAGGCGTCGAGGTTGCTGAGCTGCTATTGCCTGATGAGTCCGCGTCGGTCTGTTTAAGCACTGCACTGACTCCTCCAGCTGCAGGAGAAGGCCCTCTAGATTCCAGTTCGCCAGGCAATAGACCTTCCAGTACCTCGACTATAGACAACACGCATAGTAACGTCAGCAATGGTCAAAGAACGCGTGGACAAAAGTACTCTCTGAAAACATGAACAACAATTATTGTTGACTTACGTGGCTCCAATACGTTAGGGAGAGAGCAAGAGCGTTTGACGCGGTAAGGGGCCTTGCGATGAAACATGCTTTGAATAGGACGCGAGGGCAAACGTGAATCGGTCTCCTTGGCTTCTTCTGTCGGTTCATGCCCGACCCTTGTTGTTGCTCCTGAGGGCGAAAATCCCATGTTCCTTCGAGCAACTCGCTTCCGTCTCCTCCGAGTACGAGGGCTACTCTTGGATGCATCTGCCCCCGCTGAAGGATCATCCGACTCGAGGTCAGTCTCTGCCGAGTCGTCCGTTTTGTATCCAGTTATGTCCATAATCACATCGTCTTTGTGCGGTGGACTCAGGAACTGGCTACGACTGTTGGTGCCATCGGAAGAAACAACGGGTATGGAGGGCTGGTACCCAAAGTGATCATGAGTGTTGGCATGGTCACCGAACGGTCCAGCGGAATGGACAGGCTGGAAATTTTCCATGATATCGTGCGGCTTTAGGACGGGTGAACATGGCAAGGAGATCGAGACTGAGTACCGTCTATGCGATTCATGCGCCCTTCGCCTCACAATGCGATGTCTCCCGTTGATGGTGACTCTGTGCTCCGAATGTTCAAACACGCCTTCAACAGAGGCTTGCCCCTCTATCCTCATCTGGTGTTGACCCGTCCCGTAGCTGTTGCTGCCTAACTCTGCAGCGGAAGCGTAGGGGTGCCGCTTGGCTGGAGACGGCGGGGGGAACTCTTGTTCGTCCTCCTCGAACTCTGAACCGTGTCCACTGTGTGCGCTCACATAACCTGTGTCTGTTTGAACAACGAGAAGAAGAGAGAAAGGGCATAAAAGTACCCAGCGGCTGTTATTAGTGACATTTGATATCAAACGTAGTTCGCTCAAAGGATAGCTCGTTATTCATGTCATTCAGTCCTTCCGTCCGTCAGCAGCCAGACCACAGCGCGTTTCTGTTGTTTGTTTCTTAGGCGAAGCGACTATGTGGTTTTACCTTGGTCGTTCGGCTGTGTTGTGACATGGCCACCACCTTCCCCCTGAGTCAGGTCTAGGAAATCAATCTCGTCCTCGACTTTGTCGGGCGAGGATGGTCCTGCGAGGGGTGATGTGGCAAACTCCTCGGGCACCTCCTGTTCCGTTTCAAACACAAAGAACGCCTCTCCTGCATCACCGACCTTCATCGGGAAGTCGACCACCCGTCCGTTGATCGTCACCTCTACCTATCCACACAGAAAGAAGACATAACAACCGAGGTATGATGTTAGGCGATAGGTGTCTCCAGTCCATAGAGACCCTTGATTATTATTTTTACACTCTCTTTCTGAGCCGAGCCTAGGCGACAATTGAACCCAAACAAAAAAAGAAAGCACCTTCACAACATAAAAACCAAAAAAAAAAAAAAAAAAAAAAAAAAGGCGTTGTTTATGCTTACAACTTTCTCTTGAGGGCGAAGAATACTGAGTTTGCCGAACCGGACATGGAAGGGCGAACAGGCCAAGTCGCCATTAGCCTGCTCAACCACCACGACATCAATCGCGCCCGAAAGTGTTGCCGGGTTGATCTCATTGTAGAACTTTGAGACCGTTGAAAAGAAACTTCCGACAGACTGCATTTATTTTTTTCTCACTTTCTCTCTCACTCCCTTGTATGGAGGTCGCTGTTTCAACTGTGGGATATTTTTTGAGGCGGTAAGGTTTTGACAGGATGTGTGTGCCTCCCTCTGTCGGAGTGAGATGAGAGAAAAGAGTGTCGAAGGGAAAAGAATGAATGGGGATGAAGAAGAATAAGAGGAAACAAAAGGGAAGCGAAAAGGAAAAGGAAAAGAAGAACTTGCCTCCGAGGGAAAAGGGGTAAGAGGGGGACAAAGGAGGTGCTTGTGTGACGGGCAGGTCCGTCAGATGCGAGGCACGCGTCGCCATGTTCACATTTTCCTATTCGCGTTCTTTCTTGCCTTCCTTGCTTGTCGATGTGGTTGTGGTGTAGGTTTAGACACTTCACGGTGAGTAAAGGAATACGAGTCTCAATCGTGTCTTGGCCAATGAATCAGGCGCATGGGTGAATGGACGTGTATGTGTATGCGTTTCTTAATAGTTTATTTTTCGTTCTTCTTCATCTACACCCATCTTCACTCTCCAAGGCTTATATTTAAGCATCAACAGCATCCTTGCCAACCAACTCCTTGCCCATCTTCTTGTCCAATCTGCAGGCAGGGTTGGACTGGATCATATCCAAGTCAACCTTGTGTCCCAAAAGCTATTATATCGAATGCAAATGGTCGTAATATGTGAGTATAGTCCCCAATGCAAAGCAACAGACAATAGTAGTGGATAAAACAAAATGTTAGGCCAATAGCTGGGTGCTTACCTCACGGATGTTATCCAGACCGTACTTGATCATGGTGGGGCGCTCCAAACCGAGACCCCAAGCAATGACACGGACATCGGGATCGAGACCCATGGCCTCCAACATCTCGGGACGGAACATACCCGAGTTTCCGAGCTCGACCCACTTCTCAAGACCAGGATGCCATGAGAAAATCTCCATACTTGGCTCGGTATAAGGGTTGAAAGCGGGCTTGAACTTGATGTTGGGCACTCCCATCTTCTCAAAGAAGATCTCCATGAAACCAATCAAATCTCCCAAGGTCAAGTTTTTGTCAGCAATGACACCCTCGACCTGATGGAACTCTGCCAAATGGGTGGCGTCGACAGTCTCGTTACGGTAGACACGATCGATCGAGAAGAACTTTGCGGGCTTGAACGAGCCACTGGCCTTGGACTCCTGAGCGAGGCGGTAGAGCATGTTGGAGGAGACAGAGGTGGTATGGGTACGGAGGAGCAACTTTTCGGCCTCCTCAATCTTCCAGTCGTATCCATATCCGATCGAGCCATATCCTCCGTGAGAGTGAACGTCCTTGACGCGCTGAACGTACTCCTTGTCGGGGAAGTGGTTGGAGGTAGCGGGGTCTAGTACATGAAATGGATAAGCGTTAGCGAATGAAATTTAACCTTTGATACGTCTATGCATGGATATGGTGTTGAAGAGGTATCCTGACATACCGAGAAGGAAGAAGGTATCGTGAGCATCACGGGCAGGGTGCTGCTGGGGCTGGAAAAGGGCATCGAAGTTCCAGAACGAAGACTCGACGTACTTGTTGGTGGGCATCTCCTCGAAACTGTAGTTCACATTAGAAATAACATTAGATAATAGCACACATTCTTTCAAATACATGTTCGTATGTCAATTGCAAAAACACAACAACGAATATCTTCCAGATAGCATACCCGAGCTCAAAGAAAATCTTGCGGAACTCCTCGCGCACCTTCATGAGAGGATGCAAGTGACCACCCTCTGGGGGGTTTCCTGCAAAGTTGTACTTCTTAAAGGTCTGGGTCTTCCATGATCCGTCAGCCAACATCTCAGCGGTCAAATCGGTAGCCTGCTTCTCGATCTTCAAGGAGAATTTGGGACCCTTGGCAACCTTGTACGAGATCAGCTTACTAGATGATTTCGGAAAATTCATAGAGTCAGCAGTTGTCAGTTGTGACGCATCCCTGAGAATTTCCTGAAATCACAATGTTGGCGAATATTGTTTTGGAGGGCGCATGTCCTGAACTTACACCTTCTCGACGTGCTTGCGAGCCTGGAGATCCTTCAAGGTGGCGGGCTTGGAGTGAGTTCCAGTGTTGCGAATCTCAAGGGCATCCAACTGAGTCTGATCAATAATGGACTCGACCTAATCGTGATTTATCGTGTTGGGAATATTCATAATGGCTAAGTTTTCCATTTGCCACGATTGTGCGATTGTGCGATTGCATTTGCCGTTGTAAGGAACATGATATCTCGTCAATGACAAAGCAAGTTGGCCACCACTCACCTCACGGACGAGCTTATCACCATCCTTCTTGATCCACTTGTTCTTGAAAGCCTTGCCCTGTCCAATCTTGGCAGAAGCACCGAGAAGTTTCTAACATTATTAATACACCGAGTCAAGGTGTTTATAGTTAGTCGCGGATGAAAGGCCGATTTGTCGCTTGATGTCCATTGTCCGGGTCAATCAAAACAGGCTGATTTCCATGACTACAATTGCTTACAGCGAGCTCGGCAATAGCAATTCCGCTGACGGGGTTGACAGCGTTAAAGACCTTGGCCTCGTGACTTCCAGAGTCGGCGATTTCATTTCCTTCCTGGGTGAGTTTGAACTGATCGCGCTCGATGGTGGTGTAGGTGATCATCTGTATTTCATTGCAAAGAAAGAAAGTAGTAAAAGGTAGTTGATTCGATTAGTGTTTGATGTTCGCTGATGGAAGGTGTTCATGGAAAGGTCGTAGTAGGCTCAAGGCATGAAAAAAAAGAGGAGTGATGTACCTCCTTGGAGGCGAGACTGTTGAGGACACCGACGACGGCGAGGTAGGGGATAGCGTTGCCATCAGCGGTCTTGAGGGAGTCGGTGTTCTCGATGACACCCTGAGTGTCGAGGGTGGTGAGAATGAGGGTCTGGATGTCCTCCGAAGTAGCCATGGTTGATGAGCGTGTTGAGTGAACAAGTTACAAACCTGCAAGCAAGATGAATATTCTCTTTCTACGCTCTTCTGTTTATTGTGACCGCGATTTGATAGGCCAATCGTTGAGTGACTCACGGTCGAGAAATCACCAGCCAAATGTTGCACGTTGTGAGAATTGCATTGCGCCTTTCTATCACCTGCATAGGTCTACTACACCTTGTCAGACCCATTGTCATTTCTCTACCCTCTTATTCTCAGTCTCGTTCTCGCTACACCTCTTTTCACCTTCTTTCTCTCATACTCACTATGACCAACTGTTGCGTCTTGGTTTTTCATGTGAATCACACTGCGCTTGGTGAAAGAGGGACTGGTTCATTGAGACAGCGGTTGAAGATACAAACAGAAAGGGACTCGATTGCACGCCAGTGATACACTGGAGCCTTGGGCCGCAGTATAGCACTCCTGGCACTCTTCGTCTCTTCATTATCTGATATCAATGCCCGTGCGCATCAACAGTTGGCATGTTTAATAACTGAAGCTAAAGCTAAACGACATTGATCACGACAAATAGGGATTCCCTGAAAACCTTTGTAAGTAAGATACTCGTCCGTAGTCAAAGGCGCGTTTCGAGTGTGAGGATCCAACAAAGAAGTCATCCGCCATACCGTGCAGCAATTGCGTCTTGACTTTCTACTACAACCAGTTCAGCCCTACCAACACGAATGCAACCTTCTCCTGCTCTTTGTGTGTTGATACAGGTTCAAGAGATGACCCGAGCCATGAGCCAAAAGGGTTACAGGCTTGAGAATTTATCTTCTTCTTCCCACCCTTCATACCCCGAAATGAGGGAGAGACCAGAGAGCAGAAATCATGGGCGAGACAGGAGACGCATTGAAGAGTACATGGCGGGCAGGTGATGGGGACAGAAAGTTGCGGGGAAGAGACCTTATTGCGAGTTTCATGAGCGAGCTGTGTTGGATGAAAATTCGGTGGAGAGGGAGATAAAGGGTTGGTTGGTTACTTGTGTGAGGGTGTGAAGAAGCCCTTGTCCGTGAACTCCCGAGAAATCAAACGGCCAAGAGCACTAAAAGCAAGGGCGACAAAAAAAAACATTTTTCATAGAAACCTCCCTTGAACGGGTCTGTGGAGGCAAGAAGAACAATGGAGAAAGAAAGAAGAAGTGGGGCGAGAATGAAGGCATGGGTGGCATGTGGTCGCATGGGCGAGTATGTCGATCGGTCGACTAAAGTAAACCTGGCGGAAGAAAATGTAGCCGTGGGCGTATTGACGTCTTTTTCAAGTAACGATGGACGGTGAGATCGACCGGAGTCGACTGAGGATGGGGATGGCATTGGCCAATCAGAACGAGCCCGAAGGATGTGAGGGGAAAAGAGAGCAAGAGAGCCAGGGATCTAAGTAATGGTCCCTTTTTGGGGTGCATGGATGATGGCTGTCAAGAATCCTAGAATCCTTTGCACATGATAAACAGTGTGCTGTGGAAGGAGGAAGGAAGAAAGTGTGAGAGAATAAAATACAACACAGTAACCTGTTTAGAGACCGAGGGAAGGAAGAGTGGAGAAAGGAAAGGGAAATGGGTCGGAAGGACTGTTTTGATTGAATTCATATGATGCTGACTGTGTTTGTGCCTGGATCTATCCGAGACTCGCCCGAGAGGAGGGACAAATTCTCCTTCCTCCCTCACCTTTTTTTTTTTATCTATTTATTTCTTTCTTCTTTTCCCTCTTTCTCCTTTTTTCTTTTTCTTCTTTTTCATCTTTTCTTCCCTTTACAGATCCACCCTCTCCCCTCTCCCCTCGTCCTTTACTTCTACTCTCATATATCATGTCTGAATTCGCCGACGCAAAGACCATCGAGAAGGTCGTCCCCGAGACCTCTGCCGTCAAGTCCTTCCTCTCCGGAGGATTCGGTGGTATCGCCTCCGTCCTCGTCGGACACCCCTTCGACTTGGCCAAGGTAACCATCTCACCCTCAACTCATTCAACACCATACCGCAATTTATCTTATGCAAGCAATCAAAGGACAAACTGGACTGGGCACAAAGCAACAACGACAACAACAGCATCGACATTTTCATATGGAGGTGACAAACAAACACACGCACACGACTCAAAGCGGACCTTAAAGAAAGAGCAAACTTAGACATGGAATCAGTGTTTGCATCTCTATTCTCGAGAAAGCGGCAAAGTACATCAGGATGGAGATGAACAGCATCACGTTTTTACAAGCACGAGCTTACACCAGTTCATTCCACTTACAAAAAAGAACATGGACGATAATGCGCACTGTGAAAGGAAAACATAAGGAAACGAAGGCTGGAAGGAGAGAAACATGAAAAGGAGACATGTCAACTACAGTTCCAACCTTTCATCATTTGCACTACCAGGAACGGGCGCTCTTGAACATGAACACTCCTTCTGATCAAAGACGACGACGACAAAGATTGAAAAAGGAGCGGGTGGCTTCAAATGATGATGAATTACTGATGATTCATGGCTAATAATACAACTCGCGCTATTCCCTGATAATGTTGAATTAGGTCCGCATCCAAACCAGCCCCAATGGCACCTACAAGGGCACCATCGATGTCTTTAGCAAGTCCCTCAAGGCCGACGGTGTCCGTGGTCTCTACCGCGGAATGTCCACCCCCCTCGTCGGAGTCACCCCCATCTTCGCCGTCTCCTTCTGGGCCTATGATTTGGGCAAGAAGATCGTCCACGCCATCCCCGGCCGTGAGCCCCGCGACCTCAACTTGGCCGAGTTTGCCTTTGCCGGTTTCTTCTCGGCTATCCCCACCACCCTCTTGATGTCTCCCACCGAGCGCATCAAGGTCATCCTCCAGGTAAGCATTACGGACTTACTGTCACTCAACACTCACACGCACATATCGTAATCCGATCGGAGCTGGTTTTTTTTACACTTTATATTCTCTTTTTTGTGGCTCTCACGTGTGAGATGCTTGAAAGTCAGGAAAAGATGCATGCAGTAGGCAGATGGACACACCACACCCTTAGAAACACTGTCGGTTTAGAGGGTTCAAAAGGAATTGAGTCTGCGAGATCAAAGATCGATTACAGGCACACAGACAGTCCCCCTCATCTCGCTACTTCCCACAACCACTCACTTCTACTTCTACGATGCCTGCTCACTAAACAAAACAAACCATCCCTATTAACCCATTAGACCCAGGGCACCGGTGCCAACAAGCTTTACAACGGACCCGTCGATGTCGCCCGTGCCTTGTACAAGGAGGGCGGTATGGCTTCGATCTTCCGTGGAACTGGTGCTACCTTGTTGCGTGATGGTCCTGGATCTGCTGCCTACTTTGTTGCCTACGAGGTCATCAAGCGCTCCCTTATCCCCGCCGGTGGCACTGCTAATGACTTGAACCCCCTCTCCGTTCTCTTTGCTGGTGGTATGTTCCATCGCTTCTTGTATATTCTTCGATCAATGTCAATGCCAAAGCTATTATTCCATGGAACTTAAATTGGCCCCTTTATTTTTCTTTGCATGTGTTCTCGATCAATAGGTATGGCTGGTGTTGCCATGTGGACTATTGCTATTCCCCCAGATGTTCTTAAGTCCCGCCTCCAGTCTGCTCCCGCTGGCACCTACACGGGCATTGCTGATGTCCTTCGCGTCCTCTTGAAGACCGAGGGTCCCCAGGCTCTCTTCAAGGGTCTCGGCCCCGCCATGTTCCGTGCCTTCCCCGCCAACGCTGCGTACGTTCGCTTTATATCTTGCTTTCTTAACTGTTGCCTGTTTTGATCGACCGGCCGTCATATATGCTCTCCTTTCAATCACTAACCATCCGCTTGCTTGTATTTCTATCTAACAATAGTTGCTTCCTCGGTGTTGAGTACTCTCTCCGTGCCATGAACATGGTCTTCTAAAGGAGCTGTATCTTTTTTCTTCCTTTTCGCGACAAACCCCTCCTCCACCCTTATCCCCCACTCACGTAGTATTTTATTTCCATACAACATTGTAGCATAGCAGAAATACAAAAAAAAAGTAGAATTCACAAAAAACACAACAGCCCGTTTTTACGTTTGTGCTTGTGAAAAGTGTTTTGTTCCTGTAGAACCTTCGGAAGAATGAACAGTAAGCATTGGTTTGTGTCTGTATGGACGTCCAAATTTCTCAGCTGTCGAAAAGAAGAAACAAAACGTCGACCACCGTTTCGCAGGGCATATACATATAATTGGGCAAAACAAACTGGCATGTAAACAGACAAGCAGATAATTGGATTGTGTTGTTGATTGTACTGTACGAGGTTGAGCCGATTGTAGCTGTGAGCTCTAAGAAAGCAGCTAGCGAAGGAATGGAAGAGGAATACACATGACTGCCTGTCAGCGGAAGTGGAGAAGTTTTTGTTTGTTTTTTGGCAGCACCGGTGTGCATGAGGTGGATGCAGAGTATGAGGCTTACGAAATAAAGAAATAGAGAAGGAACCCATGAGAGGATCTTAAAGGCAAGGTTCAGCATGGTATCGCTGCATGTCCATAAACAGGAAAACAAACACAGACAACATCCACAAAAGTGAGGTAAACAACAGCGAGAGACACAGCTGGGAAATCATCCCCAGGACCGGATTGGGCTGATGCACGAAGTTAGGGGACAGGTAAGTTGGTCAGTCAGTTGACTCTACAACTCTACAATGCAATTGAAAATGGGGGCACCCCCATACCAGAGAATTGAATCTCCACTCTTTGCTCAAAATAAATAATGGGATATGCAGCCAATATGTATCAGTGGAAATGAATAGCGGTTTGTGTCCCTTTCCCACCACCACCACCATCATAACTCTCTCTCTCTCTCTCTCTCTCTCCCTCTTTCGTCACTGTTCATCACTACTGACTGTGCACTCGCTGCTGGTCGTATTTGATTTCCTTCCTCTTTTCTCTTCGTTTTCCCTTTTCTTCACCTCCACCCACTTGACCCTTTTAACCTTCTTTCTTCCCTTTTTCTCTTCACGATCATCCCTCGTCTCACTCACCCTCACTCCATCTCCCGTTCTCTTCTTTGCAAGGTACTACTTACTATTCACATCAACTCATCCACTCATTCACCGCATCCACTCTCACTCTCACTCTCTCTCTCTCTCTCTCTCTCTCTCTCTCCCTCTCGCGTGTGTCCCTCTCCTCCTGTCTCCTTGTTCTCGACCCTCTGCCTTTCGATTTTACTCCTCCTTGTATACTATCCCTCTCTCCTCCATCCTTCTTCTCTCCTTACCTTACCCCCCCCCCCCTGAATAACAAAAACAAACAACGGTCGACTCTTTTCTCATCCCTCTTGACCTGCTCTACTCATCCTTCTCCTTTTTCATCCAAAAGAGAGTGCGAATCTCGTTCATCCTTCCTTTTCTGCCTTTTTTCTGCTTGTCGTGTCTCATCAACAACAACAACAACAACAACAACAGATAACAAACAACAAACACACATCACCTCGCTCGTACGACTATCCTACTACTATCACTGATACCTCTTTTGACAAATCGACCATATTGACATACCGACTTTGTTTCGCTCCCCCACTTATCCAACACACAACATATATGTCTTTCTTCATCCTTCGTCCTGACTCTCTACTAACCCATCTCTTTCTTCTCTTCTTCCTCTCTCTTTCTCTCTTTCTTTTTCTACTTCTCTTTTCATCTCCTCCGTCTCCTCTCCTCTCCTTCCTCCTTCCTCCTCCTTCCACACCCACTACCACTCTGCATCTGTCGGCATTATTATCCCCTGCTAATTAGAGCCTACTTCCTGTACCTTTTATTTTGTTTCCCGACCGCTTGTCCTACTCTTCAATACCACAATCATATCAGCATCTTCCTTTCCTTTCATTTTAATCTCTCGCTCAACTCTTTCCCTTTCCTTTTTTTGTCCTCCCACCTCCTCCCGACCAACGAACATCCCCGACTCGACAACTAAGCAGCAGCTACAGCTACACTACCAACACCAACAACAACCACAACACATATACCTACCATGTCAACAGAAGTGCGCCTCCAACGCCAGCTCGAACACAACAAGCGTCTACGTGAACAATTTGAGCGGGAGCGCATCTCGGTATCACAGGCCAGCTCTGCGTAAGTTTGTTGACCTCTCCTCCTGTCCTTTTCACACCAATCCACAAAGCACAATACACAATACCACGGCGTATCATCCCCTCCACCCCCTATGCCGTCATTGGCCATTGGACATTGGTTGATAGGCTACGCAACTCTCGCACACTGGATGAAAAACAGAACACAAGGAGTCAACGCCCAAACTGTTTTGCATTATTTTTTCAACGTCAACAAAAACGCAGTACACAGTCCCTCTCCCCTTTCTCTCTTCCAAAATGGCTTGCTTTTTATATCATGGTCGAATGCATGACCGGCATGACCAACCAACCAACCATTACACGATCGAGGAGAATCCCTTCGACTGCACTCGAAAGAGGAGCAACAACAAGGGGGGGGAGGTGGAACTACAACGAGGCGAGATGGAAAGGGCAAGAGTAGGGGGTTTGAGGGGTGTAATGCAACTTGCGAAAGGCTGTTTGAGTATTTCACTCAAGCATATACATCCAAAAAAAGAAGGTTGGAACAATTGGGGCCCCATTTCTACCAGATCCTCACGGTGATACGAAAAAGATGCACGAAAGGGTGTGTGAACTGGGATGGTTTCGTCTTCGTTTTGTCTTCTCACTTGTCCGCCTACAAGTGTATGAGCATGCAGCTATCTTTGTCATTGCAGAAAGAACATCAGATACAAGCACAATATTCACCCCCTAGAAAGCAGAAAGTCAATTAACAAAAAATAATGACCGAAAACAAGGAGAGTTGCAACTGAAAAGCTGCCAAGAACATAAAGAGCATGTCTTATGGGATCTGGACAAGCGGCAAGGCTACTTGGCCACGGCATATTTGTGTTTGTGTTTGTAGTGCTTGCATCCAATTATCCCCGCTCCCCTAGAGTTTCAAGTCGACGCTTCCATCTCGCTTTTCCTTCCTTTGCCATTTTCCTTTCCCTCACTCATATCCACGGACCCCTTCGATTGCCGTCCTTGTCTCGCTTTTTCCTTTTTCATTGCTCAGTTGATTCTTCATGCATATGCATTACTGTTTTCACCCTTGCCCTGGCCCTGACCCCCTACTTTTGCCCCGTTGGCTTCTCCTCCTTTTGCGGATACTGTTTCCATGAATATTAAAACAATGTTGGTTCTAACCTGTAACATGCTTCTGTTCAAACATATCCTTCTAGACTTATCCAATACTGCATGAGCAACAAAGATGTCTTCATCACACCGGTCTGGGGCGAGCTGGAAAAGCAGGATGACCCATTCTTGGTCCAACCCAAGGGTTGCGGATGCAGCGTCATGTAATAGAACAGAACCAAAACATACCATCGCCACCCACCATCATCGCCACCACAAGTCATAAACACTTTGTTGGCATCATGGATGTGGGATTCTTTACAACCCTGCGACGCAATTGATACGACTACAACAACCTCAGCACTCCTGGAGGATGGGAGAAAGATATCTGGATAATATCTTTTCATCTTTTTCTCTCCCATTTGATACCCCTCCAACATACACACACCTGCACATCATCTCCCCTTCCCGTTATATTTCTCCCTTTTCGCCTTTTTTTCGCCTTTCGCCTTTCTCATTTCACCCACACACAATCCAACACCCCACCGACAACATGCCTTTTTCTATTCTGTACATAACCAAAATAAAATAATAACTTAATTGATAGCCCTTTCCAGTTCCCCACTCTCAAAAGCTAAAAAGACAGGTGAGATAAATAATGCGAGAGCGCGTCTGTTTGTCATAAAAAAGGTACTTTGGGTATTGTATTTGTCGTTTACTTTTTTATTTTTTATAAGAGGGGTTTATTGTAGTAGATGGGTATTTTTTTTTTTTTTTTTTTTTTTTGGTGGGGTTGGAACAAAAAAAAAAAACCACGACGATCATACTGGAAGAAATACTTAACGCGGGAATGCTGGAGACGTCAATCCAGAATTCAAACTCTCGGACGGTGACAAGGGTCCCAAAGGACCGACCATACTAAACCGTTCCTCACACAAATCACTCAATCGCTCCCTCTCCGAATCTGAAAGCTGCTCTGTGGGGGACTCGATCGCATTCGTGAGGGATTCATAGACCTCGGTGTCGTGGAGGAAGGGGTATCGGCCGGCCATCTTTTGGAAGGTCAAGATCCTGCGGATGATGGTTGCGATCGTGCGGTGTTTGTGCATGTTGATCATCCATGGCACCTGCTGTTGCTCGGAGGAGGAGGAGGAGGAGGAGGAGGAGGATGGGAGCGTGGGCAAGACTTGGGTCGGAGGAGCTGAGGAGGTCGAGGTCGAGGATGTAGACATGGAGAGTGTCAAAGACAATGAGGGGGACGACGCCGGAAGGGAGGATGATGGGGATGTGAAGCCGTCGATGACGGCTGGTGCTGTGGCAAGAGGATCGATTGTAGCCGCAGCGGCGGCGGCGGCGTCGAGGTGATGATGATCGCCTTGAATATGATTATTGGATACGCCGGGTGAGGATGTGGAAGAGTGGGATGAAGAACTGGCATCAAAGGTCGACAAGCGGTTCAAGGGGTCAGAAGTTGTCGTGCTGGAAAGGTACTCGGCTGTTTGAAGAGGAGGAGGAGGAGGGTACATGTCGATGGCTGCAGGGACCTTGGGTTCAACATAGGATGGCAACTCAGTGTTGAACAGCAGGTCTGACAAGTACACACCTAAACACAATGGCCACAATAGATCAATAGATCAAGGTTACTGTTAAACATGTGGCCAGAAGGAAAAGATTGAACAACATGGAGAGTGGGAGAGTAAACTTACCGAGGAAAGGAATGCACCCTCCCATGGGCTGCTGAGAGAGCGAACTACTCTTATTCGCATCCTTATCCTTGTCCTTATCCCTACTGCTCAAAGTCGACACCAAGGAGGGGAAGACCGGCCCCGAGAACGACTTTGTAGGTGACGAAGAGTGCCCCGTCAATGTCGATGACTTGGTGCCATGGTGCTGCATAGCGGAATAATGTTGCTGTTGCTGCTGATTCTGCTGCTGAGACTTCAAGTAATGATGGTCCTTTTGCTTATCCTTGCCACCCATCGCAATCTTACTGAACAACCCTCCGCCGTCCTTGTTGGATTTCTTTGATCCAGATGTTGACAACGAAGAAGCGATGTCGACAGCAACCGAGACCGGTACGGGGTCTTGACCCGTTGCAGCGCCACCCCACTCGTCAGCCATCGTCTTCATGGCATTACGCAGGTGTCTCCAGTTGTGGAAGGGCGACGTGAACTCGACAAGGTCTTCCATCATTTTGGTTTCCTGTGAGCGAACGCGGGCCCACGTTCGTGAGAGCCTTGAGACCTCGTGTGCCTGGAGGCCAAGCATCACTTGTGTCAACGAGCTAAAGTTGTGGTAGCTGTAGCATGTCTACAATAACAATGTATAAAAAAATTGTCGTGCGTCAGTAGAGTGACAACAATTCAAAGGAGCGGATGAAATCCAATAGGAACACGCGACAAGAAAAAGGAGACTTACATGGGCAATGCGGATGAACTTTTCAATGACCTTGACTCTTGTCTCCATATCGGTCGTCTTGAGAATCTCAGATGTCACCCAATTGCACGTCTACAACATCAAGTTATTAGTGTGTCAGTATCAAAGAAAACATGGTCCTGTTCACAAGAAGAAGGGTAGCAAATGATGAAAAGAAGGGGGTTCTTACGAGGTTGAAGCGGTCGACAAGGCGGACGACGCTTGGGCTGTCCGAAGATTGGTGCGGCCGCTCACTCGTTCGTCCAGAAGCCGTCAAATTGCTCTTACGATTCACCTCCGAACCCTCAGCATCACCGCCGTCTACTGCCTCATCATCGTCATCATTCTGCTCCTCACTCAACGAAGGCGCAGGAGCCTTCGTTCCAGCATTAGAAGAAGCCTCGGGCGACTTCTTCTTCTTCCACCCAGCATTGACCAACTCAAACCACTGGATCTCGCTCAACTGCTCCCGCTCGATCAGACACATCTGCTGAGCAATCGCCTCGGACCGGTGCCGAAGCACAACCGACGTTGATGCACGAGGATACTCCCGAACGGTCGATGCTGATGACATGATGCTCTGGAACCGTGGCGTCATTGGACTTCGCTGTTGGCTATAGCTGTTCTCGTATTGCGACCGAGTTTGTTGTTGTGTTACTCCATGGGAAGAAGATGAGGGACTGCTGTACCATGAAGCGCTGATCCGGTTGACGCCTCGTTGCTGCTGCGCTGTTCCTGTTGAAGTCGGGTTTGACTTTGGAGGCGACTTGGCACCATTGCTGTTGTTGACGACCAGCGGGTTGACGTCAGGATCGGAGAGGTGGCGCCAGTTCGGGTTCGAGTACGAACGACCCTCCACAGATCCTCCTCCCGATATCCTGTGGCTGCTCTTGACAGAAAAGTCCGGGCTGTGAGGGCCATTGTTGTTGGGTCCTCGGAATGTCTGAGAATGCGGTGGGATCGTGACAGGCGGGGGAGAAGGCGCTGCTCTGGGGCCACCTTGCTGATTGGACATCAGTTTCAGTTGTCGTTGAGTCTCCTGAAGTGCAGCAACATAAGCTGCGCCCTCCAGCAGCGAGATCGGGTTTTGAAAGGCGCCTCTGCTGAAATCTGTCGAGTTTCTCTTGTCGACGTTTGAGGTTTTCGTGCTGGTGGACCATCCTTGGAGGGTTTGGACATCTGAAGAATGGCGTCGCTGGGGAGGGTAGTCTTGAAGGCTTTGGCGATTCTGGAGATAGTGATGATGATGGTAGTGGTGGTGCATAATAGGGACTGTCTGGCGGTGAGGATGTTGGGCAACCGTGTGGCTTCTCCGTCCTCCATTTATCCCAGGACTAGCTGACTGGATAGTGTTCTCGCCAGTTAAATCGCTGTTACTCAGTGGTTCTACTGCTGCTGATACTGGTTTCCCAGAGTCCTGGCTTGCCATTGTCTTGAGGGCGTCGGTGCTCTTATGACGCGTCATATTCCTGTACGCAGGTCGATGTTCTCCTGCTGGGACGGCTGGGGATGCGATCGATCCAAATGTCCGTTCCACAAACCGCTCAACGTTCAACTGCTCGCTTCCTCTCCTGATAGTTTGACTAGGTGGAACGTGATTCTGGGTCAGAACAGCTCCAAAGATGGATGAACTGGTCGACGAGAACGTCATCCAAGACGCGCGATTGTCTCGTTTGGGAGTCGTGCGACGAAGAGACCGCGAGTTGATGGATGATGAAGGCAGTTGATCCCATTCTATAGGAACGAGACCGTGGCCAGGCGACCGCTCTTCCTGAATCAACTCTCGATCATCCGAAAGGGGATCCAATCCTCGAGGAGAGGCTGGTCTCGACAATCGGCGCTGCTCGCCTTCATCCACTGTGTTGTATCCGTACTCCGTGGGTGTTGCTGCTGCGGCTATCCGTGATCCTCCATGATTCCGACCTTGGGTTGTTGAAGAATGTCTCTGGTCCACGCGGTGGTTCATGGCGCGTGAATTGGCGCGGTCGCCTATGCTCTTTCTGGTTGATTCTGACCGCAAATCCTCATCCTCATCGCTTGAGCATTGTCCGCTTCGATCCGTGCCACCGTGTTCATAGCCACTGTGATACTCCCTAACTCCGTGATAGCCTTCCTCGTATGAGACGATGCTGTTGGTGGTGGTCATGGCATCCAACATAGTCGCAGATTGAGATACCCTGTGTTCGCTCTGAATCCGGCCCTCGTTCCAATACCGAGATGGTCCTGCTGTTGACCTCATGGATGCAAACTTGGTAAACTCTCGATCCACTGCTCCACTACGGGGAATGAAAGGCTGGGTTGAAGTTGTCGTGGATGATCCGCCGCTCCGAAGATCTTGGATCGATTGCGATGACTTTGGCTTGAAAACGCGCTTGACCTTTGACAGTTGTCCGACAGTGGCGGCCATATACTGAGACCAAGTCTTCTTTTTGTCGCTCGAGGACGGTCCTGAAGTATAGAGAGGACGAGAGGACGAGTAGGCATCCAGCGGCAATGGCGATTCTGGGGGCGAGAACGCATGTGAGCTGGTTGTATCAATGGACGTCGAAACATATGACAGTGGTCGAGGACGAGACGCAGGTCGGGCTTCGTGAAAGTGAGGGACGGTGTGACTCCGGTGATGATAGTGGTGAGGTGAATCTGAGGACTCTGAAACTCGTGGTCGAGAATGGATATTTCCAGTACCATCCGCGGCGTCGGCACTGGCGCTGACATGGTGGTGATAATGGTGATGGTGGCTTGACGAGAAGGACTCCGAAGCGAGATCATTCGATTGGCTGGACCCTGCAGAGAATGTTGGTGAAGGAAGGCGAGCTTTGATGATGGAGGCAGTGACGGAAGACCTGCGTCGATCTACATTAGGCCTTTCCTCAGCTTCAAGATCGGAGCCGCCCTTGCCGTTGTCGGACGTAACCTGGTCACGCTGACTGTATCCTTCGTCGACGATGTAATTGGACACCTCCTCGTACACGTCTTCTTCTTCCTCATTATCATCAGCTTCTTCGTCTTCCACGTCGTCGTTATCATCCTGGATATCGTCGTATTCGCTCTGACTATCGGTCGAGTAGAGTTCAGAGTCCTGATCGCTTGACTCGCATCCAGATGGTTGCTCCTCAAATACCGACCGCTCAGATCCGTAATGCTCGGCATGGTCTGTTCAATAAGTAGCCAAAAAAAAAAAAAAAAAAAAAAAATGACACGAATAGATTAATTGAGATCCGCAAGCCAGCATGCGATAAAATAATGCAGGTTGAGATCATATGCGTACCATGCTGCACGGAGCGGATCGAATGCTCCTTTTTGGCGGTCGAACCCTCGAGGGAACGCTGGGCAGCGGTGTGGCTATACTGCTTGCGCTTAAGTTGGAAAAGCCGTCTCAGCTCATGTACTATTCGCTGGTCTCGAACGCTTGAGCAGATGATGGGATGGGTAATCAACAGCTTCAGATTTTGGATCAATGTACGTCGCAGGAGTCTGAACCCCATAAAGTCGTACTCAAAATAATTCAATAGCCAATGTCGAAGCACGACAAAGGTCCGGACCCGAACAATCTGCCTCTTAGGAGTGTCTTCGGTCAGAGCCCAATGAAAGCGGGCCATCAGGAGTCGAAGCAAGGCAGGTGGAGAGATAAACAGGCGATAGATGAGGAAGAAGTCCGTAAGGAAGGTATAATCTAAAAAGATACATGGGCCATGGTTCATGCATAACAATGAAGCACGAAAAAAAATTAGAGGGCAAAAAAATAGTGTTCAATTCTTTCCAGGCGTTTTAAATTAGATGTGACATCCCGCCTCATGTCCCTCTATCGCCCATTTTCTTTCCTTTCCCCACTGTCGATACTTCCAATAATAACAAAACATGAGTTGCTGTTACACACTCCCTGGGAGCTCGATTTTCTCTCTGATTACTTACCGATATCGCTTGTGAGTTTCTCAACCAACTTTTCGATGGTTGCTGCCATGATCACACGGCTCTCCTGGTTGGCAGCCGACTTGCTTGTTGCAGATCCTAAGGCCGTCGTGCCTTTTGCGTTCGCCTTGGACGAGGTGGAGGAACTGGAAAAGCCTGGCTTGGGCATCGAGATGGGCCCGCTGATCCTCTCAGGTGGCTTCGTGAGACTGGGTGAAGACGGCTGACTTGAGCCCGAGAAGGCAGCTTCGGATGCACCACCGTGAGCAGTGGACTGGGCCGTGAAGGTCTCCTGACTTGGCGTTGTGGCTGTGGGTGTCTGGGCACGCACTCTTTCGTGGTCGAACGAGTCTCTTCCTTGATTTTTGGCCTTGTTACTCTCTCCTGCAGACCATCGCTTGACCGTTGAGGGAGTGGATGAGGACGCAGGCTCAGGAGTCGGTATACTCTGCGCGGACTGCTGACTTGCAGAGGGAGAAAGAACGGCCCCTGATTTGTTGTTCCTCGAGAGTGTTACCGCTGGACTGGTCTCGATTATGGAAGCCGAGACCGCTGCACTGCCGGTCCCAGACTCGGGTGTCGTACTCCAGAGAATGTATGCCTCGTTCTCATCCGATGCAATCTGGTCGAAGAAAGAAGGATCGTAATCGGTAACGATTTCCTGTTGTTGTTGCTGCCGATGTTCGCTTGCGTTCGTACCAGCGCTCTGTTGGTCCGTCCCTGAGCGATGTGGTTTGTGTGTAGCGTGAGAGATGTGGTTTTGTTGATGCGGTATGGATGTACTCTCGTTCTCACGACGACCTTGGGCGCTATCGGATGTCTCATGCCTGGTGTTACTGTTGGTGGTGCTAGATCGGCTCTTGTCAAACGTCAGACCCATTTCTGAAAAGGAGGGGATGGGAGGAAGGATCCACGAGGCGGAAAAATAGTCAATGGGAGAAGATGCTGGTGTCGGTGATGGGTAAGGCGATTCGATTCCAAGATACGAGCCTTGCTCAGAGGAAGGACCAGAGGTAGACGAATGAAAGTTGAAGCCAGGGGCAGAGTTGGGGACGGTGGATGTTGGAGAGGTTACGGCAGAGACGGGAGCAATTGAGGTGGAACAGTAGGGGTTCTCCGAGTCCATTGTCGCTGCTTGGATTGCTGTTGCGGGAATGGGAATGAATTTTTTGACGATGGAAGCGGTAGGCGAAGTCTGCAGGGGTGACAAGGAAAACGATTTGCGGGAGGAAAGGTCCTTGGCTGGCAGATCTAATTTAGATGGCACAATCTCCAGCTGTGGAACCAGACGCTCCTTGTCGACACAAACGGCTGTACTCTGGGTGATGTGGAAGGAAGAGGTGGTCGTCGGTTGGATGGTATCCCTGACGGGGTGTTTATGGTCGCTTCCAGTCGATTGCTCCTCGATGCTGACATACTCCTCGACTAACACCAAGCCATCGTCCTTGACGCTCTCTGACACATCTGATGGTTCTATAGAAAGAACAATAGATCCAGTTCCAGTCGAGAGCAAAGTTCGTATTGACTCTGTTGTTGTCGTTACTGTCGTTTCTGCTGTTATCGATGTTGCGGTATCTTTATCTTGGATCCCTCCTGCTCCAGCCCCGTTTTCTCCTTGTTCCTCCTTATCGAGGTGGATCACTGTGGGCTCATCATTGGCTGGATCGCGTCTTGGGTCCGTTTGGGACGTGACTGCTGCGAGCGTTGGGGCCATGGTCGTGCTGGTGGTCAATGCTGGCGAGGTGGCGATAACAGACGAAGAAGGCGAGGGGGAGAGCGAAGGAGAAGAAGGAGAAGAAAGAGGATGAAGCGCCGCGACAAACACGTCCTCGGGAAACCCTGCATGTGCATGCGTGTTCGTGTTCGTGTGCGAGATCGAGGACTGTTCTTGATATTGTTGTGGTTGACTGCATTGAGTTCTGCTATGGGATTGGAAGGAGGCTGAGGCGACGGGAAGAATGGGTACATTCACTGATGAAGAGTCGGAGTCGTCTTTGTTATTGATGCTGCAATGGTTGTTGTTGTCGGTATTGCTCGGTGCAGTATCGTTGCTGTCGTGGTTGTTGTTGCTGCCGTCGGTGTCAATTCGACCTGCAGGCCAAGGTTCCGAAGACATGGGTAGACTATGTACGGTTCAGGGTTGTTATTGCCCCCAAGAAGGAATCAAGGGTTTCCAAAATGACATCGATGCAAAGAAGAGTGTTAGGGGGTAAACACAACCACGCCAATTTTGTGTATCGAGTCGAATTTCGGGGGAGACAAAAGAAAGGGAAGGAGGACGAAGGAGGACGAAGAGGAGAGGGGCGAGAAGAAAAAAAAAAGAAAAAAATGGAAAAATGCAGGGGAAACCCGCAGAGGGAATCGAATGTGATGTCAAACAGAAAGGGCCGAGAACGACAATAGGAGGAAGGAAAGAAGGAAGAAGAAGGGGAGAACATCCCATGGTATGTTTACAAGACAACATGTGCTGTACATACACACATATCGAAACACATCAAGACAGACATACACACTGCCTCATCTCATCCTCAATCAATTGCTCAGATGGTACACACACGATTGTGCGCTCTCTTTTTTTTATTCGACGACCCTTTTTCACGTTTCTTGTCTGCTCGCTCGCAAAGGGAAGGAAGGAAGGACACAAACAAGCAAAGCATAGCATAGCTGAAAATAAGAAACAGGGAGAAGGGAGACACACATTACCTCGAGACGCAGTGATCCTTATTGCCTTGAGAGTGTTCGAGACCAATCGCATCCATGGGCATCGATGCAGCAGCCAGGTGCATAGAAAGTCGTGCGTTTATGGTGAAGTATTACGATAAAAAGTGTGCGATTCACTTTCCTAACATGAGGAAGAAGTAAAGAAAAGAAGCAAGGCGCGTGTTAGGGTTGTTGGACCGAGTAGAGGCTTGTGGCAAAGCAAAGGAAGGGAAAAAAAGACGTGGTTTCAGGACTGGGTGCAGGTGGGAGATCTTTTTTTGATTGCGTTTCTTTTGACACAAGGGTCGGGTTGATTGAGTATGGGGATAGACGGATGTGCGTGGGTGGGTACGGCATGGTTAATTGGCTGCAAGATGAAGGGGTGAAAGGGTGACAAAGTGTAGACGGAGGAAAGCTATAGATGGTTTGCTGGGAACGTGTATAGAACCGTGATTGAATGTCGAGAAGGATATCGCTGTGGAATTGAGTGGAACACGAAAGTGAAGCGTGCTTGCTCGGTGGAGATAGGCTGAAGGTGTTTCGGTGTTTCGGTCGCGTCGGTTGTGTTGGTGTGGAGAGGATAGTGTTGGTGTACCTCGTTGTCCTGCGATTTGCCGAGGAGAAGGAGGATTGGGTGGATAGGGCAGTATGTGATATGAGGTCGGTAGATATATGTCTCGAAGGAGCGTGTGAGTGCTTTAATGTGGAAGGTGAGAGGCGGTTGATCGGCCGAGGAGAATCAAAGATTCGAATTCGACTCGAGGGAATGAGGAATGAGGAGTGGAAAATCTTTCTCGACGCGGTTGATTGATGTGTTTTATTTCTTTTGTGTCTGTAGTGAATGGAGTGTAAAGGGGGATGGCAGGCAGTTTTACCGATTACATGAAAAATTGTCGAGGGTGTGTGCGTGTGTGGAGATGAACGAAGGAGAAAGAGAAGGACGAGAAGGAGGGAAAAGAGGGGATGAGGATTAGAAAAGAAAAAAAAAAAAAAGAGTGGCAAGAAAGTGTGAAACCCATTCACCATTGGACGACAAAAAAGAACCTTTTGTACCTGGGTGACTGGCTTGGGGGGTGACAGGACAAAAGGCGGGAGAAATCGAAGGGACAGAGGGACGGAGGGACAACACCGTCTCGGTAGTGTAATGATGGCCTCCTGTTTGTGTCCCTCCAAGGTGAACATTTTCAGAGCTCAATCGCAGTGGGTTGAAAAGGAAAGGAGCCCTTGAATAAGCGTGTGCACCTACCCACTCACCCCTCTTTCTTTTCTCTTCTACAAAACCTTTGTCTTCTCCTCTCTCATACATCTCATCGACTGCACATCCGCAAAACAAAAAACAAAAAACAAAAAACAACGTCCAAAAAAAAGGGACAACCGAGACGAGGCACAGGCTGACAACTCATTGCTCACTGTGGATTACAATTTTTTCAGAGGGAAATGAGGGGATGGGATTTGAGGGATGGGATGGTCAAACAAGCAACCCATAATTGGTTGAATCGCTCAAACGCACTTACATCCAGTCGTCCACACAATGGAACGAAAGGGCTCGTTCGTCGTTGTCAATTTTTGACTACTAGACAGGGCAGGGCAAGTAACACACACTTACCAACCCTTCCTGCAAGAGCGACAAGAGAAAGAGACCTTCGTCAAGATCTTGCTGCTCATCAATGGGAGGAGGACGAAGAAAGGGAAAATAAAGGACGAACATGTCCCCGAATGGTCAGACCTTCCTTTTGATTTTTTTTTAGTTATTGTCGTTTTTACCCCCTGCTCTCTCCTCTGTCTCCTTGGTCATCCTCTCTTTCTTACTTCCTAATCCCGTTCTGCTTTGCCTCGCTTTTTTATTCCACTCGCATCCTTTTTTTTTCAATGAGCAACTGCTCACCAAGCATTGAACATAAAAGCCAACATTCAGCATTCATGCCCAATGAAAAGTAGGAAAAAAAAAGGGACGAGAACATTTTTTCATCCACCATCCACACGTAAAATGTAAAGGGAAAAATTGCCTTCGGTTATTTTTCAGCCAACCATGTGGCCCCATGCTTATTGTTTTGTTATTGCTCTCTTGCTCTTGATCTCTCCATGGTGTTCAACCATGCTGATCCCTTTCTTTCTTCGACAATTGTATAGAAGCATACATACTTACTCTTGTTCTCTACACATCAACCCATCTAAATGTTCGTCCCTTCGTGTCAGCCATGGTCGCACCATCACATCCAAGTTACCCGTTTGGTTTGCGGGCCAGTCAGTCTCCTCTTCCACCCTCCACTCTCCTCCTTTCCCCTTACGACCTCGTCTTTTTTTTGCACCAACTAGAAAAAAAATGCTCTCACTTTGTTTGCTTTTGTGGACCATGTCCGATTATTTTTTCCCGCTGTAAATGTCCGTGGTGTCCCATATTTCCCATCCACTCACACTGGAAGAATTTGAGAGAGAAAACCACACTCCTGCAGAATCACAAAAAAGTAAACAAACTCTCACACATTCGATAGGAGAAACGGGACACAACCGTTAGGCACGACTTGTTTTTCTACTCTCGCCCCCCCTTCAGAGTGTGTGTCCACTTCACCTTTCCTTTCCTACGCGTGATAACATAAGTTCCTTTTAGAAAAAGCAGGCTAGCTAGGCGCGTGTCATTTTTTTTTACAGGCCCTTGTCATTTCGCCCAATAATCCAATGAAGCTATTTTTTTTTACTCGTTGTTGTGTTACGTCGACCTGTCTTCATTTCCACTCTTCTTCTTCTCTCATACCCCTCCAAAGAAAAGTCTAAGCAACCAAAACCCCTCGACCACTAGATACATTAGCTCTCTTTGTCTTTTGTCTATTTTCATTTGGGCAACTTAACGCGAGAGGGGTCAACTGCCTTTTCGTGTTTGTTCGAGATAACTAGGAACAACAGGAGTCGTGCATGTTTTCCTTCAGCCAGGACAAGAAAATCAAAGGGGAGGAAAGGGCACGATTGAAAGCATAAAATTAAAAGCGAGAGGGAGAGAGAAAGATAGTGAATGCAAGAGATAGACAGGGATGGATGAATGGAGGCGAAAGAGAGAGAAAAGAAGTCCATCTGCTGCCTTCTGCTTGCTGCGATTATTTGAGGGTGAGAGAGAGAGGAAGGGAATCGGTTGGCCCCCGTCTTTTGTTACATTCAGTCAGAAAGAAGGAGAACAAACTTCCGTACTTTGCACCTCCTCTACTTTCTCTCTCCTTCTTTCTGCTCTGTATTGCAACAACCACAAACTGATAGCAATAATTATTTAACCTCCAGGGACAAGTTCAGTATTTTCGCGGACGCCCCAACTTGTTCGGCTGTTTTGCCAGAAATGTGAATTATTGTCTCCTGGGCCTTCATCCCTACACCTTCTTATGAAACTTAATGTACTTGTTGTTTTCTTACCCATTCCTCATTTCTCCTCATTCTTTTTCTTTTTCTCTCCTCATTCAACATTCAACTTCACACGACACCCATTTTGTTTTCTGCAATACAACCAACAACGTCAGCACATACTCAGCCTCGCCCCCACTCAACACCAACAAAGAATAAACGAATGCCACGGCTAAACGCACGGGACAGGACAGACCTGCACCGAATGCAGCAGGCTCAATATACGGACGGGACAGCGACCGATCTCCGACTGCTACACTCTCTCGACGACCTGGGGGCGCTTCGGCGTAAAGGCGATCGAGCCACAAAGGACAGTGAGGTAGAAGAGGGTGATCCTGGGCCCATCTCTTGGCACCAACGTATCTCTATCTGGATGATCAACGAAGGCATGTTTGATCTGTTTTGTGGTTTTGTGTTGTTTCAGCGGTTTCTGTTTCTGATGGTGACTTTTTTTCTTGTTTTGTTCAGGAACCATCAGCTGTGGAACTCAATTGTTGATCAGCTGCAAACATATCTGATGGCGGGGTGCTTGGGCCATGTCTCACTTCTTTACCCGCCTTTTTTTTAACCTTTTTTCTCTTATCCTTCGACCAAAACACCTGTTTCTTATTCGTCATACATTAAAAAACAACAAAACAAAATAGGCAATAGATGGATATTCCTAACACTCTGGATCCTAGTCCACGTTGGCCTCTTTGGCCTCTCCTTCTTCAACTACTACTTCTCCGACAACTTCGAAATCGCCCGTTCAAAACTCGGTGTCACCCTCCCCATCGCCCGAGGAGCGGCTCTGGTCCTCCATGTCGATTCTGGAATGATCCTCTTCCCCGTCTGTCGAACCCTCATCTCTTGGCTCCGCTCCACGCCTTTGAATCGGATTGTTCCCTTTGATAAGGCATTGGCATTTCATAAGGCGATTGCATGGAGTATTGTGTTTTTCACGATGCTACATACCTTTGCGCATTATGTGAATTTCTGGAGGCTGTCGAGGACGGATCCGGACAAGTTTTCGTTTTTGGGGTTGATGTTTGGCTCAGGACCAGGGTTGACGGGCCATTTGATGTTGTTGGCGCTTTTGGTCATGGTTTTTACATCCCTCCCCAGGGTCCGCCAGGCCAAGTTTGAGGTGTTTTGGTACTGGCATCATCTGTTCTTGGTTTTTTTTGGACTCTTCTCTTTCCATGGCGCATTCTGTCTCCTCACACCGGACCGCGCACCACATTGCAAGGATATCGCCAGCTTCTGGAAGTACTGGGTCGCGAGTGGATCAATGTATCTCCTAGAACGAGTTCTTCGAGAATGGCGCGGGATGCAAAAGACAACCATCTCCAGAGTCATCCTTCACCCGTCCAAGGTTGTCGAGATCCAGATGAAGAAGGAGTCTTGTCGCGCCCTGGCAGGACAGTACATCTTTCTGTGCTGCCCTGAAGTCTCGCTCTGGCAATGGCACCCCTTCACATTAACCAACGCCCCCGAGGAGGACTACCTTAGCGTACATATCCGTGTCGTCGGCGATTTCACAAAGGCACTCGGACGCCGACTAGGCTGCGACGTTGACGGCGTCGCAGAATGGGAAGAGACAATGGGCGACAAAGGCGATGGCCTCGTCACCATCCTTCCCCGAGTCATGATTGACGGCCCCTTCGGAGCAGCTTCAGAAGACGTCTTCAAATTCGAAGTCACCATCCTCGTCGGCGCTGGTATCGGCGTCACCCCCTTCGCCTCCGTCCTAAAATCGATCTGGTACAGAGTCAACTACCCGACCGCCGCTACAAAACTCCACAAAGTCTACTTCTTCTGGATCTGCAGGGACAAGGATTCCTTCGAATGGTTCCAATCCCTCTTACTCGCCCTCGAATCCCAAGACCTGAACCAGTTCATCGAGATCCACACCTTCCTCACCGGCAAACTACGACATTCCGAAGTGGGCAACCTGATGCTGAATGACCAGGATGCGTTTGAGGATACAGTGACGGGACTCAGGGCGAGGACTTGTTTTGGACGGCCGAACCTGGATCTCGAGTTTGAACGAATCCGGGACCATCATGAGGATACGGATATTGGGGTCTTCTTTTGTGGACCCAAGAAGATGGGCAAACAGTTACAGGCCTGTTGCACAAAGTTTAGTAATCATACTACGCAGTTTGTCTGGCACAAAGGTAAACCTTGGGTTTTTTCGCATTTATTTATTTATTTTCTTCCCCCCGACAAAAAAAAAACCAGGCGCAAGGGAAATGTACTACAGCGTGATGGAGCAGTGGGGCGTTCAGGGAGTTTGGCCTTATCATCATCTAACGCCTTCTTCATTCTCTCTTTTTTTTTTCTTTCCTTTCGCACGTTCACAACCGTGACCCATAGAAAACTTTTAAAACACCATAAAGAACACCAAAAGCATTATCACAAAAGATCATAAACCCAACAATCAAATTGTCAGGCAAGCCTTTTTTTTTTTTAATTTGCCTTGCAAAAAAAAAAGAAGAGTGGAGTGGGGAGTGTGTTTTGTGAGGATTTGATATAAGCAAGGGAGGGAGTTTCCACTAACAACGTGGACTTGGCTTTCTTGCTCTCCTCAAATATGTATATCCTGCTCGTCTAGGCCACAGTGGCAGCGACAGAAGTATTGGCGACCTTCTCAGCAGCAGCAGCCTCCTCGCTGCCCTCGCCTTCACCGTCCTTCTTCTTGTTCCCGAATAACGCCCACGAGACGGCAGCATCGCCCATCAGCGCCGCAACAAGGACGGTTCCGAGAGCCCATTTGTTGTTCTTGTGTTCCTTCCACAGCTCCCACAGCGGGTTCGCCTCTGCCGCCGTAGCATTCGCGGGGGCAGGAGGGGGAGGGGGGGTAGTAGCAGCCTTAGCGGCAGTGGTGGTGGTGGCGCTAGTTCCTGAGACCTTTCCTGCGGCGCCCTTGATGGTGTTGGTGGCCTTGGTGGGAGTCGAGGACGAGAGGGTGGCCATGGAACGATGACGGACGGATGAGGCTCCAGAGCGGGCGACGAGCTGAGGGATGACACAGTGCATAAGAGACGCCATTGTTGTTGTTGTTGTTGTTGTTGTCTGGTTTGTTGGTTTGTTGATGAGAATGTGTTGATAAAGACGAAGCAAAAAAAAAGTGTCTTCATCGCCCACTTTTTATACCAGACATTAAGGTTATGCTCAGTTCACGGATCACGCTATGAAATTAGGGCGTACCCAAAGAGAGAAGTGCCGAACGCCGAATCTCACAGCCGAATCTCGGGTGGGAAAGGGGAACGCAAAAATGCAAGCAAAACGCAGCGAGAGAGCCCTGCCGCCACACCACAAGGTCCCCCAACCCCACGCCATTGCGAAGTCGTTCATGCTGACAACCCTAACTTCGTCTAATAAAAAATTACCTTTCTTGATGTGCTTGAGACTTAAATGCGCTAAGCTCTTTACTTTTAACAGATCGCGTTCGGATGTGAAAGTAAGAACCATGGTTGCACAATCCAGCGTTCTATTTTTTCCCTCTCAACCTTCTTCACTATTCTATCCATCATTCCTCGCCTAGGGTCTCCCTAGGGTATCCACTCGTCGTACCTGTTACATCCGCTCCAAAAACTCCAACCCCAGCAACATCAACCCCTCCTCAAAAACCCTCTTGGCCGCCCAAAACACCAACCACCTCGCCTCCGCAACTTCCACCTCCATCCCCTTCACCCTCAACACCCTGTTCGCCTGACCCACCATCGCCGCCAGGTTAAATAAATAGGTGACGAGTACAGACGGGTCGAGGGATTCGTGGATGCCAGAAAGGATCTCAGGGTACTCTGCTAGGAGGAGGGCCAGGTCAAAGGACTCGGTGTAGGAGGCTATGTGGGCCAGGTCGGCGGAGGTATTCAGGCGCGCCTTGGATTTTCTTTCAATGCTATAATATTTGATTTGTTTTGTCCATGAGTATCAAAAAGGAGAGTGTAGAGTGAGTATGTACCTATTCATACAGTCTTTCCAACGCGCCTTTCAAAAATGATCACAGCAAAAGTGGTGGCACGTACCCATAAAGCCTAGAAAGAACATATTGAAGAAACACGCCCGAATTACCCTTGCCGTCCAAGATTCTGCTCATACTGACATTCAGCTTCCGGGCCCTCTTCCCGCCACAACACGAGACTACCACCGCCGATCGACTCAAGATATTCGACATCCTTGTCAGCTCCGCCTCATCCAACACTTCAGCGCCATTTCCTTCATCATCGCCATCGTCAGCGTCGTAGCCATCGTTGCCGTAGGCGCCACTGTATCCTCCAACACCGCCACCACCGCGGTTCTGTTCAACGACCTCGCGCATCTTGACGTTCGTGTAATCGATAACTTCACTCATCTCACCTCCACCATTACTAGTTGCAGCGGTGAAGAGTGACGAATCCTTTGGCAGATCAACACCCATAGCTGGTCCATAATACATCACCTCCACCGAATCAGCCCACGACTTTGCTTTCACCGATGATCTCGAGTCCTTTACGACATCCGATTCTGCTGCTGTTGCGCCTGCCCGTTTTTTCCTTTCCGGTTCGTCCTCAGATATCGAGCAATCAACCTCCCCATCGCTCTGTAACCGCCGTCCCACTCCTGGGAAGATGGTCCGAGCCAAGAACAACACCTGCTCCGCAAACAACCGTCGTCCATCTGGTATCACCCAGATATACCGCATCTCTCCTTCACCACCACCACCACCACCACCGTACCGCGCAAACTGCCGCGCCATCCGAACTAGCGTCTCAATCACCGCCGTCGGATCTCCCATCTCCTTCGCTTTCTCATCTGAAGTTAATCCTGTCCTTGACGACGAAAACACCTTGACCTGTCCCAGTTTCTGAGCAGACATGTCTACGACCCATGCACCAGCTTCTGTGTTGCTCCACTGTGCCTTGATCTCTGGTCCTGTCTGAAGTGCGTGTTTAATGGTTTCCAGATATCCGTCGCCACTGTCGTTGATAGTATCAGATAATGTTGGCGATTCGACATCCAGATCCTGCAAGAACTCATCCCCTATCAATTGAACAAGTTCAAGAAAAAAAAAACCGACCAGTAATTAATTACTGTTATCACTTGTTTTACCTTGAACCCCTCTAATCGAATATTTCTCCCTCCTCAAAATATCAACTTTACTTCCGAGATCGGCAAGAACCTTGACATTTGCTGCACCGCTCGATTTAGACAACAGGAAGCGAGCCACAAATCCCGTCAGGACGGTTCGTCTCAAACTACAGAACGCGTTCTCATCCTGCAACGTCTTCATTCCATCCACAACAATAACTTTCTTCCCCTCAGAACTCAATCCTTCACGCGTTCTCTTCCCCAGCAGCAGCAGTCCCTCCTCCTCTTCTTCTTCTTCTTCCACACCCACCCTCTCTCTACCACTAGCTCGCTCAACGATAGCTCCAACAGCTTTCTGGATCAATTGAAGAGGCTGTGGATCAAACAGCAACATATCCTTTGTCCTCCGTACTCTGACAATACACTCCCGCGTATCAGCCGACAGTTCTGTGCAGCATCTTTCCAAGACCTGCTCATCCAACACTGCCGCCGTTCCATCACCACTGCTCCTGCTCTGAAGCTGCTGTAGTCGTTTGATAACTACAGAAAAGACGCTATGCGACGCCTTGCGATGACTGGTGTTCTGTTGGACCAGCGGCAAAAGACTCTCGATAGACTGGCCTAGTATCCCCGTGAGGTGTGTTGCAATCGTCCTCCTGAATGAGACCAATGTTGACTCTGCCATGTGTTGAATGAGTGTCCTGAAAAAAGAAAAGTGATCGGCTTCAACTTTTGCAACAATTTCACTTCATGGTAGAATTGTTAAGGGGATTGAGCCGCTGGCTGTTTGCCCAAAAATGGACAGGAAATGTATTTTGTGAACGAAAAAGAAAAAAAAAACGCGAAGCTGAAAATGAAAGAAAGAAATACAGAAAGAAAATTATGACCGTCCTTTGCCCATGCGACCCTTCCTTGCAGAGTACGCCTGCATCTCCTCTGCATAGCGTTGCTTGTCCTGCGCCGCCTTCTGCAACCAGGGTTCCCGCTGTGCAGGCGTCATCTCGTTCCACAACGTCGCTGCGACCTTGGGGATCGGCTGGTTCGGGTTCATAGCACGGATGCGCGCCCGTTCGCCAGACCGGAAGAACAAGAAGCCAGGAATAGGATGCTTGGGTGCATCGGGGTCCTTGGTGCGCTTCTTGTTGCGGCCCTTGGTGTCCTTGCCATTGATCGCCACATCCAGTCCACCACCCATAGCACCTGCGCCATTGGCCCGCGAGGCACTCGCATGGCTATTGGGAACATGATTGGCTGCATGGTTCGCCCCACCAGCGCCACCTGCCGAACCGCCAGCTGAACTGGCTGCGTTTGCAGCTGCAAGAGCACCACTCCGAGCAAGAGCCTGCTGCTGCTTGGCAAGCGATGCGCCAGATAGAGGAACAGCTCCGCGACGGCGCGCGGCTCCAGAGGCGGCAATCTCAGCCTTGCTTCGGCGAGAGTACACATAGTCTGGGTGCTCCTTCAGGAAGTTTGACTTGATCGCAGCCGCCTTCTCCGTGTACTCGCGCTTCATTTCTGGCGTCATGGTCGCCCACTTTTGTCCAATTGCCCGAGAGATCTCGCTCACCGTCAGGTTGGCATTGTCAAGCAACAACTTGTGGCGCATCTCCTGGTTGAAAATCAGATACGAGTTCATGGGACGTCTGGGGCGGTTAGGATCCAGTCCAAGGGCCGCCGCCAAGTGTGCGGCACTGTTGGCATTGTTGCTGTTATTGTTGCTGCTGTTGCCGTTGCCGTTGTGATTGTCGGCGTACTATCATATGAAAGACAAATTTCATTTCACATTAGTTAACTTGAACAATTCGGCTCACAACATCATTCATGCACAAGTGACATGAGATGAGCTTACGTTGTCGCCGCCCTTGTACTTCTTGGAGGGTCCAGCATCAACATCGTTGAGTCCACGCTTCTTGGAAGAACGACGAGTGTACACGTAATCAGGGTGGTTCGTCTGGAATGTGTCCTTGATATCCTTTGCACGAGAGGTATAAAGCGATTTGCGCTCCTGAATAATTCCAAATAAAAGAAAGACAATATTAGTTAAAAAAAAATGATCCAACTTATAATACAGCAGCAAGAAGGCAAACGGTTCCTTAAAATGCCTGGATGAACTTACGTTGCTCATGCTACGCCATTCTTCACCAAGACGCTTACTGAGAACAGCAGTCTTGTGACTTGGATACATCTTTTGGAGCTCGGGACGACGCACACTAGAGAACACCAAGAAGGCATTTGGAGGTCGCTTAGGTCGACCAGAGGGGTGAAGACCAGGCTGAGACAAGGGCAGGGCCGCATTGGGTTGGCTTGGGTAGAACTGCTGAGCCTGCTGAGCCTGCTGTTGTGCAGCTTGTGCGGCTTGCTGTTGGGCCTGCTGCTGAGCTTGCTGTTGGGCCTGTTGCGCAGCCTGCTGTGCGGCCTGCTGTGCAGCTTGTGCTGCCGCCTGGGCGGCTGCTTGAGCAGCGGCCTTCTTCTTGGATATCTTTGGGGCGGGGGTGGGAGCAGGGGGCGTTGGAATGGACGATGTGGACTGTTGGCGCTGCAACTGCTGAGCTTGCTGTTGTGCTTGCTGCTGCTGCAGTGCCTTTGCCTGTTGCTGCTGTTGTTGCAAAGCCTGTTGCTGCTGTTGCTGTTGTTGCAACTGAAGCTGCTGCATTTGCAACTGCTGCTGTTGATGCAATTGCTGTTGCTGCTGAAGCTGTTGCTGTTGTTGCGCCTGTGCTTGCTCTTGTTGGCGCTGTTGCAGTGCCTGCGCTTTGGTCATCTTGGGTGCCGAGGATGTTTGAGGTAGGGCTGGCATCACGGTGGGTCGAGTCATAGGACCGGGAGCTGGTGCAGCAGGTGGAGGGATAGGGGCAGGCGCAGACGGGGCAGGAGGTGCAGGCGCAGGCGCAGATGCGGCAGGTGGCACCTCGGCGACTTTCTTTTTCCGGCCACGACCCTTGCCCTTGGGTTTCTCTGGCGTGGGTTCAGGGACAGGGGCAGAGACAGGGGGCGTAGGAGGTACGCTGACAGGCTGTACCATCGATCGAGCATTCGTGTCAAAGCTTTCATTCCTCTGGTGTCGCAATGCCTGCTGCTGACTTTGCTGCTGGGCTTGCTGCTGTTGTTGTTGCTGCTGCTGAGCTTGCTGCTGCTGATGTGCCTGGACCTGTGGTGGTTGCTGCTGCTGATGTTGTTGCTGCTGTTGTGGTGGCGGTTGTTGCTGGTGCGCTGAGTGCTGATGCTGCAAGTGTGGCGGCACTTGTTGCTGGGCCTGATGCTGTTGTTGATGAGCCTGGTGTTGCAGGTGCTGCGAATGTTGCTGAGCCTGTTGTTGTTGTTGCTGTTGATGCTGAACCTGTTGCTGCTGGGCCTGTTGCTGCTGATGCTGGACTTGCTGTTGTTGATGCTGCTGTTGCTGTTGCTGAAGCGAGCTTGGCATCAAGTGCGGAGGCGAGGGCTGGTGTTGCTGCTGGAAACTTGGGTACTGCTGCTGATGCTGGGCAAGAGTGGCGGGCGTCAACGAGTTGCTGTACATCCGGTTATGAGTGGAAACGGATGAGTTCACATTGCTGTAGGGCGAGGACATAGCATGTGATGGTCCTGTTTCCGCTCGCCCCGTATCTGGAGAAGGAATGTTCTCTAGGTGCGCCTTGGAGTTCTTCTTGCCCTGTGCAGCTTTCTTGGTACCAGCAGCAGCTTTGGGAACCTTTGGCTGTTTCTTCTTGGGCTCTGGCTCCACCGCCACGACCTTGGGAGCTGGGAGCTGAGGCGACTCCTTGGGGGTTATGGCAGATTGTCCGGGAGGGGTATTCTGCTGGTGAGGATGCTGATGCTGGGGCTGTGGAAGGATCGATGCATGAGGGGATGGGTAGGGCTGTTGTGGCGACTGCTGGGTCGAGTGGTAAGAGTACGGGGACTGAGGCAAAGGCTGGTTCAGGTGGCGAGAAGATTGTTGTTGATGCTGAGCACTGCTGGGTGTAACTCCTCCTCCAATCATCGCATCGCTCTTGAGACTCATTGCTGGAGTTGCTGTCCGTTGATCATACGATGGCAGGGGTTGGTTTTGAGACAGCGTCGTTGGGTTGTTGTTGCTGCTGTTGTTGCTAAACACATGTCCGCTGGATCCTGACCGCATGTCGTGTGGCAAACGCCCAGGTGTCACTGGATTACTACTAGGCCTGGCGGGCTGGTATCTGTTGGCGGCTGGGACCTGGCTGTTCTGAGGGGCTCCGTTCAGCGGGTAAACATCGAGAGGACTTTCGTCGCTAGGAATCAGGTTTCCTCCCTACGCAATATTAAACGAAAACAATAACAAAAATCGTTAAAATAGTGTCCTAATTTCTCCTTCCTAGGCTGCGAGCCAGGTTGACAGGCGATGAATGACGGTACCTTTGTAAAGGTGGTGACTTCATCCTCTGCGCCGTAAGCGTTTCTGAGGCTCGACATGTTGGTCATTGAGAAGCTGTTATTTGCGCCACCAAATGCAGGCGTGTTGGGTCCAGTCGAGAGCGTGTCGAGGTATCCTCGACCTACCGAGCTGACACCGCCGAGTGCGGTTGAGGTGGGTGTCTTGAGTCCTGGTCCCACCAAGCTTTGCTGAGAAGGCTGCTGCTGGCGTGACATTTGCGAAGCTGGCGACACCATGGCAGATGAGAAGTGGTGTGAGCCCTGCTGTGACGAGTGGTGGCTGTTGTAAGGGGGCTGTTGCTGTTGCTGCTGAGCCTGTTGAGCCTGCTGAGCCTGCTGAGGCTGTTGTTGTTGCTGCTGTTGCTGGATCTGTTGTGCTTGAGTTTGTTGCGCCTATAGTGAATAGATTGGCAGAAAATGCAAACAGTGAGACATTCTGGTACGTTTGCTTCCATTTGATTAGCGCGACGGCCAAGATATGATTAAAAAAACGTGACACGTACGCGAACATGGGTAGGTGATTGACCGTGAGTCGGAAAGAGGAATGCCGGTTGCTGTTGATGTTGCTGTGTTGGCTGATGCTGTGGTTGCTGTTGAGGTTGTTGCTGCTGCTGTTGCGGCTGGGAGTACTGCTGCGATAAAGAAAGCGACGCCTGCGACGTTGGGTGGTGGGATTGGGTCAACATGTGCGACAGTTGACTGCTAGGGTGTGCTTGGCCGAATCCTGTCATATCAGTGGAACTATGCCAGCCTCCATTAGACATACTGTTGTAGCCTCCTTGCAGACCAGTGCCCTGTCTCGCGTCCCGAGGAGTGTCGAGTTTGTAGCCGCCGGCGGTCAATGGGAGACTGAAATTGCTGTTATTTGGGTTGTGATGCTGCTGGAGATGCGCTGCATACTGTGGTTGTTGGTGCTGCTGTTGCTGCTGCTGTTGCTGTTGCTGTTGTTGCTGAGCGCTGTGGTTTTGGGCGAGTCCGGGGATCTGGCTGTTGCTGGCCTGCGGGTGCTGGGGAAAGGGCCGAGCAGTGGATCCGGGGAACTGTCCGTGCTGGTTGTGTCCGTGATACGACATTCTTAGGAGATGATTCGTTCCTTTGGTCACTCGTCGCTAGTCGCGTCGCAGTAGTTGTCGCGAGGCGAGGTGAGAGAGAGGGTGTTATAGGCTCGCTTTCCAAGTGTATAGAGACGCTATTGTAAAACAAAACAAACATGAAAATAATACGCGTCAGTTCTTTGTTTTTCTTTTGAATACGATCTTTTGCATTGTAACAACAAACGTCGAATCCCCAAAATGTAATAAAGCACGTGTCGATAGTTTGAAAAAGAAAAGGAAGCGAAAACGACAAGAACAGAGAGTGTAAAGAAAAAGAAAAAAAGGAGACACTGATGCTAAAAACACCTCCAGAGCAATACAATCGACCGACAATCTGGATACTCTCTCGCTGAAACGAGGTGTGTCTAGAGATCAATTCCGCTCTACTGTCCTCAACACATAATGTCAACCATGAGAAAATAACAACAGGCAAAAAACTCATCGCGCCCACCCTCATCATCCGGCGTTATTGATGGCTGTCGAAAGACGAGTCGAGAAATCAATCAAAAGAAAAAGGGTGACGTCTGCAGTTTGCTGCTGCTGAACCAAGACCATGCCGCGAAGAATGTGAACTAAAAATAAAAATAAAAAAAAGTGATTGTCGCTTTCCCGAGTGCTGTTGTTGAGATGATTACTTTGATGTATTGACTTCCAGTACCTGTTCTTTTGTTTTATTCTTCCTTTATGTGTTGAGCGAGATCCTTTTCGGTCAGACGGCTCTTTCTCTGTCTCTGTCACTCTATTGAGCAAAAAATGGCCAAGACAGCGATGGACGAATGGTTGTGTTGTGTTAGGAAGACAGATGCAATGGGCGACAGTGTGCTGAAGAGGAGAGGAGAGTAGGAGACAGGGTAGGGTCGGCGTGAAGGAAGTGAGCGAGGGCGACCAGGGTGAAGGGAGAGAGAGAGAAGGAGCGGCAAGCAAGCGAGTGGCGCCCGACCGGAGTGGGATACAGAGAACACGGCGTCGGTGTGTGACCGCTAAAGCAGAATTGAAACTCATCCTCCTATTCAATTCCTTCAAATGTTCATTCACCGACATTTTTTCTTTTTCTTTTGTTCAGCAGCAACATTTGAACAAACTTTTCTATCACTCTTTCCTTCAGTCCGCACTCTTGCTCCAGAAGACAACAACGACACCAACACACAACAACAGGGGGGAGGAAGAAGATCACATAAAAACGAAGGAAAGTGCGACTAGTCCAAGTCCGAAAACAAACAAGAAAAAAATGGAAGAGCAATAAAAGAACAAAAAAAGGGGAGGGCTTTCGGATGAACGATGTTCGCTCAGCCAAAGAAAAAAAAAGAATAAAAAAGCTCGGTTGGCGCAAAAGCAAATGTTTATAAAAAGAAACAATGAGAAAAACAAGGCAAGGAGTCAGGAGAGACAAACGGTGACGAAGGGAGCAGAGGAGGTAAAAAGGAAGCAAGGCAAGCAAGTGATACGTTCAACAAGTAACACATCCCATTAAAGTCGGTTAGTAGGCCGGTTGTTATTGAACGACAATAAAATGTGTCGACAACAAAGAGTATTGTCACACGCTTCTTTTTTTTGCAGCAGGGTCAGTGACCTTACTGGTGGGGCCCCCTTCAAAACAAAGATGCTTCCGTCTCAGTTGACCCTTTTTCCCAAATAAAATAAAAGATAATGTGCAGGGCCGCCGTTGTGTATGAGTGTCTTAAGGATGTGAGGAAGGGAGTCAAACGTGTGGAGGATAGTGATGAGACAAGGAGAGAGAGCGAAGAAGAACAAGAGTCGACCATGTCTTGTAATAGAACAAGAAGGCAAGGAAAGCGACGGCCAGGTCTGCGTGCTAGTCCACTTTGTCTCTCGGCTCGTCGTATTCACACATACAGCACACACATACGCAGCAGACAACACCACTCTTGACATGTACCCAGTGCAGAGGAGGACGGTGTATTTCCATTACGTTTTCTGGAAGGTGGAGCGCTCCCACTTGAGTGATGAACCAAAAGGGATTGTTAATTCCCTTTTTATATGGTCTCACTGTTTTGTTATTGTTGCTGTTGTTGTTTTAGATGGGTGGGTGAGAATGAGGCGGAGGGAAGGGAAGGAGGGGGAGGGGGAGGTGAGGGAGTAGGAGCCACCAGGTAGAGTGTTATTCCCTGTTGCCGTTGTAGCTGTTGGTGTTATGGTAGGCACGGTAGTTGTTGTGAGGAGAGTATTGTATAAAAAAAAGAATAATAAGGGCTTGTTTGTTTGAATATGATGTGCGAGTGCTCTGTGTGTGTGTGTGTGTGTGTGTGTATGTTGTTGTTGTGTGTGAGAGAATTGTATACTTTGTTGTTGTTTTTGTTTGTAAAGAGAGGAGGAGGGAGGAGTGCGGATTGTGTAAAGGATAGAATAGAGTAGTAGAGTAGGGTGAGGAGTGAGGAAGAAGGAGGACGACCTTCGATGATCTCTGTGTGTGTGTGTGTGCGTGTGTGTGTATGTGTGTGTTAGAGAGTGAATCGATGAGTATATCATCTCAGTGTGGGTCTATCATGTTCGTTTACCTTTTTTCTGCCGAGTATTCAATTGGGAACAAAGGGTCTTCTTGAACTGTGAAGTGAGTGAAGAGAAAAGAAGGGAGGATTGAGTGAGCGAGTGAGTTGGAGTAAAGTAAAAGAAAGAGAAAGAAAGGAAAAAGAAAGTGCAAGAGTAAAGAGTGACTTGGCAACATAAAGAAAAATAAAATAGCGCAAGTTCAAGTGCAAGCCAAGAAAAAATAATAATAAAAAAAAAGGAGACAACTCATGATTTCAATTGACGGAATCACCAGCCAATCAGCCCTCTCCATTTATTATTATTTTTTTTATTCATTAGTGACTCGGGGGCGTCGAATCGAATCAATCAAAATCAGTCGATGTATATACCACCCGGGACAAGACGTTTTCAGTTCTCACCTCTGTTTTTTCTGCTGTGCTGCAACAACATTCATATCCTATTCATCGATACAGTATTCAATGGCGATCGACGATAGTTTCATAAGCTTCAAATGAAAATGGTATAAGTAGAGGCACATCGCCCCTACGGTTTTTATTATTCATCGACGATATTATTACTTTGCTTTTTGGTGCCTAACTTGTTTTGCATTGCTATTGATTGGTGTTCATTGCTAATCTCCCTGCGTCCAATGCGCAAGGTAAAAAAAAAAAGAGGAAAAGAAGAGGACCATGCGACATAAAGGAAGAGGATATGGAATAGTGTGCAAATGGTATTGAAAGGCTCTACACGGAAATGACAAAAAAGGGGGGGTCAACTAATAGAATCAATAGGGGGGAACAACCAACGACAGGCGGGATCCACTCGAAATCGACACCCCGTTGACCTGAATAGTGTTCAAAAGATCGGCCAAATCTGGGCGAGACGAGGCCAGGTTCGAGGTCGTCGACATCATCGATGCTGATGCTCCATGCTGCCTGCGGAGTGTCTGTGTATGGATCGAAAGAGGATACACCTTCTGTCCCGCCGCTCCACCAATCGATGCGTCCGCTGCCTGATGAGCAGCAACCAACGCTGCCTTCAGGTTATCCACTCCAATCTTCTTAAGCGTCATGCTGCTTCCGTTCAACGTCAGCACTCCTCCAGAAAGACTGCCATCGCGTGTCGTAATCGACTCTGACATCTCCTCGGTTATCGACAGATCACTTGAAGAGGTAGAGGCCTGGGGGAAGATCTTGGGCAAAGCCCAGTCCTCGAGGTGACGCGAGATACGAATCCGGCTATCCATGCTGCGCTCCACCTTGTGGCCCAACAACGAACCAGGGGCACCGTTCAAAGTGCTGGTCGATAAGAACACACCGCTACCAAAATCGCGGTTGCCGTTGGTGGCCATGAGCGCCGACTGGCTCTCAGGGTTGTAGATGAGTCCGAACCGGTCGGCTCCAGCACGGAAACGATCCGAGACAGTCGTCAAGAGAGTCACCAAATGCTCACGTGCAAGAGGGTGAGTCAACACGGGGCTCAGAGGCTCCGAGGGGGTCTCCCACGTGGCCTCAGCGGTCTGGGCAAGGGACTCCTCAATGGTCGCATAGTGGATGGGGACCCACTGTGACTCTTGCTCACGGGAGGTCTTGATGTTCTCGAGGTACTCCCGGGGCTCAGCCATACCATAGGTCTCGACAGCCATCTGGAAGTAGGTGACAATGACAGCTGCAACAGCACGCTTGCGGGTCACCATAAGGCCATCCTGGTTCTCGGCCTCTGAGGGAGCCTGGAGACAGGCATCCTGAAGGGAAAATAACATGGGAACGACCCTGATGAACTCGTCGTCTTGGAAGTGGGCAAAGAGTGCCTTGAGCATTCCATAAATGGCGACCAAGTCCTTGGGGGTCAACGAGGAGGAGCTGGCATAGGCATGCAAGGTCTGATGAGCAGCAGCGCGGAAGTAGAGGTCGCCCGAGGTAGATGGAATAGGCGAGGTCATGATCTGCGATCCAGCGCTTGCGTGGAGGTTTTCGTCCTCGGCGACCAAGAAGGTGACTAGGACCTGAGCAAAGGAGGTTCTGATCTCGACATTCTCATCCAACAAAAGTCCGAGGCAAGGGGTGAGAAGGTCGGACGAAATCTCGGCAGCGTGGAAGCTGGCTTCCTGACGTCCATTGTTCTTGCTGGTCTTGATGACGGCCTGGAGACACTTCAACAATGTCTCGCGGTACTCAACGGTGGGAACATCCTCGATGGTTGCAGGCCTGGGAGTGGCTCCAAGCTTGAAGGAGAGCTTACCAGTGATGTGCGAGATGATGTGAGGGACCTGGTTGGAGTAGTAGATGTGAGTAGCAAGGCCGCCTACACATATTGAAAGATAATAAATAGGAGTTATTAATTTGAATGTTCGTCGTTTCGCGTTTTGATCCGTAAATGCAAGAAGGAAAGATAAACAAAAAAAAACTTACCAACGCTCTTAATCAATCCATCCTGGATGACAGCCTCCAGTGATAACAATTGGCTGGCCTCGCCCTCCTTGGTCAAAGAGGAAGAACCCGACATGGACTTTGTCAGACTAACCAACAACGAGTGGAGGACCTCGAGAACAGGTATTCCGATCAATGAAATGGACGACACAAGAATGGTCTCCAGGGCAGCGATCAGTGTGGCCTTCTTCTGGAGGCGAAGAGTGAGGTCGGGGGTGGTCGAGTCGACGCCGTCGATGCGAGCAGTCAACTCATTGACGACCATGTAGCGGTATTGGGGCATGATGGAGATGACGATGGCTTTGATGATTCCGACGCCAAAGGTCGAGGGCCACCAACGGCTGTGCTCGTCCAGGTATGTAAAGGTGGGTCCGAGAGCGAGCTTGACATTGCTGCCGTTGGGGGCCTTGAAGAGGGCACGAAGACAGCGAACGGCCTCGGCGGTCACATCATCGTCCGACACAACGTTGTCAGGGTGGACGGCGACATGGATCGAGACAGATCGACGGATTAACTGGTCATGGTCAACAGAGGAGTCGGGGGCGCTGTTCAATGCGATCTGGACGCCGTTCTTGGAGTCGATGAGGCAGTCGAGGATGGCGGGCAGGACCAGGTTCAGCTGGGCCTTGTGATCGCAGGCATACAGGGCCTCGGAAGAGACGACGCCCTCCAATGCTCTCAGGCCAATCATCCTGAAGCTAAGAGGACAAAACATAAAAAAATGTGGGGCGAAATCGAACGAAAAATAAAGAAGCAAGGTGAGCCACAATGTTCAACTCTATCGATAATTGTTCTTTGCCCGAAAGATTGTCAAACTATCACAAGTGAGCAAGCGGGCGATTCTTTTTTTTTTTTTCCTCTACTTGCTGCCATTCCCATGCCATTGACATATGCTTTGTGTTCATGTACACAATTAGAAAAAACAGGGCCGCTGAATTGCTGTCCATGTCTGCTCCATGTGGTGATACTGGTAAAAAAGTACAAATGGTCATATATGTATGCTCTGCCCGTGTCATTGTGTCCCATGTGCCGTTGAAGTGAGGACACCTACCGATTGCTGCTCTCCCCCTTGAGGATGGCGATCGAAGCGAAGCGGGCGACAACACGGTCATAGAGTGTTCTGAAGTCGCTGTCGACACCGAGGGTTGATCCATCGTGAGCGCTGCAGAAGACGGTGAAGACGTTTTGGCAGTGGCGGACAACATCCAGGTCCGAGAGGTCAACCAGAAGAGCGTCGAGGATGCTGACAACGTTCTTGGAAAAGATGTTCAAATGTGCCTTGCTCGACTGAAGAAGCGACTTGATGATCTCCAACGAGCAGTGAACGTCCCTGGGAAAATAAAGAGCAGGAGAGAGAGGTACACGTTGAGCATGCATAGCCCTTGTTTTCTTTTACTATTGACGTACATGTTGCGTGAAAAGGAAAAAGATGAACTTACGAGAGACGCTTCTTGCGGTGGTCACGGACGACTCTTCGCTCAATAAAGTTGCCGACTTTGGTCAACTTTGCAGGCTTGGAGGTAGCGTAGAAGACGAGGTAGGAGAGATCACTGGACTTTGGTCCCTTTTCGTCTGGGCGAGATGGGTAACAGTTGTTGATGAGGCTGGCATGCTTGATGTACCTGGTGGGGATGAAGGAGGAGTGAGTTGCGTTGGGTGCGGGGACAGGAGGAGCGGGCGAAGAAGGCGCGAGACCGTTGGCGGGTGCGGAGACGGAGTCAGCACGAGAGCGAGAGCGGGCGCGGGTCGAGGGAGGGGTCGTAACAGAGGAGGAAGTGGTTGATGACATTGCAGCGGTTGAGTGGAAAGAGAGAGAATGGGGATTGGAGTGGATGAAGGGATTAGTTTTGGTTGGTTGAGTTGGGCTGGATGGTCGGTGCAAGGGAAGAGAGGTGAATGTCCCTGAGCAACAAAAAAAGAATAGGTAATAATATGAATTGAGAGTGTGCTATTATTGGCACAGCGACAGCAGAGGGGTGGAGTGGAGCGAGTAAGGAAGGAGAGGAAGGAGAGGAAGGAGAGGGAGAGGAAGGGATGGGAATAGAGGGAAAGAGCTCGGAGCTGACAAAGAAGAAAAGAAAAAAAGGGAAGAGGAAGGAAGACAAAAGGGTGTAAAGAAGAAGAAGAAGAAGAAGAAGAAGAAGAAGGAAGGGATACAGATAAAGAGGGTGTGACAATTTGCGAAAGCGCTTGTGATGATCGAGCGAGTGGTGAGGGGTGTGGTGTGTGTGGAGGAGGGAGGAGGAGAGAGACCCGAAGCGAGAGACGCTAATTGTTGTTGAATGTCTTCTGCTGTTGGATGGGTGGATGGATACACATGAGAGCCCTTCTTTCTTCTTTACTGCTGATTCTCGCTTAATGCAAATGTCTCTTTCATGTATGTTGGGTGTGTGCATGTGCTGAAGAAGAATAGAGACAAGAGTGTACACAGTGCTCAGATAGGGGAGGGGAGAGATGAAGAATGCAAATGGTGTGGCATGGTGAAGTGTGGGAGAGAGAGACACACAGTCGTGATGATGGCCACTGCCTGTCAGCTTTAGACAGACACAGACACACAGACAAGAAACAGACATCCATGTTCTACTTCTCCATCTGCTGCACGGGGCATTGTTTTTGGTGGAAAGAAGCGAACATGCCGGTCCTGTCCCTTCTACTGGATGCAATTCATTTTAGAACGACAAGGTTCAATCGTCGACAGTGAACGCCCAACACACACACACACACACACACACACACACACACACACACACACACACACACATGTTGTTTTTTTACTCCTCTGGCCTTAATGTCATATGCCTCTTCTTTCTCTCTCTCACTCTTCCCCCTCGCTCATCTACACCACCTTCGTTCACTCATTCACCACCCTCTCTCTCTCTCTCTGCTCATCACTTCATCACTCTTTCGTTCTCCATCACTCCACAATCTCATAAAGAGAAGAGTAAACGCTACAGCCACAAAAACACGAAAACGACCAAAGCACAACCCCTCATCCTCATTCCTATGCATCTTTCCTCAGTTCGTATCTGTTCCTCCTTTTTGCTCACCTTTTGTTTTTGCTTTGTTTGTTGCACACGACTTGCACTTCCACTTTTCCATCTCAACCCACAAACTCAAACACAAAAGAACGCCAAAACAATCAGTCAGCAAGTCAACCACGCTCCACCACCACAACCTCCTCCTCCTCCTCCTCCTATTTACCACTCGTAGCGCCCGCTTCTCATCCCACTCATGCGCCTTTTTTTTCCCTTTTTCCTATGCGCCCGTAGCTTCTTCTCTCCCTCCTGAACCACCTCACATACCACACGGGGTGGAGAAAAAAAGCGCTATAGTTCCTGTGCAACCACTTCTTTGAACCATTGTTCACCTTACCGAATTACTCATGACAAAGAAAAAACGCGATCGCCTTTTTCTTCATTCTACCCCATTTGACCTGGACAAAAAAAAAAAAAGATTCGCCTTTTTTATGTTTTGAGTTTTCAGGAACAAAGGGACAGACACCCAAACTGTCGTTTTTTTTTTTTTTTTGTTTGTTTGTTTCGAGAACACAACCTTTGTAGAACTGACTACCGGGGCCAACAAAAACGAGGCACGAACCAACGCCACCACTCGTAGCCTTCTTCTTGCGTTTCTTCTTCTCCACGTTTTCACGCCCCTCTCCTTCCTTCCTTCTTCCAGGACTTTTTCCCATTCTAAAGCCGCCATTTCGTCTTCTTCAAAGTGATGCATTACCTTGTACAGATCATACTGTTCCAATTTTATGTTTGGTGGCGGGTGGATGGAGGAGCGAATGAATGAATGAACGGGACGAGAAAAGGTGACTAGGCTTCAGGAATACAGGGCGACGCTGGCTGGTTGCGTATTTGTTGGTAGTGCTTGTTGATGGTATTAGTGGTGAGTGTTAGCGACGTAAAGGTGAAAGAGAAGGTGGTTCAAGAGTCGAAAGGGGCGACTGCTAGTTATGACGAAGGTAAAGAGGGCTGTTTTGTTGCAATTGTATAACAGCCAGTGGCGTAGGGACGGCGAAGGGAAGGCGAAGGTGAAGGAGAGGAGACAAGGAAGGGGGAATAATAGCAAAGAAAGCCAACGGTGGACGACAGGGAAATGGAAATATTAGTTGTAAGGGGAGGGCGAGAGGTTGTCGAGGCAAACAGGGTAAGATAGGAGTAGGAGGAGTAAAAGGAAGCAACAGAAAAAGGAAAGAGCAAATAATGAGAAAAGAAAGAGATCAGTGGAGTGGATGTGGATGTGAATGGGAAAAGAGTAGAAGAAGGGTATGTTCGATGAAGGCAATGAAGAATGATCGATCAAGGAACACTCGACTCTTCATTCATTCACCGAGCAAACACTCGAGTGGTGTGTCGAACAAGACGTCAAAGACATCCCTTAGTCCGACGACGACTGCACAGTGCACGCACTCGGGTTAATAGAATAAGCGTTCATTCTTCAGCCTGAGGAGTAGAAGGGACAGGACATACACGCAACCCTTTGCTTAAACCTGCTGGAACAGAAAAATGAAGGGACGGGAATTGGCAATCAAATTCAAGCGCATAACTCTAGTCGACAAGCTGCTGTCTGTGGAAAGGGCGCAGTGCATTGCATTCGTCATTTTCTCACATAACACTTTTCAAGAACACGTCCCCTAAAACCTTCCTCCGTCATTGGCATCATGAACACCTTTCTGTCCCCTTGTTCTTCCTCTCTTTCGCATATCATATCCACACACTCATCCACCCCTCTTCGCCTCTTCTGAACTGAGATCTCCGAAAGATCAACATGGATATTTCCAATGTGATTACTGCACGGCGAAACAACAACAAATAAAATTAGAGGCATGTCTCCAGATCAATTGACCACTCATTTCGCGTTATTGATGTTGCTGCTGCTGTTGACATCTGCATCGACAAAAGGCCGTTTTAGTAGGTCTTCATTTCTTCAAAAAAAAACAAGGTATCGCTATAGGTGTGGTGTCCTGATTCTCTTCTAGCTTAAACGGTTCTCCTGTCAGTGATAACACGGACAATGCATCCCTGTCCAGCAACCTCCGTAAGCTATTAAAAGTATCCATCACCAAAAAAAAAAAAAATGTTCATCGTTAACTTCCTTGATCCGTGGTACTGCATTTTAACCTCAAGCCAGAAATATCATAAACATCAAAGTCCATAAAGTGCTTTGTACCTTCTCGTGCCAGGCCAAGAGGTGGCCAGAGTTGTTCTGCTCAGGGGTAGCCATTCCTGCGTAGAGATACTTCATCAACACATCCTGCTCTTCGGGCGACAAGCTCTTGACCAACTGGGGCACATCCGACACCTTAATAGAGTTCAACACCTCCATCACCGTCTGCGTGTTCCTGGCCTATATTGATTATTACAATTCGAGCAATGTGGAGTATGTTAGTAATTGGATTTGCTGCACTGTAGAGAGGCTGTTGAGTGCCACTGATGCAACGGTGGTCAGGACAGAGGCGTCAACAACACCCTCCCCCCCCCCCAATTGATTTGGCACGGCTGTATCCTGTCCAATCCAAGTAGAATGTCCAAAGTCAAAAAATCCAGTTGTGTCGTGTGTTGTGTCGTGTGTTGTGTCGTGCCGTGGTTCTGTCTGATGTACAAAGGTTGATCATGTTCTTCCTCTCACCTTGGCAGCATGGAAGGGAGCTCCGTATGGAGGGTTCTGGAGTGATGTCGAAAGAGCTCCTGAAGTGTTACCACTAATTAAGAACACAAAACAAAAAAACAAAAGAAAAAGGGAAACCGTTAGAAAAACAACTCATCGTCTTGTGCATTCACTTTCTCATCTCTCGCTTCGTTCCCTGACTTGAGAAACATGCGATGTCATCGTCGTCTTCTCTCATCCATGCCAACAAAAAAAAACAACGCTACAGTTGAGAAGCAAGGAAGAGAATAAAAGAAGTAGGCGACGTACCGCTGGAGAAGGGACCTGACTTCCTGGGCACGGCTGTTGACCTGGGCGTCGACGTCGGCCACAGGACGCAACTCGCCAATCTCCTGGAAATCAATCTCATCTTCGCCGAACGCATCCTCCTCCAAAGCGTCAATGTCGATTTTGCGGAAAGCCATGCTGTAATATTTGTTGTTTGATTGGTTGACTGGTTGTTGGTGTTGGTGTAGGTTGTGTTGGTGTAAGTTGATGCGAAAGAAAAGAAAAGGAGGAGAGAATGTCAGGAACAAAACGACGATTGAGGAAGTGAACTTCAGCCATAGAGTGCGGAGGCGTCACAAAAGGCAGAGAAAAACGTCACAAAACTAAATCGCGTCAAGACAATAATTTATGGAGGATGGGGCACGTCGTATCTAGGTATGGTCATGTAATCAATAGTAGGCTCCACCATCCTGGGAGGCCTTGGTCGTCCGCGTCATCGGGATCTCATCCTCTGCCTCACTACCCCTCCACCGCTGCTGCGTCGTCGTCCTCATGGAATCCGGCGACCCCGTACTATCCGTATAATACGAGGAATGATGAATCTGTGTGGGGCTATGCATATCACCTCCGGGAGGTCGCATTGTAAGCGACCATGGCTTCTGCGAGTCTTGAGAGAGACGCGCTGATTTGGCTGCAGCAATTGCATCCGCATAACTGACAACGTCCTCGCCTCGGTCGTCATACCGCGATGATACGACAACTGGACCGCTTATTGTGCTGTGGCGAGGAGCACCACCACTGCCCTGGTTCGAGTTGGTGTTGTTGCTGCCGCTGTTGTTTTGGGCGGCAGCGGCACGCTCCTTAAACACGCTCCTCGTGTCTTCGACAATGAAGACACACAGGGTTGCCTGGATCAAGTTGACCATACTATACGTCAGGAACACTGTGTCGGAAGAACAATTGAAACAAAAAAAAATGAAAGGATAGTGTGAGTATTCAAACGAATATCAGATAAAAAGGCTTGCATTGACATGACACACATCAATCAATATAAATATAAAGAGGAATGAAACGTACGGTAGTCAGTGAGGTAGACAGTGATTTGGCCGACAAGGATCTCAAAGAGAACAACCAAGAAGGTGATCCCAGCATTGATCAACCCCAATCGACGCCAATGGTGGTGCTGAGAATCACCCGCAAGAACACTATTCTCGCTGCGATGCAGAGAAATAACGCGCTCGAGGAAAAAGACGACAATGATAATCTCCGTCGCGATCTTGAGGTACTGCATGATGGCCGACATCTGCAGGTCCATAACAATGTCACAAGCGGTGCCGGCTACGTTATCTTGGCCCTTCATGGTTGTTGCCAACCAGATGCAGAGAGCGAAGCGGACGATCCATGTGGGTATAGTCATGTATGTGACCGCATTGGGGTATCGCGTGAAGGACCGACAGCGGATCAACATTGCGCATTCCGCCGAGATGGCGAACCCTTGGTAGATGATGATTCCTCCGACTGCGACCCATCGGCATTGGATAGGGAAACCCTATTAGTTTTGATTGTTTTTTTTTGTTTTGTTTGTTGGGTGTGAAAAGGGAAGAAAGGGAGGAAGGGTTAGAGTCAAGGTCACCACTAAAGTTTAGGCTGTTTTGAGTCCAAGTGGACCCATCAACCACAGCGGATAAAAAATGAGAAAAGAGATATAGACAAAAAAGAGATGGTGGCGACCGGAATGAGCGGAGGATAACTGGGGTGGGAAAAGGAGAGAGAGACAGAACACTCGGACCAGGCAGGTGGACGTATTGATAACCGTCAAACCAAATAAATTCCGATCCCTTCCAGCGTTGGTTCCTGTTTGCCAAACAACCAAAGCCTAAACCCGCGTCCCTTTTAACCTTGACCCACAATTTCCAAAAGGAAAAGGTAAAACTCTCCGCACTGTCGCTCACTAGGCCTTTTTTTTTTTTAACCTTTCCGTCGTGAATCGTGAATGACCTCCATCCTCTCAATCTCTCTCGCTTTAGACCACGATAGTAAGGAAAGGGTGGAAAATAGCTGTATGATAGGAACATGCCAATGTATCGTCAGTTAGAGAAGCACTTGAACTCTCTTTTTATCGGCTGAGCACCATCACCAAAACAACACTCTAGCGCGAAAATGGAGGGTTCATCAACCAAAAAAAACAAAGCGGGTGCGGCGAAGAAAAAAAGATGGCCATCTCTGAATAAAACATGAAAAGAAACTGAACGCACTCGTTGTACTTACAGAGGAAATCAAAAGAGTGGTCAAGTTGCGAATGCTGACAAACAAGAGCTGGAGCGACATGGCAATGCTGAATGGCTTGAACTCGCGATACACTTTGGAGTCGATCGACCGGATGAACAGGAGCAGCAGCCAGGCAACAGATGCTGTGACGACAATGACATTGATTAAGTACTTATAAAACCCATTCGCGTCTTCGACGCCGAGAGCGAATGCCATTTTCTGTATAGAAGTGTCGTGTGTTCGTTATACAGGGAGTTGAAATGAAAGGGGGAGCTAAACACGCGGATGCGATGCGTGGATCTGCTAGGGGGGTGGGGGTGAGTATCAGATGCAGTGGGGGTGAGTATCAGATGCAGTGGAGATGAAAAAAGTGGAAGAAGCGGAAGATGAAGAATTAAAAGAATTGTCCGAATGGAGGAGAGAATATTCGGCTGTCTTATAACATGTGGTCGTTGCGGAACACGAGGGTCAAGTATAACAGTGGTTTTTTGAGAGGCGAGAGGCAGAGTGAGAATGTTGGACGAGAGCATTGAAGATGATGGACGGGTTAAATGAAGCGGGGCAACCGGAAGATGGGCACACAAAGAGCGGATGAGCGAAGAAGAAAAAAGGAAAAATGCGACAAAGATTGTCGTTGTGAAGGAATGGGTCGCGAGTGGAGAACAAAAGGCGGAGAAAAAGAAAAGAAGAGTGAAAGCTGAGTGGTCCGTGAAATATGACAAGAGAAGAGGAACTGGACCGCTGTTGCTGCTGCCGATGAAGAGGAAGGGACGAAGGGAATTGGTCCTCCCTCTTTAATTCTCCGGAGGCGTCCCTTGATGGCCTCGCATTTTTTTTCATTTCATGACCCCACTTTACACCCTTGACCTTGAGCGTATCCCTCGCCGCTCTCTCCTCTTCCCCTCACCTCATCTCACCTCACCCCTTGCATCTCTCTCTATCTCTCTCCTTCTCTCTCCCTCTCTCTCTCTCGCTCTCTCTTGCCTGACTTCCCCACAAAACAGTAGGCTAAGCCGTCTACATCAGTCAGATGTACAGAAAGAGAAGGAAGAAAACGCTTATTTTCGTTTGTGTGCTCACCAAATGCAGCCGCGCCTTATTCCTGTATTCTTATTTCACTCAGACACGTCCTTTTGCTTCCTTCCTTACCTCGCCCACTAGTCAGTCAGGAAACTCTTTTTCTCCTCCTTCCACAAGCCAGCCAGTCACCAAGGTTGCTGTGGAGCTCCATCAACCCCAATGCTCTCCCATATCCAATGTACCTTTTTCCTCACAAGTACACAACCTCTACCCCTTTTTCATTCTATCTACTTTCGGCCCGATATTTTTTCTTTTCTTTTCTTTGAGACCAAAAGAAAGGGTGCCTTACCGAACTCGCATGCGAAGCGAAGGGTGGAGGAAGAACTTTCATACTTTGCTATAACTACACCTCACCCCCCCTCCCATTTTTTCTTTCTCTCCTCTTGCGAGGTTAAGATCATGTCTTGGACCATGCGTGGAAAAATGGTCACTGGCGCTCGCCTTTCGCTCGGTTCAACACCACCCCCTAGCCGTTCATATCTTCAGCCAATCAATTTTGGAAGCAGAAACAGACGTTGATATGGACTTCTCAACTTTTTTTCCCTGTCATTTTTTGTCCCACATTCCAAGATGAACGTTTATTCGACTGTTCAATACGTTCGTGCGCTTCTATGGCTGTATGAGCAACAAGGCGGAGGAGAAGGTCAGATCCGAAGCACACTTTTCCCTTGTTGTGAACTTTTTATCTGCCTACAGCGCATGCACTCTATGGATACAACTAGTCTTTGCATACTGCATGTTTGAAGAAGGACATGACAAACTCATCATCCGATCGTCACACAATGGGAGTTGATCCGTCCTTGGTACTCCTTAGCACCCTATCACGCTACGCAGATCCCAGTTGGTACCAACTGCTCTTCCTCTTGTCTCTTCCCCTCTCCCTTGGTACCACTGTAGCTTAAAGGTCTGTGTATTCGTCCACTGCAACCAAGAAGAGCCCTAAACACGACTGCTTGCGGATGGGTGTTTTAGAGATCGAACCCCTATTTGTGATAACGATGGTAGTGATGATGATCACATCTACTTATCGGGTACAAATGCCTACAAAGAAAGCACATCTCTTGAGTGGCCATGCTTCATTTCTTTTTTCATCCGACAGGTAGGGGAACTACAGTGCTTTTAGCCTGAAAAGGATAATCAGACCAACCATTAGTTTTTGCCCTGACTGGACGACTTACCTTTTACTCTTCTTTCCTTTTAGAATGTAATTGACGCGTTATTATTGAAGGAAAAGTCGACAAACATTTTGATGTGGGCTGTAGTGTTGGTGCGCTTAGTGTTAGTGAGCGATCTCATAAATGCCCTGGTGTGCATTGTGCTACTGTTGGTATCTTATTGCTTTTCAAACCCTCTTAATGTTCAAGATCCGACGATATTGTCAAGAGGATGAAGAGGACAACGGGTAGTGAAAGACTATTTCCTTTAACCGTTGCCAAGCAAACAGGAGTCATTTTTCATTCAACAGCTAAATAGCTTTCATCGCGACATGGAGCCAGAGGTACGCGGCAATGCACAAAGTCAAATAGCCTGATCACGTTTAATCGATGGATGGGAGGAGAAAGAAAGCGGGACTTGCTTCCGAGATATGGAATGCACGAGAGCCTTTCCTTCACTCTAGAAGAAGAGGAAGACGAAGACAAAAAAAAACTGGGGCTTTCCATGTCGTTGCCGCTGTTCGCCGTTCCCTGTCTCTGTCCCTGGCTCATTTCATAAGAGGATGTCTCACACATAAACCCCTTTTAGCAAACAAAGAGAAATGTTTTTTCTCAGATGCATTTAATATTTTACACACATATCCATCCTTTCATATGCGAGAAATGAAGCTCCAATTTAGCATGGTTCTTTGCCCGCTCGTTTGAAACGGAGAAGGAATTGTCATACAACATTAGCGGAGGAGTGGTTTTATATTTGTGTGCTGTAGTCGTGCCGACGTGTTTTTTTTCCTGAATATTCAAAGAAATGGAGAGACAATCTGATAATAGGGCTTTACTTTTATTTGAACGCCTTTCTCCTTTGATGATACGCACAGAAGGCACTGATGTGAGAGAGACCATTAGTGACAACAAGGCTGTTGTTGTCGACTCCATAACGAGATCATCGCGCTGGATGGGGATCCATGAACAAAAAAAAACAGGTTCGCCAACGCGGACATGTACTTTTTTCATGACCAGCAATAAGAATTGAGAGCAGCAAGAAGAAAGTGTTTTAGTTGCTCTTTCTCTCTCTTTTCTTCTTTGCACCGCCTAAACGACATACGAAATGCATTGGATATCTGCATGCATGTTTGTACTCCCTAATATTTTTTTGAGCGCCAGTGTTATTCAACACCAGCAAACAGAGTGTGAGCTGGTATCCTTCAGCATGCAAGTACCCTGTTCGCTCATGGCTTACTTTTGCGTCTTCGTGCTGTTGGGGAGGACAGGGATGGAAATGAGATGATCCATTTTTCTCATAAAACCGCTACTTCCTGCATCTTCGCTTTTCTCTTTTCTTTCTTTAACCTTACCTCCCTTCCACACCTCCCCCCTTGCAATTCGCTGTTTGCTAATTTGTCCACGTACTCCCATCAACACAAGCCCCTTCCCTTTTTCCCACCTTGTTGTACAAATCCCCTCTGCTTTTCTTCTTTTCCTTCGACCCAAAAGAGTTATCATGAAGATCGCCATCTGCATCCTTTCCGTCGTGGCTGCCCTCGCCTCCTCCTCCGCCGCAGCCATGAACCCCGCCACCCAAGACCAATTCACAAAGGCCTTCTCCTCCCCTTCTTTCCCCTTCACATCCTCCGAGGTCCAATTCCGAACCCAACGCAACAAGGACGCCTACTATGGAGCCCTCAAGACCTTCAACAACCTCATCCTCCCTGCCGAATTTCCTGCCACCGCCTTGCCACTTGCCATTGTTACTCCTTCCCAGGCCAACAACCAGGGTATTGAGAAGGCTGTCAAGGTCGCCAAGCAGTACGGGTTGAGGGTTTCTGCGCGCTCCGGTGGGTACATGTCGGGATACTCGTCGAATATGGCGGCGGTTGATCAGGAAGGGGAAGACTTCTTGTTGGTCGATTTATCCAAGTTGAGGAAGGTTGTTGTCGATCCCAAGAAGAGGACTGCGACTGCTGAACCTGGTGCTACGGGTGCCGACCTTGCTCATGAGGTTATCAAGTATGTACTCTTTGCCACTGTGTATGAGATGACACTGTTTTGATGATTACACACATTAGTATGCTAATACCATTATTTCTATTCTTACTTTTCAACAAATCAAAAGGTATGGATTGGCGTTCCCTTCGCCCCACACATCGCGCGTGACCATCGGCGGCTTCCTCCTCCAGGGCGGCATGGGTATCGGATCTCGTCTGTACGGCACAGGAGTTGACAACGTCATCGGTGTTGACATGATCACTGCCTCTGGCAAGACCGTCTTTGCCGATGCCCACACCAACCGGGACCTCTTCTTTGCCATCCGTGGAGGCGGACAATTCTTTGGAATTGTCACCCGGTTCCATCTCCGTCTCACTCCCATGGTCAAGAACCCTACCTTGACCCCCTCCTACAACGCGTCAACTGTTCAGGTCGATCAGGTCTTTGCCATCTTTGATCGTCCCCAGGCTAATGACCTGTTGTCGTTCTACGCCAATTTTGATCCCACGGCCCCCCGCGCGCTCGAGAACAAGGTCGTATTCGTCGTCGACCCTCCAACAAACAACAAGCAGTATCTCTTTGCATCCGTCTCGGCCGTTCCTTTCAACTCGTCCACAGAAGTCGCCCAGGCCCAGGACAAGATCACAAAGTGGTACAAATCCATCCCCACCAACTTTGCAACTTCTGACCCAACCACCTACGACGGCGTCGTCCACGGAGGCGACGCCAGCTGGGCCGACTCGGACCTCTCCTACTATGCCGAGGACCTCTGGTTCCCCACTCCTCTGGACCCCCGCCTCCTTCAAGTCCTTATCAACCAATGGGACAAGGTCCCCTCTGCCCTGTCCTCCATGGCGTTGAACACGGGTACCTGGAAGGCCCCCACCCGCAGCGCGCTCGGATTCGACCCCTCATACTCATTCTGCATCTACTCGACCTGGAAGCGTAACGGAACCGCAGCCTGGGACGAGAAGAACAAGGCCTGGTTGGATGAGACTGTCAAGGTCTTGAAGCCCTGGACTTTGGGATTTTACGCAAATGAGTTGAGACCCAAGAAGTTGAACGATAAGGATTACTGGCGCAAGTGCTATGAGAAGGATACTTTTAAGATCTTGGAGGTTACCAAGAACCGTTGGGATCCCGAGAACATCTTCAAGAGCTTGCAATAGACGAGTGACGGATGTGTCTCGGTCATTGGTCTCGCATACACGCGGAAACCCCATTTTGCATATACATTTTTTTCGACAAACTAAAATAATTACAGAACTCTTTTCGTCACACTCCCGCCATGCCATTGATGATGATGATGATGATGATGATGGTATTGACCCATTCAGATAAAAAGAATGGTGTTTGTATTACGTGACTATGAATCTATGAATAAGATATGCGTTTTCGTGTTGTTGGATGGTGCTGGGTAAATGTTATGTTGTTTTGGTGTTGAATGCTATCTCGTCAAGGCTTCCTGCTATCATGTTGCGCCCCACGTCGTCCTGTGTGTCCTGTCAAGACAAGTGCGCCTCTTGCACACTCTCTCTCGTGAGTCTCGTCAAAAGGCGCTTAAATAAGCTGGGCGACATTAGTGTTGACATACTTGGTCCTCAATCGCTCCTTAACATCCGCCTCCTGGCCCTTCTGAATAACGCCGACCTCCACCAACGTCTTTTCACAGTGCATAAGAGCCTCCTCACTAATCTGATCACACCCTCCTTCGACAGGGTACTTCACCCCCTTGAACCAATCCTGAACATCCTGACGATCATACGACATCTTTTCCTGTACGAATGCGATCGAACTCTCGTAGTTCTCGGGTGCCACGAAGAATTGGGTTGATTTGGTGAGGGCTTTGAGGAATCGGGCGAGGACGGATTGGCGGGTGGGGTCGGCGATGGTGGGGAGATGGCGGGTCGAGGCTGCGATCATGAAGGCAGGCCAGGGTGGGGTGATCACGTCGACCGAGCGGACTTCCTTTGAATCGTGGTATGGCTATTGTTTTCGTTCAGGAGAGATAGAGTGAGAGGGTGAGTACAGGTGAAGGCAAAAGAGGGATGGTTGTAGTGTCTGTTTTCTAGTGTTTGATTATTAAAACATGAATGTGCACAAGTGTGGCAATCGGTCCGATAATCTCCTTGCTCCATCTCGCACAGACAGTGAATTGCGCGTTGTACAAGCAAGAAAAAAAATAGATCCCACAACGACACAAAACGCTGCAAAAAAAAAAGTGCCCAAAGTAAGAGCTCCTCAGTGAAGAAAAAGGTTACCTTGGTGGTGAACTTCTCCCAGAGGAAGGCATCTGAAGATCCATCGTTAACAGAATCCCTCATGTTCTGGAAGGTGTTGAGGACCTTGAACTCAAAGGGTGCCTTGTATTCAGGGTCTGCAGGAGAGGCGCCCTTGAGCCAGCCTTCCTGATCTGCAAGGACGTAGGGGATGATATGACTTCCACTGCCGATCCTCGAGATGCCGATTGTGCCGTTCCGAAGACTCTTGCGATCGGTGTGGCGTGAATCCTGACCGACCGAAATTGCCCAGCCTAAAACAGTTGAATCGCAAAAAAAAAACAAAAGGTGTCGATTGGTCGGCATGATGTGCAGTAATTCCTGTTTTGGTTAATAAAAAACGATGTCGGATTCTCCCGTGTGAGTCAGCGTTGCGCTACGCAGGGACAGGTACGCACGATATTTTCATTTTTCCTTGCATGGAGGAATGAAGTACAAAAAAAATCCCCCAAGAGGGTGATGAATAACTTACAGAGTGGGGACTCGACATAGGTGCCAACGATTTTGTAGGCGTCATGGCCCTTTGCAATGCCGGCCAAGAGCCCTTCTGTGAGTGCGATGGCGACATCGAGTGATCCGTCAATGAGTTTAGCCGTCATCTTTGTTAGAGGAGAGATAAGTGAGCTGGATTAGAATCGACCCTCATGCGTAAAAGATTTACCCAAGGGCCATGGAGCAAGAGTGAGAAATGAATCAAAAGAAAAGAAAAAGAAAAAGAAAATCAGGGCTCACCTCTCCTGTGCCACTAGGACAGCACACCCGCTCGACAACGACACCCTCCTTCTCAAAGTAGCCCAGCTCGACGGCCATGTGCAGAGGGGATGAGAAGTGTTCCGGGACTAGTGATGTCAATAAGTGATAAGGATGGGAGAGAACAGAGATAAAGGGGAGTGTGTCAGTCCGGCTAGATCAATTATCAGTTAACGGTTATGATCTCTGCAAGGAGCATTCTTATATATGCAGGAGACTGTACCAAAGCCGACACGGAGAACGTTGTGTGTAGAGACGACCATTGTTGTATATAGGTTGTGATACGATTTTGTAGTTGAGATGAAAGAGTGTGAGTGAGTGATGGTAGAAGTGTGATGAGTTGGTATGTGTGTGTTGGAATGGAGAATGGGGAAGAAAGAAGAGAGATGAGTCGGGAGGAAAAAAAGACAAGTCAGGGCCAAACAAATCATTAATATCCAAGAAAAAAAAAGGTTTGCGTGACTGTGGTTGACAAGACCCAGACCCGTTGGCTCATGGTCCTGTCAGTGTTATTGGGGAACTAGGCCCACAACGACACGGGGACCACACATCGAAGAAGGAAGGAGAAACGACAGCAATCAAGCCTAGTCAGGATGACCATCACGAGAAGTCTGTGATAAAAGGACAGAAAGAAAGAAAAAGTTGGCGCAACAAATCGTTTCTTTTCCCCCACTCCAAATGAAAAAAGGGGGATCAAAGAATTGGTCGCAGTTGACGGACATGGATTAGTGCATGGCGGTATTAGCGAGAAAGATAATGGAGCGAGAAAGAAGAGCAGGTGGCGAAAAGGATCCTTTGGTAAAGCTATACTCCTCCAGATCTCCCGATTTTGGCTAATCCCCTCACTACTTAATACACCTCTCATATCAAACCTCACTGTCTCTTTTTTTCCATTCTGCAAAAGGACTCCACTGTTGAAATGTACAAGTAGATCTATTATCTTATTATTTTTTATCTCAATACTACAAGAAGGTTTGCACATACAACACACAAACATAAAGAACCAAAGCTATTTTATGTGCCCCGGGATATCGATTGAAGCAAGCCCTTGAATCCGTATTGCGAACATTTTAGACTTGCCAACTCACACGCAAATCGCAGGCTCCGGCCAATGTCGTGTCCTCGTACTCCTAGCGCCAAGATCATCCCTGCAATGAATGTGTCGCCTGCCCCGACTGTGTCCACCACCATGGGGATAACCCCGGCACTAGAGCTGAACCTTGTGCGACTTTCCAGATGAAGCCCTACTGCGCCTTGCGCGCCCCAGCAACAGAATAAGGTCGCGCTAGTACATGGTGCATTGAAAAAAAGTTATCACGCTTGTCAATGTTTTGTTTGCTTAAAGTAGTAGACGCAATTAACTGAAAAACGACCTTGTAAACAAACAAACAAACAAACAAACAAACAAACAAAAAACAAGATGCAAAGTGCCTACGTTGGTTTGCAAAAGTCGCCTACGCTTGACAAAAAGTCTTCTGGCCGGTCGAATCCTAGGGTCTCGGCATACAGCTTGGAAAAGAAGCAGACGTCGGCCTGCTGCAACAGTCGCTGGATTCCTGGACGATCTCCTTTTTCGAACTCGACCGAGATGGTCAGCTTGTGTCGCCAGCCCTGCCGGATATAGACCGATTCGACATATTCAATCATCCTGCTCACATCTGCCCCCCGTCCCTCGAAATGGATCCAGCGGAATGGACAGCCCATCTGTACGATATCGGATGAGAACCGCATGCAGGACGCATCAAACTTTTTCACAAATTCGTCCAGAGTGAGGTCGGGCAGTGTTGAATGACTAATGATGGTGCGTGTTCCTGTGTTACCGGCCGCGATGATGTAGGCTTGGGGCGGCGCGTGTTGGGATGAGTGGAAGACACATGCTTCGGTCTTGACGTTGTTCTCCTCCAGCGCCCTCAGCAATATCCTAAGTAGTGTTGGAATGTACCACAAGAACGTGACAAACGGAGGTGCAGGAGTATGATTAGTATTCTTGCTTTGTCTTCTTTTTTTTGAATTGGATGTGATAGAAAAAAAACTCTGAGAGCCAAGAAGTCAAGGTGGACAGGCAGAGGAAATAAAACTTTGAAAAGGGCATCAAGGTAAGGTCCGCTGCTCGTCTATCCCTCTATTCCACGCTGGGCAATTATTATTAAAAAAAGAGCAGGTGGGATGGGTCATCAACAAAGAACGGAAATAACGAGATGGAGAGAGTGAAGTGGAGGCTGGCTGTGAAGGGAAGTGGAAAGTTGGGAAATGAAGGTAAAACCGGTGGGGTGTCCCAATGGACGAGAGCGAAGCCCAAGTTGAGTTTGGATTAAGAGCGCACACATGGTCCAAGCCAAGAATTTGAGAAAAACCTTCTTTGTCACAAAGTCAACTCCCTCCCTGTTCCCTTCCTTTTTTTCTTGGTTTTCCAGCACAGGGACAAAATAAAGAGATCCAACGGTTTCCAAATGTATGCAAAGATGGGCGATAAGAAACAAGGCAAAAGAAAAAAAAAAGATGATTGGGATTGGATTGGAATGTACTGCACTGCAGCAATAAACCTCATTCTTGTGCGTAGATGAAAGATGGAAAAGGTGTCTGTGTTTGCGTCTGTGTTTGTGTTTCTGCTTTCAGGGTTGTGCTGGTTTGTCTGGATACGGATGAGAAAAAAAAAAGGAGGGCGCAACAACAAACAACAATAACAATACAACAAAAACAAATGAACAAAGATCTGAGGCAGTAGGCTCGTTCATTCATTCCCATCCACGGACTGTTGGGGAAGGAGAGAGAGGGTGAACGATGAAAATAAAAATGAAGGCGATGAGAGCAAATGACAATATATAACACACATATCGCCTGGGACAAAGTCAAGAGAGAATCGAAGTAGGAAGCAGTGGATGTGTTGCTTACTTGGAGGCAGCCGGTGATGGCAGACTACTCATGTACCAGACTTTGGTCCTCGAGTCCTGTCCCAGTACTTCAGCTGCATTGGCTGCATTGCCTCCTCGCCGTTTCTCGACTCGGTCTGCTCTATGTTTGGTGTCCTCGGTCGGGAAGGTGTTGACGTGCATGATGGTGTCGAGGTAGGTGGCCCCAACCAAGAAAATGCCGGCCTTGGGACCGGAATGACCGTTGCTGTTGCTGTATGCGTTCCCATTGTTGTTGCTGTATCCATTGCTTTGCCCCGTGGAGCCAAAGGAGGTCGTAGAGGAGGTGGCCGAAGATGCTTTTGAGTGCAGTTTGAACATTTTATGCATCGTGAAAGAAGAGCAGAGGTGATATGTAGGATATGAAGAAGTGAGCAGTGCCGATTGACGAGGAAGGGCTATGGGTATGAGTAGCAAGCAGGAAATATGTCAGGGGTAAAACGATAAAGGAAGAAAGAAAAAAAAGTGATGCGAAACAAAAAGACGAATGTCAATCCTCTTTTGTGCAAGTGCGTTCTATTTATTCGATGAGGAGTGGAGAGTGATGGAGAAAGGAGGAGTGATGAGGGAGTGATGAGGAAGCAAAGCAAACAAAAGGGATCGAAAAGGAAGAAGGTGGGGGCTAGAGTGGCGATGGAGCGGCATTCACAAGGGCGAGTTGAGTTGAGGGCGAAAGAAGGCTGGGTGTGTGTGTGTGTGAGTACGGGACTGGGTCAGGAAAAAGACAGAAAAAAACGAAAGAGAAAAAAACGAAAGAAGAGAAAGGAAAAGGGGAGGAATGCAAGGAATAGGATGAGATTGATACCCATGCGGCTGGATGGGGAGGTATCTGCACTCACACCCACGCCTAATTGGATTATGGGAAGGACACATTTGTTCAATTGCCCTGTCTCTTACACCTTCCCTTCTGTTTTGTTTGTTGCAATTGCCATTCACGAGAACTATCCATTGGAGCAGCAAGTTGTTTTTGAAGGTATTCCTTTTACGACGACAGCTTTTTATTTTTGATCGCACTCGTGAGACAGATAAAGTGATCAGTAATGCTGCCTGACATGAAAATCAAGACACAAGGTAGAAGGTTGTGGTGCTTTGGGATCGTTGATTCTTTGGCTGAACGACGAGAGGATCATTATCCTCCTCCTCCTCCTCCTCCTCCTCTCCTCCTTTCTTCCTAACCGCCTCTCCTTCCTTCACTATCTCTCGCTCTCGTTCCTCTCTTGTTCGTTTGCTCATGTCACTGGAGCACGGCGAAAGAGACCCAATCCATGGTTATCATAGTTCTGTACAAAAACAAGGAAAAAAGTGGACAAGCATGAATCATCATCTTGGACAGAATCATCTTTTTTCATTGTATTACTCGCTGAACTCTTATGTCCTTTGTGCACTCCTCTCAAAACGAGATGGTTAGTACAAGGACGATAAAGACAGGGGTATCCGGGAGCACTGCCTCTTTTCTCATTGCTATTAAACAAGTTACGCCACAGATTTGACGACAAAGTAGAACGCGTCTTTTCATGCTAACCATGAGTCCACCAAGTCAACCCATTGTCACCTAAAAGCGCAACAACAAAAACAACAATAACGCACACTCCCTCACAGCTGATATTTGTAATTAAACAATTTGACAAACAACCGCCAACATACTTTTCGAGCACATGTCCATTGGTCCTTGGCTCGAGCTTTAGCATGCAGCTAGTGTTTTTCCTTTTGACATGCAATTAGGGAAAATTTAATGCACTTAAGGAATAATGAGACCTATGTGACGGTTGATTATGTCCTTCTGAAATATAATTATCAGAGAAAGCACAGTATTCATGTCCAATGAACATTGTTCAGCTCGCATAGCTTAGTCGGTAGAGCGTTGTGCTAATAACGCAAAGGCCGCAGGTTCGATCCCTGCTGTGAGCATTCTTTTGCCCTTCATGGGCTTCCTTTTTTGCTTCTCTTCGTACAGTCGTACTGTACCAACAGAAGACTTGACAACCCGGGTTGTTCGTTTTATTCAACTACCGAACACGTTTGCGTGCTAAGTCCATGTAAGCATTTTTTTGATGATACAATGGAAGATGAAACCAAACACTTGCAGTAGCGCTTGTTTTCGCCACTTCTTTATGGAGCACCACTCTTACGTTGTTCAAAGCGGTTGTTAAGATGCTTTTTATACGAATATACCTTTTTTTTACGTATGCGGTGATGAAGACTAGTGTTTCTCAAGTGCGAATGCGAATAAAGGGGTTTCCATTGATTTTACATGATGCGAATGCGAATGCACTATGTTCTTGAGAAACACTAATGAAGACAGAATTTTGGCCGGTAATGGCATTCGATGGTTGAAAGGGCTTTATTAATGATGTGGATGACAAAAAAGGAAGACGCTGCAACAAAAAGCATCGATGTATAGACTTTAAAGAAAAATAGGTTGTCCATGGACTTAGCATGCAAAACACGTTGGGTTGTTGAATAAACGAACAACCCGGGTTGTCAAATATATTAATCCAAATACTATCTCTTTATCATGCTCTGTGCGAAGAGAAGTATATGCTCCCTTTTTTGTTGTTTAAGCAATCGCTTTTCTTTTAGAAAGAGCAAACGCTTTATTCTTATGATTCGAGGACATTTTCAGGCACCAATTGGTTTTGAGTTTCAATTTTTTTTGGCCTCTTCGTGTCGTTGATGAAAAAGTAAACCATTTGCAGCGCGTGAAAGAGTCAGCGTCATGGGTCTTCAAGGATAGGTATGCTCAAACCTCAGTCCTAGTCCCTCGAGCCTTTTCCTGTGGGTGACTTTCATTAACACTCGTTTCTCTTTCTATGTTTTACTTTCTCGTTTTTTTTCTGGATTTTTCCCCTCAATGACCGACCGTTCTTGAAAATCCTCCCACATCAATTTTCTATTGCCATGGCGAAGTAAACAACAATCCAATCTCTCATCATACTTATCTTTCACAGAATAATGAACAGCTCGAAAATCGAACGTGTTTTCTAGATCGCGCGTCCTCACAGTTCAAACCGAGGACCAATTTCGCACAGAACGAGTCAAGGAGGAATGGGATGTTGATTTTTTCTTTGAGCTCATATTCTACTAAGCAAACCCTTTTTTTACACCGCTTCGAATCATGCCCTGCTCTGCACCTAAGGAGCCTCCTAATATCTTGACCCAATGTAGCTATTTTATAATATATGCCATCTGACTAGAGAGTGGAAGAATAAGAAAGCGCGAGACAACAGATCAATTAGTTTTGCAGTTCGCGGGGCGCTTTCAAAGGCTATCACATACATTACTAGTCAATTTTCAGGATTCGTTGTTCAAACTCTTGTTTTTGTCTCTCGTATGATCTTCCAAAGAGACAAATAGAAACGCGTCTTTTCTCGTTGTTTATTCCCGCCTTGTTTTCTCTTCTCGCTACTCTGTTTTCCACCTATCTTCCCAGTCGCCGTTCCAGCAAAATAGTACCCCGTCGTTGTTTCTCGTATCTTTATGAAGTAAATGTTTGGCTATGTTCTCGTAGAACGACGGACTGCTTGAGCATGTCTTCTCAATTACATTTGAAATCTGAGATGCAACGTCAAAAGAAATAAAAATGATAAAGGAAACCTTGTGCTAATTTTCCTCTCAAATATGCTCAAGGACACAGATACAAAAAAAACCCACGAAACTGCAGCCATATCATTTATGTTGTTCGCGACATTCTGTCAACGACCACCGACAAAATAAAATAAAGTGTGTCTACACTGCTGGCCGCGGCCTCCTTTACTAAATGACAGCACCCTACAAGTTGAACTGGTTATATCCTAAAAGATCTCAACGGCATCACAACAACAGGCGAAGAACCCTGTGCTTGCTCTTGTGCGAAGGATGGTGACTGAAAGCAAAAAAAAAGGACAGGTAAATCTTCTGTCGGTACAGTGCGAAGAGAAGCAAAAAAGGAAGCCCATGAAGGGCAAAAGAATGCTCACAGCAGGGATCGAACCTGCGGCCTTTGCGTTATTAGCACAACGCTCTACCGACTAAGCTATGCGAGCTGAACAATGTTCTTTGGACATGAATACTGTGCTTTCTCTGACAATTATATTTCAGAAGGGCAGAATCAACCGTCACAGAGGTCTCAGCATTCCTTAAGTGCATGAACAATTCTGTAATTGCAAGGACAAAGGGTATAAAATTTAGGAGACTGAGTGCTCTTCTCACTTCTACTCTTCTTACTTCTCTTCACACTTTCTATCCACCTTTCATTTTATAATCCAACATGACCGACTTCAAGACAGACCTCAAAACCTATGAGTTTGTAAGGACTTCTCCTCAAAGCACCAGCACCCGACGCCTACCTGGGCGCAACACTCTCCAGAGTATTCGTTCCTGATAGGGAAAAGGTCGATTTATTCACTACAGACCTGCACCCGTACATTCAACTCATTATTGTTCTTTACTTTTCCTGCTGATACCCTTTTCGCTTAGAACCACACTATGATCCGTGTCAAGGATCCCAAGGTCTCCCTTTACTTCTACGAAGAGATTCTCGGCATGAAGTACGCACTCTCCATCCATCCTCTTGATGATTTTTTCTGTTTTTCACTGGCCCTTTTTTTCTGTTCATGGACAAAAACAAGGAGCGCGGGAAATTGTTGTCAACGCTCGGCATGGCATGCAATCAGCGCTGGCGATTCTATGCAATCGAACCGAGGCCATGTTTACACCTTACTGATATACCTTGCCCTCCCTCTCTCATATACACACACTCTCATTAGGATGATTTCGACCATGGAAAACCCCAACGGAAAATTCACTGTAAGCATCTACTTCTTCTCCTCTCCGGACTGCGGCAGACAGAGTTGTCGTTTCGACAGCTTGTTGCAATCTGAATGGTCCGGATGAATATGGGTATTATTTTTTCCCTGGTCATTGACGATGACTAAAACAACCTTTCATATTTTTCTCATCAACGCTGCTGTAGCTCTACTTCTTGGCCTACGTGAACGCTGAGGACCAGGCATCGCTCAACAAAAAGTCGGACGACGAGCGCCGTGCCTATGCCTTCAACCGCTCCGGTATCCTCGAGTTGACCCAGTAAATACCTGACCAAAAAAACGTCATACTTCGCATTTTCGTTTTTTTTGTTGTTCATGTACCATAACCGCGATCCGATCGAAATTTTTTTAGCACATTTTCTTCGTTCCAGCTTATCATCTCGCTGTCAATTTATTTTTATTTTCGCCCATCCCATGACTCAGAGTTGAATATCTCGTCGACCATTATTAATCGCCTCTTCTCTTCTTGTGCATTGTCATCCAAAAAACCCTATTCAGCAACTGGGGAACAGAGACGGACGCCGACTTCAAGGGCTATGCCAGCGGCAACAGCGACCCCGGCCGTGGCTTTGGACACACCGCCATCATTGTCGACAACATCGAGGAGGCCTGCAAGCGGTTCGAGAGCTTTGGAGACAAGGTCAAGTGGGTCAAGAAACTGACCGACGGAAACATGAAGAACATTGCCTTCATCACCGACCCTGATGGTTACTGGGTCGAGATCCTCAACCGCGCCTTTGCTTAAAGTAACTTACAAGGAGCAAGAAATGCAAGGGACGGTAGGAATGATGCGGGCGATTCTGGGCTATCATGACAGCCGCAGGAATGCTGTCGTTTTGTAGTATATACTTTGATCCCTCGCGTTCTTTTTTTCTTTTGCAATCTTTTGCGACCAATTCAATCCAGTGCGGACACTTACACACATGCACACAAGCACAACAAAATAAAAATCACCAAACGTCAAATGACCAGCAATGTTATGTACAATTTTTTGGGGGGTTTATTCTTTTTTTGTGAGCAAGGACGTGTTTTCGTGTTTTGCAAGGTTGTGTTTTCGCGAAGACGTGCTGCTGAAAAGTGAAGTCAAGGCCAGGTATGCTACACTGGCCACCGCCAAGAAGAAACAATCAAGCAAACACCACGAGTTCCAATTCAAAAACAGATTGGAAAAGAGTAGAGACTCACTGCAACTGTTGGCAAATGTTGTAGTAGGCCTCGTACTCCTCGGGGGTCATCTGGCTCTGATGTTCCTCAGTGACCTCCAGAAGAGGCACCATGACACCAGCAACAGAAACCTCGGGGAGTTCTTCCGCGAATCCATTCTCCTCCTCTCCTTCAAGGCCACCGTCATCATACTCGCCGTCAGCCTTGTACCGTTTGCTATTCGTGTCAAGTTGCAAAAAAAGGGAAACAGTTAGCATTCAGTGTCCAATTGACTATGTCATTTCAGTATGAAGTCAGGCGGAAGCCTAAGATCACATCAAGGGTGACGAACCTGGCGCTGTCCTCAGCATCGTCAAGGGCTCGCTTGTTGTGTCCATTCTCATCGACAGTGTCAAACAACTCTTCGCCCTCCTGTTGCTGATCTAATGCCAGATTTTCATAGTATTGTTTGTAGTCTATCATTGTATGAACAAATGAAAACATGTTAGTACGCGTTCAAAGTGTAATGCGTGTAGACCAACAAAAAAGTTAAAATAAAGCGCCAGACGAAAAGTATTGATGGGCTTACATTCTTCGCGAGCAGAGTCTCTCTCGTCGACTTCGGCTTCGCCCTCGGCCTTGGTGTCATCCATGGGCAGATCGAGGCGCTTGGCAGCTTCGGCTCCGAGGGCAGTCATCTCTCCAGAGACGGTACTCCAAGCGTGCCAAGAGGGCACAGCATTCTGCTGTCGCTTCTTCATGGCCTCATTCTCCCTGGCCTTCTTGGCTGCCTTGTCGTTGTCGTCCTCAAAGACCACCTGAATCTCTCCCTGCTGTTGACCGCCATCCTCCGCGAACGCCAGATCGTCGTCTAATTGACATAAAAAGCAATAACAATAAAGTGTCAGACAAGTCGTTTCCTAATCTTCCTGTCATATGAAAATATTGTCTGAGAATCTAGGTATCCGTACCATCGTGGGTTCTTGCGGTGGCATTCTTAGCGGCCATGACCTCTGTGTACTGCTCGATCACCATGCTGTCTGTCTGCTTGAGCAAGTCCACAATGGGTCTGATGTATTCACGAAGCCTATTCACAAACAAAGAGATGTAAATGGTGTGAGCGATTAAAGTTCTTCCTGTATGTTGCGGACCATATTAAAAACAATCGACTCTGTTGCATACTTTGTCTTCATCTCCTGTCCTTGATCATCGTCCTCAACAGCTTCGTCGTCCAGTGGGTAGCCGTCATTAGGGCAGTTGAACATTCCAGTCTCTGCGTCGAACGTGTTCACGACATCCACCATGGCGAAGGCATTGTGACAGGCAGAACACCGGTAGCCGGCACTCTCCACCTCTTGCTATTGATGTAAAAGCAAAACGAAAGAAGAAAGACGAGGCGTATGTGAGTGAACCTCATTCGCTTCTGAAAATGCTCCACTCAACAGCTCCATGAAATACGTTCAGCCATTGCCCTGTACCTTTGACATGACAGAGTCAAGCTCCTTGCCCATCCTGTGGATCTTGTACTTGACCACATCGACAAAGATCTTGTAGTCGAGGTAGTAGTATGTGTTCGGGATGGGCCTCTGGTCCGGCTTTCTTGCCTCAAGCTTTGTCAAGCTACACAGATTCAAAAAGAAAAAGGTGCGTGTTGGCAAGTCAATACTTTCATCTTTGCACCAAATAATTTAACAGGGCATAATTGCAAAAAAGAGATAGAGCAAGTTACTCTTTGATGAGGCGGTCCTCCTTAAGCTTTCCGCAGATCTTATGGATCTCCCTTCTGTTCAGTCGCACGGAGGCGGCGAGCTCCTCGTCCTTGACCCTTATTTTTGGCAAGCGGCAAAGCGAAGAACAAAAACAAACAAGTACTTAGTGCACTAGTCTTAAAACAAGGTTGTCAATCTTAAGAACGTATGCCCTATCTTTGTGGTGACCCCATTGTGCAGGAGGCACCTTGCATGCAATAGTACCCTTCCATGCATCAAGAAAAAGTCGAAAAAAACCACAAACAAGTCGCATGTAGTCTTTTGCTTACTGCTTGAGCTTGTTGATGACATCCATGACGACAATATAACGAGGCTCGTAAAAAGCGCGGCAGACTCTGTAGACCAGCTGATCGAGAACCTGTTGGTCTTCTGCTGAATGCGACGCCATTTTGAGTTTTGTCTGTCTGTTGTACTGTTGTTTGTTTGTGAATGAACGTTCAGTGGGTCCGGGGAAATAAAGACACTGAGTGGGGGAGAGAAGAAGGACGAGGGTTGAATTTTTTGTACGTTCGATACTTCCTTAAATACTTTTTAGTGGTGGCTTTGGTGCGCTCACTTTGTCACAAGACGAACCTGGCCGAGAGATCTACTCCTTCTCTTTTCTGCTTCGCTTTTTGTTTGGCTGATTCTTTGTTTGGCTGATTCAGAACATGCTCAAGGACTACTACGCCATCCTCGACGTCTCGCAGAATGCCTCGCTCGCAGAGATCAAGCAGCAGTACCAGCGTCTCCTCCTAATCGTATGTTGCAGACAAGAGGCTCTTCTCCTCAGAATACTGTCTCTCACTTTCGCCCATTGCCACCATTCAGGCATGGGCAAGACCAGTCCCTTTCTCCCTCTTTTCAGTATCTGCTCAGCATTTTAATCTTGCCTTCATATCCCACACGGCACAAAATAGCATCACCCGGACAAGCAGCTTCAACAGCAGACTGTACCGATTAATGGGACTGCAGGGCTGAAATTGATCCCACTTCAGGATATCAAGGAAGCATGGGAGTGCCTTCGTGAACCCAACCACCGTGCCTTCTATGACTCGTCTCTCCAAGGTGCATAAGCAGCCACTCTCAACCACTTTTTCTTCCGTTGATCGCTATGGCGTATTTTAATACCGGATGCTAACCGACAATTTTGTCATCTGTCTTCTGCCCTGAAAATAGCTACGAGACTCCACGCCAATGGCCAGGTGCACGACGACATTGATCTGGACGACATGGACTTTGACGAAGGTACACAAGAACGCCCTTCTTCATGATTGATTCTGGCAGCTTCCGTCGCCCTAGCAAACAGCAGTATAAGTGCCTATGGAATGACTAACCCAGGGTTGTGTTGGCATTTGGCATATTAGAAGCAGGAAGTTATACGTCGCCGTGTCGATGCAGCGGAGAGTACATCATCTTGGAAGACGAGCTGGAGCTGGGCGTCGACACCGTCGTCTGCTCGACCTGCTCGCTCATCGTCAGGATCCACTATGAGGCAGCCGATGACGATGAGGATGATGATACTAACTGAGCGGCTGCGACGTCTTCACAGGATATCGCTTCCCATATACTCGAGCGTGTGGCGAGCGAGAAGCGCCCCGATCAAGAGTATCATAGGATCACAAATGCCGCTGGCATCAAGCCATCTCGCGCCACGTGGCCCCAGTTTCACAGGATCCAGGAGGCAAAATGTGGGACAGCTTATGAGACGCACTCTGACTCGACAGAGGCGCCGATAGTCCAACTTTCAGGATCCAGATCCCTGCGCCTATATATCCTCAACAGAAGAGAGAGGCGGTACGAGTATATCTGAGCATCTGACGCGGTTGATCCACTCTCAAAGCGGTAGTTTTCAGCAGCGCAAGGACAACTTGTTTGCCTGAGAGCATGAGAAGAAAAATAAAAATGAACGAAAAACGAAAACGTGAAACCCTTCAAACCTGTCAAACCCAGGCTCATATTTTTCATACTCATACACACACTTACTCTTCACACTTACTCTTCAAACTCTTTCAGCACTCTTCAAACAAACCTGTCAAATCTTTTGAAACAGCAATTGGACTATCATTCCTATTCCAACAGAGACGCGCCGCCAACGCAATTGGTAGTGCCGTCTTCAAGTCCACGAAATCACAGGTTCTGGTATTCGCACTCGAGTTTTTGCTGCACAACACCGTGTCAACATTCTAACCATGAATAAGGCATCGATTTGAAAACACTTTCTGCATTTGTTACGATAAATGGTTGGCTATCGATAGGTCAGATGAAGAGGACATCCCTCACTCACCGACATTTAATCCTCCCGCTTGAAGATGTAAATGTAGGCGTTGTCGACGGGCGCCTTGGGGTCATCCACAACCTTGTTGTCGTTGAACAGAACCCACTGGTTGCCCTTCTTGATATGGCTGACGTAGTGTCCGCAGTGGACAGAGGGTCCCTTGTGAGAGATGAACGAGGCAAGGTGGTAGTTGCCCTTCTTGCTCACATCGCCCACAATCGCCTGAGTCTGTCCGCCAGCAGCAACAGCGGGAGCAGCCTCCTCGTCGTCGTCCATGGGTGTATCCATGTGACTGAACAACCACTCGACCGCACGCTCCATGTTACCACCAGTCTCCTTGAGAGCCTTTTTGGCTTGCTTATCGGTAAAACCCATGTCCGCCAGCTGAGAAATCTGCTCAGGGTTCGCTTCAGGGGCACCACCAGAGGGGGCACTCGTCGCAATGGGGTCATCAATGTCGGGATCCTCCATATGCTGAATCAACCAGTCCATGGCAATTTCGGAGCCCTGGTTGCCGGTTGCCAAAAGCGCTTTCTGGCAACGAACCAATGGGAAGCCCATCATTTGCAGCTGTTCCAGTGCTGCTTCATCAAACGTAGGTCCTGCCGCTGCTCCTGCGCCTGCTCCGGGTTCATCCTCAGGAAGCAGCTCTTCATCAGCCTGTTGGCCATGTCCACGGTACTTTTCCAAATCAATCTTACCTTCAGATAAGATGATTGGCACAGCTATATAGAAAATATCGCAAAGGTTAATATACTTCAAGGAATACTTGCAAACAATGGCTGAAACACAAATGCACTGAACTTGACTCTTACCGAGCTTTCTTGGGACCCAATTCTGGTAAGCGAATCGGCGCATGTTGATCACCAGCACCTCGGGGAAGGAAGCAAAGCGGTTCGTCCTATGAAGTAGCAATAAAGAGTACGGTTGTTAGCAACTTTGTCCGAAGTCAAGAACCAAGCTTTCAGACTAACATGAATCAAAATTTGGCTTACTTGATGGCGGTTGTGCTCTTTTGGCAGCTGGGACAGTTGTAAGGAAGGGCCTCAGCTGCAACATAAGCGTCTAGGCACTGCTTGAATGTGACGCTTTCGTACTCATCCTCTTCTCCGCTAGAGGTCGCCTTCTTGTTTGCTGGGACGGCAATCGAGAGAGCCGTGGTGCTGTCGCGAGAGTATCGAACCTTCTTGCACTCATTGCACTGCAGACGCTGCTCGTTGGAGAACTCGAATGTCTTGGTAGGGTCTCTGCCAGTTGTGCGCTCGCTCTGAGAAATGATCTTGATCAAGTGCTGGAAAAACTCGAAAGAGTCCTGTGGAGATGCAATGGGGTTCAATGTTAGCTCTGCATTCAGAACACGTATTTAGTGCCGACTGAAGCGAACCACAATAGCGGACATGTACCTGCTGTCTCATGGTAGAGAATTCAGGATGACCATGGCCAACCAACGCTTTGAACATTCCTGGGGCGATTCCATCCTGTCCTTGAACCTCGCCGCTGTCCGAGATTGTTGGTGTTGAATAGCGTCCGCTCAGGAGACCGTCTGCAACCTTGGCGAGCTGACACTGAAGGCACTTTCCGGGAACCTGGTTGCACGTCTGCAAGTGTCCCGCGTCAACAGGGAAGTATCTATTTTAACAAATGAGCAAAAGTTAGTACTTCGTCGCCTAACAATAATAACACCGTCAATTCCAGTTCAGAGAAAAAACTTTACCTTGAGATAAAGGCTGGGAGATCGAACACTGACTGAAGAACGGAGGCCATGTAACAACTAAAAGTGAAGGATTGAGAAGAAGTAGTGTCAGCCTTGCATCTCATGCCTGCTACTTCCTTTTGCGTGTTCTCTTGGTCCTTTTCTTCCAGGAATTCCTTACCTATTTCCAAGGTTCTTGAATCCAGTGTAGCCAGGCCCAAACAGGGGCTCGAATGACTTGCCATCCTCAGTGAACATGTTGAAGTTGAAGTTCTGGTTCTGCTCCAAGGACTATTACAAAGGCCAAAAAGGCAACATAACGGTGAGAATAATGTACCCTCAATTGGTGTATGAAATAAGTTACTCTGCAATTTGCTCCGCTTAGTTTACCAATTCGGTCAAAGACTTGATCGACTTTTGCTGTGACTCGACCTTGATGCCAAAGCGCGCCAAATGTGCGCCAAGCTGGTCGTCAGAGCGCTCTTCGTTGCAGTGGTAGCAGTAGATATCTAAGTGGGACGGGACCATTGTCTTGATTAGCTTGCCCGTCACCATCACGCCGTACCTTCTCTACGATATGAGTTCTGGCTCGCAATAAAGAATGAACTCGCTTTCTATACCTGCGGTTCCCTCAGGAGTAATAGTTCCAAGCTTGCAAGCGACACCGTGTCCAGTGGCATCGAAGTGGGCCAAGCCATGACCATTGCCTCCTATTCCACCAAACTGCTGACGTCCGCATCCCAGGTTACCGCAAACAAGGCACAGCCACAGGTTCTCGCCGAGCTCGCAGGTAGCGCAGTGTGCGTTTTCTAAATAATAACAGCAATAAAAAGGCTGCGCCGTCAGATTCTGGATCCTTCCATGTAGACCAACTAAGCAAGCGAATGATAACAGTCTTCTGAATAGAGCCAAATGGCCGAGTCGCTTACCTGCTGAAACAACCTTCTCGGCTTCCTGCTGGATGTTGCGAATGTGATCGCATGAGATTATTTCCTCTTCCCAGGCCTTGATCTCGGACTGTCTAGAGGCCGACAGGGATGTCATGATGGCATCAACCACATTGGGGATCTAGAGGCAGAGCCATTCGGATGATGACACGCATAAGTCTTCGCCCACAAATTGCCATTACCCTCGTTACAAAGGTACAGAGCTGCGGCAATTACACTCCTGTTCAAATGTTTACCTGGCCAACAGTCTTGTCGACTTCAACGCCACCACACTCGTAGCACTTGACTTCGGTAAAGTACTCATAGTTGTCGGCGTCATTCTCGGCCTGAATAGCAATCTTTGTGATCTTCTGGGGTGGCTCTTCGCCGTCCTACATGTTCGTTCCACGGACAAAAATAAAATTGTGGTTATGACCTGGGAAAACAGGCTAGTTGAACTAAAGAGCCTTCCTAGTAGGACGCTTACTCGGACATCCTTCTGGATCTTGATGCGCTTGATGTTGACAACGAGTGGGTGGCCCTCCTTGTTGTAGTGTTGGATAGCATGGTAGCGGTCAGGGTCGGTACATCCGCCGTTGAAGCAGGACAGACACACGTCCAGTCCACCTTCGTTATCCTATTGCGCCCCCAAGCAGTTCAACCGAAACAAAAAGTAAGGGATGATAGACATGTTAGACCGTTGTGAGGTAGTAAAGAGCTTATCATTACTGCACCAGGTTCGACTTTTTTCATTGTTGGTGTTGTCCTTATTGTTGTTGGTGGTGGTTGTTTGTTCATGAGATGCATTTCGACATGCGAGAACACGAAAAACACGAACAACGCGCAAGCGATTTTTTTTTATTCACACGCGCTTTGCCATGAGGTGGTTGAAGAAAAGGAAAAGAGAGGGAGCATGCAATGACTTACGGGACTGTCGAAGCAGACGGTGCATTCGTCCTTGTAAATCTGAGCGTTTGAATGGGGCACGTTGAGGCGGACGCTGGTGGTGTGAGGACAGGCGGCCATGGTGACGAAAGTGTGCGGGTGAGTGAAGTTTAGAAGAGCAAAAGAAAGGGTGTGGAAAAGTAAAAAAGGGGTCAACGACCACCTCAAATACGTACACTGCAAAGCCTCGGTGACTGTCATTGATAGGAATTAAAAGAAGTAGTGTACAAGATTTTATTTTGAATGCTAGGAATGCGGGACAAAGGAGAGGGGGATTCTCTAGAAGAAGAAGCGCCAGAGACGGGTGAGGATACCGGGTTGTGAAATAGCAATGGTGGTGGTGGTGTTGGCAGCGGCTGCCTCCTTGGCTCCTGGGAGGTACTCGGCACCATCCTGGCAGTAGAACTTGAGGAAGAAGTCCATCTGGATCCAGAGCAACTTGCCGAATGCAGCAATGGCCTTGTACTCGGTATCACGGTCCAAGTTGAGCGACTTGATACCTCCGATCAGGACTGCCTCAACATAACCCAGGAGGGCATTGATATGAATCACATCGACGTTGATCTTGGACTTCTTGGTAGGGGTGTCGGTATGAATGCGGGCGACGTACTCGAGGTACTTGATCATGCGCTCGTCGTAGGGGTTGGTCAACAGCTTGTCAAAGTACTTGCTCAACATGTCCTTGCGGAACTTGATCTGGTCGGCATTCTCGGTCAAGTCGGCCGCATTCTCGACCACTCCGGCTTTGGGGACGAAACCCTCGTGGCGCTTGGCCATGACGGACCAGGTGATATCGAATTGATGGAGTTTGGCGTAGACGGCATCGACGACGACGGGGACGAGGGGCTTGATGAGCCCGGCGGCACCCTTGATGACATCGACGTCCTCATCGCCAAAGCCCATGAACTTGGAGACGTACTGGAAGCGGTAGACGGGGTCGGTGTAGAGGGTCTCGCGCTCAATGTGTTCCATGGTTGGTTATGTGTGGTTTGTTGAAGGGGTGAAGGAGAGAGTTGGTTGTTGTTGTTGTTGTTGTTGTGTGTTGAGATGATGAAGAAAGAGAAGAAAAGAAAAAAAGGAATGAAAAACCCGAAGTATTTATGAAGTCCGAATGGTCTTCTCGGGCCATGACCATGTTTAGATGGAGCGCTGATCCAAATAATCAAAGACAAAAACTCTCAATTCAGTGAGACACCCAAACTTTCAGGGCCGAGTCCACTGTATCGGCGATGATATGCCTGCGCTCTGCTCTGATTTGCCCAAACCCACTCGCCCACTCACTCTCTCCCTCTCTCACTCTCACCATTCACCCTATCATTCACCCCATCCCTCCCCCCCAAATCGCACAATATCGTTCTTTCTTAAGCATGCGTTACTCTAAACCAGCCTGCTCTTAACCATACTATTCACCCCTCAACTGCGCAAAGAAGCAACAACAAATAAGAAGACAGATCTAGAATCCGAGATCGAAAAAAAAGACATTCACAAACGTCCATCCAAGACCCCTTAACATAGAACGTCACTTTACCAACATTCAAAGTGCGATGGATAACTGTGGCCCGCCAAACAAAATGTGAGACACCCCTGTGGATTTCCGGAGCTCTTCGGGCAAGTCCAACCAAACATGGAAACACGAACAAGTGCGCTCACAAAAACGGCACGTCCATTTGATAATTTTCCCTTTCCTTCTTGTGTCTTTTTCCTTTATTCTGTGTCGCAATTATGACGATAAATCTGCAAGTGCGGTATACCAAAGGTATCTCAATGCTTGCCTGCATGACGATAGTACACACCCGAAATAAGCATCTCCTTCAGAGCCTAGCCTCGGCAATGGTAGTCTGGACTCTTGTTGCACCTCGGGAGGAAGATGACCAATCCTCCTTGATAAAATCCGCCGCACGCTCAGCAATCATCACCGTCGGGGCACACGTATGCGCCGCCACCAGCTTGGGCATCGTACTCGCATCAATCACTCGAAGACGCTCAATTCCGTGCACATTCAGTCGACTGTTTACGACTGCCATTGGGTCTGATGCCGGGCCCATCTAGTGGTGCGAGGAAGCCCCAAGATCGGGGTTATTATGAGACAAGCAGAGTTAGAACTACTGCTACAACCCAAGGAGTAACCACCAATCGTAACATGAACAGAGGGGAACGAATGGAACGTGACGAAGTAAAAGAAGAGTGCGAAGAATAAGGAGAGGCAAAGGTAGATGTGATCAAGCGGAGAATAGGATGATAAAAGAAGAAGGAATTACCTTACAGGTTCCGACAGGGTGGTAGTATGTCTCTGCTGCCTCACGAGCATACTTCTCCAAAGCCTTGTCGTCATGATCTGGCATAGCTGCTTCGCCCGGGAACACCTCTCGGCCGCCTACATCAGGATCGTTGTTCAATCGACGCACGATTCGGCGAATAAACTTGACTCCCTGAACCAACACTCTCGCATCAAACGATTCTGCCAGATAGTTGGGATCCACCACCCCCTTCACATCCACACCACCTTTCTTACCAGGCTTGGAAGCAATTTTGAAGGTTCCGGAGGAGCCCGGGTTCATCAGCAAGGCGGTCACCGTAAAGTAGCTCTTGAAGTCAGGCGCCAGAATGGTTCCGTGACGACGGACATAGCCCGGCAAGAGGATGACCTCAAGATGAGGTGACCCAGGTCCACTCGCTCGCTCTTGGTATGTGCCGTTGGCCTTCTCCTGCGCCACCCACTCAGGTGCAATATCCTCCAGTCGAACAAAAATGACACCCTCTCCGATCTGTGTCGTCAAGGGACCCGTACCACTCGCGACAAAGTTGAAGAGTGATTTCATGGCATTGTATGCTCCGTATTCCTGGTTCAATGTCTGACAGCGATCTCGAGCGCGGAAGGTAACACTGAGTCCGAGGTGGTCCTGCAGGTTGGCACCCACACCGGCTAGGGTGTGGAAATGAGGGATGGAGGGTTGAGGAGAGGGTCCGACACCAGAGGCCAAGAGGAGCTGAGGCGATCCAAAGGCGCCACCACAGAGAAGGACTTCTCGGGTAGCCATGACTCTTCTTCGGACTATGTATCGATGGGGGTAGATAAACAATGCAAAAGAAAGTTAGGTCGCCATTTTAGAAAAGAAAAAGGGTCTTCTCGGACAATTAACCAAACATAGGAGCAGCATCTGCCCAAACATAGAAATGCAACGTTTCAAAGTTCAGGCAGATAAGCGCAGTTTGCAGCTCATTGGTGCCGTATACATTCGATTTCTATGTCCGACCAAAAACTGGGGTACGATCGATGCACTTGTACAGTTGCGACAAGCAGACATACCGTTGTTGTGGTCAAGAAACTCAATTCCTGACGCCATCTTGACCCCTCGCTTGCACTGGAACAGGATCCGTTTCGCATCAGCGCCAAATACAACCCGCACTCGACCACGACCATTCTTGCCCCCAGGAACAACATCTTCTGACCTCAAAAACGCCCTCGACAACGAACTGCGAACACCATCCCGTTGAATAAACGTCTGAATCCTGTTGACGCCCAGTGTCGATTCACCATTGAAATCCTTGTTGAACGGGATACCTTCGGCTTGACTGGCAGCAACAAAGCGGTTCGAGAGATGGAACAGGTAGTGGAAGGTCACTTGCCAAGGTCCTTCTGTTCCATGTGCGTGGGGATCAAAGGTTTCCAGCTCGGGGTAACGAACACGGTTGGTGAGCGGGCCGCGAGGATGGTCGGTTGGTAAATTGGGGTCATTGAATCCTTCTGACTTTTTAAAATAGGGCAGACATTCCTTGAAAGACCAGCCTGGGTTCCCTAAGGCTTCCCATTCGTCGTAATCTGATGCAGCGCCTCGATGATACATCATAGAGTTGATAGACGAGCAGCCACCCTATTTTTTTTCTCGAACTATTAATAATGTAGAAAGAGTGATAACATCGTACAGCCCATACATAATGCAAACATGTCTACCAACTACAACAACACCTAGCTGAGCTTACGAGGAGTTTCCCACGTGGTTGCATCATGGTCCGGTTCCCAGCGTGGGTCTGAGGGACGGTCTCGTAGTTCCAGTCTGCGTCAGTCTGGAAGATGGTGCTGTAGAGTCCAGGAGCACGAGAGGCAAGTACTTCATCCGAGTATCCGGCTTCGAGGACAAGGACGTTCACGGCGGGATCCTCCGCCAGTCGACTCGCCACCACCGAACCCGCGGAACCACCTAATTACGTCATAGAGTAATAGAGGCGGAAGTGAGAGACAAACGGAAAAAAGGCAGGGGAAATATTAATGAGACACCTCTCCTCTATCTCTCAAGTTCCGTGTCAAATTGAAGTGAAGAATGAAGCCTTACCGCCGAGGACGATATAGTCATAGTGGACGAGAGTGTCTTTGGCCTGGTCCCAAGGGGCTTTCCCTTCCCGAGGGCGGAACTTAAGGACCTGAGCGACCTTGCTCAGCTTGGCCACCGAGCTCATCATCTTTTCTCTGTTTGGAGCCGAATCGAACATTTCCTTGTCCTTGGGGATTGATAAAGGAGCTGAGAAGAAGGAGAAGAGGGTGTTTTCTATATACGTTGAGTGTATTTCAAGACGAAGGAGGAAGAAAGGTATCCACAACGAGGTGTTATGCTGAATGTGGAGGGAAAAAGTAAAAAGAAAATCAGGCAGGAGAAAAGATCAGAGGGAATGATTAAATAGACAAACAAATACAACCTGAACGCCGGTTCGGGTTGTGTGTGTGGGATTACGTTTACCTTGTTTACTACACGAAGAGCACTTTGGGTCGAGATTTGCCCTGCCTAATACTACAACTACCTACCACGACAAAATTAGAAGTGCGTGTGTGTGTGTGTGTGTGTGTGTGTGTGTGTTTACCTTGTTTACTACACGAAGAGCACTTTGGGCCGAGATTTGCCCTGCCCAATGCTACAACTACCCCACGACAGAATTAGAAAAGCGACTAACGATTCCAGTTCACAGCCTTGTCATTGTTACTTTGTTTTTATTTGGAAAAGATCGACAGTGAAGGGTATTAGTATGCGCACGGTGTGGAACAGAAGATGAAGCATAGAAGGCATAATACTACTAAGTGAAGAACAAAAAGAAAAGGAGACTACTCTTTGGCCTGAGGCGAGAGTTATGAGAAGAAAAAAAAGAGATATGTACATTCACCCATGCGTTTTCTTATTATCAAAACAACTCTTAGCAGGTCGCAGTCAGGTCACAGCCCTCGTCCTCCTTGGCATGCGATTCCGTTCCCTTGGAGTTCATCTTAGTCATGGAGTGATAGCTGTTGGCGGTTCCAGTGTGCATGGGCACGGCTGCAGCAGTGCTGATCATATGATGTGCGTGCGAGTTGTTGTTGCTGTTGCTGTTGTTGCTGCTGTTGTTGCTGCTGTTGTTGAAGCTGGCCTGGAGGTTGCCATTTGATGCGAACGATTTGAGGTTGTTGGTCGATGGACGTCGTGTAAACCCGCCGCCCGTCTGTTGTGGTTTGCGGACACGTTTCTCTGTCAGCACATTCTCATGACCATCTCCCACAGGAACCGACGTCGCTGCCAAAGCCTTTTGATGAGCGTCAGGGGTAGCAAACTCGACGAAAGCGCACGCCTATAGTTCATTCAGTGAAGAATGATTGGTGGTTAGATCGATGCTCCTGGTACGTCAACGGAGTACGGCATCTAGGGATAACGATGTCGTGTGTAATACCTTTGGATGGACGACGTTCAAAGTGCGAATGATGCCAAAGACAGAGAAGGCGTCGTGGAGCATCTCATAGGTGACACTCTCGGTGACATTTCGGATGTAGATAGTCAGGGCGTCCTTTTCCTCTACAAGGACAACAGATCAGCAAAAAGGAGGTGGTGATGTTCAGTCAGTGTCGCGCTCCTCTTTTTGCACTTTTCTTTAGGGGGTGGAAAACAAGAAAGGAGCTATAAGCTACGAGAAGGAGCAAGAAGGGGGTTCATTTCCGTCAGTGTAGTAAGCATTTCTTTACCTTGGGCTTGACTGCTCGCAGACTTGATGTTGATAAGACTCGCCTTCTTGGTCACTAAATGAACAAGAATTCACAAAGCACATGCAGACGAATGTTAGCACCCCTTTCGCATTCGCGGGAAGGTGGGCACACATGTGGGAGTTGTACGTGTGGTTGCGTGGGTGTGGAAATAGACCCTTCGATTCATCCATCCATCCTGCCGCTGCGTCTCTGCTGTTGTCCTGCAGACGATGGTTATGCAGTGTGTGCGCCTCGGTATGCTCTGCACCGCCGTTCCTTGTTCCCGACACTCCTGCAGAATTTCGTCAATCAACTAAATAGGTGCAACTCCCAGCATATCCGTCCAGGGTTGATGCGCGGCATAAAAAAAAAGAGTGTCTCCTGAGTTTCCTGCGTGCCCTTGCGCCCCCACTTACGGTGGTGGTACGGATCCTTGTCCTTTGTTGCTTTTGCCTTGACTTTGTGTTTTTGTTGTTCGAGAGTCAGGATTGGTGAAAAGAAAAGAAACCGACGGCAGTACGAGTCGAGTGCCAGGATGGACGAACGAAGGTGAAAGAAGATAAAAAAAGAGAGTAAGTGAGAGGGAGAGAAGAAAGAATGGAGGATTGGTCGCACAAGTAACGGACGAGTGTTAGCTTGTGTGCTGTTGTACCAAATGAACAACAAGGGAACCACAGGTTGGTTGGTGCGCTCTCAGAGTGAAAGAGAAAGAGAGAAAGAGAGAAAGAGAGAGATGAAAATGAGAGATAGAAGAACGCATCCCGTTTTTACTTTCCCTTCTTTAGCAGGGATGGAAAGATTGTTGTTTACCTCCTGCAGACGCCAGCTTGAGCTGCTTCTGAAGCTGTTCTCGGAGCTCACGCTCGGCTTTCAGGGCCTGGTCCTTCTGGGCAATAGCGTCGTCCTTGGCGGCAATGACCGCGTCCTTGGCTCGGATTACCTCGTCCTTAGCCTGGATCTGCTGGTCCTTGCTCTGGCAGATCAGGCACCCGCTGCCGCCGTCGTGCGTCGCCGCAAGAGTTGTCATTGACATGGCGATTTGGTTGAAAGAAAAAGGCTTTTATATGTCGAGGAAACCTGGATGAGTGGAAGTGAATAGTAGTGTGTTGTCGAGGGATCCGAGGAGAAGTTGTTGATAAATATCAGAGTGCGAGAGGTGACAAGGGGTGGGTGTGATGGTGATACGGAAGAGGAGAGGATATGAATGCAGCGAAGAAAATAATGAAGAAAGGAATGAATGTTGAAGTAAGCGAGAGAGAGGAGAGACAAGGAGGAAGAGGTGGACAAGGGATGAAAAGGATTAGAGGAGGAGAAAGGGAATGAAAAACAAGAGGAAGGGCAAAAGAGAGAGAGAGAGAGAGAGAGAGAGAGAGAGAGTGAGTGAGAGAAGGAAGGGAGGAAGAGAGGAGTAGAGAGGGAGAGAGAGAAGAAGAAGAAAGAGCAAAAATGTCTAAAGGGTTAGATGGAGACACGAAGACGACGAAAACGAGGGCGGAATAGTGGACTTTCTATGAAAGCCTTTAGGATTAGGGAGAGACTTCTGTCCCATTCATCGTCACGTTGGTTGGGAGGGGGTTGTTGTTGTGGGTATCGTGTAGAAAGAAGGACGCACGAGGTGTTAGTGGTAGAAGCGATAGTGAAGTGAATGAATGAACGTCGGTCTGAGAGCGAGAGAATAATCCAGGAGCATCGTTTTGTTTGTCGTCAAGGGAGAAGGAGGGGTGACGGGAAGCTCGTTGTTATTATCCGAGCTCAGGGTGAATGAAGGAAGGAGACACAAGGAAAAGTAAGGCAAGGGAAAGGAGGGGTTTTCTGCAGTAAGCATAGGCACTACATGGAGTGGGTGAGAGAGAGGGGGAGACATCACTAGCTTACTAGTTTCTGCCTAGCTATGCATGGGGGATGGGCATGAACATAGTTAACATGGGTATACATTGCAAAACCACGGCAACGAAAGAGGAGATAACGCGAACGATCCATAAGGACAATAACTCGATTCTGAGGATGATAGTTATAAAACTGAGGAAGCAATTGAGCCAGGAGGAAACAGGATGCCCAATAAGAGAATTGAACAAATTGAAGAGAGGCGACGAAGGAGTGAAAGCGAGGATAAGGCGAGGAGAAGAGACATCGAGGAGAGAGAGAGAGAGGGAGGAAGAAGTAGAAAAGGGAGACAAATGCACACGAGGGGGCTCGCGCGTAATACGCGAGAACGGTGAATGAACAAGAAGAGAGACAGTAAAATAAAAGAATAAAGTGAGTGCGATGAGGAGAAAGAAGAGGGAGAGAGGGAGAGAGGGAGAGAGGGTGAATGGGAGTATGGGAAGAGGGGTGAGAGGTGAAGGGACAATCCTCCATAGCTTTCATAGCCTGGCTATCCTGCTCCCTATCCGTCGTCCTTCATTCTTATTCTGTATTCCCTCACGCCATTCAATACTACGGCAACATTAAGAATAATCGCTCTTTTGTTGCAGCACGCACACACATAACCACTTGGAGAGTCAGCTCCTTGTGTCTTCCAAGAATAACTGCGTCGATGGACAGTAGGTAATACATCTTACCTAGTGAAAAACAAGGGTACGATTGGTAGTTACTTTTGTTCCTGTCAACCAGTCGGGTGGCCAAAAAGAAGACAGAGAGAGAGGGAGAAGGATCGGATCGAATTGTCAAGGGACCATGAGCAAGAAGGTATCCGACTATCGGATATTTTAAACAGAAAGACATAATTACGAAGTGCAGTTGGACTCAAGGTGTGGATAAAGTGGAAGGAAGATGAGTGAAGGACGAGAACAAAGAAAGAACTTGGTCGTCATTCATTTTACTATCCTCTTTCTTTCTCTCTCTCTCCCTCGCTCACCCTTCTGATAAACCTTTCGCCATTTTCCCTTTCATTCTCACTCCCTCTTGTCTTCCTCTACCCTTCTCTGTTCCCGTTGTAAAACTTTCATTAGAGGAATGAAAATAGACAATATGAAAAGATCAAGAGAGTCCCTTACGGCACATGTAATATGCAAGCAAACGGAAAGCTGAGTGGGAAAGTAAAAGGAAGACAACAAAATATAGGGGGCGGAGGAGACGAAGAACCCCGAACTCTGTAAGAAAAAAAGTGCAGGAATTTGATCCCTCGTTGTTGTTGATGCTCCAGGCTTCTCTTTCTCTCTCTTTCTCTCTCTCTCCCACTCTGCCCCCTTTCGCTAGTTCACACAACGTTTTTTTTGTGAATGGAATAAAAGAGAGTTGCATGAACAGTGAGGGAGACTCCCTTCTTGACGTTAGAACTTTAGGCAAGGACCAGGGACCCATGAAGAAATGGAAGGAGCGAGAGAGGGAGAGGGGGATAGAGAGTATGCGCATTTAGAGGAAAGGAAGTATCTTCCAATGCATGTAGGAAAAAAAAGAGATGAATGAGTATTCAAATAACGAGGAGATGATAGGCTATGAGAGGAAGGAGGATAGGTAGAAAGGAAGGAGGCGGGGGCGAAAGAGTTGATAAGATGCATGATGCCGTTTGGGACAACGGTGACTTTTTTTCAGTCGTGGTAAGAGTAAGAAAGAGTAGAGAAAGAGGGAGCGAGAGTGTCAGCAAGGAGGAAAGGAGGATCGGTTTTCAGGGGTAAAAGGTGGTCCGAGGGAATAGGATGGAGACATAAACAGAAAAATAGATAGATGGATCGATCGATAGGACAGAACAGCGTTGGTTCCTGGATTGACTGAGTGGGTGAAGGAGAAGGAGTGGGAGAGAGGAGAGAGGAGGACGTGGAGTAGTAGTGAGAAGAGTATCCAGGACTGGCAGTTGATGTCGTGAGTGTCTATCTTCGCAAAGATCTTATCAATTGGTGCTATCAGTTCCTCCTTTGATCAGTCTCCTGATCCTGATCTTGATCAGTTTGGCCTAATCAGCTCCGATCGAATCTTGTTCCTGGATCTCACAAATCAACACATCCAGCATAAACCTATGGTTGCAACTGTCCTTCCTTGTAACGATTGTTCATCGCCTCGCCCTCCTTTTCTATTGGCAATCGGACGCCCTTTTCTCAACCTGAAAACTTGAAGGGGAGATTGCGCGGTAGTAGGAGAGGACTCACTCTCTACGCAATAGCGTCATGTCTTCACGCCACTGAGCAATCATGTCCTAAACGCATGTCAGAGTGGTTGAGGTGGCTCATGGTTGGCTTGGCAAAATTGTTCCTCCTGAAGTGATGCCCTCTCTATGAGGCAGGGTTCTCTGGTTTTACGCGTTGCACAGGGGTTCTTACCCTGTTTTGGGCAGGATGATTTTTTTCCTTTTGTTTTGTTGATGGCCATATCACCTCATGGGCGCACAACAGATGAGAGGAGAAACAGCGACCTTTTGCATTGGCTTGGCCTGTTTGTTGTTTTCGTATCAAACACTGGCTGTTACAAAAGGCAAAATTTGTGGCGATTGAGCATGTGGACACTTCTCATCCTTTCTTTCTTTCGTGCACACTGCATGCTTCACGCTGCTCATTAACCATTAAAATCGTATGGTACAAGAAGGGAAAAACGAACGAGTGAAGAAGATAACAACTGTGTGTATGTCTTTGTCATTTTCTGTCTATTTCCTTTGTGCTTTTCTCTGTTTTCTCTTCTCTCTTCTCTTTTCTCTTTTCTCTTTTTTCTACTCCTCTTCTTCGCACATTTTCCTTGGCCATACCTCTCTCTCTCTCTCTCTCTCTCTCGCTATCCCTCTTACACCTAATCGAAACCTTCTAATTCTCTATCACCCAAACACCAGCCATCACACCCTATCTGCCTTTACCAATACTTGTTGATATTTCGAGGGGATGGGTCGAAATTACACTACAGGAGACCCTGTACATGAAGCACAGCCTCTCCTGAGCGATCACGATCGCGATCTCGACCACCAGCATGCAGAAGGCAGTGGGTCCTTGCCTCCTTCACCTCCATGGATCCCAAAGACAACACCATTACAGGATGAAAACCTTGAGGAGGGGCCCACTACGGACGGAGGCCATCCACTACGAGGATTGACTGAGGCTGAGCGACTGGCTCTTATCGATTCCTTGCCGTGGAACCGCCGGCCATCTACCCTCTGGCTGGGGCCCTTTGTGCTTACCTTGGCTTTGATGATAGGCATTGCGATGGCAGCTCAGGATCAACAAATCAACTCCATCATTTGCAAGGATTATCTTCGAGGCAAGGGCGATCCTGTCATCGGCGACTGGGACAAGCAGGTGTGCGACGGTGCCGAGATTCAAGCCTTTGCAGCCATTATTACAAGTCATCTCTCATCGATCAAGAACATTTTCGGTATGTCGTTTATTTTCTTCTTTCATTTGCCACAGCTATTTCTTGTCACGACTGTTTTTAACTTTTAATTGTTCAACAGGTATCTTTACCATCGGATACTACACAACACAATCGGATCGTCGTGGCAGGAAGTTCCTGATCTACTTGTCATTAGTACCAGGCGTTTTTTCACAGCTGCTTATTATACACATGGGAAAACCGCACAGTAATCTCGGTCTCTGGCCGCTCTACGTGAACGCAGTCTTGACAGGATGTCTTGGAGCAGGATCTCTTCTCGAGCCAGGGCTGAATGCATACCTTGGTAGGGGTCTAGGTGGATATTCAATTGAAAAGGGTTACGATATCGAGAAGAAAAGTGGCGTCAAGACATGTAATTCACCGGTTACCTTTGTGTGTGTGTGTTTTTTGTAATTTAGCCGACTATACCTCTAGGGACGAGCGAAGTCTGGCGATAGGATATGCGATGGTGACCTTGTCCATCGGGGTCCTTATCGGTACCGTCATTGGAAAGGCCGTCTACGATAGGACCCAGGATAACAACATCGTGCTCATGGTCGCCATGGTTACGTCTGTCTGTCTAATTCTTTACACTATAGCCCTTCCAGAGTCGCGTCCCAAGGAGGTCAGGACCGCAGAGGCCAGTCGTATGCATCCTTCCCCTCTTCGCTCCTCCAAGGAGTCGACGTCGTTCCTAAACAAAGCCAAGCAACTTTTGAAGCAGACGTTGGAGCCCTTGTTGTTTTTCCTTCCTGGCAGAATCGATCCTACCGAGAACGAGTTGCCCACGCGGAACACGTTGCTCCTGCTTGTCGGAGCATATGCATGCGGACAGTTTGCTAGTAATGGTAAGTTGTGCAATTATTTTCCTTGTTGGGAGTGAGCGGAGCTATTTTTGGATGCAGAGAGAGTATTATTTGTTGACCCATTTTCCCCCTTGTATTGTGATTGCTCTTATTACCATTCTGCTGTTTAAACACCAATAGGTATCCTGGCAGTGTTCATTCCTTACTCGGTGAGTGCAACGCTTGCAATATTGTTTATTGTTGTAAATGGAGGCAAGGGGACGATAGTGAGGAATATTTACAATCTGGCACCCCTTACAATTGCAATTGTGCTATGGTTATCAATAGAAACTGGTCTACCGCTGGGGAACCTCTGAGAACGGGACATATATTATTGTCTTTGGACTGTCAACCTTAGTGGTCTACCTTGTGATCTTCCCAGGGTTGCAATATGCCTACAAGTACTTTATCAAGACAACCGATTCGATTCAACCCCCTGTCAAGGAAAATAACATGGATATCGAGGACGTCTCGGCGATGTTGCATCACGTCTCGGCAAACACAGGAGTTCATATTGCGGATATCGCAATAGTAACAGCAATCGAGCCAGCATACGAGCCAGTTGATAGAGCAAAGCAGGATGCCAGCATAAAGAGGGATCTATCGTTCTTTGTCCTTGGCGGCGTACTGTTCGCTGTGGGCTTTGTGATAGTACCGATGTTTGACACGGACATCATTCTTCTTATCTGTATGTTTTTTTTTTCTATTTGATCTTTTTGGCATGCATCTATTCTATTTGTATCGGAAACCCATGGGAAACGGATGCTAACCACTGGTGATTATTTCCTTCTTGTACTTTGTGTGTATTAGCATGTGTTATCCACTCGTTGGCCTCGATTGGCTTAACAGCATTCACTTCCTTGATGACAGCATATGTGCCCTCGTATCAGACAGGCAAGGCTCTTGGGGGCATTGCTATATTGGATGCCATCTTGCAGGCGTCGGCAGCACTGTTGTACGCATCGATCTTTGCTGCGACTGCGGGGACCGTTCCGTCGACGGTGTACTTTGTGTCGACGGGGATGTGGGTGGTGTCGATTGTGGTGACGATGATGATTTTGGAAGGTTATCGCCGACGATGGGCCTAATGGGATGTAATGACCAGCTAGAACAAGATCCAGAGATAGCAGATGGACCAGATAAGATGGTTGGTGCAAGCAATAAATACCCCTTAAACTGATCAGCAGATATCATATCACCTCGATAAGATTCCTATTGGTGCGCGCATCTCTTTTTTTTATTTTTTTTTTCTGGTTTTAGAATAGAGTAGGGGCACTGGTGCATCACTCTTTCTTCTCTCTTTTTCCTTCTCCCTTCCTCACCCCCTCCTCCTTCCCTATCACCCCCCAATCTTTCTGATATCCTTTGACACACGCTTCCCTCTTTCCCTCTCTCCTCTCCGCTCTATCTCCCTCACTCGCTATACTCACATACACAGCACTCGCCCTACCTAATAACACTCCCACACGCACACTTCACTACTCCCTCTTTCTGTCATCCGCCTCTGTTGCCACCATCTTTTCCTTCTCCTTCTCTTCTTCTTTCTCTTCCTCCTTCATTCTCATCCCTCCATCTCCTCTCCTCTCCTCTCCTTCCTTCCTTCCTTCCTTCCCTCCTTCTCCTTCATCGATCGATCCCTTTTCCTCTCCCTTCCTATTCAATCAAACCAAACCCATTCAACAATCTGCCAGCCTTTTTCTTTAGTTTATCCTCCTCGAGTGTTCCCATATGTCGCTAGCGGAACCTGCCCAGGCTGCTGCCCCAGCTGTCGGCGGCGACTCGGACCTCCATCAGGGCCAGCAAGACAAGGACAGGGACCACAAGGACTCGACACCCACACCGGACCGCAACGCCACCGCCACTACTCTTCCTCTGTCCACCACACCCTCGCCTTCTTCCACCAACGTCTCTGTCTCTGTCGCTGCTGCCACCTCAGCTCTCTCCTCCTCTATTATCTCCACGGACTCGACCAGCATAGCCCGCCAACAGCAACAAGAAAACAACAACAACAACGACATCAAAGACACAGAGAGAGACAACAACAGCGACAGCGACGTCTCAACTGCCGTATCTGCGCCTTCCCCGGCTGACTCGAAGAGGACATCGATTGACAGCACTCAGTCAACAGCAACGACAACGTCCACGTCAACAGCAGCAACAACAGCAATATCAGCAACATCAAAAACCTCTCCTACCCTCTCTTTTTCATATTCTTCACAGCCAGCAGCATCTGCATCTACATCATCAGCATCTCCCACATTAAACTCCTCTCCTACCACATCAACAACAGCAACAGCAGAAGCAACGATAGAGCCGCCAACAAAACAAACCAAAGAGTCAGACACACTCCCAGCATCCGCAACGGCAACATCGTCAAAGGCTTCGTTGTCTCCTTCGACTCCCAAGGTCACCATTGACAAAGGTCACCCGATCCCGACCTCCAACGCGTTGTCGTCGGTGTTGCGATCTAGACTCTCGACAAGCGCACCGCTATCGTCACTTTCCTCCGTCACACCAACGACAATCATCTCCCCGAAACCCCACCCCTCCTATGCTACCCCCACCACATCCGTCACATCATCCTCGGGTACCTCGACCGGCTATTCAAATGCCTACCCCACACCCGCCTCCAACCACGCCGACGTCCGGATTCCCAGCCCTACACTTCAAAGTCGACTGCATACATCTCCAACCAACTCCCGCCCGTCGTCTATGGCCATCGACCAAGACAACATTGACTACGATGACGATTATGAACTGGAGGAAGGAGAGGAATATGAGATGGCCGAAGAAGGGGACGAAGAGGAGGGAGGCCTGGAGGAAGACGAAACAGAGTCGATGCGCTTTGATGCACAAGATGTCGAAATGGCAGATACTTCGTCCTCTCAACTGAACAAAGATCCCGTTGCATCATCAACCGCCTCGTCCAACCCGAGCGATAGCCGCCAATCTGTGTTGCCCAAGTCGTCCTCGACCACTGTGCACCGAGAGGGTCGTCCCTCGATCACGATCGGGATCCCTGGTCCCAAGATGCCCATCCCTCGACTTGTCTCGCACCACCCCGATCCCAAGAAAGAGAAAGCGCCTGTTTCATCAACAAGTTGCTCCAACTGTGGCACAACCACAACCCCCCTCTGGCGACGAGCGGATGATGGACAAACCATCTGTAATGCCTGTGGTACGTAAAACAATCTTTTCATTTTTTGTTGTTGTTTTCATTAGAGGTGGTTTTTCTTTCTTCCATCTTTTCTTTTCTCTTTGTTCAAAATGGTCTACCGAAGAGTACAAGGACCGTGGTCTCAGAAAAAAAGACGTTTTTGTTTCCGAGAAATAAGAAAAGGAAAGGAGAAAGGAACATGCAAAAGGAGTGAGAGTAAGAGTGAGAGTGAGAGTGAGTTGGAATAACGGGAGTAAAAAGAGACAAAAAAATAAGAGATGCCCAGTGGATGGGAAGAAAGAGAAAGTGAAAGAGAAAGAGCGTGGCGGATGCTGAAATGAGTGAACTCAAACAGAGAGACCATGGATACAGTATTCGAGGCAATGAGAAACACCAGGCACACAAGTATTTTGATTCGACGCGGAGAGAAGAGTATGAAAGGCAGAAGGGTGGGCGGAGATGGAGGGTTGTGTTCTTTGTTGTAGTCGCATCTTTGTTTTTTTCTCAATTGAATCGGAGGGTGGGGAAGAGTAAGATTGATTGCAATGAGTGGAGTGGAGTGGAGTATAGACACAACAAGTGTGGGAGATTACCATTGAAGTGAAGCAACCCAACCGACGACCGACGTTTTGTTCATCTGTCCAATCGCCCTGCGCCATCATCCTTGCACCTGGTGGAGAGTAGAGCAGAGTAGATGGTTGAAGATCATCTCCTTACTCCTCTTTCGCCCCTTGTTCAACGCTACGCGGAGGATTTATTATTATTATTTTAGTTGGTGTCTCTCTGTGTTGTTTATCAGCATTATCACGATCGCAATCACGATCATATCGCCCCCCTTTTTTTCTCTCTTCACAGCCATCATCACACGACAGCACACACAACAACAGCAACACAAACAACAATACTAAAGCGAACAAACAAAAGGGGCAACGATCCCTGTCTTTCTCTTTTCTCCCTCAGCCCCGCATCATCTTCACATCCTTCTCACTTTCTCATCCCCGATTCCATCGCATCATCCATCAATCCCGTCCTCTTTATGGCTTGATCAATTCAATTGGACCCAGATAAAAAGTATCACATCCTGCTCTCTTCTCTTACTCTCTCTCACACTTGGCGGAAAAGAAAGAAAAAGAAAAAAAAAGAAGGGTGGGAAAAAAGAATCAGAGTTTGATCGCGATTAAGAAGACAAGAGAAAGAGCAACCTTTTTTTTCTTGTAGCGGGTCACACCTTCTTGCTTCACACTTTTTTTTTTATCTACTGTAATCGCCAGCCTTGTTGCTTCTTTTACTTCACCCCCCTTGTGGTCGGCTTCACGTGGGTGGAGAGTGAACTTGTAATCGAGAACGATCTGGAGTTGATCGGTGCTCAACGACATTTGTGTAGGAGGACAGACCATCGTTTTTGTATTGTATGCATCGGATGCATGCAATATGTGGGCGGAGGGGGGGATTAAGGCCTATTTTGATCTCTCACTCTCTCTCTGCCATCTTGTATGATATGTCTGTGTTGCGTGGGTGGCCCGACTTTTACTTCTTCCCCTTTTCTTTTGATTGAAAAGTTGATGGATTCGAGATTGAGAGCGTGAAATGGGGCTAGTCGAGAAGGAGAGGGGGGGGGGGGAGACCAAGGGGGCGAGAACAGGCCGATGGTAGCACAACAGGCAATATTCAACTTTATTTTTATATTTATATTCACATTCGAATTGAACTGGGTGTGTTGTTGCTTACACACGACAAATGCCTGCTTTTGGGTGCTTATGGCTGGCGGACCCGGGTCCAAACGATAGAGAGAGAGACAATCAATCAATCGACACCATGGATTCTCACCCTCTCGTCTCGATTTATTATCGATGGCCTTTTTTCCCATCCACTCCAACTTCTGCACAAACTAACCTTGTATTGCGCTTGTCTCTAACTCTCCTCTTTTTTTCTTCTTTTTTCTTGTTTTTCATTGCTTCGTATCATACCCCATGGTTGATAGGTCTTTATTCCAAGGCAAGAAACCTCCCAAGACCACCCTGGCTGAAACGCAACATGATCATCAAGCGGGGACAACCCGCCGGACAGCATCCAGAATCCGAACAAACTGACGACGCCGCCGCCACCGCGTCCGGGTCCGCTGTCAAAGACCCCTCAACGACCGAGACGGGTTCCTCTTCCAATCAGGACAAGGCCGCTGCCGAACCAGGAACAACGCCCACAGCAGACGACAAGCAAAAGGATACAGAGCCATGTCCTGGAGATGGTAATTGCAATGGTGCAGGAGGAAACCACACGTGCGGAGGGTGCCCATCTTTCAACCAGCAGCAACCTCCAGGGCGCCAGCATCTCATCTGCGCCAACTGTCGGACAACAACTACACCTTTGTGGCGCCGAGACAGCGAGGGCAATACCATCTGCAACGCTTGCGGACTTTACTTTAAGTTGCACAATGTTCACCGTCCAGTAACCATGAAGCGAGCGGTCATCAAGCGGAGGAAACGCGTCAACCTCTTGGCAACATCGCCACCACTTATTCCTCATCCATCGCAACATTCACAGCATCCACACCAACAACAGCAGCAACATCCTCATCCACATATGCCCCATATGCAACATCCACAGCACCAACACCAGCATCAGCAGCAACAACAGCAACATCATCACCATGTTCCCCCTCCTCCTCAGTATCACCAGCGCCTTCAGTATCCCAAGCCGTTGCCTCGAGCTAGGACACCCCCACCAGCATCCGGCATGGAGCCCAATGGGCATGATGGTCAGATGGATCCATCTGGTACTCCAACCAAGCGCCGGCGAATCCTGGCTAGTGGTGCCAATGGGCAAGCAGATTATCGAGAATCAGAATGGAACCGCTCAGGAATGCACCGCAGGAGCATGTCGCCTGGTGAAAATATTGGAGAGCAGGATCGCCATCATTCGGGATCTCCCCACCAGGGTTCCTCTTTTGGTCATCAGCCGCCACCACCTCCACCGCCTCATTCACAGGATGCGCATGGACACATGAGGGATCACTCGTCCTCTCATCCTAACCAGCCTCCTCGATACATCGTCAACGTACACCAGGGCAACGGTCAATATCAACATACGCAGTCGATGAGCATGTCTCGGTACCCCATGTACCATCCCCCGCCACCAAGATCACAGCAGCAACCATCCCAGGCACCACCAGCTCAGCATCCATCCCACCAGCATCCCCAACAGCAGCCACAGCAACAGCATGGCAACCCTCATCAACAACAGGGTCACCCACATCATCCACCGCCTGGGCAGTCTCAGCCCCAGCACGAGCATCATCACCACCCTTCATCGGGTCACGCGTATTCGCCGCAGGGATCTCGCGATATGGACGACCCAAATTACCCTACATCGCATCACTCTTCAGGATGGAATCAGCGTTTGCCAGGGTACTCAACAGTGTCGTCGTCGACCTCATCCAACACCCGACTCTCGTCCACAGGCATTGTGCATTCCACCGGACCTCAACCTCACTCGCCAACGCTTTATCCTAGGTATGCTCAGGGCGGGCAGCAGCAACAGCCTTACCATCATCCTCAGTACCGTGGACAGGGCGCACAGCCAGAGCATGAGTACCATCATCCAGAGGTGTCTCCGCCGCAGACATCCCAGCCACCGCCTCCACAGGGAGGTCATCATTATAATTCGGGATCTTCTCCTGTGCAAGGCAATGCCACCCATGCGACCTCTGGATATTCCAACTCGTACCTTCACCCTATGCCGCCACCCATGATGAATTCAAGTTCGAGTGATGGACACGGCGAACGGGAGCGTAGTGCGGGCAGCGTCGGTGCACCGAGCGGATCGTCTCATTTGCCACCCATGCCGCACCCATCACACCCCAACCATCATCAAGCGCTCCCACGGGCATCTGAAATGATGCACCAGCAAGATCAGCCTCCACATCCAGGGCACCATCATGGTTACAGTCCCCATCGACGACAGCCTTCCTCTCCTCCACTGCCGATGAATGGAGTGGCGATTGGCAACACCGGTGGTCATCCTCCTCCACCCCCAACACCCGCGTCGTCTTCGATCAACGGAGTCGCCGCTACCAGCACCGATGTGCTCCAGCAGACTCGCCAGGATTTGCAACGCGAAGTGTCCCATCTGTCCATGCTGCTCGGAAGGGCAGCGGCTGTGTTGAGTGGACTTGACCAGGCCTTGGATCCCAGTCATGCCGCAGCGAATGGAGGATATCCTCCTCCTCCACCTGGCCCTCACCAGGGACCTGCACCTGGACCCCCAGCAGCGCCTCATCCAATCCGCGAAAGTGGATCGCCTGTCGGTCATGGGTACGCGCCTCCTCCACCCCATGGCGGCCACCCTCACGGCCATGGACCTGCGAACAGCCATGCTCCCCCTCCCCCACCTCCTTCGTCGCAGCTTGCGCAGGGACCTCCTCCCCAATCGATGATGCCCAATGATGTGAAGACCAGCTCTGCGCTCGGTCTGATGGCGTTGAGCTCGTCTGCTGGATCCAGCCACCCTGGCATGCTGGCAGGAGGCCGACATGATGATCGCGATATGCAGCAGCATCACCAGCAGGTTCCTCAGCCCCAGCACCACGGCCCATCACCCACTTCAGTCTCTCGGTATCCTCAGGCCATGTCCTACTCGTCATACCCATTGCCCAGGAGATCCTGATTCCACACTCTTTCTTTACTTCTAGAAAAACAAAAACTCCGTCTCCTTTTTTCATTCGTTCCTCTTGTAACATAGTTTTTATGCACTTCTCTCACCACTAATAAATTTGCCTTATTTTGCTGCTTTTTACACTCGTCTTCTTTTCCTCACTTCTACACAAGCAACCTTCTCAGCATGACAACAAATGCTCCACCTTCACCAAAGGCGCTCACCAACAGAGACAGGGAATACCTCACCCTGGCCATGGCACAGACTACCGAGTTTCGGCAATTGTAACCATTCATGCATTGCTTTTGGTCAAACGGCATTTGGTTTGTCTTGATCTATGAATGACAGAGAACTTACAGGATGCATTTTATTGGTGGCAAACGTAACTGAAATAATAGGTCGACAGAGTGGAAGGCATGTATAACACAAGGCGCTACCGCTCTCAAGAGTGCAAGAACTTGTAAGCCATGAGCGAATCATGATAGGGTCGTCCTCTTTCTATCTTGTATATGTATTGATCAATGTGCTTGCAAAGGGGGAGGCGCTGTGAGGGCTTATGCTGTTGGCCATACAAACTAAGCCTCGTTTCCTTGATCCTTACTTACCTTTGTCCTCTTTTTTTTCTCTCTCTCTTTGGGTAGCGGTTATCAGGGCCACTGCAGATCTGACAGAAGTCGTCGATCAATGTACGTCCATCGCAAGAAAACAACAGCAGTACTCAAATAATTATTTACATCAACTCAATGGCTCGCTAAATATCAATTTTCTAACCACCTCCATCTTTTTTTTTTCTTTTGATGTTTAGTACAAGAGATCGTGGCAAGGATGAATGAGGCGAGACAGAAGTTGATATCAACGATCCAGCGAGCATCTCCCGCCGGGATCATGGGCGTCGAGACAATTTTGAAGACCCAAGAGGAAGAGCGTGTGGCGGCGGCAGAGGCAGAAGTGAAGAGACTCGAGAAGGAGAAGCGACGGGCGAGGCGACTCCGTCGACGTGCCGGTCTCCCTTCTTCCTCCGATGACGACAATAGCGATGACGATGATAGTGAGGATGACAGCGATAGCGAAGCAGAAGGGCAGGAAGGAGAAGGAGAGGATGAAGAGCCTGCACAAAAGACTGTCTGGGGCTACGTCCCCCCACCAACATTGATCCACGAAATCATCCCAGGAACGATGGCTACCCCACTGGCAATGTCGGCGTATACCCAACATGTATTTGACCAGATTTTGGACGAGATGGCGTTAAAGGAGTCGATTCTGGAAGCCTTGGTGACGATCGGGGAGTTGAAGGATTCTGGAGCGGACGAGTTGCCGGCGTTGTTGGATCAGCAGTTGACGAATATGGTGTTGATTTGGGAGTTGGAGCCGTATATCGAGACAGTCCCTGAGCGGAATGAGGTTGAGGGGGCGTTGAGTGTTTTGTCGTGGCAGATGGAGAAAGTCAAGTAGACAGTTGTTTGTGTTGTTTGGAGAAAGTTATTTTATCTTATCTTATTACGAATGTGTGTAATGGTTCGGTTTAGTTTATTAGAAACGAGGTTTATGCAAAAGTGAAAAGTGGAATGTGCGAGGGGTGGTGGTATGCAAGTGCGAAGTGAAAAAGAAAGGCTGAAGTGTGAAGGGAAGAGGGTGATGTGGGAAGGTTTAGTCCCAGCCAGAGACCTGTCCGCCGCCAAAGGCATCTGAGGTTTCCTCGAGGGCCGAGATATCGAACTTAGGCTGCTTGTTCTTCTTGGCCAGCTGAGCAGACTTGTCGACAACAGCAACAACTCCTGAACGCGCCTTGGCTGCCTGTGCAGGGTCCAGAACACGTGCAGGTGCGACTTCCACCTTGGACGCCTCCACCTTAGGTGCAGGTGCGGGGGTAGCAGCAGCAATAGCCTTCTCGATCTTGGCTTTCTTGGTCTTGACCTCCTCCTCCGTAGGCTTGGAGAAGAATTCGTCTTCCTCGAGGGTGGTGGGCTCCTTTACTTCCTTGTTTGAGCGAGCGGTCTTCTTCTTCAACAGGAGCTCGGCAGTCTTCTCCTTCTTGGCTTCCTTCTTGGCGGCTTTCCGTGTTTCCTTGCGGACCCTGTTCAACTCGGCCTTGGCAGCCTTGGCCTCTGTGTCGTCCATCTCCACATCTCCGTCAGCGTCTGAGGTAGCAGGGGGAGCCAAAGCAGCGAGGGGGCGAGGTCCATTGCCCTTGAAGACTGAGGAGAGGGTCGATTTTTTCCTAGGTTCTGCTGCTGCTGCAGTCTCCCCAGACTCGTCGCCGGCATCTCTTGAACGCTTCTTGGATTTCCGATCATCATGGTCCTTGCTGCTAGAAACATCCTTCTTGGACTTCTTGACCTTCTTCTCTTCCTTCTCCTCATCATCACTCTCACCCTCACCCTTGCTCTTCTTAGCAGCCTTCTCCTCCTTCCGCTTCTTCTTCTCTTCCTTCCTGGCCTCCTTCTCCTCCTTCTCAGTTTTGGACTTCTTCTTCTTGCGCTCAAACTGATTCGCGCCATCCAGAACCTCCTGATCGACATCCTCGGCCTGAATCTCGCCACGCTTGATCTTCTTGAGAGTTTTCTTCTTCTCCAGATCGTCCTTCTTTTGCTTCATCTTCTCGACGACCTCCTTGTGTTCGGCACGCTTGGCCTTGATCTGGAGGAACTTGGGGTCGAACCTTTCGCCGTCCAGTACACGCAGCGAAGGTACCAACTCCAGAATCTATCATTGATCAAAATCGCAATAGATATTCATGTCAGTTACGTTCTTTTCTTCAGTACCCATAAAAACTATGGTAATGCGTTTTGAAAAACAAGTTGTTACCTTCTTCTTGTAGTCAGTCTTTTCGCAGATGGGGTTTCCTTGCAGGTTGAGGTTAATCAAATGCATCAACGACCCCAACGGCGCAACATCCGACCACTCTCTCAACATATTGCCTCCCAAATCCAGAATATCCAACGCCGTACATCTCCTAAGCGAATCCGGGATCGTCAAAAACTTGTTATGGTTCAACCTCAACTCCTTCAACAACCCATTCTCTGACAAATCCGGGATCTGACGGATCTCGTTATGAGCCGCCGAGAGTTTTGTGAGTTTTGTGAGGAGTGGGAAGGAAGGGAGGGATTGGATCCGGTTGTGGGAGAGGACGATTGTGTTGAGCTCTGTCAGTGAGCCGAGGTGATCGACGACTTTGATCTTGTTGTTGTTGAGGACTAGGGCTTTGAGGTTGACGAGCTTTTCGATGTGCATTGAGATTCTGTTCAGTTCGTTGTGGGACATGTTCAGCACTAATTGTGTATAAACGAATACCAAAAAAAAAAAAAAAAAAAGACGTGTTATTTACTCTGTTCGATCGTGTTGATAGATCCTCGTTCTTCTAACAAGATTTGAGCTGTCAAATTACCAAAGAGGGTCTTGAGGCGTTGAACACCCTCAAAAGAATCAAGCTGATTTCCCGAGAGGTTAAGAAGTGTCAAAGAAGGGAGGTACTGGAGTCCGGCAATCGAGTCGGTGGAGCTGAGCTTGTTGTTCGTAAGGACCAGCTTGTGGAGATTGACACAGGTCGAGATGTCCTCGATATGGTTGATATCCTTCTTGGACATGGTGAGGTCCTTGAGCTGCTGGAGGTCAACTCCTGCGGCCTGGGACGCGATAATGGCAGGCGTCAGTTTCATTCTGTTTTGCTATCTGTGCTTGGCGTGAAGGTGTGTTGGAGGTGTGAAGAAGCTAAAAAAAAAAAAAAGAAAAGGGTGGTGCTTGGAATTTTTGAATGTTTACTTCTCATAAGCCACACAGGTAGACCTGTCCCCGAAGGAAAGCACAAAGCAGTCGCCCGTCAACCTTTGCTCTTGCCCTGAACACTACTTGCTCTTCGGGAACGAAACATCCTTTACTTTCGACAACCAGGACGACCCCAACAACAACACATCATTGCAATGTCCTTCTTCTCACGATCGTTCCCTGCCCTCAACCGCCTCAAGCAGCTCGCATTCCGTCCCAGGGGTGTCGAGGAGTTCTTTGAGAATGGCAAATCCATCCCCACAGAAAAGTCATGGACTGGTAAGGAATTCAGTCAACAGGCGAACGGAGGAACAGCAGGAGAGAGAGAGAGAGAGAGGGAGATCTCGTGGACTCTTTCGGTTGCCGCCGTTAATGGAGTTCTTTTAGACGCTGTCAAACATTAGCAGGAAAAAAGGAAGCATACAGGAAAACGTCATTGGAGGAAAGCCATTCGGGATATCCGGAAAGCATTAGCGTGCCAACTGCAGCCAAGCAGCCAGAAACCTACGGTGCAGATCGTATCTGACATCGCTTGCCCTTCTCATTCACTGTTCACCCTACCTACTTAGGTCGTGCATGGAGAGCCAGTGAGCTTCGTGTTAAGTCGTTCGATGATCTTCACAAGTTGTGGTATGTGCTCTTGAAGGAGCGCAATGTCCTTGCTGTCCAGAAGGAAGAGGCCCGCCGTTTCCACATCTCTAAGCAATACTTTTCCAACAAGGGTCGTCAAATCAAGGTGAGCAATTGAAGAGAAATTGAAGGAAAGACAGATGGTCCATGTTACACCCTCATATTACTTGAGGCAGCTGATCTGCAGGTTGGCATCGTTTTGATCCATGTTGAAAGGGTGCCACTTGTTAACCCACGTTCGTCTGACTCGCTCACTATCGTAGTGCCAAAAATCGATGGCAAGGATCAAGTTTGTGTTGAACGAGCGTCGCTTGGCTTGGGTGGAGGCCACCAAATTGCAGAGAGTCGCCAATGCACAGGAGGCAACTGTCAACACCAAAGTTTCGACCCCCAACGCGGAATCATCAACAGCAGCAGCATCAGCAGCAAAGTCAACAGAGTCGACCGTTTCTGCCTAAATATACTCGTATTTAGCAGGATCCACAACCACACACTTATTCATAGAGTCGCATTGGAAAAAGAAGGAGCAGGGTTTTAGTAAAACATCATATTGTATTCATATTGGAAGGCGAGCAAAGTTTTGGCTGACAGTTGGACACGGTATGGCTTATGGTGCGCCTAGGGGAGTACCACAATTATATGCTGTTGCAGCCTCAATGATTTATGTTGGTATCTGTCTGATTGGAAGCCTGTATGGAGTGTAGGTGCAACCAGGATGACGAGGCAGAGAGAGAGAGAGAGAAATGGCATTTGGAGCCCATATCTCAGCGTGGCTCTTGGAATAGATCGCATGGCAAGCAGGCTGCACTGTGGATTTTGATTTGCTTCGGGGCCTTTAAAAAAAGGTAATGATGGAGATTGGTTAGTTCATCGATGGCTTAAGCATAGCTGCCAGTGGAGGGCCCAATAAACAAATGGGCCAAGGGATGAACGCACACCATTTGCTCCGAGCGAGCGACGAGTTATTTATTTGTCGAGGAAAAGAGAGACGAGAGCACTAAATAAATTGCTGATCCATGAGGGAGAATGCTCCGCTCTAATCCTAGTGAACACACCACGATGCTCACTTACTTTCATCCTTACCCTGGCTGGCTGGCTGGCTGGCTTGTCGTCCATGTGTATGGTGTACGGTGCCGTAGTCCTCCAGTCCGGTGCTCTGGCCCTGTGTGTGTCTCCTGGCTGGGGAACGTTCAATTGAAAGACTAGCTTTCGTACTGTACCTTCAAATCGTTCATCCGTCCTCTCTTATTAGACATTGTCCTTTTCTCTCGCTCTTCTTCTTTTCTTCTTTTCTTCTTTTCTTCTTTGACCCATCCCTCTCTTACCCTCGTCCCCCTTCCCTTCCTTTTTACCTAATTCTTTCCCTCTTCTTTCCCTTCCTCCTCTTCCTCTTCCTCTTTCCCATTCTTCACCGTCTCACTGACTTCAACCTGTCTTTGACTCCTCTTCTCTTCTCACTCATCCTCTTCACTCCACAAGCACATATCTCACTGTTGCCACGACGTGTTCCAACGAACCAATCACATCTTTCATTATTTTGTAACGACCACTTTATTCCTTCCACTTTAACGACCAACCTGATCTCCCTTCTCCTTTCCTCCTCGCCTCCTGACTCTTCTTCTCTCTCTCACCTTTCTCCCTTTCAGCTCTTTTCCTTATTGTCTGTTGTGTTTAGCCGTCGTCCCTTTTCTCTTTCTTCCCTTCTCTACGTCACTTTAACGACTCAACCTTTCCCTTCACGACCATTCATCCCTATACCTCGTAACGTTTCTTTCTCTTCTCTCATCACTCATCTTCACCATCACCAAATCCATCTACAATGCAACGAGACCAAAGGCCCATGCAAAACCCTATGCAGCAAAGAGTAAAAAACAACAGCAGCACACACTTTTTTCATCTGAGACAACATGGTCATCAACCTCATTCAACACACCAACCAACCTAACACACACTTCAAACTTTCTCTCATTTCCCTCCATTCTTGACAGCCCTACAACGGCAATGACGGCCCCAACTCTGGAGGTCGTTACCCTGCTGCAGGTTATGGCAGTCAGCACCCTCTGAGACCCATTCCCTCTCATGTAAGCAGCATACAGGAATACGTTACACGACCATTAATACATACATAACCCCGCCGGAACCCTTTTTGCGAGTGTACTTATCCATTCTCATTTCAATTACTTTCTTCTACAATAGTTGCAGCGCCCTCCGTTTGAGCAACCGTTCCCTAACCAGCCCAAGGCACCGAACCCGTTGGACGACCTTGTTGACACCGAGAAGGAGTATGTTGGGGATCTCAAGGTCCTTCTTCAGGTACGACCACTTGCATTGAACACAGCTCGAAATCAAAAATCATTTTTAATTTCGCTGACCAGTTTTTCCTTTTTTTCGATCGAATCAATCCTAACCCACACTTCTTTATTACTTATCTTTTTTCTCCGGTGCCTTTTTACCATTTTCAAATTATATCTCCTTCTTTTCGCCGCCTCCAACGACTACTACAACATCAACAACAACAACAACAACAACAACAACAACAACAACAACAACAACAACAACAACAGCGCGTATCAGCAGGATGGACTCAGGATGACTTTCCTCCCAAAGAGGTCGACATTCTTCTCAGGAATATCGAGGACATCTACTCTGTCAACCGCAAGTTCTCAAAGAAGCTTGTTGACGTCAAAACCAGCCAAGATGTCATGAAGGAGCTCGGCAATGTTTTGATGTGGTTCGTCGACTCGATGGAGACAGCCTACTCCAACTACTGTCGCAACCATGTCCCCCATTTCGACAACTGGCCCGAGATCATTAACAACACGCGGCTGCAGGACATCTTGGGAGTAAGTGGCCCGCTTCGTTGAAGCAGGGGAAAAAGTTATTCAACATATTAATAGGAGGAAACAAGGAGTAGGAGGCAGGAAGGGGAACAACCTTTTCTCCTCCCTCTTTCTCTCATGAACTTTTGAGAGAGGGAAGAGGGGATATAGGAAAGCATAACAAGGGCAAATGTTTTTCACGTTTCGACTTCAGATACGTCCACGCATGCGCTGAAAAAGGGAGTTCACACCCGCAGAAACTAATCCAGGATTGCTGCATGTTTTGTTCTCCTTGCTGATGATTAGGAAATCGCCGCTGAGCAAGTCCAGCATGTTACCCTCGACTCTTTTCTCATGAAACCAATCGACCGCCTGCACTACTACCGACGCCTCTACATGGTAAGCCAAATGCCAAAAACCCATTGCATATTTTGTTTTTTCCCAAGTAATCATTCCGCAAAGGGCGACCAATTAACACTTTTCATTAAATCATGCGTGCTATTCTTGTCGAGCATAGAGGTTGTTGGATTCGTCGGAGCGTGGCAAGCCCGACTTTGACGCATTGGAGGCGGCGTTTATGAGGATTGATACCATCTTGCGCTTTGTTACAGTGGATGTGCCAGGAACTTCCCGTCACCCAGCTTCGCCGGCGCTCTCTGGAATCTCTAGCATGTCTGCCATGCGCCATGCTCTTCCTTCGCCCCCAATCACTACCGAGCAGACCTCACCTGGATTTCCACCACAGCAAGGAGGAGGAGGAAACAACTACAACGGCTCTCCAGCGTTGCCTCCTTCGCCCATGTCGCCCAACCATCGCCCTCAACAGCAACAGCAGGCCAACAACAACATCATCCGTACTGCAGAGGCTATGGTGGAGTTGGAGAGGTCGCTTGATACATCCCGAGTCCTAGATCTCTTTACAATGCAGCCCAAGGTAAGAAGACGAAACAAAAATGCAAAAGAGAAAAAGGAAGCAAAAAAAGATCAACTAGGACAGATATGTTATCAAAGTGAGATCTATGATGTGTAACTGATCACTGATCACTCCTTTTTCTCTTTTCCTTTTCTTGTCTTATGCACTTGGTCCTATTATGGTCCTTGTTATCTGTTTCGATGGTCACACAAATATCAATGGCCACAATCCATATCCATATCCAAATCGATATCGCATCATATCGCAACATTACCTATCGGAATCTACTATCGCTGCAACATCAACATCTACTATCCATTCAATTGCACTGGATCAAAATGTTCTATTTTTTTGGTACTTCAACAAACCTACTAGGCATGCTCCCTCTCCTTGGCATTGATCGAGCGCGACGTCCTCGTCCGTGGTGACTTTGCCTTCACCATCTCAACGGACGACGCCAACGAGGAACGATTCAACGACGGATACATCATCCTCTTGACCGACCTCTTGCTCATCTGCCGCATCAAGACTCAGGACGAGATCGACAACCTTCCTGAGGGCGACGAGTCCATGTTCTGGCTCCTCTTCCCTCCTCTGGCTATCCGACACGTTTCTGCCAAAGATTGCTCTGTCGACGATGATGGTACGTAATATAAACTTGTCTCTTTTTCTTGGATATGTTGTTTATCATTTACTCAGCAATATTAACAGATCATTATTGCCCCTTCGTAGAGCCCATGGTTGAACTGACGATCGTCAACAGAGTCAAGGCACGGATATGGACTCTGGACGACCAGTTGAAGTTTGACTGGATTGAAGAGGTCAACAATGCTCAACAGCAGGATTCCAACAAGGCCCAGCAGCAACAGCAGCAACAGCAGCACCAGCAACAGCAACAGCAGTTGAACAGGAATCACACTCAGAATCGTCCTATGAGACCTATGGGCCCTGGTTCACCGCTGTCGCCGACCTTCCAAGGTGGCCCACACAACAACGGTCCAATGTCACCTGGATTCCAGGGGCAGCCTGGCGGACCTATGAGCCCTCGTCCTCGTCCCCCTATGCTGGCCATGGGTGGCGGTGGCGGTGGACCTATGTCTGGTATGCCTTCTCCTGGCTTCAGGCCCCAGATGTCTCCTAACGGCGGAATGGGCAGGCCCATGATGTCTCCAGGCGGCGGCGGACGTCCCCCACACAACCCCAACTATCGCATGGTGCGTGTCGCGTGCAACTGTTTGCTGTATTCAACTGGTCGCATATTTTCTATGTCAGATGTCAAACTAACAAATTGTTTCTCTGTGTTCCTATGATACCTGTAATGATGAATAGAGTATGCGCAGGGACAACACCGTTATGGCAAGGCCTGGCGCCCCTCGCGGAAGAGTGGCTCCAGTGGGCGATGTCGCATCAGCCAAGGAGGTCATTATTAAGACCAGGCCTTGTGATGTCTTCCAATGGCGTGACGACATCTGGGATCCTCTGGTGGAGGACGATGATTGCATCGTCGAGCTGCGCTTGACGACCGCCAATAGGTTGGCGATGGCAGTGACGACGTACGAGTCGAGTCAGCTGGTTCTGAACGCTTGGATTGTTGAATCGACCAGTTTCCGCCGAGCCTCGGAGACGGATGTCGGTGTCTCAATGGATATGGGAGCGAGTGTGCAGTGGTTCCTGGTGGCCCTCAACTCTGGACGAGAGGCCGAAGAGTTCTGCATGGCGTTTCAGAGGACTAAGGACCGTGCGATGTATGATCCCAGCTTGCAAAAGTCTGCGTCGCCTATCCTGTCGCGTGGACAGAGTTTGGCCTCGACGGTCGTTCAGAACACTCAGGTTCGCAAAAAGGAAGTTGTGAAGCAGACGCTGACGCCAATGTACCCTCCTTCTGAGTGCAAGCTGCTTCTCCAGGCAGGAGATCATGGTCAGTGGATGAGTTTGGGAGCCTCGCGGGTCGAGATCCGGATGGAGAAGCCCTCGGGCCATGTGCGGTTGTTTGTGGGTCTGATTTCGAGTCAGAAGCGGATCCTGGACAGTGTGATTGTGCAGCAGGATTGTCTCGAGTTGGTGGGACCCAAGAAGCTGGCAATCACGCTGCAGAATCCTCAGGAGAAGATGAGTATCATCTATATGCTCCAGTTCAAGGACGAGGCGGTTGCCAACAAGATATTCGATGGCTTGAGTCTCAACGTCAACGAGTAATACATCTCTCTCCATCTTGATTTATTTGATGCCCTTCTTAGACACCATTCAAAACATCCATCATGCATCCCATTTATCCCTTCCCACATTTTCCAGACACGAAAAAAATTAAAAATAAAAGCATACGAAGCGTTGACGCCACCAAATGCTATCCAATCATTGCCGCACGTGATGAATGCCCAGTTTTCGAGAAACGTCTCTGCCTCTTACTTTCAGGTTCTTTTGCACACTACTCTGCTTTCTTTTTTTTCTTCTTCGTCATTCAATTCACACAAACACACAACCCACAATGCCAAACCCCCGCACTTACTTTGACATCACCATCGGACAGGAGCCCATCGGACGCATTGTCTTCGAGCTTGTATGAATCCCAATGAACAACATCTGCAACTTTCTTCGTCCGTATTTTGCTGTCCACCCTAGCCGGACTATTTTCCGGTCCCTGAAAAACAAGTAAATTGTATGTTCTTCGTGCTAACACCTTCCTCAAACACTTGGAAAATAGTTTGCCGATGTTGTCCCCAAAACTGCCGAGAATTTTCGCGCTCTTTGCACAGGTAAGGGTTGTTCAATTGGTCACTCCTGTTTTGATGTCCTTTCGATATCGTGGGGTGACTACATGACCCTTGTTTTGGCTGGCAACTTATGCATCCTTTTATCTTTCAATTATGTAGGCGAAAAGGGCATTGGAGAGACCACCGGCAAGCCATTGACTTACAAGGGAGCTCCCTTCCACCGCATCATTCCCGTATGTCTTTACTTCTTTGTTTATACACCATCAATTGATTGATTGACTCCCTGAAAACCAAAGTGTCTAACGGTCTCATATTTTATCACTGTGGGAATTAATTTGATCATAGGATTTCATGATTCAAGGAGGCGACTTCTCGAACCAGAACGGAACTGGAGGCGAGTCGATCTATGGTGCCAAATTCGAGGACGAGAACTTTGACTTGAAGCATGACGTGCCCTTCCTGCTCTCCATGGCCAACGCCGGAGTTGGCACCAACGGCTGTACGTGATCCGGCAGCTGTTTGAAATTTCTCTTGGAGGGTTTGTGTTTAATCAGCAGGAGCGATGGAGACAACAGAAGGAACTGATGAAGAACATAATCCTTTCCTATTGACGTCCAATTAGCGCAATTCTTTGTCACCACGGTTCCTACACCTCACTTGGATGGCAAGCACGTTGTGTTCGGAAAGGTTCTCAAGGGTATCTCTGTTGTCCGCGAAATTGAGAGGACCCCCAAGGGTAGCGGAGATGCTCCCTTGTCGCCTGTTGTCATTGCTGACTGCGGTGAGCTGGCTGAGGGTGAGGATGACGGTGTCGCTGCTCCCGATACCGGAGACAAGTATGCCGATTGGCCTGGTACGTACCAAATACAGAACTGTGTTTGACTTTGGTTTATTTTGATGACTACTTGCCATGACACATTGCACCCTCTAGACGCTAATATACCGTGATTCGTGTATGAATAATAGAGGATTATGAAGGACCCAAGGAGGACAAAGATTTAGTTGTGATCGCACAGGACCTGAAGACCCTCGGAAACAACTTTTTCAAGGCAGGCGATTACGCAAAGGCCCAAAAGAAGTACCAAAAAGCCATCCGTTACCTGAACGAGAAGCCCGTCTTTGATGCCGACGACGCACCCGAGCTGGTCAAGCAGTTCTACGCCGTCAAGATCCCTTGCTACCTCAACAAGGGATTTTGCGCATTGAAGTTGGACCGGCCCGAGTTGACGATCAAGGATATGACGACGGTGTTGGATATGGACGCCGAGTACCCCTCGGTTGCTGACAAGACCAAGGCGTTCTTCCGTCGTGGTTCGGCTTATTTGAAGATTAATGATCTGGACTCTGCCAAGGCGGATCTGGAACAGGCCAAGAAGCTGTCGCCCAAGGACCCTGGTGTTCTGAGAGAGCTTGAGGCTGTTCACACAAAGTTGACTGCTAAGCGGAATAAGGAGAAGAAGGCCTATGCCAAGATGTTCGCATAGACGTAGATGAGGTGTCTCTATTTTATTTTTGAAAAGAACGCGTAAAGAATACAACTGAACAATGCGAAAAAAGTTCATTCATTGTCAATCCAGAAAAAAAAAAGCATTCGAGATAGGGATTTGCAAAAGGGGGTGGTGGTGGTGGTGGTGGTGCAAAGGGAATCAGGGGGGTGAGAAGGAGAGGTGGTTGAGAAAAAAAAAGAGGTAAAAATGTTTGGGGGGGGTATGTATTCCTGTAGGACAAGGAAAGCGAGGGCCTTGTTGCGGATCGACTGCGATAGAGACCACAATCAACCTTTTCTTTCTCCCACATCCACATTCACAATGCTCCACATCTGCATTGCTACAAGGAAGAGATATCTCACACCACATACACGTACATGCACCCCGCTCAGTTGCTCTGACCTGCCTGCCTGCATCTCCTGAACCAAGAGCGAGCAAGCGAGAGTTACGAGAAGATAAAAGAAATAAAATAGGCGAGAGGACCTGCCGTCAGTTGAGATCTTGTCATTGTTAAGAACTAGAAACGCTATGGGCCAGGCAGGATAAGAGAAGATTGACCTTGTCATTGCATTCTCTTCCTCACCTGCCTCCATGTGAAAGATACCCCCATTAGGCAATCTTCTCGACCTTTCTTGACGTGGTTCAGTGGAGCGACAAGAAACAACAAACTACGAGTTGTTAGAAAAAGAAGAGGGGGACGTATCATCGATAGTTTGTAAGTGCTTCGATCTGCATGAATGGACCTTGTGTTTATCTTCATCAAACTACGGTGATATGTGTGCATAAATTGCAACAAAAGGATAAGGGAGGAGAAATGAACCACCACCAAAGAACACGAAAACAAAGAGACGCGTCGGACGTGTCGCTTATCCCAAAATCAACCAACATTTTTTTTGGGTCTACTCTCTCTCTCTTTGCCTTTGTCACCAGCCCTCTCACTCACCACCACACATATGACCCAACATCTTTTTCAGTTGGTCAATTTAGTCCAGAAGGCAATAGACGTTTCTTGTTTGCCCTAGAAACGTATAGCAAACGGATTACGGTAAAACGCATCAAGAAAAATAGTGGGGAGGAAAGGAAAGGTCGAGGGCGGAGAGAGAAAACGGAGAAAAGAAGGACGATAGAAGAGGGAAAGGAGGCAGAGATGGATGAAGAGGAGGGCGAGGCGATATATTACAAGCATAGGTTGGAATGAACCCAAGAATCGATAGATAGATGGACTGCGCCGAAGTCTCATCACCTCGCCTCGAACAGGTATATATTCTCAGGGCTGTCCTCTCCTTCCTTTTTCTTGTCTCCCTCAACAATTCAACGTCTTACTTACCTTACCTTTATAACACCACACCTAATCTCACACAACAATGCTGGGTCAACAACAACAACAACAACAACAGCAGCAACGATTCAACCAAAAGTCTTCCGATCGCTGGCTCGATCGAGGTAATAAATCTGTACCCTTACATTGTGATTTTGATGTGTACAAGTGGAGGGGTCTTTCAGACAACTAAAGCGCGTACTGTAACCCTGTCTCTTGAATGGTAGAGGAGCGCGACCCCGGATTCAACATCATGTCTCCAACCGGCCGTAACCGTCCCTTCAAGGGCATCCACATGCCAAGGTGAGCATTCTAGACCATTGATTGTCCATTGGTGATATATAGGAGACAAAGAAGAGATCATACCTAACAACGAGTGTCTTCCCTTATTGATCGTGTAGAAACGTACACTGGGATGGCCCTCAGGCGATGATCGGCAACACCGTCTCAAATGGTAAGGAAGGGACACCTTCTTGTTGATTTATCTACCTCTCTCTCTCTCTTGCTTCAGATCTTCTAACGCGCTTCTATCGTCAACTTGCATGTTGACAATGTATAGGATGGAGCAGGGGCGAAGGTATCTTTGGCGCTCCGCAATCCACAGATGGGATCTCGTATGTCTACCACAAGGTACAGAGAAAAAATACGCATCTCGTATGCTTCCCCTGATCTTCCAAGAACTTGAAACCATTTCAGGCACGAAATGTGACTGACCCATGCATACAATTTTTCGCATTGATAGGGTCCTGCTGGTCAAACACCATTCCCAACACTGATCGCCATGCCCGGTTACTTTCCTCAAGGCACTCAGCCACCGACACAGCAGCAGCAATGTCCCACACAACCCACAGCTCAATCTAACGGTGGCCCACAACCATCCAACGCCGGAGCTCAACAGCAGCGTCAACGGCAGCATCAACACACGACGCCATACCCAAGTCCTCCTGCTCATATCAATGAAGATGACAAGGGACTTGATTTCTGGAAGGGGGCCTATCCTCGCCATTCGCCCTCTCACTTGGCGACTGCTGCTGTTACTGCCATCGGACCTGATAACTGAACTCTTGGACCAGCCACTGATGTGGAACCGCGGCTTTCATACACAGTTGTACCTCTCTCTTGCCATTCGGCTCCCATACACGATATACCTTCTGCCCTTTCAACTGTTATTACAGTGATCGCTGTTATCCTATTATATATCCCTTCTTGCGCCCTCTACCATAGCCATATTCTGACAACACACATAATAAAGATCTTCCGCTTGAATTATCTGCCTCTTTTGTGCACCCTTATCTCTCAGTTGGCGCTAGTTCTCCCCGACCTCTGCGGAATAAAAAAAAGAGTTGAACCATAGTTGTGCGCAGTGGTTGGTGGAGATTTATTTTACAAAGGGAGTGTCTAACGGGTTGTCTGGAGTTGGATGTTGGTTTCGTCGGTTGAAGAGTGAGGAATGGGCAAGGAAGAATGTTGGAGTTGCCATGGAGGGTGGATTTGCCCGTTATTCGTCGAAGGCGATTAGACTTTGGCGAGGTCCTTTCCGATGAGTGCCATAAAAAAATCCTGGGGTTCGTCCTCCTTGCTCATGTTCCTGTTCCTGCTACTCCTGCGAAAAAAAAATAATAATTCAAAGAGTCCTCCTATGCGGCTCTAGCTCTAGTGTCTCCGAAGAATCTTTTGGTTCTTGGGGTTCTCAACGACAAGCTTCTCGCCACCGTAAAGCTGGGAGATCAACGACTGACGCTTGACGACCTCGAGCTGTTGTTCGGCCTTGTGGATCAGGGCCTCGATTTTGGCGGGGTCGGTTTCGTTTTTGGCGGCGTGGAATGCATCCCGGGTGCGGCGGACGGCATAGTCGCGGAAGTTGTAGGCGGCGAACTTGGAGGAGTGGTGGAGGAGATCCTTGTAGAGGGTCAGAACCTGGGAGCGGTGTGCGAGGACGGACATTATTGTTGGTTTTTGAGTATGAGTGGGGAGTGAGAGTGGGGTAGAGGAGAGGGGAGAGAGTGAGCAATGAGCGACAAGTAGTGGAGTCAAATTGCAGCGCAGGGAATTAGGGAAAAGCGGGCAGGGGAGATGGATTCAATTATTGCCTTTCTCGGAAAACCATGATGTCTACGTCAATAAGATCATATCTAAGATATGGATGGAAATAAGTCAATTGAATCATTGACAAGAGGACAAAGTGCACGTGATCAGCGTTTTTTTGTTGTTTGTGTTTGATAGATCGTTCGTTCGTGGCAAGGCATCCCCTCTTCTTCCTCTCCTTTTCCACTCTTCACTCACTTCATCATCACAGCAATGCCCGTCTCTGCTACCAACTGGGCCGACGAGGTCGACGGCGAAGATCAGCCCCAGACCTTCACCGATGCCAACGGCATCACCACCACCATCGAATACAGAACTAACGAGGATGGCAAGAAAGTCAAGGTATAAATCTTGAATCAACAAGAAAAAAAAAACTTTCAACCAGCCACTACTGCGGGGTCGTACCTGAGCTCAATTCGATAAATCCAAAGCAGAGAACGACCAGCGACAAAAAAGCAACAAACACCCCACCAAACGACCGTCGACATGACACCAAAAGAACTACACTTTTTCTCATCGAAACAAAACGACTGCGATGGGATGCTCTCTTGTCTTTCCCCTGGAAAGCGCGCACAGTCCTGAGAGAATACAACGGAGGGCCACCAAGGCGCACGGACAGAGACACCCCTTCTTCCCCCTTTCAGCATTTTTCCCTTCAAGCCCTTCCAGGATCGCTTGACGTAGTCTGGCTGCGGCGCGTCTCCCCACCGATCGACAACCCCTCCCGACACATTACTGAGCCCCTCCCGACACATTACTGAGCCCCTCCTTATCGACATATCGACTCGGTTGTACTCACCCCTCCTCCTGCGTAACCGCACGTCCTATATTTGTAGGTTACCCGCCGCACTCAGAAGAAGTTGATCCACGATGTTGTGAACAAGGCCGTCGCTGCCCGCAAGGTAACGAACCGCTTCACATGACCTATCGAGCATACTCGTTTCCTGCTGCGTTCTGCGCTGAAGAAGAAAGATCTTCAACGACTTTGCCACTAACAACCGTTTACCCCCTTATTCCCACAATGATCATAATGACTTTTATAGAAGTGGCCCAAGTTCGGAAAGGAGAAGGGAAACCGCCCCGGCCCCGACCCAGCAACAACCAACGTTGGTGATAACATCAAGTTGAAGCTTTCGTCGACAGGCGATGTTGTTCAGGATGTGGATGAGAAGCACGAGGCTATGAAGGCACAGCTCCAGAACAAGAAGATTCTCTGCCGTATCTGCAAGGGCGATCATTTCACCACAAAGTGTCCCTACAAGGATTCGCTCGGCATGGAGGATGCCGCCGCCCCCGTCGCTGCCGCCGAGGAGGCTGGTAAGTTTTATTCGACTTGTTCTCGGCTGGGTTTTCAAGCGTCGAGTGAAGGAGCAGATACAAGTAGAAGTCGGACATGGCTGGTTTTTATTATTTTACAGCAAGAACGCAGCAAGAAATGGACAATGCCGTAACATATCTTTTCCTTGTCAATTTTCAAATGACATCAATAGCCCCCGAGGAGCAGCAGACTGGCTCAAAGTATATTGCCCCCCACATGCGCGCTGGAGCTTCTGGCCCCAAGAGTGGCGATCGCGATTCGATGCGCGAGAAGCGCGACGAACAGCCCACGCTCCGTGTCACCAACTTGTCAGAGGATGTTACCGAGGGCGATGTCTCGGAGCTCTTCAAGCGTTTCGGTCACATCTCCCGCGTCTTCTTGGCACGCGATCGCGAGACCAACCAGTGCAAGGGTTTCGCCTTTGTCTCGTTCACAATGCGTGAGGATGCTCAGCGTGCGTTGGAGGCCATTGACGGACGTGGTTATGATAATTTGATTCTTCGTGTGGAGTGGGCTAGGTAAACAAGCATGATTCTTGCAATGCCATCAAGGATAGTTGTTTGTGTTTTGTTGATGCGAATCGATGCCCTTTCAGGTACTAACCTTCAACCTTCTACCTTTTCCTTGCCCGCTCTTAGATCATCCGCTTAAATGTTGTAATAAAATGTTGTCAGTCTCTTTTTTTCTCAACCCAGCTCTCTCGCCCACGCTGCACTGTCAGGACTCTTGTTCTTCACATGGAAATCAACTCGGGATGTTTATATATTACAAGAACCCAAAAAAACAAGGGTAAAATCTAAGGTCTAAGGAGGATAGCAAACTCGACCATGAGACAGAGATGGTCGCTGGAAAAGTTTTCGTCAGGCAGGCCGTGTCCCAAGAAGCTCTTGTCGGGAATCTCAAGCAGTCTCAGGGGCACCAACCGAGCACCTGATTTAGGAATGGGCTGGTCATACAAGTAGACGTAGTCGAGCGTGTCCTTGAACCAGGTCGCAAAGTTGGTGAACGTCGGTTCACCGTGGGTGCTGACTGCAGGTGGTGTCGAGGCGGTGGATTCAGTCGCGGCCGTCTGGGCTGCAGCAGCTTCGTTGACCTCTGCAGGGTCGTCCTTTGTAAGGGTCTCGTACTGGCCATAGATACTGATGCAGCGTGGGTGCGCCTCGATCGCGGTCTTGAGGTCTTGTGCGGGCGTGAAGGCCTCCAGAGGGGCGACTACGGGTGCATCCTCGCCCGATGCGGCGATGGCTGCCAACTGTTGGAGCTTGGGATCGATTGAGTCCTTGAATGTTTTAGAGTCGACCATGGTTCGAGGCAAGGCTGTTAAGTCCAACTTGGAATCACCATTGGTAACTCCGTTGGCGGTTTGCTTGGGCAGGATGATTCCAGTGGGAGGCGCGCGGTAAGGGAGATCGGCGGCGGCGTCCTTTTCTGGTACTGCAGGTGCTTGCTTGGGGAGGATGATACCGGTAGGTGGAGCTCGGTAGGGGAGATCATTCTTGGGCTCGCTCGTAGTGGTACCGTTGCTGGTTCCATTCTCGGTAGCTTCCAGAGCAAGTTTCTCGGCCTGGGCGGACAATTGATCGATAGAGTCACCGTTTTGTTGAGCCTCCGCTTGTTTTGCGGTAAGAGCAGCAGCAGCTTCAGCAGCCTCTGCGGCGGCAGCCTCTGCTTTCTGGACACGATCCACTTCGTCCTCTAGCCACTTTTGCAGGTCGGGAACTTGCTGTGGGGGCATCTCGTTTCGGGTCATGGCTCTGTACGCGGCATCTCGAGGAGTTGTGTTGAAATCTATTCAAGAATCAATCAATGTGCGAGTTCCTATTAGCAGTTAAGCAGGGACACGAAATGATAAAAAGATTCTTACATTACACTAAAAGCCATAGGATAATTACCTCCGCCGAGAAGAATGGTGTAGTTGAGGTCTTTGTTCCATTCTTGGATCTTGTCCAGCAGGATCGAAGCTTGACGGAGACGTTCATACGATCCATCGGGTCTCCAGAACAAATGTGTCTATAGTGAGCGAGGGTGTTAAATGCATCAAGGAATTATTAGTCGCCAGCTTTACGCTTTCTCTGTCGTTTCCACGACCATCGGTGAACAGTATTGCCTGCAGAATGATTGATTACCGTAGCGACGAGGATTCCACCAGGGAGCTCCGCGTGGCCATTGGCACTGATATCTTCTCCTTCGTCGTCGTCCTCATCGGGGAGGACCATATCGGCATTAGGATCAGGATTTTTGGCAGCCTGCTTGAGCGGCTTCAGGGCGACCATGAGACCAATGTTGCCTGTGGTAAACGTGGGCTGACCCTGCTCGTCATACTCCAGCGACTTTTGCTCGACCTTCTCAAAGCGAGTCTTTCGCCAGATGATGGCACAGCCATGCTTCTTGTTCTGGTTCTTGTAGTAGGCAGTCTCGTAGCCGGCCTTGGTGAGGGCGGGGTAATAGACCTCCTCCCAGAAGTCAACTTCTTGTAGGCAGGCCAGATCAGGCGCGAAGCCGAGGAACTCTTGGAGGATGTTTTGTTTGCGAAACTTCCAGCGGAGGGCTTTTTGGGTGGCGTGGGGGAACATATCTCTTCGGACCAACGCTTGAGCCAGCAGCTGTTGTTGGAGAGTTTGATGAGTTATTAATGGTGTGGAATTAGTTAGTGATAAACAAAAAGGGGTATTTTTCAAGCCATAAGTTGTGAAGCAAATAGCTCTTCCGTGTTTTTACATTGTAGGTCATGAAGAGAAAGCGATCCTTCTTCTTGTGGAGACGAATGGCGTTGGGGCCTTGGGTCAACTCCTGTGCGGAGGGGAGGGGGATCATCCTTCTCTGAGGGCGTGACATTGTTGTTGTTGTGAATGAGGTGAGGAATGCGGAAACTGGATGAGGGTATATTTTGTTGGCTATGAGAGTGAAGAATGGGAGGTTGCTTGGTAAAAAGGAAGTTGTTGTGTAAAGAAACAAATAATGTAAAAAAAGGCTGTCCTCGGGCACTCTTATAACTGCATAGAGCTGTGTAGCCGTTTGAAATCTGGAGCACTTTTTTTACGATACTTTTTTCAGCTCCATTGGGTCCGGCTCCTTTCTCTATGCACTTTTTCTCACACTCTTTTTGTAACATAATTCTTCTCCCTTTATGGTTGGCTTGACATCATGCTTTTAGCGCATCGCCTATGACTATCTCTTTCTATGCCCTCCCTTCCTCTTTACTTTGAGCAATCGTATCGCGAGTGATAGATCGCGTTTTTACTTTTTCTTGTTCATGCTATTTGATATCAATTCATGTCATCATGTGATCTGATTTTTAGTTATCTTTTCTCGTAACCTTGTTCTTGTTCCTCTTCGCTCCCACACATTTACATCAACAACCCACTCTCATCCTCTCAGGAACTGTACCAACGAACAAGCCTTCATCAGGAATCAGCACTCTCAAAAGGACCTCATCACGTATTCTGCGAGGTACGACTTTTGTTAGCAATGAAAAAAAAAGAAAAAAAAAAAGCAAGCGATCGGCTCAAACCATTGGGCTTCGTGGAATCAACATTGTTGTTTTCTCTTTGTCTCTTGCGCGCGCTGGCTTAAGTAAAACGAGGGAGGGAATCGGTTAACGTATCTGGCGTCTCAAGCTCAATGTTATCGTGTTTTTTTACTTTACACACATTATCGGCATACTACCCATCCATGCTTTTCTGGCAAGAGTGCACCCATACACTCTATCAACAGAACCACATCAAATGAAATAAACTTGTTGCTCACCTTTACCCATATTTTTAATATTACATCCAAACACCTCAGACAAAGCCCTCTGCCTCACCCACCCTTATTGCGCACACTCCAACCGCAACAGCCAAGGCCACCAAAATATCAGCAATGGAAGACGATAGGAAGCAACGGTTCCGATTCCACAAGGAAGACGAGATTTTACTCTTAAACATCGTCCTTCGTGCATCGCCCTGTCCCTACAACATCTCAACCCGTGACGGAGCCATCATGGTCGCCTGGAACAACATCGCCGAGGAGTTCAAGAGCCTGTGCAAACCCCGCCCGGATGGTAAAGTCCCTCACTCAAGGACCTGTCGTACCCGCTGCGACAAGATGATTACCGACTACCTAGCCATGCAGGCCAGTCCTCAGCTCAGGGGCAAGAAACTGGAATCCAAGGATGATCGGATCAAGAATGAGCTGGTTGCACGGTTGAGCGCTCTCCAGGGCAAGGGACTCGACCCGAACTTGATTGCCGCAGCGGCCGAGGCAGGAGCAGGTGCGGGATCTGGAGCAGGATCTGGGGCAGGAGCAGGAGCAGGAGCAGGGGGTGATTCGCCTTCGAACTCGGACGATCCTATCTCGAATCTATCGCCTGCTATCTCGCCTGTGTCAGGGATCCCTGGCTCGAGTGAATTGATGACCCATGTGACAGGCTCTGCTTCTGGAACCAGTCTAATGACCCCAGGACAAGTGCTTGGACGAGCGTCAGGAAACCAGGGCATGAATGGCTCGCCCTTGCTGAGTCATACCGGTCACCTCCAACAGCATCACAGCCAGCCGCATCATCAGCATCACCACCAGCAACAGGAACATTATCAACAACATCACCATCAGCAACTCTCAAGTCAACAGGCAGCCTCAGAACTACTTGCAGCATCGGCACTCTTGTTACCAACAACCATGGGAGGGATGCACTCTAGTGCACACCAGAGCTTAACCCCTACCTCAGCTTCGACGAGCATATTTGCCACGCCCAACTCGACAGCAGGCACCGTCAAGGTGGATAAGAAGGGCAAACAAGTAATAGGATCACGGAAGAGACGAGTCAACAACACCACCACTGCTGAGGTCCAAGCGCAACAACAGCAGCATCAGTCCGGGCCTGTGTCGACAGCCTCGTTTGAGGCACTCCAACGCCAAAACTTGTCCGGCTCGACAGCCAACATAAATGCCTCACAGACCTCAGTGTTGACCAGTACCAAACGACTCCGATCCTCAGCCAAGCAGGCAACATCTACTACTACTACTACAACCATGCCAACATACACTCAGCAGCAGTCGCAACAACAACAGCAGCAACAGCAGGTCAACGGTGGGCGCACCATGATGGGAGTCTTGGGACATGGTGTCGGATCTGGGTTTACAAGCAACGATCTGACAGGACTCTCGAGCCTCAGCAGCAATAGCCATAACCATAGCTTCCCAGACATCCACAGCGTCCACGATTTCGGCGACGACAACGATGATGACGATGATGACCAGGACGACCATAACAATATCGATGACGACGACGACGATGATGATGACGATGATGGTGGGGATACGGGGTTCCATGATACTCAGGATGCCTTTGACAGCACCTACGACAACAACAACTTTGAGCATGATCTGGATGGAGTAAGTCCCGCGTCGCAGATGGAGGCTTCGACTTTGTTGTCGTTCCAGAAGGGAGCCTTGGGCTCCAATGGTGGCAGCGGCACCGGTGGGTACCGGAAGAACAAGAACTCGAAACAGATGATGATGTCCGACAACAATGGTCAGTCATCAAGGTCGTCATCTATGCGGAACAAGGGATCGAACAATGGTGGCGGAGGTCAATTGCGGCACGGCCACAATAATAACAACAATAATAACGCTGGATTGGGATTTGGCGCAGGAGCGGGTGGGAGCGGGGGAGGTGGCGGTGGTGGCGGAGGAGGGTATGGAGGGATGTCGATGATCTCGACCGGGTTCGGAGCTTCTGGAGGGTTCTTGCAACTAAGTCAATTGAACGCGGACGATCGAGCGTATTTGATGAGGCTGGTTGCGTTGGAGGAGCAGCGGGTCAAGATTGAAGTGGATAAGGTTGCTCTGGAGCGCGAGCGGCTTGCTCTTGAGAACCGGCGGTTGGAATGGAAGATGCATCAGATGAATCACCAGTAGATCTGCCGTGTAGTCTCAGTAATATCGACGCGTAACTTTTCAAATCTAGCCTGCCATGATTACGTTGTCAAGTCTAGGAGGTTGGAATGTGTATTTGCATAGGCAAGGAGTGGAAATAGAAAGGGGAGGTAATTCATACTCGTTTGTGTTCCTATCAAGAGTTGATCCTCCAACCACCCCTTTTTTCGCAGAGTGGTGGAATGAATGCCCACCCCTCTTTCGATGGTCATCGTTGTTTTTGTTTTCTCCTCTCTCTCTCTCTTCCTCTCACTGTTTTTTTTGGCCTCAATACACTTCTCTTCCGCCTATTTCACACATCCCATCCACCCGCCAATAATGAAGTCTGCTCAGCTATTCCTCACCCTCATATCAATGGCCTTCCTGGCCTCAACTCTTGTCTCCGCCTCCTCCTCCAACAACATAAATAAGATGCGGTTTGAATCCCTCGCCCAAAAGAGCCGCCGCACCGCCCGCCAAGCCCTAGTGCGTAACAAAGCCGCCTTCGCCGCCTACTCGACCTTCCATGCCCAGGGCGAACGCTTCTCCTCCTGCGGCAACCCAAAAACAGACCTCATCACCATCGCCTCCATCGAATCCAGTGAGCGTCTCTGTTCGGGTTGTCAGGCCTGTGTCAAGATTGATGGTATCCTAAAGGGGAAGGTGGAGAAGGGTGCAGTTGTGAAGGTGGTGGTGACAAAGTTTTTCTTTACAGTGTTTGAGAGAACGTTTGATTTGTGTGAGAGTTTGGAGTTATTGCCTGGAAATGAGGGCGAAGGTGGTGCGGGTATCAAGTGTCCGATTGAGCCGACGACTGCTGAAGGGTTGAGGGCTTGTTTTCCGTTGGATAAGTCACTTCCTACCGGGGTAAGTTTCTTATTTTTACTCGTCGTTTGCTCGTTGACTTCTCTCTATTTCTTGTCGATATGTGGGTTGTGTAACTGATCATGCTTTTGTGTGTCTTCCCCCCCCCCCCCCCCCCCCCACCCCGTTGCAGATCTCGGCGAGTATTTGGGTGAAGGGAATGTCGGCAGAGAAGAAACAGTTGTTCTGCGTTCAGGGTTCCGCGTGGATTGAAGGCAATTGTCCTGCAGAGTATGGACCTGGATCTGCGGCTTGTCTTGGACAATAGCCCGAATGGTTAGCTGCCATTTCTCTTTTTTTTTTCTTCTGGCGATTAAAATACTTGCACATGACTTATTTTGTTCACGACTTGTGGGCGTGGGCTCGCAAAAAAAAAAAAAGGGTAACAGAAACGCGTCCCAAAATTACACCGTGAGGTGTCTTGTGCAACGAGAAGTTATGATTGAGAGAATGAGGTTCTTTTTTTTATTTTTATTTTCAAGTTTTATAGAGGGGGAGAGCGGTAATGATATCGTACAAGTGTGAGTGTAGAGAGCTTCCTAAAGAAGGCTTTGAAGGGAGTAGTTTACAGAAGAGAAGAGGGAGAACAGAGAGAAAGAAGCGACAAAAAGGAGAGATAGAAATACATGCGAAAAAAGGAGAACGACTATTTGCAAGTTGGGGGAAGGGTACGGTGCTCAAGAGCGAGGACGCTTAGAGACGGAGCATGGACGAGAGGGCGCGAAGTTGACGATCGTCCTCGACCCAACGGACTCTGTCACGAGACGACATCTCCTTGGGCTCCAGCTTGGGCAGCAACATAGTGTCGGTGGCAAGGTTGGCCAGGACCGACAACGAGTCCTGCTCGTGCGACGACACGGTGGTGGCAGACGAGACCTCGGGAGAATAAGGCTCCATCTCGTTGTTGCTATCGGGTCCACAGCCTCGGTGAGCTCCGAAGCCGGCAACCTTGTTGTGGTGGTCAAAGCTCGTGGCCAGCAAAGGGAGCTGGTTTTGATGATGAGGCACATCACGCAGGGGTGGGATCATCAACTCTTCACGGCGAAGGTCCACCAGGGACTCGGGCGTGACAGTATCGACAATCATGGGCTGCTCATCCTCAGAGGCCCACGAGGTGGTGGGAGAGTAGGCATTCGGAGGCGGTGTAGGGAAGGAGGAGCCTGCGGATGGGCTGGAGGACTTGTAGCGCTTCTCAGGGTTAAGGCCAACACTGCCATAGGGTCCGTAGTATGGTGAGGCGGAGTGACCACCAACATTGTGGCTGTTCGAGCGAGACCGAGAGCCAAGGCTGTGCAAGTTATCGTTGCTGGTCTGGATGGGGGAGTAGCGGCTCATGACACTGAGGTTACCAGAGTGCGTCCGGCGGTGTCCGGCCATGGTGTCAATGCGGCGAAGATGCTCGGCGTCATCCTTGATATTATTGTTTTGGAAGGCGCGGTGATGAGGGCGATGCCTTGAGCGATGGGGCGTAGGAGGAGATGGGCTAGAGTGATGGGTTGATGTGGCTGAGGCAGAATCAGAGGTGGCACCCGAAGAAGGAGCGGCAAGACCTGCGGCATGCGAGGAGGTCTCGGGATAAATACCCTTAGGGATAACGATGTTTGCAAAGCGAGGGTCGCGCGAGGGAGTCTCGAAGAGACGCTCAGAGGCAACGTCCTCGTTGGTGTAGTAGGAGATGAGATGGAGCTTCTTGTTGTCCGAAGTGGTAATCGAGAAGGACTGCTTGAGCAAACCATCGGGCCGGTAGACTGTCTTTGCCGCGCCGGTAGCGGCGGGGTTTGGAGAATCGTCGAGCTCACGGTACGTCAAGAAGCTGCCCGTGACCCTGCTCGGGCTCCAAGACTTGCCGTCCGTCCAGCGTCTCATGCCGGCCTCACGTTCGTCAAAGCAGTAGACGGAGCCGGACCGGACAGACTGACGCTCGATGTCGGACAGGCGACGATGGACTCGCGAGATGATTCCCAGGTGGCAAGCTGTTTAATATTAACATGGATCGGAAGCAAAAACGAATTATGGTTAGTTAGTAATAATGCTTTGGATGATATCAACAACTTCGGAGGATTATTCCCTTCTTGGTGCTTAGGGGCGAGGTTGTTGTATGAGTGTGGCCATAGGAAGAGAAAAAAAAAAAGAGAGTGACGACCCAGAACGTGGTGGAACAGTATGAGGGGTTTTTTTTTCCATTTTTTCGTTTGTTTATTTTCATCTTTTTCGTTCGTTCGTTCGTTCAGGGTGCAGGAAGATATGGGTCATCCTTTTTTGCCGTAGATGTTGTTGTTGTGCCAGAGAAAAAAATGTAGATAGTTGTAGGGAGAGATGAGGATCGGCTAGCGCTCTTCTTCTTTCTTCGTTGTTCTGTTTGATTCCAGAACGTGTATCCAATGTGTCATGGATAAGGCGGATAGGATAGGATTGTTCAAGTAGTGCAGAAATCACCGGGGCGGATCGAGAGAGTCATGGTAGATATACTTGCCTTCAAAGATGATGAGTGCGTCGTGGGGGGTCTTGATGAGGCCGAAGTAGGTCTCCATCGAGTTGGGATCCATTGTTGGATGATTGTATGGGGGAAAGGGTGGAATGGTGGGAGAAGTTGGGGGGGTGGGGGTAAAGAAGGAAGGGAATAATTGAAGAGAAGAGAAGAGAAGAGGTAGAAAGAGAGGGAGAGAGAGAGAGAGAAAGAGAGAGAGAGTGTGTGTGTGTGTGTGCGGGTGATATGTTCCAAAAGAGTTTAAACGAAACAAGAAATTTTTTGTTGTGTGTGTGATGGATGTTAGTGGTAATGAATGTGAGGGCTGCGGCTTTATATAAAGAGACACGGCGAATGGAAAAAGGAGGGAGGGGGCAGACGGAGCGCAGTCAAGGTTATAGAGAAAAGGAGAGAAGAAAAACAAAGACGAAAGGGGTACGTATGGCGATCGTGGCAGAAGCAAGAGATACGGAAGGTGGAAGAAAGAAAACGAATATTATGAAGAGCCAAGAGGTGTGGTTGAAAAAGGAAAGAAAATCTTCGCGGGTGCTTGTTGGTCAAGGGAATAGAAAAGGATAATACTTTCGTTGTTGAAAACGAAGGGTGAGTGGGCAGAGTGGGGAGTGTATGTGAAGGAAGAAGGTTGGAGGGAACAAAGAGAGTGGAGAGTGGAGAGTGGAGCTTGATGAGTGATGATGAGAGAGTATGAGAATGAGTGATGGTGGGTGATGGATATCCCTCTGGAGATGATGAGAGAAGTGAGAAAAGAGTGTGATAAAAAATCAGAGAAAAGGAGTGTTCAGGAAAAATGATGAGGGACACTCTCTTTTATAAGATAATTGGAGTTGAGTGGAGTTCTTTAGTCGTATGCCGCAAATCTGGTTTTTTTATGGTTCTTGAACACAGGCTGAATGAAAGGATGAATGAGGTTGGGGTCAAACAACACTCACATCGTCGGTCGTCGTCGTCGTCGTATAGCATCGTTCTTCTTGCTCTCGCATTGACTAGCGTTTGCATTGAATGGAATGTTACTACTATTACATTTGTCCAATTCAATCGGAAGGGTATTCTAATACTTTATTTTTTTTATCATAATATGATGGTTTATGTATGATGTGAGTGTTACCTGTACACACCTCAATCATCTTTTTTTCTGGCGCTTTTTACTCCCTTTCTTTATTTTTCCCTTTCGTCGTCATCATCCGTCTCAGACGAGACAAAGAACGGACGGACGGACAGGCAGACGGACCGCCAGTCCCAATTGATTTCTAATGAAAAGAAAAAAAAAAGAAATCGGGTTCTGAGCACAAAACAGCGACAATTGAATTAGTCTTTTTACAATCAAGTTTTTGAGTACATTACTGTATTGACAGACGGGGTGTGGCTGTTAATAATGGTCATTGAGAGTGGCTTGGAGAGCCAATGGCTATTTCACTTTGCCCTCCCGACACCTCCTCTCCTCTCACTCGCTGCTTGGAATGGCTAAACGTTTGCCGGCCCTAGGGTTTTGGTTCGTGTGTCTCAAATAAACTTTTTTCTGTTATTTTGAGTGAGTGCTTTTTTCTTTTCATCTTTACCCTTTTGACCGACATCCTGATTGACTGGCTGACTGACTGACTGACTTTTCCTTTGTCCCTGACCTGATACCAAAACACACACACTCTCTCTTCTTCTTGTCTCTCCATCCCCTTGGTCTCCGTCGTTAATAATGGACATGTCTCTTCTCGGTGAGAATCAGCCCAGGTCTCCATGAGGGATGTTCGATCAGTAAATCATTATCTGGTCTCAAAGTAATACTTGGACCAGTGCGGTTCATCAACAATGGCCGACCATCTTATTTATCTCCGGAGCAGGTGGTAAGCCATGTGGGTTGCGAAGAGTAATACGAATGATGCTTGGTTGGCAGGGTCAATGTGAGTGCATTCTTTTTGGGTCTTCCGATCAACCTTCACGACCACCACCCCGCATCTCTTGACATCTTTCTCTCACTTTTGTATTTGTGTTTTCTTTTTCGCTCGTGTCAAAATAAGGGTTTCGTTACGTCTTTGTCTCTCGGTCCAAGAGTTCATGTATCGCTGCTGTTTGTTGATGTGATGTCCTCCGGACCATTCGACTCCTCCTTCCTCCCACCATCCCTCTGCGGCCCTTTCTTTGCTTCTTTTCTCCAACATCGCACCACCCTTATGTGTTAGCGCCTTTTTCCGATTTGTTTGTGTGTACCTGTAATTCTTAAAGATTGAGAGGAATCCGTGCATATTTTTTTCATTGCCACGACCAGATTCTGGCAATACGTTCTTCCTTTTAGTTTTGCACCATTTTTCTTCTCTTCGTGTTCCTGTGCCCGGAAGTAAAGGGCGAGAGGCGAGGGGATATTTTCGGTTTGTTGATTATGTGCGTGTTTATTTTGAGTTTCCCCTTCTTGGACCACGCTATCTTTCTTACCCCCACCCAAGCAAAATAAAGAGCCGAGAGCCGCAATGTGTTTTTTTTTATATTTATTCAATCTCTTTCGTTCATCCTTCCTTCTCTCAACTCTCTTCACTCTCTTTGTCTCTCAATGTTTGAACTGCCATGGTCTCTTGTGGCTGAAGCTGGATTCAAGTTCAAGGGGTTCGCTCTATATGCTTGTCTGGAGAAGTTGATTGACGATTGGCTAAAAGGGTCGATCGGCTGTCTATTTTCCGATAATAAAGCACTCACTCGAAGCAAAGACCACGGACGATGCTAATCATTCTTCCACAGAATAACAAGGGTCTGCCTTCTTTTCCCTTCACTTCCGACCGACACGATATGATTGATAATGACTGACAGACCGATTACCCCATAACTCAACCCTTTTTTTTCTTTCATCAGCGATAACCAGGGGAGTCATTCTATTTTATTGATCTATTCAGTACGGCATACCCCCTTCAATTCCACTCATATTGCCAGATCGAATACAATGAAAAGTCAAGGCAAGTCAATGAAAGTGGTTGCGAGTTGCTAGTGGCAGCAGTAACTGCCGTGTTTCTCATCAGTCGTAGGAGTAGTAGTAACGATGGGCTAAGACGTCAGTTTCCCTTTGTTATGGCTCAGTTTTTTTGTTTTCTTTATTCAATTCTATCCCAACGAGCGACTCACCGTCATTCTTTCTGGAGTTCCATGCGATTGTCCTTAATGCAAATGAAAATAAAGAAAAAAATGGAGGAAGTGGTTTCAGGACCAAACGCTCCATAATCAAATAGGATAAGGGAGAAGATAGAAGGAAGGAGGTGGGGTAAAGGAAAATACCGTTTCTTGTTTTCTATGCTCTTGGAATCAAACTAATGGGAGAAGAAGAGAAGAGTCGAGTTAGGCTTTTTGTTTGTTTTCTTTTGTCCCCACGGTATGGGATCGGCAATAACCAGCGGAAAAAAGAAACAGTGTTTGTTCAGTTCATACAGCTTTTTTTATCTATTGTTGACCTACAAACGGTTGGTGGGTAGGGCCACCCAATTGGAATTCTTTTATCCGGCCACAAAATTCCACCTCTCCGCCCTACATCCAAGCGCGAATTTAAAACATCGGTGCAGGTTCAAGTTCCGGGGATGGGATCGTTTCTTTGAAATGAGAGACAACAGCCAAGTAAAAGGAAAAGAAAATGAAAGACAAGGTGGCGGTGACATCCATAAGTGTGTTACAAAAGCAAGCATAACATGAAGAAGCTTTTTTTGGTGACCATGGATGGAGGGTAAAAAGGGACACCAGTCTTACCGATCTAGAGGTTCCTGACCCCATGAGATGATCATCGACTGAGATAACGTAAAAACAGAGACAAAACAGAACCCATTAGAACAAAGTGAACCCCCTTCTCCCCTGTGATCAAATAATTTAATGATCCGTTGTTCTAAAACATACAATAAGTGATCTCCGTCACCATCTCCATTCATGCCTTCAGAAACCTGGGTACGTGCAACTGGGCAATCATGGTACATTTTTTCAAATGACGGCCGACATTATGCTGCCGGGGTACAATACAATACTCAAATATCAAACAAAAAAGAATAAGCGCATTGCAATTGCCTCTGCGTCGAAAAGAAGGCAAACACCTGGAGAAACCACGCAGCACATCCCCACGTTATATGCCTCATTTCCGGGGACAAAGCAGTTCCAGATCGGATCTATGTCCTCCCTCATTGCCGGAGTGAGGAAAAAAACAAAAAAATCAGTTCAAGATTGAATCTATCGTCTTTCTTCTTTCTGATTCCAGCTTGAACGTTTCATGCAGGGAAGTAGCTCATAGTTGGCAGTAAACAGTGCATAGATCATTGACAAAGATCAACAAACAAGGAAGGAACAAACAAACCAAAAAGAAAGTTGCGAAAGTTTGTTGTAGTTGGTGTCAATATTGACGAGAACAGCAAGAGATGACATCCCACAAAGCCCTCCTTCCATGGTTATCCGTTTCGCAGAAGAAGCATAAAGTCAGAAAGCTGATTCCTGTTGTTGCTTGCTTCTTGATCCCTCACTACTCATTTGCCTAATATCCCATGGTCGAAAATCGCAACTATTTCATGACCCTTGTCCTTTTCCTCTTTTGCCCTTCACCCGTCATGCTCGAGTTCGATCCTATCCCCCTCGGCAACATCATAGACCCCCATCGCACCTCACCCCCCCCCCTCCCCTCTCTCTTGGATCGAGTAGAAGGAGCAGCACCTATATCTTTCTTCTTCCTCTTATGCATACTTTCATCAACAATTACTCGACAAGCTCGGGTACCCAAGCGCAGCATCATTCACTTTTTATTTTTGTTTGTCCTGAGAACCCATGTGTTTGTCTGATCCAGTCAGATCGGCAAAAGGGAAGATGTCGCGATTATGATTTTCAATGACCAACACAACCCAAAAAAGAAAATAGCGCGGCTAATACTCGGCAAATGCATAGCATTTTTGAGAGGGCGGAGAATGGGGAGAAGGAAGCCTTGGTCAGCCAACCAGCAAGCTGCCTGCTTCCATTATTCGATCATTCAGCAG